AGTATAGTAGAAGTAATGTGAAAACCAAAGTGAAATTGAGACTTTCTTAATCGTTTAAGTACCGAGTTAAAATGTTCAGGAATTTGAGATTTGAGATTACTGGTTGCTGTGATTAGTAATAGGTTCAGTTTTTCGGCAGCCGGGAAGCAGTTTCCGGGAAGCAGTGCCCGGAGGCGGCTGCCACATAGTGGCGATTAAGCTGGGGTATTGGAAAAATACAAAGTTTTCAGCCTCTGGGGTGACTATCGCTTAATCATTAACCTGCATTGAAGTACGCGACAAGGTTGCCTCGAAAATCATGTACTGGCATTCTCAACCTTACTAATCAGTACTCCAGTAACCCAAGTCCAACGGTCCTTATCGGGATAAAATTTCCGAAACACTCGAGCATAGAATCCGCAATATGAATAATTGGGTGTGCACGTGGTCAGCTTTCAAACCCCTTCCATCGACAGCAAACTGGGCCTACGAACCCTCATTTCTAAATAACATTAGCTGGATAATATTGACATAATAAAACCCCTTTACAGATATTGAGAATATATGCTTATTAATGCTCGTAACTTATTTTAGAAGGCTTTTAAAACACCTCTGAACCCAGAAAATTTGCTCTACGCCAGTTTAAACTAGATGAGTAGAACTCCCCCCTCACCTCTGATATTAAAATAAATGTTTATTAATCCAAACCCTAGAACGGAGAAGGCTTAGGAATCGTCAACCCCTTTTGCACCTCCGGCAAGGCCGCAAGGGTCTGGTACCACTTAGAAACTAACGGATACTCGGCAACATCAATTTCGAGGAACCGCAAACCAGAAGCCCATGGGAAGACGGCGATATCCGAGATACTGTAGTGGTCACCAACCAAGTAAAGAGATCCGTTCTTGGAATTCCTGGCGAGGTACTCCTCTAACACCGAATACAATCTCTTGGTTTCCTCAGTGTAACGAGTGATACCGTATGGAATCTTTTCCGGAGCAAACCTCACAAAGTGGTTGGCCTGGCCCTGCATTGGTCCCAATCCGGCCATCTGGAAGTACAAAGTCTCCAATTGCAAGTAGTACTCCTTAGTACCAACCGGGTAAGAGAGCTTATGCTTGGTATCATACTTGTCCACAAGGTATTGCATGATCGCAGCGGTCTCGCTGATGATAATGTCACCATCGGCGGTGGAGTCAACCAAGGTTGGAATACGCCCATTCGGATTCAACTTGAGGAACCATTCCTGCTTCTGTTCATTCTCGCGGATGTTAATGTACTGGAAGTCGTACTTAAGGCCTAAGAGTTCCAAGAGAATGGACACCTTGTACCCGTTTGGCGTGGTGCATGTGTAAAGTTTAAGACTGTTGGCGACTGGTTTGTTAGAATCAACGATCGGAATATAGGAATGGCATGGCAATTCCATTTTATTATCTTAGTGCAATCATACCTGAGCTCATTGTTTAGTGTGTTGTATCTTAACCAATACTTGAAACTCTGAGTCAGGCGAATACTTGCTGTTTATATAGGCTCATCAAGGATGCCAGATTTTTGCTAATATGAAACATTAGTCAGGAATCCGGCATAGTAATAATAGATCTGGCAGAAATTCCCCGCTACTTGGCAGACTAAAGTTTGCTGCATCGAGCGACGAGAGTTAGAATGCAGATGAGATTAGTAATTGAACCGTTTGGTCGGTGAAATTTCATCCCGATGCGGAATCAAACCCGCAGCAGGCCAGTAACAGCGATATTCGGAGTTGGTGAGCAAATTTGAACTTCTGACAGAATAAGGAAAGGTTTCAAAATTTGATTGGCTCTGAATGTCCTAATCATGAGGCTCAATGACGAGTTGCGCCACGACTTGTCAAAATGGAAATATTTCCGTGTCAATGGAAAAATATATCCAAAAGTATGCTTCAACGTGCTTACAAATACTGCAAAAGCTCTCGTTTTGTAATCTCCAGCTTGGCATTTATACGTGCGGTGCCCGTGGACTTAACGGCCCGCTCCAATACAGATATCGGCTCTGGTCGTGGAAAGATTTAGTACCGCATATGCAAAAGGCATCTCTATCAGTCACGTAAATACAATTCACCGCAGCTTAGATATTCCTAGTCAATACCGGTAAGTGGCTAAGCCAAACTAACCCTGAAGGTTATCGATACGACGTAATCTTTTGGTTGCCATATTTAGATAGTTGGGATCTCGCCTAAAAGCTTCCTCATCTACGTGAAATCCTCTCCGGAAAGCCCAAAATTGTCCAACACGCAGTTTTCTCTCTCGGCCATCCATTGAACACCCTGGAGCAAGGTCACCAACCCTTCCGCCTCCAACGCCGAAGTAACCCCGTTTACGGGTGTTTCTTTTCCCGACGTATCTCCACTGGAAGAGCCACTGGCCCCCAAGAGCGCCTTGGGGCCGGTGAAGTGCAGTATCAACCGCTGGTCAATCGGGTCGTTTTTATCCAATCGGCAGTACTCTCTGAAGAACGTCTCCATGTCATTATCGTACATCCCGAGCAACGACTCCTTTTCGTTGGCAATATGAGCCGTCTCGATCCGCTCGTCCACAATCGGGTGCTTGAATTCTGGCTGCGACACAGCGCGCGGCGACGTGGCACCGGAATCACGGTCACTCGCGCTGTGGGTCTTTCGGATCTCGTGGATAAACCAGATAATCTCGTACGACAAACTGGCGTTGAGATGCGACTTCATCCGCGAGATCATAAATGGTCTCGTGACGATGAGCTTTGGGTTCACAAACATGGCGAGCTCAAAGCTTTTGAGCACCCTGACCGTTCGGCTGGAATCCGAGTCCACCAGCCGCCACTTGTGGTAAACCGTGTCCTTGGAATAGTTTAACACGTCATAGAGGTCTCTGAGGGTAGAGAGAACTGGCGCGAGCATGTTGCTGGCTAGCAATGGAAACATCTGGACCCTCGCGAGCACAAAGCAAGTCAAGCTTACCAAGGAACGGAAGTGGATGGGGTACATCAAAATGTGCATTTTTGAGCCCGAAAAGATGTGGAGCACCACCTGGGCGACGTCCAAACATGTCTGGACGGCACGGTCGATATACACTTTCTGGTCGGCCTGGGAGGTGTTGGGAAAGAATGCAAACGTGTAGAGCTGGAGATGAGCATACTTCATCTGAAGGTAGACGTACTTTTCCCAGAGCGGTGTGGCCGGTTGGAGGTAGTAGGTGACGCCCGGGTGTGGAAGAAGGCGTTTCTCAAGGGCTGCGAGGACCCCGCGGAAGCTGGATATGTTGAGGAACCGTTCGTTGTAGTTGATCAAGCCAGAGTTAGTGATGGAGTTTCCTAGGCAGTTGGTGAATTTGAACGTGTGTTTAGAGATTTCCAAGATGGAATTGAAATAAAAGGTGCAGTCAAAAACGCCAAGCACCGTCGGGTCTTCGACTGGACCCTGGTGGCCCTCTTCTGCCAGAGACATGGAACTTTTCTTTTCCTTCTCAAACCCTTCTCCGCTTGGTTCTAACACTGTCAGGACCTTGGAACTTTCCACTGATTCTTTTGATCCATCAAGATCACCCGTTTCTTTTAGACTCTTCTTAAAATGCTCTTTATACCCCTCGTTATCAATAATATAATCCCACTCTGAGGCCCCGCTCGGCAACCCAAGCAATGAGGAATAGCACACTTCGTTGATGAAACAGCCCTTCCAGGTCTTGCTCCGGTACTTGACGTCTTTTCCCTTGATCCCACGCGAGAATTCGTTGATGAATGGGCCGCGGTGGAGCCCGAGCTGCATCGAAATGTTTTTACTCATCCCGATCAAGCGGTACGACACGTCGTCGAGAAGCTTGTGGGACGGCATGGGCCACGTGGTCAAGAGCAAAAGCGCCTGTACGATAAAAGAAGACCGTGGGGTCGCGTACCAGCAGTTTTCGATGACAAGCTGCTTTACCAGTGGCGATAGACGGATGTAGCGTTCGGGATCCGCGTCGCTGGTGCATGCCACGAGCATGATGGACCAGAAAAGAAGCGGAGACTCGTGGTGGATCTGCAGATACGTCTTCTGGGGGTTGATTATGGGAAATAAGGGGAGGAATTGGGTTTGGAAAATGAAAAAGTAACGAGAAACCTGGGCTCGGGAGAGACTAGTATCGTAAAGTTGGTACGTCTCGTAGTTCAGATACGTCTCCTGGAGCACTATTGGCTCGGGAAGGTTGGTGATGGGCGGGGTGGGAATCTTCCGGTGCGGTAGGCCGTCTTGGGCGCAATCATGAGCCTGGTTACAGAACAGACCGCGGGAGGGAGGCTGCGGAAAGTTGTCGCTGTTGGGAACGGATGTCACACTAGAGATGGAGTGTGCAGATGTTGAGAGGCGTTTGGGGGAGACATCCCAGGCATGGGGGGAGGCAAATGAGTTGATATATCCAGAGCTTGGGGGGTCGAAGGTTGGAGGGTTGGGGCTTTTGAACGACAGATTAAAGCTCCCCTGGCTTTTGGAATGTTCTGGATTGCCAAACCCCCTGGGGTGTAGATCATAGCTTTTGTTTCGATGCAGCGGCTCGTGGCCGTGGCTCCTCCTTAAGGTTTCATACAGGCTTCTTTTCTGAGGTTCACATTGACTACTGAGCAGTTCATATCGATTTTTTTGTTGCAATTCATCGTTTTCATACCGATTTGCAACCCTGGAATGTTTCACTCGTTTAGTCTGTCTTTCCTCATCGGAACCCCTCAACATCCTTTCCATGGCCAAGTTCTGGTTCTCAAGCACCCTGATTCCCCTCTGCAAGTTTGTGATCTCGCTCTTGAGAGACTTCATGGCGTTAGACCGTTGCGGCGGTGCCCGTTCGTCCAACTCACAAGCGACATGCTTTTTCAGACAGGCCAGACACGGAAGCGGTGCCCGTTGCAGTGCATTGCACTTTGTTTTGTGCTGCCGACAGCGCGTACACGACTTGAGCTGATACGCGCCGGCGTCATTACGGGCCGGCCCAGGCTTGGCCCTCGATTTGGCGCTGACAAACGGGCTAGGGCTGTCTGATGGGAAAGAGGCAATAGGCGACGGTAACTGTATGGGAATTTGGGGTAGAATTGGTTTGTACTGTGTGGGAGAGTGAATTTTCTTAGCCATCATGTTGTTCATTAAGGGATAAGGCGGGGTTTGGGTTCGTGGGAGAGGCGACGGAGAAAGAAGGGGAAGAGCAATAATAGCAAAAATATCTTGGATCAGTATACATGCCTTGCTGAAATACAATATCCAACATGAAAGTGTCTGACTCTTCTCGGCTTTGATCCAATTTGGGCTCCTTTCCGGTAGAGCTTTAATTTTCTCCGGTGACTTCCTGCACGAACGCGTGCATCGAGCTACAATACCGGTCTATGCGGCGTGGAGCTTTAGCTGCGTGCTTACATACATGTCGCATGATTGGCTGGAACGGTGGGTTGAGAAATGTGTAAGGGTGATATGAGTATTTGTCGAGGTTGCAAAGACGTGGAAATATCGAAATGATTTAAAACTGGATATGATTGGGGATTTCTGTGATTTTGTGGACATGAATTACGGATCAGATGGAGTACCCAACGGTTGGGGGCCGCCAAGACTATTATATAATACCTGCTTGTCCGCATATCTCCTTAGCTTTATACTTAATACTTTTGTTTCTTTAATTCTCCCAAAAAAAAACTAGTTATCCCGTTACTTTAAAGTGATCATGTGTATTCTTATTGGTAATTGGTGAATATGATACTGGTTGAATCAAAGCTGCATATTCAGTGCTGTCGATGGCTTCAGATAACTTCCGAAAACTTCCAATGGCTCCTGATGGCTTTTCAAGGATCATCCGTTGCACCAACACATTTGTATCCTCATATCTAGTTCACCACGATTCCAAGCTTTAACGTTATCACGTTTATTGCACGTGATATATTTCTTTTTCTTACTAATGCGCCGCATTCCATTAGGAAAAGATCCAGAAAAAATCTCTTGATAAGACCATGCAAGACGCTTCCTCTCGAACTTTTGTCATCTTATCTCAACTTACACAAAATGGGGTTTTTCTGGGCTGACAAGCAAGCTACAGCAGCCACACTGGCGAAATGCCCTATTGATCACCATGCCAAGCCAGATGTCTCTGCGTGCCCTGTGATGGCGGGGAAGGGCCCGGCGGCCGCGGGACTTGCGGCCGCGTGTCCTGTCAAGAAGGATGGATCAGGCTCTCTCAACCCGATGAACAACATGCCGTATGAGATTTCATCTGTGCGCATGCCGGGCCAGCAAATCGAGTTGCCGACCGCGCGCACGATGTCGACGATCCCGCGCGGAACGGACGAAAGTGATGGGGTATGGGAATATCCGTCACCGCAGCAGATGTTCAACGCGATGATGCGCAAGGGCAAGGATGAGGTGCCTGAGGATGCGGTGGAGTCGATGGTGGATGTGCACAACTTTTTGAACGAGGGTGCCTGGCAGGTAATCTTGGAGTGGGAGCAAAAGCACACCGTGGAAACCCGCGTTGATCCGCGCTTATTGAGATTCACAGGCCGTCCACACGACTTGTCACCGCGTGCGCAGGCCTATGGCTTACTCGGGAAATTATTCCCAGAGCACTTCACTAGGGAACCTCCGTTCGACAGACACGACTGGACGGTATTGCGTGCTGACGGCAAGGGTGGCTGGAACGAGGTCCGTTACGTTATCGACTACTACGGTGGCCCAGATGACCCCCACGGCATGCCTACCTTCTTCCTCGATGTCAGACCCGCTTTGGACAACTTCGGTAACGCCTTCGACCGTGCGGCGAAATACACCCTGAGCTACCAGCACTTGTGGGACAAGGCCATGGGCAAAGACCTCTGAGCTGGGAGGAAGCGCCGATGGCTTGTATTATGATATCCTTGCGCGCCACTGCCTCATTCTCTAAATTTGTATATATCGTTGATGCTCTTGACTAGAATGGATGTAGGAGGTCCTGCTGGGGGCTTTAAATACGGGAGATCTGTCGCATTAACGATGCTATTGGAGTCTCTTTAGCTACCCGTTCGACCCTAATATGTTAGGTTCTACTCGGGTATGTTTATATATTTTTATATCTTTCTGGTATTCTGCCAAGATAATCCCCAGGGTCTATACAGGAATCACTCGAATCCTCACTCTGCGTAAATTCCAGACTGTTTTGCTACCGATTCGCCAAAGCTCGTACAGTGTACTCACGCGTAACTCCCATCCTGGTGAAAAATTGGCCGCCCGCATATCAAAAGCTCACCATACCTCAACTCATATACCAACTCTCCTTCTTTCTCCAAGATGCTTTTTAGAGGTACCACCCGCGGGGCTGCAGCCGTCCGCCGCGCGTTTACCGCCAAGACGTTCTCTACAACCGTCGCCAGCCTCCAGGAAGCGTCCCCTCCGTTGAAGGCCAACGGCAGACCCAAGACACGGGGCGGGCAGAACCGCAACAAGCACAATCCAGACCGCAAGTTCCAGCCGCCACACCCGCAGTTGGTACAGATCAGCTCGCAGCTTAGTTTGATCGTGGAGCAGGGTGAGACGGCGGAGGCGCTCGAATTGCTCGGTAAGAGTGTCGAATTTCTCCGCCAGATCCCAGAGGTTTCCGCGCGCGCGTTAGTAAAGCAGTTTGCCGAGATCGGCAACACGTTACTTGTCAAGGCTTCCAGCGCCAACTCCACCACTTCACCGTTCGAGGTATTGAACGCGCTCACACAACACGGCGTGTCGCACATTTCTCACTACCTGGCTGTGATGCAGTACGCTGTTGCAAAGGGCCAGTTCGACGAGGCGTTTGCCGTGTGGGTGCAGTACAAGGAGGCCGTGCAGGCCAATGCGGATGTGAACGTGTTCTTGAAGACCCATCCGTACTCCAACAACGACATCGTGCGCACGACCTACCTCACGTACGTGATGTCGTGTATTTCCAAGGCGATCGTGCCAGAGTACAAGACCGCGTTGTCGGTATTGCAGGTGGACGCTTTGCCCGAAGCTAACCACATGAGAAACTTCATGAAGACGCACTCAGCGCTCGTGCCAAAGGGCGGGGCTATTTCTATGGACGCGGTCTCCTCCGTCATCCGCAAGCTCAACGTAAGCGCCTTGGATCCAAACGACGGCAAGTTGTACCTTGAAGCCGAGCGTGCCGCGACCGACGGCAAATTTGCGGCCGTGGACCGCATCTTGGACTCAATCCTCGCGTCCGACAAGCCCGTAGCCGAGACCACGATGGTGCGCTTCATGAACTTGTACGCAGTCAGGGGCCAGCGCTACGTCAAGGCGCTTGAGATTTTCAACACGTTGCTCCAGTCCGGGATCAAGCCGACGGCACCAACCTTCAACGCGGCCATCATGACGCTTGCAAAGTTTGCCAAGCAGCCGGTGGAGGCGCGCGTGGCCAAGGTCCAGGAGATCTTGAAGACAATGGAAAGCTTGGAGGTGGCGCCCAACAAGGACACCTACGCCAGTTTGATTGAGCTCTACGCCGTGGCGCGCAAGTTCGACGAGGTGGACAAGTTGTATGCGTCCGTCAACAAGACGCAGGTGGTGCGAGACGCGTATGTCGCGTCCATGGTTGCGCGCGGCGACTTGCCGAAGGCCGCTCGCGTGTTGCAGACGATGATCGCGGAGGACGACTACGTGCCGAATGCGCGCGTCTTCAACAAGTTCATCCAGCATCATATCGCCAACCGGGAGTACGATCAGGCCGCCAAGTCTCTCAACGCACTCTACGAGTGCGGCGGGTCTCCAGACGTGGCCACCTACACCATGACCATCGACCTCTTGTTCAAGAGCAGCAGACGCAACGGTGCCACGCCAGACTTTGGCTTGATCGTCAAGACGTTGGAGGAGATGTCGCAGCACGGCTTGCCAAACAATATCTACACCTTGACTGCCATTTTGGACGGGTTGTTGAAGAACGGTACCGACTTGGAGGCTGCCAGGGCCATCTGGAAGTACATGCAGCTGACCTTGAAGTACACCCCTACCAAGACCACCTACACCACCATGATCAGCGGCGAGTTGGACTTTGGCGACACTGCACGCGCGGAGGCGTTGTTCGCCGAAATGCTTGCGAGAGCCGAGTTCCACAAGCAGGCATCCGACTGGAACTTGATGATTGTCGGCTTTGTCAAGAAGGGCGATGCCGCCAGGGCCCAGGAGTACTTTACCAGAATGCAGCAGGCGGGCGAGAAGGACGTCAAGCAGCGTCCAAACCATTACACCTTCGGTTTCATGATGCGTGACGCCATCAGACGCGAGGACTGGGCCGCCGTCTCGGACATGTTGGCCGTGTACGTCGCCTACCGCTTGCCGCTTGCCGTGCCCCAGATCTTGACCATCTTGGGCAATTTGGACGCCACTAAGGTTGCTTTCCCGCAGGAGGTCAAGGACATCTTGGCACAAGAGAGCTCTGCCAGATACGCCAACCGCAAGTTGGCCTTGTAAGATAGTAACAATACAACCTGTATATATCGCAATTGTTTCTGACAACGAACGTAGAGGGGGCACGGAGGGGTGATTAAATCTGGCCTACGGGCTATCCCTGGGTGAGCTCCATAGTTAAGCTGGATGGATCTAATAACCATCTGCTTTCTCTTCGTTATCAAGAGAGTATGCTATAACGTCGGTTGAAGGTGTTAAGTTAAAAAGCTCTGTGGAATTGAGACGTTTCATATGAGAGGGGGTTTAGTGGAGAGTTGCACTCCTGCAGTTGAATCCAATATTCAGCTTCCTATAACATCTAACATCTTTCCGTACCTTACCATTTCATCTTCCATATCTTCCCCTTTTATCTTTCATATCTTCCCCTCTCATCTTCCATATCTTCCCCTATCATCTCCTCTATGGATGAAGCGTCAATGGCGCACAAGAACAGATCTGGGAAAGCCCAGTCCTATATCTAAGAGACCATTATTGCTGAGGTCTAGTATTTGCAACTTTTTTGGAAGCACAAACCCAGACATGGAAGAGATTTCGTTATCACGCGCGTATAAAAACTTCAAGGATGCGGGAAGTACAACACCCTCCACCGAGGTGAGTCTGTTCAGCGACAAGTTTAGCTCCTCCAAGCGGGGAGGAAACTCTGCATCGCTTATGCTTGAAATTTGATTATTCAGAAGATCCAACCTCTTGAGGGATTTAGGAAAAGGTACTAACCTGTCCAATTGACAATTCATCACTTCCAATTCTTCTAGGTTTTCCGGGAACCTGACCCGCAAGATGGAAACCCGGCTCGCTCCCACGTCAAAGAACAGTGGGCTGGGATTATCGCTGCACCCCCTTACGGACAAATGGGTAACACTTACCGGTATATCAAATCCAATCGGTAGCCTGGTAATAACAAGGCGGTGTAGACACGATGGTGTTGTCCAATCACAGAACGAAATATCCTGGAGAGGATTCCCCCCGAGATGTAACACCTCAAGTAGTGGGGCACGAAAGTTGTCAATAACCGTTATATTATTGGCAGAGACGTCTAGAGACCTTAGGTTTTGAGGGATTCGGAGTCCCTTGAGGGACGTGATTCCCGTGTCTCTCATGGATAGAGTACGCAAGTGTCTGGGCAATTTGAGGTCCCGGAGCAGCCGCTTGATAAACAAATCTGGATTGCTGTCTAAACTGAGCACTCTGAGAGACGAAGGGAAGACCAAGGAGCCACCGATGTACGTCAACTCATTATTACTCATGTTTAGATCGATCAACGTAGGAGGCAAGCTCTCCAAAAAGGTGAGCGAGGGAAGGTGATTGCCTGCGAGATTTAACCTTTGGATCGATGCGGGGAACTTGACCATTGCAATCACTCGAGGGGTAAGCAGGCAGCAGGAGAGGTCTAGACCTTCTAGGTTGAAGGGCAACCGCCTATGGACCGCCTTAAAATCTTTGTTTCCAGCAAGACTCAAGGTCCTTAGGGTCTGGGGAAAGCGGTAAGTCACAGGTATGCTGAGGATTCGGGTTCCAGAAAGGTGAAACTCCTCTAGTCGCGGGGGTAGCACTATATCTGCTAGGGAGGTGGTGTTGGAAGCTTCAAGCGTAAGGCATACCAACGAAGGAGGAAGGCCGGTCGTAAAGCCAAAGCACCCGTCTCCGTCTAACCCCAAGGGATAAAATAATCCCAACTCTTGTAGCCGACAAGGCAACGACCGCAAACAGGACATTGGCACACGCATGTGGCCTATCTTAAGCCTTGTTAATGACTCTGGAAACTTAAGAGGATGCGAGCAGTTTTGGACCACTGGATCCCTGGGATTCCACCACATTTCGAGGTTTACCAAGTTTGGCGGAAAGTGAATCTGTTCGCACGGTCGACTTCCGGGGGAGAAGCTAAGCAAGGTGATGTTACTGAGGCATGGAAAAGTAATGGCATTACCCGGAATTCGTATTTCCAAGGTGTGTACTCGTTTTAGGCGTTCAAACGCCACTGAATCCAAGAGAGATAGACCGTGGGAGATGGCTAAGCGGTGGATGGGTACCAGGTCATATGCCTTGTTGGAGGCGAACCGTTCAAAGTCGGCAATGTCCATTTCCGTTAGAAAGCTCGGGTTCTTCTTCTCTGTAAAGGGTTTGAACCTCCGTGGAATCGCAAGCGTTTTGTAATAACGCCTAAGCGCGATGGCTTGGAAGGGGTCAATCTCGAGAAACAGCTCTACTGTTTCTATAGGAAGGTAAGCAAAGATGAGCAGAATGATCTCAGCTGGTAATTTTACAAGAATCCTCCCATCGTGCATCGTGGGTTGATGGAAGCAACTGAGGTTGTAAGTAGCTGGGGATTTCCCCTAAGACAGGCAGGTCGGTCAGATTTAAAGGTGCGCGCGCGAATTTGAAACGCGGGGAATCCCTGACGTCATGCTGTCACCGATTCCGAGGGACAGGAAAAAAAAAAGGTAAATACTCCAATAAGCAGTTCTATATAGAATAACGATAATAAAACGGTTATGCATGATCTTAGCACTTTACATACGTTGCTCTTCTTGAATAACCCGATGATGTGCTCTTTGGGTCTTGCTAATCTGATCACGTGTCGCGCTAGGTTTGATCATGTGACCAGACAGTTTTTGCGCGTCGACGCGTAAAAAATAAATTTGACGCGTCGAATTATCGCAACCACCTTTCCCATTTGCTCCCCCACAAAATGCCTCTGTTCAAAGGCTCCTCCACCGCGCGGTTCGTCAAGAACGATGCGCCCAAATACACAAAACCGCCCGTGACCAACCCCATGGTTACCGAAGCGGCGACGCGCCTCGACCTTGTCTCCAGGATCGACCGTGTCGACAGCTTGATGGGCTTTGACCGCTTCGACTCGGGGCCCGTGCGCACTGGCTGGCTCATTAACATGCACGCGACCACAGTACCATCTGACAAGGTGCTTGCGGGGCTCTCAGCCGTCGACTACTACTTCCTCGACGTGGAGGGTGGCCTGTTCAAGACAACGCTCACGTACGACCCGTACTTCCTTGTGGCGTGCACACCCGGTAGCGAGGCAGACGTCGAGGAGATGCTCAAGAAGCGGCTCGAGAGCTGCGTCAAAACCGTCGCCCGCGTTGCGAAAGATGACTTGGCAATGCCCAATCACCTCATGGGCCTCCGCTCGACGTTGCTTCAGCTCCTGTTCCACAACGTGACAGATCTTCTCGAGGCGCGGCGACTGCTCGCGCCACTCGTGGCCGAAAACCGCGCACAGAAGGCTACTCGCGACGTGTACGCCGCCGTCAACGCAGGCTACGCGGACACACGTGATGCGGCCGCATGCATCGAGGATATCCGCGAGTACGACGTACCGTACCACGTGCGAGTAGCGATTGACAAGGGCATCCGTGTGGGTAAATGGTACGACGTACAAGCGGAACACGGTATGGTTGCGCTTGCGGAACGCACAGACTTGATGGCGTTCGCGGACCCGGTTGTGCTCGCGTTCGACATTGAAACCACCAAGGCGCCGCTCAAGTTTCCAGAGGCCACCATTGATCAAATAATGATGATCTCGTACATGATAGACGGTGAGGGTTTCCTCATCACCAACCGCGAAATAATTGCCGAGGACATTGCCGATTTTGAGTACACGCCGCGTCCCGAGTATCCCGGGACCTTTGCGATTTTCAACGAGGCCGACGAGAAGGCGCTCTTGGTCCGCTTTTTCGAGCACATCCGTGAGGTGATGCCCACGGTGATTGCCACCTTCAACGGTGACTTCTTCGACTGGCCGTTTGTCGAGACGCGCGCGGCCATCCACGGGCTCGACATGTTCGAGGAGATCGGGTTTGCTAAAGACTCCGAGAACGAGTACAAGTCGAAGTACTGCGTCCACATGGACTGCTACCGCTGGGTGAAGCGTGATTCGTACCTTCCACAGGGCTCCCAGGGCCTCAAGGCGGTGACGACGGCGAAGCTCGGCTACAACCCGATCGAGCTTGATCCCGAACTCATGACACCGTATGCATATGAAAAGCCGCAGCTTCTCTCGGAGTACTCCGTCTCTGACGCCGTTGCGACGTACTACCTCTACTACAAGTACGTCCACCCCTTCATTTTCTCGCTCTGCACAATCATCCCGCTCAACCCGGATGAGGTGTTGAGAAAAGGTACCGGTACGCTCTGCGAGATGTTGCTCATGGTCCAGGCGTATGAGAAGAGCATTCTTTTACCAAACAAGCACTCCGACCCGCTCGAGCGCTTCTACGATGGGCATTTGATCGAGTCCGAGACCTACGTGGGTGGCCACGTGGAGTCGCTCGAGGCGGGGGTCTTCCGCAGTGACATCTCTACCGACTTTAAGGTTGTGCCTGAGGCGGTTGATGAGATCTTGGGCGATCTCCGCGCGGCGTTGCGATTCTCGATTGAGGTGGAGGAGAAGAAGAAGATGGAGGACGTAACAAACTTCGAGGAAGTGTACGAGGAGGTTCGGGGGAAGCTCTCGGAGCTCAGGGAGAACCCCCACCGCCACGAAAACCCGTTAATCTACCATGTGGACGTGGCGTCGATGTATCCGAACATCATGACAACCAACCGTCTCCAGCCGGACTCCATGAAGTTGGAGAAGGACTGTGCCGCTTGCGACTTCAACCGTCCCGGGAAGACGTGCGACCGCCGGCTTGCTTGGTCGTGGCGAGGCGAGTTCTACCCCGCGCAGCTGAATGAGTACGGCATGATCAAGCGCGCGCTCCAGAACGAGACGTTTCCGGCAAAAAACGCGTGGCAGGCGCGACGGACGTTTGAGGAATTGCCGTATCCCGAGCAGGTGGCCCTCATCAAACAGCGCTTGAGTGACTACTCCAGAAAGGTCTACCACCGCGTGAAGGTCACCGAAACCGTCCAGCGCGAGGCAATCGTGTGCCAGAGGGAGAACCCGTTCTACGTCGATACGGTGTCCGCCTTCAGAGATCGGCGGTACGAGTTCAAGGGCCTAGCGAAGGTGTGGAAGGGCAAGGCGGCCAAGGTGGCTCGCGATGACAAGCACGGCAAGGACGAGGCGATGAAAATGGTGGTGCTCTACGATTCGCTTCAGCTTGCCCACAAGGTCATTCTCAACTCATTCTACGGGTACGTCATGCGCAAGGGGTCGCGGTGGTACTCCATGGAGATGGCGGGGATCACATGCTTGACCGGAGCAACCATCATCCAGATGGCGCGCCAGTTGGTTGAGCGGCTCGGGCGGCCGCTAGAGCTCGATACGGATGGGATCTGGTGCATCCTCCCAAGCTCGTTCCCCGAAAACGTCACTTTCACGTTAAAGAGCGGCAAGACGGTGGTGGTGTCGTACCCCTGCTCCATGTTGAACTACCTTGTACACCAGAGGTTTACCAACCACCAGTACCAGGAGCTCGAGGACCCCGCCACGCGCACGTACAAGACCCACTCCGATAACTCGATCTTCTTCGAGGTGGATGGGCCATACAAGGCGATGATCCTCCCAACGTCCAAGGAGGAGGGTAAGGGGCTCAAGAAGCGGTACGCAGTGTTCAACGATGACGGGTCCATTGCTGAGCTCAAGGGGTTTGAGATCAAGCGGAGGGGCGAACTCCAGTTGATCAAGAACTTCCAGGGGGACATTTTCAAGTTGTTTTTGGACGGCGACTCGCTTGAGTCGTGCTACGCGAGTGTTGCCAACGTAGCGAACCGCTGGTTGGACGTGTTAGACACCAAGGGTGCCATGCTCGAGGACGAGGACTTGATCGAGTTGATTTGCGAGAACCGGTCCATGAGTAAGACCTTGGAGGAGTACGGCACGCAGAAGTCTACCTCCATCACCACTGCCAAGCGGTTGGGCGAGTTCTTGGGCGAGGAGATGGTCAAGGACAAAGGCTTGGCGTGTAAGTATATCATCAGCTCCCGGCCTGCGAACGCGCCGGTCACCGAGCGCGCGATTCCGGTGGCCATTTTCCTGTCAGAGCTCGGGATCAAGCGCACATACCTCCGGCGCTGGCTCAAAAACCCGGGTTTGGACGAGTTTGATCCGCGGGGCATCATCGACTGGGACTACTACCGCGAGAGACTCGCGTCGGTGGTGCAGAAGATCATCACAATCCCCGCAGCGCTCCAGGGCGTGACGAACCCGGTCCCGAGGGTTCCGCATCCAGACTGGCTTCAGAGGAAGATCAAGCGGAGCGAAGACACCAAGAAGCAGAGCAGCATTGGGGCGTTCTTTGAGAAGACCACCCAGGCCGAGGCCGCCGCCATCCAGGACATTGAAGACTTTGGAAGCTCCGATCTCCCAACACCCAGGGTTGGCCATGTCACACGCAAGCGCAGACCCGCTGAAACCGAGCCGGAGCCCGAGCTTGTCGGCCCATGTCCCGACATGACCATCGACTACCCCGGCTTCCTCCAGTTTCAGATGCAGAAGTGGAAGAGCCAACAGGCCGCCAAGGAACGCCGACGCCGCCTATTTGGCCAGGGCGGTGAGGCGTCGCACCGTCTGACCATTGGGAACCTCGTTCGTCGCCAGGCTGAGAGTCTCACCGGCTCGGTCTGGCAGGTTCTCCAGTACAAACCCGACCCCGCGGTGCCTGGCGACCTCCGCGTGTTTGTGTTGATCGACGGCAAGGTCCAGAGCTTTACGGTACACGTGCCCAAGACGGTGTACGTCAGTTTCCGCTCAGACGTGTTGCCCGACGCGGAGATCCCGCAGTGCGAGGTGGAAAAGTCCGAGGCGCTCCTCCCCAACGGCCATGACTCGTCCAACCTCTTCAAGCTCACCATGGCGGAGACCACCTTCCGCGCCGAGGCACTCCGTGCAGACGGCCTTTTCCAACACGCAAGCGTGCAGGGCTTGTACGAGACGCGTGTGGATGCGGTGGAACGCGCGATCATCGAGTTGGGCGCCGCGGTGGAGTTTGATCTGTCGCGTGTCGGTGCGTTAGGCCGCGCGTTGAAGCACGGCTTCGACATGAAGACGCTCAAAGCGGCCGAGCTGGACCGCTACCTCCGGCGCTTTGCCATGGACACGGTGTATCTCTTCCATTGCGTGTCGCACGGGTACGAGGTTTTCGCAGTGTTCCGCTCGTGGGAGGCGCGCGCACACATGTTTGCGTTGAAGCCACTGGCCGCGGCTGCGCCGTTGCCTGCGGCCACGCGCCTCTACAAGGAGGTGATTGCCGCGAAGAAGGACAAGCTCGCGGACCTTCTCGTGTACCCTGAGAGTATGGAGTTTGACATGCAGTACTTTGGCGATACGGCCAAGTTGCTCAAGAAGCTCGACGGGTACGTCGGAAAGATCCACGAGGAACGCAGCACCACCGCACTCTTTGTGGTGCAGTCGCCAGGGCCCGCGCGCGTGGTTGCGGCGCTTGGCGCGCTTGCGGCATTCCCGGTCGTCCAGATGGTTTCGCGCGATGTCGCGCTTCCCGCAGTCGGCTGGGCGCCGATGCTCCTCACGCGCGTCGCCAGCCACTACCTCCTGCTCGGCGCGTGGCTTCGTCATCTCCTCGCGCTCGCGCGCACCGGTAACATCCCCATGGGCAACCTCCCACCCGCCAACACCGGCTACGTATTGGACATTACGTACGCACGGCGCCTCGCGGCCGCGCACGTGGTGCTCTGGTGGTCGCCCACGCCGCTTGCAGACCACGGTGGGGTCGAGATGGACGAAACCGCGCCGGATCTCGACGACTTGGGCTTCCCGGGCATCAACAACCCCGAGATCTACGAAACGGCCTGTCTCGAAATCAGCATCGACAACTTGAACGTCAACGCGATCCTCGCGTCCGCATTGCTCAACGAGGCCGAGGGCGCAGACTTGGCGGACCAGGAGTTGGTTTTCGACGACAACCACGGCGCATCCAGCTTTGCGGACGCGTTCTCCGGGCCCGCGTTGGCGGTGCTCCGCGTGATGGTCAAGGGCTGGTGGGACGATGCGGTCGCCGGTCGTGCGCACGCAGATGCGATGATGCACGGCTTTGTCGCGTGGGTCCAGAGCCCAGGCTCCTTCTTGTACGCTCCTGCGTTGCACTACCACGTGCACAATTTGGTGCGCAAGGTGCTCTTCCAGTTGTTTGCGGAGTTCCGCAAGATGGGCGCCGCGGTGGTGTTTGCGAACCGCAACAAAATCGTGCTCGCCACGTCCAAAGTCTCGGTCGAGAACTCGTACGCGTACGGGCAGTACATTGTGAAAGCAGCACGGGCAAAGCCCATGTTCAACTACTTGGACTTGGAGATTGTGCGCTACTGGGACTTGCTCATCTGGATGGACGAACACAACTTTGGCGGGCGCGCGTGCGCGGAGATCACCAGCGATGCGGCGCAGTTGGTGCCGTACGCGCGCTGGCACATCAAGAACTTCTTGCCAGGGGTATTGCAGCCAGAGTTTGACGATTGGGTGGTGATCTTTATGGACGCGTTGGTGCGCGCAAAGGGTGTGGGGAACCTTTCGCAGTCCCCCGCGCGCGCGACGCAGATCACGCAGCTTATGAAGCTCCGTCACCCGACGGAAGAAGATGCTGACAGCGCTACCTCCGGTGTCTGCGAGATGTTCCGCAAGCCCCTCGAGAAACGCGTGGTGCAACTCATCCGCCGCCAGGCCGAGGCATACCTCGACCCGACTCTCCGCGCTGAGTACGCGTTCCCGCATCTCGCGGGCTCCACGCGTGCCATGAAGAACCCGACGCTCGAGCTTGTCAAGTTCCTCGCGCAAGTGTTTGCCCTCTCGCAGAAGCGCAATATCGAGGTGCGCTTGTTGCGCCGCGACTTGCTCAAGTTGTTTGAGATTCGCGAGTTCAGCAAGGAAGCCACGTTTGCCGACCCCAGCGCATCCTTGGTCATGGGCCAGGTTGTGTGTGCGCACTGCAGCCACACTCGCGATCTTGACTTCTGCCGCGACGACGAACGCGTCCTCTGGAGCTGCGACCGCTGCGACAAGCCGTACAACCGTATCGCCTTGGAGGAGCGCTTGGTCGCTGACTTTACCAAACTGTTGAGCTTGTACTTCGCCCAGGACCTCAAGTGTGCCAAGTGCCACGGTGTCCGCCGCCGCGAGATCTCCGACTACTGCGAGTGCTCCGGTGCGTGGACTGAAACCATGCCGCACGACGCACTCATTGCGCGTGCGGAAGTCTACAAGAACGTTGCCGTCGCGTACAACTTGAAGTTGTTGCTCGGGGTGTTGGACGAGCTTTTGTAGCGTTAGAATATTGTATGGTGGATAAAAAATGGCATGAGGTGTAACCTCTCATCGGTACTTTGGTTTAAGAGGGTGGTGGTCATCTTAGCTAGGCGCATGAGGATGATTAGGCGTTGTCGGACTATATATACAAGATAGAAATGGCCTAATGGTTACAGTTTTCACGCAAGCTCTGATAGAATGTTGTCCAATTTTCGAGATTATAGCATGTAAATATCAGTAAGACTTGGGCTTTCCAAATCGATTGAAACTATCCACGTCATTTGATTAGGACTGGCTGGTGTGATTACAGTGAAACCAAGTGCTGCCCAGTCCTTTACCGGGATTCTAAAGCTGCAGTTATGGTTGGCGAGTATACTTGGAAGAAATGAAATGCTCCCGGAAGGTCTCAAGCGTGGGTAAGTATATAGGTGGTAAATCTTGGTTGCTCTTGGCTAGTATATTTTAGGGACATTCATCATCTTTCGGCACCTTTACGGGCTAATAATCTTACGCGAGTAATCTATGTTGTCGTTCAAAGACACCAAACTAGCCTCATCGTCGATATCCATCAACGGGCCGAAGTATACTCGCAGTGGCAGGTCTAAGAAGGTTTCAGGCAGGCTGACGGGTTCTGGAATGGCCGCTTCAGGGAAGTATGTCAGAGAAGCAACTTCAATGTCCTCGGGGAAAAAATCAGGGTCGATCTTGGGAGATCCTCTCTGGAGGAGCAATAGATCTGGCAGACGGCCAATCCCCGGCGCTGGAATGGACCCATTTGGGTCGTAGTAAAACTCGTCTGGGATGAAGGTGTGTTCTCCGTCGTCGAAATCAAAGGAGTGGATTCCTCCCTCATCTCCCATTCTATCGTGGAGATATTCTTGAAGCTTCTTCCGGCGGTAGAGCAGGAAAATAGCAAGCGCAAACATGAGAGCTACGAGCACGCCTACCCCTATGAAGATACCGGCGGTTTTTCCTTTGCTCAGGAGAATGGAAGTTTTCTTTCTGGTCTCGATTGGCGAAGGAGAAACTGGGGCTTTTGTTTTGGAGGGGGTCAATTCGGTGGACAGATATTCAGTAGAGTCCACGGAAGGTGGGATGGAGGAGGTGGCGGGTAGGGGTACAAAGGTGGTAGTAGGAGGTATAGAGGTGGATAAGAAAGATGAAGAGGAGGGGGAGGAGGAGGAAGAGGGGGAGGAAGAGGAGGAAGGTGAGGGGAGAGAGAAGGAGAATGAGGAAGAGGAAGGGGAAGAGGAAGAGAAGGAGAAAGAGGAGGAGAAAGAGGAGGAGAAAGAGGAGGAGGAGGAAGTAAAAGGAGATGTAGTAGTGGAAGATGGTAAACTAGACATAATTAAACCACTAGTAATAGATATTTGCGGCGAATATAACGTAGACGTTCCGTCGTTGTAGCCTATAATTGGCGTGGTAACAGGAGTAGTTGGGATGATCACAATATACCCGTACAAATCATCAACAACATTCCCACATTCCTCTTTGGCAGTCCCAGGACACATGTCGCTGCATTGTTCTAGGTCGGTAACGGATGTAGGGGCGATATCAGTACACCAACAGCTGTCCCCCTGAACTACAGCGTACAAGTACCCTGCACAATGGACGGAACAGAGACCATTGGACAGGAATTTATCCGTCATGAAGGTATCCGACAGACCCATGTTTGTCTCGGAGCATATTCCTGTGGAAAGGGATATAACAGGGGAAATGAGCAGTAGGCTGATAAACATGTGTAAACGAAGGGGTCTTATCATCGCGTGAGGACATATATCGGTTAGGAAACGTGAGAGGAGCGAACGGAAATGATCGTCGGGTTGGAATATGCAGTTTTAAAAAAGAATAATGAAATGTCCGATAACACAGCAAAACGAAAGAATATGGGAAGCTATTTCAGAAAAGCCTTTCCCCCGACGGCCCCTCGGTCTTGGTCCCGATCTGGCCTTCTCACAGTCCCAAACTCATCTCATTTTTTATCATGCATGAGGCACATTCCAAGCACTTGCAGCGTGCATATTATTTTTCACACCTCTAATGATACTATAAATAGCAGCATGGTAAAGGGTAGCCCTCAATCGACGAATCTAAAAACGGAGGCTTGGTGAATCCAGAACATATGACGGCGACAGCCAAAAGAAGTAAGCTAGACACAACTTTGCCTGGTCAAATTCAGAAGTATGATATCGAAAGTGCCTACTGTATTATAGGTATTGCCTGTCTGTTTGGCTGTAGAAGGTGAAAATCAGCTGGCAACAGAGCGACTATATACAGGCATGCCGCTCACCCACTGCTTGTGCATTTAAATAAACAATGAGATCCGGGGAACGAGGTCCAGACTATTTGTTTTAATTTCAAGAAATTGAAATTCTCTTTTATTGTGATCCTGGAATGGGGTCTAGAATGGGTCTATAATGGGTCTGGAATGTGTCCGGGATGGGGTCAGGTATGCTCTACAGCACATGGGTATAACACCGGCCGTGGATCAACGATTCCATTGCGATAAAACACGCTACATCCGTATCACTTTGTTAAGGTGATGAACTCTTTATAACGATTAAGGGCTTGCCGCATTCACCGGAAAACTGTTATTACGCTATTCCCGGAATAGTTCGCAATCCAACCCTGTAGAACTGGTATAATAGAAGAGTTGTTTTTTGTCACTGTTTCTATTTTTGTCACGGCACCCCACCCGGTATTCTTACCCAGGTGTATGTCGGGCTAAACCCCATTGTTTTTTTTTCGCTTAGGACTCTCAAGGGTAAGCTTTATGGCCTGGTAATTTCTGTTTTTCACGCTTCTCGCGGACGTGTCGCGTTGTTTCCATGTCCAGGTCGCAGATCCCCAGTGGCCCACCTGGCAGCAAACGCAGAGGCCGCATACATATGCGTTAATCACGTGCATACGACCGCCCCATATGTCATATGAGACGATTAGTGGATATTTCTGTATATGCAAGGGCAAGAATCTCCTAGGAGGATAATTAAGTTTCGCCTCAAAGACTTATCCTGTGACCCCTATTGAGGCCACCATACATCTAGATCACCCCTCTCCAAACAATCTACCTCTCCAAACAATCTATCGGATTCCCCGGAACAAATTACTTACATCACATCGCCAGGCACCTGCTGCACCAATCGCCCGAACCCTCTTCTGGAACCCTTACTACACGATACTTACCGCCAGTTTAGCACCTTCCGCGTTAGTCTGCGAGCCGTCGAAGCCGTTTTTGCTTCCCCTCCATTAATCCTACTTATAAATACCGGGACTGCCACCATGCTCTCAAAATTTCAGCAGCTCTCCGTTTTAGCTATTATCCTTACATTCATCATGACAATCCCTCACTTGTCCCAGTTAAGCACCGTTTCCGACATGGGCAATGTTCACCCGCCGAATTTGAGCAACTTATCGGTTGTGGGACTCCTCCGCCAGGGAGCTTCGTGGTTAGACGAGCCCGAACCCCTCAAAGTTCGGGTGTATACTCATAACATTCGCTATGACAACCGAAACCCGTCGCCGGGTGAACACTTATGGGAGGAGAGAAGAGAATACGTTTCGAGATCCATCTTCTTCAACACAAACAATATACCAAGCGTGGTTTGCCTACAGGAGGTTCTCCACCACCAGCTAACTGGCATCGTTGAAGATTTGAACCATGCTCAGAAGCAAGCTTCGCTCGGGCACGGCTGGACCTATGCCGGCGTCGGCAGGGCAGACGGAAAGACCAAGGGCGAATACTCACCGATTGTGTATAACACTCATACCTGGGATTTAGTCGAGTCACAAACCTTCTGGTTGAGCGAGACTCCTGACGTTCCGAGTAAGGGCTGGGATGCGGATCTTGAGCGGGTGGTGGTCTGGGTTCACTTGAAGAGCAAGAAGGACCCGAAGGTTCACATCAACGTTTTCAACACCCACTTGGACCACATTGGCGTGGTTGCCAGAAGGGAATCGGTGAAGTTGATCATTCAAAAGGCGGGTGGGTTGAACTCGTACCCGTCGATTTTCGCAGGCGACTTTAATGTGGAGAAAATCGAGGAGCCCTACGTGATTGCGGCTGAGAAGATGTACGATGCTGCCACCATGGTTCACGGAATTAATCGGTATGGTCATAACAACACGTTTACGGGCTTTGACCATGGCCAGACTGAGCCCGAGAAGGTTATTGACTACATTTGGATCGAAAAAGAAAAGAGCAAGGGGTTGAAGGTGCAGAGTTACGGGGTGTTGCACTCGATTTTCCACAGTTTCTATATGAGTGACCACCGTCCAGTGGCTGTGGATATTAGTATCAGTGAGACTTAATTGAATATACAACTACCTAAATAGAGATGTAATGTGGTCCGGGATTCTAAACTTTTGGGGATTCATAATCCGGAAGTTGGGCGTACCGATCCGCTCCATGGTTGCCGGTACCTGGATCTGGTCAAAGTCTTCGATCGTGTTACCGTTGAGGTACAACTCTCTTAGCCTAAGGGGTAGCTCAATTTTAGAAATCTTGGTAATGTGGTTTCTCTGTAAATCTAAAACTTGTAGCTGTTGGGGCAAGCGAATCGAATGGACGTGCGCTAAATGGCAGCTATCTAGCAAAAGCCCTTCTACCGAAGCGGGAATCGCAAAGTTGTGAAAGTCCACGCGGCTTAGGTTGTTGTGGGACAAATCCAACGTGATCAAGTTTTCAAGACCATGGAGGGCTTCAAACGACCTAGAGGCGTGCGCGTTGCCAGTAAACTCGTTCATCAAGCGATTGTTGCATAATGATATTCTTGTGGTGCTTTTGGGAAACTGAACGTTACCGATATCGCTGATCCGGTTGAACGCCAACAACAACTCTTCAAACCCCTGGGGAAACTTGACAGAGTCGATGTTGGTCAATTGATTATCACCCAAGTCCATACGCTTGAGCGCCAGAGGTAAGTATCCCACGCTGGTTAAGTTGTTCAGGGCCAAGACAAGCTCTTCGATCTGGTCCGACTGCTCCAAGTTTGGAAACGACGTCAACTGGTTGGCACTCAAGTTCAATGACCTCAAGGTCCGGGGGAAGGAAAATGTCTTTGGTATGTTGGAAATGTTGTTGTACGACAAGGTCAAGTCTTGCAATGTAGGCGGCAAGTTGGATAAACAGGTGATATCGTGGATATAGTTGCCTTCCAAGCCTAAGGCCTCCATCTCCTTTGGCCAGCCAACCTTTGCCTGGTCAAATACGTCCAACTGGTTTTGGGCCAACCCCAACCGCTTGATGCAGTCTGGAAACTTTTGGTAGATAATTTCTGGGAAGCCGGATCCCACGATATCCAAATCGGTAAGGCCCTCCTCAGGGAGCTCAATTACCGTCCCTGTTTCCACGGAGGGGTGGCTGATGAGCAACGAGTTGAGATTGCGTAGGTTCTTGAATCCCAGCTTGGGGTAATCCTGCAGCCCGTTGATCCGTAAATGAAGCTTGGACACCTTTGAGTTGAACACCTTGAGAAAGGTTTTGTTCAATGTCAAGTACTCGATAAAAGCGCTATCTTCGGCTTGAAGGGTCATGATCACACTGGAGATGTGCAAGTCGTCCCAGTTGGTCATCCGGGTCTGAAACATTTTGTTCAAGAGCATTTGGGTTTCATTTCCGAGCTGGTTGCCAGGAATTTTCTCGAGCTCCTTCAGTGGCACCAAAATCTCCATAAACTGCTGTTGGGACATGACAACCTTGTCCTGCATCACGAGGGTAGGCGGTGATTTGACTTTGGGGCAGCAATTCTTACAGCCGGAAGTGGTCTGGGTGGTTTGGATCACAATGGTCTTGAAGATTGAATACAAGGCGATCGGGTTGGTCACCGGGTGGGAAAGAAAAATTCTGGCGTACTCAAGCGGAAGGTGGCCTAGAATCCTATGGATGACTTCTGCAGGAAGGTCTAGCATGCGGGTCAACATTTTGGGCGCTGGGTAGAGGAAGTGATGATATGTTTTATTCATTTGGGAATATTCGGCCATTTTATAGCCTAGCTTTTATTTCCATAACCACACGGTTGTGGGGAAAAAAAATACAGATACCCTGCTTATCAACCTTGTAGGTTATAAGGCCGCATACACAACACTGTAGTCCGCATGCCAGACCTTCCTGCAGGAAAATTTATGCAATAAAAATAGCTGCCCGTCTTTTGTAGCTGTGTCCTCCGCCGATACTATAATAGTTTATCCCAAGAGCACATCCCAGACGGAGCCCTCGGGGATGCGCCTGGGCCATCAGGCGTGCATATTTTCGGCCACATCGGGAAATCCTGACTAATTCCGCTTCCGGCAGTCGAGTCAGACCCATCGGGTAGAATCTCTCCTGCACGTGGCTTCCCGCTATTGTATCGGTCTACGTGTTTTGAGTTTTGAGTTTTTTCGAACGGCTTGGAAACGGCTCTCTGTTCCTTCACCTTCTTAGCAAGCATCTATCCACCAATGTCTCAAGCCGAAATTTTAGCGTCTTATCCTCAGAAGACCGCTCCTACCTTGCAGACCGGCTACACCGGCAACATCACCCCTGAGCAGGAGGCTGCGGTGGTGGAGCTCAGAACGCAATTGACCGAAGCCGACTATACCGAACGGATGGACGATGCCACGTTGTTGAGATTCTTGAGAGCGCGCAAGTTCGACATTGTGCGCGCTAGAGAGATGTGGGAAGCGTGTGAGAAATGGAGAGCCGAGTTTGGCACCAACACCATTTTGGAAGACTTTCACTACGAAGAAAAGCCAATCATCGCCAAATTATACCCACAGTACTACCACAAGACCGACATTGAAGGCAGACCAGTCTATATCGAGGAGCTTGGGTCCGTCAACATCACTGAGATGTACAAGATCACCACCCAGGAGAGAATGTTGAAGAACTTGGTGTGGGAGTACGAATCTTTCGTCAAGTACCGGTTGCCGGCCTGCTCCAGAGAGGCCGGGTACTTGGTTGAAACCTCGTGCACCATCTTGGACTTGAAGGGGATCTCTATCTCTGCTGCGTCCCAGGTCTACGGCTACGTGAAAGAGGCCTCCGCTATCGGCCAGCTGTACTACCCAGAGAGAATGGGTAAGTTCTACCTCATCAACGCGCCGTTTGGTTTCTCTACCGCGTTCAAGTTGTTCAAGCCATTCTTGGACCCGGTCTCTGTCGCTAAAATCTTCATCTTGGGCTCTTCCTACAAGAAGGACTTATTGAAGCAGATCCCAGAAGCCAACTTGCCTGTTAAATTCGGTGGTACCTCTACCTCCGATGAGGCCGCCGGTGGTTTGTACTTGGCCGACTCCGGCCCATGGAGAGACCCTAAATTCATCGGTCCGGAGGGCGAGGCTCCACGCTCTTTCGACATCACTAAGTAATTGTTACATTTTAAATTCGATCCCGTCAGTGCTGTGTCTCCGTTGCTATACATTGTTCAGTCCATTCTTTCCTAATAAATATAAATGCGATAGAGGGTTAAATTGGCTGCGATTTGTATCGAAGCTGATCTGTGATGGAGGTTGTAAGTTTAAATTGAGTGAGATAAGGATAATCCAAGCCAGGCATTGAAAAGAAAGAGGTATTGGTCAATCCGTTGCTGTGGTCGTGTTGGCCTGGTTTAGAAACTGATGTCGATTAAAGTGCTCCTCTCCCGTTACGTAGCCGTGTGGGTGTAATAATCCCCGGAGTGGGTTGAGACATCGGAGCTCTAAGTCAGTACAGTATCCGGGCAGTAGAGACACTTGAGAGTAGCACTAATCATAGTAAACCATAAGCTGAAATGCAGTTATATCTGCGATTATCTTCAACGGATCGTCTCATCACGTTACCAAAAATGCCTCAGGTTTTATTAATGCACCATTGACATATCATACACTACAAGTACAGCTAGCACGGGAATAAAAATACAAATGCTCTAATATACACGGCTGAGTCAGATCTTACTTCTTGGCAAACGTTGCCTTGACCTTTCCCCCATCAATCTTGGTGGAACCAGCGTTGAGGTCCTTCTTGGCTTTGATGGAGTCCTCCAAGTCCTCGAAGACCACGAAGGCCAATTTCTTAATGGCAACCAATCTGACCTCCACAAACGAGCTGAACGCCTTCTCGAAGAGTGCAACCAACTTCTTGTCCTTGTTGGCGTTGGTGACGGAGGCGGGCAAGTCGTGGATAATGATGGTGGTGTGTGGCGGGTTGGCGTCGGAGTCCTCCGTGGCCTGCTTCTTGGAGAAAGACTCGATGGATGAGATTTGGCCCAGCTGCTTTTTGGCCTCGAGCTCCTTCTCGCGCTGCTTCTTCTCCTTCTTCTCTCTCTTTCTCTTCTCAACCATCTCCTCGTGGGTCAAGTCGCCAGTCTCTTCGGCCTTGTGCTTGTACCAGGCGTCAGACTTGGACCTGGCAAACTGAATCTCCATCTTCTTCTCAAACAACTCAAAGTCGTTCAACGCGGCCTTGGCCTTGGTGGCCGCCTCCACGGAGCTAAAGGTGACAAAGGCCTGGCCCTTCATCTTGAGATTATTATAGGCTTCAACCTGGATCACGGCACCGTACTCCCCGAACTTTTCAGTCAACGTGGTCTTCAATTTGTTGATGGAGATTCTCTCATTGAGGTTTCTGACGTACAATGTGTCGTTGGTCACGTCGGTCTTCGTCTTGGACTTGCCCTTGCCCTTTGGCTTGGCAACCTTGGCCTTTTCAGTGTTGACCTTCGGGGCAGCCTTTGGCTTTTCAGTCTTTTTGGTGTTGTTCTTGGTAGTAGCCATTGTGTCTGAGGAAAAGGTGGGATTTGATGGTGAAAAATACGCAAAATTTATTTTTCACCTCATCGCTGCGAGTCACGTGGCGCAACCATCTGTGAGCACAGGACAAAACTTTCTATAGTATTAAAAAGAGCACACTAGGGAATATTGATTTACCAAGTACAAAACAAAGAGCTCGGGAAATAAATAGAAACAATTGGATTTGGAACAAAAGAAAAACAAGCACTCCTATGTGGGGAAATTAGGAGAGGTCTCTGCAAAACGCGACTTTGACACGGAAAAAAGGTTCGCGAAGCTCTCGGAATGGAACACTCTATAGCTCTTTCCGATGGTTGTTGATATCTGTGTTGGAGCTTTATGGGGTTTTCATCAATATAAAAACATGAGCTTGCCACAGGAAGGCCGAGGTTCCGGAACCTATTCACGCTCTATAACTCTCAACGAGATACTTCCGGAAGTTGGGGCGTCCTTAATACGGCACAAAACTATTCTCCTCCTGGATACACTAATAAATAAAACGTACGTTGGCGGTATATACAGTAGCTATGTTACAGAGAGAATGGGCGTTTATCTCCCAAAGATGACGGTTCTGGCAGCACTCATCTTGGTCTCCTTGTTTTCACCGTTCAACTCACTCAACAATCTGGTGTAGTAGTCCGGATTTCCCTTCGGGTTCAACAACTTGTCGTTAGGAATATGATAGTACTTCTGGTATTTGTTGTCCATGATCTTTTTCAACGACGAGAACTGGCTCTGGATTGCATCGGCAGTCAACGCAACAAACGGAGTCTTGACCTCTGTCTCCGGCTTGAAGGTCACCTCCTTCATAACGTCCGTTAACGTTCTCTTCTCGGTAGGAGCTGCCTCCTCCGCGGTCAAGGCGATGCCCGCCTCCTTCTTGAATCGGATGGTTTGCACTCTCTTGAACGAGGAGTAGTGCTTTAAGCGCTCCGCTGGTAAACGGTCCAAGAGCTGGATAATCTGCTTGCTGATTTCCTTGGTAGACATTGTGCGGGGTGGAGAGAGAAGAGTAAGAGTTGTTAAGCGCATAAATTTTTCAGTCCTCTCACCAATTTAGACAACCGCAAGCGCGAACGCCGCACCGGAATGCACGGCCCTGGATAAATGGTGAGTGGAAAATAAATATGCGTAGATGTATAGAATAACGGGTATTTTGGGAGCTTAATTGAGGGATGAATGGTAAATATCACATGATGGCACTTTTTGGTCTTGCCGAACCCCTAGGTGGTTAGGCCAGGACGAACCATTTGTTGGACGGGGAGTACGGTTTATTACCAACTCCAAACTGCGGTATATAGCTTTCGGACGTGTTACATTGGCTGTAGTTTGTGTGTTATATTAGCAGTATCTTATGTGCTATATTGGCTGTAGTTTATGTGTTATATTGACAGTATCCTATGTGCTATACTGGCCCTAGTTTTTGTATTATATTGGCTGTGGTAACCATGCGAGAGCCAATATCTACAACTTTGGCCAACCAAGCGACTGAGCCATGCTGTTACAATGATAGATCTTTGTCAACTCTCAGCCCTCATAGTTACCCCTAACAATGAAGATACCTCTGGCCACGGATGGACTTTATCAATTACCCCCCACTCAATCCAGTACATTTCAATCCAGTACATTTCAATCCAGTACATTTATTATGCATACAGCTTATTCCTCCTCAACTTTGGTCTCGAACGCCTTCAAGTTCTTGGTACCCTCTTCCCAGGTGGCACCGTTATAGGTAACCTCCTTGATGGCGGCAACAATGTCCTCAACGGAACCTCTGACCTGCTTGGTGGAGTCTCTCTCTCTCAAGGTGACGGAAAAGTCGCCGACAGACTCGAAATCGATGGTGATACCGAATGGGGTACCCAACTCATCATTTCTGGAGTATCTCTTACCGATAGAGGCCGAAGAGTCGTCAATCTTGAACGGAATGACGGCCTTCTTCAAGATGGCAGACACCTTCTTGGTGACGGCCTGCAACTCTGGAGAGTTGGACAACGGAACCAACAAGACCTTGGTTGGGGCAACCAACGGTGGCAAGGACAACACGGCTCTGTCCTTGTCCTCCGGTCTTCTCCAGAAGGAGTGCTCAAAGATGGAGTACATGATTCTGCCGAGCCCGAAGGATGGCTCGATGACGTTTGGAGTGAACTCTCTGATATGCTCGGTTCTAGTCTTCTGCTCGATGACAACAAAAGAGGTGTCCAACTCGACATCCTCCTCGATGCCTTCGACCTTGAAGACGATCTTGCCGTTGGCAGCCATTTCCTTGGCCAACTCCTCCAACTCGCACTCGGTTCTAGAAACCAACCACTGTTCGACCAATGGAGCGCTCTTTCTGAACTTTGGCCCAAACTTCTTCTTCTCAATCTCAGCCTCGAACCTGGTCACGGTCAACGGGGTCTCCAACGGCTGTCTGACAACCAACTTCTCCTTGGTTCTGGCGGCGTGGACCGACAAATCGTAAGCAGATCTATCGGCACACCCGACGCACTCGATCCAGCCGTAAGAGGTCTGCAACTCGGCGTCCCAACAGTCGGTGGCGTAGTGGGCCATTTCGTTGTCCATGTGTTGTCTGAATCTCATTCTGGCCGGGTCGACACCGATTTTGATCAAGAACAAGGAGATTCTGGCGAGGAAGTACCCCAAGGTTTCGTTGTCAACCATGCCGGAGGCGACAGCCTTACCGACGGTGGTCTCGATGATATCAGTCTTACCAGCGGACTGCACGTCCTTGGCCAAGAAGCGGAGAGTAACGTCCTTGACCTCGTGGAACGAGGCGTGGGACTTGTCCTGTGGGTCGACAAAGTGCTCGATTTCGGCCATCAAAAACTCACGGACACGCAACAACCCGGATCTTGGAGAGATTTCGTTTCTGAACGACTTCCCGATGGAGGCGGACGCGAACGGCATTCTCTCATTGTTAAAGTCCAACAACTTGGAGAAGTTCAAGAACTGGCCCTGGGCGGTTTCTGGTCTCAAGTAGCCCTTCAACGCGCCGGATGGCCCGATAGCGGTCTCGAACATCAAGTTGAACTCCTTTGGCTGCTCGAGCGGCTCGCCGGTGGCGGGGTTGCCGATGGCATATTTGAGCATGAGATCACCCAACTCCTTACCGGAGAAGCCATCCATCTTGGCCAAGATGGTTTCGTACTCCTCCACGACAGAGTCTTCCAACTTGACGGCTTTGATTTCCTTAACCTTCTTCTTTCTCTTTTTCTTTTCGGCGTCTTCCTCGGCGGCCTCCTCGATGATACCTCTGGCTTCCTTGTTGCCCTTCAATCTGGCCTCAATAACCTCTTCGACCAAGTGGTCGGCTCTGAAAATCTCACCGGTCTTCAAGTCGCGGCACATCCAGTCGGCAAACTTGTCGACGTGACCGGAGGTCTTCAAAACCTCGTATGGCGTCAACATGGTACAGTCGACCTCCAACATGTCTTCCTCGAGGATAAAGTGTTTTCTCCAGGTGTCAACGATGTTGGCCTGGAGGGCACAGCCCGGTGGGCCGTAGTCGTACAAGCCGGAAACACCGCCGTAAATTTCAAAGGCCGGCGCAAAGAAGAAGCGTCTCTTCAAGACAGAGTCCAAGGCCTCTCTTTCAAAGGGGATGGCAGATTGTTGTGACATTTGCGATATGGTGCGGAGGAATTGGCCGGATACTAAGCGGGCCAAAGACGGTGTTTTAATAATGGTGGCAGTGGATTGCAGGGATCCGTGGTGGACAGCAAAACGATCGGTTTGCTGGCGGCTAAGGTAGAAAAATTCGATTTGGGTCCTGCAATTAGCGGGGAGCATATATGAGGAGGCGGCGTCGCAGTTGTGCAGCAGTCATCGTTACAAGATGGTGGCCGATTGGAATGACTCACAAAGGCTTCGCCGGTACAAGTCCGAAGAGAAATATAGTTTACACTGGCGTAGGATGTCATTGACAGCCTTTTTATTGTGGATTAGGCCATATAAACAAATATCAGTGTTGATTTTAGGTTACGGTGGGCGGCAGTGGCAGACCAATATTAGTTAATAGGCATCCGAGAGGTCTGGCTTAAGAGACCTTGGAATTTTTTGTAACACCGAATTTAGGGGATACGCGATATGTGTGTGTTAATTATTGTTGCATAGACGATAGAGCTTACGGGATGTTAATATTTTTTTTTCTGTAAGTCTCAGGTCTAGTAAGGCAAGCCAAAGGGATATCTGAGCTACGGAAAAGTCTCCATTGCTTGGCGCTGGTAAATGTCCGCAAGAGAAAACGAAATACCGCTTACACTTGGTTGTGAAACCAGTAGGGTATATTATTAATCCTGCGACAGAGGGATGATTCTGAACGTAAAACAAGTTTCGACGGCCAATGGGCAGCTAATCAGCCTGTCTGATATCCCAGATGTCCTGGATGGATCTGCTTCGCAACTCGCTCTCCATAAAAAGTGACTTGAGCAAGCCGTTCAACTCGCTTGTTTCAAACTCGAAAAAATCGGAGTTGTAGAACCGCTCCATGATGTCCTTCAAATGGCTCAGCAAAATGTACTTCAACATACGGAGCTTGTTCAAGTGCTGGATCTGGGACTCGGGCACAGGGAGGTTTTCTAGACACTCGTCAATCAACCGAGACAACTCCTCCGATTCCTCTTCCGAGATGTCAACCATGCTGGTGATTTTTTGAATCAAAAGGGCGTGAAGGTTGTTGATAAACGTCGCCTCCAACTTGTCGGCTACCAACGGGTTGAGATACGCAATCGCTTCGTACCTCGAACTGAGTTCGCTCCGCAAAAAGTGGGACAATGTCTCACGCTTGGTAGCGTTGTGTGGATTGCTGAGCAAATGCTCAAAGTCTATCGCCAGCACCTGCTGGATGGTAGGCGCAAACATTCGGTCGTATTGAGCGTTTAGGATCTGGGTCAACTGGTCGCCCAACACCTGGGTGTCCATCATCACCCCGGAAGTGACTAACAAATGGCGCAAATGCTTTAAATCATTGTATAAGACGATCTTATTCGGGTATTTGAGCCCACTGAGCATCAAGATCAGTTTTAAGAGATAGGCCGAGTTGGCGGTGATGGTTTCAAGCGGAAACAACTCAAGTGACTCCTGTGCGAATTGAGTGGTGAGCGCAAACAAATTCTCTGGGATGTACGTGGTTTTGTAGCAACCATCCGCAGCTCTAGGCTTGGTTTTTGGGGCCTCGTCCAGGTCAAGCTCTTCGTTCCAGTCCCATCCATCCTCTGCCGGTTCTGACGTTACCGGTTCCGACGTTACCGGTTCCGACGCTGCCGGTTCATCGTCGTCAAAGGCAATCTCCTCGTCCCAGGCTCCGTTGTCCCACTCGTCCACGGGCGCTGGATTCGTAGGCTCTCTCATGGGTGGTTTCCTTGGTTCTTCTTCCGTTCCATCGACCGTAACTAGCTCTTCTTCATTAAACTCTTTGGCGGAAACGCCGCTAAAGTAGCCCTCCAAGCTCGCCAACGCGCTTGCGAGCTTCACGTCGGCATAGATCTCGTGGTAGACTGCGTCATCGGTCGCAGTGACGATCTTGAGGTCGGGAGCTTCGGTCAGATACTTGGTGGTCTTCACAAGGTGGTCAATCTGCCGCGACCACATCAAGCGGATGGAGTTTACCAACTTATCCAATGCAGCGGCAGACGAATTCAGCACGATCTGGGAGATGTGTTTGGCAACACTGGCATTCAACGAATGGATCAACGGCTCGAGCACAGCGTCAGACACTCGGGGAATATTTCCCACAAACTTTATCAACGCACCAATGGAGCTGACATACTGGTTGAAATCCTCCTCTGGGCTCACGGCGGCTGAGAGCTGCTCAAGAATCATCTCATCGTCGTTAGAATCACTGTACCTCAAAGCAAGCTGCTTGGTTGAAGACTCAGTTACGAGCAAGATCTGGGTCTTGAAATAGTCAGCCACCGCGGTAAACTTTCCATCGATGGTGGCATCGCCGTCGAGAAGGACCTTGTGTTCTTCCAAGATTTCAAGGTACTCAATGTACGAGAGCTGAGTCTCTAATTCGTGGTTTGTGATGGTTTCAGAAAAGAAATGGCAGTCCAGGGTGTTTCCCAAGATAATGAACTGGTCAAACAAGGCTGCGAGTTTGGCCACCGCCTGCTTCTTGAAGCCGGAGATGGCGGCAGAAAGGTCAGACGCAATGAGCAAGTTTTCCGTTTGGTGAGACGTTTCCCTCTGCAATTCTTCGTTCTTGGAAATAAGCTTGCTCAAATAGTGGAGCGAAGATAGCAATTCGTTCTGGTCCAAAAAGCCTTGCACCTCGGTTGATAACCCTTTGATCAACCATAGCCGGTTCAAGCTCTGCAGAATTGCCTCGAGCTCCTCATCCTGAAGCGCTAGTTGGTTATAGTTGACTCCGTGGTCCTCCAAAGAGACGTTCAACTTGCATGCTGGCGACTGCAACTGCGATCTGAGAGACTCTTCGCTGAGAAGCGCTGGATCACTGAGCGATGCCGCTAAGCCTTCGACGGTGTGGTCTAACTGGGAAATGACACCATCTAGAAAGCTAGGGTTGTCTGAGTTGGCTAGAATCAGTTGCACATCAATCATAATCAACGGTCTTAAAAGGGGGTGGTGAATGGGGTTGCAAAGCGTGGCAGGCTAACAGACACTTGTAGTTGCTAACAAAATGTACCGTGTCAAAAGAACAAGACGTGCACTAACCGTGATATAGTACAGGACATTATGACTTACTGATAATTACAAAAGGACAATATTACAACATAGAGGTACTAGTGAAGGATTAAACTTAGATATAAAACTTATAAGGTAAAAAAATCTTGCAATGTTAGTTATTGATCAATGCCTGCATTGAACATCTCCGTCAAAATATCAAGCACGTATGTGAATCAGAACAGATCTTGGTTGGAAAATAAAGGTTTATCAGTCATAGTGAACACTCTGAGTGAGCTGAGAATTTTATCATCATAACATACGTGTGGGCAGATTGAGGGGAAGAAATGACGAAGTTAAACATACTCTTTAAGTCGAATAAGCGGCAGAGGATGAGTGAAGAAAACTGTCTATGTTAGAATTTGAAGACTTGGGATATCAGTGATATTCAATGCAAGTCTCGACACGTTCGTATCTGTGTGAATCAGAACAGATCTTGGTTGGAAAATAAAGGTTTATCAGTCATAGTGAATACTCTGAGTGAGCTGAGAATTTTATCATCATAACAACAGATACGTGTGAGAAGGCCTGAGGAGATTAAAACATCGATTGAAACATACCCTTCAAGCTCCGATAGCCATATCTAGATGTAAGCCGTAATCACAGTTGAATGCGTGTACCACGGAGGGTGATGTAACAGCAGTAAAAGTGCGGGCGCGCTTCTTTTTATAGCTCGTCGGGTGAAAAATATGCACTCGGAGGGTAACCCGAGTCTCTTCAAGCCCTAAGGTAAAGCTGAAAAAGTCGCACATGCAGAATATCCACCGCCGAGCCAAGTCTAGTTCTTTTTAATACACATATTAGGATTTAAAAAACAATGCTTAAGCAGTGGGGTAATATCGTACATAAATCTCAAGATTCCCCCCTTTTTTTGTCTATTTATTGAAAACCGCAGCCCTCTGCATCGTCTTTGCGAGATACTGGTCGAACGAAAGGGCGGCATCGGAGGTAAAAATTTCCGCGTCCTCTATCTGACTGCGACTATTTAGTTGCCTCTCGTACTTCTGTTTATTGAAGAATGGGACGAATGACCGGGCTGTAGAGCTCGTAGGCTTTGTTTTGCTCACAGGCTTTGTTTTGCTCGCAGGCTTTGTGTTACTGTGGTCTTGTACTTCAGGCGTTAGTTCCTCCTTGACAAATTTACAATCTCGGAGCAAGGAGGATATCTTCTTGTACGATGTGTTGAACCACAAACTCTGGGACCCACGGTTCCCTTCCAGGTAATCGTACCGCACGGCTTTCGCGGCCGATTGAACGTCACTAAACACCAAGCGCGCCGTACCGCGCTTTGAAGACCCGGACAGAAGGGCACAACTGTCAACGGCACCAAACTTGGAAAACATGTCTTTAATGATATCAGGGGTGATTAACGATTTCAACTCTTCGCGGTGCAGCCACTTGATCTTAACCGTCCGGGCTTCTCGATCAGCTTCAGATTTGGCCGATACAGCGATCGGTGGGAGTGGCATATCATCCAGTAAAACTGCTCCACTGAGGGTTCTTTTTGCCAGCATAATCTCCTTTTCCATCGCTCTTCTCTTCCGCAACCCCTCCTCCCTGAGCTGGTTCAAGCGATTTTCAAACACTTGTTTCAGGTGCCACTCGCTCTGGTACGAGTTGTAGTCTGCCTCTTCGCGTTGTAATGCCTCTTTAAAGCCCTGTTGCTTCTCATTGTACTTAGCCCGGTCGTTGGCACTCAACTGGAACGAGCGGAACTTTCGGTTGTAGAACGAATCGTACCGGGCCTTGAGTTCCGTGTCGGTCAAAATCTTCAAGGCAAGACTGGCAAAGTGAAACTGCACAGCATTCTCTTCCAATTCTCGCGTGCTGCTCGTTTGGGCCTGTTTGTCGGGATGATGCAATAACGCCTTTTGGCGGTACTGTCGCTTAACAAGCGCCGACGGTATATCTAACTTGGTATTGGTGGCTTCCTCATAGGGGGTGATGTCAAGGAGTTGGTATAAGTTGACATTCTTCTCAATAATTTCTTCTAGATCCCTGTCCATTTGTGATTAGTGAAGGGGGCGTCGAGATACGTTTGGTGGATATTACCTGCCTCAATTTTTTTTGTCTGTATCATGCAAGCATGCGGCTGATGATGCTGCATAATAGGTACAACGGCGTATCCTGTTACCTCTGACATATCTGTCACTAGAGCTCCGATATTTATCTATAACTTTCCGCTCCAGGATTCTTCACTTTAATCTGCGTCAAAAAAGAGTCTATTTTAGCCATATAAAAGACTATACCCCTCCTCCAGGTGACTCCAGTCGGGGTGGTGTGACAGCTCCATTACTAGACGCAGACGTCGTTCCTTGCAATAGCTCTATTGAATTCTCTTTATCCTTTACCACATGTTATCTGCGCTTTCGCTGGTCTTGATTTGACCACTAATCTCACCCACCAAGGCGTCAATCTCCTTAACCAAATCGCCTTGATGCTTTAGTAACCCGTTCAAGACACGGCACTTGTTTCTGATCTTCACGATATTCGTCTCAAAGATTGCCACGGAAACATCGCTATTGTCGGGCCTGACTTCGCCCACGAGTTTGGTCAACTGCAGTAACGTGAGGCTCAACGCCTTGTTGGAAGAGCATAGCGACGCGTGGGTCTGGGGAATCGTCTTGAGCAAGCCCTTGACGTAGCCGATGATTATAAATCTTTGGTAAGCGGTCTGGTAGCCGAATTCTTTGCCTTCTATGTACTGTTTCTTGGTAGATTCACTTTGGCCCTCATCAAACCCTTGCTGGTAGAAACTGGTATCGGATTAGTAATCGGCACGAAACTTGCTGTTATCGCCAAGGTACATACCCTTCCTCGAGGTTGAGAATCTGATCAAAGTCAAACTCCGCGCTCATATGTTTTCTGTTACGCGTAGAGCTAGTAAAAGGCTGGTCGTACATCATAACCTTTTCACCGTGCTCATCGGTGGTTGTGGTAGAAAATATTAGTCTATGTACAGGATTTTTTGATCATGCAATTACGAGCTACAAACCTACGAATAATTACACTCACAATGGGATCATTCATGGTCTGATGATATGTACCGCCTTTCATTCCCCATGGTTATCACCCCGTCAACTCTATCTGAGTTTCCAAGCCTCAGACATTCTCTCAAGCTTTTGTTGAAGGATTCTAACGCAGCCTGTATTGCGCGCTCATCTTTGGTCCAGCGACGTCAGGCCAAGTACCGAGAAGCATTGGAAGGATGGATAAAAAGCTATCCGGTCTATCGGCTACTTTTGGGCCTGGAAGAATAGCATTCGATCTTGACCAAACGTCCCGGAAAAATACACTGCAGATCTCCTGCAAGAACTGTGTTGTGCGGCACGTTTTTCTTTTATTTAGAACGCCGGAAGCGGATTGGATGGCCGTGGCCGCGATTAATGAGCACATATAAATGACGTAATGTATGATGAGCATTCGGTGGACAACCAAATACGCACGTTTTGTAAAATGGGTGTGGTTTATCTCCATTTCAGTGTGCACGATGAAGGAGAGGTACTTTGCCGTCGCTGCCGGCAATCCAAACCTGTTGGGTAAACTTGCGAATTTTAGCTGAGGCTACGGTTAGGTAACCAGTGTGATTACCATACAAGGCATAAAATTCTCATTAAAGTCTAGGGCGATACTTTTACCGAGGAAGACCAACACTTGGAACGATAACCCCGCGCGCCATTCTGGGCGGGCGGGGCGAACTAAAAGCAGAAGTCGCTCCAATGATGCGCGGCCATTTGCGCGATAATCAATTTTGTTGGCTGCATGGCCGGCATGGACTGGTGTTGTGGTCATGCTCTTTGTCAAAAACTGAGTTTTTCCGCAACATGAATGCAGGATTACAGGTGTCGGAATGACTCGAAGGAGGAGAACAAAGTTTCGGAGTAGCGCCGGCCTCCCTATCCCCTCATACTAGCACTGCCGCACGCATGTATATAAGGGCCCGGGTTTCTTCCCTTCGAGCGAAATGTTTTTCCGTCCCTTTTTGGCCGCTGTCTCCCTCTCTGCACTCGCTCCTCCTATTTTTACCAAATTAATTATATATTCACCATGGCTCACCAAGCATACGGCGCGTTCAACTTTCCTGCACAATTAAAGGCCTTGCCATCTAGGTTGCAAATTGCTCCCTCTCCCTTCTCACGGCAGATCAAAATTGAGAACGACTCATGGATGAACGAGCTCATCAAGCCGAAGGCTGCCGCTCCTACCGACGTACATGAGAGCGACTCCTGTTTCCCCGAGAGCACCCTCCCCTACACAAGCTCGTCCCTCAGTTTGTGCGAGTCTATTTTTGACTCTGATTCATTGTTTGACAACCGTGCCGCCCGTACCTCCGTCCATTCCTCGTCGCTCAGCTCGCCTCTTCTTACTGAAAACCAGTTGAAGGAAACCCTTCTGTCGGTGGAAAGCTTGCCGGATCTCTTTTACTACGAATCCAACTGGAACATGGTTGCTCCTAAGCCGGAGTCCGTTCTGACTCGCGTAAAACAAGAACCGATCCAGAACGCGGAAACGGAGATTGTTGCCTCGCCTGCATACACCCCCGCCGAATTGGAAACTCCACCCTCGGTTTACTCAGAGACCTCAGCTTCAGCCGAGCAAACGGCTCTGCCCTCTACTGCCAAGTCAAAGCCAAAGAGAAAGAGAAACCCCCGTAAGCGGTTAACCGATGACCAGAAGCAAGCACACAACAAGATTGAAAAAAAATACCGCATAAACATCAATACGAAAATCGCCGGCTTACAACTGATCATTCCGTGGCTTAGCAAGGAGAAGATGGCTTTTAACACCGGTAGGATGCAAGGCGAAAATGGCGATGAGATTGCCGACAGTCAGCGTTTGAACAAGTCTATGATCTTGGAAAAGGCCACTGACTATATTTTGCACATTCAAAAGGAGCTCGAAAGGGTTTCCCGCGAGAATGAAGAATTGCGCGGCCAGATCAGTAGTTGAACGGCTTTTGTCAACTCTAGTTTTTTTTTTTTTTCTTTGATTGGGTTTTGGTTGTGAATAGCGCCGGCTGGCTATGGGGTTTCATTAAAAGTTTTACGTTCCTATATGTTGATAGAATTTGGTTTCACAAACGTAAGGTTGTAGCGATCGCCAACGGTAAATTTTTCTATGCATATATATTTATATGTATATACGTATTTATTCACAATACTCGCAGCTTTCAACGCTCAGAGGTTAGTTAATCTAATGCTTAAAATATCAGTAAGTTAGAATCTTTTTCATATTAACCTTTCCGGTTTTATATATTTTTTATCACTAATCTTTCCAGTTTTATAACTTAGTTTTAATATTTCTGATGAAAAGTTTAAAATAACAATCACATTAGAGACCAACCTCGTTTTGTCAAATATAAACGGCTTCCAAAGTCTCCACCATCAGCTTCGAGTATTTTCGAAAGGTTATCTCAATTGCCACTAGTTGGTCCCTGGATATGATACTCAGTAATCAACATCGGTGCAGGATCGTCTGCCTGGATCAGGATCCTGCACAGCTACGTGACCAGGGAATCATCTCTGTCGCACAAGGAGCCGGTCTCTAGGGAGTCCTTTTGACAGAGCTTGTTATTAGAAATGGGACCCAACTGATGGGGAATAGAATGGCGTTCCAGAAGATCTGCAAAGTTATCGCTCACCACTTTGGACGTCTGGAAATTTTATCTTATCTGCCATGCCAGTCTTATACTCCATGAAATAGTGGCCCCGCCAGTGCTCCCTTCAACGCCAAGCTTCACTTCGTAATTGTGGTCCGAGATCAGGAGATTTCAGTCGCATGTACGCTTTGTGCAGGTGCATTCGGTCGAGTAGGCACCTGCCACCGTGCCAAGCATCTCGCGAACTACCCGATCTGAAAGCTTGCCATACACGCGAGGAGGTTTAGCCAGGATAATCTTCCCTCGCGGTATCTTATATTAGCCAATAGCCAATACCCAATTTGGCTCCTTATACCTAAACTGGTACTCCTAATTGCTTTATACCCCTACCACTTGTGATCTGCCCTCATGTGCTGACTAAGATCGCAGAATGGACATGTACAGCTCTTCTATATTATCATGCACACCCACATCCGATCGCATTTGGAGGAGCTGTCAGAAGCTTCCCGAGACGATTATTCGCCCCCAAGATGTGGCCAGGTTATTTTTTTTTTTTTTTTTTTTTTTACCAGTGGAAACTAGGGGGTTAACAAAGTGAAGTGTAGCAACGTCAACCCAACGCGTAAACTCGACCGGGTCGAGCTTAAACCTGATATCTCCCACGAGAAACCTTATTTATGAGAAACATATCAACATGTTCTGTTTAGCCCTGGTTGATAACGAAAAAGTTTCAAGTCCTGTCCATACTTGCAGGTCACAAGGCTAAGATCGGTGTTCATAGCCTTTCTCAAGTGTAGCCACTCCTTTGATATATACGTCATGTCCACAAGGCACACCCGCAGCGCATCTGCCACCCAGGTAAACAACAGAGCGTTGGAGGCTAAACGAAGGCCAAGTCATGCACACTATAAACCCCATAACCACGTAGCTGATTGGATGAGCACATGGACCGTAGCCACTTAGGCCCCCATACCAAGGAGACGCACCTGTGCCGCACGATGCTCATCGCGATGACAGGCGGGTAACCCCGTTTTTAAACTTTTTTTCCTCTTTTTTTCACCCTCTTGACGCACAAATGCTGCGCTTGACCCTGGTCAGAAGTAAACGTTTCTTTTTTTTATCTCAAAATTTTTCAATATTATGTGGGTTTGAGCCGGATTGGGCCCCGTACATAGCACCTCTCCCAGCTGTGACATCGTCAACCCACCCAGATCGGTTTTCGTTTGCCCCTTTCAATTCCACCCCGTGTTCGAACCATTCTTTTGTGGTCCCATCGCTTGTATAAGCTAGCAATCCTGTCCTCTGATCTATTCCTCTCACAAAACAGCACCACTATTGCCTATCATGAACGCAGCCCACACCAGAAAGTCCTCTCGCCTTCGCACATTATCCTCTAGAGCCAAGGAGTCTGACTTGAAGGCAGCCCTCGCAGGCGCCATCGTACAGCCTGTTGCGACCGTGCCTACCATTAAGGAGCAACCACAGCGGAAAAAGAGAAGATTGGCAGCTCCAAAGCCACTATCCTCCGCGGTTCCCTCCTCCCCTGTGGCTTCACAGGCGTCCGACTCCAGTGCCCATTCCTCCGAAGCCGAAGGCGACCATCTTTTGTCGGATGCGTATGGCGAAGAGAATGACGACACGGACTTGTCTGACTACGAAGACATCCTCCCAGCGTTTAAGGCCGTACGCGCTGATAACTACGACCCGGTTGAAAGATTGTTGAACATGGCCTATCACCAGGAGGATATTCTTTCCTTCAGCGAGGAAGATCCGGTGTTGTCCTTCGCCGACGACATGACGAATGGCGCTGAGGCTGTCTGCGCCACCCAGTTCAGATCCTTCGCCGAGCCTGCTGCCAACGAGAGCCTGTCGATCGAGGAGCATTTCTTGAACTCGACGTTTTCAATCTTGGACCACAGCAACAACAATACCAGCACCTTTTTGCCTCCGTCACAGTCCTTCTCGCACACTCAGTTCGACATGCTCGCCCAACCATTGGTGGCCTCATCCTTTGATGATGCTTCCACTTCGTTTGAGGAGTACGTCTCCTACGAATACATGACCTCTGACTCTGAAGTCGAGGAAACCACTTCGCCAGTCGCCACCAAGTCATTGTCTTTCCTCGACGCTAAGCGCAGACCGTTGGAGTACCGCCACCACGAGAAGCTCAACCTTGCCCTTCCGGAGACCGTTGACGGTCCTGGGAGACCCCACTACAAGCTCATGACCACGCCACTCACTTCGCAAGCCCAGCACAGGCAAAACATCAAGAACTTGTACAAGGTGATGAACAAGAGAAGTGTTATCAGCGGCAAGGCCTACAGCGAAATGGTTGGCACCGGCGTCGGCATGAGCGAGCTTTTCTTGTAACGATCCCATTCCTTTCCATCTTGTTATCCCTCTATTCTACCAACTTGAACATATCCCCTTCCTTCGCACGTTTTTATTTGCTTCAACTTCTACTTGGGCATTTTGCATGGTTTACTTCACCCCACTTTTTCTCACCGGATGCTTTCTAGTTCTTGCCTCTTTCTATTAATTCGTTACCAATTTCAAGTTGGTGTGGATGGATAATGACTGGAATTCCCTACAATATTATCAGACCCAGACGGGTTTCACGCTCTGTTGTCTTCATGACTTATGAACCCACTGCCCGAATTATTTATGTACATGTTTACGGCGGTTTTTTTTTTGCACTTTTTCTAGGTTAGGTATTTCTTTTGGGTATTAAGCATTTTTGCTAAGAAATTTTATTACTATTTCCCATCTCGTACTCTGCCTAGATTTCTTATATATATATTATTAAATTCATATTGCTATAATTGATTGTAGTCAGTGCTTAGAGTCTTTGGCGAGAAGTGGGTATATATTTACTAAAGCCCATGATGCTTGACGGGGTCAATGCCGGTGAAAGGCCGAGATTTCCAAGAGAGTAGGTAAAAGACGGAGTCGGAGTTTCTATCTATACCGAAGTACTGCCTTATGTTTTAGGCAAAGCGACGATCTGATGGGATTCAAAGGCGACAACAGTCGAACCGTCATCACTGAGTTCGACAAGTTTCAAAATTGATACAATGCCCCCCTAAAAAAGATACTATCTTCCGAGGAAGCAAAGGTCGTAGATTCTAGTCTATGGAAAGCACCTGCCAAAACAAACTGGAATCCTTAAGGGTGGTTTCAAGACACTTGAGTAGCAGCGGTCAAAACATGGTCTATTGGCTCCCAGTTTATAAACATTGTAGTATTTCAGTATTGCAGTATATAATTTTCTCTTAAATCCCCTGTATACACCCCAATATTCTCCCACGGCTAAACAGAGTCTGGCTATGTTAAACTCTCACCACTGTCAGCCTTACTAGGCCATCGTTTAATGTCCGACACACCCACCTATCAGACTTGTGCTGCGCCCCTGACGCCACGTTGCGGTAACGCGCCCCTGAGGCTTCTGCTTCTGGTACGTCACGAGACTCGGCGCGGATCAGCCACGTTTCACATGTGATAAGAACATTCTAAAAACACCTTTTATCCCCAATTGCACTGTTCCCGTAGGCTCTAACATCTCCTGAACATGTCTTTTTTCCTTGTCGTGTTTGTCTACGTGCTTGGCGGAATCACGTTTCTCCCGCTAGTGCTTGTCGGCGCGTTTTTCTTCTTGCGTTGGTACCTCCCAGAGTACCAAGAGGACTGCCACCAGCCGTTGCTAAGCCATGCCATTGACGAGTCTAGCGATGAATATGATTTGGACTTGAAAGCCGGGGAGTTTGAGGAGTCCAACGAATCAGGTACCAACGCTCACATGTCTGGCTGGATAACCGTCACCACCGAGTACTTTCCCTCGGTCATGGATGTCACAAACCCCCCAGAGGAAAAGTCTGCTTACAATACGATACACAAGCTTGTAAAGCCCGCAACAGTCCCAGAAACCGCCCGGCCACATCAAAAAGCAGCCAACCCTCCCCCGTTACAGAAAGCTGCCACGTCAGCCACCCTCACGGACAAGAAAAAGGCAAAAAAGCACACATACTTTGCGGTGCTCAGACACGGAAATCTCTTTCTTTACAAGGATGAAGAACGAAAGGGCGTACAGCACGTGATTGTGTTGGCGGGACGCGTCGTTGCGATCTGGCCGCGTGCGCTTCTCGACGCGGAGTTGTTTACAAAGCGGTCCGCGATCTGCATAATGAAACACACGGAGGCGGTAGGGAACGGGGTAGATCTTGCGCTGCAGTCAACGTGGGAGGCGTTGGCCACGAAGGATAACCTGAATCCGCCGCCACCAGAGTCGCACTTTATTTACTGTGAGAATAACTGCAAGAAGGAGGATTGGTACTTTGCCTTGATCAGAGCCACCAAAAATGCCAGAAGTGAAGCTGAAGGTACCTTCAACTCCAAAGACAGAGAGGCCGAAAGCATTACCAGAGACCCTCCCTCTACTATTGTCAAACGAGAGACTGACAGCAGTTCTGGGGATGCCAGCTTCTCATCTGGTGTATCTACCAGAGAAGGCACCAACATTGGTTTTGGCTCTGACGGCTCTGGCTCTGGTATTTCCAGGAAAACAAGCACCAGCACCCTTGGCACCGCCTCTGCCATCTCTAGAAAAGTCAGTAACGGGGCCATCGGAAATGTTCCTGGCTCTGGTATTACCAGAAAAGCCAGTAGTAATACCCTCGGCGGCGCCTCTGCTATCTCCAGAAAAGCCAGTAGCGGAGCGATCGGGAACGTTCCTGGCCCCGGTATTATCAGAAAAGCCAGTAGCAATACCCTCGGTGGCGTCCCGGGTATCTTTCCCGGGGTTTCTCCTTCCATCTACGCCAACACTCTTCACTTTAAAACAGTCCACATGCTTTCTCTCATCCAGACGCTCCACAGCTCCGAAGGCCAGCTCCAGACCAAGTGGTTGAACGCGCTCATCGGCCGCGTCTTCCTCTCGCTCCAGGGAACGCTCTCGTTTGAGGCGGCGATCCGCGCAAGGATCGAGAAGAAGCTCCTGAAGATCAAGAAGCCCGACTTCCTCAGCGACTTTGAGATCCGCAAGATCAGCGTCGGCGACTCCGCTCCCTTCTTTAGCTACCCCAAGCTCACGGAGGTTCTTCCCGACGGCACCATCGCTGCGAAGGTGCACGTCACCTATACGGGGAATCTCTCAGTGCAGATCGCAACCAAGGCGACGCTCAACCTCGGGACACGCTTCATGGCGAAAGAGGTCAACTTGGTGTTGGCCGTCACGTTCCGGCGCGTCGAGGGCAACCTCGTGCTCAAGATCAAGCCGCCGCCGTCGGGGCGTGTCTGGTACGGCTTTGAGACCATGCCCAAGCTCGACTTTTTGGTTGAACCCGTGGTGAGCTCCCGCCAGATCACGTTCCAGGTAGTTACCAACGCGATTTCCAACAAGTTCCGCGAGGCGATCAAGGAGAGCATGGTGGTACCAAACATGGACGACTTCTGCTTCTACAACACCGAGGAGGAGATCTACCGAGGCGGGATTTGGGACCCCGCGGTACCGTCCGACCTAGGCCACGAGGAGGTGGAAATCATCGATGAAACCAGCAGTGTCGACTTGGAAACAGATGATGTGGAGTCACGGTATTCTGTGGCAGATTCAGTGATCAGTACCGAGACCGCCGAGAGCCAAGAGCGGAAGCCGCGGTTCGCTCAGTTTGCTGACTCGTCCAAGAAGCTCGCCAAGAGGTTTCGGGGCTCTCCAAAGCGGAGCGTGGCCGAGGATCTCCAGCCCCCACGTGCCACCGAGGAGCGTGTCCCCCTTTCGCCTTTGAAGAAGTTGGGTATGTGGTATGGAGCGGAAAAGAAGCTAGAGGCTATACCTGTTGCTGCTCCAGAGATGATCTCCTCGCGCCGCGCCCCGCGCGGATCCTTCACGGAGATTACCATGGGTGCGCCAGAAGTGCTGGGTGAGCTCACGCAGCCTGCATCACCCGCGGCGCAGTTCTTGCGTCCACGTTCGCGCGAGGGCAGTTTCACGCTGGAGAGACCAGCGATGGAGGATCCGCCTGTGCTTCTGATGGCAGTGCCGCGACCGGGCTTCCAGAAGAGTTCTCGCAGCGCGTCGCCGTTGCGCAAGGAGCTGTCGCTATTGCCCCCATTACCCCCAAGGGCTGCGACAGATCCCACCTTGACGCCTCCCCAGAGAATGACCTCGCGCAGAAAACCCCCACCGTCACCGCTCTTGGCCGCCATGTATGACCCAGATACGATTCCATCGCCGAACGTAGATGCTGAGCCCATCACCCCGGTGATCAATGCGAGGTTCCCGCGGGAATAGGTCTAGCTTTAGTTTTATAGCGATGGCTAGTGCGCTTATAAGACTTGCTTTGTGATTTCCAGACTGGTTCTGAATGGAATACAAGTCGGGGGCGTATAAACCAGGACATGTGGGTTCCCTCGAACTCTTTGACCAGAATTTCTAAACTATTCTCTTAATCGAGACACCCGTTGTACCCGCACACAGCAATTCCCATCTCGTTCTGTGTATCATTCGATAAGCAACCTGTCAGCTCCCATAGAGGCACTTTTGGCATCACGGAGGCCCTTCATTTCACTTTTAGACACTCTTAATTTCAACTCTTAATATCTCAAAGCCCCAAACTTCGTTACACTCTAAAGCCTTGTTGTAGCTTCACTTAATTGTTCTTCCTTCACTGGTGATTTTTCTTCTGGTGTCGATTAACGCTAGCTCTGGTATACCATCCTTTATGAGCCCTCATAACCTTTAGGTTAATCATCAACTATATTTAAATATAAATAGTAATACCTAGTATTGAGGATTGCCCTGGCTTCATATCTACCATTCTAGCGGCTTTTCCTATCCACTCACTTCGCAGTCGCTTCATTTGTGGTTCAGGCTCGTGCTACGCACTTGCATCTGCACCCACTACATATATGGCATCCACCCATGATACATATTGCACAACTTGTCCACCGACGTGGCCTCCTGCACAATATGCTCCACCTGGCCCTGAACGCTCATCGGGAGACCCTCTCTGTCAAGCACCCCTCTGATTTTCCGTCTAATGGTACGCATGGCTTGGTCCGGGGTGTTCTTGCCCTTTCCCTTACGCGTCCAGTCCATGATCGGATCGTATATAAAACTCTCCAAGTGGTTCATCAACGTGGTCTCATTCTCGCGGATCAACAGCATCGCCAACTCCGCCAGGCGCCGAAACGTGCCCTCTACACCGCTGATGCCGAGGGCGGCCACCATGTTGGCCGTCAACCGGAATGGCACCACCTCTGGCACCGCCAATGTGAGGCCCTTCTCAAAGATGCAGTCAAAGTCCACGTGCATGAGTGCGCCTGTGTGGCGGAAGAGCAAATTCTCGCCGTGGCGGTCGCCGATGCCGAGCACGTAGCACACCATCGACATGACTGCGCACGAGCGCGCATAGCGGCTGCGGGCGCGGTACCACGCGACGGGGTCCAGGAACTGCTCCCAGAACCAGTGCGGGAGCACCACGGGGTATTCGGCGATAATCTCCACAAAGTGCACACGCCGTTCCGCGAACGGCAACAGCGCCGCGAGCATCTTGCCGATCTTACCGTAGTTGTACGCGTGCCCGAGCGACTTGAGCTTGTCCGCGATGAGCGTACGGAGCGGCTTCACGTTGTCCACCCATTCGATGATGCCATGGTCCTCGTTGAGCGACACTACCGCGTAGGTCTCGATCTCTAACTTGCGCTTCGCGCACTCGTAGTTCGCCGTCAACATCCGGTTGAGCACCACTGTCAAGTCCATGAACTTGGAGTCCTTGCGTACATCGTCCTTCTTGCACAACATGCTGTAGCGGCGGCCGTCAGAGCCCGTGTAGAAGAGCCGTTTAGGCCGCTGGAGCGACGTGATCACGTCCGCCTGGTCCTCAACGCGCGCGAACGTCACGGTCGACGTCTGTGGGAATGGTGTGTGGTTCTTCACCGCCGCGGGCGACGCGGGAAGCGTCACCGTGAAGTTTTGCTTCAACGGCGCCACCAACTCTGCGCACGGAAGCAATGCGTGTGGGAAGCCCGCATCACGCAAGGAGCACTTGCGCGCTTCCTTGGGCAACACGAGGTCCGTAACCGCAAAGAGCAGGTCGAAGAGCTGTTTCGCATGCGCGAGGCTCTTTGCGGGCGTTGCGCGTGCGACCGCATTCAACACCTCGCGCCCGCGCTCCAGCCGGTCGTTCAGCACCGACTTGGCCTGCGCAAGGATCGACCAGAGCGCGTGCTTGGGATACTCGCTCGCGACCGTTGCCGCGATCTTCACCAACAAGTTGCGTGTCTCCTCGGACGGATGGCAGATCCGCGAGAGGATCTGTGGGAACACCGTGTACCAGTAGAACGCCGGCACGCGCGCGAGGATCGCGCTAATGTCCTGGAGAATACTGTAAAGGCTCGCTCCACGTTTGTCCGCAATCTCCTTGCGCTGACGCTCAAACGTCTTGGGAACGTCGCGAAACGCCGCCGCAAAGTCCAACCAGATCGTCACCAACTTCGGAAGCGCCTCGTACAAGTACTTGGGCCCGCACAGGATCGCACGCCCGTAATTGTGCACCACCTTCTTCTCAAACTCGCCGCTGAAGTCTTCGCGCGCAGTGCGCTCCACCGGCAACGCCCGTGTCGCATCCAACACCTTGTTGCAGTATTTGGCGAGGTGAAAGTACGACTCCTCCCACACGTTGTCGAGCTCAATCGCACGCGCAAACTCTTGCACGATAGTTGTGGTGTTACTGCTGGACGACACGTCGAGCCACTGGGTGTACATCAACTGCACGGCCGCACGATCGCGGGCGGCACCGTTAGTGTCACCGCGGAGCGTCTCAATCAACTTGAGTGCCTTGGGGTGGTCGCCCTGCGCCCAAAGCATTTCGGCGTTCTCCAAGTCGGTCTTCGGGTGCTTGACCACCATGGCGTTCATGAGTGCCTTGGTGGAGAGGTCGAAGCGTGCGTGCTTGCGCGACACACGCGCCATCGTGAGCCAGATATCAGCGACGTCTGCGTCCACATACGCGCGCTTCGCGAGCAACTCCGTAACCTTGCGCATCGATAGGAGCTGCCAGTTCGTACTGAAGTCATCGCCCACGTTTGCAAGGCGCGCGCTGAGGCTCCGCCGCGAGTTGTCAAACTTCGCGTGTGTCGTCAGAACGAGTTCATCAATGTCGTGGATCGCATGGAGGAGCGTGAAGAACGGCTTGTTGGCCAACGCGGAAACGTCCTTCGCGCGTGACAATCCCGCCCCCGCGCTGCGGTAGCCCGCACGGAGGTGCAGGCGCAGGGCAGCCACATCGCCCGTGCCGAGCGCCACCAACGCCTGTGCCACGTTGTACATCGTGAGCGAGAGTGGGTCGCGGAGCGGCGCCACGGAGTCCGCTACAAACGCCCACTTGCGGAGTGTCGGCTCCTCGCCTGAGTGCAATGCCGCCTCGAGACCGTAGTTGACCCACGCGCGCGGAAACGCATCGTCTGCGAGGGCTGTGAGCCGGTTGTCCAAGCTGGACAACGTACGGTTGTAGAGGGCGTGCTTGTTGAACGACTCAAGAAGCCGCGAGCTATTCTCAAAGCTCTTGGCCGTGTCGGCGTCGTGTGCGAGCGCTTCGTATGACTCCTGTGCCATCTTCCAGTTATCGTTGTACTTGAACTGCAAGAGCTTGTCGTCGAGCGTTTGGGTCGTGAAGCTCGTGAGAACCCCATTGAGCGCGTCCACGTCGTCGATGCTCGCATACATGGACTGGAGCGTCTGCACAAGGTTGAGTCCCGCCACGCTTTCGCTCTGGAGGTGCTCCAGGGCCTCGTCGGTCTTTCCATCGAGGGCCGGGAGGCTCGCCCAGCACTGCTCAAGGTAGAGAATTGCGCGTTCAAACGACCCCGCCTGCGCGGACCGTTTGGCGAGCAAGTCTTTTGGAATACTATCCACAAGCTCCTCCACGACCCGGATCTTGGCGCGGTCCACCAGCTTCCCGCGCTTTAAGTACCGGTTCGCCTCGGCCACCCACTTCTTCAAGTAGTCCATGATCGCAAATACCGTCTCAAGAAACGACTTCATATTGTCAATGTCACTGTGGTGGTGCAACGCGGCGAGGTCTGTTTGGAGAATAAGCACCAACTCCGCGCGGATATTCGCCCGCGTCGCCGCGTCGCCTGTCACCACCATGTGCAATACCGCGTAGGGTAAGATGTGGCGGCACACGGTAAGGTCCGTGTCCTTGACGAGAAATGTGCACACGAAGAAGATGTGCTGTGCGTTGGAGTCGTCGGTGTGGGCGGGATCGCCGCGGCGGAGCATGTCGAGCGTGAACGCGCGGAGCCACGTGGCATGGCGCTCGCCCACACTGAAAAACGGATACGAGCCCAACTCGTGCGCGCTCTTCTTGATGGTGTAGCGCGAGCTCAACAACGGCGTGAGGATGGACTGCGCGGTGTCGTCGAAGGTGTTCCAGATGCGCCACACCATCCCACTGCCCGCGGCCTCGCTCTCCTTCTTGGCGCCGGCGACCGCGGCGACCGCGGCGTCATCGAGTCCCATGCGCTTGAGGTACTCCTGCATCGCATACGCGAGAAATAACTGCGTGTGCGGCTCTGATGCGGCCCAGAAGCGTTTTACGAGTACGTCGTTGACAAATCGGAGGAGGAAGTACGTCAACTCATTCTTATCGGCAAAGTCCTCGACAATGATCAACTGGCTTCGTGCGGCGGACTCGGGCGCCTCAAAGCGCGTGGGGTCCAAGAAGCCGATCTGGCCCAAGCACTCGGCCGCGCGCGTCGCGAGGTCGCCGTGGGCGGTCTTGTACCGGTCGGCGACTGCGAGCAACGTACTGACCAAGCTCGGCACGAGCTTGTGGCGGAACGTCTTCTTACGCAAGTAGATGTCGTGGAACTCGAGCTGGTACTGCCGCAAGTAGTTGAAGAGGTCTTTGAGTGCGAGCGAGACCACGTACGCGTTGTCATTGCCCGCGCGCTTGCAGATGTCTTCGAGTAGGTCGTACGCCGCCGACAACTTGTTCTGCTTCTGCTTCAAGAGGAGGTTCTGCTTGCCGTAGACATCGATGAGGTCGGGGAAGCTCGCCAATGTGAACATGTAGCTGAGGAAGCCGCCGCGCTGCACTAAGTGTTCGCGCGCAAAGATGAGCCTGAGCACGCCCGTGGCCTCGCGCCGGCACTCGCGCGCGAACCCATCCCACTTCTCAAGTACGATTCCAAGAATGCTGTGCACCAACGATGTGAGGTCCTTGTCCTTCAACGTGCGCACAAGGGCAGTCCAGCACTGGAGCGCGCGAATGGTTAAGCGTGGCACTTCCATACTTGCCTGGAGACACGTGTTGATCTGCGGCAACGCCGGCACCACCGCGTCGCCACAGAGCTGCACCATGCACTCGATTGCACATAACGCGCGCTCCTTCTCTAGCATGGGCTGGGTGCCCTTGGTGTCGTTGATTGCCTCGGAAAAGTTCTGCACCACACCCAAAATGTTCGTGCGGAAGAACAGGAGGAGCGAGTCCGAACCGTGGTACGTGCCGTACTTCCCCGCGAGAAACGTCAAGGCTGTGCGGATCCGCTGCACCACCTTTCCGGACAACGCATCAGAGGCATCTTCAGGATCGTTATCCGCGTAGAACTTCAACACCTCCCAGACAGCGGTGTTCACGGTGATCATACAATCGAGCTTGTTACCGCCAGCCTCAAACTCCGCCGTGTACTCAGGACACGCGTTGCGTAACACCGTCATAATGCGGTGCTCATCAACCGCATCCCAGTCCATGAGGAGCTTCGCGAGACAGCGGTCCTTCCACTCCCACGTGAGTTGGAACTTGCTCTTGTCGCACGCCAGCGCAATCTCCTGGAGGACGTCGCATTTGTACATGGTCAACGCATGCGCGACAGTGTACGGTGCGGTGCGTTGGAGGAGCAGCCGTGGCGAGAGTGCCACGAGCTCGCTGACGCGCTCGAGCAACACGCGCGACCCCTGGTGCATCGTCTTGACCACCATAAAACTGATCACCGGCCAGAACGGTGAAAGAAGCTGATACGGCGCCTTCTTGCCACGGTGGAGACTCACCGCGCGCAACTGGTGGAACGCCATCGTTTGGTGGTACGGGTTCGAGGAGCCCATAAAGTCCACGAGCATGCAGAGCGCGAGGAGGAGCCCGTCGCCGTCTACGCTCGCCGCGACGCCACCCCACGTCATGATGATGACCTCCGCGAGATGCGGCTGATCGCGGTACGTAATACTTCCTAGAACATCGCTGAGCGCGCGCAAGTCTGCGTTGTCGTCCACGCCTGCAAGAAGAAGTGGTACGAGGTGCGCTGCGAGAACGCGCGCCTCGCGCACGGGTGACGTGAGCGCGGAGAAAACGTACCGGTAAAGCGTCGAAGCAACAGCCAAAGTCGAAGCATCGGTTGAGGCATTCGCGGCTTGGGTAGAGGCTTTGGCGGGCTGGATAGGGGGGGATATCGCAGAGATCGACACGGCCGGGGTATACGCGGTAAAGAGCTTTGTGAGCGTTAAAAGCACTGCGGCAGTCATAACGGGGTCGTGCTCGGCCGTTTTTATAATCTCCAGGAGGACCCGCATCGCCGTGTCAATTGCGGTGTCCATTGCGAGCCTGTTCGGGTTTCCCTCTTCGCAGCGCACGCAGAGCCTGCGGACGAGATCATAGTTTTCTGAGTACAAGCACAGGAAGTTGCCGATTGCGCGAACGAGACCGAGTTGGGAGGCTTCACCGAGTTCCAGCTCCGCACGAAGGACCCACGCCTCGAGCACGTCTTTGAGAGCAGTGTGCGTGAGGGCCTCTACAAGGCTGGGGTCTTCAAGCAAATGTGCAACTTGGTGTGCCACCAGCGTGGGACCTACCAAGCGGAGTAACGCCTGGGCATGAGAATCAATCTCCGCGTCGCCAAACGGCGTGGAAACAAGCGCGGCAACACCCTCCATATTTCCGTCCTCTCCATCTGTTTGGTATTCCTCGTACTCGGACAAGCAGTCTTTCAAAACATGCCTGATGATGGCTAGCATTTTGGCCATTTCCTGTCCGTCACTGTAAGCTTCCATGGCGAGAAAGTGCTCCACGTTGAAGGAGGCGGCAAACTGGCGCACGCGGCATGATTCACCACCGTCTTGGTCCTGAAGGCGTGCGTGCGCGAGTATTTTGAATACCGAAACGATGATTTCGGAGCGGAGGACCGGGTACGAAACCCCCTGGAATACCATCTCACTGATCAACGGAAGCGGGTCGGGGCCAACAAGTACCAGCGCGTAGTCGCGCGCGTCCGCAAGCGAGTTGGCCACAAGGCCTGCAAGGTAGCGCGCCTTCGCGCGGCCTACGAACTGATCCGCGGCCGCGGGTTCACCACGCGCATCTACGTGTGTGAAGTTAGCGTCAAAGTGCTGGAGCAAGTACCAGAGCTTGCGGCCGAGCAGCTCCCAGCGCGCTCCGGGCTGGACCGCCAAGTGTGGTACACGGTGCATGCGAAAGTCCGCGTCGGTGACCAACGTGAACAACTCGCCCGTGACGCGCAACTCCGCACGGAACGCATACAAGCGCGCGAGCGTCGCGGGCAAGAGCAATACCGTGAGACGTTGCTCGAGGAGATCTGCGACAAGATACACGGTGAGCTGTGCGCGGTGCGCGGGGTGGTGATGCGAGACCAACGCGAAGAGCGCCAGTAGGTGTTTGCGGCATTGGCTCGCGACGGCGTCGCATGCGGCAAGAAACGGAAGCATACACTCTGCGAGGACCTGAAAGGGAAGCGCGGATCCTGGTCTCGGGGTGGGGAGCGTTGCAACCTTGTCCTTTTTGAGAAGTAGCTCTGGCTTTCGCTCGAGAATCGTGGTGATGAGAACAAACATGCGCACCAAAACCTGCCGTGCGGCCGTCTGCGTGAAGATCGCGTCATCAGGCGGGATGCGTGCGAGCTGCCCGCTGAGCGTATTGAGGATCTGCACCGCGTGTTCCTCGCTGAGCTCATCACCGGGGCTCAGGTTAATGATTTTGACAAAGAGCTTGTTGATGTAGTCTTGTCGGGTCGGCGTGAGTATTGTGGGCATGATGGGGGGTTGAAATGGGGGTTGCCACCGTATTTAGCCGCCGAAGCAAGTTTAAACGAGCGAATGATGCCTTAAATGGAATAGGTAGATAAATAGGTAGCCGCCAGAACGCTATAAGGAAAGCGATGTTGAGGGTGTAAAATGGGAGTAGTTTACCGCCGAGTGAGAGGATTTTTGCTTGAGAAACTTGGAGGTTGGAGTGTTGGGCCTTAAAGAAAGCGCTATGCAGATGGAGTGGACCTGGGCACGTCTGAGTTGTGTAATACAGTGAGAGGAGCTTGGCGGCTGGTGGAGTTTTTGTGGTGCGATCTGCTAGCCGCCGAGACTGGTTGAAGATGGGCAGATTCCAGGAAAGAGATACGTGCAGGCAATCTTGGTATTTATCGAAGAAAAAAAACACCAAAAACACGCTAAGACACGTCTGAACCGTCTTCTGTGATGGGAAAAGTGAGCGGCACGGGGCCATCAGATCTGATGTCAAAATGGTCCAGGAAATGTCCTGCGTTCAAAAACGTTTTGCCGCTCAGTGTGCCATCCGCCACCACCAGCCACAATAATGTGGCTGTGCATTGTACGTGCCAGGGAATGGGGATGACGGATGGAAAGGTGGAAGTGGTGTCATATGGGGTAGTGGATTTGAAGTGGGGATTACGGATTTCAAGTTAAAGGCTTACTCAATATTTACCCCTCGGAAGATGCGTAGCTTATACTTAGTTACGCAAACAAGAGAGCGCTTGGTGTTCAATACGGTCCCTGACGGTTAAAAAGAGGAACAGATATAATTAGGGGTTATGCATTGGAAAACGGTTGAATATAAAATAGGCGGAGCAAGAGCTTACGATCGTCATACTACTACCAATATTGTCACCTTAGCACTAACACGGGTGCAACAGGATTGGGTGGGTTTATGAGCCCAGAAATAACCAACGGAACCCCTGGGCCGGCGAACTGTTATGTACAAAGGATACCAAACATGCCACCAAAAAAAAAATGAACCGATATTGCATCATCGGCTTAACCCCGCAATGCCTTTCACTTACAAAAACATTACAACCAACACCTGATAAATATGTGACTTGAGTATAAACGACACCGGACTCGGGAAAAGTCTCCTCCAAAAGCCGGAAGAACGGTTGAAACCGAGCCAATACCCGACACAGCGGGTCAGATGTATATGCAAGAGCAAGAAACGTCACCAGAACGGGCGTTTCTTATATAGGAAGCGAAGATCACCGGATATGCTAGTGGCCCCGGTGACTTCTCAGGCTAAAGGGGTCTGTATCAGACATGGTTTGTATCAGACATGGTCTATATCTGCCACAGCTTATTGGCCGAAATTAATCGGACGTCTGGATGTGTTAGTACGGAAGTCAGTAAAAGCACCCGTGACCATACATACTTGAATAACAAAATGTGCGGCTCTGGCGCGTGTGTTTCGTAATGGGCCCAGCCCAATGACTGGGTAATCCCCAAGCCACGCCACTCCTCCTCGAGCAAGATTCGGAGGGTGCCCGTGTCGCTGTTGAAGTAGTCGGAAGGAATCACCTTCAACATAGATTTTGGTAACATTACGTGACGATACTCATACGAGTCGTCGGAATAACGCGGACTGTAGTGGATAGACTCTTGGAACTCCAACAATCTGGCTCGCTCGCTCTCGGTCAAGTATCTTGGGTTGGCCATGATGGTATAGGTGTGTAAGACTTTGCGGCACAATTAACTGAATAATGCGCAGCTTTAAAAGAAACGGCAAAGTCTGGAACAATAGGGTTTGTAGTGTGGAGTTGAAACGCAGTACCCTCTAGTGTATAATTTTCATTTTGGTTTACGTTTTCGACTTGAGCAGAAACGCGGGTGTGCGTAGACTAATAAAATGGCCGCGCACGCTTTAAGCGTTGCTGGACGGGGGTTTTACAATATCTCGGGAAAAGACTTCATAGATGATTGGGGTTTTGCAATCTTGGGATAAGACTTCATAGATGATCGGGGTTTTACAATCTCGGGATAAAACTTCATAGATGATTGGGGTTTTGCAATCTCGGGATAAGTCTTCATAGATGATTGGGGTTTTACGATCTCGGGATAAGTCTTCATAGATGATTGGGGTTTTACAATCTCGGGATAAGACTTGTCATAAATGCCTAGGTCAAGGCGCAAATCGTGACGTTTGTTATTTTGAATATACCGGGCTAAGCAAAGAGCTCCCGGTGTTAGTCTGACATAATCTCCTTTCTACCGTTGGTTAGTGTAGTGCGATATCGATTCACGTGTCACAAGGTGGGGCATCGTACACCCGCGTTTACAGCGATTTAACGCCCGTGATACTGGACTAACTCTACAACCCATAACATTGGCATTATGCCATAGTATTTTGGGTCAACACAAAGACCGGTTAGCAAAGACGGCTGTTATTCTTGTCCAGCCGTGAAAATCCAGATGCATTTCTATTGATGTACCTCATATTAGTGCCCTGACAGTATTAAGGCTTACGCGTATGCCAACATGAAATTCGCTTCCCCCCTGCAGAGGGAGCCAGGGCTAATATTAGTATCTACTATTCTTATAAGCGTGAGCCAAAACGGAATAGAAAAAAAGAAAGAAAGAAAAAAAAAATAAACATAAAAAAATATAATATTTTTGTTCACAAGATGGAGATGACCAAATTATCGGTTGTAAAGTCAGAAAGGACTGCCACTATTTTTCGATCTTAGAACTATGCGACGCGCCACGTCAGAAGTCAATAATCACACGAGGCTGGCCCCACAGCTGCTTACCAAGCCTATCGTCCCAAGGAGTAGCTGTAATACCACGCGCGTATTCTATGTGAGACAAATATTTTAGTCCACAGTTGCCAATTGAATTTAGAAACCGCCAGCATAGCGCCACGCAACTATGCATTTCCGCCAAATTAGGAAACCTCGTAGGCTGGCCACAGCTGTTTTCGGCCGTTCCTTTTTCGGTCCATGCAATTGCCAGCCTATACATATAGGATTATAAGCCCTTTGCATTATTCAAATTTCATGTGAGAGTGCCAACAGGCTACCGACCGCGCTACGTGCTGCTTGTTCCTGAGACACACCGAAGAATCTGACTCCCGCTGTAAGCATGTTCCCCTAAGAGGTGCCTTAGAGAGATGAACGAGAACCACAAGAAATCACTAGTGGAACGAGGAGCAATAATTTAAGGTTTTGTGATTGAATCTGATCAGGGGCATTCAGTCCTTTTAGGCCTGGTTTAGCAATACTATTTTCCCCCGTGAGGCTATTCGAGGTACTGCCCAGCGCGTCTCTTATCCGCGGCCTATTTTTAGAAGGCTACTGTTGCGCTAAACGGCGCGTCTGCCTAACCTCGACAGTTTCGGTAACGGTTCAAGTTCAGAAATGCCTAGTCACAACGCGTCGGGATGTTTGTGCATTACAGAGCCTAATCGTTGGGGGCTTGCACAGTACCAACAGCATTCTCCAGGTTAGATTATCCAGGAGGTCCTTAAACCGATGATCGTGTACGCGTTTCATTCGATCCCCAGGGGCAGAGGCTAAGGTACATACTGCCATTAAGAACCCCCTCTCATCTCTCCTTCTCAGCCCCCTCCCTAGAAACCAGTAGCCCTACAAAACCTCTGAGTTCTGGTCACCTTAAACTCAGCCTAGCTGCCGTATACCAACACGGATCTTTCTCTCTCTCTCTCTCTCTCCCTCCAGTTGCCAGACTGTGGGGGCTCGATCCATGCAAGGACCTATGCGGCTGCAGCCCTGCACAGAAACTTCGAATTTATTGTTCAGGAAGTCAGCGTCCTCAGCAGGCTGCGGCTTGCGTTGGGAAACTCAACTTACGGCCGTGGCCTGCACTGAGCCCGATCTGAAACAGACGCACGCTGCCACAACAATAGCCTTTACGTGTAATCGCGAGTGACGCGAAAAGGCGGAGAAACAACTTCCGGGACTGGAAGGTACAACTCGGTATTTGAATCCAATAGCCGGAAGCCAAAGCTCGTGTAAAGAGGGCTAAGTACAGACTACGTTAGTTGCTATCCAGATCTGGCCCAGGCATCGTCTACAAGACACAATCACCCTGGTATACCTAACAATTGAGGCGTTGCATAGACGTATCTTTGAAATAGGCTCTCCAGACCGGTCCGGATAAATCACACTATACGATCCCCAAAGCACTGTTTGTCTTTAGATCAGAGAAAGCTCAGAGACTTTAATCCAGTTCATCACAGCCAAGCGAGCTTCACTGTCGAACTCCATTTCCGATTCTTCATAGCATCCCTTTGGTCTCAAGCCCCTACCTAGCCAGATCTTATTGGCATATTTATCCCCTTCTCTGGTTTAAGCCTCCTTTACATCTTCTGCTAAGCTTGCTCCATGACCATGCCCCATGACTTCTACATCGGGGTCAAGCCATCTCCTGCCACCTGTGCTAATGCCGCTTCGGACCAACAACTCATCCAGCAATACAACACCGAAGGCTACAACATGGTGCTCTTGCCTATCACCAACTCCAAATACCGCGACACCTGCCAGACCATCTTCCAGGCCAGCTTTCCCGCGGCGGTCCCGTCCCCAAAGCTCTCCGAAGTAAACCTTCTCCCAGGAACGCACCTCGCAAACACGATCGGATTGGTGGCCAGCTGGATCGAACTCGAATCGGGGGAGCCTTCCATTGCAAGCTTTTCCAGAAAGGTGTTCGAACACGAGCTAGCGTATGCCAGCTATATCGGGCTTACCCACGTCATCATTGCGCCCCCAAAAGACACCCAGCAATTGGCAAACTATAGCAATACCGTGGCTAAGGCGTTGATGCGGTTTCCCCGGTTGAACTTGTCCATATCACTCCCCATGTGCGAAGAAGTAGCGCTGTCGGCGAGCTCTGCTCCAGACTTTCTCTCCACGTGGGAGATGTGGAACTCCCTTCGCGTTCACTGCGACTACCCTGCCAATCTCTCGATATCGCTAGCCCTTCCCAAGTCGGTGGTCCCGCCGTACGTGGTTTCGCGCTGGCTCGCCGAGCCCATCGTCTGCCTCCTCATCTCCCTGTCGTCCTTCCTCATCAACGCCAAGCAGTATCCCGTATTGGCCAAAAGCAACCAGAGGATCATCACCGCTTTACTCGGCGTACCCAGGCCCCCCCTTTTGTTGCTCCACGGCATCGAACGGTGCGAGACTGTGGCCGGTGAGAAGGGCTACTACAATTATCTCCGGTTCTTGCTCAAGAAGGTGAGCCCGTGCGAGGAAGACGCAGACGTTCTAAGACCGCCGTTGGAGCCCATTCGGGGCCAGTTGTCGGACGAGGTGTACTCTCTGTTTGAGGGGGATACGACAAAGTATGAGGTGTATGGTAGGGCTATAGAGTTGGCCGTGGACGAGCTCTGGGGAAAGCTCCCCAAAAAGGCGCCAAAATCTTATCTGGGAACTGGCCAAACCAGCAGCCCCAACCCTATTCACCCGACGTTCTCTCGCAGCAGAGACTCCGAAGCCACCGCATACTCCTCAGTGTCCGAATCCACCAACCTGTTTCATAGTCCCGTTAACTCTGGCTTCAGCTTTTCTCGGTCTGAGCTTGATCAGCCCGCTGGCTGGAGCAAGGATTTGGCCCTTGACCGCTCTACCTCCGGATCACCCCTCCCCTATTCCGAGTCCATCCGCATTGAGGGTGTTTCCGGTGTTTCCGGTATTTCCAAGAAGTATTCCGAGGAAACTATCGAAACAACCAACCTCTTTCCGGGAATACAGCCATTTGGCCTGCCTGTCCAAACCGTTTCCAGCAATGGCACCATTGCCCCGCCCCAAAGCGGTGGCCCCGGCCCTCTCAAAACGCCCAGTGCTCGCCCCACCTCCCCTGTGTTGTCAGAATCGAGCACTGGCGATTCTGACCCCTCTGACTGGTCTAATCCGAAACAGTTGAGTGCGGCACACGTGGTTGCGGAATCTCCGTTTTCCCAAGCCGAATTCAATTGGTTTCCCAGACCACCCACCCAATCCTATGGCTCTATCCCATCAACCCCGAAAGATCCCATCTCCTTGGCCCCGAAAGACTCCGTTCCCCTAACCCCGAAGGATTCCATCCCATCAACCCCGAAAGACTCCATCCCCCTAACTCCGAAAGACTCCGCCCCCTTAACTCTGGTAACCAGTCCTCTAGGGGATAACTACCAGTACCGGTCCGGGTGGAAGTTTCCGGCTGCAACTGTCACCAGCCCTGACGGTCTCACTGAAGGTGATAGCCCCCCCTCCGCACTAAGAGTTGCCATTCTCGGAGCTGGTCGCGGACCGCTTGTCCACCAGCTCTTCCAGGCGCTCGACCGACTCAACCTTTCTACGAGCTCTGTCCAGATCACTGCCGTTGAAAAGAACCCCCATGCGCTTATCCATCTCTACCAGAAGAACCGCGATCTGTGGGGGTCGCAGGTGACCATTACGGCCAAAGACATGCGCCAGCTTTCAGGAACGTTTGACTTGGTTATTAGCGAGCTTCTTGGGTCGTTCGGCTGCAATGAGCTATCCCCCGAGTGTCTCCATGGTGTAAATCGTATGCTTTCTCCGGGAGGCATTTGTATCCCGCGGTCGTACCAGAGCTACATTGCCCCTGCCTTTTCACCCCGCATGTACTCCCTCGTGGGGAGCTTAGGGGAAGAGGGGAAGAAAAGGTGGCACCAGGGCTATGTGGTCAACATCAAAAGCATGGATGTGTTGTCCCGAATCCACAAATGCTGGGAATTCACCCACGGAGAGAGCGCCAAGGCATTGCCTGGAAATGGCACCAATTATGGCCGCAACCATACATCTTCATTTAATGTCCACCACAAGGCAACAATCCATGGCCTTGTGGGCTACTTTACGGCGGTCCTCTATCCCGGGATCTATCTTTCCACCAACCCGCAGTTTGATCCACGGGATGTCAATAATAAGAGCCCTGGAGTTGGCCGCGTTGATTTGAACGTATCCACTCCCAAGACGTCCTCGCCTGTTTCCGTAATCACTCCTACGCTGGCAAAACTGTTTTCAAAGGGCATTACCCCCAACCTCCGTTCGTGGTACCCCATGTGGCTTCCGCTAGAGACGCCGCTCCACGTTCTGGACGACACCGAGGTGGAGGTGAATATCCGTAGACAATGCGAGGATGAAAGGGTTTGGTACGAATGGAGCTTGGAGAGCTACATCTATGTGGTCAGTGAGAGCGGTAACGATGAGGCGATGGCCCGGGTTAAAACCGGGGTTACCAAGTTGCACAACCCCGGTGGGATCCATAGCTCGTATGAGGTTTAGAAGGAAATGCTTTGAAACTTTCATCTGGTGTATATCTAATCTGAATTGTTTGGTTTAGTTTTTTTTTTTTTTTTTTTTTTTTTTTTTTGGCTAGGGTGTTTAGAGGTAGGTGTAGGTTACTTGTTGATTACCAAAAGGTGTTGAGTGTCTGTCGATAGTAGCTGTAGTAAGTGTGTAGCGGTCACGTGGTAGGGATCGATACTTTATATAATGAGGACGATCCCTCCTTTTATCCTATATAAGTAGATATCCAACCAGTATACTATTATAAGTAGATATCATACCCTCGAGGTAGAGATACCATGGTAGCATTGAATCCACGTAAAGGAATGGCACCTCACTCCAATATTCTTACCTAAAGTTTGCTTTGGACCTTGGATCTACTTTACCTTGAATTCCGTCTTGGTTCCATTTTCAATTGGGGTGGGTGGTCGTAAGCACAATACTCAGATACGACGGTATAACCTATAGAATCCAAACAATTATCCATCCCACATATTTCACAAACTTTCAAGACCTAAATCTCCCCAAAATTTAACCCCTATTCCCCAGATCGACTACTCCTACCGATCGCTTCATAAATTGCACCTTCTATACACTGTACCCCGCAAGACTTAACCTCTCCTCCTACCATAGTTTTAGTAAAACGTAGCCCGCCCCGCATTACCCACCTCTCACAGAGGACTAATAACACCTCATGATCAAGCACTCTGTGTGGCCTTCCGGGGTATCAACTTATTACATACAGTTTTCAACCACTTTGACACCGCCTCTGCCTTTGAATTATATCAACCTGACTACACACTCTCCACGTCATCTTTTGCTTGTGCTACGCACTCGCCTTTGTTCGCTTTCGCACGCATTCACCACATCCTCAAAGTAACACTTGTCACGTGCTACTATACACAGGACGCCAAAAACGTTGCGCTGTACGTTTCAAAACGCGGGCTGCATCCCACCTCACCATCTCTCCCCTCTCTCCATCAATCAACGCAATGGCTAGACCCGGTCCCAAATTGTTGTCACTCGACTTGTTCGCCAAGACCGTTGAGGATGCGCGTGTCAGAACCACCAGTGGTGGGCTTATCACGCTCTCGTGCTTGTGTCTTGTCGTCGTGCTCTTGTTCAGCGAGTACCGCCTGTACCAGCAGGTGGTGAACCGCCCTGAGCTTGTGGTGGACCGCGACCACCAGAAGAAGCTCCCAATTAATATGGACATCACGTTTCCTCACTTACCGTGCGGCGTGCTCACGTTAGACATCCTCGAGGAGGGCGGCAACGTCCAGTTGGACTTGTTACAGCAAGGTTTCCAAAAGCTCCATCTCTCGCCAGAGGGGGTGGTAGTTTACGAAGAAGATGTGGTGGTGAACCAGAGCTTGGAAGAGATGCTGAGGGGTGTGGATGCCGCCGGTAACTGTGGCTCTTGCTATGGCGCCTTGGACCAGCTGAAAAACGACGAGAAAGAGCCGGCCGACAAAATCTGCTGCAACTCGTGTCTTGCAGTGCGTAAGGCCTACACCTCCAAGCCGTGGGCGTTTTACGACGGTGAGAACATTGCGCAGTGTGAATCTGAGGGATATGTATCCAGAATCAAGGACAACTTGACGGGAGGCTGTCGTATTGTTGGCTCGACCAATTTGGGGCGTCTCAGAGGTAACTTCCATTTTGCTCCCGGTGCGTCCTTCTCTAGCGCCAAAATCCATAGCCACGATTTGTCGTTGTATCAGAAGTACGAAGATATGTTCAACTTCGATCACATTATCAACCACTTATCCTTCGGGCCGAAGCTCTCCGAGAAGGTGGTCATCCACGCGTCCCAGTTGCAGTCGTTGACCTCCACTCATCCGTTGGACGGGTTTGAGATTGACCACGATAAGAAGTTCCACACCTACTCCTACCACCTCAAGATCGTGCCAACCAGATACGAGTTCCTTGCGAGCAGCCGCTTGGCCGCTATTGAAACCAACCAGTTCACGGTTGCGCAGCACGACCGCCCGATTTCCGGTGGCCGTGACGAAGACCACCCAAACACGGTGCACCTGCAAGGTGGCTTGCCGGGGGTGTTCTTTAACTTCGAGGTGGGCCCGTTAAAGGTTATCAACAAGGAGGCGTACGGCAAGACCTGGTCTGGCTTTGTTCTCGGCGTGGTCAGTGGGATTGGAGGCGTTGTATGTTTGGGGGTTGTGCTCGACAAGGGTGTATGGGCCGTCGGGAAGGTGTTGAAGGATAAGAAGGATACTTAGGTATAAGAGTTTAAAACGTGACATCTAGAATGTTTGTGGATGCGGTGCGAGTAGGTAGGGAGTAGGTTTGTTTTTGAGAGAAAGGTGTAGGTCCTGGGGATCCTGTTTTGTTCAGGCCCATACCTTGCACTCTTCGTTGTTCCGTCAGTTACCCCTAAGAAAACTACGTCTATTATTCATTTATTCGTTAGACACTTACAACATAAGTCTCGGTGACACAAGTCATCGAAAGAACAAACGATGGCGGGCCTAGGTTAGCAATACGGTACCATCTTTCGATTCAGTCTATTCTGATAGATTGTCGTCACTGCTGTCGTCACCAATCCCAATCATGCCTAAAATAGGATCCGCTCTGGTAGTGTTGGGGCCTGCCTTCTTGGACGTTTGTGGTTCTGCCTCAGAAAGGTGGTCACAGGGCGGCTCAGCCTTCGCCACGGGACTAGTTTTGTCATAGCACTTTGTAGCTGGATCAAACCCGGACTTTAGTGCCTGTTTCGCCGGGCTGGGAGCCAACTCGTGTTTGCGCGAGATGTACACGGGATTTTCCATGCTTTGGAACCGTTTCAAGCCACTTCTGGAGCCCTGTTCGGCCTTCACCCTCTTCACCGGACTCACCTCCAAGTCCAGGTCCGAGCTCTCACTATCATCTATACCACCCATAAGAGCCCCGAGAATGGAGTCAGACTGAACAATCGTCTTTAAATCCGCCTTTTCCGGGCTCAGTGGCACAGACTCTGCTTCTTCGAAAACGGTTGGCACCCGATCAGCAATGTACTTCCCGTAATCGGCGGTTGATTCCATGACGGCGTAGGCCTGGTCCTCACTGCACTTGTAATCCTCTATGACCAAGCGGCAGAGCAACTCGTTGGCCAACACGTAACTGGCGAAGGAGTCGATTGACCAAAACCGTAACGTGGAGTTCTTGCTATACGCCGCTAGGAGCTCTGCGCTGTAGCGCTTCTGGATCGCAAGAAAGGCGATAGTCTGTCTCTTGGGACCAATGTACCCACAGGAAAAGAGCTTCGAGATTTGCAAAGATGAAAACTCCTTCAGGGTAATCTCTTCGTTGGAAGACCGGTCCTGGATGTCGCGTGCTAGCGAGTAGAAATAAGAGGTCTGGGAGCCCGCGAGAATCTGAGGTACAAGCGAAAGGTGGGGGGCCAATCTTTTAAGTAAGGCCTTTTCCGAAAGCGGTATCGGTATTTTCTTCAGCGTATACTTCTTTTCCGTTTTTGCCACTTCCTGGTCAAAGACATCTTCTAAAGACGCTGCTGCTGTCCTGGCCACCGGCGCCACCGGCTCGGAGTCAGAGTCCGAAGACTCGCTATCGGCACAAAATTTACCATTACTCCCGGCCTGAGTCGTGTGATTGGTTTTGGTTATCGCGTTGTGGACGTTGGTGCCGATTGACGCTGGGGTGGGTCTGAGTCTGTCGTAGAGATCTTCGTCAGAGGAAAACGCATGGAGGTCCTTATCGAGGTGCGAAAACTCCTGGTTTTTCTCCACTCTCATGGCCGCCTCTAGAGACAAAGCGTATGTGCTGTTTAAGGTTGAGGGGTTGTTCTCGTTCTGTAAGTAACCATCATCGTTGTCGTCGACTGGCCTAGGGTTTGGAGTATTGATGTGGACATGCGGATTCGCCTTTTGGCCGCTAGTGGGTATAAGGGAACCGGAACCGCTCCTCACATTACGTCCATATGTCTTTTTTTTTATTTTGTCTTCATCCCGAACGGTAGTGTTGGTATATGAAGGCGGCCTAATGGGCGCAGATGATAGCGACCTCCGATCGCTAGACGGCGAGCTTCGCAGCTTGGAGAGACTGTTCATAGGTTTTTTCTCGAACGATACGGCCATTTTTCATATAGTATGTGTAGTGGATCTGTGAACGGGTTATGGGATAAATATGGTGTAATTGTGATTGCTTGGAAAGTAAATTTCCGCGACTTTTTGCGCAGCTGGCTTCGCGTATTGCAGACGCGTGAAAAGGTAAATACACGTATGTGATAGTTTTGTGAACGATATGCTAAATCTCGTGGGCCCCAATCGATACGGATCTAAAATGTAAAACTGTGCATTAAATTATGTTGTAATAAACGTCTATATTCGGTGTGCTACAAATCTTTACCGCTCTCGTATCACAGGTCTTGCCTTACTAGTGTTCCCTTTTCTCCTTCCCCAAAACACCCTTCATAACCACTGCCAGCTTCCCGTCGTCACCCACGTACGCAAACTCTGTCCGCGCGGGACACCAGGCGACCTTCGCATAACACGTGCGCAGCCAGCTCTTCCACCCCGAGCTCTCCGGGACCACGTACTTTTGGACCAAGCCACCGTTCGTCTCGTATACCCGCACAGGCTCTTTCTCGAAGCAGGCCGCCACAAACGTGCCCTCCATGGACGTATCCAAGTCGGTGATTGGCTCATCGCAATCCGTGACGATATGAGTCGGAATCAACGTGTCTGTCGGGAAGAGAGTGAGCACCCCTGCCTGCGAGCCAGACGCAAGGTAGGTGCCTCTGGGATCGAACGCGAGCGCCGTCACGGCAGATCTCTGTGAGGGGAGGTACGCTGTGACGGAGACAGTCACCAGGGGCGTGGTTACAATGTGCTTGTCGGCTATTTCAGAAGCGTTGCTGGTTCCTTGAGTTTCACTTACAGGCTTAGTCTCCGCTTCCATCACCACGTCTTTAGGCTCCGCTTCGCCGCCTTCTTGCTTCACCACGGCTTCCGAAGACTCGTCGTCGCCTTCGTCGCCTTCGGCGGCCTCCACCTCGTATATAGCAATACTTCCATCCCCCAACCCAACAAACAAATAGTCATCGGTATTACACCACGCCACAGAATACACATTATCCCGTCTGATCTGGAAGTGTGCAGCCACATGGTACCCTTGGGTAGTGTCCAACAAGTAAACGTTGTTCTCCTTGTCGACACACGCCAACCAGCGCCCAAGGCCGCTGTATGCGACGAATAAGAGGCGAGTCTTGCTGGATCCGAGCCGGAGTGTCTTGAGCAACGCCTTGTCCTTCTTCAGCGTGGCGCAGTCCCAGATCTTGACGTCTGCGTCGAGCCCGATGGTAGCAAACGTGAACTCGTGTGCCGGGTGCCAGCTGATCATCTCAGCGGGTTTGTCGTGCGTCGCTTCAATCGTTGCGCCGGCGGTTGGTACACGGTCTGCCGCAGTCTGCCACACGCGGAGCGACCGATCTGTGCGTGTCACAAGGAGTCGCGAGCCCGTTGCGTTGTATGAGAGCGTCACAATCCCCGAAGGTTTTGCAAGTCGTCCGCGGTCGTGCAGCGGAAGCTCCGCGTCCTTCACCGGCGTTGCTTTCAAGCTGCTGAAAAAGGCAGTGGACATGGGGTGAAATTAAAGCTAAGCGGAATGTGCGTAATGCAAAAAAAAAAGCAGAGGGGAAATGCAAGCGCTATGAGTTGAAAGGCTGAGAAAACGGTGCGTGTAACGATGGCAATCTACTGAAAATCAATTGACAGGTAGTTCCGTGGGTATGTTTGCAATTTAATGACTGATGTGTAATGCTGGGGATAACGTTTTGCTCAAGTAGACACTGACGCTGCATCTGTCTTGAAAGTTTTGGAGTCGGTGGACGCACGTCAAAATCGAGGGCTGATGGGCTGAGACGCCAAAATACTTGTTTTCATACCTATATGTTTTGAAGTAGAGAGCTTTTTTGAGATCTCTCAAAAAGTTTCACTTTTTTTTTTTTTTACCTCCGAGGGCATCAAGGATGACACGATTTTCGTGTAGGCTTGATCCTGCGGTCACATCTACCCCTGTGCATCTGCTTGGGATAATTTATATTATATACACGATGTTACATGAGAGAGCAGACCCTCGTATGCTAATGCCTAGTTTTCGGCCAACAAGTGCGCCACCTGCTCAAAGTAGGCACCGTCACACTTCTCCTTAATCTCCTCCTTGGTCAACCAGGCGTGCGTGACACCAGGAGCCTCGAAGTCACCGGCCAAGATGTGGGCCTTGATCATGAACTCTCGGGTCACGTTTTCGGCGGACTCCACGGCCAACTGACCCTGGGAAAACTTCAACAACTGGCACGGGGTGTTGGAGACGGTCCACAACTTCATGTTTGGACCACCCAAAGTCTTTATACCGACCTCGGCGTTGATGTGCAATGGCTGCTTGGAGGCCAACGGAAACGCTGGAAACGCCCAGCCCTTGGTGTTGCTCTGGTCCTTGACCAACAAGTACAATGTGCGGGAAAGCTTTCTCTCTAACGAAAGCACGTCGTTGGTTCTGTCAGCCTCGGTGGTACGGGAGTTTGGCACAAAGGCCGCAATGGTTTCGTCGTCAACCTCAGAGGTGGTGATGGTCTCACCGGCCTCGTTGACCTTGACCTCGTCTGGAACCCTCAAGACAATATCCTGCTTGAGTCTTCTGTCTCTGTCGAACTTGATGTCTGGCTTACCGTGCGGAAAATAGACGCCCGGCTGTGGGGCTGATGGGTATCTCTGTAATTTGCGGAACGCACGCTCGGCCAAGGTTCCCTTCTTGAAGTAGAAGAACTTCGGGAAGGTCCACATCAAGCGCTTCTCCAACTCGGACTGGTAGGTCTGGTATTGCTGGTCAAACTCCGGGATCTCCTGGGTGATGATTGGGGTGCGCGACACAATCATCGAAGTGGTGATGTTTTCCAACTGCGCTGGTGCGGCAGAGTAGGCTCTGTGCCCGACGGCTATACTATATTAGTCTTGATCCGGAGTGTAAGGCACAGAACCGGGTGTGGAATCTCAGATACGTACCCATGAGCTTTAAGGATTGCTTCGACAACATGGTGGTAGCGTAGCTTAGTTTTAGGGCTCGGTTCCAGCTGCAACTTGACATTTTGTTAAATGCACCAAACTGGTGAAATTTTCCAGTTCACGTTGTGCGTAAATGTGGGTCTGAAAAATCGAAAGGCGTGTAGTACACGACCGGTTGAGCGTTCCATAGGGTTTGGATTTACTCACGTCAGGGATAGCTTAAAAATTAGTAATTGATGTTTATAAATAGACCCGGGGGTTCAGGCTGCCCAGCGGTTATGGTACTTTGTTACTTTTTTTTTTTATCATCCAACTGGGTCTCCCAAAGCGCACTGGACCCTTGGGGCTTCGTTGGCGGATAAAATCACACGGTCTTGAAATGGCGAAATTTGAGCATAATATATATTTCGGGTGTTGCAAAGTACAGTGATACTCAATCCCGGGTTACATTAATCTGGCATTACCGATTCTCAGGGTTGAGAACGAACCTACTAGATACTATGTGATAGATCCGTTACGTATACCCCATGCAAGTTATTGGAAGGAAACAAATGTGAGTTTCAATATTTACCTGTATGCCGACCCTGGGAGGCTTGATGGTGAGATGAAAGACTATAGAGTGATCAAACATAATATTAATGCCGCCGATATATCTGCTTCGTGATATCCCCCCCTTCCAAAATTGTGTAAACCGCCATTTCGTCGTTCTAGCCCTCTAATGTAGGGGATACTCCCTAGATCTACTGGGCAAACCCTATACAGGTACTTTAATTTAACGCTCCTAGTCTAGACTCTACTCAAGGATGCGTCAAAACTTTTGTCAGCTCTCTAGGATACCGCAATGCACTTATATTCCTATTTTCGTTACCCATCGCAGAATTCCTGGTTCGTGGAAGGCTGAATATACATATGCTCGACACAAGCTTAAAAGGACTCTTCCCTAAACCCTTCAATGACTTTATTCGACCAATTTAGTTGCACGTGAATGCCACTTTCAGAACCTAGCTCGGGGCTTGCGCTCATTCACCACAAATCACCAAACACGCAGCTGCAGCATACATCACGTGCTTTGCCTCTTCTCCTAAATTACCACCGTTACCCGGCACAAGCCCAAAATTTTGAGCGCTTGTGGCCAGACTCCGTGAGAGAAGCGATATAAATAGACAGCCCCTAGGCTGGACACCTCGCTTGTTCCCGAACCTGCCCTATTTGTAAAATCAATCACCCAGGATTATTTTAACCCACTACAGATCACATCCCACCTTACCTCACTGTTTCGTACTTTTACACAAGTCACATAATCACTGTATACATAACTAGGTAAAATTCTCGCACAAGATGTCTGCCGTCGAAGAATTCGAAACCATCTTGAAACAGTTGCCTACCGTGAAGGCACCTGGTGTCTCCGGGACCAGAATTAGAAAGTTGACCGAGTTGGCCTCCAAGAATGTTGAAGTAAGTACTTTTTTGATGTAATCGACCCAAGAGTCGACATGTGGGTTACGGAAAGGGTTAGATATACGGCTAGATAGAGTGAAGGGGTATGAAATACAAAGGATAATCGGATATGCTCTAAGAGCAAGCGGAAGCTGCCGTCGGGTCTGGCGCTCGCGGTTTGCTGCTTAATGATCCACGTTTCGGTGCCGGTAATAAATTTATCCCACGAACCCCCATTCCTGGGCTCCCAAGTTTTCCTTAGACTACGCTCCTCAGACTGGATGGCACCGCGACAAGACCAAATGACAGCATCCACATCCTTGCGGTAAATTGGCTAAATCCCTAAATAACACCGCAGAGCATTCCTGATCGTATCCACCCGTGCTTAACGCATCCTTAACATAATGTCCGACTTACACGTCGGAAGCTGGTAACGAGATAGACGGTAAAAAGACTGGACCTAGGTCTTGGCTGGTAACATCCTAAATTGTACCCATCGCTTAATACGAGATCGAGACAGGATACGGGCCCCAGCGCTTCAAGTCTAGAATCAGAAACGGCAGAAGGTTGCACTTGAACTAGAATTGTCAAGTGGCTGGCAATGCCGTTTAGATACAACTGTGCATCCTGGTCTCTAAACCTCATTTCTGTTCACTAGCAGTGGCCAAAGGCTTGATCTAGACATTTGTGGATAGATACTGGCCCGCCTATTCGTAGTGCTCCCTGCGGTATCTTGCCGTCTATTCGTCTTCCGATACTTCTATTCGTAACCCACTCGTCTCGACCCCCTCCCATCTATAGCAATACTAACATCTCTAGATGGAATCCCAAATGGTTTCCAAGTTGTACGCCCATTGCAAGGCCACCCCGTCGACCCACAAGCTCGGCGCCCTCTACGTGCTCGACTCGATTCTCCGCGCCTACGCTACTGCTGCCCAGCAGGAGAACCAGACCGTCGGCGAAACGGCTCCCGATGGCACCGCTGCCGCGGGTGTGTTCCAAATCAGTCAGGTCGTGGACCTGCTCTTGAAGGACTCCTTAGAATTCATGGTTGACGAAGACGAGAGAATCAAGGTCGGCAAGTTGCTCGACATCTGGGAGAAGACCAACACGTTTGAAGTGTCTTTTGTAGCCCAGTTGAGAGCCAACTACTTCCCTACCACCACTCCAAAGGGCTCCCCAAAGGCGAGCTTGGTCAAGCCCGAAGCCCCAGCCGTGCCTGCGGCGCAGCCGTTTGTGCCTCCGGCTCCAGCGGCTGCCGCCAAGGACCCAGCATCCATCTTGGCTGCGTTGGCCAACTTGGCCGATAAGAGCAAGTCGCCAAGCAACCCTAACACCGTTTTGTCTGCAAACTCCTCCTCCTCCGCCTCCTCCTCCGCCACCACCGCCGATGACCCGTCTGCCATCTTCAATATGTTGCAGCAGATGCAGAAAGAGTCCGCTCCCGCTGCTCCGGCGCCAGCTCCTATTAGCTTACCGCCACAGGACCAGGTCTTCAACCAGGGCAACCAAGGTTTCCAGAACCAAGGCTTCCAGAATCAGGGCTTCCCAAGTCAGGGCTTTCCGAACCAGGGCTTCCAAGGCAACCAAGACTTCCAGGGCCAGCACCAAAATGGCCCGGGGGGCTATGACAACTACCGCGGCAGAAACGAGCGCTTCGGCGGCCAGCAGCGCCAGAACCACCAAGGCCAGAACCTGAACCCTTACGAATCGGGCTACGGCAACAGGAGAAGATCGCGCTCACCGTCCTCACGTTTCGGCAGAAACCAGTCGCCAAACTACGGGAACGGTGCCAGAGGCGGCAGAAACTTCGACCAGCCGCCTCAGGGCCACGTTGTGGGTGAAAGAAACACCCCTGACAACCCGCACTTCCGTCCTAAGAAGCTCACCTACGACAACCTTCCTGCGGGCTCCATCAAGGTGTTCTCCAGAACGTTGTTCCTCGGCGGTGTGCCGTCGTACATGGACGATCGCGAGTTGATGTCGGTGTTGCGTCCGTTCGGTGAGGTGCAATCAGTCATCTTGAACTCTGAGCGCAAGCACGCGTTTGTCAAGGTGTACTCGCGTGCCGAGGCCGAGTCTGTGATCAACGACTTTTCCAAGTCCTCCCAGTTGCCTATCCGTGTCCGTTGGGGGGTTGGGTTTGGGCCACGTGAGTGCTGCGACTACCAGCACGGTGTATCGATCATTCCGATTTCCATGTTAACCGAGGCCGATAAGAAGTGGTGTGTCAAGGCCGAATGGGGTGGCACCGACGGCGTTCCGTTGGATAGTGGTATGGTGATGGACGAGCCAGATATCGAAATCGGGACTGGTGTATCGTCCAAGGCCATTTCCAAGAAGATGCCTACCAACTCGGCCAGAAACGGGCCAAAGTCCAACAAGCCGGGCGAGCCAGAAGAACGCTATGTCAGCACTGATTACCGTGGCGGGCAGCAGCCGGGTTTCATGGCCGGGATGGGTGCTGCCAACCCATTGGCGAACATGTGGGGCAACAACAACGGTCCTCAGCACCAACAGGGCCCTCCAGGCATGGTGGCGCCGGGTATGCAGAACCAGGCTCCGGCCCAGCCGGACTTTGCTGCCATGATGCAGACCATGGCTGCCATGAACGGCGGTCAGGCACCGGACTTTAACCAGATGGCTGCCTTCTTCCAGCAACAACAAAGCCAGCAACGTTAAAGACGGTGTTTCCCTGTATATTCTTTGTATTTCTTTAGTTTCGTTAATCTATTTCTGTTTGGATATTTTTAGGACTGTAAATAAAACCGTGAGTGATTGGGGAAATGGTGCCTAACCTAGCTTCAATCTACTCCGTAGCACCTCGTGTTTTCGAAATGTGATTCGATATATACAGACAATAGTGTGATGTTTGATAAGGCCTATTTATATCGGATCTATAGGCAGTTGATGCAAACCCTTATATCTCTATATGTGCTTTCTCAGGTATACATCCAAGCTTTTGTTAGTCACTGATCTTAACCCATTGCTTTATTCCTGGAGTTTGAGTCTACGCTATCACGCTGCCTTACCAATCATATGTATCATATTTTAATGCATACCCTGTTCTATTTCAATATATACCCTGTTCTATTTCAGTATATACCCCGCTATACTTGACTCCAAAACTGCCAAGGTGTCAATGTCGCCTAAAACTGGAAATTCGGATCCCACACCCGAAGGGTTAGCGTGCTACCATGCGCCCCTTCGAAGGATATATAAATCTGCACGCTTTCCCTTCACAAAGCTGTCGACTTGCTTACTTTCGGGGTTTCGAAATTCCATATATGCCCTTATCCACTGAGAGAACCCTACGGGGACCTATGGCTGTGTTCAAGCACCCAGCGATTTTTTTGCCCTTGATTGATAAAATTGGGAAATCTAGAAACTCAAACGTTACGGCTAAGCAGTCAAGTTTCCCACTGATGACTACTTACGGCCGCATTAAACCCTCGGCCCAGGACTAGCCTCACCGGCGTGACCTAACCGGCTAGTCTGAGCGCGCTAGGTATGGACGCGGAATCGCCGCCTCACCAATCGCCCTCTTAAAATACCCCCCAAATGAAAGGGCAAACTCGATTATTTCCCTGGATTTAGTATTCTTCAAAATGGACAGCTTTCCATTTAATGAGAAACCCCATTACCATTCTTGGCTCCGGGATCTGCACCCCTCTCGCCTCCTCGTTTAATACGTGTCCTCCTCAAACGGGTAACACCTATGAATCTCGAGTTTTTCGTTTTTCGCGGCAGTGGGAGAAAACTTTTCAGGTGACATAAAAATAGGCGGCGTCGCATACTTTTCTGCTTTCTTGCTTTTTTTTTGCTTCTCTATACTCACTATATTCAAAAATGTCTGCTGCTTTCCCAAGAACCTGTTTCAAGTGCGGTGAAGTCGGTCACCTCGCCGAAGTCTGCCCACAATCCGAAAGATTGTGCTACAACTGTCGCCAGGCCGGCCACGAGTCCACCGCTTGCCCAGAGCCAAAGCAAACCACCCAGAAGCAATGCTACAACTGTGGTGAAGTTGGCCACGTCAAGTCCGACTGTACCGCTCCGCCATCCACTAACGCCGTTGGCGCCAAGTGCTACAACTGTGGTGAGGTTGGCCACATTAAGGCTGACTGTACCTCTGCTCCAGTCGCCTCCACCAGAGAAGGTGCCAAGTGCTACACCTGTGGTCAGTTTGGCCACATCTCCAGAAACTGCTCCAGTGCTGGCGAAGGTGACGCCCCGGTCAGGCCAGCGAGAGCCGCCAGAGGTGGTAAGGCTACCACTTGCTACAAGTGCGGTGGTCCAAACCACTTTGCGCGTGACTGCCAGGCCGCCCCAGGTGCTTCTATCACCAAGTGCTACGCTTGTGGTAAGACTGGTCACATCTCCAAGGAGTGCCCATCCCCATCTGCCTCCCCATCTGCCGGTAAGACTTGTTACAAGTGTGCCCAGGCCGGTCACATCTCCCGTGACTGCCCAGAAAACCAAGAGTAAGTCTTGCGCTGGCTAAAGCCGATGTTTTGAAGCTGTGAGATCGTGGAATCGATAAAACGGAGCCGTTGTTGTTGTGATGATGATGTTTCTTCTTCCTTTGTACCTATATTGCTTTACTATTTAATCTACCTTTTTATTTCGATCCCTACTGTAGTGGATGGTGCTGGTGAAGACACATGGTGATTTAGCTGATACCAGAATGGCCTACGCCTTCGATGCCTCTCGTCAAATGCCCAGACAATGGGTAGTTATATAGATGTTTTCAGGGGAGGAATAGAGTCATGGCTAGCAAAAAAAAAAACGCTGATTGATCCAAGGGGGCATAATCCGACCATCGTTACACATCTGTCAGCGCCGTGGTGGAGCTACGCTCACCGCTTAGACCCTGTATACATTACAATCGAGCTAAACATGAATCTACTGGCAGAAATATTTCTGAAATAAATAACGAGCTTAATACCCATAGAGTCAACATAGGCATACATTTGGCGCTGTCGGATCACGCTCCCTATGTCATGACATACTTCGGACCATCACCACCCTCTGGCACCGTCCAGTCAATATCCTGGTCTGGAACCTTGATATCACACGTCTTGCAATGAATACAGTTCTGGGAGTTGATCTGGAACTTGACCCCGCCGGCCTTTTCGTCCTTCACATCCTTGCTCTCCACGTACTCGTACACCCCCGCGGGACAAAACCTCTGCTCCACGCCCTTAAACCGCGGATACGACTTTTCAGCGTGCTTTCTCAACGTCTCTTCATCGTTCACCGTCTCCTTGGCCTCCTTCCCCGGCACGGTAAGACGCAAATGGCACGGCTCATCGTCGTCGTGGTATGTACCTGTACGCGAGACACTGGTCAAGATATCGAAGGAGATGACACCGTCCGGCTTCGGATAATCGATTTTGGTGAACTGATCCGCTGGTTTAGTACATGAGGCATCGGACTTGTGGTGGTCAAACGTCCAGCTTTCCTTGCCCTTGGTGATCATAGTGGTCAACCCGGAGTAGGCCATCCCCCCAAACAATGTCAATGGGGAGTTGAAAGAAGGGCGGACGTTCCTAACCCCATACAACTCCTCATGGATCCAGGACCCCTCGTAGGCTTTCTGGTAGGCCTCCAAGTTGATTGGCGACAAAATGCCTTCTTCGCTCTCTTCCGCTTCCTGAAGAGCCTCAAAGATGGTTTCGGCTGCCAACATTCCCGACTTCATCGCTGTGTGGGTTCCCTTGATCTTTGGCACGTTCATAAAGCCGGCGCTACATCCAACGAGCACCCCGCCGGGGAAGTGCAACCTCGGGACCGACTGCCACCCCCCCTCGTTCAAGGCCCTGGCACCGTAGGAGATGCACTTACCACCGGTAAGCGTGTCCTTGTAGAACGGATGGTGCTTCATCTTCTGAAACTCCTGGTAGGGAGAAATCCACGGATTGGCGTAGTCAAGACCAACAACGATCCCGACAGCCACTAGCCCATCACCGAAGTGGTACTGGAACCCCCCGCCGTACACGTCGGTGGACAATGGGTACCCCATGGTATGGCCCACGAACCCTTTGTTGAACTTCTCCGGTGCCACCTCCCAGACCTCTTTGATCCCCAAGCCGTACGTTTGGTTGTTCTTTCCCCGAAGAGCAAACTTTGAAATGGCCTTCTTGGTCAAAGACCCGTGACATCCTTCGGCGAGCACGGTCATCTTGGCATGGAACTCCATACCACGTTCGTAGGAGTCTTTGGGAGATAAATCCTTGGCGATTCCCATGTCCCGAGTAGCCACTCCTCTTACCGCATCCTCTTCGACAAGCAACTCGTCCACCGCAATGCCTGGATACACCTCCACCCCAAGCTCTTCGGCCTGCTCAGCCAAGTACTTGACCACCTGGTTCAACGATACAATGTAGTTTTTGCCTTTGTTCACCATCTGTGGCGGGTGGGGTAACGGGATACTGCCCGTAGCCGTGAGGAACTTCATGGAGTCAGTGGTGACCAATGTCGCAAGGTCCTGTGGCAACGGAATTTCGTGGCCCTCGGCGTAGTGCTCACTATCAGGAAACAACTCGCAGAGTGCCCTAGGCTCCAAAACGGCCCCGGAAACGGTGTGAAGCCCCATATCCGATGCCTTTTCAAGAACCACTACCCGGAGTTCGCCAGAACCATGTTCCGCATCGAGCTGCTTGAGCTTGATGGCCGTAGCGAGCCCCGCTGGGCCACCGCCCACGATCACCACATCAACTTCATCTGCCGCCCGCTCCTCGGAGAGAATCTCCCGGGCTTCTTCTGGAAGCTGGGAGAACGGTGTTTCACGCGCCGCGGGGCTCGTGGAAAAAGCTCTGGTAAGGGCGCGGGCACGTGGCGTGCCGAACGCGCGTACTGGCGCGGCTCGCATGCGAAGCGCTCTCACGCATGGCCCGAGCCTCATTCTGGATAATGTGGACATGTGTGTGAATCTATGATGTAATGGATATTCCCGACGAGTGTCTATATAATTGTGGTTGTCCTCTTATGGAAAGCAGTGTTCGTTATTGCTTTCATGAAAGATCATGCCTGTCCAGTGAAAAATCCTGGGTGGCTCAATAATTAATGCATGTCACGTGCGGGAAATTGGGTTGACTCAGACCCGCGTGCGGTATCGAGCCAATAGGCACGCGCGAATTACTCACGGGGAGAAAAGGCGCTGGGACCGTCATAAGTTGTTTTAGAAATAAGAGAATAGGCCTTGTTGAGGTAATTTGCTAAGGTGGTATTAAGCTTCGAATGATATGAAAAGTTTGGTGCCCTGGAGCGGCTCAGTGCAGGGAGTGCGCTTAGATAACGTGCAGTGTATATTCTGCAGTGGGGTTGAGCCATAGAAAGGAGATAGGGTCTATCACAGGCAGACCACCCTGTATAACGGTCACAGTACCTACTCTCATTGTCTGTAAATTATTCTAATAAAGTACTCTATATATGTGTATTCAGTTCTATTACCAATGCCCGGTGGTATCGCTTCCACGATGCCCTAATACGATTCCAAAGCTCTGGCCTTGGGTGGCATACACCTTAGACAGAGATCTAGACGCACCTTCGGGGACGGTGCCGCGGAAACACCTGCAAGTGAACTCACATGCTACCCTTCCCACATCCCCTTCAACCTTACGGAAATGTTTGGCCTCGCGATACTCCGAATAGAAAATCACCTCAATTAGTTCATCAGGAAATTAAGGCCGTACCAATGAAGCGCCTTCTTCTGAGGCTTGGCATCACCTGCATTGACGCGTTTCCTGGGCGAAAAGCTGGGCACACGAGCTGTACGGCACGGAAAAATTATACGTGGGTAGATGTCTCCAACCATTATGCGCTCTTTCTCGGAGATTTACCTACCTGAAAATAAACTTTACGGGATATGTCAGAGAGCTTTCTGTCTATTCCCTATCTCTGGCTCACATTTCACGACGGGACCCAAAGTTGACAGCCTAAAGCTCTATGAAACAATCCCCATTCCGCGTGCCCCGCATAAGACGCAGACGGGTGGTTGTGGCTCTACTCACCTTCTTAACCATCACAGCACTCACATACGCTTCCCTTTTCTCAAAAGACATTCCCAATGTCCCCTTTAACAGCCAAAAGGACCTGTATGCCCTTAGGATATTCGGTAAATCCCGTGAACCAATAAGCCTAGATTTGCTCCTCGAAACCAAGTCTAACCACCTCGAAACGCTAGTCCGCCACAACCCGAACCGTCAGGTGCTGATTCCAAGCGCGTACTTCGACGCATCTGCTCCAAACCCTCAGCTTTTGGAACACAACATTCATTTCACTCTAGGCGTGTACCTCCACCATATCGTCAATGCAATCACCCAGGCCCCGGAGATGACCCTATCAGACATCACTGTGCCGTTCCACTGGGTGGATTGGGTGGATATGGGGGACATTTTCACCAACTCCCTCCTACTGTCAGCGAAAGAGAAGCCTCTGTGTGCAGATATTGCCAGCAATGGTGCCCTTCGCCGCCACGTGGATCGCTTAGACCTTGTACACCGCCCCTTCGGACCCGTGCGCGAAGCGGAGAATGACTTTAGGGTGGACAGCGATGAGACTGAACATGACAGTGTGCTACCTGTATTCTGTATGAATGATGAAGGCTACTCCAAGTTTGTGGCCAACGATGGCCGTGGACTCTTCCACTCGGTGCTTGATTACGTCAAGAAGGGGGTCGTTGGTGAACGAGGAAGCGAGGTTCTTTCCCCCGGTTTCCACGTTTCCTCCCCTGGGAACGCCGGTGGGCTCGGCTTGAGCACCATGTATGGGAAATCCTACCTCTTTTCCTTCGCTCCACCTCCGGTTTCTCTCATCTTTCTTGTAGAAAACCTGGCGTACGAGGTCCCCGTAAAGCAGGAGCAATCGCAGAAGTTGATGCTTACCCAGAACGGTTTGATCGAGGAGTATGTCAGTACCAAGCAATACACCGTGGACTCCGCGAGAGCCATGGGTTTATTTCAATCAGGTGTTCCGGCTCTGAAGGTTGCCCCAGAGCTTTTATTGGAGAAGGAACTTCTGGAGGACATGTTCCAATTCGACGCCGAGCAGGAGTTAAAGACGTTGGAGGAAACGCAAGGCGAATATGAGCTGGTCAAGACTGCTCGATTCAAGAGGTTTCTCGAGACCAAACCAGCGGTTGACCAGCCCAGGCACTTTAACCTGCCGCAGTTGGAGCACACCCAGTTGGACTCGAGCATGTACGACTGGAGATTCTTCAACGCAGAGCGCACCTTGCCCCTCTCGGCCACCCATACCCCAGCCCTTGTCCATGGCTTGATCACCGCCTGGCTCCACTTTGCCCAGGTGTACGAGTTCCACTCGTGGCTCGCATCCGGGTCTTTGCTTGCGTGGTACTGGAACGGACTTGTGTTTCCGTGGGACAGCGATCTCGATGTCCAAGTTCCGGTTGCGACCTTGTATGACCTTGCGCACCGCTTTAATAACACGCTCATCTGCCACAATGGAGATGTCTACTTGTTTGAAGTGGGCGGATACATTCAGACGAGAGAACGCGATAACGCCAATAACAAGATTGACGCGAGATTTATTGACACCAAGAGCGGGGTCTACGTTGATGTGATGGCTCTCTCGGTCTCCGGGGTAAGAGCCCCAGAGAGGTATACCAAGGCGAAGGAAAACCCGGAAAATACAGATGACCAGGATCTGGCTAACGGTCAGAGTGCGAAAGAAGACCCGGAAAAGAGAGATGACCAAGATATAGCTGACGGCCAGAGTTCGAAGGAAGACCCGGGAAAGAAAGATGACCAAAATCTGGCTGACGGCCAGAGTGCGAAGAATATTGTGAGCGCAAACATCAATTACTCGGCCCAGAACACCCAGCTCAAGGTGTACAACTGTCGCAACCACCACTTTGCCAGCCTCAACGAGTTGTCTCCGCTCTCACTTACTCTGATGAACGGCGCCCCGGCCTACGTCCCCCACAAGTTCTGGGAGATTCTCGAGGTGGAGTACAAAGGTGGAATGGAGAGCATGCACTTCGAGAGTCATGTTTACTTGCCGTTAGTGCACTTGTGGGTCCCTGAGACGGATGTCACAACGTACTTGGAGAAGTACAACGGGCAGTTCCCAGAGGGCGACGCCCGTCAGAAAGAGAGTTCTTCCCAGCTCAACGAGGCAGACTTGCCGAGAATGTTAGCTTTCAATAAGCGCTGGTTAGAGGAGTATGCTGCTACATACGAGTTCACAGAGATGCACGATGTCCAGATGATGTCCAGGGAAGGAAAGGGCGATGAGAGCCCCGAGGAAGTGGCTAGAAACTATCTAGACAAGAACTGGAACCCTAAAATGGAACCAACCAGAGGAAGGTCTAGACCACTCCGGGTTTTGCACTAGCGGCGTTTAGTTGTATAATAAAGAGATATAGATTTGAGTCGTATGCATAGAGTATCAGATAGAGCACGCAAAGTTTAATTCCTTCTGTTGGCATTAGTTACCGTATTATCGCTTCACCGTCTCCTCCCTACAAGATTTCGTATAAACCGCTACCCCAGGCCACCAAAGCCATCTACAAGAGTGTTTGATATTCGTGGATTGGAACTATATAGAATCCGTCTGCCGTTCCCAGATAAAATTGTCTATACCATGGTTAGTAACTGGTTGCTGACGTTTGAACGCCAAGGGAGTGGAAACAAAACCAATGAGGTTAAAATCAGATATCTAGGACTTTCTTCTCATGAAACATAAATATCGAAGAGCTGGGTTTATATAAATATATAGAGCCTCTGGGGCTCATTATCATCACTTAAATCATTGGTTCTGTATCTCAAGGTTCTTGGCCATTCGGAAATACTTACTCTCTGGAGCAGGGAACGTATCCATGACCTGGAACACAGTAGGGATGGAAGTTAATGTCCAAGAGGAACACACAAGATTGGACGTGTTTAAATAGTACCGGCAGAAAGATGAGAGGAAAATTTTAGAGGAAAAAAGTGAAAATTGAGTACGGCGATCCCGTCAGGGCTTTCTCAGTGGAGGCTGCGGCGCACGACTTTTCACTCTGCGGCCGACAGGACTGGTTCCGGCAAAATACTAGATACAAGCACAAGCCCCATAATGTTTTGATAAAAAAAAACTCCCTATGCCACACAGGTTGGTTTTATGACTGTATCTTTCCGGAGCTGTTCCGATATCTACAATAATCTGAAGGCATACATGAGTTAAACTAATTTCCGTAGAAAGGCCACGGCATCCAGTCATAAGCTTTCTGAGCAAAAGCCTGCGAGCAATAGCTTAGTTCCAGGGTCTCTAACATAAGAACCAGAAGATGAAAAACTCGCCGACGAAACAGTAAACAAACAAGAACTGCACCTTCACCTTGCGGCCCTTGCTACTGCTGTTGCCAAAGCCATTGCCGTACATAGTGGCTCCGGTAGACGAAGGTGGCAAAACGACATCTCTCAAAGACCTCAACAAGAACAAGGCCCAGCCAACAAACACGATCCCAAAAACGGCCCATTTGGCAAAGAACTTGTTGTCCAAGCCCAAAACCTTGTGCAAAATGCTGATGGCAATGAGACTGACGTACTTGTAGTTTGTCAAAGCCACCAAGTCCCACAAGGCGCCGTACGTCACACCAGGGGTGCTGCTCGAAGGATCAGCGAGCAAGTAGATCCCCAATTTCAAGAGAAGCAAGTCAATAACCGCAAAAGCCAACGTGGAGGTGGCATTGTAGCCCAAAATCTCCGGGTGAAACTTACCCCTGGCCCCAGCGGTGACAGCGCCGAATAAAACGTACGTCACAAACCCCATCAACGGGATATACAAGTCTGGGGCATTTGTGTCGGTTAGTGGAGGGGCAAAGGCGGCGGTTGACTGGTCATTGGACGAGGATGTCTCGACAGCTCTGGACCACGACTTGTGTCTGTAAGGGAACAACACAAGGAAGATCTTGCGCAACACGTAGTTGGTGGAGATTTTGAAGTAGGACTCAAGGTGCGAGCGGGCAATGTACAGGTTAAAGTTGGAGGAGATGTACTGGTTGGAGGACTGGAAGGCGGACTGGGTGAATTGCATCCCCATGGAAGCCGCAGGGTCATTGAAGAAGTTGCTGAACTGCGGGTTTCCAGGGAGGCCTTGTTGTTGCTGCTGTGGCTGTGGCTGATTCTGTTGTTGGTTGGGATAGAATTGTTGCTGTGATTGGTCTATGAATTGATTAGGGTTGTGGCCGTATTGGGGCTGTGGTTGAGCCAAATTGGCTCGCTGGTTAGGCTGTTGGTTGTACTGGTACGACATGGAAACACCTTGTATATAAATCTCTCGTGTAGGGCTTCCTAGATACAACTGGTTTGATGCAGGTATATTTCAGTTGGTTGGCGTTTTACTGATCTCAGAGTGATATGACGCTGTGTGAAATTGGAGCCACCCTATCTTAAAGACTGAGGCTTTGCTACGCTAACGTAAGGACCAAATTCCACCACGAAAACCGCGAAACCGGCCAGATTTGGCTTGACGCGTTCGAGAGCCAGCGATTGTATGGGTGGCCAAGTTTGCATCACGTGCAGTTCTTTGTGTCTGAAAAGGAAGGTTAGTTCGTGGTGAACAGCCGCGACCACAGGATATACCTACATCTCCGCTTGTGTATATGTCACATTTAATGAATTAGATGCTCAAACTGCTATAAAATATGTTTTATGATACTAAATAATTACCGTGTGTATGGGTACCGGAATTAGTTTTAGTAACACAGAAATCACTACACTATACTTTAATATATATAGTCTCATGTTTCTTTAATTTTGGTATATTTAAACATATGGAAGCAGCCAGGGCCACATTAATATCTACAAAGACATCTACAAAGACATCTACCTGTTGGATATGATTATATATACCAATTATAAATATATACAGATATGTAGGTGTGCACAATGTACGTTAAATCACCATGGATTTCATCGCCATAGAAATTGTCTAAAATGCTAGTTTATGCGGAACGTAAATACGGGCTACATAGGCACGCATTGTACACATGCAAGCATCCCCTAGATGGTACTAATAGCCGCAGATGCAACAGATGCATTCTGTTAGTATCTAGACAACCATGCTTTTTAAACACTGCAAAGAAACGTCCCAAAAATCGCAAAGGTTGCTCTCTGAACTAGCACTGTACAGGTGCGGCTCGTACTCAACACAAGGATAAGTGTCACTGAACAAGGTTTTGATTTTTTTTGAGAGGGCGGTTGGATTATTCCAGCTTTTGACAGAGGTACCTGTGCTTGAACCAGTAAATATTCTAATAGATGAAAATATCATCCTATTTGGTATATCTCCTGTACATTATATTGCACAGTGAGGGAGCAGAGGTCTTAGATTATCCCGATATCCCGAGAGGAGGGGCCAAAGGAGGGACTCATGCGCGAGCACGAGGGCTTCCAAACTTTAATCCTGAAAGTAAATTAGACAGACGGCGCCCTCTGTTTTTCCAAACTCGCGCTCGGTCTTATCGGAGGGCTGGCTAATCTAATCGATCAGCACGGAATGCAACCTATAGTGGGGAATGATTTCGCGATGCTGGCATCATTATACCAGCCAACAAAAAGAGAGTAAGCCCCGACGTTGAATTTAAGCATTGCGATCAACAGTACCAAGCATATTTGTCTAAAAAGACTCAGTTAAAGCTTGGCGGAGCATGAATAGAAGCTTGTCCAGAGAAGAGCTGCAGTAATACTTGCCACTTCCCAAGCTCGCACTACCGACATGAACAAGTCTAGGCCGTCTTGCAGCTTGGCGCCCAGCACTATAGAAGTTATACGTTTAACCGTTCCTGAATTGTGCGGAAGCCTTGGCATTTAGGAAGGTAATACCAGCCCGACACATTTCTAGTCTCCATACTAGGAGAGCCCCTAACCCCTCTGGATATAACGCTAAGCTCTTCCATGGGCTCAGTACGAAAAAAATTGTTCACGAGTGCCTCTGGTATGTCCGATAAGTCACGTATGACACATAGCAGATCCATAGGCATGCGGCTAGGGAAACAACATGGTTGTCAGAATAATCGCGCAGAAATATGCACCAAACGACCAACCCACATTTAAGGAGCTCCCCTGTAAGCGGCACATCCACCCCCGAACAGGAAACACGTCTAAAAGGTGCGAAAGAGTGTCAATCCAGGAGCTAGCCAACTACCAAAGTATTTGTGCACCGATGAAAGCATCCCGCAAACGGTAAAACCGACACTGACACCTCCAACAAATAGTCTGCACCCGCTTCGTTGGTAAATTCAGCCACCGAACTATCATCAGCTAGAATTGAGCGGCTATTCAAGAACTTGGGGCCCCTGGCTTCTATTAATATATGTACTGTGATCGATATTACCGTTATGACCCGTAGTTTGTATGTGGTTTATATTTCCACCAAAAACATGACGAATCATCGAACGCTTTGTGCGTATTATCTGATGCAATCAGTCACGGGGCTAACCAAAAACGGCATGGAAAGCTTATTTTGCATAAACTAGCCGCATGTGAAATGTACTCCCAGGGAGTATAACACTCCCTTCTAGCGGGAAACTAGTGTAGCGTTTGCCAGCGTGCAGCGATTGAGCGATTTAAGCTCTCTCCGAAACAGGGAGACAGCAAGCTTTTAAGAGAGGCATCATGCAATCTGCGTGCGTGGAGGTGAGCAGAAGTACAGCCGTTTAATGAGAAGCAGCCATTTTTATCTGCCCGGAGTCGTCCGTTAGAATAAATCAGGGGTCTCTCCAACCGGGGTATATATAGCCGCACCCTCCCCCCCTTCTGGTTTGAACATGCCATATTTAACCAGCAGCTGCAGATTCATAAAGGCACAGATACATTTGCTTCCTTTTACTGCTGACCCCCTTTACCAAATATAACCAGAGGCAAAGGCTAAGATGGTTAACGTATTCGACGTGCAAATCTTCTTTGTAGTCCTCAGAGAATCCCTAGAAGCCGTCATTGTGGTGTCGGTGCTTCTTGCTTTCTTAAAGCAAGGTCTCGGTGGTGCTAATGACGACCCAGTGGTCTATAAGCGTCTCCGAAAACAAGTTTGGCTAGGTGCAATTATCGGTGTTATTGTCTGTTTAATCATCGGTACTGCTTTTATCGCAGTGTTTTACACATTGAAGAACGACATTTGGGGGAAAACCGAGGATTTATGGGAAGGGATCTTCTGTATCATTGCCACAGTCTTGATTTCCCTCATGGGGATTGCCATGTTGAGAGTCAACAAGATGCAGGCAAAGTGGAGGGTGAAGTTGGCCAAAGCTTTATTGGAGGAGCCAAAGTCTAAGAAGGACAGATACAAAATTGGCTACCTCACCAAGAAGTACTGCATGTTCATCTTACCCTTCATCACCACCTTGAGAGAAGGGTTGGAGGCTGTTGTTTTTGTCGGTGGTGTTGGTTTAGGCTCCCCTGCCACGTCCTTTCCGCTTCCAGTTATCTGCGGCTTAATCTCCGGTATCTTAGTCGGTATCGCTATGTTCTACGGTGGGGCTAATATCGGGATGCAGATTTTCTTGGTCATCTCTACCTGCATTCTCTATTTGATCGGTGCTGGTTTATTCTCTCGCGGTATCTGGGGACTTGAATCCTATATCTACAACAAGAAGACTGGTGGTGATGCATCCGAAAACGGTTCGGGTCCGGGTACCTACGATATCACCAACTCGGTTTGGCACGTCAACTGCTGCAACCCAGAAAGGGACAATGGATGGGATGTGTTTAACGCTCTTTTGGGATGGCAGAACTCTGCCACGTACGGCTCCGTTATCGGTTACAACATCTATTGGTTGTGTTTGATCATCACCGTTGGTTTGATGTTGTTCGAGGAAAAGACGGGTCACTTGCCTTTCACCAAGGGATTGAGATTGATCGAATTGAACCCGATGTACCACATTAAGAACAAGAAGAAGAATGAGTTGACCAAGCAGGAACAGGATGTTTTGTTTGAGCAACTCAAAAAGCATAAGATCGAGGGTACAGACGCGGCGGACACTACTGTCCCAAAGAGAAGCGCTTCCATTGAAGTCTCTGCTTTATAAGGGCTTATTTTTCTATTCCCGGACCTTGCTGTACGCCTGACATGATTTAAATCATCTTTGATTGTTTTCTACACCGCCGAAATTGGACACAATGTCCTTACGCGCATCCGCTTGCTTTTATCTCTTCAAGGGAGTATTCCCCGGGTGGTTGGAAAACTACTTAATCGTTGGTTGTATGGTATGTCTGATCTTTGTCTTTTCCCTATGTAGGTTTTAATCATATATTCGTCCACCTTGGGTATACCCAGAACAACTTTCAAGAGTAGCGTACAACCTGCATCTCTATCGCTACCAGCTCTACCCAAGATGCTTTCTGACGCTGAATCATGTGAAATCGAGACCTAAAACTACCAGAAACTTGTGAAGGTTAAGCCTTATTAAGTATGATTTTCGACGTCCTCTTACAATACCCGACCACCCAAACATGACACACCTGTTGCTCCGCCAAAGTTCCTACAAGGTCAATGAATTCCGCTTCGACACATCTCCTGCACCTCAACCTCTTTGCCAAGAAAACGTGCATACAGACAGACTCCTGTTATGAAAGCACTGCATGATATCCTGTACACTGTAGAGTTCCGGCCTCTCACCATCTACCAAATTACATATACACCGGATATGAAGGGAAAAGTCTTGGAAGTTGAAAAAGTTTTACTAGTCCCTTTGCATATCATGCACCCTAGCTGCATTGGTAGCGGTAAGCTTCACAACAACCTTCCCCATATATATTAGAGTTCATTCCCTTTTGATTTACGAAAAAAATGACTTCTCACCCGCTCCATCGCTGTTTACTTTAAAAGTATAATGGTTGACGTGTTTAACGTACAAATCTTCTTTGTGCTCTTCAGGGAGTCCTTGGAGGCCGCTATTGTGGTTTCTGTCTTGCTTGCGTTTTTGAAGCAAGGTATTGGTAGCGTCTCTGATGACCCTGTCGTCTACAATAAGCTCCGAAAGCAGGTTTGGCTAGGAGCGATACTGGGGGTGGCAGTTTGTATCATCATCGGCGGTGCGTTCATCGGCGTGTTCTACGGATTGGGGAAGGATGTCTGGGGAAAATCCGAGGATTTGTACGAAGGGATCTTCTGTATCATTGCCACAGTCTTGATTTCCCTCATGGGGATTGCCATGTTGAGAGTCAACAAGATGCAAGAGAAGTGGAGAGTGAAGTTGGCCAAAGCCTTGTTGGAGGAGCCAAAGTCTAAGAAGGACAGGTTCAGAATTGGCTATCTCACCAAGAAGTACTGCATGTTCATCTTACCCTTCATCACCACCTTGAGAGAAGGGTTGGAGGCTGTTATTTTCGTTGGTGGTGTCGGCTTGGGCTCCCCTGCCACATCGTTTCCAATCCCAGTCATTGTTGGATTGATTGCCGGCTGTGGCTGTGGTGCTCTTTTGTACCTCGGTGGTTCTACCGCTGGGATGCAGATTTTCTTGGTCATCTCCACCTGTATTCTTTACTTGATTTCCGCCGGTTTGTTCTCTCGTGGTGTCTGGTTCTTTGAGAACTACCGTTACAGTAAAAAAACTGGTGGTGACGCTGCCGAAACTGGCTCTGGTCCGGGTTCTTATGATATCTCTAACTCAGTTTGGCACGTCAATTGTTGCAACCCATTGATTGACAACGGTTGGGATGTGTTTAACTCTCTTTTTGGATGGCAAAATTCCGCCACGTATGGTTCTGTTATCGCGTACAACGTCTACTGGTTGTGTTTGATCGTCGCCATTGGTTTGATGTTGTTCGAGGAAAAGACGGGTCACTTGCCTTTCACCAAGGGATTGAGATTGGTCGAATTGAACCCGATGTACCACATTAAGAACAAGAAGAAGAATGAGTTGACCAAGCAGGAACAGGATGTTTTGTTTGAGCAACTCAAGAAGCATAAGATCGAGGGTACAGACGCGGCGGACACTACTGTCCCAAAGAGAAGCGCTTCCATTGAAGTCTCTGCCTTGTAAGGGCTTTATTTATGCATCCGAATCCCATACACACATTGACGTTGGTATCAACTCTACACATGTCTTTTAGTTCAAGACTCGACCACGCTTTCCCTTAACCTGTTAGCGGGACTATTTATTATATCATTTATACCGAGAATCATGACTATTATCCAAACTAGTAGACTCTAAAGCAGTTCAATAATACAATATGGGTACTACTCGTATTTGAATATTACATCCACACGGCGCCCAAATCCCACGATGGCAGGACGTTATGCACAAATATACGAGTAGCTAACCCAAAGTGTAAAGAAACTTTTACTAGCACCGTTGTACGTGCAGCGGCTTCAGATAGACTCAACCTCTCGCTACAACCACTTTCTTAAGGGACTTCAATCATGCATTACCAGGTCAGATAGCAAACCTAAATCCTGAAGACGGCTTGCCAGTAAATCTCAATCCCCAATACCATCTTCAGGCCCTCAATTATAACCTGCACACATCCCAATCGCGCTTTTTCCTCTATTTTTTTTCCCGCCGCACAACGTTGACGCATGTCCGCGATGCCTACCAAAAATGTGGAAAAAGTGATTGAGAGTGTGGCAAATTAGTGTCATCCAGCTTCCTTCTAAACCCTAAGCGCATACACGGAAAGATCTATACCAGTTATTCCTAGCAGTAAACCACATCCAAGTTAATTTCCCTCCATAAACCATGGCTGTGCCTCAAAAGAGAAGGATTGAATCGGACGATGAGCAAATTACAAAGAACTTGAAGGTCTCCGGGCCCGAAACTATAACCAACAATTACACAGGGTACAAACCTACCGAGCCAGTAACAACGGTCGAGTCCATTGCCCTTAGCGCCATCACAAACAAACAGTTTTTTGAGCAGTATGTGGGGTTGAGAAAACCTGTCGTCATCAACGGCGTGATCCCCCAGTTTCCGCTCGCCGACTTCAAAGCCGATGGGGACGCCTTTGTGGAGTTTCTCGGTGCCAAAGACTGTGACTTACAGGTCGAGCAGAAAGTGCGAGGCGGCTTCGGGAGTGGTAGCCAGAGAGTCAAGATGAAGTTGCCTGAACTATTAGAGAAGTTCAAAGATGGCGACCATGATTGGTACTTGACCACCCAGTATCTCGAGGACGACCCAGAACTTGTCGACGAGTTGGAAGCTGCTGCCGAGTTTTCCGACTTTAGTGGCAGTGAGGAGGGCGAAAAACTTGCGACAACCGAGCTTGTGCCCGAAAGCGACAACGACGAGGAACCATCGGCTTTCGGAAATATTGAGGACTTCTCAGACTTTTCAGACGACTCCATCGACATGGAGAACATCCAAGACGATTTTGATGAGGAAGGGAGTGACATCTCAGACGAAGATGGGTCAGAAGGCGAGACCGACGACCCAATTGTGTCCCAGGTCTTTGACAAGTCGTCTGACGAGCCCCTCCGGTTGTCAGAGGCCAAGATGCGCGTCCAGGAATTGGTACAGCAACCATTGACCGGTTTGGCCAAGTCCAGCAAGTTCCCCTTGCAACCAGAGCTCCTCTCCACGCTTGTGCCGCAGCAGATTAATCTCTGGATGGGCAGCAACACCCAAGCTGCTTCTGAGTTCACTATCGACGAGAGCGATGCCCAAACCTTTGGCTTGGGCCGTTCCATCCCAGGCAATGGTACCTCATCCGGGTTGCACCACGACCACGCGGACAACTTGTACATCCCAATCAGGGGCCAGAAGCGCTTCACCATTTACGCACCAAGCGATGCCGCAAAGTTGAGCACTGTCGGCCGTATCTTTAAGATCTACGCGAACGGCTTGATTGACTACAACGACGGCGACGAGACATATGAGTGGAAACATGTCAGAGACGACGGCGCGCTTGTCACCGAAGCGGCGAGATACGAGTTGCTGACCAATGAAGATCTTGCCGATAGTATCAGAGAAGAGCTCGAAACGATCGTCAGACAGCAGGAAGACGAAGAGCTTGCCGAAGCCTTGTCTGGTGCTAACTCCCTCCGCGATCGGTTCGACGACAACTTCGTCAAGAAGGACCCTCCTAGTTTCTCCCGCATCCCCCCTGCCTTATTGCACATGGACGAAGTTCTCGCAATCGAGCCCGAGGTCCAAACAAAATTGGAGGCCTTTGCGGACAAGAACTTCCCGGGGTTCTTGCAATTAAACAAGATGGTGGTTGCCTTGGAACCAGGCCAGATGCTTTACTTACCAGCAGGCTGGTTTCACGAGGTCACCTCGTTTGGTGGCGATGCCAACGCGACTTTTGGCCACTTACACCTGGCGGTCAACTACTGGTACTTGCCACCTAACACCAACGACTTTGAAAAGCCGTACGCTGACAATTACTGGAAGCGGGACTTTGAGAGAACTTCCGAAGCTATTACCTTGTTGAACAAGGGTGCATTTGAATTATGATTTCCCTCCTGTCTATCACCGAATGGCATTTACAGACTCCAGTACGAGGCAAGCCCTGTTATCCTTCTCGAATGGCCCAAATTCCATCTTTGCTCCCTAAGTTACTCATAACTTATTCGTAGCCATTTCCGAGAGTTTTTCGAGCATTTTCCGAGGGGTTTTCGGGCAGTTTTTCCAACCTCGGAAAGCTGATGTATGTATTGTCTTCCACGTGGGGTAATATTTCCCCGCAAACCAAGCCCTGAGCACTGTGTGCTCCGTTTTAGGTTTTCGAAAAATGCACTTGGGACCCGGCGTATATCCCAGTCTGCGTTGTGACTGCCAAATCTGCTGTCGGATTCCTAGCTCGGCCAAATCACGTGACATGCACCTTCCCCTTTGGGCCTCATGCAGTGTTGATCTACGCACCAGATCCGAGCTCGTCTCCATGAGAATGGGAGGTTCGGTCCTGATTTCAAAGCCCCAACCAGAGCCTTTTGGACCTTAAAGGAGATTGGAGTAGCCCCTTACTGGCGTAGATGCCCCAAAAGCAATGCTACAGAGGGGATAGTTGCCCGGCCGTAGAAAAAAAAAGGAAGCCAGGCTGCATAGTCCCTTAAACAGCCCCTTATTAACTTTCCAGATAGTTCCGCCGATCTGATACGAAACCAGCGTTACAAACTACTAGGAATGCTACCAACATAGGGTATCGACTTATTATCGCAGAGCTATCCCTAGCGAACGGTGATACCAGCCATGATGGTTTGGCGCATATACGTACACGGTCTATAATTACCCTCACCGTGTAATTCTTGAAACAGTGAATAATTAAAAGTCAAAATGCTTCCAATAGCTAAACGATCCGATTAACATTTCGCCTACCGCGTCCTGACATTAGTTTCAGCGCGAGGTCCCCTGACCTTTATTGCATCATGCTACAGCCCTGGAGCACGCAGAGCGATTGTTCACTGCACGCACAAATCCTGCCTTTTACCGCATCATGCCTGTGCTCCTGTCTGCCTTCCCAAAACAACATTAGCTGCCCCAACCACGGCTTATTCCGATACGGTATATCTTTCGCCATAATCTGCAGATTTTGCATCTCTCCTGCTTTCTTTAAAGAAACGTTTAACTTTCAGAAGATAACGGGGAAACTGTATGTGTCAAAGGGTCTTAAGGCTGGGTGAAAAATTTTCAGGGAATAACTAGTTATTAACAGATTGCGTTTTTAGCTAACCAGAAAAATAAATACTTTCTAGTTGAATCTTTGGTATCCTGGCTCGTTTTTGATTTTGTGATTGTCAAAGGGTGTTTATTCGTTTAAATAACTCTGTCTCAAAATTCATCTGCGTAATACACTGCTTGGCTGCGTCCTTACTATAAGCCAGGAATCGCTTCACACAAACATCCTGCCCTTCCAAGGAAACAGAAAGACACCTTGTAAAAGGCTTTTGGTTTTACGTTACACCCCAGTGGTAACATTTTTGAATTCACCTGTGATTTTTCACCCCTGAATCTCTCCATACCTGCCCAGCATGGCTTTGGCAGAAAGAAGACCGTTGGGCTACGCCGTCTCCTCCCCATCCTTTAACGCTGCTCCCTTGAGCGTCTCCGCTGCCGTGGCTGCGGCCAACAACGCTGCCTTGAGAAAGGAGAGAGACTCGACCCCTCAGTACACCGTGGATGCTCCCAAGCGTGGGGGTGTTTCCGACAACTTTGAGGAGTCTCCCTCTCCGTTTACCGATGACAACAAGCCTCTGACGCCTGACACCAGTGTTAGTCCATCCGATTTATCCCCTTCCTCCCACCCGCTCGGTAAGATTGAACGGTCGCCGTCTCCCCTTGTTGCTGACCCTACATCCCCCGCGAGATCCAAAGAATCCCCCCTTTCCACAGCCACCTCTCCCGGCAAGGAGTCAAAGAAGGATAAGCTCCCTAAACAGCTCAGGGTCCCAGCCGCTACCGGCATCTCCACAACCATTCCTGTCACCGGCGAGAGACCAAAGCCAGAGCGCCATGCGTCTTTGGAAGACGACGTGTTGTACGCCATCTTTGAAATCTTGCACGAAAAGGATGCCGAAGGGGCGGGCATGACCGTCAAGCAGGTGTGTGATATTTTGATTGAAAAGCACCCAGACATGGCCAAGCTATCCTCAAAGACCTCCAACTTGGTCAGTGCCAAGTTGAATGCGTACGTGAAGAGGGTCGAGAAGGGCGAAAAGTCCTTGATCTATGCGTTATCCAGAGACTGGGCCGATGCATCACCCAAGCGAATGGTCTACGTGTACCGCGGGTTGTTGGCGAAGGACTTTCACGTGCACGTGCAAGCCCTTGTTGAAAGCAAGAAGGAGGCTGATGAAAAGAGTGGGAACCCGTTATTGGCTACTCCAGCCACGTCGGCCTCTTCCCAGAGCTTCACCACTACCAAGAATGTCTTGAAGGACTCCTTCACCCCGGACGACTTCAAGACCAACAGCGGAAACAAACAGAGACGTGCCACGATGTACGACATCAGGCCTGTCAAGTCCACCTTCTTGGAGTCTCCTATCGACTTTAGAAACCTCCACTTGTCTGGTATTCCGTACTCCGTGGCTCCGGTGACGGCTTCTTTGGCCGGAACCTCCTCGATCATGTCTACGCTTGTGGAGAGGGACGCGTCCTCTTTGAGAGACTTGAAGTTACGTGCTCTGGACATGAAGACCGAAGATGAGTCGCCCCAGGCCTCGGATTTGGACATGTCCGACTATATTGATGAAGAAGAGGAGCTCGATTCCGAGGACGAGACTTCGAGACCGTTTTTCCGCAACAAGGCCAAGAGATCAAAGTCCATGTCTGCTTTGAGCAATGTCAAGCGTCCCAGACCAATGACCGCGGCCGCGGCCGCTCCGCGTATTCCGAGAAACTCGATTTCTACCGCGGAACACGCTGCCGTCTTGGAAGCGCTTTCCCCGCCAGACTCCATCGTCTCCGTCACCTCTGCCTACGCCGGAGTTCTGTCGGACTCCTCAGCCTCCTCCGAACCAGCTATTTCCCAGAAATGGTTGAAGGTGGTGAGATCAGGCTTTTTGACCCAGGACATTGGTGCTCCAGAAGACATTTCCTTGTCCGAGCTTGACATCTTGTTCGAGTAGCTTCCGCCATCCATCGTAATCTCCCGGGTGGTCACTTCCTAAGTGATTACACAATGTACACTAGCGGGCTGTCGCCCCCTCTTTTTCTCTCTCCTCTCATTCAGATATACGCGTATCATGGTTTTTGCTATTGACTATATTTTTATTTTGAGTTTTGCTGCTTTTTGGTTCACGGGTTTAATGCTGTTTTTTTTGAATATTTATACTTTTTTCCGGATTTCATATCTTCTCCCTTTGGGATCTCACTAGATTTTTTCTTTTTTTTTTTTTAATAATCATTATCGGCTTGTTATTTTAGTTTTTTTTTTCCCCGCTTAAACATTGGATAACGTTTTCTTTATCGGTCTTTTGTCTCGTCGGGGGTTTATAGACTAAGCTAAGGCCTTCTCATAGGGTGACGAATATATTGCATACGACGAAAATCCTCTAATTAGTTGGCGAGATGCTACTGACATGGGCTGGCTTGAGTGAAATCAAGTATGGTTTAGCCAGCGGAAACTAAATTTAACTTTCAGCCCCAAGATCGGTTGTGGCTTTTAAGACATAAGCGGTAGTGCCTCCACCAGCACCCTCTGCCGTTTCTCGTACATTAGATCTTCAAGGATTATCTTGCGCTTGGCTTAACGTATTGCTTCACAAACCATACGTTTTTGTCAGATGTGGGGACAACAATTCAAAAGGGCCTTGGCTACTATACCGGGAAAAGTTTCCAGCCCAACTTTGACCGATATCTGCATCATCGGCGGTGGCCCAGCGGGGTTGACCTTGCTTACCGCTCTTAAGAACTCGCCCGTCACGTCCAACTTGAAGTGCACATTGGTAGAAGGCGGAGACCTCCAAAAGATCAGAAGTTTTGTCCACGAGCCTCCTGTTAACTTCTCCAACCGTGTCAGTAGTTTGACCCCGGTTTCGGTGGAATTCTTGGAAAAGATCAACGCCTGGCAACTCGTCAACCAGTCGCGAGTCAAGTACTACGATAACATTGTCGCCTACGACGGGTTAACTGACGCCAAAATCAGCTTTGAACAATCCGAGATTGCAACCATGTGTGAAAATATGAACTTGCAGTCTGGCTTGTTGGGCCGAATCCAGGAGCTAGACGCCGGCCTCCCCGACTCCTTGCAATCCGAGATTCTCGATAACACCAGGGTGACAAACATCTACAAAGAGAGCGATACTCCTGATGACTGGCCGATTGTGGAACTATCTTCCGGCGAAAAGGTAAAGGCGCGCTTGCTTATCGGTGCCGACGGGTTCAACTCTCCTGTTCGTACGTTTGCCGGCATTGAGTCCAGGGGCTGGTCCTACAACAAGTTTGGCATTGTGGCGTCGTTGAAGCTCGAGATGGAAGACTATAGAAATGTCGCCTGGCAGAGATTCCTCAGAACCGGCCCGATTGCTTTGTTGCCGTTACCGGAAAACAATGCAACCTTAGTCTGGTCTACCACCCCTGAACTCTCCGTACTATTGACCAAGATCTCTCTGTCCAAGTTTATTTCCTTGGTCAACGCTGCTTTTATCTGCGAGCATACCGACATGGAATACTTCTATAAGTTGGCACGTGACGAAGCCACCACCGACGCACAGCTAGCTGATGAGGTTTCTTGGAGAATCGGCAGACTCCCGGCGGCCGAGAGAGAGGAACACTTTCCAATGAACGTCACCGATGTGATTGAAAACACCAGAGCCCGTTTCCCGTTGAAGATGTCCCACGCGGATTCCTACGTGGATGCCAGAATCGCCCTTGTCGGTGATGCCGCCCACACCACCCACCCGTTAGCTGGCCAGGGCTTGAACATGGGACAAGGTGATGTTATGTGCTTGGTGGAGTGTTTGGAGGTTGGGATGCAAAGAGGGTTGGATATTGGTAACCCGTTGGTGTTGGAGCCGTATTTTGCCAAGAGATACCCAGAGAACCACATTTTATTAGGCATTGTCGACAAGCTCCATAAGATCTATAACACTGATTTTGAACCAGTTGTGCTTCTTAGATCCACTGGGTTGAAGGTTATCAATTCTCTCGGGTTTATGAAGGATGCCATGATCAAGCAGATCAGTGGAAGATGAATGTCTACGCCTGTTTTTAGAAAAATCTACTTGTACATATCCTTATAACGAATGTTTCAGATTTGAGATTTAAAGTGGGCCGGACTTGGGTTTGAAACCGTCAATCGGTTTCATTTCCGGTTTGGGATGTATTGCGAGAGGATAGGTATCTTTGCACATGTTTGATGTTTGCAAGGAGATTTCGATAGGGACTTGCTTTATAAGTGTACCAGACACCACCCCAAGTGGTGTGAATTCAGGGGGGACTGCTTGGAATCAGCAAGGTCTGGGCGGATAGACCACACCTCATGTCAGGGTTCCAGCGCCTGTTGGTATTCCAGTCGGGGGGTTGTAATCAGTCATTGATTCACAAGTTACTTATCGTGATCTTCCACAAAAATAAAGATAATATTAAAACCAAGATCATTCTTAGATCTGGAAAACTACTTTCTTATATAGCTTTCTTCGGTGCCTCATTTGCTTTATGCGACAGGATTAGTTTCAGATACTCATTATCAAACAATCCTAGTAGCCTCAACTGGAACCTCATAAGGTTCCTGAAACAACTCTCTAACTCCGACACCTCAAGTGATAGCTCGCATGGTCTAGTGGTATGACGTCTCATTCACTCTGAGAAGGTCAAGGGTTCGATCCCCTTTGTGATCATCATTTTCTTTTTTCTCGAGGCAAATGCAGGAGAGCCGCGGAGACTAATGTATGGACACTGGGGCAGCAATCATGACTGGTTTATCTGGCAGCAGCTCCCTTAATCACATATCAATACCATGCATTAGCACCAGCTCTCCCGCCTCCCCTAACTTCAACCTTCGATGATCAAAGTTGCGCTTCGGGTACCGTTACATTCCAGGTCGGTATTGCCCCAGTTTGTCTCCCTCCGCCATTCGAGAGCCGTCCACCTTAGCCAGAGGCTACGCGACAAAGAGAAAAAGCTCGAAATTGATCATCAAGAGGAGGTCATAGTTGATAAGTTTGGCAAAATTAGAGACGATTATAAAGCTCCTAGGTACCCGCTTATTCTCTGTCATGGGTTCTCAGGGTTTGACCGATTGATTCTCGTTCCTTCCTTTGGCCAGATCAAGAATTATGTATTGGGGAAAACCTCGCATTCCTTCAACGATCGCTTAAACTCGGGACTTTTCTACTTTGATTACTGGTACGGGATTAGAGAGGCATTGGAGGAACAGGGCTCGTCTGTGTTGACAGCCAAGGTCCCACCCTTTGGCACCATTGCGCAGCGTGCCGCTCGCTTGAACGAGTTCATCAATGCCGAAATGAAGGACTGGCGGAAGGAAGACAAACAAGAGGTGTATAACGATGAAACTGAAGCCTCTGATTCCTTCAAACATGAGAAGATCAAGGTCAACTTGGTGGCGCATTCCATGGGCGGTTTGGACTGCCGTTACCTCATTTCCAAGCTCAAACATGGGAACTACGAGGTGGTCAGTCTCACAACGGTATCTACCCCACACCGCGGCAGTCCGATGGCGGACTACTGCATGGATTTCAACAAAAAGTTGAAAAACGTGCTCTTCCTCCCCCCGAGCATTTCGCAGTTAACCACCGCGTATTTAGAAAAGTTTAATGAAAAAGTGTTGGACGATCTAAATGTCCAGTACTTCAGCTATGGCTCGCGGTTCACTCCGTCCTGGTACAACGTGTTTGATATTCCATGGGGAATTATTAACAAAACGGCAGGAGACAACGATGGCATGGTTCCCGTGGCGTCAGCCAAATGGGGGAAATACCTCGGGACATTGGAGAACGTGGACCATCTTGATTTGATTAACGTACGTGGAGCTTTTTGATGGAGTTGAACAAATTACTAACAAGATATTAGTGGACCAATGGAGCGCGCAGAGCGTGGACAACCAACATTCTTCACCAGGAGGAAAAGTTCAACCCGGTGGCATTGTATCTTGATATTGCGGATAACCTAGCCCGTGAGGGTTTATAGGTTAATGCGGAAATGGCCGAGGGCAAAGCGTGGCTAGACATCGAGAATGCTTAATAAAACTCAAACGTAGCACTATAGCCGTCAGAACGGAATCACCATTAGATATTGGCATACGTTTAGATTATTGCAACCTTACCCCAGTTGTAGAAACCATGCATATTTTATCGAATACCTGTGCTTTCACCTATACACGATTCAGACCAGGCTGAAACAAAATCCTCTATAGTTTTGGCTCAAATCCTTCGCATAAGTGCGTTGAGTGGAAATGTTGTCTGATGTGGATTTCTTCCTGGTAAAGGTTACAAGAAAAGCTATCAACCCTCTTTCGGCGCTCCAGATATACCAACACGTAATTTGACAATGAATAAGCTAGAGTGAAATCCGTTCGAGTCGATTTGGAAACAAATTTCTGAACAAGGATCCACACCGGGTTCAAAAGCACCAAACCTTCAAGCTACTGGGAATTGATAATCACAACCCCCCTATACTCCCTTTGTAGCCTTGGACCTATCCGTTTTTATTTCTCGTAGCATAATCACGCAACTAGATCCCTCAGGAATACGGATAACGTTGATATCCTGCCAGATGATAGAATTGCATAATTCATATATTCACAGTACCGGAACCTATCGACAAGCCCACTCCTGGTATAGCTCATACCTAATACTACCCCTCAGCACCCTCTACATATTTCCTTTCACCGAGCATATATCAGCTACACACTAGTGACTCAAGGTGATGGCCTTCTGGTAGGAAAACTCGTCGATCCCCCAGGTACTGTTGAATCTCCCATAGCCACTGGACTTGACTCCACCGTGGGCCAAGGTGGCCTCGTCGCTGATGGTGGACGAGTTAATGTGCACCCCACCGGACTGGATCTCACGCGCCATTTCCAACGCTCTCAAGTGATTGCCAGACCAGATGGAGCACTTTAAGCCGTACTGGGAAGCATTCACGGAGCTGATGGCGTTTTCAGTCGTGTCGTACTTTTCAACAAAGAACACCGGGCCAAACGTTTCAGTGGTGTAGATTTCCATATCTTCGGTGACGTTGGTGAGAATGGTCGGCCTGAGAGAGTAGTCTTCGCTCGCATGGTTTCCAGAAGCGCCCAACAAGCTCACCGCACCCTTGGATACAGCATCCTTGAGCAAGTACTTGATCTTCTGGGCATATACTGGATCTCTCTGGAGAAGCTGCAAGTCCTTGTCTTCCTTGAGCATTGCAGCACCAACCAGCTTAGCCTTCGCCACAAACTCGTCAAATACGCTTTCGTGCACCAAAACGCGCTCAGTGCTCATACAAATCTGTCCTCTGTGGCTCCAAGCGCTCCAGGTGGTGTTGGCGACACATTTGTCCAAATCCGCCACGTCCTCCGTCACAACCACGCAGTTCTTTCCCCCCAACTCCATAAGTACCGGCTTCAAGTGCTTCCCCGCAGTGGCGGCAATCGCGGCACCTACGGCTGTAGAGCCCGTAAAGTTGATCTTCTTAACCACTGGGTCTGCAATGAAGTTTTCCACCAACGCTGCAGTCTCCTGAGGCGGAGAGTGAATCAAAGAAATAGTCTCTGCCGGAACCCCTCCATCAATAAAGCACTTCACTAAAAGGTAGGCAATCTTGGAAGATTTTTCGCTCGCCTTGACAATCACCGCATTACCAGCAACCAACGGGGCCAAAATGGAGCGCATAGCCAAAATCCCCGGCGCGTTCCACGGCGAAATTGACAACACAACTCCAAGCGGTTCTCTTACCACCAAAGCCAAAGCATACGCTTCCGACTGCTGCATCGAACCCTGCGCGTTGGCCAACTGGCCAACATAATTCTGGACCTGGTCCACTGACCCGTCAACGTTGAAGCCGGCAAACCACGGCGGAATACCAATCTCCAAGTGTGCTGCCACGAGCTCCGCCTTGCGTTCCTCTATCTTCAGCGCGACAGCCTTTAGAATCCGTGCCTTCTCCGTCCACTTGGTCTTGTGCCAGCTGTGGAAACCAGCTTCGGCGGCGCGGCACACCTGCAGGGTGTCGGCCACGTTCTCCAAGTAGTGCACCTGGTGGAGAAGCTTGCCCTCTGGGGAGAATTCGTCAAAAGTTTTCTTGGTCGCGACGTCCTGGCCGCCGATAATTAAGGGAATATGGGTTGTCATTGTGAGTCTGCGGGTAAACGAAAGCCCCGAGAGTACGGTTCTGGTGGCTAGAGACATGGTATATATATATGAGATGCAGAACGGTTATGGTGGGGAGGTGTCAATTGTGCCAGCTAAATATGTGTAGCATTAGTAAGATTACGAATTAGCTAGGTTGCAATCAGGGTAATGGTTTAACCGAAGTGCGTCTCCACTCTAAATTTTTGAACGTGCGTATTTTCAGCGTGGGGTTGCGTCTTTTTCCGAAAGAGGGGCTCTCCCGTGGAGGGACAGTTCCGAGTGAGAGGGCATTTTACAACGAATATGCTACACCCGAGGGATTATCTTCAGAGGGAATCTCTCAAGTGGCGGATTAAAAATGCATGGCCGTGAGTAATTTACGTATGCACAGCTGAATATATTCCTCTTTGGTTTCACAATTCGAGAAACGGCTGACCTCGGTTACTACATAGGTCGGAAAACTGACCGGATATTGGAATCGCTCTCTAGCGACCGGAGCTATCGTGGTTAGACTTGGCCCAGCAGGTGTATAAGGGTGTCATTGGTCCGGTAGAACTTAATAAATATACATTAACTCAACAACTTTTATAACGCGGTATTTTTCGTATGCTATTTATCATGAATAAAGCTGACTAAATGAAAGCAAAGTGCAGTTTGAGGTTAAGAGGTAATCTGCAATAATTAGAAAGCTCATTCAGCCGAAACTAGTGTATTAAGAGCAATAAATCTCACTTTCAAAGGAGCAGACTCTGGAGAGTCTCGAAATCGCAGCTCTGGCAGTACTCAAGGATATCACCCACCAACGCCAAACGGTCTGCAACATCCTCAGCCTCGGCATCCATGAACCCATCCTCCATAAACTTAGTGCGCACAAGCCTACACCGGTTGCGCTCGCCAATCAACCAGTTATTCCACTCGCCAATAGCAACCTCCTCCTCGAGCCGATTCAACATGCGCAAGCGAATCAACAAATCGTTACGCTGGATACCAATGTCGTTGAAGCGCTGCTTAAGCGCACGCGCCACCGCACAGGTCTCATAGTCGCTGTAACCTGCGCCCCAGTCCACGGCAGCCTCGAAGTTCAGCACAAATGAATTCTCCTTGAACTTGGCCATACACCGTGACGCGTTGCCGTTCACGCCGCTCAGACTGGTAACAAGCTCCTCCGCGTCTCTAAGGTAAATCGCGCGCTGGGCGTAGTTGGGCTCCGACGACTTGTAATCTTCAAACATCAGGACAGCTTTCCGCGCGCTCCAGTAAGACGCGGTGGTCTTGCCGGTGAGGAACAAGTTGTAACAGCAGGATACCGTGAGCAACGCCACGAGGAACACATTCATCCGTAAGCCGTCCACGAGCCGCGAAAGCCCGGTGTACAACAAGGAGCCGAAGTTCAAAATGAGCGTCACCACAAACACAAGGACCTGGCGGACCAACGCTGAGACAATCGCCGACAGGGTAATCACACTCCCCTGGTTGTACTCCGGACGGTCAAAACCCTCCTCGCCGTCTCCCTCGTACTTACTGATCTGGCCGTAGATCTTGATCGCCTTCAAGATCTTGCCATGGCCGCCAATGTCTTCAATGCTGGCCAAAAGCCGCTTGTGGATCAACAACAATGTCGGCTGAATCGTCGCAGAGGCAAGCACCCGCGAAATATGACTGAAGAAGAGTGACTTGGTGAATTGGACGTGCGAATACGCGTATAACCGCGAGTGCTTGTTGTTGACGCTCAGGATAACAAAGCGCACATCCAGCGGCGCCGGCGCGCAGAAAGGCACCTTCCACGACGCCTTGTGTATCCTCACGTTGTAGTACTTGTTTTCCACGAGACTTTCGATCGTATAAGTCGTCTTGATATACCCCAAGTTGTCCTTGTTCAAGTCCATTTTGGAGTAGACGGTGCGTTGCAAGAGATCGCCGTCCACACGCCGCCAGTTGGTGCGTGAGATCTCGTGCTCACGGATCGGGTGGTATACATCGGTAAGAATTGTGGAAGAGTCTCCAAACAAGATGTGGAACATCGCCTTGGGTGGGATGTCGTACACCTTTTCCATGCGGAGACTCACATCTCTGGAACTGTAGTCGGTCTTGAAGTTGGATGGTTGGACTGGCGACGAGGCCGAGACGACAGACGGAATGGAATCGATAACCGCGGGAGGATGAACCGCTCGAAGCACCGATTCCTTCTCCGCCTTGTCCAAGTCGGTAATCAAAGGTTCAAGCGAGCGCTTTTCGTCGCGCACCTTTTCGTTCATGAGGATCTTGAGCTTCGCTTTGAGCACCCTGGCGTCGTCTAAAAAGACCTTAGTCTTGATGAGCAACCCGTCGCAGTCGTAGATCTTAAGCACGTCGTAGCGGTCGGTCGCGTACGACTCGATACTCACAAAGTCCGCGATCGCGCACTTGGCCAAAAACACGAACCCCATGGTGTTACCGTAGAAGTAAAGGTGGTCCTGGGTGACAAAGTTGGTCCCACTGAGCTCTTGGCTCGGGTTTGGCGACAACAACGACTTGAACTCGAACAACGCCACCTCGCCGTCTTCCACTACCGTCTCAAACAAAGCCTTCATCTTGACGTCGACGGCGCGGAGCGGCTGCGGGTAGTTCGCAGGGTATGTGCGCGTACTTATCAGCATTGACTGCAGTGACATGCGCGTAAGCGACTGTACTGCGAGTCCCGGCGTGCTCTCCACATCGTGCGATATGGCCGTATCAATCTCCCTGATCTTCTTCAGCGACGACTTGTCGATGAGAAAGTAGATCCCCCAGTTGACGGAGCCCCAGAGGTTGGCGGTGATGGCCGTGGGGATCACGCTCGGGCTCACAAACATGCGCGCAAGGAGCGCGGCGTGGCTGATGTCGGTGGAGATGGGCGAGTTGATGAGAGCGGTCGGCTTGGTGAGGTTCTCGAACTCCTCCAAGACTTCGCGCTTGGACGCAATGAGGTCCGAGAGTTGCGCAATGTTGTTGGTAGAAGTCCATTCTGCGTCCGAGGTAGTCATGGCAGACGAGGCGAACTCGAGCAACAACGGCGGGTAGCGCGCGAGCGCCATGCCCATCTCGGTCTCATCGTTGGTGTCGATGATGCGCTGCTTCTCCTTGGCAAAGATCTTGAGCCAGGACTTCAAGTCCTTGAGGGTCTCGGTCTGGAAGATGAAACGCGACTCAGCAGTCTTTACTTCAAAGCAGAACTTGCGCACCTGCTCGGGCGCGTAGCGCACATTGCAGCCCAACACGCCGAGCTTGTCAGTCTCCTGGACGTAGGTCTGGGACGGCGCGAGGAGCAAGAGGCCGAAGATACCGCTCTTGAGGAACGCCCAGCGCTTGACCCACGTCTCGCCCGGCAGGCCGGGGAGGCTCGTCAACATAAAGAGGTAGCCGTGCTTCTCGAAGTTTTTTTCCGGGTAGTCGAGCCAGGAGCGCGCGTTGATGGTGGCAGAGTCGTAATCCGTGAGCGTGCGCGATGGCCGCATCTGTGCGAGCGTGCTGTTCTCGATCTGCTCGCGCGCGGCGGCCATGATGCCCTCGAGTGTTGCGCGCGTAGTGCCGAGCGAGTCGCGCCACGCCTGGATGCGCGCCAATGTGCGTGCACTAGAGTGGTTCTGGAAGAACGAAAAGAGATTGTTTAACTCGAGCGCCTCCTTGTCGAGCGTTTCGCCCGGCTTGGGCACCCTGACCTCGTTGAGCTTCCACAAAGAGCTGGAGAAGCGCACCAATGTCGAGTCGAGTCGTTGCGACAAATGGGCGATGCACACCACGAGGTCCAACGCTGCGTGCATGTACTGCTTGCGCACGCGGTACAACTGCTGTGCATCCTCCATGAGCATCTCGGGGCTCTTGAACTTGGGGTGGCTGTTGTAGGTTTCCAAGTACACGTTGTACTTCTCCTGGAGAGCGTCGAACTGTACCTTGAGTCGCTTGTAGTGGCGGATGTCCTGCGCACAGATCTGCAACAACTCGTTGGTGGCCTCGTTGGTGGAGATCTGCACAAACGAAAGCACATTGCGCCAGAGTGAGCGCATGCCGTTCGCGGACGTCTGGAGCGCGCGCACAGTGTAGTCCTGGTCCACAAGGCCCTCGTTGATGAAGGACGGCACGAGGTGCTCCACCATTGTGTTTGTAAACTCCTTGAACTCGTTCACCTGGGCTGGGAACCGCCGGATGAGCTTGAGCAAGTTGTCGATCCAGAGCTCCATGTCCTCGATCTGGCGGTCGTGGTGATTGATCGACGCGCGGAACGTGGGTGAGTCGAGTGATGCCTCCTTGAAGGCGACAGAAATAAGCTTGAGGAGCCTGGGCGCATCGGACTCAGTCATGGCGTAGCAGGTAAATAGGTACTAGTGAGCAGTGAGCAACGTGCGAGGGGTAAATAGCAATGAGCAACGAGCGAGGAGCAAATAGTAATGAGCAACGTGTGAGGGGTAAACAGCAATGAGCAACCTGCGAGGAGCGAACAGCAATGGATAAGTAGCAATGGAACAAGTGGCTATCACAAGAACAACAACAACAACGAAAGATAAATAATAACAAAAAGGTATCTTATCGCAAAGTGCAAATAAAACGCTTTTGTAGTCGGGCGGAATGGCCGGTCTGTATCCGGCATATAACGACAAGGGGACTCTCACAAATGAAACCTATACGCCTTAAAGTCGTGTAGGCATCGAGCATATTTCAGAGCCAATCGATGGTTAATTTTCATGTTTTAAACATTACGCATGGCCGTACGAGATTATTTTTTAAAACGCTTTGTGATCCAATGGTGACCGTGTCTTGGTGTACACCTTTTCATATTCTTTCGGCTTAAAGTGCATAGCCCGAGGTGCAGCAATCTTTAAACGACGCGGCAGCAACCAAATACCCCCCCAAAGACAAGTGCCACGCCACTCGGAGGACAAAAACAAGCTATCTAACGTGCTATTCATAATCCAAAACACCCTATTTTTTTTATACCCCTTTTACTCGTAGTTGGATCCTCAACCGATAAACTACCGAATCTATGTCGGTTTTCGGGCCGTAGTCTCCCAGCCGCACTGTATGTATTCCTGCATAGATTAGAAATATTTCATTACAGAACGATGCTGTGTATTCCAGCCTAAAGATAACATACTCACCCCCTTTTCATTGTTATCTCAAGCGAGGCCATTAACATATGAGTGTCTTGCTTCAAACTTCAGCGGGTATGTCGTTACCTTTTTTTCGATCCGAGCGCGTACTAACACTACAGGTGATATTGTGATTGATCTCTTCGTCAAGGAGAGCCCTAGAGCATGCTTAAACTTCCTCAAGCTCTGCAAACACAGATACTACGACTTCAGTCCACTTTTCAATTTGGAAAAAAACGCCCATGTTGAGTCTGGGTTGCCGGACTTTCCTCTAAACTATACCGAAAACGACCTTGGAGTCTCCATCTGGGGGCTAGGCGGTGAAGAACAGCGTCCCAAGGCCGGCTCTCAGAAAGTGGTGTCCCTGAAAATTGGCCTTGTCTCCTTCAAGTTAGATCAGTCTGCCTTTGGATCGCGCTTCCAGATTTCTCTCGCCCCTCAGAGCGAGGGTCACGTCTTTGGTACCGTGGCGGAGGGCTTTGACACGCTTGACACGGTCAACCGTCAGCCAGTGGACGCTGAGGGCAGATTTGAGCAGGACATTCGCATCATCCACACCTATATTCTTGATGACCCGTTCGACGATGTCGCTGACGTTCCACCCGTCCCGCGCCCCAGCAAGACCCAGCTATCCACTGTAAGAGGTCTTGAGGTCAGGGGCGTTGAGCTAGACATGGAAAGCATGGACGAGGAGACCCGGGAGAGGTATATCCGCCAAAGAGAAGCCGAGTCCCGCTCCTTGACACTTGAGCTTATGGGTGACATTCCGGCTGCGACGGCGAAACCCCAGGAGAATGTGTTGTTTGTGTGCAAGCTCAACCCAATCACCGAGGATGATGATTTGAGGCTCATCTTTTCCAGGTTTGGCGAGATCCGGTCGTGCGAAATCATCAAGGATTCCAAGACAAGGCTCAGTTTGTGCTACGCGTTTATCGAGTTTGCCACTAAGGAGAGCTGCGAGCAAGCGTACTTCAAGATGGACAGCGTGTTGATCGACGACCGGCGCATCAAGGTTGATTTCAGTCAGAGTGTGGCCAGCTCTACCGCAAAGTGGGAAGAGGGGGATAAGAGAGGGCATGAAGGGAGAGGCGGTGAGAGAAAGCGGCATAGAGATGAGTCTGGGAGGCAGGGTGCTTACAATTTGGGGAGTGACAGAGATTACGACAAACGGAGTAATGATTATGGAAAGAAAGGGTATGCTGAGAAGAAAGACTACGGCACCAAGCCTAGGGATCGGGAAGAAGATCGAAGGGATTCAAGGCAGCATGAGGGTGGTTCGAGAAGGTCGTACCGGGAGAGAGAGTCAGGGAAGGCGTATTTTTCCAGGTCAGATCAAGGCAGAGATTCGGAAAAGTCAAGATCAAATCATCGAGATCTAGCGAGGTATTCCAGATCTGACCGGGATGGGGACTCGGATAAACATTCGAGATCCAATCGTTATAGAAATACCCTGCTGAGCGACCGCAATGCTTCTAGCTATTCGCCAAGATCTGAAAAAAGACATACATAAGGTTTCCGGGTCTCATAGAATGGTAGAGAATCGAAATGACGGAAGGTCTCACCATGAGAGCGAAAGACAATAGCTATGATGGTCACGGCCAAGTGAAGTGACAGGGTTTTAGGAACTATCATTTACTCCAAACGACCTTGCTTTGTATAAAACCATGGATGCTAGGTCATTAAACTCGCTTAAGCAATTTTGCCGTTTACGCTAAAATATTTATGGCCCAATTTGTCATCGGCAACTATTGGGATTGGGTGAGTTTACGTGAATTAATTCCTGTTCGCTCCGGCCGCACAAACCCTTATCTTAACATGTCTGTCCGGCGATACACCAAGCTTATTCTCAAGTTTGACCTTAAGCGAGGAATCCGAATCTCAGACAAGCACCAGACCTCCACGATTTATCTCAATTTTCTAACCCCTTACGGCGCCACCTAAACTTCCAGAGCTTGGAATGTTTGGCCTTGCTGACACTACTCCTGCGAGTCTAAACGCTACTTGACGTCACGCCACACGTGACATATAGCGTGACGCTATCTCCACTGTAACGCGCACGGAATGCGGCAGCAAATTTTTCTACCTATTTTCCTTTTGGTGTGCTGCCTTGCAGTTTCTGCGAGCAACAGACTCGGGCGCGAGGCGAATTGCAAGGCCTAACAAATCACTCCAAGGCTCCCTCGTGCTGCCCCGCTATAAGCACAACCTTGAATTCGAATCTATTTAGTCAGTTACACCGTAATTTACTAAACTTATACATATATATCTACCTTATATGGCTTCCTCCATCGAAAACTTGAAATCATTTGGTATGTATGGTGCTAGCCGCCCAGCTGTCCACGGAAACTAACCGCCTTAGATCCATTCGCCGACACTGGCGACGACGATACTCAGCCAACCAACTACATCCATATCCGTATCCAGCAGAGAAACGGCCGTAAGACCCTCACCACCGTGCAAGGTTTACCAGAAGAATATGATTTGAAGAGAATCTTGCGTGTCTTGAAGAAGGACTTTGCCTGTAACGGTAACATCGTCAAGGACGAAGAATTAGGTGAGGTCATCCAATTGCAGGGTGACCAGAGAGTCAAGGTGATGGAATTCTTGACCACCCAATTGGCCTTGCAGAAGAAGAACATCAAGATTCACGGTTTCTAAGTCTTGCGCTTGGCCCTTGAGTATGCCCGGCGCCACGAGCGTGGTTTCACTCTCCGCCAACCAACTGTTCTCACTGGAACGTCTCCAGTGCTCTGCTCTTATGTTACTTTCGTTAATACATACGTATAATAGTCTCTTGTAGCTGTCACCCAGGTGATGGAAGGTTATGTTTGTGTATCTAAAAGCGGTGCAATGGAACTTGATTTTATGCAGATCTCTCCCCCGACACGTACCACAACGGTTGTCCTCTCCTAATTCACATGATTGTACTTTCCTAATTCACATGATTGTAGCTTCGTACCCATTAGTTGAGAAAGGCATAGGTTTAGAGTCTACACCGTGTAACCTCGTACGATCTCTTGGTTATTTGTCAACGCGTATTTCCATTATTTGCTATCGACATTTATTAATTACACAGCTATTTCGTTATCCTCTAGTGCCTGGCACACCCCCATCTTGATGATTCTCGCTCCTCGGGTACGAGTCTCTGGAACGGTAACTTGAGCCCTCGGGGTCTCTATCATTAGATCGTCTTTCAGATCTCTCTCTGGGTCTGTCACGGTACTTTGCATTGTAATTTCTGTCGGAGCGTTCGCTGGATCTATCGGGTGAATCCTCCCTGTGCGATCGTGACTCCTCCCTGTGCGATCGTGACTCGTGTCTCGATCCCAGCGATCTCGATTTATGTCTTGATTCATGTCTTGAGTTTTTTCTCGATTCACACCTTCTGTGTGACTTTGAATCGGATCGTTCCAGTTCCTCTCTCCGCGAACCCGACCCCTCACGCGACCTCATCTTCGCGGCGTGCTGCTGGCGCGACCTCATAATTTTCATCATCGGATCCTCGTGGAGAAGCTTGGCCGGTGGCAACTCGCCCGTCTCCATCACACGCTCGAGCTGTGATTTTTCTTTGCCCTTCTCCACCAACGTGTCGACGCGGCGCTTGCCGAGCAAAAACTCGTCACTCTCTCCCGCACCAGGAAGCACGCTTGGCTCATCACTCTTGTCGTCGTACATCCAACCCAAGGTTAGTTTCTTCTTCACATGCTCCGGCACCGCTCCTCCGTATTGAAGCGCAAGGAGCTCGAGGCGCTCCCGCTCCCGCGTCATCTCCGCGCCGCGTTCCGTGATGGCGCGGTGTTCCTGGAGCGCGCTTTGTTCGAGCTCGTGGATCTTGCGCTGGTTCTTGAGGAGTGAGGGGTGCCACGATTTTTTAAGATTAAGATCCGACGGCATGGTAGATATTCGTACGCCACGAAACAGACAACGGTATGCAAGTTTTAATTTATTTCTAATCTGCAAGCATCCTGCAAGATACAATACAGTGGCCCTAAACAGATCTTTTGGCGTGTCTATACCAGCAACCGGAAGCTCGGACTGGAGTGGCAGATCAAGGAGTAATCGGGGCTGCGCTCCCAGTGTCCACAGCCTCCATGGCCCCCGGTTCGCAACCCCGTCACCCTGAGTCAATCCTGCAAGCTAGCAACACCACCAATGCCTCTGAGGTATACGGAGTAAAACATCCCTCATAGACAAAGTTCTACGTCTTTGTTCATTGAATTCCTTACCGCTGTATCGCCATGAGTACAGACTTGTCGACATCGGTGAAAAAGTCAGCTTCCGCCGAGGAGTCTGCGCCAAAGAGAAAACACGTCCGTGCTTGTATTGTCCATACCTGGGACCACAAGACCTCAAAGGCGTTTTGGAATGCCCTCAAACTTCAGCCTCTTCTGAATGATGAGGTTCAGGCATTTAAGGCTTTGATTGTCATTCATAAGGTTCTCCAAGAAGGTCATCCAATTGCGTTGAAGGAAGGCTTCAAGAACAAGGACTGGCTAATCAATTTGGGCCGCGGTATCCACGGGGATGGTGTTAAGGGCTACGGCAGTTTAATTAAAGGCTATGTCAAGTTCATTGTCGCTAAGCTCGACTTCCACCACCAGCACTCGGGGTTCAATGGTGTGTTCGAGTACGAAGAATACATCTCCTTGAAAACCACGAGTGACCCAAATGAAGGCTATGAGGCAATTTTGGATTTAATGGGATTGCAGGAACAAATCGATGACTTCCAGAAGATGATCTTCTCCACCATCAACCACACCAGAAACAATGAGTGCAGGATCTCTGCCTTGGTGCCTTTGATTGCTGAGAGCTACGGAATTTACAAGTTCATCACCTCCATGATGAGAGCGGTGTACAAAACCACTGGCGAGAGGGAAGCTTTGTTGCCTTTGGTTGATCAGTTCGAAGATCAGCACTCGAGGCTTTTGGACTTTTACAGCGATGCCCAGTCCATCAGATTCTTGACTACTTTGGTCACGATTCCAAGATTAGGCGCGGCTCCTCCGGATATCTTCATTGAGGGTAGTCCAGAAGAGCCCCAAAGACTGGCCAAGTCGACGAGTCCGCATCCTGCTTCTATTACCGCTACCCCCGAACCAGCTGCCGTCGCCCCTCCCCCGGAGGTTATGCCTCAGCAGGCAAGTGCTGTGTTCCTGCAGCCCACCGGAATGCAAATGTTTTCCAACAACCAGCAGCAGTTTGAGCTTGAGCAGCAAAGGTTGGAGCATGAGCGCCAGCAACAGATCTTGCAGCAGCAGCAGCAGCAGCAGCAGCAGCAACAGGCCATGTTTGAACAACAGCAGCTCCAGCAGCAAGAAGCTGCCATGAGAGCCGAACAGGAGTTGAGAACTCTGCAATTGCAGCACCAGACGCAGGGGCGTGTTGCTGAACTTGAGCGTGACTTGTTGACATTGAAAAACCAGTACGACAACGATCAATTGTTGTTACAGCAATATGACTCCCAGATGAGAACCTTGGAGTTAGAGTTGTCTCAGTTGCAGGCAAGCTGCGAACAGCAATTGGGAAGCAAGAACGAGTCCATCACCAATTTCCAAGAACAGATTTTGATGTGGAAGAGCAAGTATGACAGCTTGGCCAAGTTGTACTCCCAGTTAAGATCGGAGCATTTGACCTTGTTGAATAAGTTCAAGAAATTGCAGCAGAAGGCAGCCTCTGCCGACGAGTCCATTGAGAAGAAGGAGAAAATGAGCAAGGAGATGAAGTTGAAGAACATTGAGCTTGCCGATCTCATTAGAGAAAGAGACAGGGCCCGGTTGGAGTTGGATAGGCTCAAGGGGGGTAAAGACAGTGAGATCTCCAAATTGGAGGCCGAGTTGAGACAGGTGCAAGACAGTTTGTCCCAGACCGAGAAGCAACAGTCTTCAAACTTGACCGCAATTTTTGACTCCCACCAGAAAGAGTTGCTGTCTTTAAAAGCAAAGTTGTTGGAACAGACAAGCGTATTGGAGTCTGTTTCCCCTGACACGGTCCAGGAATTGTCCAAGCAATTGGCGGCTAAAGACGACGAGTTGGAGATTATGCACCAAACCATGGAAAACGCCCTACACGAACTCTCGTTGCACCAGGATGATGCCGACAAAGCCATTGATGAACAAATCGATGAGATTTTGAGCGATAACATCACAAAGTTCAAGGCCTTGATGGACTGCATCTTGCGCTCCAATATCCAGAGAATCCAATCGGCCGTGTTTGCTGCCGAGTCCAATTCCCAGGCAGGGAACCAATTGTCCACCCCAGAGTTCTTGTTGTCTCTTTGTGAAGAATGCGGCGTCAAGACGAACGAGTTTGCGTTCAATTTCAATGACTACATCGCAGACGGGCCAAACGGAGACCACTCAAAGATTATCTCCTCCTCTTCCGAATTTGTTGGTGCGGTATGCGACATTCTTTTGAACTCCAAGGGTATCACTCGCTTGTTCGGTGACGAAGAGGCTTCGACTCTTTTGCGCTCCGCTAAGCAGGTTTCCGGCCGCTCCGAAGCGCTATTCTTGAACTTGTTGTCGTCCAAGTTGGACGTCTTGAGTGACGATGAAAAGTTTGACCAAGTTATCAACTCAAACATTTCGGTGCAGGAGTCCTTGCAAGACTTGATCGAACTCGTTGAAACCTTAAATCCTATGCATTCTTCTTTGTCCTCCAAGAATGTGAACTTGGGCGAGCTTGTTGAAGATGAAATGAACCAGGCTGCCAAAGCCATTTCTGCCGCATCGGACCACTTGCAGATGTTGTTGACGAGGTCGGTTGATCCGTCTGTGTCTAGTATCGATACGGAGATTAACAAGGCAATTTTGTCTGCCGCCATCGCCATCACCAATGCCATCGCCCAATTAATCAAGGCCGCAACCGAGACCCAACAGGAGATCGTTGCCGCTGGGAAGGGCTCCACCTCCCGGGCCGCATTCTACAAGAAGCACAACAGATGGACGGAAGGGTTGATCTCGGCCTCGAAATCGGTTGCTGAGTCCACCAACATCTTGATTAAGACTGCGGATGGCGTTTTATCTGGCTCCAAGTCCTACGAGGAATTGATTGTCGCCTCTAATGAAGTTGCGGCTTCCACCGCGCAGCTTGTTGCAGCCTCCAGGGTCAAAGCTTCTTTCATGTCCACCAAGCAGGATGGGTTGGAAGCTGCCTCTCAAAACGTTACTCGCGGCTGCAAGGCATTGGTCGACACTGTCCGTAAGTTGATCGAGGACAAGGGCGACGGTGCCATCTCCACCGTGGATTACTCCAAGTTGTCTTCGTATGAGAATAAGACTGCTGAAATGGAGCAGCAAGTTGAAATTTTGAAACTTGAGAACATGCTTTCCTCCGCCCGCAAAAGATTAGGTGAGATTAGAAAGTATGGCTACAGAGCGGACGAATCGGACAGCGAATAAGCTGAGGGGACTGGTTGCCGATGACTATTTATTTTATACCTGAGTATCGGAAACCGGTTTATGCTTTGTAGATTGTTGGATCAGGGATGAATTCGAATAGACTATTTGTGTGTGTGTCCACGAAAAGATCAGTGCTAGTGCTAGAATTGGTGATGTAAGTGTTGTAATATGGCACAATGCTATTATCAATGTTTAGGTGGTTAAATATAGGATTTTCTAAGGAGCCTGGATTTTCAAACAATGTTTCAAGAAAACTACTTTCTATGTCTAAATCGCAAATTGGAAGTTGGAAATTCTCTATATCCCAATTTAAGAGACTGTCGGGAGTTTCTGCGAACGGTTCAACATCAGAAGAAAGGAATGATTCTGATACTGGCTTGAATTGGATGTTGCGTTGCGGGATATCATAGTATACATCTTCGACCAAGCAAGTTCTTTGAGAACTAAACGCCCAGTCGTTATTCCGGTGAACTATGGTTTCCTTGTTTGGTGATTTAATATCCAAAAAGGTTTTTCTTTGCAACCAATCAAAAAATGATTCAATGCGATCTGTTGAATTATACTGGGCACAGTACCTTTGCCATACTTTCTGGTGTTTGTAAGTCTTCCAAAGGCCAGCTAAACGTATCGATAGCTCTCTCTGAGATGTAGCATTACAGATAAATTTTGTATAGTACGATCTGAAGGCCATAAATGCATTCAATTTCTTTTTCTTGGGGGAAACTCCTGTTTTCAAGCCATCGTCAGACCCCTGGGTTTTAGGGTTTGTAATCTTGTATTTTTGAATTAACTCAGTCAATTCATCCGGGGCTGGTGGGATATTTGGTAAAGGATTGGTCGGAAATATATTAACATTAAGAGCAGTTTCATCACTTTCTCCCATCTTTGGTAACTGTGGGCATGCTCTAGATACCGGTAACTTTACGGAGAACTTGTATGTCTGACTTTTGGGGACATGCTTTTTGTTGGCCATCGTAAACTGTATCAAAGATTTGATTAATATGTGTGGCTCGGGAAAATCCAGGTATTTAGTTGATCACGAATTTGAGATCACTGGTCGGCTTCAAGGTAATATTGTTTTGAATTTTGAGCTAAAACTCACTGTATGGCTTTCGGAAGTTGCAATTAGGTCCCAAGGATGGTAAATTTTCAAACAGAAATCAAATAGGCCAGTTTTGATATATTGTGCTAAGGTAGAAGTGGAGTGTTTAAAAATAAAATTCATCCCCTAACTGTTTTATTCAAAGACCGTACAGGAGTAGGGAATCAAATATAAAATTAGATATGTAGAGGCATGAGATATAGCGTCCGATTCGATATCGGAATACAAACCACATGCATACTTGCGATAATATGAGGCACTTCATGTAATACTGAGACACCAAGATGAATTATCGTTACTCGTGTAATATTCGAAGGTGCTGGATCTGAGCCTCAAAACATATACCCCATCTGCAGCGCCGGCACGGCGCAGAACGGCAATATCTTCCACAACTATACGTGGTTCTAATGCAGCACAGATTCGTAATAACAGTAGTAGTTATATTAGTATGTATGGAAATTTTGGGGCATTGACGATCACGTACATTAGTTTTGACATGAAATTCATTTGAGATGCCTATCTTATGGTATGCCTTCTGCCTAACTAGATAGCATGTATGATCGAGCTACGGTCGAGCATGTTAAATTTTGAATTATTTACGTACATAGGTTTGTTACTGACCGTGATACTAGTATGTGCCATATGAAAAATACACATACATAAGCCATGCCTTATGCTTTTGGAGATTGTGCCACGTTTATAAGTTTATCATTCTCACGTCAGATGCTTGTTCTTACTCTCATTATAAGCGAGTAGCATGTAAAGTGAGTGTAGGGGGCACATTTCTTAAATCATATAATAAGAATTATGTATTACATTACCTCTTATTTATTCTTTTTGATCTTATATATTCTGTTCGAACTCATCTTATTAGCATCGTAATTGTACAAGTTACAGGCCTCTCTTTTGTAGTCCTGCATATACTGGCACATGTATTAGGGGCCACTTCGAACAATAGCTGATCACGTGTTTATTATCCTTCAAACCTAAATCCCATGAAATGTCAAAATGAGAGAGGTAGAATTCACATAATCCGCATAGAGTACTTCGGCCTGCTCAACAGTTATATATTCCAACTACATATACGATCATCACCTTTTCATTCTGTGTGTATTCTAACTTGAATTAGAACACTCCATCATTGATTCTTAACCACAGATTATTCCTTGCTGACTCTTAGTTGAACAGATAAAACGCACCATTAGATAATTAACAACCCTGTGCTATTCATCAATCAGTGGTTGATACGATTTGAATATCCTTGCCTTATGAATTCCTTATCTATTACTCTGGTAGCTGAAAATTCTTCTACGGTCAACTTACTGAATAAACTATATAAACCGGAGACCAATCATGGCACCTTTCACTTAAACCATGGGTGTGCTAGTATCCCAGCGCTTGTGAACCCATCAATATCTCTTCAAACACAAGCCTTATCAACTAAAACTCCCAAGGTTCTTCCGTTTAGAAACTTGATGTACGTACAGTTTGAAAAAACTGAACCGATGAAACTAACGTCATAAACTAAAGTTTGGGGGATGTGCAAAATCGTTTGAAGCTACTTATTAAAACTGTCAGCTCGAACAAAGAATTACATTTGAACTACATTATTAATGAGGTCCAAGATGCAAATGAAGTACGTGTCAAAAAAATTTGATATAATATGCATAGAGGTTCAGTCAGTATATTAACCTTTAGACTGTCTCCGCCATAATCAAAAATGCTGCGACCTTTAGTCTCAGGGAGAAGATGCAGCTAACAAAAATTAATCGTTTATCTGTCGCACTATCTCTTCTCTTCAGAGAAAGGATTGTTTTGAAAGAAAGTCTTCAAAAATTGAACGAATTAGATCACTCTTTCCAACCTATTTCCCCTGATGATAAAACCCCACCCCCCCAAATATCTCATGCTTTGAGGAAAAAAAATATGAGCAAAGACCGAGTTGAAAAGCCAAGCCTGGAAGGACATAGACTACCCCGACAGCTGGTACTTACGTTACAAAAGTGGTACGAAGAGAATGTGGTCAATCCGTATCTTTATGAGGACACAATGCAAGCACTCGTCAGAGAAACGGGGTTGACAACAAAGCAAGTAAGAAACTGGGTTTCAAACAAGAGAAGGAAAGAAAAGGATTTCAAAATTTCTTCAAAATTGACGAATATCCTCTATTAGCAATTATTTTATTCGTTTGAATCAATAAAGAATTGATACTTGGTCGTTATATAAAAACAAATAGTTCTAGGACCCAAATTCACATCTTGGTACAGGTGAATTGTTCACGAATAGTCGAAGCTTAGACTCAGAGTTTTATCCAAATCGACCTGTTAACATTACAGACTTCCTCCTTACGTCACGATGTCAATATAATTCACGATATACCGATACAAGCGTCCGTGTTAGGCCGCCCCAGTGGTTGTACGAAGGTTTCAATGCATAAATGCGGGCCCTTTCGAAATACGTGCATGTCTGATGCTCATAAATAGGGAGCACGTCTAAGCTCTATTGCACATCTTTACATACTCCCCTATCACATCCATGAACACATTCTTGGTATCTATACACCTCTTTCTCAGCGGGTGGGGTGGTGACTACACCGCTATCAGTGCAACTACACGTAGTTATCCGGATTATTTCAAATTCTCCCGTTTGCTTCCGGCAAGCTGCATGGGTGTATGCACGGAGGGGTGAATGCCGTTTCTGGAAAATTTCCCTCAACTGTGGCAGACATTGGGGGGCTACAACTAGGTATCGGTAAAAACCGCGAAGGAACTGCCGCCTCGTGGGGATCCTGTACACGATATTCCTCCGGTATACGGAATTATGTAATAAGTAGCGGAACTGGCAACAGGTTACTGGATATTTTTACTATACACCCAACACCAGAGAGGGGGGAAGACACTCTAAGTCCCCGCTTAAGCCGCATACAGAAAAAATATAAACACGGGCTAAACACTTAATGCACAATAATTTTTGCACGGATATCGAAAATATTTGCACATCTAGACATATATTGTTTTCCTCCATATCCCCATTTCATTTCTTGTAATCCTCAAAGCATTCCTTGCAAATGTCTTCACCAATCACCAAGGCTTCTATAGAAGTTGCACCAGCCACGGTGGCCAAGGCCGCCTATCCGTACGTTCACCCCCTCTCTGCTCCGACAATCGCATACTAACATTCCAGGTTTTGGTACGGGGGTATGTCCCTTGCTTTTTATTTCCCGCGTCGGCTTACTAACACGTTCTAGGTGCTGCCAGTATGTTTGCGTGTCTCTTCACCCATCCGTTAGACCTCGCCAAGGTGAGACTCCAGACGGCGGCCAAGCCCGGTGCCGGGTTGGTGTCCACCGCGTACCTGATTATGAAGCATGAAGGGTTCTTGAAGTTGTACTCGGGGCTTAGCGCGTCGCTTCTACGCCAGGCTACCTACTCTACCACGCGTTTTGGGGTCTACGACGCGTTGAAGGAGTACTTCACGGCCCGGAATGGCGGCGCGCAGCCCTCCACCGGGATTCTTTTACCGTGCTCGATGGCGGCCGGTGCCATTGGTGGTTTGGTCGGTAACCCTTCTGACGTGGTGAACATCAGAATGCAGAACGATTCGTCGTTGCCGCACAACCAAAGAAGAAACTACAAAAACGCGTTCGACGGGCTCAGACGCATGGTATCCGAGGAAGGGCCCGCTGCCTTGTTCCGTGGGTTGTCGCCTAACTTGACCAGAGGTATTCTCATGACCGCCTCCCAGGTGGTTACATACGATATTGCCAAGGAGTGTCTCGTGGAGCAGTTGAACTTCGACCCCACCACCAAGGCCACCCACTTTTCCGCCTCGCTCTTGGCCGGGTTGGTGGCTACGACTGTGTGCTCCCCTGCTGACGTGGTCAAGACCAGAATCATGAACTCGAAGGATGCCACCCAGGGTGCCATCACTATTTTGACGGACGCGGTCAAGCACGAGGGTGTCGGTTTTATGTTTAGAGGCTGGATCCCTGCCTTTGTCAGATTGGGGCCACAGACCATCTTGACTTTCGTTGCATTGGAGCAGTTAAGAGAGCTCAGAATTGGAATGTAATATCAGGAGTTGTCAATTTAATAGAGTTAGCTAAGAATCGCTATGTAGGCCTTCCCCGCCTCCGGTACCGGAGCATGGCGCACCGATCTATTGCCGTGCGGACATAGCCATTGCCAAACTCTCGGGGCTCGTGCAGGATTTCCGATGGTCCGCTATCGTGTACTACACACGAGGCGAGTCATGGCCAGTGTAGCCTGGGCTAAGGGCCTTTCGCGAGGTTAGTGACCAAGAAGTTCCAAAGTTCACAGGCTTACTAATCGATTGAACGGTATGTCTGGGTCCGCCGAAAGGGCCCACGCAGATACCTCTGTGGGGCTCGCCATAATTGATCCGGCGATGCGTGGCTGATGCATATGTGGCTAATATGGCTAAATAAGGTAGTTGTGGCGGTGTACAGATATTTGAGTGCGACATATCTGCAAGGCCTCACAAACCACAATGCCTCGCAAGCTGCGATGCCTTTGTACGCGTGCTACTCAACCGATGGAAGTTAGTTTCGAGAAGCTTGCCACCCTCCGAGGACATAACTCTGATATTACAACGTCGCTGTATTTCCATGTCCCGAATCCGAACGGACGTCTTACCCCGACTCTTGTCACAGGGGATTCCACTGGATGGCTTGTGTGGTGGGACTTGGCGATCAGACGCCCTATCGGGGTTTGGAGGGCACACGATAAAACCATCATAACAATCAAGCAGTTAGGTGTTGGCCTATCTGAGCTCGGGGAAGTGGCTATAAGTGGAGATAGCTATGGAATTCTTGTCACCCACGGCAAAGATGGAGAGGTGAGGCTCTGGAGTCTCTTGACAAAGGCTGCTGGTATGAACGAGCAGCCCAGCTATGACTTTGTGAAGCTTTCCAAGACGTTTCCTCCGGAGCCAGATAGCCCCGCAATCAAGGATTCAGCCCTTAGCGTTGCCTCTAGGCCGTACTATATCAGCATTCCTGTCAACACGCTAAACTTTTGCAATGTCGATGTTGCGGGCGGCCTACTCGTCACACCCTCCACCGTTGACTCTGATAAGTTTGACGTGTATCGCTTACCAAGCGAACTGAACAGATTCAACCGGTTGGTTCGGTTAGCGGACCCCTTTCAATTGCTCCAAGCAAACCCTAAATCATTCAACGTTTCTATTCCTTCCAACTCGGAAAGAGGCAACTTTGGTTCGTTGATGCGAATTATTGTGAATGAAAGCTTACTCTTTGTGGGGTTTGAGTCGGGGCACGTTATGGGCATCCATATTCCTGTTCTTTCGGGTAATCAGAGCGCCAATGAGACGGAGATGCACGTTGTCCATCTTTCAGACTACCATGTCCCCAACCCGGTCATTTCTATGCGGTGCGAGAATGGTAATCTTATTAGTGGATCAGCAGGGAGGACCATAGAAGTGGTTGAGGTGGCCAAGATGACCGTTTCCCCGAATGAGGCGTTCAGATTTAAGACGTCCAAGCGAGGGGCCAATGATTTGTCTCTTCGAGATGATGGCCTACTAGCAGTGACGGGCTGGGATGGCTGCACAAGGCTTTACCGCCGAAGTGGAATGGACGCGAAAGCACTGGAAGCTGGCTGTTTTTCCAAGCGAAACCCGTTGGTTACGGCAACACATCACACCCAAAACAGTGACAACAAGCCAGCGCCTCAAAATGTGAAGGCTCGGACCGTGGCGTTGACTGCCACCCGATCAAGAAAGAGCGATGTTGTGCCCGTAAGAAGACGCTTCCGTGCCGAAAAGACCCCTGAGTATATGTGCATCGGATACGAAGATGGGACCGTTGAAGTTTATTATCCGAAGGGCTAAAGTACATTTAGGGAAGGGCCAAAGCTGTGGGATACGGAATGAATAGGAGAATAAAGACTGGGGTTGCTTTGTAACCCAGAGATAGACTAGCCTGGGACTATAGTTTAATGCCATATGGGTGAAAAAGAAGATTGTTCGAAGATGGTGTAATTCCACTCCTAGGGTTGGAATATATCAGACAAATAGTAGTAGTTATTTTAGAATATATGTACACTGCTGCTGAGTTGCATATCTTGTACCTGGGCACACCATCGACAATTCATATACACCATGCTCTTATCAATGAGTAACCCAAGTTTGTTGAACTCATCCGAAATAGTGTAATGGCTAGCACAGGGCGCTCTCACCTCCCAAATCCGGGTTCGATTCCCGGTTTCGGAGTTCTTTTTTTCTTTCTTAACAAACAGTACTAATGGATATTCAAAAGGTTGTTGTTTTTTTTTTTTTATCTATTCATTGGTACATTTATCCTTTCTAATTCCTTTAAATCTACTCTAGCACAATCACTCGGTTATCTTCAACCCGTATACAAAGGAACTCCACGTCGCCTTCTGATATTTTGTCGTGTCTGCACCAGCAGAGCGGACGTCGATGGATTTAAATCGTCACCCTCCGTGTTAATCGCAACCCTATACCACACAACCCACACAACACAATATGGTTTTAGCTGATTTGGGTAGGCGTATTAACGCCGCGGTGGGTGATTTCTCGTCATCCTCTGCCGCAGATGACTCGGTAAGTAGCCCTAGCTAGAACTCAAGCCTTCACGACCACTAACCACGCAGGGCATCGAGGCGATGTTGAAGGAGATCTCGAACGCGCTTCTCGAGTCGGACGTGCACTTCCAGCACGTCATCAAACTCAGAAACAGCATCAAGAAGCAGCTCGCAGAGCAGGCGGACGCCAGCAGTCGCGCAAACAAGCGCAAGTTGATCCAAAAGATCGTGTACGACGAGCTCGTGGCGTTGGTGGACACGCAAGCCGAGCCGTACAAGCCGAAAAAGAATAAGAGCAATGTGATCATGTTTGTGGGTACTCAGGGTGCGGGTAAGACCACGTCGTGCACGAAGTTGGCGGTGTACTACCAGCGCCGCAAGTTCAAGGTTGGATTGGTGTGTGCAGACACGTTCAGAGCCGGTGCGTTCGACCAGTTGAAGCAGAACGCGACAAAGGCAGGGATCGCGTTTTATGGGTCCTACACGGAAAATGACCCGGTCAAGATCGCGCGCTTGGGGGTGGAGAAGTTTAAGGAAGCCAAGTACGAAATTATCATTGTGGATACCTCGGGGAGACACAAGCAGGCGGAGGAGTTGTTTGTGGAGATGCAAGAGATTGACGATGCGGTGAGCCCGGACCAGACCATTTTGGTGTTGGATGCCACCAACGGGCAGAAGGCGCAGGACCACGCGAAGGCGTTCAAGGAGGCTTCCAACTTTGGGTCCATTTTCTTGACCAAGTTGGACGGTGCGGCCAAGGGTGGTGGGGCAGTTTCGGCGGTCGCGGCCACCCAGACCCCTATCGCATTCATCGGTTCCGGTGAGCACGTGCAGAACATCGAGACCTTTACTCCAAAGCAGTTCATCGCCAAGTTGTTAGGGATTGGTGACATCCAGGGGCTTATGGAGCACGTGCAGTCGCTAGACCTCGACCAGAAGGATACGATGAAAAACTTTTCCGAGGGAAAGTTCACGCTCAACGATTTCCAGACCCAGATCGGCAATGTCATGAAGATGGGGCCGTTGTCGCAGATTGCCAACATGTTGCCGGGTGGCATGGGCCAGTTGATGAACCAGGTCGGTGAGGACGAAACGTCCAAGCGCATCAAACGCATGCTCTACATTATGGACTCCATGACCAAGCAGGAGCTTGCCTCGGATGGAAAGATCTTCACGGAGGAACCGTCGCGCATCATCAGGGTGGCCAGGGGCTCTGGCACGTCGGTTACCGAGGTCGAAATGGTGTTGTTCCAGCAGCGCACCATGGCTCGTATGGCGCAGTCGACCAAGGGCATGATGGGTGGGGCTGGTGGCATGCCAGGCATGCCGGGTGCCGGTGCGGGGGGCATGGCCAACATGGCCAAGAACTTGACCCCAGGGAACATCCAGCGCGCCATGGCGTCCATGCAGAACAACCCACAGATGAAGCAAATGATGCAGGGCATGATGGGCGGCGGCGGCATGCCAGATATGAACGAGATGATGGGCATGATGCAGCAACCACAGATGCAGCAGCAGATGCAGGGGATGATGCAAAATCCGCAGATGATGCAGAACATGATGAAGCAATTTGGGATGGGCTAGCTCTCGAGCGAAGCAAGTGAAGACGGACTCGAGCAAAGTTAGGGTGTATCGCTGGTGGGCTTCTCTCCCATCGTCCGACACTTGTCACCTTTCATCTGTTCTTAGGAACATTCTGCGGTATATATCTATGTAAATTATTCAACCAATCACGTATAGTTGAGATTAGGAGTGCCACGTAAGGGATATGACTGGTTGATAATAGTAGGATATTCTCAACGGTCACAGGGTATCTTATGAATTACTGGATATCTCGTGAATTACTGGATATCTCATGGGTTACTGGTTTTACCAATACCCTTCTTTAGTCGCTGTGTGACTCAGTTTACACATATACGTTAGACGATTCAGGGACTAAACACAATGCGCAATATCAATTCCCCGTTGATATCCCAAATTTTCTCATTCGACAAAGCCTATAGCAGTCTGCCCCTTTTCCCACTAGCAGTAACGTGTTACGGGTATAACATTATATTATGAAGCACGGACATGCTCAACCTGAGACAAGGGTTCTCTATATCAGCCCCAGGTCATCCAAATGTAAGAAAAAAAAATATACACAGAAGTAGGACGGAAAAATCACATCCTCATGCTTAGTGGGTTTCGATCTTGGCAACCAAGCTGTGGATGGACTCCAAAATCTCCGGACTGGTCTCTGGCGCAGGACTCTCAGCCTTCTTAGTCTTCTTCTTCTTCTTCTTGTTCTTCTTCTTGGCCTGACCCTCAAAGTCGGGGATTTCTGACTCTTCACTGTCATTGGCAAACTTCTTCGGGGTTCCTGGAAGGTTGTGGATGGAGATGAGAGTGTCGTCGGTGTTGATCGATACGTCTGCGTCGTCTGCGCGCTTTCCGTAGGACTCTGCGTCATAGGACGTTTCGGGACTCGACACGAGGCCTAACGCGCTGTGGTCTTCGGTAGCGTTGCGCTTCGGCTTAGGAGCAAGGGCCTCAGCCGGGTGGGGAGCCTTTGGAAGAGACTCTGGGGCCTTTGCCACCGGGGTCTTTGGGAGAGACTCCGGAGCGGGGGCAAGGGCCTCCGCCGGATGGGCCGACGCCTGTCTCACCGGAATGCCTCTCATGCTCCCGCTGCGGGTCGGGCGCTTCGGCAAGCTGCTTGGAACCGACGTGTCGTGCTCGGGTTCCGGCGACTGCGGAGCCATGATGGAAATGTTCTCAAAGCGCGACGACCGGCGCTTATGGCTGTTCATGCCCGAGACAATGCGGCGGCGGTTGCCTGGAGCCGTGTTCATCGACGGAATGCGCGACTTCTGCGTGGCAGGCGAGGAAGCGGCTTCGTTAGAAACCTCGGCGGCCGCCTCGGCGGAAGCCACACCGTTCAGCCCGGCCTTCGCTTCGGCGGCGGCCTTACGCTTGGCCCGTAATTCTGGGAAGTGCTTGTAAACCTCGTCCAAGACCACCTCCCCGTGGGTTAACACACCATCAGTCTCCTCCCCGTGGGCCTTGGCGGCAAGCGCCAAGTGCTTCAACGACTCGATGATGGCCGTGTTCTTCTTGGAGTAGATCCCCTCGAGGTCACGCGATTTGCCCACCAAGTTATCGAACAACTTATCAGCGCTGGCGCAGTTTGCGTCGAAGCGGTCGGCGGTCGCAGCCAATGCAGCCTCGCGTTCCTGTACAAAGTTCGCGAGCGTGTGCTTCAACGTGAGGATCTCCTGGGTGAAGTGGCTGCGGTACTCGTTCTGGGATCTGACAATCGTGTCGTACGCGATCTTCAACCGTTCGTACTCGGTCACCGAGTTCTGCTCGCTTTCCTCCAACTTCTTGCACCGGATCTCGAGGTTCTTGTTCTTGAACTCTAGGTTCTCCGCCGTGTACATACTGTCGCTGTACTGCGTCTCCATATCGATGATGCGGCGCTCTTTACGCTTGAGTAACGCGTTGATCATGTCGCTCTCGTGCTTCGCGTTCGCGAGCTGCTCCATGATGTGGTCGTGCTTCTTGGAGAGCATGTCGTACTTCTTTTTAAAGTCGCGTGCCTGCTGTTTGGACTCTTCCAAGTCCTCCTTCAACTGGTCGATCGTCTGGTGGAGCGAGTGGATCACCTGCGACGTTCCTGTGTTTCTGCTTGTCTGTTCTTCCGACATGTGAATCTCTTTGGGCTGGGTTTGGATATTTAGGCAATGCTCAATGTTGAGGATATAGTTAGTGTCGGATGTATCTCCAATGTGTGTGAATGTTCAATGAATTTCCCTAAGTGAGTATAGGTTAAACACTGATTGGATGATGCGTTGACGGGGGGCTGGGAAGGTTGACCTGGCTGAGATTTTTACGACAACTATTCCGCTATCGAAAGTTTTGTTCAAAATCTCAAAGATAACGATGAATTAGCCGCCTGGATAGCCCTCGGAGTCTGTCTACGTAAAAATATCACGTCGGTAAGTCTGGTGTACGTTGACAGACACGCCTCTGTTTACTTCCAGCGCCGAGGCCAAACAGACGAGCCACTTTCCGTGCGCAGTAGCATGGGAGATTCAAGACACGTCGCTGGAGATTTTCCCGTTTCAGCGCACAGGAAAGCCGCACAGAATGCAAGCCACAGAAAATAGCCGGTGGGCCTCAGGACTGTAAAAAACTACCGGGCAGCCGGTGTTACAAAGCGGAATTGTCTTCGAGAGCAGTTTTGGGCTTGAAGATGTGCGGGAGATTAGCAATTGAAAAATTCCTGTTTGGGGGAAATGAGTGGTGTAATCTGCGAAAGGCAGTGGCTGAAAGTGTTACTGGCGAATGAGAATGCCAGTTCAAATTCGAAGGGCCTTCGCGCTCAGCAAAGAATGCGGTGCTATAGCTCTTTCACTCGTAACGCTGAGATTTAACGGTAGACAATTACAGTAGGGTTGCCGCTTAAAGTGGAAGTGGTACATTCCATCAATGGCTTAAAGTGGAGGATATCGGCTCTGTGATTAACTTAGAGGCCAGAGACGTAAAATTAGTGTATATAGGGGATTAAAACCACAAGATTTGTTAGCACCTAATGAGTTTCTACGTGTGGAATATTCTGTAACCGAGTGTTTGGTGGATAAAGATCCTGATGTGGGATCACATCCCACTTTTGTAGCTATTCTCAAACCAAGGTTGGTTTGTAAACCCTCAGTCTATTTCTACTTTACCTTTTGTAGCCACTCTCAAATCAAGGTTGGTTTTGAAACCTGTCTATTTTGACACCAAAATATTTTGTAAACTATATCACTCTATGGCGCAAACAATTCATCTGTCCGGCTCAGGGCAGAGTTATATTTCATAGTTAAATATTCTAGACCTTTGCCTACAAGACTGAATAGGCGCGAGTTCATATCGCCAATATTGTTGTATATCTAGTAGGTAATGGATACTGTTAGCCAGGCAAAAGAGAATATTTCTTATCTGTAAAATATACGCAAGAGAAGGATATTCGGTGGTTTTATATAGAGGCAGATACAATGCCAGGGTGTCTGCCTATCGGAGAGTGATGATAATGGACGCCGACTTTTGTTTAGTTAAATGGCACCTTTACTACAAGTATAGTTTCATTTGGCCCCCAAAAAACCAACGGGTTAGATGACAGGCCATTGATACATGATATCAGCACACTGGAAGTGCATAAAGATATAAAATAGCCACTTCCCTAGCCACACATGGGGTTCCGTCCGAAGGAACTGGCAGAGGGCTAGCAACAAAGTGTATTCTCGCTGTACTTACGACTCTACCCCTCATGCGTACCACAAGCCCCACTTAGTCATGCCTCGACGACAAATTTGCGCCGACACCCCACAGTATATATAGAGCCACGACCCCCACTACCTGTGTAGCGCAAAAAGCATTCTATATTGGTAATGGTCTTGTTCTAATTGAAAATACCATTCGCTGGATACCACCGGTTTAGCTGTGGCCAGGAAAGTTGTGGACATGAAACGACCGCCCGATACCGACAATAGCACATGTCCGATGCTGTAGATAGGTTTAAACTGGGACCTACGTAAATGAAACGAATGTCTTGGGCAGTGTGCTGTCTGGCGTAGCAACAATGAATATCATCTCGTTGGAGTCCACTCTAAACTTAAACACCCAAGTTGGGCCATGACCCCGGTAATAGCCGGGGACCAATGAATATGTGGCTATTACCGGAGCTAACGAATGTGTGGCTCTTTGCTCCTTCTTTCCGTCTGGAGGGGACAGATATCAACACCTCTTGCAGCTTTCGTGCAGATGGAGAAAGCAAGTGCAGCTGTTACGAGACTTATAAGCGCTCTTGCTGCCAATCTCCGGAAGGGCAGCGTCTGAAATAATTCCCCGCTCTAAGGTTTGCTGGGCCGTAGCCCTGTAAGGAGCCGAAGGGATATAATTTCCTGTTGTAATATCTCGGACGCAATAAGCCCACCTTCCGATTCTCCCAACCCTTCATACAGGTCTCAGTTTTACGAGATGCTAAATACCTCCGCCGGGGCGCATATACAAGAGTTCTTAAAGTATAGCCCCTCCGTCAGCGTTCCCTGTACGTTATGATGTCACTGCGTCTTACTGTGGGGAAGGAGCGGTTAGGGTTTCGGACTTCAGCCGGCTCACATGCTCCTGCGCAGTCACATGTGTGCTCGTAAAATCACGGTGGGGATGGAGGGTCACACTGCAGCCGGGAAATAGGGATTAACGGCGGTTACGTTTTAGTACAGGTTACTCCTTCTTGCCGATTCTAAAGGAAGTTGGTGAATGACTTGCAGCTATTTTAGAAAAAAATTCGACCGCGGTGCATACGAAGAACCGGTGAGTGGATTACCATTATTTTTCAGCTACATTTTGACTAGATGTAGGACGATACATTACCGAGAAATAAACCAAAAAAAACCCCAAAGAATGTCCAATGAAGGCAGAAAATAACCAACGAAGGAAGAAAATAGCCAATGTAAACAAAAATATAACATTAATAGTCTAAGCGACATTCTTGAATCGGACGCTTTCAATCACGCATTCACGGCCCTTCTTGAAACAGTTAGAGCAGGTCGCATTCACTCCGTCAGAAACAAACTCACACTTGATCTTGCGCTTACGGCAGGACAAGCACGAAGACTTTCTGGAGCACGCAGACAAAGACCTTTTCTTTTGGGTCTCGTCGCTGGTAAAGCACGGGGTGCGGACGGCAAGGGCGGTGAAGGAGGCAAGGGTAGAAGCGGCCTCTACCATGGTGGCATTGCAGATGGAAGCAACCAGCACTGCAGGCTTATAAATGGTAGCGTCCAGGATGAGCCGCGATGAAGGAGACGGACAGTAAGAGACTTCAGCAACCGACAATGCACGCGCCAACTTCTTGGTTCTTTTTTTTTTAACCTTAGCTTTCTTTGTTACCGAGAACGGTTCCAAAACTGCTGCAGAAGTAACAGGAGATGAGATGGTGGAGGAGGGTGGGGACATGAACTTGATAGACACCGAATCGGTCTTTGTCTCCGTCTTAACGTACCCGTGGGAGAACAAACAGTCGATTTTCTTGTTGGAGCAGGCCTTGCAAGATTTGAACTTGATAAATTTGTTCTCGGTGCTGGAAAATACCTGGATCAACAAAAACCCTACCGCACCGGGAAAGCCGCCCATCACCTGATACTTATCCTCGCTGGACGGCGGCGCGCGCTGGAATAACGAAGGGGCCTGTTGCGTCAACACAAGAAGCTCTTCGTGGGACAACACGGTGATCTCTGCGTTACACTTGACCTTTCTCAATCTGCAGGAATCGCAGGACGGACCTAATCTCTGACGTCTAGATTTGTCGGGTTTCAGCGATGTCTGGTCCATCACCATTACTGTGGGCGAGGACAAGAATGCAGAACAGGAGTCGGCAGGCGAAGCGGACGGGGTATATGGCCGCAAGGTATGGTCCATCTGGGGTTGTTCATTTAATAAGCTCGGTAACTTGAGAGACTGTAATGTGCGTGGACTGGCCTTGGCGTCAGAGCCGAAGGAGTTCGTGTGATGAGGTGGAGGGGTGGCTGAGAGGGAGGTGGTTCTGTAGCTGTACTGCGGTGGGTTTATATTTCCGACAGGAACAGACGCCCCAATGGATAAGGATCGCAACGGTGGTAGTTCAATCCGGTTAGGGTTTTGGTGTGCTGGAAACGACTGGATGTGGTTGGCCTGGGTGAGAATGTCATACTGATGAGGCAACGGCGGAGACGAAGCGGCGCTGTGTCCGTAATAGTAATTATTGCGTGGGGTTTGGTGGCAGCCGGGGTTTGAAATTGAGTATTGTAACAAAGACATTGTATAGAAATAGTGGGAGTAGGTCTAGGAAAGGGGTTCAGGCTTGTAAGGTAGGTTTGCTGGAAGAGTATGCGTTAAGTTATAGTAAAGTTTTAATTATCAAAAAAAATTCAGGGGAGAGAAAGAGGGGTCAAGAAAGTCTACGGTGAGTCGTAAAGATGGGCGTATCAAGCATATATATTCCAGTTTTTTTTTGCCGTCACGAGAGGTAGCGGAGATGTAGACGAAAGTCCTACAGGCTGACTCGCATGTGCATATGTACGGCTCGGACATTCACATGGAAAAAATGGAGCGATCGCCTTCAATTCGAATAAGGGACAAATCGCGGAGAAGTAACGGAGGGGAGCGTACCATGAAACACCGCTCCGACGACAGAACATTTCTTTTTCGCCGGGACACCAGGTGTCACACAGAGAAATGAAGGTTTTTTTCTTCTCTCCCGTTTTCTGTTAAGGACCGACCGGCGTTTCGAGCAGACAAAAGTGAGGCAGGAAATCTGGGGTACTAATTACGTAGACAGAAAAAAAAGAAGGTTTTATCCTGCAGGCTATACCCTTCTTACCCTATACAGAGTCAGATGGTGTGCGCGTGCATCCGCCTGCAGAGACATACCAAATGGGTAAACCCGGGTGGAAAGTTTTCGCATGCAGCACTGCACTAGTTTTGTCCTTAGCTCTCGGAGTATAGGATCCGGGCACGCGCTGCACCGTTTTGCAACGCAAAGCTGAGATTCCATAGTGTAACTAAACGTTTAGGTCAGTATACTTTACAGGGCCTCGTGGGGGTCACACCGCTGGCTCATTGACGTTAGCCGAAGTAGGACAGATTGCCCTCAAATAGCACTGGCATGGTTATAGGTCTCTGCATAGTCACGGACAAATGTGGAGTGAAAAGTGTTCAGTGCACTCTCTTGTTGCTAACGGCAGACTCCGAGCTGTCTTGTGATACATGTCCGGTAGCGAAGGAAAGCACTTGGAATTTCTCCGGAGTCCGAGTTGATGGACGGCATGCATACGGCACCCATCTTCCCCCCCTCAAGCATAGTCGGCAGGCTGCTAACAGTCTACATGTCCGAGACAGGAGGGGTTGTCTAGGCATTGGCAGCTCACCCGCACACTCGGCAAGCGTCCCTAATGTTCGGAGTTGTAAGCTTCAATGTCCGAGATCGGGTGCGAATGCCGTGCGAGGTAACATGCGCCTCAAAGTGCCGTGTCAAACCCAACGGTATTCCATAAGTGGTCATCAGCTGACATCTACGCCTTTCTCCAGGAGTAAAGTTCCGTTTTTCCCCTACTCAAGCGTTTCCAGGAAATGGCTAGCCACGTGAGCGTCACTCCTACACACCTCGTGGTTCCCTGTGCCTTAGCCTGCTTCCCGTTCTGCCTACAACGGAATACTGTGTGAAAAGTTCTCGCACAGTCCGGCATAGCTCCTCCTTTGGGGTTTTATATCAATCCTTGAACAAGATCTTTGTTGAGCTGGGCCATGCAGAGGCACGTGCACACAATGGCAAGAGAGGTTTCTTACCTAGGCACCTGGTTACAGATCCTGTCGTTACTCCGAGTCCGACGCTCGTTTGGCTTACGTGACAGCCAGCGGAAGTGTGGCCCACTGAAACAGACATAAAAATGGCCTGACTTGTGACGGTGATCGCACCAAGTTCGTATTTATTTCGGCAGCTATTAAGCGAGCCTTTTAAAATTAGATTGTATCATAGGAGCCCCTTGATTCCACTACGATCAATGCATAAAGCCATGAGAGATGCAAAAGTTACGGGAGGGATCATTACGATATTACCCAAGCTGTTGAACAACGCCTGATGGGGATATAAACTGGCTCGAGACATGTACTGAGTCCAAAGCCCCTCAGGCAGCCCCACCTCGGGTGAATGTTCTAGCTAGTAAGGATGACCGGGCTTTTGGGTGAAACGCCCACGTGACGTGCTGCTCTGTATCGAGCCCCATGACCCCCCACCTTTCCCTCCCAAGCGGCCTCACCCGGCCAACATCGCCCACAAGAAATAGGAGTGGTTTCCAGTCTCCGGTCCCAGATATTTCTAGTTTGGCACATCAGATAATGACGTCTTTACGGCTTGTTGACAAAATTCTCGCCAGCAGCTATGGATAGTATGGGTCGTGCGACCGAATAACTGTGAGAGTACACCAACTCTGGGAGCATTGGTTTTCCGCGTTGGGCGTTCCGGGTGGTGATCGTTTACGGGAATGTATGATGCGGGGAGTGCACTCCGAGCGATTTCATTCCGGGGTTTACGACTAATGCCATGGAACTTGAGAGGTTAAACGCATACCGTGAGTGCTAGTTATTAGTCAGAAGCCAAGCAATCACCTAGACGTTATAGGAAATTGTACTTGGCGCCATCGCGGAACGGCTAAGTATTTCGCTGAAAAAACTCCTTTCCTGGCCTCCCCCCTCTGCGACACACCTGTTGCGGTTGGCCATGTTGTATCGTGATAGCAACAAAAGTAGAAACAAAGGTAGAAACACCGTGTAGGTATATATGGGGAGAATTGTGTGGTCTCGTACAATCGCTAAATGAAGTTGTTACAATCTATGGTGTGTTAATTCAGAAGAGTATCTAATAGAGAAAAATCCCAGCTGAGTCTGTTACAGTATCTATGTCGGCGTCTATAGTATGGAATGGCTGGTTCCAGTAGTTCACGCCATACTATTCATTGGTGATCTAAAAGCTGGATCAAGTGGATGCAGCACTGACGGCATCTCACAGCTTGGTAAAATGAACGAAAAAGGCCAGAATCCTGCCAGTATCGGCAACAAAAAAACCTTCAAATGGGATTTCAGTCAATAAACTTGTATTCTGACTTCTCTAACCGCAACTGTATAGATATAGCATTACCTGAAGCTTTTCGATCCCGACGGAGCTGCGTGCGACTTCCAGATTAATCGGAAACTAAATACTATTAAAACCCAGTATTTGTAGCATAACTGGCAGGACTCCAGTCTTTTTCGTTCACTTTACCAATCCGTGAGATGCCGTCAATGCCAATCTATAATGTAGAATTCCCCAGACTAGTGTCCGATCTCGACCCCGAGGAGGTTTGCGTAAGATTATATCCTGTATATACAGAAGGGCTTTGTCTCAGTCCAAAAAATCTGCAATTTTGTAGACTAACGGAATAACGCCGGATTAACTTCTAGTCTGTGTATGCGTACATGCATGTACGTACACGTCAGCCTAAGCGGCGAGAGACGGATCTAGGTCTAGATATTGAATTTTTGTAACTCCGTTTCAGCACTCACGGTGACTATTCACACTATATAAGGATTTCCAGAACTTGGGCATGTAAATGTATTAATCTTGTATCCAAATTGAATTAAAATATGTTACATGTCATTATTTTGATATACAGCTCTTTCGTATTGTGATTCGAGTTAAAGCATATACATGTAAAAATTACTGGTATAAGTATACATGTGAAAAAGGCGACACTCGTATAAACTAGAATACATCTAGAATAGGCTATACTAACACTAATATATAAAACCATATGTGCTTGTAAAACTGGAAGGGACATATATATATGTATATCCTAGAAATTGTTTCATGTTCGTGTAATCTACACTAGTGCCGCGCATAACAATAAAAACGCCATAAATCCGATTCGTAGCAGAGAAAACGCAAATACGCGCTAGTGTAACCAGGCCTAGAAGACTACCTCCTCACACCAACGAAACGTGTGTGAATGCAGGTTTTCGATGTGTTTGACCTACACGGTTAGAATGGACAAACATGTGTGTGATATTCCACACGCATGCTCTTCCTGTAGTTGGGAAAGGGTTCTACTTGGGTACTGACAGACTAGATGTATTTGCAGTACCGTGCACGTGAATCACCGAAACATGACAACATGCTCTTCTGTATTGTAAAATGTGTGATATGGCTCTATTTAAGGTCTAAGAATCAAAACAAAAGGCAATGCTAGATAAATTCCCTAGAGGCCCTACCCTTTATGTAGATCTAGTTGCATTTGATGACGTGCTCCTACCGCCAAACAAGCAACGGCACGACCCACTGGGGGTATCTTGCATCGAGGCCGATAAACCACGTAGACTCTTGAGGTCAAAGCGACGGCATGAGGTTTCATTAGCCTCTGCCACCTCATCCAGGGACCAAAGCCAAATCCACCACCACCCCACTAGGAAGCATTTGCCCGGTTAGAATCTTGAGATTGAGCTCTCTCATCTCCGATATTTCAGTAAGCTGCAGGCACGCCAAGCGAAATCAACGGAAATCCCAAGCCCCGCCATATACCGTTTATTTACACCCCACCGTTGGTTTCAGTCCTTTTTCTCAGTCCCTTTTCTCAGTCCCCTTTTCAGGACCGTATAGTTCATCTTCAGTTCTCTGACCATGGACCGCATCTTCTTCCCCACCAACACAGTCGATCCGTCCACGCAGCTACCAATTTACATCCTCGACTCGCACTTCCTTCCATCCACAAAGGACGTGGACTATGACACGTTTCTACCGTTACTCCTCAATAGCATTCCCAACTTCACAGCGTCCCGGTACTGTTTAGTGTTTTTTAGCGGCGCGCTCTCATCCAACGAACACATCAGCTGGGTGTACGGTATCAAGTTTTTCAAACAGTTGACCAGTCTTCAGATGCGTTCGTGCGCAAAGATCTACATCGTACACGAGTCCTGGTGGATCAAGACGGTGGCCAATCTCTTGGGGAATCTCAACGCTGTGAACACTTCCTCAAAGAGGCTCATTTCCTTCACGAACCAGTTCCGCAGCGGCGAGAGCCTCGAGGTACCTCCCGAAAACCAGTTTGTCCATTGCGAATCAATCTCGGCGCTTTCCCAGCATATCAACATCACCCAGATAAAGATCTCACTCGTAGTGTACAAGCACGATCTTTTAGCGAGCACGGCAGACTTGAATAACAACTTGTACAACCTCCCGGTGGGTCTACAGGGCCATCTCGACCTGTTCATCGGGTCTCCCATCGTCTTTGACGACACAGGAGAGCCCGCCAACTTGACCACCTTCCACTTCAACTCGCTCTTCCACATTCTCGGCCAGAACGTGCCAATCCTCCGCACCTTGCCCAACTTCTTCCACAACCCGGGAAACAAGTCGTCCAACAGGGTCCTTTACGACTGCATTAATCGCAACCAGTTGTTTAACATCAACGACTGGGACTTGTACAACATTGGCTTCATCTTCAAAAAGTTCTTTCAGTTCCACGACTTGACACACCCGTTGCTTCCGGTTCTGTGTATCGCTATTCCAGCCCGGTTCAACGACCTTGAGTATGTTAATAGTACCTTTGAGAAGATTACGAAAAGTGGCCCGGGAATATATGAGATCTATGCCTGCGTGGTGCCGTTCTTCCGGCAAGTTATCTCCTACGACTACTCTATCGACGACGCTGGGGATGACGAGTCGCCACCAGACAGTTCCCACACCCGCTATAGCATCGCAAAGGCGTTCAGCCATGTCTTTACGCTTGAGTCGTACAACTCCCGAGAAAGCGTTTCGCTGGCAACCGACTTTTTGGCCAGTTTGATCCGCTTTTGGGAGGAGATTCCGTTCCACGAGACCAGGCAGATGAAGACAGTTGTCGCAGAAAACCTTTTCAAACAGGACGAAGAAAAGCCGTTCCATCCAATGCTTCCACACAAGCCGAGTTCCTTGCTGATGGCCTCCACCCAATCGCTGGAAGTCTCGGCTAAGCTGGTATCCAGCACCACACCAGTAAACTCCAACACGGTGAAAAAGCCGCGACAAAATACCGAATGGATTGGCATCAGCCCAACCATCTCGTTGCCAAATAGCTCCTATGAAACGGACTACACGCCCAACTACGATCCGGTCAAGGATAAGAAACCGCCCCAAGCTGTTTCGGTAGCATTGGTGGAGCTCAAGAAGAACTTGAAGCCATCACCCCAGTTGAAGAAAAAGCAGCTGTTCCGAAAACTGGTCGAGCTTCCGATCGTCATTCCCGAGCCGATGGTGGCCCAGGGACGGAAGGTGTCACAACTCGCAAGGATATATGAGGAGAGGCTCCGGGGGATTGAAGAGTTGAGCAGGTAGCCCAAGAGGGAGGGGGGACTGTGGATCAGCAGGAGTGAATATAGACATGTTACCGATGAAGCAGGTAAAACGCAAAAGTTAATGCATTTTCTACATAGCGAGATATCTCCACTAGAAATATTTCAAAGATTGGCCCATGCCAATTTCATAATTTAAGAAAACACCATAGATCAGAATTTTGTAGTGCACTTTTTCCCATTTACGAAACTAGGCTATATCGCCCGAATGACCGGTTAGTCAAATTTACCGAGGGTTTCAGCTATGGAAGAAAGCGTAAACGTATTACCACGCTTAAGTTGTAATCCTTCGTGAAACCAGCCGCTCGCTGAATAAGACGGCAGCCTCGCTCAATCCCAACTAAGCTGTCCTATATGTCTTGGCACAACCATGAAAGCCAAATTACTGGAGTTTCGGTGGAATGTCCTAATGCCATTTCTGGCGAGAACAATCTAACACAAGAGCAAACAGTGCTTGTCTTGATCTCACCGGTGCAAGAGTGGTCTACACGTACGCTTGGGGCCAGGTGCCAGCATATACACCCAACACACCCTCAAGGTTATACAGCTCTGACAGATACCAGTCTATAGAGCCACGGAATTGACCAAGTCATTCACCCAGGGTTCGCACCGGGCCGCTTCAGGCAAACAAACGCAGTCTAGAACGTTGCGATCGTCCTCACCGAACCGGCCACCGGCGGAAAAGGTGTACTCATTTAACCAGACGGGATCGTCCAAGGCCCAGAAACCGACGGGGTCCACATGCAACGCTTTCAGATCGCGGATGAGCTGGTTCAAATGCGAATACTGCGCTTTTTTCAACAACGTATAGCAAACGATTTCACCGCCAACACCACAAGCAATGAAGCGATTACCCGATACTTTCATCCTTTCTCCTTGTGCAAGCCAGATGGGAAAGAAGTCGGCCAGGGCCAAGCGGGGGACAAAATCAACCTCGTTTTTAAACCGTGACATGGCTTGTCCCCCCGTGATCGCTAGGTCAAAGCCGCAAATAACGTGTGTCACCTGGTCAGCGGTAACGAGCGTGTCATTCAATGGGACCGAACGGAGGAGATAGCTTGAACCGTGACCTCCCTGTAGCGTTTGCAACGTTTGGTTCAGTGGGTCGAAGCAGAACACCTTGAACGAGTTGGACTGTGTGGTGACCACAACCTTGGTTCCCTGGCAGGAAATAGCAATCACGTTGGACGGAAAAAGCGCGAGTTTCTTTGCAGGGTTCATGGTGCTGGTTGCCAGGTTGTATGAGCTCAAGTACAAGGCACAGCCCGCAGCGTAGGCGATAAAGTCGCTCAACTGGGCGAGAGCGTAAACTGGATCACTGACCTTCCACGAGTTCAACTTTTTCAACACCATCACGTCTTTTCTACCCTTCTCACGGGTCTTGGACACCTGGATAACCTTCACACACCCCTCATTCCCCTTTGTGCACCCCACGATCAAGTTCTTGTGTCCATTAAGACACCACTCGGCCACAGAAAGCGGGGATTCGCCGTCACTAAAGATGCTCTCTTCGTCGTTGGACTTCATCTCTCGGTGGCTCATCGTGCAGAGGCTCTTGGGGTCAACACAAAGAAGCTTTGTCGTGAGAACAACAAAGATTCCGTACTTCCTGACCCCCAGCTCGGTGAACTTCTCGTGGTGGATGAAGGTTCGTGCAGGTACCCCGAGTGGAATTGTTCGAAGAACCACCGCGGTTTCACTGAGGTCAATGTCAAGCCGTGACACCCCTTCGTCCCTAACCGCTAGCACCGATAGACATTTACCTTCAGTTGCAAGAGGAAGGAGGGAGTACGTTCTGGAGGTGCTTCTTTCGCTGACCAACACCTTCCACGGATAGGCATCCCTCATCCGTAGGACCCAGATGTTTCGCGCGAGGATGACGAGCGTATCGGGGTAGAGGTTTGGATAGAAGGTGACGGGCGTTTCGCTTATCTTTACCGAGCTTTCGAGGGCAAACTCTCGGAGCTTTGCGAGCATTCCGGTGCGCGAGCCAACGTACAAACGGTGCTGCTCAGCGTGGTAGAAAAGGTCGTTGGGAATTCCATCCAAGACCAAGCTTTTGACAAAAACAAAGGTAGACTCCAAGCGGAAGTGCACTAGCTCAGACTCGAACGTTCCGACCAAAATATCACGTCCCGAGGCTAACAAATCCACCTTATCGAAAACGACAACTTTTAGCACCGCCACCTGGAGCTCCAATTGCACCGCGGAGATCCTGATCAACACCGTCTCAGCCCCGGCCATTGCCGCCTCAACGTCAATTTCAAACGCTTCCAACTTCTGGGAATCGGTGACTACAACCAACACCGTTCCCGAAAGGGCGGCAAAGCGAATGCTATCCGCAAAAGCCACCAGATAGTGCACCGTCTTATGGAGATTGGTGAGCACAACCGTATCCTCAGTCACCTGCATCCACAAGGCTCCTACCTTGTCTACTAAGAGCGTGCGCGACGCTAACTCAAACTCCAAATCCGCGTCGGATTCAGACACGATTCGCGTCTCAAAGGGCCCAGAATAGACTAAAAGCTCGCCTAGATCCGGACACAGCACACGGAAAAGCTCCAACGGATCGGCGCCTGCATCAAGAATCGTCCTCACCGCCCTGTACCCCACACGAATATGATTTAACGCCGTGCCGGCACCGTTTCCCGATAATCCCCACAACTCCTGCGACGAGTGGACCTCGATGTTGCGGTTGGAGGCCGCACCCACGCGATAGTCGCGCATCGACGCCCAGTTGGGGTGCTCACGCACGACGGACGAATGGGATCTGTGCTTGCTAGAGCCCTGGGGGAGCGGCGGAAGCGCGAGATCGTAACTGCCCTTGCGGATCTGGGCCTTGGACACTTTCACCTCGCGGCCCGTGCCAAGCGCGGCGCCGTAGGAGAGAAGGTAGTGGGTTTCATCGAACTCCGTGAGGGTGAAGGTGTCGATGGCTACGCCAACGTTGAGAATTTCTGTGCATTCGATTTCTTTATCCTTTACAACGACCGCGTGGACCCGGCCATTGTCGGTGGCTAAAAAAATCTCGTCAATGCGATCGTAGTCGACAAAGTTGACGCGCGACACCATCGGCGCGCGCGCGTCGTGGAACACGGCGCTCACAAACCCCGGCAGCGCGGCCTGCGTAGCGTCATATCCCGCGTTGAGGATCTGGTGGATCGTGAGGAGCACCAAACGGTCCGGAAGCACCAAAAGTACCGCGTTGTTCTGGCAGAGTGGCACTACACGCACGGGGAGTGCGTGCGCGCGTGGCACAAGGTACGGGCTGTACTGGTGGATGTCGCGGAACGGTGCGAAGAGTGACCACTGGTAGGTGCGGACCTGGAGCCGGCGCTCGTTCGTCACTACAAACAAGAGGAGCATTACGCTGGACGGGTTGCCGTCGAGCGGCTCCATGAACACCGTGTGCACGATGGTGCCGTCAACGTAGAGGTCGTGGTGGGCCTTCATCGCGATGCCACCGTTCTCAAAGCGCTGGAGGCTAACCACGCGCGCACGGCAGCACATCGCGGTCGTGGCCGCATAGAGCCCCAGGCGGTGAACTGCGAGCGCATGGCCCACATCATAGAGCTGTGACTCGCCGAATTTGTTGTCGAGCCCCATCCACTGAACCACCCGGGGTGTGTAGCCGTCGCCGGTGTAGTAGATTCGCACGAGAAGGAGCACGCCTGAGTTGAGGCTCACGAACAAACTGTCGTCGAAGGGCACCTCCCCGTGCGCGCCGGGGATGATCGCGCACGTCTTGATGCGCACGGGAAGCGTGGCGGTCGCGCCGTCAACCGTGAGCGAGTGCGCGCGCACCACGACCTGTACGCGACACATCGCGGGTTCCCGTGGCGCGGTACTCTCGCGTTTGACCGTGGTTTCCATGGGGTAGTTGTCAAAGAGTCCATCATCGAACGAGTCTGGAACGTCATCTCCCCAGGCCTTTTGTGATGTGAGGAGGTCCCATGTGTCTAGCGGCAAGAGCGGCTCCGTTGCCGGCACATCGCCGGTGGTGGTGGGATTTGCATATGGTTTGTTCTTGTCGATGTTGAGGGTAAAGATGTGCTGGATAATGGGCGAGTGAACCAAGGTTTTTTTTAGGACACCGTAGGTGGAGGGAGAGTCTGTATCATCCGGCCAAACAAAGGAGGACATGGAGTTGGGATGGTTGATTGAATCAAGAGGTGAGTCGATGGGTGTCGTATAAAAAAAAGTTGTACAGGATAATGTGCGGATGGCCTAAATGTTTAGAGATTGATAAAATATAAAGAATAAAAAGTATTTGATAAAATATGGAGAATAAAAAGTATTTGATAGAATGTAAAGAATAAAAATTATTTAATAAAATATAAAGAATAAGAGGTATTCTATAGAAGTATGAATACAAATAAACCTTACTGGTAGTTTTGGACAGAGATTAATAGGGTTTAGATAAATATGAGAAACAGCACAGACTGATCTCGTACAATATATCTCCAAGGCAATGTCTAGTTTAAAATTCATTTGGAGATTCATCCAAGACCGATTAGCAAAATATCATGCCTAAAAAAATACTATATATCGTATATATAGACGACCCGAGACCCAACACATGGCCCTATCTATACAGTATGCAGGACCAATATGTATCTTTGCTGGCAATCAAACCTGATCTATTGATTCTTCCCCACATAGCCTTCGTATAAAATCCTTCGGACCTTGAATGGGCTGAATTTTAATACACTCTTGCATTACATTGAAGCCACCTCAATGTCATTCTTCACGCCGTACCTTGTCCCCCAGCCGTCAGGGCCGCGAGTCGAGTATCTCACCATCTTCAACCCGACGCTTTCCCATAACGACTCAGACACGGACAAATCGCTCTTGTTGCACTACTCGCCTGGCAGAGAGTATACAATGGACGAAAAGTTGCGCCACATTGGATTAATCCAGGGCTTGAACAGCTTCAGCTCTACGTTTGCGGCCGGCTCTCCGGTCGAGCTCGTCAAGACGGACAAGACTTGTTTGGCGATAGTGAAGCTCCCAGACGAATATTTCATGGCAATGTGTGTCAGATTGGCCCAAATGGTGGACTCAAAGGGAGAATTGGTGTATTCTGACGCAGAAATGCCCCCAGACTACGTGTACACGGCTATTCTTGAGAAAGGCCACGCCTTGTTTACGCTACACCACGGAAAGATAGCGGATCTGACACCCACCGTTCTTGAGGGCTGGTGGTCACGCTACTTGAAAGAGTGCGTGTCATTCTCTCGCTGGAGTTGCCACGACCGACTTCCGCACGTGAGAAAATCATCGACCGCGTTGCTTAACGCTACAAAGAACAGGGTGAATGGGTTGGCAAAGCACGCATTGGTGTTTAATTTCGGCAAAAAAGAGCACGGATTTGTGTACCAGGCATCCGACTCGGTGAGCAGCGCCGACCTTTGGCGGATCTACACCTGGCTAGAGACGGTGCACACATCCGCCGTCTTGGCCCCAGAAAACTTGATTGGTGACGTTCCAATCGGAGCAAAAGCACCCGCCTTTGATCCCACTGTTGCCGCCAAGCCGCGGAAGAAGTACGCCGGAAGCATGTTTTCCTTTAGTCCCGTCAAGGCTATGAACCAACTTGGCAGTCTGACCATGAGCGTGATGAGCACCGCCGCGAATTTCAACCGGTGGTTTGAACCCCCAGAGGCGGTTGAAGAAGTGTCGAGCAAAGGGGCGTTTCTCGTTGGTCTCCACGAAACGTTAGACACTGACGATCCGGATATGCACAAGACGATAACCACGAAGCAGGTTTATCTTGGAGAAGCACTTATCAAGCACAACTTGGTTATCTATAGACTAGATGACAGCGTGGTGGTGCTCGTGTACGATGGGGAGACACAGCTACTGGTGAACTCCTTCTACACCAAACTAGAGGCGGCCCTCATAGAGATGTTTGACGGTGAAATGTCAACCTCAACAGCCACCATTTCCTCCCACAAACCTCCAAAGGTCAGTCCGTGGTCCAGCCTTGTAAAGGGAGGCATGGATACTCTCAGTTTGTTTAGCACGCTGGAGGCCCCGGAAGCGAGCCTTACACCTTTTTACTATTACGTCTACAACTGTGAGACCCGCTTCCTCGAGACTTCTCTTCCGCCGATTCCGGAAACGGACTCCACGGAACAGTACGATATTCTCAAGAGCGCTACCGCTGCAAAGTACGTGCACGCGTTGGTAGCGGGTATCGTCGACAGTACCATCTCAGAAAGGCTGCGAAAGCCCCTCATTTCGCTTGAGGAAACAATCGTCAAGACCGAGAAAAACTGGTTGTGTTACCACACGGTGTTTTCAGACGAGGGTGGCGACCGGTTGTTGGTGCTCCTCAAAGCTATCCCCTGCGTCAATCCTATCAAACAGATTATCGAGGGCAACACCAGTCCGCACTTGATTCGAATGATGGGACACGAAGTGCAGGTGTGGCTCGACTACTACAAACTTACAGGAGAGGTTGTGCCATACGCTTACAAATAGAATTTACAGTACAACCATAGCTATGACTCAAGACGACTTCTTGGAGTAAAACGTAGGCTTTGAAGATTAATTTACACGTATATTACAATAACTATGACAGTATGGAGAAGGAGGCCTATTCCATATCTTGCTTGATCTTTTCCAACAAAACGTTGATTCTAGGTCCCATCAATGGTTGGCCGGAACGGGTCTTGACGGCCAAACGCTCGTTCTTTCTCTCTCTCTCACGTCTCTTGGTCTCGGCAACCTTCTGCATTTTTTCAAAGTCTTTTTGCTTCTGTTCTCTCTGCAGTTCCTTGCGCTCCTTAGCGATCTTGACCTTTTCCTGGAAGGATAATTGTTTTTTCGCTGGCTTTTCCTCGTCCTGGTCTCTGCGGCCCTTGACCAGGGGTTCTCTCTCTGGAATGGCTAGCCCTTCTTTCTCCAATAACTTGAAGTAGCTCTTTTTTAAGTTGGACTTGTGGGTTAAAGCCTTCTTGATGTCCTCGTCTATAGATGTTAGTAGATGTTGTGGGACTTGTAAAGAAAAACGTACTCTTGGATTCTCTGCGGTCTTTGTATGGGTTTACAGTGCCACGGGAAGCACCTCTGCCCCTGGAACTGCCCCTGGAACTGCCTCTGAAGTCACCTCTTGAGCCTCCTCTGGAACTGCCTCTGAAGCCTCCTCTGGAGCCGCCTCTAGAACCACCTCTAGAACCACCCCTAGAACCACCTCTATCACTGGAACCACCCCTGCCGCTGCCACCTCTACCACGTCCATTGAATTCCGACATTGTACTATATATTATTCTGGGATTGTTAATGCGGCTTGCAATATGCTATAGATCTAACCAAACACTAAGTGAAATATCTCATCTTGATATGCATGCAAAAACTTTTCTTAGTGCAGGAGATGGGCAGAAAGTTTCTGTCACGTGAGTAAACATGTGATAAAATTATGGGGCACGATACCTGGCCACAAGCCACGTTACTTCTGCGACACACATACTTTGGAACCCAATTGATTTGAAGAATATCACGTTAATTCCAGAACAACATGTTTTCCTTATTACAGAGGGGTCAGCAGGTGTCGAACCAGGCGATTTCAGCGTTGTCTTACATTGCGTTTGCCATCATTGCCTTATTCCTTGCACAATTGCACTTTGACAATGCCTACAACTTGCCGAGTCAAATTGCCAACATCGAAACGTATGTATTAACCTGACGTGCCCCCTTGAAGCCACTAACACCTCCAGTTCCACCAATATCCGGTACAGTTACTCCGCTGGGTCTACATCCGCGAAAGGCAAGGAGAACTCCAAAATCAAGTTTGACATCGACACAGATTTGAGCTCCTTGTTCAATTGGAACACGAAGCAGGTGTTTGTCTACTTGACAGCAACCTACCCGGGTAAGTCCCCGGAGTCCAGTAACCGTGTCACCTACTGGGACAAGATCATCACCGATCCAAAGGACGCCAAGTTGTCTTTAAAGAGCGTTAGGGGAAAGTACAGTGTCTACGACAGAGAGTTCTCCTTCAGAGAGAGAAACGCCACTCTTGCGTTGGAATGGAACATCCAGCCGTGGATTGGGCCATTGGTTTTTGGTACGCTTGAGGGCGGACAAGGCTTTTCTTTCTCCAAACCCGAAAAGCCAAGAAAGTAAGCTGAAAGGTGGATATCACTTCCAGTGCCAACTTTGTATATGAAAACCCAATCTATTGATATAAGAATCAGGGCTGAGCAAAAAAACAACTAGTCAAGGATCGTAGTGGGTTGTAAGACAGAACTCGATCTCTGTTTAGTTGTCAGACCTCAACCACCGAATTCCAACCCGGTAGTATATGCTTAAACTTAACCTAGGAATGCTTGATAGATGGATAAAATGCTTCCAGGTAGGCTCCCGAAACTAAAAGAAACCCGTCTTGATGCTATTTACAGTTCTATATGCCTTTTTAACTCACCCAACAACCGCTCCACATCCCGCTGGAAGCCAGCAACGTCAAAATCCAAAGGCTTGTGGCCAGCACTGGGCGTCCCAAACCCGTTGGTAGCAGCATCGTACTCGTTCGCCACGACGAACCGGGTGGTTGCCTTAGGGTACCTCCCAAGGATCCGGCTCATCAACTCCCGGTACTTGATTGCAAACTGCAACTTCTGAATCTCCCCTAACACAGATACGGAGGACGAACCAACGGCGCTGTGTTTGATGACGCTCATTTCGTGCTTGACCTGGTGTTCAACGTACAACTGCACAAAGTTCTTGAGATACTCCTCGATCTCATACCAGGTGTCTTTATAGAGGGACAACAGTTTGACAGAGACACTGGTGGAATTACCGCGATTCTGGAAGATATTTTCGGTCAACTCCAAGCCCTTCAAGCAGTTCTGGGGGTCCTTCATGATCAACGGAATGAGCCAGTTCCAGACACTGTTGCTCAAAGTGAAACCCAAACGGGTCACGCGTTTCAACTCGTCCACCGCGCCTGGTACGTTTTCCCCAGCAGTGTGCTTCTTCTTGTCCAAGGAAGCGAACCTATACTTTACAACCGGATTGAGCAAAGAGCGATAGAGCTTACCCACAACGGGGGTCTCAGGCTTGACGTGCGACTGCTCCATGACTAGCTGGAGATACTCCTCGTAGAACGTGTCCACGTTCCACCATCGGCCCATCTTGGCGTTGATCTCTATGCGGATCTGTTTGGAGATTAAGCTGCCATAGAAACTGGCGGTGGCATCGATGTAGACCAACTTAGTCTCCACAAAGTGGTTGAGCCAGCCCTGAACCTGCCATGGATGGGCTACGCCCTGTAAGAACCTTACGGTTTTGTGCAACAACACGAGTAGCTGGTCCGGGGATGGTGTTCTGCGATTATGGACTTTCAGCTCAAACTGGGCCTCGTAGTAATCGCCCTGCTGGTTGGAGATCTTGGTCAATTTATCGATAACCTGGTCGTTGATCTGCTCCAAGTGCTGCTGGGCCCTGGCTACCAACGCGGTGCATTGGGCTTTCAGTGAAGTCTGGGCCAAGCTCTCAAACGCATCAATGAGGTAGAGGTGGCTCTGGTAATCTGCGTAGATGTTCTGCTTGTAGCTAAGCTCGTCGAAAAGCTTTATGCAAGAAAGTGGCCTGTCCTTGGAGAGTCCCTTGAGCAAGGCGTTGTAATGGCTGATGGTTGGTGTCAAGTTTTTATGCTTCATCATGTCATGTGAAACGATTCGCACTGCCCCTTCGATGTTGCCAATAAGGAACATGTAGTGGATAGCCACCTCAAAAAACTCTAGCGTTACCGGGTGCGTGAAGTGTTTCATCTCTTCAAACAAGGCAGACGCCTGGAGACGATCCTTCAGCTGTACCAAGCACCGGAGCTTTTCCGTGTACAAATCCATCGCCAACGGGATGCGTTTACCGCCTGATTGGTTTTGGATAACAATCTCGTCAAACAACTTGAGACACAACTGGTGCTTGTGGCACTTCGTGTACAACTGCATCATTCGCTTGTACAACAACCCGTCGCAGTCGCCAATCTCCTTTAATTGGTTAAACACTCCGGTGGCCTGCTCCCACTTGGCCGCAGAGCTGCACATGTCGATGAGAAGGCCCGCGTGCTCCACCGAAAGAAGGTGCTTGGAGTTGGCCACCATGTTTTCCCAGAGCATCAACGCCGATTCGAGATCATTCTGGTGCTTGAAGGTCCGGAAGATGAGTGTGTACATATAGGTGGTTGGCTGGATGCCAAACTTTTCCGTCTGTGAAAATTGCTCAAACACCTCGTAGAACTTGCGGGACTGGAGCTTGGACATCATCATCGAAATGACAATCTCGGCATTGGGGGCGAATCCGTCTCTGATGTACGTAGTGTACAACTGGCTGACCACACTGTCGTACCCAGCCGAGGCGAGACCCTTCATGACGATAGAGTAGTGGATCGGCTGCACAAACCCTGGTCCCTTGGCAATAACCTGCTCAAACAACAGCTGCATCCGGTCCCAGTCGTGGTTTTTGGCGTAGATCCGCAACATCACGGCAATCTGATCTGGCTCGTGCAAATGGGAGTAGGCATTGTAGGTATCGATCGCCTCAGCAAACTCCGCTAGGGCCACCAAGCCGTGTAAGTGGCAGGATAAGTCTGTACTGGTTAACGCGGCAAAGGGTTTCATGTCCCACACGGCTTCCACTAGTTCTGGCTTGTTGAAGGTCTTGCCCACAAGCATGCACGTAGAGAGGAATTGCCAGTAAGTTTCGTTGTCATAATGGGGTTGCAAGCGGACAAGAAACTTGGGATCAAAGCTGACGGAGTCGAGCATTTTATACAAGGTCCATAACATGAACGGCCGGGCGGTTTCGGCACGAAACTCCACGTCTCCGTATAGGCGTTTGGTGTTGTCAATAAAGAATCTGAATGAGGTCACAGGGGTGTGGAGCTTGGACGCGTAGTGGTTACAGACGTGGCGGATGACATGGAGGGCCTCACGGTGGGTGGCAGGGTCCAGGATAAGCTGGGAAACGTGGCCGTCGATCACGTCGTACTCGCCGAGCGTCCAGTAGTACCGGGCCTTGTAAATCTCCGACGTGGGATTCACCGACGGATCCTCAAAGAGCAATGAATGAATGGTGCTAAGCTCCTTGTAGTGGAACAACGTGTCAAGCACTTTGTACTTCCAGGATTCGACCAACGATTGGTACAGGGGAGAGTAGTCTGCTCTGGATTCCCACAAACCCATCAAAAACTGGGGGACATCAGAGTCTAGGTCAATAGAGCCTTTCATGGCGCTGGAGGAGACAATGACAGCGCGGAAGATGCGAAGGAGCGTGGCTTCCTGGGGATCCACGTGCTGATGTAGGGTCTCAAGGGTGACTGCATGGCCGTCAAGCTTCCCCAACAGGCCCTTTGCCTGGCTGAGTATGGTATATGCAAGTTTATCGAGTGATTCAAGGTGGGGATAGTCGTTATCGATTTCATGGGCCAAGGCGTCAAGGAACGCCGTGTGGTGGAAGGCGACCGAGCGTTTAGCCGGGGCGATGGACGTAATGCGGTTGTCGCTGTTGCGATCTATGACGAAGTCGTCGTTGGCAGCTTGAGAATGCAGATTATGTACAGAGATTTCGTGGGCCACCTGGTGCGAGTAGAATTGTCTTTCAGTCCGAGAGGTTAGGGTGTTTACCATAGACTCGCTGTATCTTTTCCAGTCGAGCAAGCGGTGGCGGTACAGGATGGAATAATGCTTGGTGGGTGAGAGGGGTGGGAAGATGCTGCTTTGGAGGCGCTGTAGAACCCGTGACTTACCACCAGATGCGATTGACCATTCGAGTAATTGGGTTCTCGTTGTGAGTTTAGCTGTAGATAGACTCATGACAGAAATATGTGGATCGAAGGTGAAAATTGCGGTGAACAGTCTCGGGTATTCCTGGGGGAGGTGAAAAATGGGGATATATCTCCGTAGAGGAGTTGGATAAAAAGAGGTGTCTTCTAACCAGACACAAAGACTCAGGACGGTTAAATGGCGAGTGGGAGAGTGGCCTGATATGGACAAGACTAGCTAAAAAAAAAAATAGCTACTGGAGAAAAAATTAAGAGTATGTGAACCGCGTGATTAGCACGTGTTTGGGCACGTGCGGATTCATGCAGTCTAGCGTATCACAAGGTAAATGTTGTAGTTTAAACGAGATATCTTTGTCGGATATTCCCGAGACAGGGAAGCAGCTACAGTTGCTTTCGCCGTATTCCACCATTTAATTTTCATTCCTTTCTGGCTTGAGACTGACTCTGATTTTATTCTGTTGTTATAGTTCAGCTGCTAACTGGTTAAGGCACTAACTAGAACAAAAAATTGATGCTAACGTTATTGATTCTGTAAAGTCAAACTCCCAGTTCGATTACTAATATGCCTAAAAGCGCCTTTCGCGGAACCAAGGTCCTTTTATTAATATAAATCCAATTATTCAACGTGCCAACTTCGGATTTTTCACATTTCAAGGATGGAAAAACACAGCAGCAGGTCCAGGAGTTCCAGCATCGCGTCACACGAGGCGGCTTGCAACTCTTCCTTCAACTCTTCGATTTCCAGCCGGTAGTCAAGGTCACCTAGGATGAGGGAATGAAGAGTGGCCAACTTCAGCTGGTGCGTCACATGGGCCTGAGCGGGGTCGGTAAACGGGTATATCTGGTTGTAGTTAATAGGGGGCCTCTGAACCAGAAAGCGGTTCTCAGAAGGCGGCTGGGATGCTTTCTGGGGGTAGCGGAGCTGGGCTTGTTTTTGATAAAGCGTCAGGCGCGATGCAAAAGTGGTGTATGCTAAGTCATTAAAGTCGTTGGATGCTTGGTAGGACGAACGGTGGGCAGCCTGTTTGGGAACAGGTGCGTGAAGGGTGGTTGGCTGCCTTGGCTCACAGACGTACGAGGTGGAGGGAGACAAGTGATTGGAAACGGTGCGTGTGTCCGCTGTGAGCTGGGGCGATGCAAATGTCTCTGCGTATTGTAGTTCCTCGTCAAGGGCATAGAATTGCACTTGGTCAGTTGGTGGTATTTTGCTCTGAGGTTCGCGAGGGATCTGTGCAACGGGAATTGAGTTGAGGCTGTAAACCGATTCAAACTCCGGTATCGACTTGTCAAACGTCTCGACCCTGGCTCGCTTATTTGGAGTGGAGTGGGTTGGTAGTAGCGTGTATTGGTGGGGGGGCCGGGATACCGCCAGGCTGGTGCAGGTTATAGGTCTCTTCATGGTAGATATTGAACTGGACGAGAGGAAAAGAATATAGCGAAATATTCCTTATAGGGCTGAACTGACTCTGAGATATTTTGGTGTAATTATTTTCAGCGCACGGCAACTATATGTAGGATTGTACAATTTTTTTGGCGTAGTTTCTTTTTCGCCCTTGTGCGGATAAGGAGCTCTGTCGAAACCAGATGCTTCCAAACGGTGCACGAAGATGCAGCGCCGTCAAAGATGAAATGCGAGCGCGGAATTATTGCCGCTTCTAAGAATGGGATTCGCCGTGCAGTAAATATGCAATTTGCGATGACAAACGATGCAATCGCGATTTAGGTGACTGGGATTGTCTGGGTCTTGGATACGGTATGAGTGACCGTAAATTTTGAGTGAATACGTTGCTATAGTAAATAATCCAGACGACGGGGAATGCCGTGGAATATATATTTTGTGGTTTTCTCGCAGTTATCAATGTGCTTGGAGTTCAATGTGCTATCATTTGGATTACACAATCCTTATCGCTTTATCAAAAAGCTCCAACATAGTAAATCTTCTGGATTGCGGGGATACTGTGGCTGAATCTCCGGATTAAACAGGTAAGGTTTATTAGAGTCATCCCAAAAAGGCACAGTAGATTGTATGCATTTGTTTTCACAACCCAAATTCTATAGGTGCTCATGCTGCGGAAGCGAGAAAAAAAAATACGAGGGACAAGTTAGTCCACAGTGCAATCTTCACGATAACTCGTGCAGAATGGTGATTTTAGTCAGCTACTGAGTATGTACAGATGCTTATATACGTGGATAAATTGACCATCCACCTAGCAATGGATCGTTTACGGTCCCGAAGCCACGGGTGCGCGGGAACCGTCTGGGTGGCCCAGAGATATTGTCTTTGGGTCATTCCTAACCATACGCCTGTATGGCACAAGTTTAAATTCCGTAGAGCCACGGCTCGTTCGGTAGCCCTAAGGAACCTTACTTGTAACAGATCTGCCGACCTCTCGTAAACTTAGATGACGTGTGGTCATACGGCAATGGATAACCGCATGCAGGATATTGAAATCGTTATCGCCCCACCGCACACGCCCGCGGCTCGCTCTATCCCTTCCGGGCGTAGTGTCCACTCCAATCGGCACACCGCCTCGATGAAAGCGGCGCTCGGTCGGCTGTCTCCTAGGCACACACGTGATTACCATACGCCGCATATAGCCCAGCCCGCCGTATGCCACCGAGGCTACCCTCACGCATCGCACTATAACAACCACTAGCACGCAATGACCTTAAACGCCGTAGCTTTTGATATCGGAGACGGTCGGGGAAACTTTAATTGCCACGAGGAGAAGCTCTGACCTTTCTATTCAGCAAACCGATACCACATACCACCTATCTCCCACGCGCATGATGTCTCCGTTGAGGTGTTAGGGTTTGTATACATGGACGCCTGTTAGTGTGTATGATGTACGCGTTGTTGGTTATCACTTCTCCACACTTTTGCTTTCCATGCTGGATCTTGTGCTATCTTAGGCCCTCCCGAGATAAAGTTATGTAGCTGCACAATACTTGCGTTTCTCGTGTTTATGTATGTAGGGGCTGTACGAGCTATCAATAGCGATGCCAGCTAGATGGCGTTACACCAAGATTACACTGTACGGATAAACCCATTATCGTGGCTTCGTTCTCGTAAATTACCAACTGTCATAGCTGGATATGACCAGCAGACTACACACTGTTAGCATGTGATCATGCGCTTTGAATATGCAATCAGAGAGACACTACAGGAATATCTTTTGATGAGGGCTAGTTAGGGTGGATGGCTCAATCTAATTTCTGCTGGGAGTCAGATTCAACTAATACGCAATTCTTGAAGCTGATAAGCTGCTATGTAAGTGGTGGCTAGGTAAACAAAGAAAGGATCGGGGCTAGGCACTCTTTAGTTGACAAACCTGTTTGCTACCCTAAACATGAATATTAGAAGATTAGGCGAACTACCCGCGGATAGCTTTCTAATCTCTCACAGCCAGGAAGTTGAGGACTTCTAGTTGGCCTGTAGACAGATAACCATAAAACTGGAACGGGTAAACTTGTCCCTTATGGGGCCGTGGCTCAGATCTTTCGACTGTAAATATATCACGTCTGCAATCGTGAGAAGGTACACTGTTTACATTTGAACACGGCTGGCATATTGTTCAGTTAAAATAAGAGTTGACGTAGAGGCATGTATATCGATGAATCAAGTGCCTCGGTGTGTGCTTTCTCTCCACTTTGTAGCGTGAGGGTGGTGTGGCCTGGGAAGTACAATAGTCGGAAGCATTCCTATAATCGAGCTCTAGTAGAGATATGCAGTTTCCCAAAGGTGTATCTTTCCTTCCGAGACCAGGTACACATGCTACAAAAGCAAACCGTACCTTGCAAATTTCGGATCGACATGCGGCGTAGATAGTAATTGAGCAATCTCATCTCAGATAGGTTGAAATATGCCACCCATGTGGACGTCTCTGAGAATAAACTATTAAAAGCCAAGTCGACCCGAACTCTATATTTAAATCTCTGAGATACGAAATGGCGCGTCGGGAGATAAATGTTGACAGATATGCCACGAGGCTTATCTACCCCGGCACCCTATCTGGCTACTGTCATGCACGTCAAAAGTCATACGTCATATGTAATCATAATATCGACAGATGTGTAATACTCGACACCTTTGTAGGGAGACATTTTCACGATAGTGGATTGCAGCTTTCGGCGATAACGATATACGACCGCCGATAGACTGTTGATAGAGGATTGTTGATATAACGATAACGATATAGGTCTGCCGGTATAAGGACGATAATATAGAACAGTCAATATAAACACCGATGGCTAATGGTGCTGTCAAATCCTGGAGCAATTTTAGACCTATTCAAGAAAAAAAAAAAGAAGGGTTTCTAACTCGACAGCATTTAAATAGAGCTGACCTTATATCTGTGAAGCTCTAGAGAAAGACACCTTTTTTCTTCAGCCTTGAGATAGCACGTAACGTTTTGGGCTTTGATGGAGATACTCATAACACTGATATTTGCCACCTATGTATTTTACCAAGTTAGAGATATAGTCTTAAGATTGCATCACACTTTAACCCAATAGATTATCACTACCACCTCTTTATTCCCACCTCACGATCTTCTAATCCTTCCGTTATGACAAAGCCGATTTTATATTAACATTCTCCAGTACTTCTCGATCTAGACCTCCGCTTATTTTATGCTCAACCACTGAACTATACGTATACATCACTGACTTACCGGTACCATTTTATTTTCAGGTGGCACAGCCACTCTGTTGAGAAATATCCATAAACACTATTAAAATCAATCTCTTGACCATTTTTTTTCCAGAATCAATCACTCGAACGCCATTAGTAAAATTCATTGGACGATGCCTAATCTTTCACATCACGTGACAAACTGACATTTTTGCCCGAAAAATTCCCGCCGCGAGCTAACTGACTCACCTCTTGCACCAGCATTTATGAGTTCCCTCCAGAAATCTTTCTACCGCTTTTCTAGACTCTATTCAACTACCCGTATGCCATCGTGGAACAACCCGCAAGACACGGCCGCCGCTGCGGTAAAGCCGTTGTCCCTCTATAACACCCTCACAAAAACGAAGAACGTGTTTGCGCCGATTACCACCGGCAAGGTCAAGTGGTACTCGTGTGGCCCGACAGTCTACGACGCGGCACACATGGGCCATGCAAGAAACTACGTCTCCATCGATATCAATCGCCGTGTGTTGCGTGACTACTTTCACTACGACGTGCACTTTGTGCAGAACGTGACAGACATCGACGACAAGATCATCATCCGCGCCAGACAAAACTATCTTTTCGAGCAGTACACGCAGAAGGCGCCGTCTGTGTCTGAGGTCACCGCAAAGGCCCAGGAGGGTTTGGCCCGGTATATTGCAAAAAACTTGCCAGACAGCGCCAAGTTCGCGTCTGTGGAGGAATGGGCCGCGCTGATTGACCTCAAAGCAGAAATGATCAAGGAAGAGAAGTTGCCAATGTACTTAAAGACCGTGACGACGGCCCAAGACGCCCTCAAAGACCCCCAGGACGTGGCCGCTCTTTTGGCTCTGACCAAGGACGTCATTGTGCCGGTGTTGGACAAGGAATACGGTGCGACCGTGAACGATCCTGCGGTCTTTCTCGCGTTGCCAGCCTACTGGGAGTATCGTTTCGACCAGGATATGGCCCGCTTGGACGTCTTGGAGCCAGACACCATCACCCGCGTGACGGAATACGTCCCAGAGATTGCCACCTTTGTCGAGAAGATCATCGCCAATGGGTTCGCTTACGCCACCGCGGACGGCTCCGTCTACTTCGACACAGTTGCGTTTGACCGCTCCGACAACCATGATTACGCCAAGCTCGTACCGAGCAACAAGAACAACCTCAAGTTGATCGAGGAGGGCGAGGGCTCGTTGTCTGTGGCGTCTGGGAAGCGCAGCCCGTCGGACTTTGCCTTGTGGAAGGGCTCCAAGCCAGGAGAGCCAGCCTGGGCATCGCCGTGGGGCCAGGGCCGTCCTGGCTGGCATATCGAGTGCTCTGTGATGGCGAGCGACATCTTGGGCCAGCAGATCGACATCCACTCTGGGGGGATCGACTTGGCCTTCCCGCACCACGACAACGAGTTGGCGCAGTCTGAGGCCCACTACGACTGCCAGCAGTGGGTCAACTACTTCCTCCATACCGGCCACTTGCACATCGAGGGCTCTAAGATGAGCAAGTCCTTGAAGAACTTTATCTCCATCGACGAGGCCTTGACCATGTACTCTGCCAGACAGTTGCGTTTGTGTTTCGCATTGACCCCGTACAACAACCCATTGGACTTCAAGGGGGCGTTGATCGACGAAGTCAAGAACTACGAGGGCTCCTTGAGCAAGTTCTTCACCAAGGTGCGTGCCTTGAAGAGCAGCTACGAGCACGACCTTTCCCAGGGCAAGATCATCTCCAAGAAGATCACTGCCGCCGAAAGCGCGTTGGAGGAGGACTTGGAGGAGGCCAAGCGCGCCGTCCACGAGGCTTTCTGTGACAACTTGAACACGCCGTTGGTGATGCGTATTGTTGGTGACTTGGTCTCCAAGACCAACACCTACATTTCCGGGTTGGGCTCCGAGCTCAAGATCGGCCGCGTAGTGCGCAACGCCCAGTGGGTGAGCCAGATCTTGGCGATTGTGGGTTTCCGCACGCGTGCTGACGGCTTGGGCTGGTCGGATGCCTCCGTCGCCGATGACGGTGCGTCTTTCGAGGAAACGGTTTCTCCCGTGGCCAAGATCTTGTCCTCCACCCGTGACACCATCAGAACCAAAGGCATCGAATTGAAGGATGCCGAGTTGTTGCAGTTAAGCGACTCTGTCCGCCAGGAGCTCTTGCAACACGGAATCTCCATCGACGACCAAACCGACGGCCCGGCCTTGGTCAAGTTCTTGAGCTCCGCGGAAAAGACCGAGATGCTTAAGCAGCAGCAGGAGAAGGACCAGAAGGCGCAGGAAAAGCTCCAGAAGAAGGCCCAACAGGCCAGAGAGATTGCCGAAAAGGCTCGCTTGGCCGATGAGAAAGCCAAGGTTAGACCGGAAGATTTGTTCAAATCCGAGACGGACAAGTACTCCACGTTTGACGAGGCTGGTATGCCCACCAAGGATGCTGCCGGTGAGGAGATCACCAAGAGCATGAGAAAGAAGTTACAGAAGCTCTACGACCAGCAGAAGAAGTTGCATGAGGCGTACTTGGAGAGGACAAAGAACTAAGCGTAGATTAGAAGGAGATATAGATTATTTAGGCTTGAAATTGCTGTAGTGGAGCAATACTTCTGAAATTCGCCGTCAGCCTTGGTGAATATACTAGAATTCACCGTAATTGCAGAATTTTACCGCTAAGCGTTCGTAATCTCACAGATTTGGACAGAGAGAAAGCTTGATAACCCAAAATATTGATTCTTATTTTATGTAAAACTCGGAGATTTGAGCTTTATGCCTAAAAAAAAACATACCTTGGAGATGAAAGGACCAGAACAAGCGTCGAGACTCGCATACCTATGGTTCGGCCAATTGTCCTTCCCTCTACCTTCATGCTCAACCAAAATAACCCTTTATACTACTCGTTCAAATGATTAATGCTAAGCTGCTGGATCTGCGACTTCTGTCTCTCGTTTCGCTGCACCCGGTAGAACACATCCGTGTAGTGAACCGCGCCCATGTGTGCCAAAAACTTCTCGTCATGGGTAATCACAATCAACTGGAAGTTCTTCTGGTTCCTCCGCACAGAAATAATCAGATTCAACGCGCGCGCCAACGCCTCAATGTTCTCCGCATCCAAGTTTGTCGTTGGCTCATCCAACGCGATCATCCCGCAGTTCACCCCGAAACACTCTGCCAACGCCATCCGGATGATGATGCACGCCAACATCTTTTGCCCGGCCGAGCATCTTCCCCTCATGTCAAGCTCCACGTCCTGTTTCACCATCACCACACGGTAATTGTACGACCGGTTCCCCTTTGCCTGCGTGTTAACGTCGCTCCTGATCAAAATCGTATCCACGTCCGTCCCACTGTACGTCTTTTTCCACAACTCATCGACAATCCGGTTGACCTCTTTCATCTTGACCCCGTGATACTGCATGATCGCCTTATCCAATGCCAGCGAGTAGTTGCCCAAGTCGCTGGAAGAAAGAGATTTCACCTGGAGACGCACCCACTCACGGCGGTAGAGCTCCTCAACGTCCTTATACTCGGAAATTAGCTCGTTACGGAGCCCCGCTACCTGGTCCTCCATTTGGCGGATCTCCCCGGATTTGCCCGCATGCTGCGCGTTCAACACTGTGTACTCGTCGCGGAGCGCGCGCGACTCCTCCTGGTACCGCTCGCGCGCGGCCTCTGCTTTCTGCACATCCAAGCGCGCAATCTGCTCCGCAATAGCCGCAGCCTCTGTCTCCATCGCGCGGAGGTCCAAGTTGCTGCGAATGACCCGCTCAGTGTTGTCCGTGTCGGCAATAGACCTCTCGAGCCGCGTGATGTCTTCCGCGATCGCGGCCGTGCGCGTCTCCAATGCCGCAATTGTTTCCGCGAGCCGCCCAACCTCCGCGCGCGCGACCGCCAACATCGCGGCATCGCGTGCCAAGTAAGCGGAAACGCTCGCGCCAAGCGTCTCAACGCTACCATGAACCCTGCTAACCGCCTCAACCTCAGTCTGGGAAACTTCCTCTTCTCTTGCCGAAGTCCCCATAAACGCCTCAAACCGCTCATTAGTCGCCGTAAACTCCTTCTGAAGCCCCACGAGCACCCCGTCGGTCTTAGCAACACTCTCGCGCAACTCCGCAGCTCGGTCTAGGCACTCATCGAGCGTTTTGCTAAGCCCATCGCGCTCAACCAACTCCCTTTCGAGATTGCTAATCGTCAACCGCTTGTCCTTCACGTTGTTTTCCAACCGCAACTGCTCCCTGTGCCGCACATCCTTCAACTCGAGGCTCAGGTTGAGCTGAATCCGCACCTCGCGCAAAGTCTGGCTCTTGTCTTGCTGCTGGGCCATCAACTCGTCGACAGAGCTGCCCCCGAAATCCTTCAAGCTGTCTTGCATCTCTGAGAGTTGGGCCGAAAGCTTGGAAGCCTCGGCTTCGAGCCCGAGGATCTCGCCTAAGGGAACACGCAACGCATCGAGGGCAGCCAATTCACGGCGGCGCGTGTCACATGCGCGCTCAGCCGCGTCCTTATCGCTGGCTAGTTCCGCTAGCCTCGTCGCAAGCTCTGTGCGTCTTGCCTCAGCCTCGGGCAACTCAGCCTCGGTGCTGCGCCAGACGGCAATGTCGCGCTCAACGCTGCGGACTGCGGCGAGTTCACGTTTCAGCTCCTCAAGCTCGCCCTGCAGTGCCGTCTGGGCGAATGCATCCGTCTTTTGCGCCAAAAGCATTATGAACTGCGAGTACTCGGGCGAGGCGGGGGTGAACCCGCGGCGGCACAACGCGCACGCATGGTTCTCCCGGGCGATTTCGAGCGCCTTGAGGATAAACTGGTTCGTGGCCACGTCAAGCTTCTCTGCTTCGAGCGCTTCCTGGTAGTCCTCCTCCAATTCTCTCACGTACGTGTCATACTCGTCGAGGGAAACATCTTCCGGAAGCGTCTGGTAGATTTTGGCCCGCGTTGCGGCCAAAAGTTGCTTTAGCTGGGCGACTTTATTGGTGGAGTACTCGGAACTCGATTCCACGGACGAAATCGCCTGCCGGACATCCTCGCCTGAGGCATTCGCCGTGGCAAGCGCGGCCAGGGCCCGAGAAATGCTCGCCCTCACTTCAACCTCTGTGGCGGCGACACTATCCGCCATCGTCAACCCCGCAGCCTCGACTTTCTCGCGGGTGCTCTCCACAAGCGCCTTGAGCGCGTTCTGCCGATGGAGCCCGTCCTCTTTCAACCAGTTGATCTTGCCGTGGATCTCGAACTGGCGGTTGGCCGTCAGAAACTTCTTTTGGAGTTCCTCCAACTCGGCCTCCAAAACCCCCTGTCTCGTCTGGCCCGACCGCACGTCTGCTGCGAGTTGCCCAAGGACATCCTCCGCTTGGAAGTCCAGGAGCTTTTTCGCATACTCCTCCAAAAGCGATTTTTCATACGCAATGCTACCTTCGTTCGACAGCAAAGCGTTAAGTTTGATTTGGATTTCATCCATCAGGGCTTCGATTTTCCGGATATCGGCAACCTGGTAGAGCCGGTGCTGCTCCTCACGCATTTTGCTGTCGCCGAGAACCTTCAACTGGTCCAGGAGGTCATTCCTGGCCGATTCGTTGGCCGCGACAAGCGCTGCATGCTTTCGCCGTAAGGTCTCTAGCCGCTGGGTTAATGATAGAAGAAAGTTATCCACCTCCTCATCCGTTAAACCATCTGGAGTGCCATCAGATATGCCCTTGGGACTTATCTGGATGTCTACGGAGTCAGATCCAGAGACCAATCCCAAATTAGCTCTCACCAAGGCGTTTCGCTCGGCCAAATCACCGAAATACTTTGCCTCGGCCGCCTTCAACTGGCCCTCTTCGCTAATCGCATGGCTGTAAGCCACTCTGGCCGCGGTCAATTTCTCCGACGCTTTGGCCAAATCACCTTTCATAACGCCCACTTGCTTGACCTTTTCGGCCATAATCTCCAGCGAATTCGCCAACTGAGCGAGCAAAGCCTTGTCATTAGCCGTCAAAATTTCTAAATTCGCGGTCAATCGTGTGATCTGAGACTCAAGCGATGCCTCTGACCGCTTTAACGTGTCGAGCTGGCTCAACACTGCCTGAAACTCCTGGTTGGACGCGAACAACGCGTCGGACTTTGCCGAAATTTCGGCCGCCTTGGCGGAAACATCCGCTATTTCTGTGGAGTACGCATTGATTTTGGCGACAATCTGTGCCACGCGCGCCTTTGCCTTATCCGCGCGTTCCTTATCGCCCTTGAGATGTTGAACGGACTGCTCCAAGAGTTTAACCTCGACCGCCATGTCCTTTCGGACGGCCTTGATTGTGTCTAGCGCCTTGGTGAACTTTAGCGCCTCAAAGATCTCGTCAAAGCGTTTTTTCAATACCGCAGGCTCCGACAACGGCCAGAGGGAGTCCTCCTGGTGGCAGAAGATGACATACTCGAGGATGGCCTTGGAAACGCCGAGATACAACGGGATCTGGGTGTCTAACTCGGCGCATTTAGTCGAAATGGTTGCTCGCTCGCCCTTGTTAATCGCTACAAGCTGGCCCTCGAGCGTTTTGAACGTTGTCGCCGTCTTCTTCACCAAAAGTTGCATCGTCCGCGTGGTTGTCATCGAAATTCCCCTTGCGTTTTTGAAACCCAATTTAACCTGAGCACGGACCTCACGCTCGCCTGTGATTTTTGGGTCATGAATGAAGGCTCCTCCCTTGGAGTTGGGTGGGAGGTCCCCCGTCGTGGCATACTTGAGGCATTCGATGATGGTTGTTTTGCCTGACCCATTTTGTCCGGTAATGACAGTGAGTGGCTTTCCAAATTGGATTTGCTCTGTCGTATCGGGATCGAAAGACCGGATCCCCCGGATCTGGAGGCGATATATCAGAGACATGAGGAGGAAAAGAAGGTTGAGAAGGGCCCCTGAAAAATGTCTCTCCTAAATCTGGCGTCTAAATAAATATCCTGCACGTTGATCTAAGAATGGGGTCTGTCCGGCACATAAATGTGAGGGCGTTGCCACGATCGGGCCTGCGCCACAGTGGTTCAGGTGGGTCTATCAATAGCGAATTGATAATAGGGTAGAGGTGCTTATTGAGTAATAACGGGTTTATGGAAGAACCGGAGCGGCGACCTGAGAGCATACAATGTCATAGTGAGTGTCTACATAGTCTACATGGTGATAGTTCATACAAAGAGTATTTTTCACGAGGAATATATTTTACTCTTCGAAGCCTTGTTGCCTTTGCAATTTCAAATCAGATTCATTAAATCAGTTTTTTTTATGTTTGTAGTCACCGAACAGAGTTCTAGTACAGTGTGAATATAAAAGGTATCATCACGTAAGAAATTGGAAAGGCACCAAGACACCCGAAGACGTATAATAAAAGGGAATACCGATTCCTAGAAAATCTGTTAGAATTTCGCTCGTATATTTCAGTCTGGACCAGAGCCAAGTGAAACTATGTATTGCTCAGATAAAAGACCTATCATCACCCCACAAACACCAACACCTCATAATTTGTACACAGAGATGCGATTACTGAACCTAATCAGTGGTGAATACGGTGTACTATGTCCGCCCGGTCGGATGTATCATCAGAGAAATAGCCGCACTTGAAACCGGACATAATGGTTGTGAAATTCACTTACTCTGAGAATGTTAGTTGTTGTTGTAAAACGGAGCTAGTCTCCAATTTCTCTCATGGTGATAAGGCTCATACAAGGCTGAAACTTAACGATAGTGCAGTTGTCAACATAGGTTATTCAGTTGGAACAATTGGTATAAATGCAAATAATCACCGCCAAACGATCAACATGAGAGAGATTCTGGAGTCAAGGGAGGAAACGTACCTTTTACTATATATCCTGTTTTACAGGTACATTGGGGGCGCTTGTTCTTTGCCGGGAAACCATTCGTTCAGAAATGGGGGCATCGGCGGAATTTATAGTTTTTCGGTATATTCGCGGAGCTAGTGAAAAATTCGTCAGGCTGCGAAATGAGCATAAAAATTTTAGGGCTGCGGAAAAGTTACTGTATAGAGGAATTACCGCATTTGGCAATGAAGTCTGAGCTAGTCTTTTTACAAGGCCAAAACCGTCAACAATTCAACCGTTTAAATAAAAATTGGAGTAAAGATAATGGAGTTTATTCTTTTGTATCTAAACAAAAAAGGGTTTCATTCATCTCCGCAAGCTCGTAGGTATTCGGGTCGACGTTGTGAAGCGACTCATTCCGATTAAAATAGTATAGTGAGAAACTATGAAATTATAGACGTGCAAGTATAGAATCGTATTGCTTGGTCTAAATATTGATTGTTTCGTTTAAAATACACTAGGTGAACTTGCCTCCGGAGAACATGCTCTTCAACTCTCTGCGCGTGGCACCCGATTTTACGCTTTGCTGGATTTTCTTCACCTTCAACTCGCGGACCGGTGTCTGGGCGACGCTGCGGATATACGTGACCGACGCCTTGGAGCCGTTGGTGGCCCGGAAGCCGCTGGAGACCGTGACCAAGCTTTCGGTGGAGCCCTGCTCCAGCACGGTGCTCTTTGCAAACAGGCGCACGCGAGTCGGCACCTGGAACTCGTCCACCTCAACACTGACGCGTTTCTGGGGCGTGCTGTGGATCGTTTTGATGATGGAACGCTGTTTTAGCGAGTGCAAGTCTTCGTCGTCCGATGATTCAGGCCAGGCCTCAGGCACCGCTTCCACTTCGTTAAGGAAGGACAATGTCTTTTGCACAAACGCAGACGTCACCGTTACCTTGCGTCGCTTTATCGACGGGAGGCTCAGAGGAATCTCTTTTGGCTTGAGGGGATCAGCTGGATCATCCATCGGACTTTCCGGGTCGCTTAGGGCAAACTCATCATCCTCACTCCCATCAAGCTTCACCCGAACATCCTCATCCGCAATCGATTCAAAAAACGCCCGCGACCTCTCATTCTTCGACATCTCCAACATCTGTTGATTCTTAAGAAGCTGCTCCTTCTGGAAGTTTGTCTTGGTCCGATAATACTGGTACAACACACTGGCGTCCTCATCATCAGACAATCCCATTCCTGACTTTGCCCCGCGTTTGGCCCACCGATGGTGCTTCAAATCGTCCAACATCCGGTTGACAAGCTGATTATCAGCAGTTTTGCTGTCGTCTATGGCTTTTGCGCGGATCTCCGCCTCCCCGAGCCGGATGTTGAGCGATCTGTCAATCATCCGCTCGTCCTCGGAGTCTTCCTGGTCAGAAATTTCGCCATCGGCACCACCCACACCAGCCCATTCGTCCTCAGACTCTTCAGCCTCCTGGTCCATCATTTGGCGCATCCCCGACCGCTCCATCGCCAAACGCCGCTTTTTTTGGAGAAGCCGGAGTTTCCGTTCCGCATGGCGCTCCTTCTCCACCCGGAGCTCCCTCATCACCTCGTCTTCGGATTCGGATTCCACCGGAATGTTAGATTGGGGGGCTTCCCTGTGCTTGACCCGTTGAACGGAGTCTGATTCATCTCCCGAGGCACCGGCATCCAAGCTTTCTCTCTCCCTCTGGGTATCGACCTGGGTCTGGGTCAACCCTTGGGTTTGGGTCAGAAACCTCTGTGTTTGGGTCTGGGTTGGCGGAACAACCTCCGATAATTGCGTTTCCTGGAGATCCTCCTCAATAGCGCCGCGGTCCATGCTGGCGTCTTTCGTCACATACCCAGCAAACGATGCGTCCATGGAGATGTCATACTCTGAAACCTCCACTGTCTTCAAAACCTGGCCGTTGTAGCGCAAAGCCTGGAGCACATCCCCGTCCAAGGCCTGCTCTTGGGTCTCAGGCGCGATGCTTCCAAAGAGATCACCCCCATAAGAGCCAAGGTGGAAGCTCTCATCATTATCTCCAGCGTCCAGGACACTAGTCCTTCTGATTTCTTTCTGGGTTTCGGGGAAAATACCACTAGTCGCTTTGGCTATGATATTGTCTCTGATCTCATCATCCTCGTCGTCAGACAAGATCCTGACCCGCTTTTTCACCTTGGAAACCGTTTCCTCAGAGGCTGAGTCGTCGCTTCCAGTCTCAGCTTCGCTTCCAGTCTCGGCGTCACTCCCAGACTCAGCCTCGCTCCCAGACTCAGCTTCTGACTCTGGAACCTCTGAATCAGTACCCTTCTCTTCCGCCTCAGCCTCTCTCTCCCTCTGTTTCTCTCTCTGGCGGAGCCGGCGATTTCTCTCAATTTCCCGCTCTAACAAGTTCTCCATCTCCTGGTGTTCCTTCTCCAACTCCTGGATCTGCACGCCGCCCAAATCGAGTGTTTGCTTCTTTTCCTGAAGCAACTGGGCACGGTGTTTCGCATGGAGCGCCGCAAACATGGTTTTACGGCCAGAGTCCTTGAGAGCAGCACCAGCCGTCGGGGTCTGACGCAAAACCGCGCAGGACACCGACGACTTGGCCATGTTTCGCCGCTGGAACCGGTGCTTGACTTCCAAACGGTTGGCCTTGGATGTGAGTGTTTTGAGCTCGCTGAGATCCTCGTCCGAGTCCAAGTCAACGAGCCGTGACGACGCGTTGCGCGCGAGCTCCTCCTGGAGCCTGATCTTGTAAGCCCCCAACGGGTTACTCAAAACGAAATCCGCAGCTCCTGGTTCCAGCGAATTCGTAGCGCCCGGCTTGGCTAAAAGATCCAACCCATTGGCTGTCACATCGTCATCGGAGCCATCCAGGGGCTTGTCACCCCTCATCGGCGACGTCACAGGACTGCTGCGGTGTGCGGCCTCGATCAAGGGACTACTGGGCTGCGAAGAGCCGATGAACGCGCTGACAAACGCGGTTTTGGAGCTTTTTACTGGTCTGATCCGTCTCTTGAACACCGTTTCCCGCTGGATCTCGAGCGTGGCTAGCTCCAACTCCGCGGCTTCCTTGCGCGAGACTCGTTTGTGGCCGGAGGAAACCACCAGCGTGTCAGCAAGTTCGTTTTCTTCGTCTGTGAGGGTTTGGTTGAAGATCTCTTCTTGTAAGCGGCGCGTCTCTTCCGCGCGTGCGGCGCGTCTCTTTTCTGCGAGAAGCGAGATTTTTTCTTCGCGTGAAACAGCGAGTTCGGCAGTAGATTGTGGGGATTCCTTGTTATTTTGTGATACATCAAAGGATTCTTGGGTCGAAGCCTCAACATGGAACGATTCCTTGTTCGGTGGGGACTGTGGCTGTGAGATCTCGTCGTCAGAGAAGAGAGAATCAAGAAAGTTTGTCCTCAAAGTCTGGGCCGGAACCGCTGGCTTTTCTCCATAAGAAATGGCCTTGGAAACGTTCTGGACCCGGGGATACTCCTGGTTGACCCGTGACCCAGGTATGGCTTGGATTGCCTCAGCCTTCTCCGTTTGCGCCACCTCTGTGACCTCGCTTTCCTTCTGGGGCTCGCCATTGAGGCGTCTCTTGACCCTATCGAGGATCGAGAGGTCAAACGACGGGATCATGCTGGTGGCCTGTAGGAGTTTTGGCGGTTGGGTGACAATCGGCTGGGTTTCGTCCATTTGGGTCTCGTCCATTTGAGTCTGCGACGGAATGTCTATGTCTATATGCTTGTGGTAGACAACCGTGGAGGTTGGCACATCATCCAAGTCGTTGAGGAGATCCATAGTGTGAAGTGGTAGGCAGATATGATGCTATAGAAGTTTTATCCGGAGTAATTGAGAATGTGGACTTATGGTAAGAGTAAACAACGGGAAAAGTTTGTGCAAATGCAGGCGCCATGAAATTCATAACGCGTCCATGCAGACGCGAAAGTGACGCGTCGCGTGCCTGTAGGGAACCATGCATAGTGGGTGTTTACTCTAATTTTCATCGGAACGGTTCGAATTAATCGGGGCTTAATCCCAAAATACCGGTATACATCACTATCAAGATGCTAAATTCTATTTATAATAAATGATATACTGGAGCTAAAGCTGTCGTTTGCGTAGGATCTGGACTCATGGCTGGACACCGCGGGATATATACCCACGTATGGCATTTGGCCATTTCTCGGCACTCTAAAACTCTGGATAAACCAAATACTCATCTGGTTTATAAACCCCTGAACAATTCAGTAAGACTCGCTTACGTCCTAGTCGAATGCTTGAACTGGTGCTTTTCCTACGCCAGAGATAAACCTCTCCGCTTTAGCTACTAACAGTATCATTTTATATTGGTTACATGGCTAGCATAAGGCAGCAGAAACCCAATACAGTTTACTGAAATAAAAAACCCTCGCTAGCTAGCGCCTCGTCCAAAGCCTGTTGGCTGATTTCGTCCAAGGCCTGCTGGCTGATCCTTGACATCATCGGGTGATCGTCCTCCTCGCACCACTCGATGTCTTCGGCCTTGCCGTTAAAAATGAATTTTTTCTTTCCGCCTCCGATTATCACTTTCGAATAAGACCCTTTGATTGCGTCGTCCTCAGCCCGCCACTTCTTCTGCTTGATGGCTATCATCGACAGTCTGGAAGGGGCAGCTGGGTCGTTTTGCGGTAAAGGCACCCCGGTCTCTACAATGGGTCTACTCAAATCGTCCCCGAGCCGCTGGATCGTCTCGTAGCTGTGGTGCTTCGCGGCCTTCAATTTCGCAAACAACAATGACCATTGTTTTGACTGCTGCAAGGGTAAAGGCGGGCTGTTGGCGTCTACCGACACCCTTCGAGGCTGTGATTCAGACCGGACTAGCACCTGACTGATATCCAAGGCAGCTTTCCTTACCGGGGTAGTTGGAAGCACTCTAGAGGGCTCGGAGAAGGCCGGGAGACGGTAGTGGGTGAGCAAGTTTCCTGAGTCCGCCCAGAATGACAACACCCGCTTCTGGGCGATCCGCGATAGCTTTTCCTGAGAATCTTTTTGACACGCTTGTTCCGGTTTTGTAAGATACTTGGTCAAACGGTGTTCCACCAGCAGCAGCGGTAATTCAGTTTCCTCGGTGATGTTCTTGGTATTGATGCAAATGTTGTCTGGGGGACTCTTCCTGTTCTCATTCAGGTAAACCACCACTCCATTGGATGAAATTACGTTAGTGTGAAGGCCGCTGGTGGCCACACTAACGCCCAAATTCGACGCTTGCACCAAGCCCGTCTTTTGGCTAAAGCGGCCTAACCATCCCATTGTCTGTCGCTCGATATCGTTCTTGGTGGGTTTCGCGATCATCTGCAATTTCTGGCTCTGCGGAGGCAAGCGGATGGCGCCAAGCATTGTTTTTTGGAGTCTCTGGTAGTCATCCACGGTGAGCACCGATGTTCGGCTGGCCCGAGAAACAGGTCTAGGGACTTCCTCATTACTGTGGTCCTCCCCCGAGCCCTCGAATTCGGACTCTGACGCCGAAAAGTCGTAGTCATCGATGTTGTAAGGACCGTAATGATAATATCCAGGACTGTCTACAACATTCTCGCCAAATACCTCTTCATTTTCGCTGTAGCCCACCAGCGGGAGCAGGCTCGGCTTCCCAGTTCGGCTTCTGGGGGTGTCCTCGTACATGGAGTAGGTTGTAGCGGGTGTCGAGACGTGGTGTGAGGCTGTGCTGGTAGTGATACTGTGGCGCCTGTGGTAATTTTTCGGCTCGAATACACGGGACGCCATGGAGATGGGCGAGGGTGCCAGGTCTGCCGCCACTGACTTGCGAGGATTGTATGTGAAATAGTCATCGTTGGTGCTGGTGGTGGCAGCTGATTTCATGTTGAGGACATACCCGTGGTCTTTTCGGAGGAGAGTGTCGTGGGACACGTAGTGTTTCAAGGCTTCATGGTCGTCAACAGGCTCCTGGCCGGCTTCCACGAGTGCCATATGCAACTTTGAGGTGGGTTTGGCATGTGAAATGCGGTTGAAGTGGGGTAAGGACGTGTGCTTTTTCAAGTTGAGCTTGTCGGAGGCAGAATGGAATGAATCGGGCAAAGCGCTTAGAGTAGGTGCGCTTTCTGTGTAATCAGAGACTGGGGTATTCGCTTTGTGCTCTAAGATAGAGAGGTTTCTAGCAGCTTTGTCCATAGAAGAGAGATCGCTACCGGCATACTCCGGATCAGGAGAATTGTGTCTGGACGACTTGCTAAAAAGTTGGTCTCTCTCCATCCCATCGAAGGGCCTAAATGGATCGGTAGAGAGTTTTCTGGGCGCATTCAAATCAGACTTTTCTGCACTCACACTCAAATCCAGAGAGGGGTCAAAGACTGTCCTGGGCATCGGGTAGTTCTGGGAGTCACTAGCAACATGGAGGTTGCTAAACGACCGCTTCAACGTGAAACGCGACTTGTGTTTCGTGATTCGCCGCGACTTGCACGTTATCGGCTTCAAACGGATAGTCTCTTCGCGCGGAAGCATCGGCGGCGTGGCTGTGTATGTGAAGGAGTTGACCTCTGAGAGCGAAAGCTGATCGGCCACTAGATGGCCTTCCTTAGAGGAGTCACTCTGACGCTTTGGTGTGTGGAAGCTTCTGGGCGTAAAACCTGTCCCAGGCTTATCAATGGCATCACTGGGCCTATCAGCAGCCTTCATAGACTTGGTCAACGTCTGGAACTCTAAGAACAACTCCTCAAGCGACGACTCGGTCTGCGACCAGTCTAACCCTGAGGCTTCCTGGCCCAGACCAAAGAGCCGGTTTCTGCCCATTAGGTGCTGGTACTCCAAGACATTCAACTGCGCTTCGAAGTACTCAGACCTGAGGGCTAGCGAGTCGAGTCCGGAGGCGAACCTTGTCGACTCCTGGAGCGACGCTGTGATGCTGTCGAGCGCGCGGTCAGAGTCGGTGATGTCATGGTTGATCTCGTTGAGGCTCTGGAGGAGTTCGGAGTTGTCCACGATGTTGTGCAAAAGGTTGTCTGTTTTGTGTTCCAACGCCGAGAGCACGCTGCAGAGTTTATCCAAAGATATCATAGAAGGAAAGCAAGGAGATAGAGGAGGGGTTAAGCGGAGTGTCAAAGAGAGTGGGGCATGTACCAGATCTTAATCTGCCTAGGGGTCCAGGTTACAAACCGGAAAGACTTGTGAAGGCTAGCCAAGGGAAAGTTAGGAATGGAAATAAAAAAAAAGGAGTTGATAGAAGTGGAAACAACTCTGGTAACTCTATACCCTGGGAAATTCCGATTTGTCAATAGTTGGGGGGTGTAGCAAAGGTGGTTTCCAGATCAACGGTTGTAAATAATCGAGTCCATTTTTTTATGTTATTGTGCGATTCAGCATTGGGTCACGTGCTATAAGCTTCCCAATGTGGCTGCATACATAAGAATGTCCTCGAAAAATTCCCAGGACAAAAGGGTAGGTGAAGATCGTATGTCTGCAAGAGAGAGCCTCTGTTTAGTCCACCGCTTTAGTTATTCTATTACTACGATGACAAGCGTAGGATTACATGTGGGAGGGCGGTAAATGGCCGTCTTTTGCGGCTTATGTACATTCTGTGGTGCAGTGCTTTCTGCCCATATTCGTATCCAAAGCAGACGCACGTGCTCCAGATTCCCACCCGTTTTTGGACTTGCATGTGAGCAATTACCTGATCGGGCTGCACAGTAGGGAGAGGTTTTTCCTCCGCGGCGTGAATTATCCTCTCATGGAGCAGATCTTGGTAGATCGCTATAGTGTAGATAAGGTGCTGTGTCGCTACGGTAATGGAGGTAGTCTGTTATGTCTGTGCCATAAATTGGCTCATGTAGCACGGGTGGCTGCATTTGGATCATGCACTGACTCGCGAAATAAGGGGCTTATACACACTTTGGGTTAGCTCCCCATGTGTTGCTTTGGAGGGCCAATGGTATTTGATATGTCGCCTGTTCTTGTCTTCCGAAACAGACATACACCGTCACAATAACCCATATATTTTTTGGTATGTACGTAAATCGTAGTTCATGCGCAAAACATGAATTTGGACAGTCGTGTTCGATTTCTGCATGTGCTAAGGAGACTGGTAACACAATGTTTGATATGGCAACCGAAACTATTAAAAGTTATCTTCAAGCTTCGTATATTCGGCTCGTTCAATTTTAGCCGTGTACTTACATATTGTTCAGGGCATCAATCACTTTTGTGCCAGATCGATCTTTGTGTAGCACAAACCAAGCTAGACCCTAACCTTTTGATGCCACAGCAAAGGCATATGTTAGACATTGGTTGAAACACAATACTCACTCCACAGCTGCCAAACAAATTATCCCGTTGTACCCTTTAAAAAGTCTGGGCAATAGCGCTGCCTGGGTGTATAACACTCCGGGAATGCAGAGCCAAACACAGCCGTAGAGTCATCGGCAACAGATAGATGTACCAACAGACTAACAGATATACTAACAAAGACTTACGCCAGTGCGGATATTACAGACCCAAGTATACCTGCGGACCGCATAATTACTAGCAGCAAGTTAGACGAGTTCAGATCAGAATAGGTGCAGCGTTGCCCCCTACACAGTGGAACTTTTTACTATACTCGGATATCCACTGGCCGAAGAGAGGACAAAGACTATCAGGCTTGATGCTCTGTTTCAGACTACTATGCGTCTTATTGTTTTTAACTGCAATAGAATATCTACTAGACACCATTGTTTCCCAGCTTTGTCGTTTTGATATGTTGCTCAATAGCCCTTAGAGTCTAGTCCGGGCCATGCGAGAAAGCTGGAGCTTTTACGTTTCGCGCCATTACTAAGCTTGTTATTTCAGCGGAGTTTCCGGATTAGCGGCTCTGGAAAGATACTCAGGTAGGAGCCTTGTAGTATGGTCAGCCTTTCGCTAGCTAGATTAGGCTACAAGTGGTTCCTTGGCTGTAAAAGTCTAAAAGGCAATCTACCGGTGAGCCTAAACTGGGGCCGCGCGTACGATAGGTAAATTTCCCTATTCGTGCTTATCCTAAAATGTTGCGTTCAGTCTTGGAAGCAGTCTAGAACTCAATCCCACATGCAAAAGTATAATGCAAAGGCTAATTTGCTAGGATGTGTGGTTCTGAGCTGCCCCTGAATCCTGTGGCAAACCAGTTTTGAGAAAAAAAGATATATTGCGAATGAGCCGAATTACGGAAAAAAAGTCCGAAGAAGCATGTGCTAGTCCAATTGAGTCGCCTATTTGGCCTAGATTGATAGTACAAGATGCATTGACTCCAGGAGTTGAGGCTGCCGATAGCCTCTACGTCGCTTGTGACTTGCAGAAGGGATATTTTAAGGTCATATGGCTAAACTAATGGTTATCTATACGACCCAATTGTATATTTTAATATCCAGGTCTAAGATTGAACCCTCTTCAAAAGGACCGTAGAACAATACCATTCCCTATTTTAGCTCTCAACTACATTTGTATAAATGCCAATCATCGATTTACGCATACAATCAACCGTTTAAAGCCATCTCACTTGACTTGGGAGACTAACTTACGGTGGGGCTTGTCTGTAGGATGCATAATCCATTCAGCTGTGAACTCGGCTAAGCAAATACCTCGAGCTGAAGCGAATTAATCCGAGTGGAGTTAGCGAATTCATCCGGGCTTGAGCTTGCACATCAGATCTGGCAGTTGTACCACAAACTGATAGTACCTAAATCACCCAGTTGTCGGTATTGGTATCCTGGATGGCAACGATATCACCGTGATACGTGTCGTGGTCGTAGCTCTTGCGGTCGTCATGGAAATTGTCCACCGATACCTGCGATTGGTGGACGGAGACGCTGGCGCTACGGCTGACCTTTTCCAAGATGGTGCTGGCCATGGCGTCTGCGTAGTCGTGGTTATCAGCCTTCGTGGCCGAAGACGCCTCGTGAAGCATGGGGAGGGTGGCACTGCTGGTGCTGCTATTCGGACTCATATTTGGCGCCAGCATGAGACCCATATTTGGCGCCAGCATGAGACTCATATTCGGCACTTGCAGAAGGTTCAACTCGGAATTACTCGAAGATAGCGTGGTGGAGGTGGAATTGCCCGAGCCGTAGCTGGCACGGTTGTGGAAGGATGGTGGAGTGATGGGCGACACACACTCATCGTTGCCAAACATCGACGGCGCACAGGGTGGCGTGGAGAGCGGTCTCTTGAACAACGGATTTGGCAAGATGGTCGGTGAAAGCTCCTCTTCCGTGGAGGGGGGGCACATCGGAATAGGGGGAAGCAAGTCATCGCTGGAAAGATTTGCATACGCCTCCTGGCCGTGCTGCTGCTTGTTGGAGAAATAGTGGGGGTCTTCGGGAAGGTCCTGGCTCTCGGATTCGCCCTGAATTGTCAAGGTGGTATCGAACGACGAGTCGTGGGGCGAGTGTGATCGGTTCAAGGGCGAGGGTGAGCGGGACTGTATCGTAGGAGTGGATGTGTTGCGTTCGTCAATTGGGTCCATGGCGCTTTCGGCGAGATATGTGTTGTGGAGCTGCTGGGAAAGCTTTTGGGAGAGCTCCTGGTGGTAATTACTCTCAGAGGCGCTGACGTCTTCTGGGATGCACGACAAGCCGGAGCTAGAGGCAGTGGAGCTGTCGCGGGTGTGTCTTTTGACGTACTCCTCCTCCACCTCGCGAATGGTTTGCGCCGACAAGGGCGAGGGCATGGCTATGAAGGAGAGAGACCCGTTGCGCAAACGGGGTGGACAGTCTGGATCTAGGTCGTCGTCGTAGTCCTCGGATGGCGACATGGAGGCCGTTTCGGACTCGAGCGATGACGATGATGTGGAGAGCTTGCGCATGAGGAGTGACGGCTCGTCATCACCCATTTTCAAGAGCGACTTTGTGCGGGTAAACTTTGTGCGCAACTTTTCTTTAAGAGACATAATGAGGGCTAGGGGAGATGGGATGTAAAGGGCAAGTGTAAAGGGTGGGCGTAAAGGGTGGGCGTAAAGAGTGGGGTGTAAAGGGGATGAGGTTATAGAAAGAAAGGGGTATAGACAGAGATATGAGCAAGCTTCAGCGTTCAAGACTGGTGGTCAAGATTGATGGACGTAGCAAAGAGGAACAAGAGTGGTGTGGCTGATGGGATATTTTAGGGGTGATTGCGAAGCCAAATTAGAATTGGCAAAACCTATCCATCTTCTACGTTTTACAGTAGCCCACTCGGTTGACGGCCTAGTTTGCAGATACCATACAAAATACTTGCAGGCAAGATTTTTCACCTCCTGCAGTGCCATACTACACTTCTCCTACGCACAATGCGAATCTGCAGAACCATTCGCTCTGCTGCACGTACATTTCTTTTTCGGGTTGGCGAAACGAGAGAAAGCACGAGCATGCAAGGTGCCGGAGGCCCGTGATACTATTCTCCTAGCCCTCTATGCCTTCGTGCACATGCGTAACTTTCCTCCCTCGTTAAACCCGCTGCACTCCCTATGGGCCGAGACTCTCTTCAGCCCCCACCGGCCAGATGCACTATACTGTACATAATTAACACACTTATGGGACCATTCACTGCACAGGTCGTTTAGGCACCGTACATAGGGGCACCGATAGATCTGGTGGGTGCAGACATGCACGTGAAAGAGCGATTCGCCACTTCACCCCAGCGTATGACATTGGGAGCTGCATCGGTAATAAAAAACAAAAAAACTAGGAGTGTTTATGCAAACTCCCGTACGGTCATTTTTTTCTCCTTTTCAGGACTATGGTCGTGCATATGTTGTATTTTGCGGTGTGGCGAGAATCTCGGATTTGGCCCTTGATCGTCCTTGCTGCAGAGCAGTGGTGTATCCTGCAGTCTAAACCGATGTATGTAAACCGTTCATGGGTTTTTACCGGCCGGGGTGCACCGTCGCATGCACGTAAGAATTGATTAGGTAAGCACAATATTGGCTTTGTGCACAGTTTACCCGGAGGGTAGCTCTGCATGGAACATCAGAGAAGGGAACCTTATCCTTAATTCATACCGGACCACTTGATGCCGTTGCCAGCGGAGGACCCACGCGATATTATAGGTGGTCATCCAGTCTGAGATACGGCCTATGTTATTGTACGTGCTGATTTGTCGTGGGTGGTAAGCTCAACTAGCGCATCTTTGCTACAAAACTCAGATGGTTGGGTTGATGAGCCCTCTACGATTTCCGGCACTGGGCTGAGATAAAATCTGCAGCAAACAAAATGGCATAGCAGTTGACAACGGGTTGGATCCAGAGTCTCTTTTGTTCAGCCTGCATAAGCCTTTCGCACCAGTTCGTATTTGCTGGTTTGTTAGGACCGCCAACCTGTTATTCATGATTGTTTTCGGGACCTTCAAGCCTTGCGTTCCGTAGCTTCGACAGTTTGCCAGGCATCTCAGCTCAGCTGCGCGTCGTTAGCACTTGGATCAAAGACCTGCCATCGGATCAAATGTTGACCCGGTGAGGCTAGCTATTAGACAAGTGGCTGTTGTACCTGTTGAAACATATGAAACCTTCGGACCAGCGCCCTATTTGTCTTCCGCGTACAGATGTAGGCTGGCACGGTTAGGGTACATTGAAACGTACCCAGCGCGGTTATTTTGGGGATACGATTAAGCGGATATAACGGAATGGCAATTTATCTTAGAAGGAAGACACGTTGAATCTTTACTGGAAGGATTTGCTGTTCGTAAACTTTGGTATGTAGGATTTTTTCTGTGATATATGCAAGGCCAGATACATTTATTATCCAGCAAGACTTGCGTACGCACGAGGTCTTGTCTACGGCCGTAGGCACGAAAGCCAGAGATTGACTCGCGTAGATCTTTGGTCGCGTGAGCAATGCAGTGTTTAAATGTTAAGAGTGTATTTAAGCGGTACGGGGGTATATCTAAACCATAGACTATCCGGACGAATCTAAACCATAGACAATCCAGACGAATCTAAGCATGATAAACATAGAAATGGGCAGAGTACCTCATAAGACGAAGTGGCTACTCCAGCACGGCCTGATGATAAGACGATTACTTAATCTGGTAGAGGGAAACGGTACGCAACCACAGTTATTGGAGGTAAATGCCTGGTCTAGCCAATGTCTTCAAGGAAATCCGAACCGATAGTAATTACAGCACTTGTATTAATTCCTATCCAAGTGTAACTTTCAACTCACGATAATTGCGTTAAAATAAAGCGAATGGTTAGCTGGTGCTTTCCGTCTCATCTATTCCGAAGGCTAAGTCTACATAGATTAGGCCGTCAGTCGCATTCACCAGTAATTTTCAACAGAAAGGTGCAAGTCAAGACAGACATACGGGATCACACTTTGTGGTTAAGGTGACTGGAACCTTGGATTATGCCACCACCAAACATCCAAGGACTAAATACCCTCTAGACTTGGCCTTGCCAGCATTATCAGCTGTTGCGGGCCATTGTCTACTATTTTGTTCCTGTAGGATTCAAGGGGTGGCTGATGTTTATGCGACACCTGGCAGAACATGAAACATTCGTGGGGGTGTGTGCGTTAGTAGAAGCAAGGGGTACTAAGGTGTGGAGACATGGATGAGGTTCGACTTGTGGGGTTGACAGTGATGCCATGTATGAGACATGCTTGCATTTATGAGACATGCATGGCCAGAGATCCAGGAGGTTTTACAAAGCTACGTTTATAAAGCTACGTTTATAAGTGCATGTATGTGGGTAGGAATCTTAACCTGAATTGCACATGTACTTATCTAAAGCTTTAAACGCCTTAATGCCCCATCAGCTACTTCTGGACCAGTAAAAGTGCATACGCGTGGATCCACACCTGCCCTTGGTAGATGATAATTTTGAAGTGCATCAATAGTGACTAGGGATTTGATAGACATTTCTGTGTCGTATTAGAGTACTCCGATGTTGCATCGCTACTAGATATAACGGCGGCGTATATAACTAGATGGAACGTATTGGTGCGTACGGCGCGCTAGAAAAAAAATGAGTGATCACAAAGGGGATCGAACCCTTGACCTTCTCAGAGTGAATGAGACGTCATACCACTAGACCATGCGAGCAACTCCTGAAAATATCAAGGATCTAGTTGATCTGGTAGATCTCTGAATACACCTATTATGTGTTACCACTCATAGTTTTTAAATAAATAAGATCTGGCCGATCTCTAGCTATATCTTCAAGAATTACCCATGATCAACACCTCACCCAGAATCAATACACCATTCCGCTCCAAGGGTCTAGGCTTCCATAGCCCCCCTCACCCTTACAGAATACTCCACACTTTTCCATCCTAGAACCTGGATTACACACTTCAAGCTTCTATAGACCCCTTCACCCCTTTATCTTTCATATAATTCCCTTGCCTGTCGTAAAAAAAAAACTCGCCTCCTCGTAATACGGCATTGCCAGCCCGCACACCCGTGTGGCTCTAATTCTCCACTGTAAATTACGTAAGCGCATTTCCCCACGTTGCCAACCTCTTTCGCCACCTACACATCTCAATGCTATATATATCGCTATTTGTCGCCTCAATTGCCCTTCTCATCCAATTCCTCACCAAACAAACCATGTCCTTCCCAGCTCCCCCACAGGCGCCACCGGTGTGGAACCACACCGCCGAGCAGATCCTCGCGGAAGCCGACCAGCTCATCGCTGCCAACACCCAGTTGTACGACACCATTGCCGCTATCACCGAGCCTACTTTCGAGAACGTGTTTGCGCCGTTTGTCAAGGCCGAGAACGAGGAGCGTGGCCCAGAGTCTATCATCACGTTCTACCAGCAAGTGTCCACCGACAAGGCCATCCGCGACGCCTCCACACAGGCGGAGGAGAAGTTGCAGCAAGCAGGCATTGAGGCATCTTCCAGAATCGACGTGTACCGGGTTTGGGAAAAGTTGAACGCAAATGCAGCGTTCCAGGCGAAGTTGGACGATGAAAGCAAGCGCTTGTTGAAGAAGGTCATGACGACTTACAAGCGCGACGGGTTGTCGCTTCCAGAGGCGGCCCGGAAGGAAGTAAAGGACTTGAAGAAGAAATACAGCAACTTGACGCTCCTGTTCAACAAGAACTGTAACGAGGAGTTGGGGTTCTTGTTGTTCACGCGTGCGGAGTTGGACGGTGTCCCAGCGGACGTTGTGGACGGGTTCCCCGCCGAGGGCGATAAGGTCAAGATGACCTACAAGTACCCGGATGTGCTTCCGGTGTTGAAGTACGCCACGTCCGAGGAGACCAGAAAGCGGGCCTTCCTCGGGAACCAGAACAAGCTTCCAGCCAACGAAAAGCTCCTTGCGGAGATCATCGCGGTGAGAGCGGAGTTGGCGCAGAAGCTAGGCTACGAAACCTTTTCCGACTATGTGTTGGAGGAACGGATGGCCAAGACCAAGGAAAACGTGTTGAGCTTCTTGGGCGACTTGAAGGGCAAGTTGAAGAGCGGCGGGGAGGCGGAAATTGCGGAGTTGTTGAAGTTGAAGAACGCGCATCTCAAGGCACGTGGCTTGCCGGAATCGACCCATTACTACATTTGGGACCATTCGTACTACTCAAACTTGATGATCGAGCAGCAGTACCTGATTGACGACCAGAAGATCTCCGAGTACTTTCCTATTCAGTCGGTAGTGCCTAAGATCTTGCATCTCTATGAAACCTTGTTTAACTTGAAGTTCATTCAGGTGGACGAGAACCGATCTGTGTGGCACGAGGACGTGATCCAGTTTTCCGTCTGGAAGTTAGACAACGCGGAGCCTGAGTTCGTGGGTTGGGTTTACTTCGACATGCACCCAAGAGACGGCAAGTATGGCCACGCCTGCAACATCTCCATCGTTCCGGGCTACACCAAGGCAGATGGCAGCGCCAACTACCCTGTGACCGTGGTTCTCTGCAACTTCTCCAAGCCCACCAAGGATAAGCCAGCATTGCTCAAGCACAGCGAAGTAAACACCTTGTTGCACGAGGTCGGCCACGCGATCCACGACTTAATGGGCAAGACCCAGCACTCCCGCTTCCACGGCACGGGTGTCTCGTGGGACTTTGTGGAGGCGCCATCGCAGATGTTGGAGTACTGGACGTGGTCGCCAAGCGAGTTAAAGTCCTTATCCGCGCACTACGTGACGGGAGAGCCCATCACGGACGATTTGGTCGCGTCCTTGATCAAGACCAAGCACGTCAACGGCGGCTTGGCTGGCTTGAGGCAGTTGCACTTTGCCTTGTTTGACATGACGTTGCACACCGTCAAGAGTGCCGAAGAGGCTACTGCCTTGGACTTGGATGCCTTGTGGAACGACATGAGAGAGGAGATTTCGCTTTTCGAGAACGGTGATACGGTCAGCAAGGGCTACGGTTCCTTCAACCACATCGGAGGTGGGGGCTACGCCTCGGGCTACTACGGCTACTTGTACTCTGAGGTGTTTGCGGCAGACATTTACTACACCTTGTTCAAGGCGGATCCGATGAACGTGGCCAATGGGATCAGATACAGAGATACGATCTTGCGCAGAGGTGGCTCCCGGGACGAGATGGACAACTTGGTGGAGTTATTGGGCAGAGCCCCTAACTCTGCTGCGTTCTTGACCGAAATGGGGGTTGCCAACTAAAAACTAGAATAGATTGGTTATTCATTAATCGGGCGATTATAACTCTGACAGCTCGTAAAATCGTATGAGGTTAAAAATATGTGTAGGGGGTCGGATTTAGAACTTTTATGGAGATACAGTAAAAGACTCGTCTAGCGTGCGACTATGTGAATCGATGCAAACAACTCACCAACAGCTCCTCAACTTACCCCGGAGAAGTGTCCATCCTGCACATTAACACAATGCTTGTGCCGCGGAAGCCGTGAGCGTTATGCAGCACACACCATCCAATTACTCGATTGAAAAATGAGTGAGTACGCATTAAAACTCGGGTAAGCATCAAGTGTTAGCCAAGAGCCTCCTTACCCCAACCACCCATTTTTGTATGTACTACACTCGTTGTGAGATTGAGATACTCAACCTCTGAAATCGCCTTGAATTGGAGAGAAATACCCGACCGCATCAACTCAATATCGCATTTCCGGGACGTGAAACTCGGCGTTTCTCACTGAAACACGGCGATAGAAATGGTTTCCCAGAGTGCCTCCTTCTTTTCAGATCGAATATATCATATGTTCGTTGTCAAAAAAGTTTGTGAAGACGGTAATCCAATTGAAACATCCGAGCAATCTCTCGAGCGTTCATCTCTTTGCAACCATTGTCTTACTAACTCTGCCAGAATTTACAATGTCTGAACAACAAAAGCAAGTCACCCCTACCCCATCCGCTAACTTGTTGAACGACAAGTGGGACATTGTTTTGTCCAACACCTTGGTTAAGACCGGGTTGGGAGTCGGTGCCGGTGTTTTGGCCTCCGTCTTGTTATTCAAGAGAAGAGCCTTCCCAGTTTGGGTCGGTGCCGGTTTCGGCTTGGGGAGAGGCTACTCTGAGGGTGATGCCATCTTCAGATCCTCCAACGTTGGTGTCAGAGATGTTAAGGCTTGAGCAAGTTCCCGCTTCCTTTGTATATTATCCCCAGTGAATGTTGAATGAGCTGCTATTGGACATTCTCCATTCGAATAATGACACCCATCAGTCATCTAGCACCTATTTATGTTTTTAGAAAATTAAATATATATCGTCATTACTCGCATACACCACGCATGCACGCGCAGCTCCCCTTTTGTGGTTCCTCATTGCATTTCAAAAAGGGATGAGCAAAATTCAGAGAATCGTCAATATCTCAACTGGAGGAATTCTTTCGGCCAGTTGTGTTAACCAGTATTCGTAAATCCATGGCATTTCCTAAAACATACAGCCTTGGAGTGATCACACTAATCTTAACCTTTGGGGGCATGCTCCAGGGGTTGGAGATGTCGTCTCTAACCGCGTTTCTTCATCTCAAACAATCTAGAGACTTTAATGGTTCCCTTGACAGTGAAGGGCAAATGCTCGTAACGGCAGCAGGTCCCGTTGGCGCGTTCTGTAAGTATAATCTGAATATATGAAATAGGCAGAACTAACTCTTACTAGTGGGTTGCTTGCTTGGGGGCCATGTGTACGACTTTGTCGGGTTTATCTGGACCCTGGAGCTCCTTTGTTTATTCTGGGTGGCAGGAAGTATGTATCAGAGCGTGGCTTATCGACCTGTTACTAACCTATCTAGGCGTCCTTTCCATTATTGAAACCGACAACTACATGCTAATTGGATCCAGAGCGTTGAAAGGAATAGCGGTAGGGATGGTCTCCTCCAGCTTCTCATGTTATGTCTGTGACACCGTCCCCGTCCGTAAAAGAGGACGCATCCTTGCGCTTATCCAGGGATCCACCAACTGGGGTGTATTTCTGATGCTTCTTACTGGCTACTTCTGCTCTTACATCCCCGGCGATTTATCGTTTCAGTTAGGGTGGGGGGTGGAGATGGTACCGGGAGTGCTCCTCTTGTTTACGGGCTTTTGCCTTCCAGAATCTCCCAAATGGCTTGCAAACAACTCGAAATGGATCGCTGCCACAAAAGTGGCGGAGAAAATGCGGGAACAGGCTGAGAGATCTAACCCTCCAAGGAAACAAACCGTGTTCCCCCAATCAACTTCCGCGTCAACGCAGACGTTAAAGGCGATATCCAGCACCCAGGGGGTTGGGGAATTGGAGAGAATCCTCGATACCATGGTTAACAATGAAAAGAAAAAGTTTCACTACCACGATTTGTTTCGCAAGCGCTTACGCCATTACACTGCCCTTGCCGTGTTTTCACAGGTTTTGGCACAGATTTCCGGGAACACCATGATGGTGTATTACATTCTCACCCTCTGTATCGCATGCGGGGTAGAGGAAGACTACCACACGGCGGTGGTTGGCTTCCAGTTCATGGCGAACGCTTTGTTCACAGTTTTACCAGTGCTCTTTCTCGATAGTTGCAGGCGTAAAAATGTACTTGTGTTTGGGACTTTTGCCATGGGTCTTTGTCACATCTGTATGGGAGGTATCATGATTATTTACGGCACCGTGGACGAACCCAGATCGCCTTACCGCATGCTTCCATTGTCGCTTAGGGGCCAGATGGCCTCCGCTGCCATAGCGCTTTGGGTGTTTTTAATGGTGGTATTCTCAGCCACCGTTTCGTGTGCCTCATGGCTCTTTACGAATGAGATTATGCCTACTAAAGCGAGGGCCAAGGGAGTGAGTTTCAGCATGGGGGTATCCTGGCTCTGCCACGGGGGTATTTTGCTTGGTTCTCCGTGGTTTTTGAGGTACTTGAGCTACAACATCTTCTTCATCTTTGGGATTCTTTCTCTTCTCAGCTGCTTTTTCTACGCCTTTGTCTTCCCCGAGACTAGGGATTTGAGTGAAAGGGCGATCAATGTGATTTACGGGTTTCATTCATACCGCGACTACGAAGAGAAGCTGGGCTTTGTAGTGCATTCTCCAGCGGGTAACTCGCCCAATGACTTGGTTAAGCAAAAGTTGGATAACGAGAGGGAGTATCAGAACGGAGATACAAAATATGCCTTCCGGAGCCACCAACCTTCCGGACCATCGTTTCTATCTTACGAACCTGGAAGCTTCTTAGGAGGTGGGGCTCCGATGCAGCCTGAGTCGCTTGATTGTGTAGCGGCCCTACCGGCACTGCGAGGAAATGGCCTGTTTTACGGTAGTAAGCAGAGTTTGTTGAAGCAGTCGACCCTTAATAGGGCTTCGATGATGGGTAGAGAGGTTGGTAAAGCAGACGGAAGAGGCATGCTTAAAACCAATCAGGCCACCATACCCGATTCTGTCCGAACAAAACCCTTTCAGAGAAGTCCTGCTATGCAAACCCCCGAGAGTCTAGGAGCGAGTCAGCGATCCAACGCTGAGGTTAATGTTTCGGGCTCTAGTTTTCTCGGAGAGTATTACCAAGAGTCTGACTCTCTTACACCCAAGGATCCTTGTGTGTTATAATCAATGGGGGGTTCCAATTGCGGAGAGCTTCCCACCGTTACTGTCGTGAATTTATTTATAATACAATCAAACACTGGGGTATTGTCCCAAGAATAATGATTTTTATTCCGAAAAAAATATCATTTATCTCAAATACATCATTTTGATCTATCCTAAAGCTATTAAATTGCATTAAAACCTAGCTCGTAATATATTTAGCCCATCCAATCGAAAGGCCAGCTTCTAGAATCTAAGACCCCACCTCCCTAGTACAGCCCCCAAACCTTTTTAGAAGTGCCCAGTCTGATAACGTTAATAAACGATTCGTAGCTCCGAGGCTTGGCTCTTGCATGCCGGACATTCCATACAAAAGACCACCGGGCTGTATCGGCTTTTATCAAACCGTCTTGCAACTTCTTAGCCCATCCTATTCCTTCACCCACTATTGAAATGTCTGGAAAATACGATAGAATCATCGACGCAGATGACGGAGTAAGTATTTTCCCCCCAGTCACCTCTCCCGATTCAGTACTAACTTCTAGTTTGATGGCCAGTCCATCAACACCACCAGCGCCCCTCCCTCATACAGTACGTATATCTGTCTTCCATCGATATCAATTAAAGATCGATCAAAACTGATATCGATCTGATACTAACCCTCAGGTATTGAGGATGAACCGTTGGCCTCATCGGTCCCCGCAGACACACAGCCCAGCACAGCCCCGCCTCCGGGCAAGGGCCATTTCTTCTCCATCAACTACTACCGCCAGTACTTTGACATTGACTCTAATGAGTTTTTGGCCAAATGCATGCATGCCATGATTCCGTTCACCAGGATTTTCGGGGGCAACGAGGCGGTGGACACGACTGGTGAGTTGTACGGAGCCATCTGGTGCACGGCCACCATCATTGTGCTCCTCTTCCTTTCCAACACCGGCTCCAACATGTTGACAAACTGGGTGAAGCACTCGGATATAAAGTACCAGTACGACTTTGCGCTCTTGACAAAGTCCATATCATTGCTTTACGGGTACATTCTCGTGGTTCCCATCGTGGCGTACTCGCTCGCCCGCTGGTATTTCAAGTTCCCCCAGTCCTTGACCTTGGTGCAGTATGTGTCCATCTACGGGTATTCCAACATCCCGTGGATCCCTGCCTCTGTGTTGGGCTTGGTTGGTGGGCTCTTGGGCAACCACAGTTTCCTCTCGTCTTTACTCAGATGGATCTGTATCGGGATCGGCGGCGTTTTATCCTTATTGAACATTGTTTTGGGTATCTATCCGAATGTGAAGAAGAACTTTGCGGAATTGGGCAAGGAAAAGGTGGCCCTTGTGGAGTTGGCGGTGTTGTCGGTGGTGCACGTGGGGTTCACCATTGCGGTCAAGATTAGCTTCTTTGGGGTGTTGAACTAGGCCTCCCAAATATATAACCTATCTTTTGTACGCGCGGTAGAGTGTAGTTGGCTTTCAGACTGAGCTTTTAGCCGTGTAACACTCTTGATTCACGTCTATCTCGAACTCCAGACAAAACCTTTATCCAGAGATCAAGCGCCTACACTTATAAAATATTCAAGATAGTATGTACAAGAGCGACGAACTTATTTCTTCTTCTCAGCCTTCTTCTTTTCGTACTCGGCGATCAATTCCTTCTGCAACTGTGGTGGACATGGAGAGTACTGCTTAAACTCCAAGGAGAACTCACCCTTACCCTGGGTGGCAGCTCTCAAGGACGTGGCGAAACCGAACATAGAGTTCAAAGAGCACTCGGAGGAGATGACGAACTCGTCTGGTCCGTTTTCGGTGTCCAAGATCACACCCTGCACCTTGTTCAACAAGCCGATGATGTTGCCCTGGAACTCGTTTGGCGCGGTGACGGTGACGGTCATGATCGGCTCCAAGATGGTTGGCTGGGCGTTGGTGAAGGCTTGCTTGAACGCCATCACGGTGGCGGTTCTGAAGGACAACTCAGAGGAGTCCACAACGTGGGTCTGACCATCATTGATAACCATGTGGCAGCCCAACACCCTGTGACCGATCAACGGACCCTTTTCGCACGCGTCTTCGAACCCCTTGGCACACGCGGCCAAGAACTTTTCGGAAATCTTACCACCCACGACGGCGGTTTCAAACTTGTTTTCACCGTCGCAGGCACCCATGTTACCGATAACCCTACCGAACTGGCCCGACCCACCGGACTGCTTCTTGTGGACGTAGTCAAAGTCGGAAGAGGACAAGATGGCTTCACGGTATGCGACCTGAGGCTTCCCGGTGGTGCACTCAACGTTGTACTCACGCTTCATGCGCTCGATGTAGATCTCCAAGTGCAATTCTCCCATTCCGGAGATGATGGTCTCCTTGGACTCGTTATCGAACTTGACTCTGAAGGTTGGATCTTCTCTCTGGAAGCGCGACAACGCCTTAGAGAAATTGGTCGTGTCCTTGGTGGTTGGGGTAAGCGACAAGGAGATAACCGCGTCCGGAACGTACATAGAGGTCATGGTGTACTTGACCTCACCGTCGGTGAAGGTGTCACCAGAGGCACAGTCGACACCGAAAGTAGCACAGATTTCACCAGCACCGATCTCATTCACGTCTTCCATGTCGTTGGAGTGCATTCTTACCAAGCGGGAAACCTTAATCTTCTTGCCGGTCTTGACGTTGGTGATAAAGCCACCCTTCTTCAAACGACCCTGGTAAACCCTCAAGTAGGTCAACTGCCCGTACTTGCCTTCCTCCAACTTGAACGCCAACCCCACGAACGGGGCCTTGACGGACGGAACCATATTGACAGGCGCCTCCTCGTTCGCGGCGTCCAAACCGGTGTTCAAAGTCTCGGCAGGGTTAGGTAAGTAGTCGCAGACAGCGTCCAACACTTGCTGGATCCCTCTGTTGGCCAACGCGGAGCCCATCAAGACCGGCGAAAACGCTCTGGCAATGGTAGAACGACGAATAGCGTCCTTAATCTGCTCAACGGTTGGCTCTTCGCCCTCGAGGTAGATGTCAGCCATCTGCTCGTCGACATCAGCCAAGGTCTCGATCAATAACGCACGCTTTTCCTCAACCAAGTCGACCAAGTCAGCTGGGACCGGGCCTCTCTCGATGATTTCACCTTGGTCCCCTCTGTTGTACAAGGCAACACGGTCGATAATGTTCACCACCCCGGCCAATTCGGACTCAGCGCCGATTGGGACCTGGATAGCAGCAGCCGGAATCTTCAACTTCTGGTTGACCTGGGCGATAGCCTTGAACGGATCCGCGCCCATTCTGTCCATCTTGTTGACGAAGGTGATTCTTGGCACGTTGTAACGACGCATCTGTCTGTCGACGGTGACGGTCTGGGACTGCACACCCGAGACGGCGCACACCACTAAGACGGCACCATCCAAGACTCTCAAGGCTCTCTCGACCTCGATGGTGAAATCGATATGGCCGGGCGTGTCGATCAAGTTGAAGTGGTAGTTGCTGTCGTCCTTGTCCCAGGAACAGTAGGTGGCGGCGGACTGAATGGTGATCCCCTTTTCTCTCTCCAACTCCATGAAATCCATCTTGGCCCCAACGTTGTCGCGGCCTCTGACCTCGTGGATGGCCTTGATTCTTCCGGTGTAGAACAACACACGTTCCGAGAAAGTGGTCTTCCCGGAGTCAATATGGGCGGAAATCCCGATGTTACGCATTCTGGCCATCCGCGTCTTGTCCTCGGTGTCCAAGGCGTTGAAGATTCCGTCGATGACAACCTTCTCTTCGGCGTAGGTGCGGGCGGCGGCGCCTGCATGAAAGCTTCTAGTGAGCGACGGCGCGACCGCGCGGGCATTCAAAATTGAACGCAAAATGCTCGACATTGCAGCTAAAGCGGTTGGTGGCGTGGGAAGTGAGAGGAGGAAACCGGTGTAGGTCTTAAATCGCAGAGTTTTTCAAGGTTTTTCAGATTTTCCTGTACACGTCTTTTTTTTAAGTATGAAATCACGTGACTTCCCGGGTTTCGGCGCATAACGGAAGCTACACTTTGAGAGTGGTATAAAAGATTGAATTGATGTATTTTAGAGAGGAGTCGTTAGGGGTTACAAAAATAAATCGACAATTCTGCCGTATATAAAGAAGGACATGTTTAGGTTCAAAGTAGGTGTAAGAGATAGTATGCGTGAGTCATATCGTTAATTGATATAAAAATTTTAATCACATATATTGTACGTATATATACATAATAAATACCCAAATCTTATATTCTGTGTTATAACTACAACCACTAATATCATTCAAACAACTCATTATCAATCACTATTCAAGGCCCCATCCACTAGCCTGCGATATTCCATCTGTTTGTTCGCCATATCCAACATAACCCGGTACTTTGTCTCGAGCAACTTCCCTAGACGTTTGCTGTTTATCGTTCTGACTATCTTAGGCTCTTGGCTATAGCGCATAGTTTCCATTGCCTCTGGAAGCCTTGCCCCCAGACTTGCCAGATATGCAAGAATAGCAGCCCCCTTGACCACATCGAACTTGGCGTCGCCTGGGGACATTTCCACCGGCACCTGAATGGCAGTTGCCAACATACGGGTGAAGATACCATTTTTGGCCTGGGATCCGGAAAGCACCACCTTTGATATTGTGGCTCTTTCAGAGCTTATGGTTTCGATTATCTGCCGTGTTTGCAAACACAAGTATTCGAGGATAAGGATGTACCGGTATACCAAATCTTTTAAGGAACAGTCGGTGGACTGACCGATAAAGGCGCCTCTCATGTCTGGCAGGTTGTAAGGAGTTCTATTACCCAGATACTCGCCATAGAAGAACATGTGTTTTACCAACTCATTGCAGGTATCAACCCCTTGATCGTTGGTATACGATTCTACTAGATAGTTCAACTGGTCAAAAAGGGACCGCTGGCTTGTTGCGGATAACCTCACAAGCTCCGCATTAGCGGGATGGGTGGCGAGCAACTGTTCAACTAGAGCCCCTGTGGTCGACAGACCCCCTTCGTAGAAATTCAAGCCGCTCACCAAGCCCTCAAAGGGCCCCCAGATACCCGGAATAAATGACTCCAACAGGGTAGCAAGCAAGTAACAAGTCGAGGTCCCTGCCACCATTGCTAACGTTTCCAGAAGTGCGGTGCTCCCTGCTGCGGTGGATATCCACCCCGCGTAACAATCAATCACACCGTGTCCCACCGCCACCGTACCGCCAGAAATACCAAACGCCGAGAGGCTCTGCGGACACACAGTCCCCAAACACGTTCCGGCATAGGGAATAGGACAGTGTGACGATTGGCTGAATGGATCGTATTCCACCCGACCGAAGCTCTGGAAGTTCTTCTCAGACAATTTTTCCAAGCCGACCGCTTGCAAGATATCCCTGGACCACCCCTTTGTGGAGCCATCCAACGCCATCTTAAGCCGTGTTGTGTCACTCGAACAATGGATCGCTGGTGGAGAGGTCTTTACCAACCCATTGGTAATCGCCATGAAGGAAAGATAATCGTGTAGTTCCATAAATCGAAGCAGAGAGAGTTCAGCCGGGGGAATGCGATCCACCAACCACTTCAATTTGGGCAAGCCCATCTCAGGAATAAACCCTCCACCCAAATAATCCAAATACTCTCTAAGAGGACCACTTTGGGCAAGGGTCTTGTTGATTTCTACCGCATCTTCCTGTGCTCTATGGTCCATCCAAAGGACAATATTGTTATTAACATCGGTGAAACCGCTATCCACAGCATATGGCTGGTACCGACCCTCTGAGGATTCGCTAAGCGTCACTAAGGAGCACGTGGCACTGAAGGCGATGCCGTCATACTCAGCGTCTGATTCCCCCACACAGTAGCGAATTGCCTCACACACGGCATACCAGATCTCGGTTGAGGATTGGGTAATAATCATTGGGTTGGCTGGATCAACACGGCGAGATATAGGGTGATCGTGCGAGGCGAGGATGTCCCCAGATACGCCCGTGATGCAGGCTCTCACAGAGGCTGTGCCCACATCCACTCCAATATAACAAAGCATAGATGAGCCCATGAAGTATTTCCATTTTATAAAACTTGATAGACGCCCCCAAATGAGGATGTGTATGCCAGCAGGTTATGATTCTTAGCTGGGAGTTAAATGCAGGATTTCCATGAGTAGACTACATGTCCATCAGATAGATGAGGTGGGAATGGATAAAATAATGGTGGTTTATTGACTGTTTCAATCGTACGACTAGGGTATATGTTAATACGCTTGACCATCATGAGTACGCGGGGTTGATACCCGAAGTAGAGGCCAATAGGTCAAAAAGCGTATCTGGCCGGCGACGCAGTGCTACCATATAGCCAGAGGGGTCCGTGTCAGCTGGAAGAAGGGTGTGAAGCAGAGTGTCACTAATGCTTCAAAAGATCAGCATATCGTTGTTATTTAAGGGATACCGGACTATCCCTCGGAGAAATTTGGCTTAGTTCCGCTTGGATTCGAAGAAACGCTTCATTACCAATTCATTCAACGTGTGACCTTCTTTTCTGCCAACCCTCTTTTCATACGAGTAGTACGCAGCCGCGCCGACGGCAATGCTGAAGACTGGATCCAACCATCTAGAATCTTGTCAGTACCACAGACCACGGAAAGTAGAAATAACTTACTTGGAAAGGAGATATGGGGCTTGTACAGACATAGTGGGACGGATGTATAGAAAGACATTGGTAACGTAGAGCCAATTCGTCGTTTTATGGAAAAAATCCTGTAGACGAGCATGGTATTCTAGAACTGCACGTGACTTTTATTATACGCGAGGCTGCTTTATATATTTTACGCGTCGCACAGGATTTACTTTGCCATTTACGTTTCATCCACCCAAACACACCATGTCTGAAGCTTCTATTATCACCATTCCCTCCGAAACTTTCACATGCAACATTGTGCCGTGCCAGATCCAGTACACGGGCGAAGCCGACCATGCGTTGCTCACCACGTCGCGCGAAGAGAGCCGGATAACGGCCGAGAATGAAACGCTAAACAAGGCTGGTACCGCCTCCATTGATGACGTGGTTTATCTCCGTGGCCGCAAGCTTTTGGGGAAACGGGTAGATATGGGTAGTTATGAGGGCCACATCCTCCAGAGGGAGGAGACTCTTGCTGAAGAAGGCTTATCCTCACGGTACACATCGGTTGGCAGGTTTGACAGGATGGTGTTGTTTGCGCACGAGCAGGTTCCAGATCTTCTCAACTGCCAGTGGGGGAATTTGGCCGAAATGGCCCAGGCTGCTGACATTATCCATGGATAGAGATTTGACTTTCCTATGGTTCATGATCGTGACGATGAATAGAGGTGTACAACTACCACTGATTTACCCAGAATGGGTAAGACCGTGTTTCGGCCATATCACCAGTGAGAGACAGGCGAAACAGTTTCAATTCATTTCCTCCCACCGTTTCGCCTTCCCCACTGCATCTTGAAATAGACTGGCTATGTAAGGAATGTGAATTGATCTCTATCCCGTACGGTGCACCTACCCTTACAAATATTTTGTATATTCATATTCCAACTTTACCCAAAATAGAATCATCAATAACTGGTATAACTAAGTGTTTTAAACTTGTTTTTTGTCCAACAGAGTCAGAGGCTCTTCACTATATCAATATTGTTACCTGATAATGCTGTAGACTTGGTTTACTAGCACCGGCCACTGTACCTTTTACATAAAGTTAAGCCATTCGATCCGCTTCAAACTTTCTAAAGTAGAGAACTGCAATCCACAATATTAGTTCTCTCGTTATAATTCTTAAATAACCTGCTTAGAGCCTTGCCCATCCTATCCTTTGCAGTTTCGGTTGAAATAACTGCCCCACCCCCCACACTAATCCGGCATCCGTCAGGTGCCATTCACGTGCCTTAGCTTCCCCACGGCGCCGCACCGAACTCCGTCGACATCAGCAAAACCTCCACAATATCTTTACTTCTATTCCCCTTCTCCATCACCTTATCTCATATATTCACCCATGACTACGATACTAGATCGCCTCTCTATGGCCCATGGCCACAACCCGCAAACCAGGGTCAACCAGCTCGACTCGGTGATCCTCGACAACGAGCTCTTTGACTTGGTGCACGAACAGCTGGTATCTGTGTTTCAGCACTGGCAGCCGCAGTGGAAGACGTCATATGGCAAGGAAATCCGCTTGGGGTTGCGGTTGTTGCTCTTCAAGAACACCGTATGGGACAACAGTCAGCTGTACGGGATGAAGGTGCAGAACTTGCGGATGAGTTCATCGTCCGCGCTCCGCACACGCAAACTCGCACTCTTGGTGTTGATTCTCGGAGAATACGGTTGGAACGTTTTCCAGTCATATCTCTTTGCGCTTGACCTGGAACTTCCTACCGAAACGCGAAAGACGAAATGGACGGTGCTCAAGAGAAACGTTGTGCGGTTGCTTCTCCGACACCGTGACCGTATCCTAGCCTCGTCCAAGCTCTACTCCATCTTGTCGATGCTCAACTTTGTGGCGTTCCTAGTGAACGGTGAATATATATCCTTAAAGTACCGTCTCCTCGGCTTGAAGATTTACAAGCCCGTGCACCAGGACTTGTTGAAGTTCCAAGGCAGCAACGTTTCGTTCGAGTTCCAGAACCGCCAGCTCGTGTGGAACACCTTGACGGAGTTTTTGATCTTCACGCTTCCAATGTTGCAGCTACACAAGCTCAAAACGTCGCTTCTGTTTCTCTCGCTCACTCCAAAGGCCAGCGCTGCGCCGCTATTGGCGCACTTACCCGAAAAGCGCTGCGTCATCTGTTACCACACGTACCAGACCCGTCGGCTCCAGATGAACGCGTCACAGGAAGACGATGCAGGCTGGTTCTTGGTAACGAACCCCTACACTACAAACTGTGGTCACACCTACTGCTACCTCTGTGTGTTGACCAAGCTCGAGTTGTCCCCTGCCGGCAAGGAGGTGCTTTCCGAGGTAGATGAGCGGGAGTTGTGGGACTGTCTTAGGTGTGGGGCTAAGGTGAAGTACGCTACTCCGTTCGAAGACGTTGATTTGTCCTGTTGTGTAGCCGAAGAGCCTAATGAGGAGTCTGCTGCTTCTGAGCACGGGTCTTCTGAAGAGTCTTCGGAACACGAGTTTTCCGAACATTCCTCGTACGAAGAGATTTCCTCGGAATCGGAGCCCGAAGAGGAATCAGACATTGAGGCTGAGACCGGCGGATTTTTTGTTGAATAGAGAGGAATAACGGTGGGCTCTTTGTAGCACAACAAGGAGAGGTTGTGCGTAATGAAATATTGAAACGCACACAACAGGATATGTATATGCAAATTACGGTTTTAATGATAACTCTTAGCGACACCAACCCTTTTTCATTGCGCATTTCTGCTTGATGTCTGTAAACCGGCGAGGTGAATTATCTGAGTCACCAAAATGAATTCAACTTGTGATTGTTCAAATTCATCGGCGAATAACCCAATACAGTTCTTTAAAACCCCAGAACTACACTTTATTATTGAATCGGGACAAATTTATGTAATTATGTGCCTCTAGGGCCAATCCCTATGCGGTTGCAATGTCGGCAAATTACCATGTAAAGACCCTTGAACCCCGATGGTTTCTGGAGGATGATGCGGACTCTATCATGACCCTTTGTGTATCTCTTGGGTAACATGCTATTCTTACTCGTTGTTTTTGTGGCTGCTCCTGGCTTGATGGACCTTTATTCCTTCACAAATTGAACCCACTGATCATCTCCAACTGTTTGGTGAGGTCATCATCGGCGTCCTTAGATTTTTTGGTAGTTGCCACGTCGCTGACGAGAGATTTGTCCAAATCGTCCTTCTTGAAAGCAGAGACACCTGGCAACATGGCAAACTTGGTGGCGTTAGAGGCCACCATGATATCGTTTACGTCGGCGTCGGCGTTCAACCTAAGGGTCAAGCTCTGGTTCTTGCTTTTGGACAGCTTTGACTTTAACCGTTTAAGCGCGGTTTTCTTCGAGATACCAACCTTTGCCGGTTTTTTGGAAAGCGAGGGTTTGACTTGGGGCTTGACCTGGGGCTTGGTCTTCATGTTAAGGTTAAGGGGTAACGTGGTAGGGTAGGGTATTGGCGTACAGTAGATATGCTATATGAATAGTGAAAATAAACTATGCAGGATGAATTTTGGATGTTAGCTACACAAGCTTGGAGCAGCCACAGGTCCAATACAGACACCAACACAGGCACCAACACTTAATATTTATCAATAAAACACAAATTTATTCACTCTATCTTTTCATCAATACACATCTGATTATATACGGTCCGGTTTCCTCCTCCTAAGCTCTATATTTCTCATCTGCTCCTCATCTGTTCCTCATCTGTTCCTCATCTCCTTAGGTACAGGATTGAAGACTGAGAAAAATTTATTTTTTCCATGCAGGAGGAAAAAAAGCAACAGGCATTTCAAAAAACATTTCAATCTGCCGTAGCCGCCGCTACAACTCAACCCCAAAGACAACTTCAATATGGTTTCCACACACAACAGAGACAAGCCATGGGATACCGCAGATATTGACAAGTGGGCTATTGAGGACTTTAAGCCGGAGGACAATGCATCTGGGCAGGCGTTCGCCGAAGAGTCTTCCTTCGTGACCTTGTTCCCGAAATACAGAGAGAACTACCTCCGCTCGGTGTGGTCGCAGGTGACGACATCGTTGGAGAGATTCCACGTCGGCTGCCAGCTCGATTTGGTGGAGGGGTCCATGACTGTCAAGACCACTAGAAAGACGTACGACCCAGCCGTGATCTTAAAGGCCAGAGACTTGATCAAGTTGTTGGCCAGATCCGTGCCGTTCCCACAGGCGGTCAAGATCTTGCAGGACGACATTGCGTGCGATGTCATCAAGATCGGCAACTTTGTCACCAACAAAGAGCGTTTTGTCAAGAGAAGACAGAGAATGGTGGGCCCCAACGGGAACACGTTGAAGGCGTTGGAGTTATTGACCAAATGCTACATCTTGGTCCAGGGGAACACGGTTTCCGCGATGGGACCATTCAAGGGTCTCAAGGACGTCAGACGTGTGGTGGAGGACTGTATGAACAACATCCACCCGATCTACCACATCAAGGAATTGATGATCAAGAAGGAGTTGGCAAAGAACCCTGAGTTGGCCGAAGAGGACTGGTCCCGTTTCTTGCCGGCGTTCAAGAAGCGCAACGTTGCACGTAAGGCCAAGAAGCCAAAGGCCGGCAAGAAGAAGGACAACGTGGTCACGCCGTTCCCAGCGGCCCCAATGCCGAGAAAGGTCGATTTGGCCATCGAGAGTGGTGAATACTTCTTGAGCGGCAGAGAGAAGGCCATGAAGGCATTGCAGGAGAAGAAGGACAGGCAAACCGAGAACCAGGAGGTCAGAGACAAGGAGAGGGCCAAGGATTTTGAAGCACCGGTCGAGGCGGCCTACGAAAACAAGCTCTTGGAGAAAAAGAGATCTGGCGAGGCTCACGGCGAGAAGAAAAAGAAGAAGAAGGTTTCCGAAGAGTAAGTTGGACATGTAAAATATAGGACGTTATGGAGCGTAGAGAATAAATGCGAATTACCTTTCTCCCTAAGCACATTACTATGATTTACTCGTACTTGTCGAATAAATTGCGCCTAGGTGTCTGTATAATACATATTTACATGATGCTTGTATAATACATATTTACATTTTTGTCCTCTCTTCCACTAAGTGATGGAACTCATCTATCCCAGTCTCTGACCAGTATGTGAGCAAGTCCGTTTCGTACGCATCACCCGTACGCTTCAAGGGCAACTGCTGGAAGCCGATCTTGCGGAACCATGTGCCGTAGCGCTTGCTCCAGTCAACCAAGATCTCAAGCGGCGCGGCCCCATCGTTGTACAACTCAAACAAGCCCCACTTCATCATCCCAAAGTTATAGTGACTGCGCGCCTTATCAAGGATCGTCCCTAGGAGAAAGAACTTCATGTGCGGGGGGATCACCAACGTAAGCGACTGGAAGCTGCGCACAGTGTCATTTCGGCTCATCAAGAACGGGGGAACCACCAAGGGACCACTTCGCAGGAGTCGCAGACTGGGGTCAACAGTCTCAGCAGGGGCCACCATATGGAAGGAGTTGATGTAAATGCGCTGAGCAACCATTAACGGAAAGGTGTTGACCAAATACTTGAAATACACACTCACTAGTCGTTCCCTAACGGAATCGTCCTCTGGGAGCGTCTCAAACCGGCCCAACATTTCTCCCACAAACCCCGGGTCGAGCTTCTTTTCCGAGACCATGTGGTTAAGAATCGTGACGTACGCTGACTTTGCAAGCTCCACCGACACGTTTCGGCACATTACCGCGGCCCTTGGCACCCCACCGTCTTCTTTCAAGATAGATTCAATCAACATGTTGAACTCAAAGAATTGGAGGCCCTGCTCGGAGCCAAAGATCTCCTGGAGAATCTTTTCGGCCATGGCGGTGTTCTGGAACACGAGGTTCGTATGGAGCAAGCCCGAGAGCGTGCTACGCTCCAACGGCAGCCCACGAACCTTCAACTGGATTAGGATTTCCTGAGACAACTCTTGGTTCTTTGTGCGGGCGGAAAAGTGCAAGAGGGTTTCAACAAGCGACGGATGAGCATACAATTCGCAAGGAAGCTCGCTGATGAGCTCTGCCACGTAGTGGTGGTAGACCCGCTGCTTTCCCAAGAATTTGAACAAGGCATTGAGAAAATCAAGGTCATGGGAGGCGAGGGGCTCCAATGGTTTGATCCTCAACCACAAGAGATACACACAGCCGTTGTTAAAAAACCGCATCTGGCGGCGCAAGAAGCCGTAAATGTGGGTAAGGAGCACCCGCTTATCACGGAGAGTTCCGCTATGGAAGGAGGCTAAGACTCCAGAAAACACCTCCAGATAGCCGAGTAAGTTATTAATCACGAGGGTATTTAGTCTGTCAATGTGATTGGACTGGGTTCCGCCCAAGGCCTCGAGATTCTGGAAGAGCTGGACCGTTTGGGTGTATGTGAGGGAAAAGCGGACGGTGGAGGTTTCCGCGATAGTGAGGAGTTTGACCAAAGCGTCGAGGCTGTATTCGTCGTATTTCGGGTTAGACACGAGGAGGGCGGAGGCCAAGTCATGGAAAATAGACTCTAGAGAGGGGGCCGAGGGATTCATGGTTGACTCCTGGAGAGGCTCTAGAGTCTTTGGCTCGAAACGATCTAGCGGATGCTTGAGGAACATGGCCACCGCAAGGAGCGGCTCATTCACGCCTAGCGCGAGAGTGGTGATGAACCGCATTGTGGTAAGCCAGACCACGAGGTCTGGGTTGACCATACCCGCAAGCAAATCATCAATAGCCTCGCGAGGAAACCGGTACACCACGGCTTTGGGGAGTTTATGCAAGTTTGCGAGATTCTTCACTATGAATTGGAGGGTGCGAGTGTCGAAATTAGATGCAAGGTCGGAGAAAGCTCTGTTGGAGCAGTTGGTTAACGTGTTGATGATGAAGATTCTCGCATTGGAGTTAGTGGAAAACTGGTCTACCATGACTGCTAGAAGAAGGTCCACCGACGGAAGGGGGCTTAAAGCCATATCGTGTCTGTAGGGAAACCGCTTGAAGTAGTCGTCAACGAGGTTGTATAGGGCTCCTGAGCTGAGACTGGCAGTGTGGGTACGTGTAACAGTCATCCTTTCGGGATTAATCGTATAACACAGTTCTAGAAGCGGCTGGGCCTCCTTTAGAAAATTTTCTAGGGCTGGGGGCTCCATTGGTTCTGTTCTCGGTTCGATCGTATACCATCGTTTTGTGAGTGCGTTGGGGAGGTGCGGGTTGGGAATGCATGAGGTGGAGAGGGATCGGACTCTGGCGAGGAAAAGGGTGGAAAAATGACATAAAGCACCACATCGCATCTGGGTTAGTGCCCTGTGGCCTGATCGGAGTCCGGAAAGGCGTCTGACGATCATCATTTGTGAATGTACAGTGCGAGGTTCATGTAAAATGCAGGGCCCGGGAAGCGGAAAGGACCTAAGCTGTATGGATCGAGGGGATAGCCAGCTGTAAGGAACGAGGTGGTTATATCTTCTATTGCGGTGTTCTACCCTGATAAGCGAACCTGGTTGGATTCTGGTTCAACTCATTTTTCACCCGAAAGTACAAAAAAATGGAGTTACATGCAGGATGAGATGTCATGGATTAAAAGATGGCTCTCAGTTTCTACTCGCAAATATGTAGCTGCGTAAATATCAAAATGTGTATTGAGCAAAAGTACAGTCTCAAGCTACCTCCATATCTCTGTAGATGTTCTAGAATAAACTACACCTCAACTAGCACAACGCGCTACAATTCATGCTTCAACATAACCCAAGACTCCGAAGGTCAAGCTTAGTTTCTTGGAGGGGGCAAGGCCAAACGTTCCTTTGGGGCGGCAATCTGCTTCGGAAACTCTCTCACGATAATGTCGCACTTGACCTCCTTGCACAAGTCCTTCTTCTGTTCGACAGGCCACTTTTGCATGATTTCCATCCCGGAGGATCTTTCCAACGCCTCTACTGGGACCTGGAAGCTCTGCAACGGCGTGGAGTTGTCGATCTTGTCGTTCGGCAAAACAAAGGCTGCCACGGCAACGTTAGGGCTACCGGCATGCTCACCCACGATGACCTTGAAAAAATGGGTGGGAACGGCAATGCTTGGCGGGTTACCAATAACCTCGTAGGTCACCCTGAACTTTCCATCTACTGGGTCCTTCTTAGGCAAGTAGAGTGGGCCGGTGATGATCCGGACGTCACTGTAGGTTTGGGTCAATCGGCGCGCAAAGTCCTCAAAGTGAGCCCAGTAGTCGCGGTTGAACCCCTCACCGACCTGGGGCGACATGTTGGACAAGTAGAAGGTCTCGTCCATAGCCTTCTGGTCGAACTTGGCGTCGGCGGCGGGCGCCTGGTGGCCTCTATCGTAGCCAGATCTGAAGTAGTCCTTCAAACGGCCTCTGAACTGTTGGGGGATCGCCTCGTCCTCCTTGAATACCGACTTCTTGCGGTCCACAAGGTTGCCTCCGTTCGGGTTCTTTTGCGACTTGATGGATTGCGCCGTAATGTGCTCCAAGACCCAGTGCGGGTTTCTGGTGATACGATTGTAGCAGGAGATGAACTCGGAACGGTTCAGTAAATCATTGATTGGGCCCGGGAACCCGTACTTGAAGTATTCTTGCGGCTTTACCGAGGCGGGATCAAACGGAACGTTGCCGCCGTTCTTGCCGACGACAATCGGGACCGAGGCGGATTCGGTCTTGGTGCCGCTGCCAAACCCCCAGAAGTACGAAGCAATACCAGCCCCACCAGCCAAGCCAGCCAAGCCAGCCAAACCAGAATACGCGTTTCTCATCATGTGTGGAATGAAGGGACAAAATAGGAGATTTCCTATATAGCTCAGGCCTCTGGTACGGAGAAAAATATATCGTCTATTATGAGCACGTGAAGGTCACGTGTTATATGAGTTTTGTTTGGTGAGCAGTTCACTTTGTAAACAACCTAGTCAGGGATTATTACGGAGTAAAAATTGTATCAGATTCTAGGAAGTATGCATAGGAAGTGATATTACAGAAATGATGGATTTGGCTTTAGCAGTCAACCACTCGCGAATGCCACTTACAAAGTGCCCCTGTACTTCTGACCAATACGCCAACTAACGGTCTCTACGAATGACTTGGAAACTAAAAAGTAGTACGAATTGGTGGATTAAATACAAAAGTTTTAGATCTTCAGTTTAATGCTCTTCCGGTTGAGCTAAAGTCGCTAGAAACGGTGGGAAAAGGATTGGGAAAGTCAGGCCAGGAGTAATTCAACACCTAAGACTGTTCTCCAACCAGAGGCCTTAAGCGGGTATAACCCAACCGTAATGATCAACTAATTTTCCAATTGTGGAGAATGCCTGCTTGAGGCGACAGACCCGGTGTTATCCATTGCCCGATTCGGAATGCACTGGGCGGACATGACCCAACATCCGACTTTGTGCATCTGCGTTAAGAGAAAGCATGAGCCTTATGGTCTTTCAGTTTAGGGAACTCCGTGGTCAGGTGTCAGTTAAGATCTATTTGATATAATTCCCAATTTAATAATTACAATACATATGGGAGTAGCCATTAACAGGCGGCAACAATAAATACAAATTTCCTTGTGCTCGGATGTAGGTGCTCCGAGGGTGTTCCCCGCCCTCGAAAATACTTTATATGTAAACAAGAAAAAAATTTCCCTCATCGACATCCTGCAACCATGGCTCAACACTTTCTGACGTTAACACGTGTGGCCTATAACAAACGTCTCGCTCTTCAATTACATTATCGAGTTCTGTGCTGTCCAAGATGTTTACTGCGATTTTCACCAGCTTGAAGAGCTTCTTCGGAGGCAAACCGGCGGTCATCCGCAACGAGACAACTGTCATCAGCGATGAGAGGAACACCAACAACAAGCGGGCCTTGACCTCCGACGAGGAACCCAGCAAGAAGAGCAAGCGCGAGTATGTCCGTGAAAAACCGGTCATTCCAGAAGGCATGACTAAGAACCAGTGGAAGAAGCTCGAGAAGGTGCGGCTCTGGGAGGAGCGCAAGCCGGAGTACGCAAAGATCAGAAAGCAGAAGCGTCTTCAGGCGGCAAAGAACAAGAAGGAAAAGATTCAGGAATTGATCGCTAAGGGTGAATCCTACGACCACTTAAAGCAGAACCGCAAAAAGATCAACAAGGAGATCAAACATTCGGACTGTACCGTCATTGTGGACTGCGGTTTCGACGAAAAAATGGTGGTGAAGGAGAGAACCAGCTTGAGCACCCAGTTGGCCAGATGTTTTAGTGAAAACAGAAGACACGAGTACAAGGTTGATTTGCGCTTCACCTCGTTTAACGGGTTGTTGAAGGAGAGATTCGACAAGTTCCTCCCTGACCACAAATACTGGCCAGCCGAGTTTGTCTCTCTCGAGGCAGATGAGATCAGCCCCGAAATCCTCAAAATGTCTGACGAAGAAAAGGCAAAGGTGGTTTACTTGTCTGCGGATGAAGGCAGCACCGTCTTGGAGGAGTTGAAGGCCGGAGAAACGTATATCATCGGGGGTATTGTCGACAAGGGCAGATACAAGAACCTCTGCTACGACAAGGCCAAGGCTTTGGGTATTCGCACCGCCAGATTACCGATCGATGAGTATATTAAGCTTAGCGGTAGGAAGGTTTTGACCACCAGTCATGTGTTTGAGTTGATGGTCAACTGGTTGGAAAACAAGGACTGGAAGAAGTCCTTCGATACCGTGCTTCCGCCTAGAAAGTTTGCGGACTTTGGCAAGACCGAGGAGCAGTTGGACGCCGAGGAGGAGAAGCGGAATGCTATCCAGGACTTGAAGGAAGAGGATGTTTCCAAGGCTGAAACCGCCGAAATTGAAGTTGTCGAAAAGACTGACTAGCTTCAGGCAAACACTACGCTCACCCCGTGACTCCTGAAGTCCATGTACATTAACCAGTAACGCTACGCTGTATTAGGAGTATATAATTACCCGTCATTATAACGCTGTAGGAGAGTGCGCAAAATTGGGTGATGCTTGCCTCTACACCAGTGGTTCATTGCTCCCCGGTTTAGAAGCTTCTGCTTAGACGAATGACTTAGGCCATTGCTTAGGACTATAGACCGGTCGAGACCACCTCAACACTTTGTGTGTCACCATTTCACGGATATCGAGCGGCACCTAAGCAGTTCCCGGAAAGACTGTATTCGAAGATTTGGAAGCGTGTTTGCTTCGGATAACAAACTTGCTTGCGCTACAAAAGCCGATTCTAGACTGTCATGCATGCACTCTCAGGTTCAACTCCTTTCATGCACATTACCCCTTGAGAGGCCTAGGAATAAAATATTCACCCTGAAGAGGTCAAGTAGATCTTGTGAAAAGATTACCAGATTGGGTATAATAACTTGTCTCAGGAATGACCGGGCCGGAACAAAGGGCAACCAACTCGTATGCAGCAATTCAGCACCTGCATAATGTTGCCTGATTCTGGAAAGTTCCGGAGATGCCTAGCAAAGTTTATGCGGGATGCACTTGCCACCATGCAGGCACTATAAAAGAGGCAGATGCCACATTCGTTTCCAACCCCACAAAAAAAAATACCACCAAACAAACTACAATGTTAAAACCGAGCTTGAACAAAGCCTTACTCAAGTCCGCCACTGGTAACTACCTCCCGGCGATGGCGGTTCCGCGCGATTGCTTCCAAAGCAACATCCTTTCGCGTCCTTTATCTTCCTCCACCTCCATCTCCTCCCACCCTAGGAAACTTACCGCCCTTACACCAGTCACTAGACGGAGCACAGTGACTCCCTTTCCCATAGCACAGGTGAGTACCACCAGGGCCTTTTCATCCATACCCCCACAGAACATGCAGATGCGTATGGACCCGAACCAGGAAGCGGAGGAGCCGGCGTTGAAGAAGTATGCCACTAATTTGACCGACATGGCCAAGGCGGGGAAGCTCGATCCTGTTATCGGTCGTGACGAGGAGATCCGGCGCACAATCCAGATTCTATCGCGCAGGTCCAAGAACAACCCGGTGTTGATTGGGAACGCTGGAACGGGGAAGACCGCCATCATGGAGGGCTTGGCCCAGCGGATCGTCAATCGTGAGGTGCCCGAGCTGATGCAGGGCAAAGAAGTGGTTGCGTTAGATTTGGGATCGCTCATCAGTGGGAGCAAGTATCGTGGGGAGTTTGAGGAGCGCTTGAAGGCTGTGTTGGCGGAGCTCGACAAAGCAAATGGAAACATTATCTTGTTTATTGACGAGTTGCACATCTTGCTCGGGTTGGGAAAATCTGAGGGATCGATCGATGCCTCTAACATGTTAAAGCCGGCGTTGGCCAGGGGCCAGTTGCAGTGCTGCGGGGCCACCACCATTGAGGAGTACCGCAAGTATATTGAGAAGGACGCCGCATTAGCGCGCCGGTTCCAGTCCGTCTTGGTCAAGGAACCAACTGTGGACGACTGCATCAGCATTTTGCGCGGATTGAAGGAAAAGTACGAGTTACACCACGGTGTGCGCATCACCGATGCCGCCATTGTGAACGCGGCCAAGATGAGCGAGCGGTACATCACCGACCGGTTTTTGCCCGACAAGGCGATTGACTTGATGGACGAAGCGTGCTCGGCGTTGCGCTTGCAGCACGAATCCAAGCCGGACGTGATGGAGCAGTTAGAGCGGACCGTTATGACGATGGAGATCGAGTTGGCCTCGTTGAAGAAGGAGACTGATGAGGTTTCGTTGGAGAGAAAGGCAAAGTTGGAGAGCGACTTGAAGCTCAAGCAGGAGGAGTTGGGGACGTTGACCAAGAAGTGGGAGGCTGAGAGAAGCGAGTTGGAACAGGTCCACGCCACCAAAAAGTTGCTAGAGGATGCCAAGATGGAGTTGGAAAAGGCTACTCGTGAGGGCAAGTACGGCGATGCCTCCCAGTTGCAGTACGCCAAGATTCCCGAGTTAACCTCCCGGTTGAAGGAATTAACTTCCAAGGCGGCCGCGTCCAACTTGTTGCACGATTCGGTCACGGCAGACGACATTTCCCGTGTCATTTCCAAGATGACGGGTATCCCTACCTCGTCACTACTCCAGTCGGAAAGATCCAAGTTGTTACACATGGAAGAAACGTTGAACGCCAAGGTTATTGGCCAGGAGGAATCGATCAAGGCGATTTCCGATGCCGTGAGATTGCAGCGTGCGGGCTTGACCAATCACTCGAAGCCGATTGCTAGCTTCATCTTCTTGGGCCCAACCGGCACGGGTAAGACTGAGTTGACAAAGTCCTTGGCCGAGTTCTTGTTCAACGATACGGGCGCCATGATCCGGTTCGACATGTCCGAATTCCAGGAGTCACACTCTATCTCTAGGTTGATCGGGTCTCCGCCGGGCTACGTTGGGTACGACGACAATGGTGAGTTGACCGAGGCCGTCAGACGCAAGCCTTACTCCGTCGTGTTGTTTGATGAGTTTGAAAAGGCCCACAGAGACATCTCCAAGTTGTTGTTGCAGGTTTTGGACGAGGGTCAGTTGACCGACTCCCACGGTCGCAAGGTGGATTTCAGAAATACCATCATTATCATGACCTCCAACCTTGGACAGGAGTTGATGGTTGAGCACTCTAGCAAGGATGGGGACGAGGGGATCAGTGACGAGGTGAGGAGTGCGGTGATACAGACCTTGAGACACACCTATCCACCGGAGTTCCTTAACCGCTTGGACGAGATTCTCATTTTCAACCACTTGTCCCGTAAGTCCTTGGAAAACATTTTGGCCTTGCGCCTTGGCGATATCCAGACCAATTTGTTGGACGAGAAAAAGTTGACGCTCGAGGTGGAGGACCTGGCAAAGGAGTGGTTATTGAGAAAGGGTTTCGACCTCAATTACGGTGCCAGACCCTTGAACCGTGTGATCCAGAAGAAGGTTTTGAATCCAATGGCTCGTATGGTTATTAACGATGAATTGGTGAAGGGTGATATCATCTCCGTCACCAAGGATGCTTCGATGGACTCGTTGGACGTCGTGGCTGTGCACCGAGAAGGGCCAAAGGAGTCTCAAGCTGAAGACCTTTAGGGTTTGAGATTTTTTCTACCGGTATCTGAGTTTTTTTTTTTTTTTTCTAGGGGTACCAGGCGAAAGTATGTACATAATTATAAAGATATTAATGGTCGATTGTAGATGGCGTGGTCGGAGATTGATGTGCGAATAATTCAAGCATCGTATCTTAAACTGGTTTGTTGAGGAAAGTGGCTCGAAGTATGGCAACTGGGGGGAGACTGAAAAATATTAAATGTATATATGACCAGAGTAAATTAAAAGTCCACTGCTATAGCTGCCACCATACCCGTCAGTAACAGCAGACATGGGTCACGTGAAGAATAATATACTACAGGGGGCTCTAGCCCGCAGGCAGCATCTAAACAATGATGGAGCAATATTTTCCAAGTTATAGAATCTCCAGTAATACTGACCGATTTCTGTCTTCCGCCAAATAGACCTTTGAGTCTTTAAGGCCTTTCTCGTGGGTATTACTGACCAGAACACGCACTGCAAGCTTATGCGGGCCGGGTAACCCCGTTGGATGAACCGTTTTGATTACAAAGATTTTGCACTTAGCTGACATAATACACTTACAACACCAGAAAAGTCGTAACGCACAAGCACATCACTCTATGAACAACTCTTTCCAGGGCTGGGCCCCAGCGTCCAACGACGAAAATTCTGATACGCGTATCCACAAGAAGGAAAAGCTCGATCATATTGATCCTAGTTTCAGTCGCGTGGACGACGAGGGGTATTCCACCCCGACTGACCACGACGAAGTGTTCGGGAGCAACGTAGCGGCGGCAGCCGTTGCGGCCGCCGCGGCCAACGATGCTGACCACCACTTGCACCACCATGGGTTCCACTTGGACGACCAGTCAGTGGTTGGCCACGTCTCGCTCAGCTTGGGCGAGGTGAAGGTGGACGAATCCATGCCGCTCGAGACGCCAGAGCTCGGGGTTTCTCTCGGGCGCAAGGCGCGCCGTGGCACCAAGGGTCCTACTTCCGCGAAACGTGCGGAGCAAAACCGCAACGCGCAGCGGAGCTTCCGCGTGCGCAAGGAATTGCAGATTAAGGAGTTGAAGGACCAGGCGGACGAGGCCAAAGCGTTGCGTGCCACCATCGAGGAATTGAGACGCGAAAACATGCACTTGCGTGACTACACGTTGGCGTTGCAGTCCAAGTTGATGGAGCACGAGACGGGTGTGCCCACTCCACCGTCGCTGGTATTTGGGCGCAACGCCGCGAAGGACGAGGTGTTTGACTTTGATGCGAAGAAGAAATAGCCGACATTAGGGAAATGTCCCGTGCCCTAGTGGTTTTGTATTTTACTGTACTATACTGGAGGAGTATCCTCTGCCAATGAACGATATGTGTAAGATTAAAGTGATTTGGGTTATGGAATTTTGGAACCGTTCGTATAAATAAACAGGGGATGATTGGATGGAGCATAAATATGGCATAACGTCTCTACCCTGATTCCAAGACATAGCTTGACCGGAACTTACTCGATCAGGAACCCAAACTATTACAAAACTATCGTTTTTGTGCCGTCTCCCGCCTAGTGTCAATTCCGAGTGACCGGTGTTACGCACACAGACTATTAGCGGTTTCGGTGGAAATCTGCATATGTTATTGAATGCCATAAGCTTGTAGCGATTTAGTCTTGCGTTGTTTACAACTTTGACAGAGTGGTGCCACGTCCCCACCTCTCATTCTCCGAGGTCTGCACCATTTTCATGACCCATGATTTAAAATTTCAACTGCCATCCGCTTCTTATAAACACTGCATCTTCAAACATTTCAGACTATAACAGACGATTTTCGGCGTACACACCCTTCCTGTTTTCCACAATAACAGCTATGACAGCCACTATTAATCCACTAATCTTGAAAAGTTAACCAATAACTTGTATCTAAATTTGATGTTCAGCTAATTTCCCTTACACAACTTCACCTCGACTGCGTTTCATGCGGTCACGTGCCGCACCTTTTTTCAGCAAAACCGCCTACATCAAAACAGAGCCCCAAGAACACATGTCCCACTGCCCTTTTTTTTTTATTTACGTTAATCCACCTTTTACCATGCTTTCTACAGTCAGATGCTTGCGCTCTCCTGTGCTGAGAGGGTTGTCCCACTCCCGTGCGGCCCGGTTCCACACATCGTCGGTTTGCCGCAACGAACGTCCGCATAACCTCTTTCAAACACCGTTCTTGGACTCTGCTGTGTTCGCTGTCAAGGTCAGGGAATCTTTGGCCGGTCCTTTGCCCCGGGAAACAGTCCTTGCGGCGCTCGAAAACGTACGGATATTGCAAGACAACGTGCTCATCGGGGACAAGTTCTCTGATGAATCCAAGGCCCAGATCGCTGAGTTGAGCGGAATGGCGATGGAGATCTTCAACGCCCCCAACGTGGCCATGGACGACGCCTTCTTAAAAACGTACTTTCTCACGATCAAACCGCACATCGACGACACCCTCCAGGCGATGAAGGTGTTTTACAAGCGCAACCCTACGGGCCACATCGACCGTATCACCGCGATGATCCCGTTCCGCCAGTTCCTCTTGCGCAACGAGCTCGATGCCTGCTTTCGCATCATTGACTACACTACCAACCACAAGCGGTACCACCGCTACTTACAGAAGCAACTCCATCGCAAGATTGGCTACACTGCGGGTTTTGGGCTTGTCGGGTTAGGGGTGTTGGACCGTGTGCTCAGATCGGTGATTCCGGACGACGATCCGACCCTTTTCACCAACTTTTACACAATGTTGGCGGCGTACCTTGCGAACGCAGCGTTCATGGGATCCATTGCGTTCGGTAGCATCATGTCGAAGAATAAGGACAATTTCTTGAACTGGCAGCCAGGCACGTTGCAGCGCCACTGGTACTTTCACCAAGACGAGATGAAAATGTGCTCGGCAATCGCTGAGTTTGATGCGGAGTTTAACGGGAAGGACGGATATGCCACTAAGGATGTTATGGACGAGTGTTTGAGCAGAAAGATGGAGCCAGCCACGAACATCGAGGAGTTTATGTTACAGGAGTACTGGGTCAGGCAAGGCGATGGGTTTGAGTGGGTGGAACCGGACCAGGACCCGGCTGATGTGTTGATTGTGCAGCACTTGAAGCAGTACATTCCAGAGAAGTTGGGGGAGAAGTTGCAGTGGGCGAATAAGTTGATTGGAGCGTCCGAGACATCCGAGCGGAGCGAGGATGCCAAGGGTATTGTCAGCAGTGGGGCCCAACCGGCTGTTTAGACAACTGGTGGAAACACTTGTGTGGAGCAAGGATGCCAGTGAAGGGCTTACTGAAAATTTGAGTATGACAGAATTACGTGTACATAGAATATATTTTCGTCATAAAATGTCACACACTACCCTTGTAGAATTCCGTGGGATATACGTCTGGTATGCTTTCAAGCCACGTTACCGGAAAAATATTGTGAACCGTAATGATAATAGAAGATGGCTCTGGAGTGCTAGTCTAAAGCCAAGCCTAGTATTAAATCTCCAATACATTACGAAGGCCCCGTAGTCTTCTCACCAGAAGTTATATTCAGACCGTAAATCATTCAAACCTCCAACAATGTTTTGTGTGCAAGTTCTCAGGATTCGAGTCTGAGCTCGAATTATGATACTACACTTGACTACAAGGAGATGTCATCGGAAGTTAAACCCCGGATTTGACTGAGTTCCAACCTCCCGTCACGGGTGATTATTCATTAGAAATTCATCATATAGGGTAGTAAACTCTGCATACGACACACATTGCCAAAGGGATGCTAGTAGAGACAAGTCCCAAGTACGTCATATCAAGCCTACTACCCGCATAGTCATCAGATGCCGGCTGCCAAGCTTGGTAGGAGACTTCAGTATCACTCTATGGGTACTGCCTACATAGACTTCCAATAAGCTAAACAATACCATTAATTAGTGATAGAAAAAACATATTTCATACATTTATCGAGGCAGTACCGTTCCAACCAAATAGTTCCTTCTTCAAAAATTTCTCCTTATCTTGGCCTCCCTGGCGTTTTGATCGCACATTTCACGTGCAGCTTCCCCGTAGACGCAGGGAGCGGCGGAAAGCGAGAACCGATCCGGAGGCTTTTGGGAATCTGTTAGATAGTCGACCTAGCAATTTTTCTTCAATTACCCGTCCATTTTGAAACAGAAGCCTATTTCTCTACCACTACGCGTGTTGAGTGTTCCATCTCACATCCCTTGAATCCGCGTTACCAGGCCTTCCAGTGACTTTGCGAGGCATAGACTCATTTGCCTAGCGTCCCTCCCGAATATATGCCCGCACATCTCGGTTGGATTAACAAACGGTATTGTCAGCAATAGGCGACCCACCACCAATCTAGGAACTAGCCACCTTGAGGGCTAAGACTGGCTGGGACATGAAACTCAAACCGGTGGTTAGCCCGTATGGGGAGCAGGGAGCTGAGCAATCTGGACCGAACTACCCTCCTAAGGGACCCAGGTCGGAAAGAAATTACAACACACATTACATCAACCTCGATGTAAAGGCCAAATGTGAGCTCGAAAAGAAGGCTGGTGCTACCCGTATTCCTGAAAAATACGGCGCAATGTCTAATGGGCAAGCACCCAGAACCAGGCCGGCGGGGAAAAGAAGCAGACGGAGTGTATCGTTCAAGCAAGGTCAGCTTAAGAAGGTGAATGGTGGAGCTAGGCTTCCAGAACCCACAGGGATGGAGCGTCTTGAATCCGCCGCTGAGAGACAGACAAGGAGTGTCGAGAAACGTGGTACCACCCTTGGCCCGAGAAATGCCATTAACGAACTAAATGATCATATTTCTGGTGAGAATATCAACATAAATGGCATCAAGCCCCCCGAAAGTTTCCTCCTTTCCGCGCCATCCGTTACAAACGGTATAAACAGCCATACTATCAAGGAAGGCCCCTTGGCCGCTTTTGGTGACAGTCTCAGACTAGCCATGGGAACACGCTCCTCGTATCCCCAATCCCTATTCTTTTCTTCTTCGTTCGAACCATGCACAAATAGCGATGAAATCCTTGTGGCGCGGTCCCCGACCCTCAAGCTAGGCGATCTTCTGTGGCGACAGACAAACTACGGAACAGAACGTGAAGGATATTTAGATGCTACCAGCGCACCTCTACATAGCCTTCAATCTCCATTTATGTCTAGTTCTGGGGCCTCACTAGCCGAAGACTATTTCAACACTCCTCGGCACAATGGATTCCCTAACCCAAATACTCCCCTTCTGGAACCGGCACGAGGCATGAGTGGCATCTGGTCTGCATCGTATTTACGCCAATCGCCTATTATCACGCCGCAAAACCAGGAAGAAATGGTATGGTCGCCGTTTAGCAAACCCGGGAAAACGCCTGTCCGAAGCTCCAGTGTCACTGGATCGAGATTCTTTCCCTCCCCGGCAACTCCTACCTTCAGAGCCCGGCACTCGTTTAACAATACGGAATGGGAGCATTCCAGCTCTATTGAAAGAACAGGCGAGCGTTCCGACGGGCGGTTCACTGCCCCGATATATGAAGGTAAGTCCTACACCGAGGGGAGCTCACCCCTTTACCCAGGATATGTCCTGTTGGACACGCACTTGGAGGAAATGTCGTATCTCATGAGGGCCCTAGATACTCCAATGGAGATGCCAATCGAAAGGTCCATGAAATCCTTGAGAATCACGGAGAAAGGACTCCAGGGCGTGGATGAGCTGTGTTTTCCAGTGTCACCGCCCGATACCATCAAGCCCTCGTCTATCAAGAAACGAAAACAAACACCCTCCCCGAAACTTGTGAGGACGCCTTCGTTTTCTCTCCAACCAACACGGCTTATAGTTTCAGACCAGCCCAGTGCTGATACGTACTGTCTAAACACCAAACATACCACCGTCAAGGTATCCTTTCCGAAACATTGCAGAGTGCCCAACCAAAAGAGCCAATCAGAGGCACCAGAGCCCCGGCCCGAGGGCTTTTCGTCCACCTTTTACCGCAAGGCAGATAACGGATTTATGTTTGTCCAAGAGCTCCAGCCTCGTCTCAGCTTCAAGAAGGTTGCCAACAGCAAAAAGAAGTACGACTTCACCACGTGTGTCAGGGTCAAGCTCAGCTTTCCCACAAGAGGCTCTAAGGTGAGTGTGGCCTCCCAGGTGTTACTTGATGTGAATAAGATTGGGGGAAAGATCGCTAATATTAAGCCTCTGAAGCGCGCAGGCACGTTTGGGACCAGAAAAGCGGCGTAGAAGCAAATTTCTGGGTTAGGGGCGGACTAGGAGTGATTTACCGGTGCTAGTACCCTCTCTAGAATGAGAGATCTCAAACAGACCAGCTAATATGGTGTGGACAACAAAAGCGAGTAGAATGTCACCGAGTGGGACACTACAAAACTGCCAGTTTTCATTTCCGATGTCGTTCATCGGCCCAACCTAGATTTCTCTATCATCGCGTTATTCATGTTCGAAAGTTTGCATACAGGCGTAGCTCTTCTACGTAAAATCTGTTTCATGCAGCAGTTCCAGTCACAGTGTAGAAATGTCGGAATTCCAATTGTCGAACCGGGTCATGACAGAGAAAGGATTTTCCAGTTGGTACACAAGCTCTCTGTTACGAATATCGTCCTTAATCAGTTCAATAACGTCAATAAAATATCCTCGAAATGTTAATCGGAGGTTGTTCTCCGGCTTATAACCATCTCTCTGCTTAGTCATCTTTCCCTCCGTTAAACATTGATGCATGTGCAAGTCACCCAAAGTTCCGCCATTCTCCTAAGTCTAACAGTTGCGAACATATCTTATTAATCTGATTTAATAATTCCTAGCTAATTTACTGACAACTTATTCTACCCCAGGGCAGTAAATGTGGCATTAAAACTATTCTGTAGAGCTGCCATCTTGTAGAGCCATCACCTATTAGGAAGTCCGCTGGTACCTGTTCTAGAATCTCACGTGACATCACAGTAACAAATTTAGAGCATTAAAACGGGCATAACTACGCTACACAGGTAATCAGCTCATTCAACCATCCAACCTCACAATGGACTTAATCGGCGATATCGTGGAGCACGACATTCCTGCGCCAGTGGAGCCGTCTTTCCCGACCGGACCCATGCCTGATATGAGCAAGCGCAAGCCGTCCGCGTGGCGGAAGCGGTTCGAGCAGAAGGGTATCGCCTCAATGTCCGGCTTCGTCGCCAAAGCTAACGATGTTTACACCACCGATGCCCAGGGTTTGAAGAGCTTCAAAGATCCGGCTCAGAAGAAGATGGACTACCTGGGCTTGTCGGAAGCGGAGAAGATCAACCAGGAAAACATCGAGGTGTTATCACAGATGTCGGCAGAGGAGCGCGAGCGCGAGAAACAGGAGTTGATCGATTCGCTTGACCCGATGATCTTGCAGGCATTGATCAAGCGTGCGAATAAGAGAAGTTCCGAGGCCGAGGCGGAGATCGAGGGCTACGGGACCTGGATTGGGGGCACCAAGGAGGACGATAAGAGGGGAAAGAACTCCGACGAGGCAGCATGGGGCGGTGGGTTGAACTCAGCGGATGTGGATAAGGCGTTGGGGCTTGGTGGTGCCAGTCTTGTAAAGGATCTCAAGGAAGTGACAGGAAATGACCCGGAAAGAGCCCTGATTTCTCGAGTTTCTCAGGAGGCATTGTCTCAGGAAACCCCTAAGCCCATTCTCAAGAACGTTGAAGCTGCCTCTAGCAAAACGTCCTTGGAAGACAAAAAGGTGCGGTTCAATACCACTGCCAAGGTCCAATACGACGACGAAGACGACTTGGTAGACGCGGAAGGCTGGGAAGACGTTGAATACCTTGACGACCTTGCTCCGTCTTTCGAAGCCGCCCAGGCATTGGATAACCAGACATTAGAAGAAATGATGAACTCGGTACACTTTCCCAGACGCCAGGTTGCGGACCCCACCGAAAACAAATTGGACCTTGACGACCCTGACTTCAATCGAAAGTTGCATGAAAAGTACTTTCCTGACTTGCCAATGGACACCGAGAAGTTGAAGTGGATGGAGCCGGTGAAGGTGACAGCCAATGCCCTGGTCTACGACAACATTAACGAGTTGCGCTTCGACTTCCGAGGCGACTTGATCATCCCTGACGAAAACGCCGCGATTCCAACCCACGCGGGCCTTCACCATCACTCGGAAGACGCACAGATGGCGGGCTACACCTTCCGCGAGTTGGCCCATTTGGCCAGGTCCAAGATGAACTCTCAGCGGTGCATCGCCATACAGACGTTGGGCCGCATCTTGCACAAATTGGGCAAAAAGGCGTACAACATCGTCCCGGAAAGCGCCGGAGCCGACGCTCCGGAGCAGGAACTCTCGTGGGCAGAGTTTGAGAAGATGTGCCGTGAGGTGATTGCCGAGTTGCGCATCACCGAGACGTTAGAGGCGGCCGCGGATGAGAAACTCACCAAGAATTTGAGTGTCAGAAATTATGCCATTGAGGCCTTATGGTTGTGGAAGCAGGGGGAAAGTAACTAGATGTATATAAAGGAATATAACGAGTATGACAAGATGTTGAAGTGTGTAAAGGGGCAAACCGGAAGTTGTCATTGCTAGATCAAAGAATAGGTTTATCTGAATATGAGGAAAGAACTAGTTATAGTTGAAGTTGCGTTGCCTAGGTATCGATATGGATTTAGGAAGGGGAGCTTTAACTACAACGGAATGCTTGAAGAAACGTATTTTTTTTTTGATTCTCAGCTAGTGAATGTTACTAATTTTTTCCAAGAACAAAACTACGATCACATTGATAGGAATATACCCACAAAGCCTGTGTAAAATCTAAAAAAAAAAAAAAAAATGTAGATCAGAAGCAAAAGCAAGCGGTGGTTGCAGTCCCAAAGGCCCATCGTTCGCTGAATAACCCAGTCACCAAAACCCCAGCGAAATCAACGAAAAACTCGCCAATCCGCCAAACAGAGCTATACAGTGGCTAGGCCCAAGTCCCGGTAACAAGCTAGCAGCACAAAACGTGCTGCGGGCCAATGTTGGTGGGATTGGTGGAATAAAGTTAGATCTAGGATTAATCTTTGCATAACGACACATTGACAGGACAGAGAAGCAGTTCCAGGGCCATAAGGCAGGTCGGAGTCCGCCAACTTAAGAGTTATGCAAGAAAAAAAGGGGAGAAGGTTACCAGCCAAATACACTGGGACAAAACCTTTTGTCAAAGCGCATCACAGCGTGGTAAGGCAGTCCAATTGGGATTGAAGGAAAGTTATGTGATTAGTAACCCCATATACGATAATAATTCAATCATATCGGCGGAAACGTATAGGACTGGCAGCATGGAAGCGAATTCTCCACGCACATGCCAAAATATTTTCAGCGCTCAAGTCGCGGCTCATCGCATCGAAAGGACCCAAGGCCGGGTAAGTCTTGTAACATATGCAGGACACATAAAGCAGTGCCATAAATGCGCAATACAGATACGGTTCGAATCTCTCCATAACTATCCGTTACAAGTGACAATGGGTGTGATTCTTCCAGGAAGTGAAAGCCCTGCAGACAGAACCAGTAAAGGAAAGACAAGATTCTATGTGAGACCTAGCTTCGGGCTCACGCTATTCGGGCCGTTTGTGCCTGCGTCAGACTGCCTACCGGGGCTCTACGGCCTCACAGCATTCCAGCTTGTATCGGCATTAGGAATGTTTTACGCGGGCCGCCGAATCCGGTTCCGCCAGGGTTTCCGGTTCAAGCTGCTCAAATACGCCACCTACGCCACCGGGACGTACCTTGTGTTCCAGTCGGGGCTCGAGATTGCGCGCTTGAGCTTGCCGCACGATCCGTACTTTGACGATGCCAGGAGAGCCCGGTTGGAGGCTGAGGCCAGAGGCGAACGTCCGTCCTGGTGGTTTGGTCCACTTAACTGGAAACCCATTCCATACAAGCAGTACTCCGCGGAAATGGACCGCTGGATCACAAACGCCGAGACAAGTAATGGAATCGGCGAGCACTTAGAGGCAGTGCAGGCCAGTCGCAACCACACGTTTACAAAAATGTACGCAGGAATCAGAGAGTTGAATAAGAAAAAGGCAGCGGAGTTGTTGGCCACGGATGAGTACCGCAACGTGACCGAAGAGACCAAATCTACTCGTGTCAAGAACTTGAACCTCAATAACACCTATGTCCGAGCGAATATCGAGCTTGGCAAGGTGGAAATAAACAACGAGGCGGATTTTTTACTCGTGTGGGGCCAGTTGGAGCCCTGGGAGAACTTTGCGCTTGAAACCGACATATCGCTTCGCTTCATCCCGCAGAGAACGATACACCGTCCGGAGGATATCGTGTTTCTAGATCCGGCGCCACCAGTGGATGAGGAGTCTGAGTTTGTTGATTCTCAGTACCCGGAGGATTCTGAGTAGTTTCAACAGTTGGGAGAAAAAAAGTGCATGACATGCTCTGAGCATATATTTATTATCAGTTTTAGCACCAGTATTGAACTGGGACCCTTATAGAATGTGTGACCGTAGTTGTAAGGAAATCGATCCACGACGCACAAGTACGAATGTGTGTCATACCCGAATATAAATTGGTAAATACAATTAACTATGAAATTACTTAAGGTGATGCTATAGCCAGCGTTACAGTCGAGGTATACCCGCAGATGCAGCCTGGTCATCCTCGGACAGCGTGAAGACCGAGGGCCTTGAATCGAACATAAATGCAAAGCTTTATCTTACAATAAGAGTCAATAGCCAAATCACTTTTATTTGTAATCAGTTAACCAAGCTAACTTTGAATATTCAGCTGTATTACAATTTTCATCTTGGCCACAAGCCATCGCTCCTCAAAATATCCTGCACTATTTGGGCGTGAAATAACGACTCACCATCACCCCCCAAACTCTCAATTCTTCCAACCATGAAGCTCCATCTCCTCTTCCTCAGCTGGCTAGGGCTCGTTTGTGGAATCCTCCAGGACGAGCTTCAACAGTCCTGGGCGCACCAGCACTACGGACAGCTTGTCCAGGTACAACGGATGACGAACGAATCCGCCGCAGCGCTCACAGCCAACAACGAACTCGTGATGCTCGACTTGGCCGCCACCGCCAGTTCGAGACCCACGTGGATCCACCAATTGCCTGTCGATGGAGAAACTAACTTGTTTGTGCGCGGGAACGATATCGTGGTAGTGCTCAACCGCGCCGCGCGGGCCACAGTCCAGGTGTATGATCGCGCGGGCTTCTTAGTGCGCGAAGCGAGTTACGGAGAAAAGATTATTGCAGCCAACGAGGTTGCGGTTTTGCTTTCCGGCGGTGACGTGCACTTGCTTGCAGCGAGCAGGGTTCTTGCGCGGGCAAACATCGGTAGGGTCACAGCCGCCCAGATGACTACCGATCGCAAGCGCCTCCTCATCTTCTATCCCTCTGAGGGCGAAACCGTTGTTGCTGCTATCGACTCTGCTGTTACCCATGTCACTTTGCCATTGGACTATACCTCCATTGTCTCCGTCCAGGGAACACTCGTGCAAACCACGGACTCTGTGATGCGTGTCGACTTGACCCACAGAACGGTCACTCCCGTTTCCACCAACCAGACTGCTTTTCTCGGACAAACCATTTTTCTCGGCCAGCTTGTGGGGAGCTATTCTGGCTCTACGTTGCAAATCCACACCAAGGCATCCATCGAGGTTCCCGAGTCCATCGCTTTTGTCAACTACGTTGCCCAGGAAAAGACCATTGCCATCTACGCGCCAAACAGTTTGACGGTTGTGGATATTGATGACGAGTTTTCCACCCGAGAAATCCCGCTTGCTCTCGCTTCACCGACCCGGATCTACTCCTACACCACCGAAATCGACGGCAAACACATTGTCTCTTCGTTAGTACAATCCGAACTGGCATTGACTTACTACATCGACAATTTCGCAGTCTGGACGGTGGATACCGCTTTGAGCAACGTTGTAGGGCATGCCATCGTGGTCAAAAAGCAAAAAACAGCCCTTTCCACCGACGAGGTGATGCGCGAAGAGACGGCAAATATTTTTGTCGCCTACTTCATGCGCTTGACCAAGAACTTGGTCACGGGACAGCGTACAAACACGACGGTGGACGACACCTACTTTGGTTTCAACCGTAAGTTAGCGTTGCTCACGCGTGTAGGGAAGGTTTTTGCCTACAACACCGAGCTGGGTGAGCTCCTCTGGACCCACCAGGTGCAATTGGCCCTGGATGAACAGGTTGTACAGATTACGGATTACCAGAACGATTTCTACATTCTCACAACTGCAAAGTACCTCCAGTTAAGCTGCTGTGGCGAGGTCTTGGCTCAAGTGGGCGCTGCCGCCTCCGGGTTTGTGGAAACCTCCGCCGGGTTGTACTTAGAGAACGGTGCTGAGATGACAAAGGTTCACGACGACACCGACGCCTCCAGCTATGTCGTCCGCCACTCGCGGGATAAATTATCTGGTTACCACGTTTCTGGGTCTGTTTCCGCTGCCACATGGGAATTCGCTGTCAAGGACACGGAGCAGATTGTGGCTGTTTCGTCCAGACCGGCACTTGACACCACTGCCTCGATCGGGGTGGTGCTCGGTGACCGCTCTGTGCTCTACAAGTACCTTCGTCCTATTGTGGCCGCAGCGGTGGCGTCTGATTCGGGCGTGAAGCTCTACATCCTTGACCCCGTGACTGGTGCGGTGCTCCACACTGCAGCCCACGAGGAGGTTATCGACGTGTCGTCTGTGAGGCTCACGGTGGGCGAGTACTGGGTGGTATACACGTACTACGCACTCGAGCCGACGTTGGAGCAGAAGGTTGTGGTGGTTGACTTGTTTGAGTCGTTGACCCCGAATACGAAAAACCACGCCGCGGGTGCCGTATCCGCACTTGACATTACCGAGGCTGATCTTCCAGAAGTCTCGGCCAAGTCATTTATTCTCTACGACCGTATCGTCAGCGTGGAGCAGACGGTTACAAAGCACGGTATTACCACGCGTAACGTGCTCTTTGGCTTGCAAAATGGCCAGATTCTTGCGGTGCCAAAGTACGTACTCAGCAGCAGACGCGTGGCGAACCGTCTGCTCACTGACTACGAGAAACAGGAGTTTATGAACTTCCCGTACGACCCCGTGGTGCCGTCCAAGGACTGGTCTATTGTATCGCACGGTGTGGGATTGGGCCCGCTTGACGGCATTGTCAGCTATCCGACCGAGTTGGAGTCTACCAGTATTGTGTGTTCGTATGGTGCGCGCCACGTGTTCTGCTCGCGTACCACGCCGTCAGGAAAGTTCGACGTCTTGTCGAGGGACTTTGACAAGCACAAGTTGGTGTTGACGATTGTTGCGTTGGTTGTGGCAGTGTTGTTCACCAGGCCAATGGTGCAGAGAAAGGTATTGAAGGACTGCTGGAACGAGAAGCGATAGGTGAATGAGTGGTCAAAGAACGATACTACTTGCCGTTATAATCTTAGATACTCATCAAAAGTTGCGATTTTTAACAAGGTTATGTAACGGGTCTGCGTCTCTCCAATCTATACCAGGAAAGTTATATCTAAAACCATGGATCAACTCAGTCTAGTGTAATATTTTGAGTACTCTTGGACATGATAGATCACGCAGGTTGCAATGCAGGTTTGGAGCTGTAGCACGTGCATGACAGATAGCAATGAAGCCAGTGATGCACGCCACCGGTATGGGATGCGTTATCGATCCCCCTGTTTAAACTCCTTTCGTTCCATCTCTTCATTAACCGATAATATCAATATACCCAATCACATTTCTATTATTATGCACGCTAGAGACTGGTTTCTTGCCGTTATTGCCTTCTTCTTACCCCCAGTGGCTGTCTTTGTCAAGCGCGGCTTCTTCAGCGCCGACTGTATGTATCTCCTCTGTCCAGCCCGGTGCAGCACTAACGCCTTCTAGTTTTGATCAACATTGTCCTTTTGCTTCTTGGGTTTGTTCCCGGATTGATCCACGCGTGGTACATTATCGCCCAGTATCCATACACCGAGGGTGACCGAGTAATGCTTCACTCTGATAACGAGGGATACGGGGCTGTCTAGCCCTAGCTGCTATGCGTCAGCCATAACAGACTTTTTTTTTATATATATCTACCAAACAGATCTTTCATAAATTTTCTGTAGATGGCTTGGATCACTATCTTGGCCGGATATAACAATAGCTCTGAAAAGCATCCCTTCGGATTTAGCTGGTAGAGCGGGGTGTTGAAGCTTCTGCTTAGTGCCATCGGTGGTCACCCATTTAGAGGTCTAAAGGTTTCCCGTAGAAAGCTGATATCCCGAAAGAGTAAATTTGGGGCAATAGGCTCTAATGCTCAAGGTACCTGGTGTAACCCTCACATTACAACTAGGCCGAAAAGGTTACGGGATACGTGCCATTCCTTCCAGTCACTTGAGATACAGGTGTAAAGACATCAGATTATGCTCATTTGGCGATGTCTGTGGATGTCAAATAAAATATCTATTGTGGTCTGGCCAAAACGCGAGCGGGAACCAAAACTCCATTTGCGATATGATCACGAAGGAAGGTTGGAGCTCTCTGGGAATATGGTTTCCTTTACTTTAAAGTCATTAATGGAACTCCAGCGAGTGTATAAGTCTCAATTTGCACGCCATAAAAGGGCAAATTAACCGTTATAATCACCAATTCAATCCCAAAATATCATGGATCAGCCCAGCACATTTTTGTCAAAGCCCAGATCGTACCCCAGGTTCATATCTTATCGCCGAAAGTCGTGTGCGACAGTCCTTATCGCTGTCGGCTGCCCGTTAGAGGATAGCGAATTTTAAAGTTTTGGCGTCTGTGACATTGACATACGGCCGAAACACAATGAACCCTTAGAGACATTCCCCTAAACGGTATCCATAAGATGGCATATCCGATGGATGTCGTCCACTGGTCCAGCACTACGGTTGCCGCAGCCTGCCTTCCTGAACAAGATGTAGAGCCGCCGAGCAAGCGCCGAAAGCGCGAGATATTGCAAACATCCACTCCGGTATCAGCACCAGAGACGCCTGTTCACACTTCTGATGACAACATAGGTGAGTTTGGTCACTTTATTGCTGATTTCCCCAACGAGATCATACATCATATACTCCGATATCTCTCACAGACCGACTTGATCAACTTGTCATCTTCCACAAAAACGTTCAGAGGGCGATTTCTCAGCCTTGTCTTTGCCAAAATCAAAGTACATTGGCACGACTTGGATGCAGCCTCTTCCTCAGAGCGCAACCTTTCACTGTTCCCACATACAGCATACGCTCGCAAGATCCGGTTTCTCGACTCCAGTCCGGGACCTGAGTGGAACCTCAACCTTGGCACACATTTGTTCCAGCTTGCTCCGTCCGCCAACGAACTAGAGTTTAGGTTACTCAACTCCTCTTCGTGGCTAAAGTATAAAGACGTTGATATCCCCATTACCATGATCACCTTGGCAAATATCAACCAGTCGCCGGCTTTGCACAAACACTTGTTTGACCTCAATCATTTGCGAAACTTTACCCAGTTGACCGACGTAACGCTCCGGGGCTTTAACGTGAGGTGGAGAGATCTGGATGACAACGTAACCCCGCGGGTCAAAACCCTCAAACTTGTGGATTGCACGTGGGAGTATCCGTTCACGATGACGCAGTTTGACCCGCACCACTCGCTTCAGAAACTCACAGTGTCTTATACCCATAACAACTCATTCGTACTTTCGGAGCGATTTCAGGACTTTCTCAAATTTCTGGCATTTATACTGGAGCTGGGGAAGACGGAACAGCTCTTTCCAAGCCTCCAAAGCTTGGAGATCTCTTTCTCCAACTTTGACAAGCCACCCAGCTTGAACTCTCTGGTTTTCAACGATCTAACCCACTACCTCCAGGTGTTTGATTCCTCTACTGGCAAAGTTTTTCGGCTCCCGGACAGTGCTCATCCGCCTGTTCTCATTGAATCCTTCAAACTACCCAGCCTCCGTGAGTTACGGTTGCTTGGCTGGCAGGTGAACAATTTCCAGGACTTTTACCATCACCATTTGTTGCCGATGCTTCAACCGAAACAGTGCGGATGGGATCCAGTGGCTGAGCGGATGCAAGCGCTCATGTTGCTGCTCGCTGGTCTGGACTCTGCGGGACGCAAACCGTTGTATGACTACAAACCCGTGAAATTGCCTCTGTTGCGAAGGTTGGATCTAACGGTTGCCAATAAAGTTCAGATAGCAGGGTACAAGCGGATAGATGCAGATGATGGCCAGTTTGTCTTGACAGTGAGACGGGCCGATTAATTTCGATAAAAATTAATGGCGTTAAGGATTTGGAATTAGTGCTAGTAAAAGTGCCTTTTAGCACTTACAGCACGTGGCTGTAGATACCGACTTCAGTGGGGATTTTGTCGTTGATTTGTAAGAAACAATACTTTACGTCAAGAAGAACTTACATCGTAGTTAAGCTATGTTCTCCCGTGGCACGGTGTCAATTCTTCGATCAACTACGGAAATTGAATGATGCAACATACAGAATCGCGAGTTTTTTTCAATCTATTCTGTTTGGGGAGTCAGAAGTTCAGAAATTGCGACATTTCGGTGATTCAGTCTATTTAGGCGAACCTGTGAGAGTGACACAAAATCATCAACTCATAAAAACGCTTTTATTTTGGCTTCTTTGACCGACACATGACGCGTGCAGGGCCCGGATAATCCTATCTATCACGTGATAAAACCCTACATGTGAAATCTTTCTACGTCATTGTTCGTTATCGCCAGGTAATCCTGTAACCAAGAGAACAATCCAAACAGTCTTGGCATCAGCTTTATCTCTAGATTAAAACACCCTTCTGCGCAGAACATAACTCATACGTTTACAGACTATCCCTCCGACAATACCAGTAATATTTACGGCCCTCGCATTTCCGTTACGGTCTCCAACAGATCACAATGCACAAAAGTCAACGATCAGTGGATGAGCTTTTGCCCCTCCCCGATGCCCTGACACCAAAGAAAAATAGCACCCACAGAAGACCTCTCAACAAGAGAGTTCAGTCGACGCTGCTCCTTTCCGTGTCGGGTCTCAGCCCCTCCGTGTTCCTCCATAGGCTCGAAGGGTCGGATACGGAGCGAGATTCAGACCATGACGGGCTTCTGCCATTGCGAAAAGCCGGAAAGCATGCCAACTCCAAATTTACCAGCATTGACATCCGGTCGCCGATGCTCCCGCACCACTCAGATGACTACTTTGCCATAGAACCTTCACAGTTACTCAACCGGCCCTTTCACCTTGAGCACCCTCCTCAGGCCACCCACACGCCGCCAGTAGCGTCAGTTACCGAACTGGATGCACCGCGAACCCCGCTCCTTCACCCATCCGGTTCACGCAACAGTTTCTACCTGGCGATACAACCTGTGAAGAAGAGGTCGCGCTTGGGCTTCAAACGCCTTTATTATAACGACTTCACCACCATCGACTGGGTCAACTCGTTTATCCTGAAGAACCGTGACGAATGGGAGTTACGCAAGCGTGGGGAAAACTCCCTCCGCGGAAAGGTATTCATGCTCTTCAACAAGTTCCAGAGCTACATTCTCATCACCCTCTTTTCGTTCTGTTTCGCCCTCCTCGCGTTCTTGATCGACAAGTTCGAGAGTTTTCTTGTAGGGTTCAAGAACGGGTATTGTGTGGGGAACTGGACCTACTCCTACGAAACTTGTTGCGCCCCCAGCCACTCTCCCCTCCCACCGAATGGCTTCAGGGCCCAGAACCCGCATTTCAGCGAACAGTGCAGCCAATGGCGCTCCTGGTCGGAAGTGGTGGACTTTGGCATCTTCATCAACATCGACTGGAGTGTGTACATTTTTCTCAGCATCACCCTCGCGCTCTTTTCTGTTCTTGTCAGTTTAACCACCAAGACCGCCACCTCTCCCTCGCGTCGGAACTCCATTGTCGCCCCCACATACCTTTATACTGCCGTGGGCTCGGGTGTCCCTGAGGTGAAAACCATCCTCCTGGGGTTTGTGATCCGAAAGTTCTTGGGAACTTACACACTTATCGCCAAGACCGTGGCATTGGTGTTTGCGATTGCACTGGGCATGTCCCTCGGAAAAGAAGGTCCGTATGTGCACTTGGCGACTTGCGTGGGGAACATCCTCTGCCGCTTTTTTCCAGCCATCCACAATAACGAATACCGGAAGAAGCTGATTCTCACCGCATCTTGCTCGGCCGGCGTCGCCCTTGCCTTTGGATCACCCCTAGGAGGGGTGCTCTTTACTCTCGAGGAGATCGACAACTACCTCCCGGCAAAGCAGCTTTTCAAGATCTTCTTCTGTGCGGTGCTCTCGACAATTTTCCTCAAGTTTCTCAATCCCTACGGCACGGGAAAGGCGGTCTTGTTCGCCGTCAAATACGCCTCAGAGTGGAAACTGGCTGAACTTGTGTGCTTTGTGGTTATCGGGGCCTGCGGGGGTATTTTTGGTGCCGCCTTCGTGAAGTTTGTCCGGTGGTGGCCAACCAAGTTCCGCACCCTCAGGTTTATTGAAAACCGTCCCGTCAGAGAGGTTATGCTAGTGGCTCTTCTTACCTCTCTTGTCACGTTTGGGAACCCGTACACGGAGAAGGCAATCCCCGAACTCATGCTTGATCTTGCCACCTCCTGCACCAAGGAGAACTGGAACCAGTCGTTGTGCCCCACCAACATGTATGATCTCGTTTCGGAGTTGAGACGGCTTTCGCTCGCCTTTGTGTTCAAACTTGTGTTGACGGGCATCACCTTTGGCTTGAAAGTGCCTTCCGGTGTCTACGTCCCTAGCATGGTCATAGGAGCGTTGTTTGGTCGCGTGTTTGCGCTTATGTTGGAGTACTTGAACTACAACCACCCCTCCCTGATGGTGTTGTTTTGCGAAGCCAGCGGAGAAGACACGGGATTGATTACATGCGTTGACTCGGGGATCTACTCGTTAATTGCTGCCGGTGCCTTTATGGCCGGTGTTACTCGCATGAACATCACTCTCGTGATCATCCTCTTCGAGTTGACCTCCTCCTACACGTACGTGATCCCTATTTCCATCGCTATTGCTGTTTCCAATTGGGTGGCAACGGCGTTGGAGCCCCTTTCGTTGTACGAATCCTTGCTTGTGAAAAACAACTATCCCTTTATCCACCACGAGGGGCCGTTCGACCCTCTGGTGACGGTGGGGGATATTTTGATGGATGAGGACACGGAGACGGTCAGTATCCATACCAAGAAAGGAGCAGACGAACTGTCAGGTGCTTCTATCAAGACGGGATCTGAGCAGACTCCGTTAGTTGCTGGTTCGCAGGCTCACTATCATTCATCGGGAACCGTTGAACGACTGAAAGGTACAGACACTGTGGTCCCCCAGAGACCAGGCCTCCACGCCACCCCTTCTGCGTGGCTGCGACACTTGGTCCAGAGTAATCTTCCGCAGTTCAACAGCTACTACCATGATATGGTTATCAATATCACAGAAGCGGCGTCTATCTCTTCGACTGAGTTGCTTTACAAGTTTTCGATCCTCCAGCGGCGCGGGTTGATTGATGGGTGTATCCCTATCATCAAGAGCGGCAAGTGCATTGGACTTATTCCCGGCCCGGAGCTAGAAATGCAGTTGGACAGATTGCGTGAGTTCTGCCTTGAGTATGGCATCGTGGGCGAAATTTACTGCTCCTTAACGAGGCACGGACAGCCAAAGAAGGGTCCCATTTTTGACTTGACGGAGGACCTGAGACTGGTGGAGTTTGGTGACCAATCCCTGACGCATTCGTGGTTGTACAACGACGCCGTCTTGTATCAGTTGCAGGAGACCTTGAACCATCTTGTTAGTGAGGAGGAAAAGCACGTTATTCTTCTTATTTTCAGCCAGTTGGTGGACTTGAGTCGAATCGTTGACTATAATCCGATTTTCATCAACTCAGACGCGGATTTGTCGTTAGTGGAGTTGATGTTTGGGCAGTTGGGAACCCGTAGTCTTATTTTGCTTAAGGACGGAGACTTCTTTGGCGTTTTGCACAAGAAGATTTTTATTGACTATTGCAGACGGAAGCTACGTCATTGAGAGACCATTATCGTTTCTGTAACTCACATACACACCGTGGTTGAGTCATTGTTTGTCCTGCTAGTACCAATTGGTGTAAGCGTTTTGGAGCAGAACGGTCCGTTTCCAATCACACTGAGCCTGCTGTAAATGTTGGTCCTAAGATACAAAATCACACAAAATTCTGTTGAATAGATCTTGGATTTATAAAGGCAAATTACCTCGGGTACGTGACGAAAATAATTGATACCCTAAAGAACGTTCAAGACAATAGATGTATTGTCATAACGCCGAAGACACACTCATAAGTGCGAGTAACTTTGTGCAACAATAAAAATTGAGGTAAAACGTATTAAAGAGCTTCAAGTTCAACGGTAAATTGGACTGTAAACTTTCACCCGAATCGGCATCCCCCCATTTGTTGATTCCGTCCACAAGTGGCTTAGTAGCTGCGTTAATTAGGATTTGGTTAAACTTGTTTAAAACTGACTCAGGCGGTGGAATATGTACGGCATGACGGATAGGAGTAGAGTCTGAGATAGGATGTTCCCCAAGGGTAGGTTTGTAGTGGACATAAGAATCGTACAAATAAGTGGTAATTTGGAAAGAAACGCATGTTTCGTGTGTCCGCAGACTGAAAGGAGATTCACAAAGAAACGTCTCCGTGGCTCCATCACACCCTTGCGTAAGGAAGTTCAGAATCGACCCTTGCTTGTAGCAGAGCATGTTCAAGATCAACTCCACGAGTTCCACGTTCACCAGGATATGATTAAAAAAGAATCTGGCCAAACAGAATTTTGTTATTACCCCAAAGAGTGCATCCTCATCGAACACAAGAATCCCAGCAGAAAATCCGTCCCTCTTTCCTTTAAGCCGTTCTATCCTCTTTCTGGATACTTTCAAATGGTTCGCTACCTGGGAATGAGGAATGTTTTCTGATTGAGTGAGTCTGATGACATTTCTGGTGACAAAACTGCTACAACCACGAGGCAGAGAAGGAATGATGTTGTCGTGACAGAAAACTGATTGAACAACCTCTTCACTGCAGTATCTAACGATTGTGTTCAACATTTTCAAGACAGCCGTGCTGGTGACAACGTTACCACGGGCCATCGATTCCGTTATCACCGCTTGAAACTCCTTGCTGTTGAGCTGCGCCATGGCTATCCTCTCTCCTCCTGGAATCTCACAGAGATATGTTATAGAGGAGCAGGCTAAAGCTAGAATGGGTTCCTGATAGTCAAAGGCTGCATGAAAGTACCCAACTATGGCCTCGGTGTACTCGTGTCGCATGCAATCTAAAATAGTTCTGCAAACCAAGCTAGACTCATGCACAGAGCTCTGAAGCTCCACCACGAAGTTTAGGTTCTCTAGATGACGTGCCAAATTGGGGTTTGAAGCTGGTACAAATGTATGCAAATTATGGTTTAATGCTGGGAAACAATAATCACTGTAACAGACTTGGTTGAAACCGGATACGAGACATGTTAGAATAACCTCCGGGAAGTCACATTTCTGAAACCAAGCTTGTAACATTGCACTACTCCCAGTAACCTGGCACAAGCTGACTATTCCAGATTGAGCTGTCGCATAAAACCCATCTATAAATAGAAACTCCTTTAGTAACTCATAAATCGGCAAATACTGGGGGCCTCCGGATAGAGGTATAGTGCCTGGAATACGAGTTTTATGCAAATAAAACATGATATCAGGGTCGGATTGGAATGGAAACCAGCTCTCAAGGAAAACTGGAGTTAACGCATACATTAGGCATAGCTTTTCGACAAGCGCTAGAAGTTTTGGAACTTGGGCCGTCCGTAAATGGTGGTAATTCATCAAGCCCATACAGAAGACCCCGAAGATCTTACTTAAATAATCAGCATTGATGAACACCCAATCAGAATGGGCTTCATCGGAACACTCTTCAATCAAATGACCGTAGATTCCAAGGTAGAGATCAAAGAGCTCGGTGGGTAAACGGTGGATTTGGAAGTGGCCTAGTAATGAGAAGAGGTCGTAGTGCACTAGCAGATAAACACGAGGAAGGTCCTTGGTTTTCTTCTCCACGTGCAATAGCATATGAAAGACCTTCTGCAAATTATATGTAATGCTCTCAAACCCCGAATGCTGCGATATTTACCATTAGTACTCTACAGCGCGTATTTGGCTGTACCCCCTCCGCCGTCTCAGAATGCTCGTATAGAAATCATCTCGTTAAGCGAACTTCGGAGGATAGTGAAACATACGTAAACAAAGGCGCTGACGATCGCCTGAGAGGTTTCCTGAAGGAGATATACCAAAGGTGACTCTGCCTTTGGGGGCCGCTCCCTCCCAATCCCCGTTGGCTTCTTCGAGGGTTTCCAGAGTCTCTTTAACGAATGCAGATCAGTGATGAGGGTCATCTCAGATAGCTGCGTGGACACAATAAGCTGGACTCAAAGCAGGCATCTAAGATCTGCTACATAAGCCACGCCCCAGGAAGCTGTATCCGTAAAATTGAGCCTATCTCTGTCAAAGTGCCTCCCCGTCTGCACTGCACACGAAGGGCGCTACAGAAATCTGATGCATATGGGGCACTCTATTGGTGCATAGGCGTAGAGCACAAACACAAACGGGCCAAAAGAGCGCGACACACCGTCCTATGACGTTTCAGATTCTCAATAACCTCTCGTACTAACTGGTTACATAATTTAGATATGGACAGTCTAAAACCTAAAATGGATAGCCTGGCTCAGCGGGGTGGACCAGGCGTCCTGACAAGCCCCTGGCCAGACCCGGATACTAAAACGCGAAACCTGAAACGGGACAACTGCATAAGCAGTTTCGGGCGTAAAAACACCATCAACCCCCATTCCAGAGCATGCGTGTGCTTTATGGTTTCCTGGCAAAATCCAGACTGTAAAGTGGAACGTGATCCAAACGAGTGGTTTCCAGATCCTAAAACCTGGGTTCACGTTCGTTTCGACCGTGGTAGCACCTGGTGCATTGTTGGAACTCGTCAGAGACAGAGTCACGCTGTATATCGCCGTTGGTGTCCTATTCAATCGTTACAATGGGGACACAATCGGATAGTTCTCATTCTTGGCATATGAAACCCTATATATAGAAGCATCTGGTTCGCTCCACCCATCTTGACAGGGAGACTAAAAGAAAAAAAGACACTGTGCTGTTTCCCACGATGCATTTAATGGCCGAATCCTTTTGTTCAGACACACATGTCTTCCCATTGGACCATTACTATAACCAGGATAAATTGCAGAAACACCAGGAATCTCACCTCACATATTCACTCGGAACTATCTGGAAAAGCCCGTCCACCACCATCCCATCCCACATAATGAGCTCAAGTGGAGATACGTCTCACAGAAAGACTGTCCCACAAGCGGCCCAGGGATCTGGCACCTTTCCCCCACCACTAAACATTCAGGACACCCCGAAAGACGAAGAAGATCCACCGGAAAGTGCTTACCCGAAGCAACAAACTTTATTCCGCTTGAAGGAACGAGATCAGAGCACGGCCCAACAACCGCTGTACGGCTGTCGGGTGCGGCCGAAAGACGTGTGCTCCACCTTGGTCAAGTGGATCCTCAGGGATAAGCTACAGTTCGACGTGGTCATGATTGGCACCCTAGCCGAAAATCAGTTTATTTATCCATTGCTTGCACAGCTTCCGATCCACAAGCTCTGCTCCAAAGCCGGCTCCCTCTTCATCTGGGCTTCGGCCCAAAAGATTCAGGAACTTTCAAGCATTCTCAACAGCGCCTCCTGGAGTAAGCAATTTAGACGGTCTGAGGAGTTGGTCTTTATGGCTATCGGACAGGATTCGCCGCTCTATCCGGGGCCGGTTCCAGATTCCACCGCGGAGCCGGTCCAATGGCATTGTTGGATGTGTGTGACACAGTCTGCTAAAATGTCTCTGGATTACCGGCTGGTCAACTGCCACATTGATAGTACTCTGGCGGATTCGGCAACCTTCATGCTGTCGTACAACACAGCAACCAGCACCGTCTCCTCGTCCTTTGAACCCAAATCATGCATCCCTAGCCAGCTATACAAGGTAGCTGAAAGCTTTTCCACCAAGGAACGAAGACTCCACATTATCCCCTCGCATATCGGAGGCCAAACACCGATCAAACTAAGACCAGGATGGGTCATTTTGGCGCCTGACGTCACCCAGGACAATTTCCGAGCATCGACGTACATGGAGAGTACGCGGGGCTTGTAGGGATAACTCCTATGTAATATTAGAAAGCTAGTATTAGCCACCCGAATATATTTATCAGAACAGAGTTGTAGGCTACTGGTGGACAAACAGCTGCATGAAGTAGTTGATCGGGTCTGCAGAGCGATTTGCTCTCTGGATAATTTGGGTAGCGCTCCCCGCTTCTGACAGGGGCTCGACGCGCAAAATGGTGAAGTTGGTCTTGGACATGTGCAACGTAAGGGGTGCCCTATCTCTTATTTTCATGACGAGCTTGAAGCTATGCTCGTCCAGAGGCAAGATATCTAGATCCTCGATGGTTGGATTGGAGAAGGAGCACCAGATGTTGATCAATTCGTTGAGCCATTTGTCCGCCTTGGACCGCGCATCACCGAGCAGGCCGGTTGCGTCGGACTTCGCCCTGGCTGCTTCCGCAAGAAGCCTCTCCTCCTCGATGGTACGAACCAACCCTCTGTTCTGGTCGGTGAGCTCCTTAAGCGTGGATTTGCTACTCGCAAGAGCCGATTCGGCCTCGTGGGCCTCACTTTGCGCAGCACCAACCGTCACATCAAGTTGGGTAATGCCCTGCCTCTTCAACTGGATCTGTGATTTAATATCAGGAATGGTGGACGCCGAATGGCTCTCACCCGGTTCCCCTGTCTGCTTCAACAAATCGTTGATCTGCAGCAAGGTGTTGTCTTCATTGTTCCAGTCCTCATTCTCAAGCTGGTCGATTTCCGCCTGCATCGCTGCAATGGCTTGCATCCCATTGGAGATTTCGGCGATGTTTGAGTCCAACTGCCGGTTCTCGATCAAAACCTCCGCCGAAAGAGCCTCGAGCTGCTTCGACCGCTGCTCTACGCTTGCCTTCTTGGTTCTGAGGCCCTGCTTCAACGCGCTTGTTTGTTGGTCAATTTCCGCGAGGTCGCTATTGTCGATGTACCGCGGTGGGTTGTCAAGAATAATCCGCAAGAATTTTTCCTTGGTTTCTTGCTCGAGGTACTGGAACTTGAGCTGTTTATACAACTCCTTCTTCTGCTTGATGTCATCGTCGATGGCTTTGGGGTTCACGAACTCTCCCTCAATGGTCTGGGAGCCCGTCTCGTGGAAGTTGTTGATGTTGTTGATGCCCCTCTCGAAGTCTTCTTTGGCCAGACTGAGGCTTAACCCAGCCTGTTTATCGCGAATTTCTTGTAAGCTTTTTTCCGACATGCTGTTGTATGGTATGGGAAGTGTCACCACAGCGTTCTGCAAAACGTAAACAAAAAAAAATAGCCGCCAGGCACATGCCAAACCTCCTGCATACTGTCCCATTGCATCTTCAAATATCTTGCACTAGAAACCTCATTACGTTAAACCATTTATCTCTCACACATATACCATGAACCGGTTTATGAGACCTGTGACCAGGTTTTCCCGTTTGCTATGTTTTTCCAGAGGCTACTCCGTGGACAAGCAGTTTGACTTGTTTGGGGACATCTCGATAATCAAGCAAGACGTGCCCGTTGCAGCCAATTTCCTCAGGCACATCACCAACACCGGATCCTGGTGGGCAGATCTTGTCAAGACCAAAACCACAGCTGCCGTTGAATACGATCTGAAGCACTGCATCATCAGGGGTGACGACTCAACCAGTGTCGCTGCGGCCAAGTCCATGCTCGATGGACGGCTCCACAACCTCCAGGAGCTCATGGTTATTTTCCCGCTTCCTCCAAAGTTTGCAAGTTTTTTTGATAACTTGGAAAGTTTGCAGAAGTCTACCAATACCACGGTGATCTTGGTTCCGGGAAGAGAAAATGCCCCTGAGTTGATCATTCTAGGAGACAGCAGGGGAGAGGTGCAGCTAGCGCTCAAGCATGTTCAGACACGACTTATGAATTTAAAGAGTTACTCGAAGGAAATCATGGTGCTGCACTTGATTATCGATTCGTTGCGACGCGATAACCAGTTGGAAGCCCTACAGAAAACAACTCGGACCACCATCCAGGTACAGCCGCAAATCGATGCTGATTACCGCAAGACCGTAAGCATCGTCTCTGCATATGAGAACGGCACAAGGGAGGTGGAACGCTTCTTTAACGAAAAAGCCGAGTCGATGAGCTGTGTAGCACACCGACTTATGGTGGACTACACCACGATTGACCTCCTCACCCAGCCCATCAGCGCGAGCTCAAAGTACTCCACGCTCAAGAAGATCGAGGCCATAACCAGCACCACCATAACCGTCGGAACGGTCATCGATACAGAGAACAAGTGCGAGGTGCTTATATCCGGGTCGTGCAAGGAAGACGCGGAAGAAGCCTTGAGCATTCTCGGGGCAACCATCACCAGTTTCTCGCAAAATACAGCCACCTTGAGCGTCCCAAAGGACATTGCGTATCAACTTGTGGGGCGTAACGGGCTCTCTGTGTTTGACTTGGCCAGCTTCCGTGGTGTCACCTTCAGCTCCACGCCTGAGCGCAGCGGAGACTTGGTGAAGATGGCCATCCAAGCCGAGGACAGGTTCCAGTTGGAGGAAGTGCGAGACAAGATTGAGAGCTTTTTGGCGAGATTCAAGCACGTGGCGCTTCCAGGCGTGAGTTCGGCGTACATGAAGGTGTTGATGGGGTTGAAGAATAGCTCCAGCTTCCAGGAGATCCAAAAGACGACCAGCTCACGTATCAACACCACGCGCGATCCTGTGAGTGGCGAGCACACTGTCAACATTTTTGCGGAAAACGATACCGACGCGAAAAAATGTCTTGCTCTTGTGAGTGAGAGGTTGGAGCTATTGAGGCAAGGTGCGGCGCATGTTCTGTTCCCTTACAAGTATAAAGACACGTTTACAGGGTTCCGAAAGCACTATATTCTTCAAGCCCAGGTCTCGTCCAACGTGGATATCACCATGAAGACACCTGTGGCGTCCATTTCTGCCGGGAAACCGGCCGACATTGGTCCCGAGGAAACCGTGGAGCTCACTATTGTGGGCGACAACGCGGCTGCTAATCGACAACTCGGTGAGATGTTTCGGAACCGTTTAGATACCATTGCTGCGCTTGCCCAAGAATTCACCTTTCCAGAATACCTTCTAGATGCGTTTTTGTTCCACGATCTGTTCAAGCTAGGAAGTTTAAAAGAGGCAACCAAGACGACTATTTACATATACAGACAGGCCCATGAGATCCGCTTGGTTGTGTGTGGGCTTGAACCGGGGCTCACCTCTGAGTGCAGCAACGCCATCAGAGAGCGGATCGGTGTGTACACAAAGTCCCACCAGGTGTTTACCAGCACCAGAGCCTTTGCGCAAGTGTTGATCGGGCCGAACGGGGCGAGAATTGACAAAATCCAGAAGAGCACCAACTGTTCTATTTCTCTCACAGAGATGCCTGGTAGACGCTCCGAGATTCATGTCATGAGTAACGATCCAAAGAGCGTCCAAATGGGAATGAAGTTGTTGAGAGATTTACTGCTGGCGCTTGAAGAGAGCAATGCCAGTGCTGAGAGACAATAGTCTGTAAATATGCGTTGACCCCAGGTTTATTATATCTTCCTTGTTGGGGAGACACTATTGTAATTAGCTTACGTTCGTATTGATTATAAGTAATCGTACATCCGCCCTTTCCGAAGCTTCCTGGTTACTCTGGCACCACTAAGCCCGCAACTAAGTAATGCGACTCCGGCCCTCTGTGTAAGCATACTGGTGCCCGAGGCTAAGTTTTGGTAGTAGAAATCGTAGGCGACGGCGGCCAATTCGATCGTCAACCGCACAACACCCCAGTCCAACTTGGAGATTCGCAGATGGATCTTACGAGAGATGATCTTGTCGAAGGCGTCATTCGATGGAACCGTAGCCTTTCCTTCTAGTTCGGCCAATTCCTTGGTGAGTCCAAGGACACTCCGGAAGATAAGCACAAGTTTACGGACCACTCTGCGAAGCACCACCAATCTCAAAACGCCAAGCAAGATGTTGAACCGTTTGCCGAAGGTTCCAAACCCCAGATCATCGTCCAAACGGCGCGCGATAGGAGATGCGTTGTGTTTGGCATAGTAGCGGATCGCAGCGTATACCACCTGCAACACAATGTTACCAGAATCTAGTAGCGCCAAGAGGTAGGGAAATTTCGATGGGGCTTCCTCCAGAGGAACGGCAAGGTCCATTGGTTGTTGGAGGTCAGAGGCGCTACTTCTTGCGCTAAGCTCTTCGTCGATTGGCAGGAGCATACCATCGTTATCAGCAACGGTTATCTGACTGGGGACAACGACCAAATCCAAGTCGGCAAGGGACCCCGCACTTTCTTCCAAAGGGATTATTCTCCCTTCATGGCTTTTTGCCCTGCTTTGTGGAGACATCCGTAAGAATTTTATATTGTCAATCGCTTCCGAAGAGGGGATCTATTTCTATCTAGGGGTAGAAATGCAAGAGGTTCAATAAGTATGTCACGTTTGTGCATGGCTAGTGATAGCTTCTGATCTGCAATATAGTGACGGTAAAGCTCTACCCCGGACTCCCGGAGCGCACGTTTTTCGTGAGCCCATCAGCGTGCCAGATATTACGGAACCTAAAACACGAGCCGAGGTCTAGAGCGCGGATTTCAGTCACGAAGGATAGGTAGTCGGATAGACCCAGGACAAGAACAAAACGTAAGATTGGTTTGATGCATAATTGATGAAAATTAAGGATTGCAAAGGGATAAAAAAATTATTCACCATGATTTTCTCATGCAGATCTAAGGTTTAAATAGAGCTCCACATCCTTCATATATGGCTGAGAATACGGGCTGTGTAGGAAATTTTTGTTATACTTATATTTAGTCAATCTAGAATCATCGGAATGATAGTATAATCGGGATATAAATTTAATGTAAATGTGTATAATTAATATATATATATATATATACATGTATAATTGTAAATGTATCAATCTCATCCTTTGCTATATTTAAATATATGCGCACTGATGCAATACTTTTGGCTGAAAGACACGTACGCACATACTGAGCTAAGTGGCAAATACAAAGTCCTTCACGTAGCCATTCTTTTCCGCTTCTTCGATGTCTTTCACATATGCCGGAATACCAGATACGTAGTTTAAAGATTCTACTCTCTTCCCTGGGACGTTGGACCCCATATACCAGGATTTCGTCGTTGGCAACAAAGTAGCATTGCAGGCGTCATTGACACGTTTATACCAGACCTTCTCTGCTTCCTCGGTCGGAACAATAAATCCCTTGTCGTTTCTTTCCACAAACTCCACCGTTCTGATAATCCAATCGGCCTGGACCGCAGTGGAACTTGGGCCGTTGGAGAAGGCGGTTGGACCGTGTGGGCCATACAAATAGAACAAGTTTGGCATCTTTGCGATAGTCATTCCTAGGTGGGAAAAAGTGCCAGCCTTCCACCGGTCTGCAAGCTTAACCCCTCCTTGGCCCCTAATATCGATCTGATCAAACCCGCCTGTGACCGCATCAAAGCCCGTGGCAAGCACAATGATATCAAAATCAAACTCCTGAGAGGCAGTTTTAATCCCGGTAGCGGTAAACTCAGTGATTGGGTCCAGTTTGATATCCACGATATCCACATTATCCTGATTAAAGATCTCATAGAACCATTGCTCCAAGCAAGGTCTCTTGGTAAAGATATGGTACGGCGACTCTGCGGGAGCTAAAATCTCCAATTTTCGAGGATCTTCAACTCGGTGAGCCACTTTGTTTCTCCAGTATTCGTAGGCATAACGATTCGCTTCTTTGTTCAAGATTGCATCTTGGTAGTTTGAACTCCAGAATCTGAAACCCCCAGCAGCCCACTTCTCATCGTATAACGCTTTACGTTGCTCCGGGGTAGAGTCGACAGCGTTTTCCCAGGTAGTATCAAAGGCATTACCGCCCATAGTCTTCAAAGCATCACCAAGGATCTTGTCGTATTCAGGCTTCAAGACCTGCTGCTCTTCAACCGTAAGTTTACGTTGTCTCATTGGCAAAGCGGTATTAATGGATCTCTGGAACACGGTCAAGCTTTCAACCTCTCTGCCAATCTCTTGGATAACCTGGACTCCCGAGGCACCCGTACCGATTACCGCAACCTTTTTTCCCTTGACATCGACCCCTTCCCAAGGCCAGTCGGCGGTATGGAAACAAACCCCCTTAAACGTGTCCAAGTTCTTAAATGGAGGAATAATCTTTTTGGCAGCAAACCCGGTGCATAAAAGTAAGTATTTGCACTTGTACATCCCGGCACCCTCTCCGGTTACAGTAACGGTCCACGTATGGCTCTCATCGTCCCAGTGAGTAGCGGTTACCGTGGAGGCAAAGGAGTAGTCCTTGGAAATTTTCAACTTCTCGTCTGCGTGGGCAAAGTAGGCCTGAATCTCCTTCCAGCCGGGGAACCTCTCAGAGAAAGTCCAATCTTCCCACGCTTCTTTGATGAATAATTGGTAGACAGGAACTTCAGAGTCCACTCTGGCACCGGGATAGCGGTTGTGGTGCCAAACACCCCCGAGGGTGCTTCCCTTATCAATCCCGTGGACGGAGTATCCGAGCTTTCTGAGGTCGTACATGCACTTGACTCCTCCGAACCCAGCACCCACGATAATCGAGTCGTAATACATGGTGTCAGCGGTCATGGCTGAATCTGTATATTTTGGTAAAGGTATTGTCAGTTGACTGATCTAGCGAAGTTTATGTATCTCTTGTGTCTTGAAATCCGGATAAAGAGTAGGTTTCAACTATATGAAGTGTACAGATGGTTATGGGAATGTAAATGCCTTCCCCGCAGTCCTCTGTACCCAAGCAAATTATCCACATGCAGGTGAAAGGGCCCCGTAAACTTTAAACTGTACCAGGGATTGCCTGGTAATACCCCAAGTATCAAGCTAAGCGGGGCTTACTTTCGGGTAGAAGCCAACAGCTGCTCTCCGTATCTCCCAGGCATTCCAATGGTATGGGAATGACAACGGGAGACCCCTCACAAGTGCATGAAAGTGTGGGGGTGAAGAGCACTACGTTTTCGCGACTTCAACCCTCCGCTAGCTTCAATTATGCATGCTGGCCTGTTTTATGACGTAGAGCTTACCTGTACAACGTTAAAATGACCTTACAATGAGACCAAGAGCCGAAAAGCCATCCCCCACATTCCTGCACCTAACCCTCCTTGCCACCGCAGTTTGTTCTTTGCTACTTAACCATATAAGACTCGGATTAAAGATTATCGTCAAATGTAAATATATCCATAATATACTTGAGGGTGTCTTATGGATTAGTACAGGACTGCTTGCAGGGGTTTACCAGCTTGAACAGAGCGCGGTGCTTGGTGTCAGGGTGTTCCCCGCAGAGAGTAAAACTTAATTTACAGCAAACCGTCGAGTAGGTTTGAATAATAGAGATTTCGATGACCATTCTCGGCAGAATCACTTTGCGGGACCACCTAGGTGTATATACACTTTTTTTCCCCTCTCAATTTCGGTTGGATAATAAACCGAAGTATACCATTGGCTTTGTTACTGGACAAGCCAATACGTCACCAAGCCAAGTGTTTCGCGCCAAAACCTACTTTTAATAAGACCCCACACTATAAAGCTATAAATCAGCTTTCAAAATCCTTACATCTACCAAGTACTACATCAAGAGTAAGGTCAGTTCCAAAGAGTTAGGCTATCAGCCCGAAAATAAAAAGGAAATAAATTTCTATCCAGCGGGTTTACACGTAGTCATACCCAGCATTCCCCTAACCAGGTCAGATCTTAACCACAGGGGCAGCATTGCCGAAAATAAACCCTCTGTAACCTTCCCTTTCGGCGTCTTCAATATCCTTGGTGTATGCTGGAATACCGGCCACGTAGTTCAAAGACTCGATCTTCTTGCCGGGGATGTTGGCACCCATATACCAGGACTTGCTAGAATAGAACAAGGTTCCCTTGCAGGTGTCGTTGACATGATTGTACCACGTCCTCTCGGCTTCTTTGGTTGGTACCATGTATCCCTTGTTGTTCTTCTCGACAAAAGAAACAGCCCTGGAAATCCACTCAGACTGAATGGCGGTGGAAGTGGGACCGTTGGAGAAGGCCGTTGGACCATGGGGGCCGTACAAGAAAAATAGATTCGGCATCTCGGAGATGGTCATACCCAAGTAGGAGTACGTTCCATCGGCCCATTTGTCGGTAAGCTTCACGCCGCCCTGGCCCCTAATGTCTATCAAGTTGAAGCCACCGGTAACTGCATCGAAACCGGTGGCAAATACAACGATATCGAAATCAAACTCCTGAGAGGCAGTCTTGATACCAGTTTCGGTGAATTTTACAATCGGGTCTTGCTTGATGTCCACAATATCCACGTTGTCCTGGTTGAGGATCTCGTAGTAGTACTGCTCTAATGACGGTCTCTTGGTCAAAATATGATACGGTTGCTTCGTTGGGGCCAAGATCTCTAATTTTCTCGGATCCTTGACCCTCTCGGAGACTCTTCCTCTCCAGTACTCGTAGGCCAACGCGTTGGCTTCCGGGTTTGCGACAGTGTCTTGGAAGTTACCTCCCCAGAATCTGAACCCCCCGCCGGCCCACTTTTCATCGTAGACCGCCTTGCGTTCTTCCGGGGTGGCGTCAACAGCATTCAGGAAAGTTGCGTTAAAGGTGTTACCAGCAATGGTGAGCTTAGCGGCTTCAAGAATTTTTGGGTACTCTGGCTTTAACGCGTCTTGTTCCTTCGCGCTGAGTTTCCTCTGAACCATGGGTAACGCGGTGTTGATCGATCTCTGGAACACGGTCAAACTTCCAACTTCTCTGCCGATTTCCTGAATCACCTGAACACCTGAAGCACCCGTACCGATGACGGCAACCTTCTTGCCCTTGACGTCGATTCCTTCGTGTGGCCACTCAGCCGTATGGAATGCGAGTCCCTTGAACTTGTCCCTGTTCTTAAACGAAGGGATGACCGTCTTGGCAGCGAACCCCGTGCACACCAGGAGGTACCTGGACGTGTAAACACCGGCTCCTTTTCCGGTAACGGTGACGGTCCAGTGTTTGGCCTCTTCGTTCCAGTGGGTGGTGGTAACCGTGGAGGAATAAGTGTAATCCTTGGAGATGTTTAACTTCTTGTCCACGTGCGCGAAGTAGGCTTGAAGCTCCTCCCAACCAGGGAACGCCTCAGAGAAATTCCAGTCTTCATAGACCTCGCTAATAAACAATTGGTAAACTGGAACTTCCGAATCAACTCTGGCGCCTGGGTAACGGTTGTGCTGCCAGACACCACCGAGGGTGGAGCCCTTATCGAAACCATGAATGGACAATCCAAGTTTTCTAAGGTCGTGGATAAGTTTGATAGCTCCAAAGCCAGCACCAATGATGATGACGTCATGCAGAGTATTGGAGGACATTGAGCGAGTTGTTGATCCTGGTATGGTGTCTTAGGTGGGAACGAAAGAGACTGGTGTGATTCTGAGATAAAATTTGGGACCTGAAATACGGAAATGCCACAGATATATATACTGTTCGTGGATAAAATTGGCTCAAGCACAGTAAACGTTAATACACCATGTCTTCCCCTTAAGCCTTACTTCGGGCATAAATGGGACTGCAACAAAACAAACACAATTTCATATGTTAACATGTATCTCACATACATATTTCTAATCTTAATAATGTGCAGATGTTTAGTGGAGGGAGTTATACAAAGTACTAAAAGAGTATCACCACGAATATTTTTGCAACCGCGTACTTTCTGCAGACGCAAAAAGCATTTGGAGCAATGACACAGCGGGGAACTCCACAACCGTACGTACCGATCATGGGAATGCTTTATGAATACAATCGCACGGGACATTCTCGAAAATCCCTCGGGTAAGCGTTCCCCAGATTTCAGCCGTAGCTGGGCTTTGTGGCAACACCGCAACTAGAATACGTAGGGTTAGGTCAACAGACATTTTATTTGATCTATTCGACTTTACAAAATAAACCCATACACGTCAGTCGCGCACTCGGTTGAAACTTCAGTCACCAACTAGACCTCCCTGCCAAAACGTCCGATCGCGGAAGTCCCCCGGAAGGAATTCGTCGCCGTGAGAACATGAATGATACTTTACCTAAGCTTAGTCACCACCGGCTTTTCGCTTAGCCGACCCGGGATAAACATGCAAGCTACACCCTCCGACACTTCAACTTTGAAATGGCCCTACATCTCGACAAAGGAATATACTAGGCAGTTTGAACATCCCCGTAAATTACATTTCAGTCTATGGCTGAAGCACTGTATGCCGTCCTCCCCTCTATTTCTTCTTCAACGCCTCAAACCGCTTCTTCAACAAATCAAAATCGTCCTCCGCGGAGGCTTTCTTGGGCTGCGGCTCGTTGGTGCTGACTCTTCTCACCTGGACTCCGCTTGGCACTTTGACTTCGGGCTTTCTGTTGTCTACGGTCTTTGCGGGCGGCTTGACGGAGATTGGCGTAATTGACTTGGGATCCAACCCGGATAATCTCCTCTCCACGGATGTTCTAGGAGGTTCTTCGTCATTGATATCCAAGATTTCGATAGCCGGCACCTCCTCCTTCTCGCCACCGTCGCTCCCCTCATCGTCACTTGCTTCTTTTTCACTGACCACCGCTTCGGAAAAGGTCACGTCGTAGGCACGCGCGATTTCTGTCAAGTATAACACCACCAACTCTTCGGACGGAGCCTTCACCTGGCATCGGTCGACGATGCGTTGCGCCACAGCTCCATCAGCATTTTCCTTGGCTGCAATGGCAAACTCAGGGCCATACTTGTGGATCAAGAGCTCTCTGATTGTGCTTAACTCCTTGATTTCCGCGTGCGGCGCGGCATAGATGATTGTCTTCACCGCCTCCACCAAGCCGGGGTCACACTCTTTTTGCTCCAATAAGCCCACGCGGGCCGAGAGTAATTCGCAGTAGAGTTCGAGGTATTCCAACAACTCGACGCGGATATCCTGTCGGATAATGTTCTCTACCCGGATTTTGGCGTTGGACTCCTTGCCCTGCGCGAGCAAGTCTGCCATTTGGCGTCTCAGCTGTTTGGCAATGGCCGTCTCCTTGGTCTGGGTGAACCGGAGGCGGCTGATTGCCATTTTGAGTGTGATTTTTATTCTTTGCTGGGAGTGTTAGTAAGCGTTAGGCCATTATCACTTCCCTCGGAAGGCGTCACTAATTTTCAGAGTACATACAACTGGGGAAACGCTGGGAGCCATTTTGGTATTGTATTTGTAACTCCTGTAAGGATATAGTGAATGATTGGGGTTTAGTGCGGGTTAAAGGGTGCTAGTGTCAAGTTCTTATCGGCGTAGGCAATCCGAAAGTAGGGGCAGGAGACAGGATTTGGTCGTGATGCTTTATCCGGGATATAAAGGCTGAGTAGAAAAATATGCAACCCAGAAACCAGTAATGATAGACGAAACCGTTAAGACAAACTTATACAAGTGGAAACAAATGTTTCTGTACGGTTTGACAACACGTTCGTAGATGATCATGACCAGCTAAAAACATCTCTTTGTTACTCGATGAAGTTGCCATTATTTACAAATTATATAAATATATACCAAGAAAACTAGTCGAGTTTTTACTCTCGATACTCATTAACCTTCAGAGTAAATAGACCAAGTCATAATGTGCGTTCCAGGCTATTCCGGGGAAAACCCCCAGCCTTCGCACTCCACTTGCTTAGATCGTCAAATACTTCTCCGTTAACACATTCGCCAACTCGGTATTCCCATTAATTGAATAAATCAACGACAAGTTATACGCCGCTTCGGCCCTTAAATCGTACTCCTCGTCCAACCCCTCGAACGCCAACACCTTCTCATAGTACGGCACTGCCAACGTGGTCAAACCGAGCATATGAAACGCGCGGCCAAAGTTGTAGTTCACCTCCTGCTCCTCATACACCGTCTTGCCCTGTCTCAAATCGGCATACTCCATCAAGTACGAGAACCCCTGGAGTACCTGGAAGTGGCGGTTGAGCGACAAGCGCTGCATGGAGCGGTGCAAATTGTTCAAGCCCACAATGAAACACAACATGGGGTCCTTGTTGAAGTGCTTGTAGGCTCTCAAGGCATACCCCAATGACGGGACATAGGACTTCCCGCCACTCAACAAACAGTAGTAGATGTGCAACAAATACGGGTTTTCCTTTTCGGGCGTCACGCGGTTGGAAATCGTCGCCATACCGGGAATCGCGCGGCCCTGCTTGATCGAGTCATACGCCTTGATCTGGCGCAAGAAGTATTTCTGATGGTTCAACGATGTGAGGATCTGGCACGCGTAGCCCCCCGACGGCAACAAGAGCATAAAGAGGCGCAAGACCTTTGAGTTAAACTGGTTGTGGTTGAGTAGCACCCGCACATTGAGCATGATGCTTGTGTAATCGCCAGTCATGAGCGCAAGCGAGATGCGCACCATAAGCATCGTGTGGTCTTGGGTCTTGTCATGGTGGAAGATAGCGCACGTGCGCGCCATCTCCACAATCGACACCGCCTCCTCCTCCTGGTGCTCATAGAGGGTCAACACGAGGGCATAGCGCATGAACAACTCAAACCAACGCTCGTACGACACCCCACGAAACTCCGTGCGTGACGTCACCTTGAACTTTGCATTCTCTTCGGTCACTGAGTCGTAGAGGTTGTACACCCGCGCCAACCGCTCGTCGATGTTCATCTGCCGTCTACGCTTGTGGATGAAGATCCCCATGAACTTCTTCGACTTGTCTTTGGGGAAGAACGAGCGCACGTTGCTGAAGATCTCGATCAACTGCGACGCGAGCTGGCACCATGTCAGCCGCGGGATCGCGTCGTCCAACGCCGCCCACAACCGCTCCAACGTGTGGAACTTCTTGAGCACCTTTGCGTTGAGCATTTTCTCGTTTTCTACCCGTTCGTCCTCAAGGGCCTTGTTAAACCCGCGCTTTGGCCGCCGGTGCACCTCCTGGATCATCGCCATGTTGTTGCGCTCGTCCTCCTCCATCTCGCGGAGCACGTCCGTCACCTCGGGCGTCTCCAGCCACTCACCGCGCGCCTTCTGCGCCGCACGCGCCTGTGCTACCTCGCGGATGTACGCCTGCGACTTGGCCATGCTGCCGACGTGGAAGTACGTCTCTGCGATGGCGAGCTTGACATCGAGGTTGTCGGGATCTGCCTCCAACACGCTCAAGTACCCGCGCTCCGCATCACGGTAGCGGCCGGTCTCATGCCAACAGTTGGAGAGGGAAAGCACTAACCCCACGTCCGAGAATTCTGGCTGTCCGAGCAATGGCTCGAGGAAACGGAGCGCGTCCTCGTACATTCCGAGCTGCTCGAGCACCTTACCAACCTCGAGGTGGAGGTCCGCAATCTCTGTTAGCTCCTCCTCGAACAAGTACGCAAAGTGGTGCAACGCCTCGTCGGCCTCTTTCATGTTCAACCGGCAGAAACCGAGCTTGACGCGGATATCGATGGGGAGCGCACGGTTCTTCTGTTGGTCATGCATGGAGAGCGCTGCGTACGCGGGATGAACGGTGTAACGGGCGGCATCAAACTCCTCGTCGCCCGTCCACCATGTCTCATCCGCACGGTCCGATAACCAGCGCGCAGCAACCGTAATAATCTGCACGCACGGCTCCCACAAACCTAACTTTGCGTACAACTCTGCGAGGATGTTGAGCTCCGACCACTCAAACACCGGGTACTCCCCCTCTGCTTCTCTCATGTTCTGATCAAAAATCCGGAGATAGACGTTAATAGCGTCGTTTGTCCGGTTCTGCTCGACGTAGCACATTGCTAGCTCCTTCACCACGTTGATGTCCGTGGGAAACGCCTTGTGTAGCTTCTGAAACCCCTCCAACGCGCGCCCCGAGTGGCCGATCTCACGATAGATGACCGCGCGGTTGAAGATGGACTTCATGTCGGTCCCGTTGGAGGCGGCGATTCCGCGCTTGAAGCAGTAGATCGCTTGGGTAGAGTTCCCGAGGTCGTGGCTCAACTCCGCCACTGACGCCCAGAACTCGTAGTCCCAGTTATTGATGTGCGCCGCGCAGAACCACGCGGTGCAGCACTCCTCAAGCTTTCCCTGTTGCTTGTAGATCTCGCCGAGCGTCTTGTACGCACCAAAGTTCTTGGGGTCTTTCTGGATAACTTCCTTGTACAAGTCTTGCGCCACGTGGATGTCGTTGCGGACGAACGCCTCGTTGGCTTGAGAAAGGAGAATCCGCACCTCCGGTTCCAAGTCGCGATCCTTTGTGCGACGGTTCATCTTGCGCTTCAACGCCGCGAGCCCGCGCTTCTTCTTTTTGGACTTGTGGAATACAGCCTCTCGGATCGCGTCCTTGAAGTCCTCGTCATTCTTCATGATGTCTTCGTCGTTGATTTCATACGTGTTTTCGTCCGAGGAAAAGCCGAGGTCAGCGGGGACAGAGTCCGAGTCCGAAGAAAAGAATGCATTTGCTGATGCAAAGGCGTTAGCCTGAGCCTCGATATCGCTGAAATCAGAGTCAAAAGCATTCGCGTCAGCAAAGGCGTTTGCGGCATTGTCACTATCACTAGCGTTTGCGGGAGCGAAGGCGTTTGTGTAGGAATCTGTATAGGCGTTTGTGCGGGTGTAGTCCTCTCTCTCTTTAAAAAGAACACTATCAATGGGAGCCTCCGTCCTTCCCTCTTTATTTCCACCGGCGATCCTTGGTTTCACCGCCTTTCCCGGTTTCAGTGAGGTAGTTGCTTTATTGTGTTTGGCGCTTGGTTCGGCGGCTAATGCAAACTCCTCGTCTGACGAGACGATTGTGTTGGCAGAGCGCGTGGTCCGCTTGGATACAGTCTCTTTGGGCGCTACAGCACTGCTAGAGCGTTTTCTAGGGGGCATGGTGATGGTGTGAGGTATAATGGAGAGAGTGTACTGTGTGGGTTAAGCTTTTAACCACTGATTTGATCAAGGTTGATATATGTCGTGTATGAACCAAGGAAGGCGCGGCGGTGCGCTCATCGTAGGGGTGCGGACGCGGGGTGTTTGCTTAGAGAAGTGAGTTGGCGGTTATACGACAAGCGCAAAAAGGTTTTAGTGATTATTTATCAGTGTCTTATTGGCCGACATTTTAATTCTTTGTGAACCGATCTGGCCGAATGCAACTCCCTCCCCAGTTACCCCAAAAGTTTCGGCAACGACAAAGATTTTAAAAACAATCACGTGGAAGCAAGATATATTGAGTTTACGTCCGTGTCGCAAACAACTGTTTGATTTCCCTCACTTTAATGCTCTTACGGACCAGTTGCGGTTTATAAAAACTAAAATTCCCATTAGGTTGCTTCGGTGTAAGCTCTTTTCCTAGACTCTTTAGCCGTTCGTGCTTATACGTAAAACAATGGATTACAGTTACGATACCGGTAATTGGCACTTTCACAACTCAAGCCCTTCCTCATAGCCCCGATTTATCGTACATGTGTTTATCTAACCATCTATTTGTGTCTCTTGAAGGAATAACAGTTCTCTCTTTCAACCCCATCTCTCTTCATCCTGCACCTAGTGCTAACATTTGCCATCGCATACAAATCGCTGCCCTTAAACCAAATGCAACCTCCCTTTTCTTTCAATCGTTTCTATCCTACTCAACCCAATTACAATGGTAAGTATCAGTCTGGCTCTCTCTCTGATCAGTGACTAACGTCCAGTTTTCCGGATTTGCTACGCCGTACTTTGCCCGAGATGCCAAGTTCCTGGACTACTTCCGTTGCTACCCAGTTGCGATGATGGCGTCCGCGTCAAGCAAGGACGACGCAAACTTTGGCGGCAAGATCTTCCTCCCGCCATCCGCTCTCAACAAGCTCACCATGTTGCACATCCGCTACCCGATGCTCTTTGAGCTTGAGAGCGAGGAAATGGGTCTGAAGACCCACTCGGGGGTGTTGGAGTTCGTCGCGGAGGAGGGGCGTGCGTACCTCCCGCAGTGGATGATGTCCACGCTCCGTATTCAGCCGGGCGCCTTGTTGAAGATCACTAACACGGACGTGCCATTGGGGCTGTTTGTCAAGATCGAGCCACAGTCGGTCGATTTCTTGGACATTACCGACCCCAAAGCAGTACTCGAGAACGTCTTGAGACGATTCACGACGTTAACTGAAGGTGATATCATAGAGATTAGCTATAATGACACAATCTACGGTATCAAGGTATTGGAGGCCAAGCCAGAGCTGGCATCGCGTGCAATTTGTGTGGTCGAGACGGATTTGGAGACGGACTTTGCACCGCCTGTGGGTTATGTCGAGCCTGATTACAAAGCTGAGTCCACGCGCACGCAGACACCCGTTCCGTTGCAGCAAGGTGCCATGTCGCGCGCGATCGAATACGCGCAGCTTGTTTCACGCACCAATTCCAAGCCTGACCCGTTCGCCAGCCTGGGCCACAAGCTCTCGGGTAAAGCTGTTGAGGAGAAACTGGAAGTGGTGTCATATGCACTTGAAGATATCAAGCTTGACGGCGTGCCGGCGCCGCTCGTGCTTCCGCAGGGCCAGTTGTTCTTTGGATTTCCCGTAACCGCGGTAGAGCGAGAGGAGGTGGTGGAAGAGGAGATCCAAGGGGTATTTAAGGGCGAGGGGCAGTCATTGAGGCAATCGCGAAAGCGCAAGGATAAGAGTGGGATGGAATTTTTCAGTCAGAAGGACAAGGCGAGAAGTCCACCGGAGGTGATTGAAATTGACTAGTCCCAGGCTCGGAAACGAATCAGAGGAACTTGGGGATAAGCAGAACGAACTGAGATAGCATCAATGTGTTGTATGTGTACGCGAATTATATCATTTAGGAGATTGGGATCCACACACTACACTTGATCTAATGGTATTGTAAATAAGTAGGTTGCGAGCTTTTTCTTTTTTTTTAGCTGTAAATGACAACCTTTTGGCTGTTGGTACATTAGATCTAATAACACCTTGTGGTATTACAACCTTATGCTGCATCTTAGGACCACCATTGTTTACCGACTGGAATGTATGCCTTACGGGATTCTAGATGAAAAAGATAGCCTCAATCTGCCCCTAGAATCTACATTCCCTGCCGCCCATGTACACCGATTCCTCCCATTAGTACGGCCGTCTTGGCTGATACGGCTCGCCCAAATAGGTAAGCTCTTCTTCGGTAAAGACAACGTCGAACGCTGTCAACAAGTCGTCGACTCTCTCCACAGACGTGATCCCCACAATCGGAGAGGCGCCCTGGGCGAGAACCCAGGCGGTGGAGACAGCGGCCATAGAGACTTTTTTCTTGGTTGCAACTCCCTCTACCCTCTTTAAGATTTCGTGGTCAGCGGCTGTTAACGTATTCAAACTCAAAGGTTTCAACAACTTATCCGACTCCTTTCTATCCGAAGATTCGGCAGCGGGGCGGGTCAATATGCCCCTGGCGTTGGGGGACCACGGAATGAGGCCGATCCCGCTCTTCTTGCAGTACGGAATCATCTCTCTCTCCTCCTCACGATAGAGCAAGTTGAGGTAGTTCTGCATGGAAACAAACTTGGTCCAGCCGCGGGTTTCTGCCACGTACTGTAACTCCACAAACTCAGTAGCTTTCATGGTAGATGCACCGATGTATCTAGTGTAGCCCAACCGAATGATGTCGTGCAATGCCTTCATAACTTCCTCAGCCGGGGTCTCTTTGTCTAAACGGTGCACCTGCAAGACGTCAATGTACGTCCCTAATCTGCCTACGGAGCCTTCCACAGCGTCGAAAATGTGCTTGCGGGACAAACCTTGGGCGTTGTGGTAGTTCACCTTTGGGAAGCTGTCACGGGTGGACAAGTTAAACCCCTGAGTAACAGGGTCGACTGGGTGGAAACACTTGGTCAAGATCACGATTCGATCTCTGGGGATGTCGTACTTCTTGATCCACTTCCCCAACATTTCCTCCGAGTGCCCATTGGAGTAGCTGTCGGCGGTGTCAAACGTGCGGATCCCCACTTCGTAGCACTTGTTCAAGATGGCAAACACCTTCTCCTCATCGTCAATGATCCAGTCGGCCCAGGACTTGTCGCCGAAGGCCATGCAGCCGCAGATAAGACGCGAGATCTTCAAGCCAGATTTTCCGAGGTTGGTGTATGGGACATCGACCATGTTGATTGTGTGGGAAGGAAAGGGTGGTTAGACGGAGAGCATGGGGGAGCTCCAGTGCCTATTTATATCCGAGGGGTGGAGAATAAGCTTCTGCATGTGCATTTACGGGGAGGCATCCACAACGTGAATATTTGCATCGTTCAAAGCCCTGGTTTCGTCTGAGCCACATATTGGGGTGATTACTAGTAAAAAAAAATTAGGTCAATTTACGCCGGGTGGGAGTATCTGTGTTGGATAATGGGGCATGCACGTTACCAGGGGCAATCGGGCTTGTTTCGGATATTTTCGCCGAAACAATCTCCGAGAAATGTTGGCGTTTTATTATAAATCACCCTTCCGGTAGGAGGTCATCTACGTACCCATACCGCTTATATGAACCTACCCGATCCAAGTATGACCGGTCTAGAGTACGTATATTTGACTCGTATGGCCGTACCACAACGGTCTTGCAGTCGGGAAAGAGGTTAATTCCAGCTGCTCTAATCTGTTTAGGAGAAACCCATGCTGATCCAAATACTAATACAACCGCATTGCCTAAACTTGCTTTGTCCGTTATCGTATATTAGAAACTAGGTCACAGACCCATCAAAAGTGAAATATAAACAAACCAGTACAACTACAACTTGGAGGCACCGAACGCGGCAACACCTCTGCCACCGGCAGTCTTCTTGGAAATCTCCTCGTACAAGTCCAAGGTCAAGAAGTTGTCGTACTCGCCGTTGCGGCCCGGGATGGCACCCTTCTTGAAGTAACTAACAGCCTGGTTGTACGCCTCTGGGGCGTTTCTGGCCTTGGCGTCCTTGATCAAGCCTCCGACAACCTCACCAACCAACTGGGACACGTAGTCAGCGGTAATGACCTTGCCGTTGGTGGTCTTGGCCCCGTGTCTGATCCATTGCCACAACTGGGAACGGGAGACTTCGGCGGTAGCGGCGTCTTCCATCAAATAGTTGATTGGCACACAGCCAATCCCCCGGAGCCAGGCTTCGGTGTACCCTAAACCAATGGCGATGTTGGTGCGGATCCCAGCCTCGGTAACCTCGGACTTGGCGTCGCCCACGGACGGGGACAACAAGTCTCTGGCAGTGATCTTCTTCTTTGGAGGCAAGCTGGCGTCAACCGGCTTGAAGATCTGGTTAGGGCCCGGCATGTGCTTGTTGAAGATGTTGTACGCCTCGACGGCCAAGGCTGGGTGCGCGACCCAGGTACCGTCGTGGCCAGCAAGCACCTCGCGTAACTTGTCAGACCTGACGTTGTTCATGGCGGCCTCGTTGGCCTTGGCGTCGTCCTTAATTGGAATCAATGCGGCCATCCCGCCCATAGCGTGGACTTGGCGCTTGTGGCAGGTTTCGATCAACAACTGCACGTACGACGCCATGAACGGCGCCTTCATGGTAACCTGGGATCTGTCTGGCAAGATAAACTCCTTGTGGTTACGCAAGGACTTGATGAAGGAGAAGATGTAGTCCCAACGGCCACAGTTCAACCCCGCAGAGTGCTGGCGGAGGGAGTAGATGATTTCGTCCATCTGGAAGGCGGCTGGGAGGGTTTCGATCAAGACGGTAGCTCTGATGGTCCCGATTGGCAAGCCGATCGCGGATTGGGCCTGGCAGAAGATGGCGTTCCACAACGCGGCTTCCTTGTAGTGCTCCATCTTTGGGAGGTAGAAATATGGACCCGCGCCGTTGGCAACCAAATACTTTGCGTTGTTGAAGAAGTAGATGGCAAAATCCAAGATCCCCCCGGAAACCGGCTCACCGTCCACGGTGATGTGGTTGTCGTGCAAGTGCCAGCCTCTTGGTCTGACAATCAAGGTTGGGTGTCTCTTGTCCGCCAACAGGTACGTCTTCTTCGGCGTCTTCAAGGAGATGGTGCCGCGGATGGCGTCGTACAAGTTGACCTGGCCGTCAACCACATTGAACCAGGTTGGGGTGGAAGAGTCTTCGAAGTCGGCCATGTAGGTGGCGACATCGGAGTTGAAGGCATTGATGACCATCTTACGGTCGGTAGGGCCGGTGATTTCCACGCGACGGTCCTCCAAGCCCGGCGCGAGAACCGGACCGGTCCAGGTCGCGTCATCACGGATGAAGGCAGTTTCGGGGAAAAAGTCGGGGAAGTGACCGGCGTCGCGACGCTGCTGCTCGGTCTCACGGGCGGCCAAGAGGGCCAATCTCTGTTTGTTGAAAGTGCGGTGCAAGGTTGCGACGAAAGAAAGCGCCTCTGGGGAGTACAAGTGCTTGGCGTTGGCGGCAATTGGCGCCTTTAACACGACGCCGGCTAAGACGTCCACGGATTGGGGGAAGGGAGAAGGCATGATAGCTGAATGAGGTGGGAAAAAGTGAGGTAGGGGATGAGAGAAGCGGAAATTCTGGGGTAGCGTCTGTTTAAATATGATTTGGCGGAAATTATTCTCAGTCCGCAAGCTCGTGCTTACCCGGCGCTAGCGGCCACCTTTGGCGTGTAAGCACTGGCATGCGATAACGTTTAAGGTTGCACGCGCGGGCCTACGGGTCTCACCAGGAGTGCTTATCGTCGTGGGGAAGTTTCACATGGCAATAGCGAGCCGCTGGTCCAGATGCGTCACGTGGAAGCGTGCCGAAGACTGACTCGGGGAGCGGACTTCTATGTACGCCACACGGTGAGGCGTCTCTTAAGGCACCGAGTCGGGGGAGATCCTGCGTATTTCAAGGACTGGGTGTAGTGCGGGATGGAGGAAACTCTAAGTAATCTACAGCACGTGCTCGGACCGCCGGACAATGGTGGATTAGGCCGCTGGCCCGATCTCGGACTCCGGTTCGGCCAACAACAACGCCGGCAATGTCGTACGTGGGTGAGCTCCGGTTGACTCACAGGTTTCTGCGGTCCCGGGGTTGTCGCTATGCAATGTGGTTCGGGGGAGGGAATGGTTAGCTTATTTCTGGTTTGTGATATGTGACGGAATTCATAAGGGCTTCCAATAGGTTTGTAAGGATGCTTTGAGATGTGGTACAGGATTTACAAAGCCGGTCGTTGTAACACTCGTGTAGTACGCGGGGCAACAGTTGCGTTGGCACATAGTTTCACTTTCCACGCCTAAAATGAGGCAGTCCGCGGGGCAATTGACGCGAACCCGGGGGGAGTTAAATTTCACGGTTGCTTTCTATACATGATGGAGCTATTGGACAGATGACGCTGACGTAGTTCTGTGCATTTACAACAAAAGTCTAGCTGACGCGCCTGTAAGCGTACCCTGAGGAATACTATGGACGATTTGCGCATGGCTCAAGCCATATCTGTGCTCCTGCGTATCTATAGTATATTGGTCAAGCTACGTTTAGGAGCTCTTTCGTTATGGAAATATTAGAGGTAGATACGGTTCTTGACAATGCCAACTTAGGTTTCACACACTAAATTCATTGTGACCACCGGAATGCCCCAAGCGGGTTCGTCTAGAAACGGATGACACAAGGCTCCTACTTTGTAGTGACTCCTCCAAAGGCAGTATAGCTATATCCAACCTTCATAAAACGAAACCGTGAGCAACGGTCATGGCGTATCTAGGTCCAAAGCTCACTGAACTCGAGAGAATTATCAAGGCCCATTGTTCACTGAGTAATCAGGCATTCTTGACAGGAACACCACGCACCTCAAGCCAACACTTCATTTAAAACACATTGATTAATTTATAAGATCCAACCAGAAAGCATGACGTTACCAGTCATGCGGCACTATGTAAATAGCTGAAAACAGCAATGCAAATGTATGGGATACGACAACTACAAAGTTCCAGCCGACTACTCTTCAAGGATATCATGTGCCTCGTCTTCCGACAAAGGCGAACCCGTCTCCCGGGTGGTATCCACTTGGCCGGGAGTAACGGTCACATCCACGTCCGATGCCGTTTGCTCGTGGTCCGAGGAGCGGAGGTCTGAGTCGCTTACCACATCGGACAGATCCCTGAGCGACACGTCAGAAGTGCTGGCGCCCAACTCTTTTTTCCGCTTCATCATGCGGAGCTTCTGCGCTGGGGTTAACTTGTCCTCCGGGCCGGGCCCGGTGCTGGGTCCCCGGAGCTCCTTCAACAAGTTTCTAGCTCTGGAGCCCACGTCTGGAGTTGTTTCTTCCTCCGTGAGCATGTCGGACGCCGGGGAAACCATCCCTTCGTCGAGCAAGTCCACTAGCGAAGAGCTATCAGAGTCAGGAATGTCCAATGACTGGGACGTGTCGCCATCGTCGTCCTGGTTCTTTCTTGTGTTTTCCAAAAGCTGCTTGCGCGCAATGGCCCGTCTTCTGGCCGACAATGGGTCGCTCTTGGCAGGGCCCACGGCCTTCAACTTCTCTAAAAGCGTGTCCATCAAAGCGCCATCCACATCTTCGCTCGGCTCAGAGTCGCCGCCTAGATGACCGTTCCGAGCCTGGCTGCGCTTCGGTCCTTCGAGCATCTTCTTTCTGGCCTCGTACGCCCGTTCCTCCTCCTCCCTCTGGAGGTTCTCCTTGTTCACCTTTTTGAAATCCAGCAAAAAATTGGCAAACTTACGGAAGAAGGAATTGCGTGCAAACTCATCCTCCGGCTCTTCCCCAAAGAAGCGCATCACCTTGTCAAACTCGGCTATGGTGTACTTCGACTGGTCTGTGAGCAATTCGCCCTTGCGTCTCGCTTCGGGCAACACCGGGAGCACCTTCTTCAACACCCGGTCTTCGGGATGGAGCTTCGTAGGGTCACTTAAGTTCCCAAAGTCGATCAGTGACTGTACATTCATGATTGACTGCGAATACTGGCGACAGTCGGCCGCGATTTGCACCATCGAGAGCTTGGCAGCATCCACCGTCACAATAAGCTCATCCATAAACGCCATCATTTCAGGGAACTTGTTCCGCACAATCTTCTCCACATAGTGCAAGAACGTAATGCTATTGTTCTCGTCCTTCATGAACGTTAAGCGTTGGAGAGTACTTAACTTGAACCCCTGGGCCTGTTTGGTGGAATCGTTCATGTAGTTACCCACCATCAAAATGATGTCAAAGAGACCACGAAGGTGGCTTGAATTCTGCACGCTCTCGCAGGCAATGTCCACGACCCTGAGCTTGGCCACCAAGTCAGAGTAGTCCTTTTCAAAGCTGATTACCGTTTGCAACGCCCGGATACGCGACTTCCAGTAGTGTTGAAGGTTGTAGATCAACTCGAGGTAGACTCGGTCGGCTCTTGCCAATTCGGCTGGGTCTTTGTCTGGCTTGGTTGTGCCACCGTCCTCGACCCCACGGGTGTAATCTGTGCTGTATGGCTCGAGGTTACGACCCACCCCGTTAGGAATCTCGGTGAGTTCGTCCTTTCCCAAGAATTCCAAGATACTGACGTTTTCAAAGACCCGCTTATCGCAATTAAGCACGCTCAACACCAAGTCCTGGTCGGACATCGTGTTAAATCCGTGGAGGTTGATGCCAAACTGCTGGGAAATGTCTCTGGCCAAGAACGAAATTTTATCCTTCTCATCCTTGCCCTTCTTCGTGGCAAACTTTCTAAACTCTTTCGCCGCAAAAATGTTTTCGATTTCGTCAAACACACCCTTTTCCTGCAACTCGCTGGCTAGCGCCTCGGACGGAGCGTGTTTCTCCCAGAAGGAGTTCTCGGTGTTCTCGAACTTCTCCCAATGCAACTGCTTCAACTTACGCTTCGGGCGCGGGAAGTTATCAAACGGCGACGGAGACCGCGAGATGGCGACCGGCGTCATAGGATGTGACTTCATGCCGGGCATTGGTGGTGGTGGTGGTGGAGGGCCACCTGTCATCGTCGGGGACATAAGCAGAGGGGACATCAGAGGAGGCGGCGGTGGAGGAGGAGGGGGAGGAGGAGGAGGAGGAGGCGATGGAGAAACCGATCGGGAGGGCATGTCCGGCAACGATGGTATCTCAAAGCTAGGGAGTAGCTTGGGCACGTTGGTTGTGCCAAGCAGCGGAGGAAAAGGCGGGGGTGGAGGGGCACCCAGCAATAGTGGGACACCCGCGGCAACAGACGGAACGATATTAGAGCTGGTGCCATTCGGTAATGGCGGCGGAGCCGACCCCTGTGGGAGTGCCGTATCGTCAATCGCAGACTTCCGCGACACCTTCGAGCTGAGCTCGTTCAAAAAGTTAAGCAGCATGCCCGGGGACAGAGCTGTTGCCGGCTGGTATTGACTCTGGCTGTTTGTCACATCCGCAACGGGAGTGGCCTTCTGACCGTTGACATACTTGGCCTCCAAGGCCAGGAAGTTTGTCGGTTGGTCATCGTCACTCACCTCCACCTCCTCCTCCACCTCCACCCGTTCAATCACCACCTGGTGCTGCACCGGAGCCAACCTAGACTCCAAGGTGGCACGCAAACTCTCGGCCTCGGCGAGCTCTGCATGGATTTTTGCCATCATCTTCGGATCCATGTCCACGAGCCGGGAGTCACGGTTCGGCGCGGTGAAGTCGATGTTGAAATTCTTGAAGTTCTCCTCTAACTCGCGAAGACGTTCCATCGCGAGGTACTTTTGCTTGTTGTACAACTCCTGGTCCTTTAAGTCCTGGTTGTATTTGAGGATATCATTGGACTCGGACTGCAAGGACACGAGTTTCTTGCGGAGCGACGAGAGCTTTGCGAGGTCGTCCTCCTGCCACGGTCTGGCGGGTCCGAGCTTCACCGGCGACGGGCTCGCAACGTGTTTCTTCGGCACCTTCTTCTCCACCTCCTTCACGGTCTTGATCTTGCGGGTCCGTTTCGGCGACGGCGTCACCATGGCTGCAGGGCCAGAGTAGTTCTGGAAGTCCGTCATCTCCAACTCCCGCGCCTGCTGCTCGATATCGTCCATCTTGTCGCGAAGCGCCCTGAGTCTGGACGACGGCTCGACCGTGGGCTTGCCCCACCTGCGAGTCTCCGAACGGTACTCATCCTTCTTGTTGGCCAACCGTGACTGCAACTTGGTGATCAAGTCCTGGTTGGTGGTTTCGATCGACACAGACATGCCCGACGCGGCGTTGCTCTTCTCAGAGACGGTGGTGGTGGCGGAGTTGTTCAACATAATGAACATCTCGCGCATTTCCAACTCCTGTTGGTGCCTATCCAACACCCGCTTCCGCTTCAAGTCCTCGAGCTCGGAGGTCATTTCGTCGTTCAACTTGCGCTGGCGCTGCAAAACCATCTCCTGTTCCTGCAACTGGACCGAGAGCTTGGAAACCATGCCCTCACCGCCCATCCGCACCTGCTTCGCAAGCTCGTCGCGCTCCGCGCTCGCCTCGTTCGCCACTCTCTTCGCCTCCCGAAGCTCCGCCACCGCCTTTCGAGCAACCTCGTCGGTCTGCAACGTTGAATACAATTTCTGAATCGCCACGTTCACCGTCGATTCGTCGTCTAAAGACGAGCGCATCGAAATGCCCGAGATGACTCCGTCCAAGATGCGGAACGACCGGATCAACTCCGGGTTGTCCGGCTTTACTAACGGGTCCAGCTGCGCGAGAAACAAGTGCTGGATAGCCGACATGAAATACCCCTCGACCTCCGTGTTCTTCACGTTCTCCCACATCTTGCCGATCAAGCTCACGGGGTCGTTCAAGTTGACCGACTGATCCTGAAGGTTCTTGTGGCGCGACAAGACGGCGTAGTCGTCGGCCATGGCGTTCTCGAACTCCTTGATCCAGTTGCTAAGCACGTCGTACTCAAGTCGGTAGAACGCCTCGAGGATCTTGGGGAGACCGAAGCTGCGCATCTGTGCACGCAAATGCGTCCGGACGCGGATGTCCTTGTGGTTGGTGGTGAACGACTTGATCAAGATCATCGTTGACAAGCAGTATTCGTTGAGCTGGTTCTCTCCCTGGGCACCGCGGAGCTCCGCGCTAGCGCCGACCATGGACCCCATGAGCCCTCGGCCGTCGAGCGTCTTCTGTACCGTGCGCATCCACAACTCAAGACGCGTCATGGAGCTCTGTTGGTTCATCACCAGCTGGCGCCGCGACATCAGACTGAGGGCAGTCTCGGATGGCCTCATCTGTTCCAGCACGGGCCCCATGTCGTCTGTCTCGTCGAGCACCCCCGACTTGTCAAAGCCCTGGGGTGTGGCGGAGAGAATGGTCAAGATACGGTGGAAGCTCTCGCCGCCGTGCTTGCCCCAGTTGGCGTAGAAGCACAAAATGTCGGTGACAATCTTCTTTGTCTGCATCCGCGGAGAGAACAACGAGTTGGTAATGGTCTCCATGCATGTCTTTGCCTTGTAGATGCGGTGGGCGCCCTCCAGTACGTTGAGCACGGATCGGAAGCACTTCACCATCAGGAGCTCCTTGTCTAGCTCCGTATCCAGAAGTGACGAGTGGGAGTTCGTGAGCTGCCCGAGCACCCTGGCGAGCGCCACCTCACCCTGCGCCGCCACAAAGCCCTTGACCCACGTGACTGGCTCTGTGCGGAGGGATACCCACAAGTTGTTGAGCTGAGTATCGGTGATGGACTTGTCCATTATCTTGCGGACGTAGAACTCCGGCGTGATGTTATCGTCGCCCTTGAGAAACTGCCGCTCCTGCTTCTTGTACTCGGTGAGCGCGTCCTGGTAGATCAACATCCACTTCTTGTCCACTGAGTAGTGCGACATTTCCTTGCGTGCCACCAGCGGCAAGCTCCGGAAGTCGCGCTTCTCCATCAACACGCGAAACATGGCCTCGATCTCACGTGGGTCTGACGGTTTGCCCAACACAAACTCGGAGTGTAACGACTGAGTCGTGCCGTGGCGCACGAGCTTCTTGGAGACTGAGTGCATGGGCGGTACGTCATACTGCTTGCTCAGGTTACCGCTGGAGCCGCTGGCGATTGACTTGGCATCGTGGTTAGATGACAGCCGCGTGAGCGTGGGCGATAGTGGCGACGCCTGGTAGACCTGGTTCGGATTGGCGAGCATGTGGGGGTGCAGAATCGAGCTGATAGCGACGGGCGTCACGGCCGACGGCTGGCGTTTGAGAAACTTATCCATCATCGACGGATCGTGTTCCGACGGTGTGCGCGATACGGGCTTGCCCTTCTTAATGCTAAAGATGGAGGATGAGGACATGCGGTTGGGGTTGGGCGTGGGACCACTGGGGTAGAGCGGCTCAGACGCGATGGACCGGTCCGATGCGTCCGATGACTGTCTTTTCTTCATGATGGAAGTTGCCGGATTTGCTGTGGGGTGAAGAGGTTCAGGCAATATTCAGAGGATGACCTATTGGAGGCAACAATGAGAATGTATCAATGCCGAGTGTTATCGTCTTGGTGATGCTGGGTGGATCGGCAGATAGCCCAGAGACAGATAGAATGGTTATGTACCAGGGTTTTATCACCGTCTGAGAGTATTTCCGGCAACGTAGCAGTGTCTATACAGGTGTGTTGTAAATCAGAACGGTTGGTGAGGGTATTTTTCTCAGCGGCAGAGACCAGCGTCGTCTATTTTTGTATACCTAGATGGCCGGACTGCGTGGTGCACGCACGTCCCCGGATAGGGGTTTTTGACGTCCCCGGATAGGGGCCTTTGTGGTCGATAAGGATATACCTACGCTCAGTGCTTCGTGAGAGTGTATCTACGCTGTTCCGGGGAGGTTTTAGCCAATAGGTATTGTACTGAAACAGTCCGGTGGTGTATAAAGAGTTGTTATGACGGTGGCCAATTGACGGGAGTGTGAACCGCTACTTGTGACAAGGTTGATACATCGAGACATGTGCGCCAGCTTTAGGCAGATGGGCGTGGGAAACACAAGCCTTCCGCACGGGGGGGAAATAAAGCCGCGCTTGTCTAAGGGGCCGGTATAAAAGCTTTTTGTTTGATTTTTCATATAGGTCTACCTGTTGGATTTATCTGTGCCCCTTTTACGCTTGATTTTTCATCTAAGGTTCAACGTTTGGACGGCTATTGAACATCGAGTTTTGTAGAGCTCCAGCTGCAGGCGACGGAGATTGTCTGCAAGTGACGGATACCCTAGTCGTAGTGGTGTCGTTCAGTGCCCTGTCGATGAATATGTCGCCATGCTCGAATGAGCCAGAAAAAAACTTATTAAAACGCATAATCTATCCAAGTTTATTGAGTTCCGCGTGTGCTCATTCTGAGTTACCCGCAATGTCTGCAACTTTAAACTGTGGCGTAGATAACGTGTATTTTTGAAAGCCGCAATTACACTGGGCTAGACTATTATACAGCATCGCTGTAGTGTGGCGCACGGATACTAGTATATATAAACTCCCACTTCAAGCCCATCGTCAACTTTCGGTAGTTAACAATCGTCCCGACAACCTCGGCAATTTTTACCTCAGCATGAGCTATATAGCTTCGTCAAAAATGGTTCATAGGTAGAAGGACTATTCACCAGTTTACGCAGACACGCACACATACTCTATCACCATGCGTACAAAAGAGCCCCAATCAGGTTCCCCAATCACCTACATCCATACTAACTTTCACCGATCAGTAAGCATGCCAACATTTCACGTCACCTGCCCCTGACCACCACTACGCAGGTAACTCCATTACAGCCCATTGTCGTGTATGTCCTAATACGTGCGGCTCACCCTTGTTATGTGCCCTGTTTGTCGACTCTGAAAAATTTTCCACTCCATGACAATCGCAACGTGGTGTTTACATCTTTATAACCATCATTTTTTCTTCCCTTCCCTTCCCTTCCCTCCCCTTTCCCCCCAAGCACAATATTAAAATGTCTCAAGGTACCTTATACTTGTTCCCAACCTCCCCAAGATCTACGATCTGTAAGAACATTGCCGACTACTTCAAGTTGGACATCAAGATCGGCTCCGTCGAAGATGCCGAATTCAAGAGAGACTTCCCATTAGGTAAGACTCCAGCCTTCAAGGGTGACAAGGGCTTCAAGTTACACGAATGCATTTCCATCTCCCTCTACTTTTTATCCCTTGTTGACAACCACGGTTTGTTGGGTAAGAACAACAGAGAGTACGCCCAGGTCCTCAAGTACTTGTCTTTTTCCAACCAGGAAGTTGCTGGTGCCGCCTTGAAGGCCATCATGCCAACCATCGGTAAGGTCCCATACAACAAGAAGTCGGTTGACGAAGGTTTGGCCACCTTGGAACAGCTCGCCACTATTTTCGAGACCAGATTGTACGACTACACCTACTTGGTCGGTGAAAGATTGTCCTTGGCCGACCTCTTTGCCGCCGGTGCCTGGGGGTTTGCTCTCTCCACCGTCTTGGGTAAGGACTTCCAGAAGAAGCACCCATACTTGGTCAGATGGTTTAAGACCGTCACCGCCACCCCAATCTTGAAGGCTCAGTTCGCTGAGTTCAAGTTGATTGAGAAGCCGTTGGAGTTCACCCCAGTCAAGAAGGAAAAGAAGGCCGCGGCCCCATCCGAAAAGAAGGCTGAGAAGAAGGCCGAGAAGGAGGTTGAAGAGCCAGCTGATGAGACCTACGAAGAGCCAAAGAAGGCCAAGCACCCATTGGAAGCCTTGGGTAAGTCCAAGTTGCCTTTGGACGAGTGGAAGCGTGTCTACTCCAACGAAGACACCAGAGAAAAGGCCATTCCATGGTTCTGGGAGCACTACGACCCATCTGAGTGGTCTTTGTGGAAGGTTGGCTACAAGTACAACGATGAGTTGACCTTGTGCTTCATGTCCAACAACTTGGTCGGTGGTTTCTTCAACCGTTTGTCCGGCTCCACCAAGTACTTGTTCGGTTCTATGGTTGTCTACGGTGAAAACAACGACAATGGGATCGTCGGTGCCTTCTTGGTCAGAGGTCAGGACTCTGTGCCGGCCTTCGACGTTGCTCCAGATTGGGAGTCCTACTACTACGAGAAGTTGGACGGCTCTTCTGAGGCTGACAAGGAATTCATCAACAACATGTTCGCCTGGGACAAGCCAGTTGTCGTTGACGGTGTTTCCAGAGAAATCTCTGACGGTAAGGTTTTCAAATAAGCAATGTGTTAATGTAGGGTGGGCATCGAATGCCTGCTGTTTAATTAATGCGCTTATAGAACGATTGTCTGTAGGGTGAAAAATTCGTAGAATACATAACCTGGCGTTTGTCCGGTAATGGTATGCCCCAATATTCAGTTCTGCCGTCCACACGACATTCCCAAGATTGGTATAGCCAGGAAACTTCCCATGTAAGCTGTTTCCCCCCGACGCCCGAAGACCGCTGTTGGTCGTGCCCGTACCGACATCTCCACACCTCCGCCATACGCATGTGAAAGACTTGGGGGGAAGAGTCACACTGGTTTTCTTTCGGCCTTTTACCGTCGTGCAAAATCCAGACATTAGCGTGTATCCCCACGATGAGCGAACTCCACAACCCCAATGAGAAGCTCGGGGAAATTACCCTACTCTTGCAAAAGATCAAGCAAGTGTCACCGCAGTTGTTGGTCGCAGAGGAAGACGAGATTCCTGCCAGCCTCCATCTCCTGGAGGCGGAAAAGAAGAGCTTTGTGGTGTTAAAAAAGCTTGTACGGTTGAAGAAGATCAAAATCGATGACTCTAGACCCGCGACCCCGGAACACCTTCGCAGACCGTACCCGCTTCAACCCGGTTTGGATGAAGTCCAAGCGAAAGAGGCAGATCCTAAGACGGTGATTTTCAATCGGGGCGCGAAATTCGATGAGTATATTGCCAAAAACACGCGTATCCACAGCCCCAGCTCCATCCACCGAAGGGACAAGTCGCGCATCGCGCGGACGGAACTGGGCCGCGACAAGCCGTTGCTTGCACGCGCGGAGGAGGTCCTTTTGGAACACTTGGAGTCGCTCGTGACACTTCTTGACAACATCAACCTTCTCCAGCGCTTTGTGAAGCGTCTTAAGGAGAACAAATTCCTTGAAATGATCAACACGCACACGGCCAAGATCTGGGTCTTTACGCTTGTTTTCATGATCCGCAAGTCGATCTCGGATTTGATAGAACGCAATACTGTTCTCCGGCACACCAAGGCAGAGTTGGTGGTGTTTTTGCAGACGCGAATCGCCCAACAGAAGCTGGCCGTCGATCCCCGCGACGACGCGTTTATACAGGAGTTCTACACCCGGATCGAAGAGGTCCAGCATGAGCGCAGCTTGATCTTACTAGAGCTCTCGGGAAATGTTATCGACTTTGCATTTGTGTTGACAGAGGTCTTGGGCATAGCGTTACCGGGGTACGTCGAAGGTTTCCTCAGTCTTGTGAGTGGGTTGATGAGCTGGTACAGAATCAGCAAGGTCAACTCCAAGTCGGTGGAGAAGAGTGTATAGATGATAAATCAGGTAGAATAAAGCATTGGAGGTGAAGATCGGAGGGTGTTGGGGAGGATTCATGGGTAACTGATTGTATAATTTGAATATAGGCGTGTAATAGCACATTGTATGGTATGGTAGATTAGGGGCTAGCAACTTGATAAGCTAATTAAAAAGGGTGTAAGGTAAAGGTGTAGTGGATGGATGGGATGTGAACTATATCTATATGCCTTATGATACAACGGTTATGGGTGATGTAGCGGCTATGGATCAATATGCTTTCTTTATCAACAGACCTTGAGGAGTGGATAGTCCTCCTAGGAGGTCTTTAATTTGTAGAAAAGACAATGAGGTATAAAGGCAGTTAGTTTTGGACGAATCCCTATTTATCAAATGCGCGTTGACCCTAACTATTTTTTATAAATTGGTTACGGTTGACCCTCTCTTGACTGTATAACTTGGATTACTTTCTTAGCTCTTGGTCAAGGGATGTTTGGATGCTACTCCTGTAGTCATCCTTAATATACTCTTGGCCTAGCTATAAGGCTTGGTCTGATTGGGATTTCCGTTACCGTTCCTTTATAATTATATTGTAGTATCCCCTTTCTCCCCTACTATTTGATTTATCACAGCATTCTACACTATAGATTCATTATGGGTATATTAGAACAGGAAGGACATGTCTCGACAAAATCGAACTTCCTGACTCTAAAGCCATTACCGACCATAGTACCGGCCAGCTTTTTCACCCCAGTAATCTCCGGTATGAAAACCGGGGTGGGACTCAAATCGGGGGAGGTCAGAGCCGTCCCTCGTGGGCATCTTCATCGATAGCCAGACACTGTGATCGAGTGATCGGTGACGGAAGGGTTAGCAGTTCCGCTTCCACTTTCATTTTCGTTATCATTTCCACTATGCACCACTTGGTATAACTCATCATCCATGGCATACTCGGGATCTCCGATGCTCGCAGAACTACGCACCTCAAACGACTCGTCATCTGACTCGATTACAAAGTTGCGAACCGCATGGACCTCCACTCCTGGTCCGACTTCTAACACTGCCCGCTGGGGTGTTTCCCCAGATGTCAGAGACACGGTCGGAGTCATCTCGTAGTCATGCTCATAGTGGTACTCCTCACTCACCTCTACCACCTCGTAGTGTATCGAATACTCGTCGGTATGCGAGTCATGCACAGTCTGTTCCTGACCAAGTACGCGACGCGTGCTGTGCTCCTCCTCGTAGTAGTACGCCTCGCGCTCGGGCGCGCCAAACCACTCGATGAAGCGGTTCACGCCCCAGCCTCTTTTGAGGGATAGCCAGGCGCGCGGCGGATTCTCGTTTCCTGGCAAGTCGTCCGCACTCATCCGGCGCCCCAACACCGCCTTTTTCTCGGCCCGGCGGTCCAAGAACTCGATGTGGGTGAGCCAGACGTCCACCGTGTAGAGGCCTATGATCTTGACAAATGGACTCAAGTACACGGTCCAGGTCTTGAACCAGATGTTGGCAACGCACAAGATATCGAACACAAACGGCGTGATGATGAAGACCATGTTGACCACAACTAGCGGGTAGGTTTCTTGCCTGTAGGCGGACGCGCGGCGGCGCACTGTGCAGCCGACGAGCCAGGCGCGCGTGGCAAAGTAGTAAAGATTGGTAAATACGAGTGTCGCAATATCGATGCGAGTAAACACAGGGATTCCGAAGAAGGTCTGTGGATAGACGCGTGTGCTTTGCCTGACGGCTGTGGCAGCGCTGCGGAGCGCGGTAAGAAGCACGCAGTACGCAAGGCCCGTGATGAGAAGGAGGCGGCGCGCCTGGAACTTGACCACGTTGTACAAGATGCCGAGCCACGAAAGGTCGATGAGCAAACCGATGACAACCTCGATAGCGGCCTGGAACATGAGCGAGTCGACGATGCAGAGCTGGAACTCGTTGGTGTCCTGGTAGCCCGCGAGGTACGAGACGCAGAGAAGTTTGCCCGTCTTGTACAACATGGCGGTCATCACTGCTGTGAAGATGATCGTGGTGGCCTGGATCAAGCGCCGTGCACGCTGCTTGTTGCGGAGCGCGTACTGTGAGTGGCGGTATGCGTGGCGCGGGTCACGGTGTGCGGACAGCCGCAGAAACGTGTTGGCATACTCGTTATACATGTAATCATTGCGTCCCTTGGAGTTGAGCATTGACGATGCGAGAACCATCAAAATGAGTAAGAGCCAGCTGCCGGTTGTCACGCCCAGCATCACAAACGCCATCGATGTCACGTTGCCCCAGAATGTGTCGCGGAGCGTTGTGAGCGAACGCTGCTCGATGAGAATACGCCCCACGTTGAAGTAATAAAGCTGGAGGTATTCAGTTGGATTGGTGCAGTTGTAGACAAAGAGCTGAGGGAGTCCGAGCTCGAACGTCTGGGGCTGCGACACGTTGTTGAGCAACGTGACGGCACCGTACGGAAGCGCTGCCACGAGGCACGTGCTGTTACCGAGGGCCGGGTAGAACAAGCTCGTGTCGCCCATGAGGTTATACGACAAGTGGTCGTAGTCCACAACCGTTTTGACCATCAGGAAACTATTTTGATACAAGTTATGTCAGCATTCGCAGGGTTGGGGAAAAGCTGCGTAAACGAGATTGGGCGGTTCGAAGTGTGTTTGGCGAAAGGTATCGTGGTATGCCGTATAATGTTTCGAATTTGAAGATGGCAAGACCTTTCAAGGGGGTCATTTCCTCGTCGAGGCTGATTTCTCGTTGGGACCGACTTCTCGTTGCTTTTGCCATGGTCATGTCTTGGCATTTGTAAAGCATGTCCCGATCGGGCGCATCCTGCAGGTGCAAATAACGGTCAGGTATGTAGGAGCGAATAAGCATAAGTCAGCCGCGATGAGCTTCGGCAATATTCGCGTTACAGGACCTCTTTTTTTTTTTTTTTGGTAAACTTACTTACTGGTCTGGACCAAAAGCCATACGGTAGGACATTTTGCTCCTAAACTAGAAACTGGGTTGCATTCTTTCACTTTGGGGGCATTTATCCTCTCCAGTGGGTAGGGAACATCTGACAACCATGATAAAAACGGTGTTACGATAATTGCATGGCCTGCACGCCCACCATTTCACCCCTGTGATGGCTTTTCCCTATGTCTCCTCGGCTACATTTACAGCTTCTGTATTGTTTGGCAGTTTATTCGCTGTCCTTGCTACAAAAGCCCCCCTGTATCTAAATTTCAACGGCCAGCCGTTGTATGCTATTATTTATTATTGATGATCGTACAGGTTCGTGGCCCCATTCCGGGGAGCATTCTAAAGCACTAGCAAGACCCCCCCCCCTTGCAATTATTTTCATTCCATTCTGATCCGTTTCTCAGTGGATATACACCTCAAATACCTCAGAGTTGGGAGATTCGGATGGTATATAGGGCAAGCCATCCTCCAAATTCTCAGACCTTAGTGGTAATCCATAGTGCTCGTGCATTGCGTTATTGGTGGACACGATCGAATCAAGGTGTATAGGTGGGTCAACAGGGTAAGAGCTTGGGGTCCGTAGAATCTCCTCGTCTCTACCCATACCTTCACTGCCGTGGCTTCCAAATGAAATAATAAAGGCGTTAAGCTTGGTAAAGAGACCAGTGGGATGTGGTAACGACAGATTATTTATTGTCCCCGACGTCCGGGAACCGGCACCACGTCGATTGGAGGGAGGCTGTGACGGTGATTCCAAATCCAGGTGATTGGTTTTTCGGCCCAACACACCGGCACTCTCTTCTTTGCGAACCAGATAGTCGATTCTTGTTAGCCAAACATCGACGGTGTAAAGGCCAAGTACCTTCATGAGTGGGACCCACATGATTGACCAGGTGCGGAACCACATGCACTCAGTACCCAACACGCTAAGGATGAAAGCTATGATAAAGAACAGGATCGATATGAAGGCCAAGAAGAAGGTGGCCTTCACGTAGGCATACTTGCGCTTGTGAATGGTGTACCCGAGAAAAAAAACCCTTGTAGCCACGAAGTAGATCTCACGGAGTACAATAGAGGCTAGTTTGATCTTGCTGGTAGACTCTGATTTGGTGTAGTTCCGTTTAAAGGAGTTATTTTTCATTTCCGTCAGGATCGTAACACACCCAAGCACGGTAAGCACTAGACAGTACGTCAAAGCGATGCCAAAGAAGAGCCGGCGGTAGCGCGGACGAATCAACCCAAGAAGAAGGCTCAACCATGCGAGATTTATGAAGAGCTGAAAGAGGACGTCTCTGAGAACAGAAAACCAGACCGAACTAAGAATCTCCAAGTGGAACTCCTTCACATCCTGGTAGCCGGCCATATATGATGCCTCAACGTTTACGGTCACCTTCACGAACACGGCGGTGAAAAGGGCGGTAAAGAAGAGCACGCAAAACTGCATCAACCGTCTGGTGCGAGTCTTGTTGGTGAAGGCGGACTTCGAGTGTTGATAGTTTCCGCGGTAGTCACGGTCACGCGCCTGGCCACGCGCAAAGTTCTGGGCGTACTCGTTGTAGACGTAGTCGTTTTTGGTTTTGGTCTTGACAACCTGCGAGGATATGAGCATAAGAATGATCAACAACCAGGCAATGATCGCGACGCTGGAGAGCGCGTAGCAGAGTGCGTCCACGCCACCCCAGCTGACGTCCACCGTGGTCAGAAAGGCATATTGCTGAAGCAACTCCTGGCCAAGCTTGTAGTAGTAATTGATAACCTCTTCTGAGTAGGATGTGCAGTTGTAGAGATAGAATGCGGGTAGGTGGAGGGTGATGTTTGTGTGGGCGTCTAGCTGAAGGCTACCATAGGGAAGCACCATCACCTGGCAGGAGGCGTTACCATAGGGATAATCGAAAACCAGTGCGTTGTTGACGACATCGAGATATCTCGGATGGAATATATGAGTTTGCACCATTGAATGTGGGCTTAGAGCATGGCGAGCCGCGATGGAGGGTACGGTATACGTGGAGATATTGCTGTCGCTCAGATGTTTTTGGTTCTTCGAGTGTAAGACACCTTACCTATATTTTCCGAGGCGTAAGTGTATGGTACTTAAACAGGTTGGGTCGTCGAGATGGGAAAGAAGGCGTTGCCGTTTGATTACTGACGGACCAAAGCCCAGAATACAAGCTTTTGGCCGCCCAGCCTTTTGGGAAGAGCTTTGGCATCCTGCACCGAAAAATTCTCCTGACGAACAGGTCAGAAAATCTGACAATGATCTGCAGCTCTCCATGCACACGCAGGATGCTACGAGGCTGGGCCCAGCGGTGGCAGCCATCGAAGATCCCACGGAAAAGCAACAGCTTTTAATCAGTTTAGTAGCAGTCTATATATGAATGGCTCGCCTATAAATAGATCTTTCCTATGTGTGGATGTAAGCCAGCTATGATGAGTATTCACACTGTAAAACTCGGCATCACTCGAATTGCAAAAAGGTCTGCGAGATGTATTACTTTGCACGTAAATTTTTTCTACCAGAGGGGAAAGATCCGCAGCAATAATTTCACAGATTTTACAGTTTAGGTTTCCGGGGTGAATAGACTAGTCACTCCTGGTAGATTACAAATGCAAGTGTGCATTAAGGTAGCCTTTCAGATTCCGTCTGCTCATAGAAGACATGCGTCCATATTCCGTTATTTTTCAGGCTTTTTTTTCCCTCAATAAATGAGCTGCCAAATAGTATATTACGGTTCGCAACCGTGCGGGTAATGCACGGAATCTGCTGGAACAACTGAGCCATTGATTGTCAGAGACATTGGCACATGCTCTGCATAACGTATGTGGCTAAGGGGTCAGCTCTTCGAAGTACGTTCTCTTGGGTACTTAAAACCTATTAGGCCCCTTACGGGTATAGGTCAACCATGGTATCGTATTGCGGGTTCCACCCATGAAGATGGAGATATAAGCTTTGCAAACGGATCCTTTTCACTGGACTCTAGTGTTTCTCTCATGGCCAGACGGTCTTTGCACTACAGGTCATTCACGAAATAGATATTAGATATTCATTACAAATTATTTTTGGAAGAAATTCCCTCCCGCGAGCTCAAATCATCTATTTAAAGTCCTTGAACCACTTGGTGCCCTTTTCCAATGGAGCAGACAAACCCTGCTGGGCTGGAATGTAGTTGACGCGGTGGTAAGAGTTCAAGTTCTTTCTCAAAACAATCTGGTAACAAGTAGCAGAACCCTGTCTGGAGATGATGGTGGAAGAAGCCAAGAAGTACTCCCAGATTCTGAACCATCTGGCACCGTACTTGTTGACGGCCTTCTCCTTGTTGCCCATCCAGTTACGGTACCATCTCCACAAGGTGGCGGAGTAATCGACACCGATGTTGTCAATGGAGACAACCTCAAAACCAGTACTCTCCAACTTGGAGACGACAAAGTCCAACGGAGTAGAGGCATCGGCACCTGGGAAGATGTATCTGTTCATGAAAAGACCCCAAACGAGATCCTCGTACTGCCAAGACTTACGCAAACCGGCATACTGCAAGTAGAAAAGCCCATCGTCATCCAACATGTCGTAGACTTGCTGCAAGAAACTGCCAAAGTGCTTGATCCCAACGTGTTCGGACATCTCGAGACAGGTGATTTTGTTGTACTTACCCTCTGGGACCGGGGTGTCACGGTAATCCATGCACAAGATCTCGGACTGGGATTGCTCAACGCCGTAAGAGCGCAACTGGGTGTTACCCCACTTGGTCTGGTTACGGCCCAAGGTGATACCGGTGACACGAGCGCCGTACTGCGAGGAGGCGAAAGAGGCAAAAGTACCCCAGCCGCAGCCCAAGTCGAGGACACGGTCGCCTTGCTTCAAGTCAATTTTTTCACACACAATGCGCAACTTGTTGTCCTGCAATTGCTCCAAAGTCTCCTCCTTGGTAATGTCGCTGATGACACCGGAGGTGTAGATCATTCTTGGGCCGAGGAACCAGGCGTAAAAGTCGTCACCACGGTCGTAGTGGTCACGGACCTGCTCCTCATCCTGGGAACGAGTGTGCATGATGATTTCCGGGATCATCCCGCAGATGAAGAATCTGAAAAGGGAGAGGGTGAAGCGGAAGGTGCACCAGTCATGTCTGTACTCCATGACATCCAAACAGTCACCCTTGAAGCTGACCTTGCCGTCAAAGTACAACTCGTGGAAGGTCTCCATTGGGAGCTTGGAGCCCTGGCCGTTGTTGGAAAGAACGTACTTCTTATTCAAGTCTTCGTCGTGGAACTCCAAATAGTCACCCACCGGACGGTTTGGCAATTGCACGCGCTCATTCAAGCGAGGGGAGTAGGTGGACAAGATGGTCCAGTAGGCCATCAACAAGGGGAAGAAACAGAGAAGGGTGAAGAAAACCCAAGTCTTGAGGCCACCGCCCAACTTGCGGGCTATGAGGGCCGGGATCAACACGAGGAACCCCCCGAGGGCCCAGTTGGAAAAGTGCTTGGACCCCGGACCGTCGGCTGGCGCCGGCGCGTTCTTGATCGCTGGGCTGGTGGTGGTTTCAATCCCGAATTGGGAGCCCAACTGTTCAAGGCGGCGCGCTGGCGTCTCACTGTACTTGACGGTGGTAAATTCCACGTCATCCATTGGGGCAGACATCGCTATAGTGAAGAGAAAACTTGCAAAAAAAAGCGCGAATGGCGGAGTTGAAGAGGAGACAAAAGGAAGAAGCAAATTGGTTAAATACACGCTGTACAAAATGAGAAACCGGCGATGGACGTGTCTCTGCTTAAGGTGATCCGAGGGTTGGGAGCCAAAGGGACACGTCGACGTAGCTGCCGGATACTTTTCACGGCTTGGCAGGTGCACGTGATGTGTACTTATGTGCAGGCTGCCTGAGGCGCAGTCTTCGAGGGACCCCGCTAAGGTGAGGGTTTCCGCCGGCTGTCTCGGGGCGGACTCAATTTCCAAGGGTCTGGTTGAGGAATTCATATCGTTCACTGTATTCCTTGCTGGCAAAATTGGTCGAATGGGCGTCTTTCTCCATAAGGGCACAGTTCTGGTGGCACAGCGGGTAGCGAGAAATTCTAAGATGTAAACGCAGGACTTTTTACTAGGCTTTGCGCTGGTCTGGGCATACAGATGGGATGAAATATGTTGGTGGGTTGTTGGCTTTCTCCTTGGTTGGTGAATTACTCTCTCTTCCTTGGTCGTGTAAATAATGGCAAAGGGCTTGTTACTGGCTGTGTTAAAGCCGGTACACGGTGTCGACAAACATCTCCCCGACGAGATGATACCCCTATGATTAATAGTATGACATTTCAGTAATTTGTTTTAACGACATGTCAAAATCTAACCTTACTGATGTTCTTTCCGGTACTCGGAAGGACCTTGACCCTTTGGACATGTCTTGTCTACAAAAGATATTTTTACGGAAAATGGTATCTGTGATATATATTGGATATTTTACATCTAATTATTTTCTGGTTTGAATACTGATTTTTTGTGTATATCAACTTCTCTCTAACTATATGCATCTTCAGTTGCTCATATACATATGTCTAAGTGTTTTAATATTATTATCAAAGTATATGGCCAAACCGAATCCAGGTTCGATACGCAGGGTATACATTGCCAAATCCCACCTTTTTCGTTTTATTATGGCTGGTTTTGTTAGGCGTACCTCAAAGCTGGCAGGAAAAATTGGTCAGTATACATGTGATAACTACTGGCCCGAACACTTTCTATACCTGCATACGTCTACCATACTACCCAAAAGACAAGAGTAAACACAGGATACACTTTAATTTCTACTTCGGGAAATATCCAACCAAACGGGTGTTTATCTGATTAGTATGTCAAATAGAGTTACACGGAGTTTGCTTACAGGCGTGCGCTACTTACGTTCAGACCTATTGGGCACGTTGCGTGTATGCATTTAGACATAGTCACTTAAATGGACGAACAGTTCGTAGACGACGAAAACACGTTGTCTTTTCACCCATACCATTCAGCAAACGGGGGGAGGACTGAAGCAGACAAAACACCTACACGGGCACTACGCTTCCCGCTCGTCTATGTTCATTTATCTGCGATGTATGGGCTGCGTGTGACACACTGTCTTACTGTGGTTTTTTTTTGACGTTCCCCGCAGCTGATCTTCCCAAACGAGAATTTCGTTTATAACGTTGATAGGAAGGCTCAGGTTCTTGGAGGCATCTTGATGCCCCAGATTACTTGGAGCCATGCATGTTTCAAGGGATAGGTTATTGTTTAGGTAAGCTCTATACTCAATCGGGCACAACATTACAAGCGCAACCAGTGACACTCAACCACACAGTCTACCACCCAAGAGTAGGAGCTCTCTGGAAAACAACGCAGGGATAACACAGGGATATGATGTAATAGAACCTTTTATCAAAGATCGTTATGCCTATGAAAAGTGCCAAGGGTATTTTCAATATGTAGTCGAGAAAATCCCACGTGTGGTTCTCCATATTCATGGGTTCTATATTTAGAAATATCCTGCCCCTTGCACTTAAACTTACGAGCAAAATACATTACATCACCATCCATGAATCATGCAGACTCGAAAGTTTATATATGAAGCTCTGAAAAAATGAGAGACGTATCCACGAGCGCTATAGTGTGGACAAGCTTTGGTTTTCCCCTGATCAGGCAATTCCAAGCTCTGGTTACTGGATAGAGATGAGAAAGCATAAAGCTCAGACCATAGAAAGCCCCTCGAGGAGAAGGGAGTTTTCGGTAACCTACTGTAGGCTCCATCCGGACGTACGTCTCTATGCTGCTATGTTCGAACGCACATGTAGGTACAGGACACTAGTAACCGTATGGTGATAAAGGGAATATATTGAGCCTGGCTGCTAGAAGTAGCGCTAACGCCAAGATAATGTACGGAAGCAGATATCTGGAATAGGAGACTACAGGGATGCGCCTTAGCTCCCCGAAACTGTTTCAAGATGCCGCTATCAGTGGATGGACATGCACGAAGGGCCAACCTCCTAACGAAAAATCTAATTCGGCTGCGAATAATAAGGATAGCGAAAACAGCTCGTAAAATGACCAGACCTCCCTGTGCTCGATATCTCTCGTCAAAGATAAAGTTACACGAAACAGTACAGTAACTACCTGACCTTCCCGGCTTAGCAAGATTTCAACACCCCCCAAACGTTAAGTCTCAGCCTGTAGAGAGTTAGAACTCTGCAGTATTGGGGTGAGACGTAAACTATGCGCATCTTATCTAACGAGCCCCGCCCTGTATGTTTCACCCTGAATATGCCCTAAAGAGGAAATAGTGACATCGACACTCTAAGAGAACTAAACTCCCAAGTGTAATTATTCCTTGTGTGGGTTAATTAGTGCCCATACATCTGGAATAGTCTAGGAATAGAGTTCGGCACTGCACGAGATAATTTCCTCTATAAGAGCCCTGTCCCGCTTTAAATTTCAGCCATTTTCCGGGCTGCATGCGCCATGGAGAATTTTTTTTTTGGAGGTGACCATAACTGGCCTTGGCTCCTATGCGCACCTGCTGGGGCGAATTATAGGTTTCATGGTTCACAACAATCCCTCCAGCCGTAAGCTTGTCAGAATGCCATCCAACAATCAGACTGAATAAATCCGTACTGAAAAACCAGCTGGCTGTAGCAGCTGACAATTGACTACGGGTTGAGAATTTCTTTTGGTCGCCATGCAGATGAATACGCATGCATGTCCGATTCCATACTGCTGAGTGCGACAGCAACATTGTCCTGAATCTCTGAATCGCGGTTACGAAGAGCCCGGTTAGGCAAGAATATGTCCTGATCGGGAGAAAAACCGCGCGCACGCGTGAAAAGAGACACGTACGTTCCACATTGGTATCCGTCGATGCGTCCATCACATTAAATGCGCCTCTTTCGACAGCTGACAGTGGACCTTGGTCTTACGGGAACATGATTAATCGCAACTGAAATTGTATCCACTACTTTGCTGGCCCCATAACAACGCTACTTGGTGGATCGATGTCCCCGTACTTTTGTGAGCGCATGTGTTCATCTGCAATAGAGTTTAACTTAGATTCTCGACTACGCACGCAGCCATCCACTGTGCAACTGTCTGCCGGCAAACATGTTTCATCTGCTCCTTTCCTAATCAGGATAAGCAGGGGTCTTGGATGTGTCCAAGGCTAAGCAGCACAAAGAAAATAGCCCTGGTATCTCACCGGGGACTGCCAGGAGTCTGCGATCTGCGTTTGCTCGTTGGAAAAAAAAAACAGCGCAGCGTCAAAAAGAAAAAAAAAGTCCAAGCCTCTCCACGCACCTGTCTGCGGGTTCCCCTTTGGGTGCAGGCTATGCGTTGCTGCACATTCCCAAGGCTAAACTAATCTCTTTCATTCGTTTAAGTTGGTGTTTGTGTGACTTGCAGCGACCGAAAAAAGGCGAAGAGGCACCTCCAAAAAACGCAACCACCGTTCTATATATATCAACTTCACTTCCTCTTCCGCACGCGAACAGTTACTGAACCTCTCATTATTCATCTCGCTCCTTATAGTCCCCGGCTACCACACTCGTTTAAACTCAGAACACGCCAGTCTGCCCCATGCCCTAGCGCCTTTTATTTCCTCCATTTTAGTCCCTTAGCACTATGCATCCATCCACACATCTCTCGCCTGTGCCGGTTAGCGCTCGACGGGGTCACCAGCACCGGCGGTCCGCGGCCATCTCCGGCGATTTTGACGTCAACAGCATCTTTCTTCCACCCGTGGCGTGCGACCTGCCAAAAGCCACTCCTGCATTCCCCCGCCAGTCGCCCAGATACAGCGCGGTGTCCAGAACCACCAGCATTGCCGCCAGTGGCGTTCCAGCCTTTAAGTTTGGCGACGACAGCTCCCCCAAGAGCAACTACCACTTCAACTTCAACAATGACGAAGACTTCTCCAACAAAATCACCGAGAGCTTCAACTTCCCCCACTCTTCCCCGTCCTTGTCTCCGTACAACCTGAGTGACGAAACCTTTGCATACCAACAGAACATGTCCACCTCCCCGCCAGCCATCTTTGTTAACGACGACCCGGTTCCTACGCCCCAGGGGCGGAAGATCTTCAGAGGCCGAGACCGCATGCCCCCTTCGAACTTGAGCTCTCCCATTGCCATGGTCTCGGCGCGGAAACCGGCCCGCCGCCTTGGCACCAACGGCAGCACCAAGTTTTTCATGACGGCAGACATCGGTGTTAACGAGGAGAACGTTCCTGACGCGTTGATCGACTTGGACGACATTCTCAGCTTGAGCACGCCCAAGCGCACGGCCCACCGGCGCACGGAATCGGCGCCGGAGTTGGAAAACTTCAATCGCAAGGCCTCGCCGGTCCACCCGAACAACGGCATTTGCTATCCCTCGGTGTTTGACACTCCGCTGAACGAAGACTTCATCTTGGAAGACGTGGAGGAGGAGAGCGAGGAGGAGTTGGAGGCTGCCGGGAAAGCGCCCAGCGCCCTTTACTCAAACTTCAGCGGCAATTCGTCCGTATCGTCCATTGGGTCGACGCTAGTCAACCCCAGCGCCAGCAATTTGGCTCCTCCCGTCAACATCAACCGTCTCACCCAGCAGTCTCGGTTGAAGAACCGCAAGTCCATGCTGCGGTTTGAGGATACCTGGAAGACCAAAGCCAAGGCTAGCGGGATCTACGTGGGGTCGGCCCCGATTACGATCACCAGGGCTCCTGAGGCCAAGCAGTTGGGCCATTCCTCGTCTTTGCCGGCGATGAATGCCAGCAAGTCCAGCCTTGGTAAGCTTATCGAGCCCCTGCTTTCTTCCCCCGCTGGGGAGTCGTTCACCTCCGTCAGCACGTCCAACTCATTCAGTACCCATCCAACACCGGTGTTGCTCAGTACGCCCGCCACAGTCATAGATGACGACGGCCGCGGCACTGACTCATCCGATGCCACGAAGCCAACGGATGACGAGGACGAATACACCATTGAGGGGGACTCCACCATGGTTGACTCCGAGATCACGCCCAAGTTTGTCCCAGTCGCGGCCTTTCCCGAGGCGCTTGAGTTCGGGAAGGCCTCGAAGCAGCAGCTCCACCCGTTCCAGGGGGGCGAGAGTTTTGACGAGCACGTTGCGGTAGGCCAAGTCTCGATTGACTCCTCCACTAGTACGCTCCAGATACCGGCGGTGTATTCGCCCGCCAAACCACCAATCTACTACCATTCATCCAAGCATAACCCCCACCGCAAGTCGTTGGTTTTGCCGGCAGCCGTTGACCTCAGCGGCACTGGAGACTCAGACACCGAGTCGCAGCTTTCGCTAGAGTCGCCCACCAGATCGTCCAAGCACCGCCGGTCCGCCCTGAGAGTATCCCTTGTGAGCTCCGTCGGCGCCGGGTCGTTGTATAACTCGTCTGGTGTGGGTTCTTCCGCTAGACAGAGGCCGGTTTCGGCCTGCTTTTCGCTTTCTGAGGACATTGCGGGTGTGATTGACTTTGACGCAGAACAGCAGAAGCATTTGCACATGCGGAAAGAGAAGATGAAGAACCATGGGCGGTCAAAGTCTGCCGCCCTTTTCCTTGCGCCAGAGAAGGAAGTGCTGTCTCCAAAGAAGTCTCCCAAGGAATCAAACTTCATGAATCACATCAAGTTTTACAAGTCCGCCAGTGCGGCCGAGACGGTCCTGGCCAACCCCTCTCCTTCCTTCAGGCTTGGTCCCTTCCAGAAACGCAAGGAAAGGAGCAAGTCGGTGTTGTTACCAACCACCAAGACCAACAGGCTCTCTCCTGAGCTTGTAGTTATGTCATCGGACTCGTCGTCGTCATTTGGCAGCAACGCCGTGGTCATTTCCGGCAACGGGTCGTTTTTGACCCCCACGTCTAGCAAGAGAGACGAGAACTCTGATGCCAGAGAGAGAAACAGCAAGCTGGGCTCGGCACCCGCGCCGGAAATCACCCACAAGGCGTCTTCTTCTCCGCTATCCACGCGTTCGTTAGCGGTTCCCCTGGAGATTACCCGGTCGCAGAGCCCGCAGAAGAAGAAAAAGTTCTTTCCGGACATTTCCAGCACCAAGAACCACTTGCGCCGCGGCAGCGTGAACCGGCTTTTGCCGAACGAGGTCATGCTGAACCTGAGACACAACCGCCTGTTTGGGTCGTTACTGATGGTAAACTTGCGGTCGTCGGTTCGCTTGGACCTTGATAACTACGATGATACTTCCAGCGTCGTGGCAAGCATTAACACGGAGAGAGAGAGCGTCATGGATGATGCCAAGCTGCGAAATTCGCGCAAGACTCCGCGGATTATCAGCTGGATCCGTCGCAGGTGAGGGGACCAGTTGATGAGATATTATTCATACATGCATATTTTGGTTTACAGAATTGTAGAAAGCGTAGATTCGGGGATTGAGATAACCGCTGACGGCTAATCCTAGCATAATTGCGAAGGTGAAAGTGCCAGATCGGTAGTGAGAACCGTAGTGGGAGCTGTACCGTGGCATTCAAAAACCAAGCCTATTACCCCTGAACCACATGTATTTGAAGGTGTCTAGATTCATAGGCCGTTCAGTAGAAATACCGGAGCATAATTCCGGGTCAGTGAATCTCTCAGTCCAAAAGGTAGCACCTATAAACAGTATAATGTCTTCTCGTTAAAATAACCTAATCAGAACGTGAGTTGTCCAGCTCTCTACACGTGATGCATACCCGGGAAATGCATGTGCCAAAAACGGAGATTCCTGTATAGGGCGAAAAATATAAGTGGTTGGTGGCTTTTTTTTTATATGCTGGACCTGGTACACCCTTACTTACCTAACCTGCTTCTCTTGGTGATAGAGGAAACAACTCGAATTACCGATTTCTGCGATTCTTGTGGCCACGTTCATTCCCCTCACCGCTGCTCTATTTCCATTGAACCAAGCACAACGTGCATACCCCCACCTTTCATCGCATTTTCCACGGCTCTATGAGACTCCAACCCCCCAGTTCAGTGAGACACTTTTCCCGCTCGTCAATCTGCCGTTTACAGCCTAATGAGGTGCCAGTAGATCCTTATAGGGCCCACATCCACACGCCGCCCTCGTCACCGTTCCACTACAAACGGTTCCGCACACTAAACGACCTTCCGTCGGTCGATTTCGCGTCCAACCAGCACATTCCCGCGGGAAACGAACAAGCCCTATCGGCGACCCTCAGCCAGTTTAACGCACCTATCAGATATGCCTTGGGATACGGCAGTGGGGTGTTTGAACAGGCGGGTTACTCGGCGTCGGACAAGAAGCCCCAGATTGACATGATCTTTGCGGTGACGTATCCCAGCCACTTCCACCTGCTCAACCTTAACCAGTTTGCCGAGCACTACTCGGGCTTGCGTGTGTGTGGCTCCGACATGGTTGCATGGATCCAGGAGACGGCCGCGGGCATGTACTTCAACCCGTTTGTGGAGATGAACAGCCAGGTGATCAAGTATGGGGTCGTTAGCGTGGAGCGCGTATGCCTGGATTTGGAGAACTGGGACAGCTTGTACATTGCTGGACGCTTGCATAAGCCGGTGAAGGTGTTGCGGGACGACCCACGCATCCGCTTTGTCAACCAGTTTAACCTCCGGAGTGTGATTAACCTCTCGATGATGTTGAATAGCAAGAAGAAGGCGTTCACGGAAGGTGATTTGTACCGCACCATTACTGGTATTTCGTACAAGGGTGACCCCAGAGTGAGACTCGGCGGAGAGAACCCCAATAAAATCGGGAACATTGTCTCTGGACAATACGAGAACTTCAGGTTGTTGTACAGTCCGTTGCTCTTGGACGCTTCTAGTAACCAATCATTGCAGATTGTGAATGAGGTGGATACTGCCGTTTCGGGAGCGAAGGAATACCACTTTGAGCAGAATGAGGACCCCAAGGCCCGCGCCTTGTTGCTCCAGACATTGCCGCTTTCCTTCCGCCGCCGCCTATACGCGCTCTACGCCTCCAAATACGGTGCCGAGTTGGCTGCCGATGAGATTGCTCAGCGAGTGTTGCTGCTCACATCTACAAGCTCTACTACTACATATACCGCAGACAGCTGCTCGGGGTTCGCGTTGGCGATCGCCCAGGACAAGAACTTGGTCAAGGCGTTGAACAAGGCGATTATTAGCACCGTCTCCGGCCCAGCGCTCGGGCAGATGGTGAAGGGTATTGTGAGTGCGGGAATCGTCAGAAGCGCGAAGTACGCATGGGACAAGAAGGTCAAGAACTGGCAGGCCAAAAAAGCGTAGACGTATTGCTTAGATGGGAAAATACAGTATAGGTAATTAGTTCTAAGGCTGTAGACCGTTGTAAAATCAGCTTGAGTGGAGGGTAAACATTTGGTTGCAGTTCGGTGTACACAGCATATGCGGGGATACACGGTATCGCGGGTTTCCAGCTAAAAGAGAGTGCGACTAGTTTAGTATCTTTTCGAAAGAATTAGGTCCGAGTTCCATATAAGGCTAACTAGGTCTGGATTGGTCTGAGGCTGCGCATGATCTCAGTCTGGAACGAGGACTATTCAAAGAATAGAGTGCATACGGCAATTTTAAGGGGACGTCTGCATTTCTGTATAAACAAATTAAAGTTGAATATAGTCACGTTGTAAGATAAAGCGCACGTACTAGGTGTAGGCCTAAGACTCTCAATTTATCTCAAATCTACCCCGATACCAGGGCCTGATACATTTAAAAGTAAATACGTCGGTGGCGACGATCTAAATTAATCCATGATGCATCTATTTATAGCAATGTATTACCCTGGCCCTGGTCTCTTGAGTATATTAATGGGATATGCAACAATTGCTCCACCGTAGGCATCTATCTCGCATTAACGCACCACCAAGATATAAAGTAGGGATAAGCCACAACGTATTCTGTTGACTGGTGATAGCTAGTATCCACCATACGTCACCACACGCGATGGTGCATTATGTGACCCCTTTTTCTGAATGGTTCAAATGCTAGGGATAAAGGTCTGAGCTTTGTCGAGGTTGTTGGATTAGTTGCTAGGTAGGGATTCTTTCCTGGTGATTTCGTCGATCTCGGTGATCTCGTTTGGCTTGAGCGAAGTGGAGTGAGATACTAAAACAAGGCGGAAGGAAAGCCGACGTGGTCGAGAAGAGCTTAGGGTCACTCATTTTTATAAAGCGCATGGCTTGGCAAAATCCGAATGCACTGCTCGTAGAGCTCCAAACACGAATCGATGTCTAGCAGCCCCCGACATAGCGTGGTACACCGTCGAAAGGTCCCTCCACCCCTCGGCCACTATGAGACAGAATATTGCAGTATCTACCTGGTACTAAGAAGAATGTTATAGTTGTTTGCTTTACTAGCGTATTAAACACAATCCTAAGGAGCGTGAAATCAAAGGGTTGCATGATGGCTTAAGTCTTTTTATAAGTGGTTGGTGACTTATATAGTATTATTTTAACCGGATGGTTTGCCTGTATTTTGGGGCCAAGTAGATTAGTCAAATCTCTCAGCTACCAATGAATAGCGTAACCGATTATAGAATGTTGGTCAACACGTTTGAACCACATACGACTTAAACAAGAATATGAGAGTCAGTAAGGTCTTGGAGGATTATTGACGGTTAGAAAAAACGGCGCCAGTGGTTTAGTGGTAAAATCCAACGTTGCCATCGTTGGGCCCCCGGTTCGATTCCGGGCTGGCGCAGTCTTTTTCACTCGTTATTATATTGAAGAGACTCAGAGTTAATTACGGGGACTTTTAGTCAATAATAGGCAGAGTGAGCTGGAGATTGCGACATTGCTGATGAAAGTCAACAGGTGGAGAGTGATTCTGGCAGCCATCGAATCAACCATTGGTTGTCACGTTTAAATAACAAATCGCCACCTGATAGAAAATATTCAACATAACATTGGCATTTTCCATAACTGAGTACTATTCCTTACACAAGAAGGTACACGACTGGCTGGGTATAAACCACAAGATCCCCTTTACAAACATCTAACCGTTTAAAGCGAGCTTATAAACGTACAAGGATTTGAGATACATACTAGTATATTATAATAAACATACCAGCCCACAACTAAATGCGCTCTTGGCCATACGCTGGTGTTTGCAACCAAGCTCATAAGTATGGCTAAAACTGTGCACAGATAAAGCATCTCACGAATATGAAGAATAATACCAGAATCACTACTTCCTCTCACCTTTACCATTCATAATAGTATATAATTATCGCATTAATATCAATTCGGTGTAACCATTCATTGAGCATATTCAAGCTTTTCTTACGGTTGGGCACTGGGGTAAACAGCCCAGGCGAACGTTTTGGTTACGCGTGCGCGAACCGCAAACCACCTCCATCAAAAAAAACATCAAAACGCCATCTTCATTACACTCTCACCTTTCGTTTCCAAACCCATTCGGCATGCACACAACGCCGCGCAGACCCAAGGGCTTCACCGTGGACCTCTCCACGCAGCCGTTCCGTGTCGCGCACCAGAAAATCGCGGTGGATCTCGACCTCGCGCGCAACACGCTCGCGGGCTTTACGGAAATCACCGTGATCCCCACGGACCCGCACCTCAAGAACATCAAGCTCGACTGCCGCGGGCTCGCGGTCAAAAACGTATGGGTCAACAATCGCAAAACGTCGTTCCGCCACGCGGACCAGCTCAACATCTTCCGTGACGACCTCCACTTCGAGCAGCCCGCCGCGCGCGCACCCGAAACGTACACGTACTTCGGGCCCAATTCGCGACACATTGGCATTCACCAGCACCAGCTCGTCAAGACGCGTCTCCACTACCTCTTCCAGGAAGGCAACACCGAAGAGCTCACGGTGGTCATGCCCGAACGGCTCAAGATCACGCTCCGCGACTCCGCGCAGTTCAGCTCGTTGACGCCCATGCGCGACTCACCACGCACGCCACAGACCGGCGAATACATATACACGCCGCTCACCGTGAAGGTCGAGTACGCGTGCCATAACCCCAAGACGGGGCTCAATTTCATCTCAGGCGAGCTCTCTGCGAGACCGCGAGCGCAGTGGCATGCGTACACGACGAACTCGGAGTACAACATTGCGACATCGTCATGGGTGCCGTGTGTGGACAATCTCTGGGAGCGATGCACATGGCTGGTGGAAATTGCTATTCCAAGGACGGTTATGGATATCGGTACGAGCGCGCGCGCCAGCGAAACGAGTGCGAATATTAGCCGAGGGGATCGGGCAAGTGCGCGCTCGCACGCTCGTGGCAGCGCCCGCACAGCCTCGGAGGAAGCGGCGACCCTCACCTCTGACGAGGTTTTAGAGGTTTCCGACGAAGACGACAACTGGGAACTCATCCTCTGTTGCGGCGATCACCACGCCAAGGAAACCCCCCACGCGGACCTCTCTAAAAAGCTCGTCAGTTGGCAGCTCTTCAGCCCCGTCGCCGCGCACCACGTGGGCTGGGCTGTCGGCCCGTTCAACGCCATCTCTTTCCCGTCCCTTAACGAGGATGAAACCGATGACAAAGATGCCGGCTCGGTTCCCGCCACCATCTACTGTCTCCCCGAGGCGAGCGAAGCAGCCCTCAACACGTGCGTGTTTATGAGCAAGGCCATTGACTTCTTTTCCAAGGAGTTTGGCTCGTTTCCGTTCTCATCCTACGCGGTCTGCTTTGTAGCGGAGCCTGCGTGCGAATCGGCCGCGTTTGCGGGGCTCTCCGTCGTCTCTGACAAGGTCCTTTACACCCCAGACCTCCTCGAGCCGATGTTTCCCTCCACCGAAACGCTTCTCCACACGCTCACGAACCAGTGGTCGGGGGTCAACTTGGTGCCGCGCACCAGCGACGATATCTGGGTGGTGATCGGGATCTCACACTATATGAGCCTCCAGTACATCCGCCAGCTCATGGGCCAGAACGAGTACAAGTTCCGGGTCAAGCGGCAGGCGGACCAGATCTGTGAGGAGGACGTGGGGAAACGGCCGCTTGCGGACCAGTTCTGGAGCTATCCCTTGAGCGACAAAGACTTTGGTTTCCTCAAGCTTAAGGCGCCGATTGTGTTGTTCATCCTCGACAAACGGATGACCAAGACGGACAAATCGTTCGGGCTCTCGCGCGCGTTGCCCAAATTGTTTCTCCAGGCGATGCTGGGCGACCTCCCCAACGGCTCGCTCTCGACTGCACATTTCCAGCACATTTGTGAGAAGGTTGCACACCACAAGATGGAGGCGTTCTTCCGCCAGTGGGTGTATCGTGCGGGGGTCCCTGTATTCCAGGTGTCGCAGAAGTTTAATAAAAAGCGGATGTTCATCGAGATGACGATCAAGCAGGTGCAGGCGATGGACGCGACGGAGGGACATAGCCACTTTGCAACGTTTTTGCGCGACGCCGTCGCGCACATCGAAGACGAGCACGTATACCCGGTACAGCCGGTCTTCACGGGGCCGATGACGATCCGGATCCACGAGGCGGATGGGACGCCATATGAGCACATTGTGGACTTGAAGGAGGGCACGACCAAGTTGGACATCCAGTATAACACCAAGTACCGGCGGACCAAGAAGCTGCACAAGGAGTTGTCGCGCGACGCGCGCGTAAAGGCGGCCGCACGCGAAGACACGCGTGGTGAGGCGCGTGACCCGGACGCTGCGCTCTTTGATGAACACGGCAATGTGATCCACCGCTTAGGTGACGTGCTCCTGCTGCCCGCAGAGTGCCGTGAATGGGGCCTTGTGGAGTGGCCCAAGGAGGAAGAGGAGCGCATGGCTAACGAAGCGTTCGAGTGGATTCGCGTGGATGCTGACTTTGAGTGGATCTGCAAAACCGCGGTCGCACAGCCGGAGTACATGTTCGCGTCGCAGCTCCAGCAGGACCGCGACGTGGAGGCGCAATTCGACGCGCTCCGGTTTTTCCGTGAGCGCAAGCCCAGTACGTTATTCGCGACGCTTCTCACGCGCACGGTAATGGATACACGCTACTACTACGCGATCCGCACAGAAGCCGCGCGCACACTTGCGGGCTATGCAAAGGAAGAGAACGGCTATCTCGGGCTCCGGTTTCTCCTCCACATCTTCCGGGCGCGCTTCTGTTTTCGAGACAGCGACATTCCCATGACCAATGACTTTACAGATTTTTCCGACTTTTGGTTGAAGAAACAGGTTCCGGGCTACCTTGCGCTGATCAAGGACAACCAGGGCAACTGTCCCAACGAGGTCAAGTGTTTCCTTCTCTCGTTGCTTCGCTATAACGACAACATCAGTAATCCGTTCAACGACTGCTTCTACGTTGCGGACTTGATCCGCGCACTCGCGACATCTATTGCGAACCCGTACCACGCGCGTGCAGCTGATGCGTGCGATGACCACTTCGCCGAGATTCTCGCTGAAATCAACCGCATGCGCGAGCTCGATATCCTCCTCCCGTCCTACCAGAAGATTATCTCGCTTACCGCCCTCACCGAGAAGCTCAAGCTCGCGCGCCACGGCCACATCAAGCTCCCGTTCGCAGAGCTACTCCACTTCACCCAGCCCACGTTCGATGATGCTATCCGCCTCGTCGCGTTTGAGGCGCTTTTGTCGCTTGGCGCGTTGAAGAACGCCGCGGTTCTCCGCTACTTCTTTGTCACGGCCTTCGGTGAGGCCGCATCGCCGTACTTTCGCGCACGTCTCGTCGACGCGTTTGTGACGTCTATTGGCATGGCCGCGGTCCATGGTACCCCCCTGATGCTTGACGACCCTGAGTTCCACGCGCCCGCAGCCCGGGACCCGGACAAGGATTCCAATGTGGGCAGCTTGATCGTGGTTGAGGATGGCGCGCAGGCCGAGTTGAGTGCGCGCCGTGACGCACACGCGCGCGCTACGCTCGACGGGTCGATTGAGATTCTTCGCCGTGACTACGCACGCGGCCGGGGTCTCCGCAAGTTTTTGTGGAAGTGCTTGCATACCACGATGCTTTCTCTTCGAGAGAAGCGCGACTTGTTTGGCGTATGCCAGGTGTTGTACAGGTCCGTAGACTCGTTTACGATCAGCTTGGGCATTCCGAACGTTGAAGCGAAGGATTTGATGAAGAAAATCGTGGCGAAGGACTTGGGCGGGGGGAAGGTGGTGGTGCGCCGCGAGGGGCGGTTCAAGATCCAGTTATTTACCAAGTTGGTGAAGCCGAAAGAGAAGCTTGTGTTAAGTTTGGGCAAGGGTGAGACAAATCCGGGGGCTGAGAAACTGGCAATCACCGAAGCGATCCCGGCCCTGTCGGTTACTCCACTGTCAGCCTTTGTACCCACAGACGCCAGCGCCACTCCCGATGCCAAGTCTGAGCCTAAGATCAAGTTCAAATTGGGCGTCAAGAAGGCAGCCGAACCCGTGGTGTCTGAGATGAAGGAGGATTCTCCCGGAGTTGAAGAGCCCAAGTCGGAAACGGTTGAGCTCTCAGCCGTTATAAAGTCACTGAGGGAGAAAAAGCCGGCCAGAGAGTCTAAAAGGACCAAGACGCAGAAAGTGGAGTTAGCTCTGGAAACCCCGAACGCCGATGGGGCATTTGAGCTGGCAACGCCGGTGAGGATGTTGGAGCCAAAGGAGAGCCATAAGGAGTCAGCTGAGAGGAAGGAGCCTGCCCTTGAGCTCGGACCGGCTGTACTAGCGACCAGTAAACTGGTTGAATCGCCAAAGAAAGTACAGGATTCCTCCAAAGCACTTGTCCCGCTTGTCCTGTTCAGCAAGAAGTTCCGCCGATTTGACGTTGTGTTCAAGCTTCTGGCACAGAAGTTGGCGTCGGTTACTGATAAACGTCCGATGGTGCTGTCAGAAATTCTCAGATCTCTGCCAGGTGAGCTCCGCTATGTAAAGCTCAGCCTCAGAGAAAAGAAGGTGACCGTCTCTACCGAGCTGTTTAGGCCAAAAACAGAACCAAAAACAGAGACCCGCGTGAGCGTGGTGACGTTGAAGACCCGAAAGCCAGAAAAGTGGGAGGTGGATCCGTTGCCTGAGAAACCTTTGTCGCGTAAGGTTTCGCCCGAGGTTTCGCCTGAGGCCTTACCTCTTCCAAAGAAAATCAAGCTTGGGTTCAAGATCAAGGCTCCGGTTATGGTAGACGGCGACAACGTTCTGGCGTTATCCAAGGCCACCCCCACACCTTCACCGCCACCACCCTCGGGATCTCCACCGCCGCCGCCGCCCTCCAACGGAACCAAACCACCCCCTGCTGGACCTCCACCTCCGCCACCGCCGCCAGGTGTTGCCCCACCGAAGTCAAAATCGCCCACCAGCGGCTCAGAAAGCCCGGAGGGTGACACCTTTAGAACGAAGACCAAGAAGGCCAGTTTTCGGCCTTCAGTGGGGTACGATGACGACAGACGTGGATCTCGCTCGCCTACGCCGACTGGAATGGACCATCCGAGAGAGAAGAGAAAAGGTTTATTGGAGCCACGGCGGGACGGGAAGACTGGTAGATAGCAGGTTTATGTTTTCGATGTTTAGGGACTTACTTCCATGCCTGAATCTGGCCAATTCAAGATACAGAGAACTGGTCAGTTTTCTGTATGCTTCATTTTAGAGAAGTAGGACCGCGCCCTGAATCGTTGTATGTCTCGGTCTGTAATATTATAACAGCACATTAGGTTAAACTGTAGCTTGCATATCCCAAACTTCGATCTATCCCTATTTACCAAAACTACAACTCGTTATATGACAAACACAAGACCTACGAGTCCTTTTTCTCTGAAAGCAACGCGAATATCTCACACCTGGAACTTTTAGTGAGCTTGTTATCACTTACGAGGTTGTGGCTAGACTAGATACAGTATTCCTTGCATATCTGGACTAGGAAGCTCCCAGAAGCAGTCTCTTACGTCAAGATTTGTTCCGCAAGCCTCTCCTACAATTGTTTATACGAAAATGTGATATTAGCCAAAAAAAAAAAACCCCACACCTAGCCTTAACCGTGGTACTCGTTCTGCTTCTTTCTCTCCTCATACACTCTGAGCACCTCTTCGGCAGCCTTGACGCCGGAAAGTGCCATGGCACCAAAGGTTGGCCCCATTCTGTTGGAACCATCCACCTCGGCAATCTCCATACCCGCAATAACTAAGCCAGGACACACCTCTCTGGTGCCCTTGACGATCGCGTCTTCGGCGGTGTTCATATCAAGACCTCTCATCCCACCCAACTTTGGCAAGCCACCAATGGCATGGGCTCTCTTGGCGGAGAAAGCACCGAACGGACCGTCGTGACCAGACGAGGAAAGGACAACCGAGGCGTTGATGGTGTTAGGGTCCATGCAGGAGTGGTCGTCGTGGTGCATGGTAACCAATGTCCAGTTTGTGACAACACCAGCAACACGCAACTCACCGGTGGCGGGGTCGCGACGGGTGATGAGATCCTCCACAGCGGTAGCGTTGAACAACTTGACGTTAGGGAAGTTCAACACCTTTGAAAGCAAGGTGGACATGAACAAAGCGGCGTGCTTGACTACAACGTAGTCGCCTTCGTCGTCATACGCAACGCCAATCTCATTGAGGAATGCATCCGCTGGCTTACGCAACACCATGGCGGAGAATAACTGCCCGCCCAACCAGCATCCACCACCAGGAGAGACATTGGCTTCGATCACAGCAATCTTAAGGTCTGGTCGGGTCTTGGCAAGAACGTAGACCGCAGATAAACCGGCAGAGCCAGCACCCACAACCACAATATCAGACTCGGCGTACTTGTCCAAGTCTGCAAAGTAGCGCTTGGTCATGGCACGGGAGACGATCGATTCACGGATTGGGGCAAACTTGAAGTTTTCCCAGTCACCGAATTGGTCAAGACAGGTGGATGGAGCCGGGCTTCCGGAGAGATGGATCACCCGGGGGGATTCTTGGACAAGGGTTTCGATTTGGGTAGGAGGAGCCATTTTAGAAGGAGCTGTGTGTGGTTTGGAGGGAAGGATGGTAAAAGTTACCGGACGGGGACGTTTATATACCCGTGAGGGCGGGCGGGTTGCTCCCGGTGTTGTAATTTGTAACGCGCGCTTTATAACAGGCGTGTAAAAGTCATCCGACCCCCCCTCAAGTGTGGGAGGTGCTTGCTCAGAGTATATGCGATGAGCTTAAGTGGCAAGTTCTCTTTAACGTGGTGCAGTATGCGACTATCTCGCATTTTCCTCCGTGGTGCATGTCTGCCTCGCATATGCACAGCCGGCCGAGGGGAACGAAGCGGTGAAACGCAATGTGACGTGAAGGTCATTGGAGGGGCGAGGTGCCAGGCCTCGGATCTATTAGATGGTTATTAGGCTAACGGATCTAGCTTCCCCGTAGGAAGCCACTGTCAAACAGGGGCACGACTATGCGCTTAACCAGGCGCGGCCGTTGCACGATGCATTACTTATTATGGGATTGACTAGACCCTTAGGCCACTTAATCGCATACGCATACGCCGGTATAAAACTATTTAGGGGGAGTCCTGGGAAACTCGAAGTATGACACATCAGTCAGGTTTTAGGTCCTGATTAGTGGTTGAGCGATGCACAGAGGTTTCACAAATCCGTGCTCACTGATTCCAGTCCTACGTGGCTACTGTATTGTCAGGAGTGGGCCTTTCTCCGGGATACAAAAAGGAAAGCTTCCCCACCAGGAGTCGAACCTGGAATCTTCTGGTTCCAGAAGTGGTTACAAATCGTAGCCAGACGCCGTGACCATTGGGCCATGAGGAATGAAGCTTGACAAAGTCTTTTGAGGTTACCAGACAGTGTTGATTGCATGGAGTTTGATCTGAAGCCTGATAAACCTCGGCCATTCTAGGAGGGCTATGCCGGTTTCCTGGCCGTTTCTATTGATTGGTGTTGAACCTGATCAAATAACTCTATATTAAATATGCTACGAATTCACAACTTAGGGCTCAGATTAGATTGTTTCGGTTAGTATCAATGGTGCTTGTGGTCGTGCGTGACCCATTATAAGTTACCCGACTCGTGCCCTGCGAAAATTCCGCCAATGAGCAAATGCGAAATGCGATCGTTAAGTAATCGTAAGCGTATATCAAATATTTCAACGTCATAAACACAACACAGTTCAAAGACACGCAAATACAGCAACCATGGCTTCGTTAACCTCCGTCCACAACATGGCCCGTTGGGTCTCCCGTACCCCAGTCTTGAAGAATGTTGTCCCAGCCATCGCCAAGAAGTACACCGAACTCGCCGGCTACAGAGAGATGGGTTTGAGGTAAGTAGAGAGAAAAAAGAAATTGGCATGAGGATGGAATCGCTATGAGAGTGCCGAGATGAAAAATCAAGCAGAATATAGAACTGTATAGGCCCAATTAAGGCCTCAAAGGAAACAGCCATCTGCAAGATAGACTGGCCAGAATTACAAGCATTCTTGTACTATCCGAATAACCGTTTAAAGAGGCTTCTCTGTGCCCTCATGTCTTGCTACTTGACAAATACTAACTCTTTAGATTGGATGACTTGCTTTTGGAAGAAACTCCGGTCATGCAGACCGCCATCAAGAGATTGTCTGACTCCGAGTCTTACGCCCGTAACTTTAGAATCTTGACTGCACACCAGTGTGCGATCTCCCACCAGTTGTTGCCAAAGGACAAGGCGGTCTCTTTTGAGGACGATGTTCCATACTTGACCCCATATATTTTGGAAGCTGAGATGGAGGCCGCTGAAAAGGCTGAATTGGACGAGATTGTTGTCTCCGCCAAATAAGTCCGCTATTCTATTTTCTCTCACGCAGCCACGCGTTTCCTATTTATACATTTCGTCTACCTTTATGTTTGTTATTATAGTCCTCATCAAAAGATAGTTACATAGAAGCTGGTGTAGAGCGGGAAGACGGTAATGTTTGGGTGTTCTGTGAATAATTAACGGTTGGAGAAACTGCGAGGCAAAGTTTGGTATACACTGTTGAACGCCTAGATGTTTTGGATTTGAAAGGGATGGTGTTCATTTATCCATCTCAACTTGCAGATGTGATAACTCCAATTCTTGAATCAACAATGGTAAAACATTAGCTTCATCGTCATATCAATGGCCATTGTCTCATATTTCAACATATAATTATTGCACTTGTATGCACGTGTACTTACCAACATCGTGGGGAACCCGGCTCACAGTGTGCCATAAAGCCGACAGCTTCTTCTCGCCACTTCTTCATCCGACCTCTACACCATCATCATGTCTGAAGATAAATTCGCATTACCAGAGAACTTTGGCAAACTCCTTTCCCAAACCTTTGACAAGGCGGTGGAAACTGACTACATAGCTTTCACCCCCTCTACCAGCGAAATTTTGGATGTCGATGGTGTCAAGGTACGTGACAAAAGGGCTGATGGGTGATTTTACGCTATTGTAAGCTATCAGAAACTATGCTGCAACAGATATGTCACGTATGAGCTGACATTTCAAAAAGAGGCAGCTCGACCAGTTTGTATGATTGATTCACTCGCGGGTCTGACCATGCATTCTGAACCCGCTCGGTCTTTTCACTCCACCACTGTTCAAACCCCCCAGCTGTCCTTCAATATTTCAATCATGACTCTAGTTGCGATTCAACCTGCGTTGAGCTACGTTTCTGAGGCATTTACTCATTCCCACCCCACCCCCCTTTCATTCACCGCAATACTAACCCTCAGTTCCAATTGACGCAAATCGACAGTCTCTCGAGAAGGCCCACCAAAGGCAGCCTCGACGCCAACCCGTTTGCCAATCCCGAACCGGAACTCACGGTGGTGCAGTCGTATGTGGACTATCGCATTGTTCTCAACAAGTTCCCGGTGGTGCGCGATCATTTTATGCTTGTGACCTCCAAGTTTGTGTCGCAAGACACGCCGCTCACGCCCGTGGATCTCCAAGCAACGTACCACACGTTGCTTGCGGCAAATAAGGGCACTGGCGAACGCCATTTCGCCTTCTTCAACTGCGGACCGGAGTCCGGGGCGTCGCAGCCGCACAAGCATATCCAGTTCATGCGGCTTCCGGCGCTCAGCACCGGTTTTGTGCCGTTTCCGGACTTGCTCGCAATGTCCTCGCCTGCCTTCATCCCCACCTCCACACAGGAGCCGTTACAGCGCAAGGACTTGCCATTTGCGCACTTTGTCGCGGCGTTCCCCTCACCCGCAGAGATTGCCGCGCTGGGCCAGGGGCTCGACGAGGAGGCGTTTGGCCTCTACTTCATCAGCTTGTTGCAACGCGTGATGACAATTATGCGTGAAAACGACGTGTCCTCGCCGTCCTACAACTTTGTCATGACCGAGAAGTGGATGATGCTCGTGCCACGGTCCCTGGGCTACTTTACCGACGGCGATTTGCTGTTGGGGGTTAACTCATGTGGGGTTCTTGGCTTGGTATTGGTCAAGAACCGCATGTTGTATGAGTTGGTCAAGGCCAAGGGACCGGCGGAGATCTTGGGCCAGCTCGGGTTCCCTAACACCTCTGGCATTGCATCCGATGAGTACCACTACTGAGGGAGAAGCTAGTACTATGTGAGAGCGGGGTGTATCCATTTACAACGTCTCCATTCTGGGGACAGCTAACCCCACCATTATTGGCTCCTTGATTTACACATCCGTAGACGAATTATATATTATAATGTACAATAAAGAACTCCCCGCTTATTTCTTGTTCTTCTTGGCGATTCTCTTCAACGCACGAGCTTCATTCTTCATGGTACCATCGACCATTCTGTACTTACCCTTGACCCCTCTTGGTCTACCAGCCAACCCTCTGTTCGAGCCCTTGGCGACGACGTATGTGGTTTTTGGTTTGACAGCCTGCTTCTTGGTCATCTTGCGCATCAACTTGGAGATTTCCTCCGCCTTGTCTCTCTCAGACTTGGCACCGTCATCGTTAATCGTGTCAGACTTCTTGCGCATCTTCTCGATTCTTCTCATAGCCCGCAACTTCTTACGGCCCTGAGCTTCCATGACCTTCTTAATCGGGCGGGCGTTCATCTGCCTCAACTTCTCCTTGATGGCGGTGGCGGCCTCCTTGGTGATTGGCTTGATGATCTTGTTGTGTCTCTTTTCGTCATCATTGAACCAATCCGGGAGGTTGTCAGAGTCACGGAACGAGTAACGGTTAATCCCCTCCTCGATCAAGTCGTGCTTGTTCTTTTGGCCCAACGCAACCTGGTGAGCCAAGGTCATCGCCTCAACCGTCGCCAAGTCAACGTCACGCGAGTGCGTGCGAGTCTTTTTCTTTTCCGTATCCGAATCGTAATCCGAGTCGTCATCAGACTGGAATTCGCTCTCGGGAGCAACAATTTCAAAGTCGCTTTCGGAATCAGCATCCATTTCCGAATCGGAGTCTTCATGTTCGGCAGCCTTGGCTTTTGCGGCCTTGCTCTTCGAAGCAGCCCCCTTTGGAGCAGCCCCCTTCGGAGAAGACCCCTTCGTTGGAGCCCCAGATGAGGCCAAAAGAACATCATCACCAACATCACCAAAGATGGAATCGGCAAAGAACACCTTCGCCTGCTTACTCATGGCCTCTTTGGCCAACTCTTCCTTCTGCTTCGCAATCAAGGCATCGATCGCAGCATCGTCATCACTGTCCAAGTCACTGTCGCTGAGCTCTTCGTAGTCCTTGCGGTCGCTCTCCAAATCAGAATCAGACTTGTCCTCAATACCATCCCAGGCATCATCGTCGCCGCCTCTGGCCTTCATAGCCTTGTACTTGGCGTCTCTCTCGGCCTTGCGCTCGGTGTGGCCGTGGTACATGTCGTCCATCTGGGTCTCCAAGGCGTCGATCTCGTCCCCGGTGTTGGCCTCCTCGTCGTCAAAGGCGATATCGTTATCCTTCATTTTCTCCTCATTGGAGAAAATCATCCTACGCTTCCCCTTGGCCAAGTCTGCCAACTGACCGGTCTTCTCGGCGGTGGTAAGGTTGAAAAGAGAGTCAGCTCCCAGCATGGCGGCATCGAGACCAATGTTCATATCGGTCAACATGTTCATCTGCATTCTTTGGATCTCCTTCTGTTTGGTCTCGTTCTTGGTACGTTTCTCTCTCTTTTGCTTCTGCTGCCTCTTCTTCTGCAACTGCTCCAACTCCTTTTCAATCTGCTCCTCCTCGGTCAAAGGTATGACCTCGATTTCAGGCTTTTCCTCATCATCGTACCCCAAGAGATCACGCGCATTTTTGCGAAACTTGAGAATGTGCTTAAAGTCCTTCTTACCCAATACCTTCAAGTCCTTGAAACACTCCAACAACTCGGGCGTGTGGTGCTTCAACTTCTTGAGCATCTTGTAGGTCATGTCTTCGGGATCGTACGTGAACTCATTCAACCCACCGAGGTTGTTGATTGGCTCCTCGTCTTTGATGAACTCGAGGAGGTCCATGGTTTTGTACTGGATGTAGTCCCCCTCGTCGTAACCCTGTCTGGACCTTCTCTTCTTCTCTGGGTTGAACACCTTAGCTTCGTTATTAACCGGTCCATCTGGCAACTCCTCGAATACCTCCTTAGGATCCAATAAGCGCGGATCCATCTTCTTTGGCGCCTTGAAGCCCTTGCACACCACAAAGATTTCGGCCGAAACGTTACGCGATGCCGGTGGCTTTGTCGCCTCCACCTTCTCGAACAACTGCTGGAACACCCACATAAGATTGTTGTAGTCCTTGGATCTGAAAACCTTGGTCACAAAGGTCCCACCTGGGGTCAAGTTTTCCACCGCGAGCTTCAACGCCTGGAGCGTCAACTGCGACTGTGTGAACGCATCTTGCACCCAGCCCATACCCACGTTCGGCGCACCATCGTGTAATACCGTGTCAGCCTTCCACGTCTTCATGTGTCCTCTCAACCGCGAGCGGCAGTCTTCCGTTGTGATGTCCGACTGGAACGTGATACAGTTTGGCAACGACTTTACCGGCACAATGTCCACACCGATGATCAAAGAGTTGACTGGGCACAATTGAGAGGCAACCTGGCACCAGGAGCCCGGCGCGCAACACAAATCAATCACCACCTTGGACTTCTCGAGGAAGTGCCCGTACTTCTCGTTGATCTGGAGAATCTTGAACGACGAACGCGCACGGTACCCCTTTTCCTTCGCGAGGAAGTAGTAACGGTCCAAACGACCCTTACCGTTCTTCTTTTGAATTTTACCCATCTTGTTTCGGTTTGTAGGTGGTCTGCGAAAAGAGTGAAAGTGCTATTTCTAGCACTGTTGTATACTGCAGGAAGAAATTTTTCACTCCCTAAATTTTTTTTCTTCCTGCATGAGATGTCTGTGAGACGTGTCTTGTAGTAATGGGCGATGAGCTCCATTTCTTTTCGCCCCATGCAGGCTATCGGCGATAGGCGTGACGGAAGTACGTGATAGGGCTTGAGATTAACCGAGTCTGGGTGTAGAGGGTTGGGAAGAACCAATATGGTTAGCATTTGCAAGAGATCTAGGAGAAACAGAAGGAATATGGAATATGGAATAATGAATAGCCTAGATGGATTTATACCAGATCTTGTCACACATATCATATAGACTAACTTGGTATTAAATATATATATAAATAATGACTTGAATTCAAATATTTACATTATCTTAATACCGTTTATCTCATTAACTTATATATATATATCGATGCTTTTATGTTAAAATTCTTCTGCATTCCTATATATCTTCATACAGTCATATATCCAAGTTGACGACCTCCCTGCTAGAGTAACTAGTTATAGTTAGTTCATACATTGCGTAAATTTCTCAATATGTATGCATCGTCATTGTAAGTGATTATCTAATTCGTCTTCTTTGACACCGACACCTTTACCTCTTTCATTCCCACCTCCTTTGCCAGTTTAAGCAGCTTCTTTCCCACTCCGATGCTCACAAACTTCCAGAGCAAGAAGAGAAACCCAAGACCCACTATAGCAGACGTCATTGCGTTAATCTCGGAATAACTCCCGACAGCGGTGGGAATGGTGCCAGTATGTGCCAAGTACGCCGTACTTGCTGTTAAGTGGTAGAACACGGTGTTACCGGTGAAGTAGCTCTCGTAGCCCAAACCCTTAGAGTCGAACGGCGAGACACCCAACAACCGCGACTCCGGGTCGCGGAGCGGCGCCACGTCCGGATCACACGCGTAGAAAACGTGCGGGTACGGGATCTCCTTCTGGACCTGGTCCGGTCCAGCCTGAGTATCTGTATTCACTGGAGTCTGGTACCGTGAGTGCAACGTCAACTCCAAGCGCCGGCTGGCGAGCTCCTGGTCCAACTCGAGAAGTAACTCGGATCCCCACCCGTCTACAGCGTACTCTGGCGCCTCGAGATCAGTTTCGCCCCAGTACCCGACCAAGTCGGCACCCTTTGGCAACTGGTACTTGTCGAAGAAGTACGCCTTGGGAATAGTGTAGTGGAGGAACAACGCACACTTCTTCTCCGTCAGAGGCAAGTTCTGCTCCGCCAAGATGTCAGCTGGGATGGACGAAGTGTCGATGAACTGGTACACGTATTCGGGGGACACCAAAGTATCGTTGAAGGTGATGGTAGTTTTAGGATGTAAACCCAGGGAGAGCTGCGAGCTGTACGCAAATGGCACAGTCCGGTGGCGTGGCTTGACGTGAAGAAACGTGCGCTCCACCTGGGAATCAGGAGCAACAGCATACCTCACCCCGTTAAGGGTGAAGTCGTCCAAGGATGAGGCGTTTTCGTCGATGCCGAAAATACCAATCTCAGTGCGCACATGGTCACGCGGTTTGAACACGGTGGTATCCTGTTTAGACGCGACGTTGACCACCGCAGAGCTGGAAAAGTACGTCTGGAGCACCATCTCTTGCTTCTGCGCGGAATATGCGAGTGTGAGCGTGTCGGCATACTTCAAATAGCCCAACTCGCCATGCCTATGCTGCAAAAGTAGCGCCACATTCAGGATGAACGAGTCGGGAATGGTCTTTAAGGGCACAAACAACGTGGCGGACGTGCTGAGAGTGAAGTTGTGTTGTTCAGCCTTAAGTTCGAAGAATTGCTCGAGAAGGCTGGCCACGTTGCGGTACGCGTCGGCCTCACTGGCGGTGCCTGGTGTAAAATGCACGTGGAGACCTGGCTGAACGACTTCCAGGAAGAGGCGGTTGGCGGGGTAAACAGTGTAGGAAGCCCATTGGATGCGGAGCTGCGATATCCCCTGCAAGTAGTTCTTGATGGAGACGGGGACGAGCGCCTGAGGGACGCGATAGCGGTCCTGACGTGGAAAGTTGGCAACTGGGAGTGTCAAGATACCAGATGTGTCAATGTCGATATCCACGAAATTGTCGTCAGCGGGGTGGATGAATGTTACACGGTGGTTGATATGGGACGTCATTAGGGCAAAGGTCGCGACTATAGAAGTATGCACAAGGGATTTAAGAATGAGATCGAAAGCGATGGCGGGATAGTTCGTCAATCGGAAGAAGTATTAAAGAGATTGATGCAAAAGAGACCGAATTGAAGCGGCAAAAAACGACCGACAAACTTGATAACGAAACGAAACTGTTATCTGGCAGCTGATGGAGGGGATGTGTGCAGGATAATACCTTCAACAAATCGCAAGCCTGATGCTTCTGGTTACGCTGGTAAGCCGAAGTAATTAAATCAAGTGTCAACCAGTATATAATCTTCCTTTAGAGTTTTAATCCCGAAAATACTGAAAGTGCTCAGACTCTTCCACTTTTGTATTATCGGTAATTATAAGGCGAAGGCCCGCCTCAAGGACCTTGTGTTTTCGAACCAATGCCTCGGAAAATTGTGCCTGGACGGCCTACACCATGCCTGGGTGCATAGCTTTGCTACAGTCCGGGAGAACTTCTTAAACCACTATACAAATTACATATTCATTATGGGACAATGAATAAACAAATAACAGTAAAAACTTACAAAAAATCAAACGCTGTTAACTCTATAATACGCGTTCCTTTACCGTGTTACATCTGCGAGGCAGCCAGGGTCGGTAATTCCGAGTTCATTTACATGGGAATATACCACTCTATCTTGGTGGTATCGTACCCACTATCTCTCCAATGCAATAGCGAATTTGCTCAGTCTCCCGAGAGTTTAATGTCATTCATTACAGGAGATATGGTTCTGATATGCAATTGGATCGCGCCGGGATGTAAACCCTTGGCAAAGTACCTTCCAAGAATATTCACCGGAACGTTTCTGATGCTAATCTTCTTCTTCAGCATCGGTGTGCTCAGGGGTGAGCGGGTGACTGTGCTTTGTCCTCTCATCGCAGTCAGGCGACGGCGAAACAGAAAACATTGTGCGATGCGACGTCTGGGATGACCGACTGACCACTGCAGACATATTATCGGTGTTGTGTGTCCCCTTGAGCGTGTCATTTTGCGCTCCCAGAGCTGCTTTGGTGACATCGAAGGTGTAGTCGATCATGTCGTTTTGCGCTTCCAGAGCTTCTTTGGTGTCCTCATCCTCATTGAAGGTGTAGTCGATCATGCTATCCGATACATTCTCATCAGTGTATTCACTAGTATGTTGGGGCAAAATTTCGTGGGAAACAAACCCATCGTGGATGTATATGGAGGACGACGTCCGGAAAGGGTTTCCAAGCTTAACCTTGATCGTCTTTCTACGCGGGGTCAGGCTCTTCCCAGGAGATTGCAGCACACCCTGATCCAAGTGCAGACGAAATGACTCCACCGGAGAATGGACATCGCGCGGGTTCCAGCCCTCGTGTTCTTCAAAATACTCAGTCTCAACTATTGTCTCCCGCGTAACAATTACATAGATCACGAGCATCACGATTATCATCGTGTTAAACAACGACAACCGGTGCTGGAACGTAAGCTGCGACTGGAGGTAGGTGATGTGCTGCGATGCGCCCAGGAGCATCTTGCGGTGTTCGTCACCGTGTTCGGCCAAGACGGCCTGGGCCTGGGCCTGGGCCTGAAAGCTCGAGTACAAGTGCTGGAGCCCGTGGAGCTGGTCGTGTACAGTGGCGTTGAAAATGTGCACCAACATGTCGAATTTGGCCTTCTGCCTTGTCTCTAAGCGAGTAAACGCTTCCGTGAGCAACTTGCTCTGCTCCTCGATGTACAAAAGGGAGAGGGTGGCGTTGGATTCGAGCAAGGTGAGACGTTTCATGATGTTTTTGTAGATTGACTCCTGCGTCCCGGGCTCCTCGGTCACTTCCGGAGCCTGGCACACCTCTACCTCCTCCTGCGACTGTTTGACCAAGTCGCCTAGCTCAACTTGCCGCAACGTCACGCGGCAGGCCTCGTCTTCCTGGGTGTTGATCTGGTCCAACGAAAAGTCTATGTTGAGGGCATCTGGCTTTACTTCCTCAGCCTGGAGCTTGTACTCCTCCATCATGGTCTTTCCGTGCACACGCACCAATGAAATAGGGCAGTAAAACTCGTCACCATAGTGACTCAACACCTCTAAGCGCAAGTACCTTGCCCAGATGAGCGGGTTCTTGATGGGAAACGTTTGCTCATCACGCAAGTTTTCCGCCTCAAATTCTCCCAACACCTTCCAGCCCCCACCGGTAGCCGGGACTGGAAACCTGTCGCTCACAGACACCCGCAACCGACGGAACATGGACAGAAAAAACTCAAAGTTGCCCACAACGAGGTGGTCCACGAGAATGTCCTGGCAGAGCTCGATCACTACAAACTGATTGTCGGCAGAGCACGGGTTGAGGAGATACGAGTCCTTGTTCTCTCGCAAGATGGAAGATGCGCATCGGGCCTCAGAATTGCTCTTGACTATGGTGGCGGCACAGTCGAGGGATGCGTAGTTGAACTTGTCTTTGTAGGTTTTGCCGAGATCCGCTTCTGGCACTTGTCGGAAGAGTCCGATGTTAATTTCTCCCTCGTCACCAATTTCTTCGAACTTGTTGACCACACGATGGGCCTTGGGCGGGGTCTTCTTGAGTTCCTGGTCAGAATTGACTTTTCGTTTCTTCCATTCTTCGAAGGAGAGGAAGTTGACTGCTTCATCAGGTTCTGAGATGGGCTGGGATGCATTGAGGATGATATGGGTATTGCGGTCGGAGTGTAAAACGAGGCTAAAGTCGGGGTCTGGGGCCTTAGCCACTGACAAAACGCTGGCAACCGATGAGGCACTAGCAATTGATGAAGCGTTAGCAACTGACGAAGCGATAGCAACCGACGAAGCACTGGAAGTTGACAAAGAACTAGCAACTGACGAAGCGTTGGCAACCGACGAAGTGTTAAAAATCGATGAAGCGTTGGCAACCGACAAAGCACTGGAAGTTGACGAAGCGCTAGCAACCGATGAAGCACTGTCAACCGATGAAGCGTTGGTAACCGATGAAGCACTAGCAACTGATGAAGCACTAGCAACTGATAAAGCGCTAGCAACTGATGATACGCTGGCAACAGATGAAGCACTGGCAACAGATGAAGCACTAGCAACCGATGAAGCGCTAGCAACCGATGAAGCGCTAGCAACCGATGAAGCGCTAGCAACTGATGAAGCGCTAGCAGCCGACGAAGCGCTGGCAGTTGACAAAGCACTGGTAACCGATGAAGCGCTGGCAGTTGACAAAGCACTGGTAACCGATGAAACACTAGCAACGTCTGACACAGACTCACTGGTTCCATGCACCTGCACGGAAACGGACGTTGAGACGTCAATACCGTGTGTTTCAATAGTCATTTCAGTAGTTATCTCTCTAACCTCGGTCTTTGTGTTTGCTGTTTCTACCGCACTCTGAACGGAAACTATATCACTCTTCTCCCTTTCAGACTCATATGTGATTGTGCTTGTGGACGGCAGCATAGAGGTATCCAGTCTTGTTTGTTCCGCCGACGGCACTACGGACACACTCAGTCCTGTTTGATCCTTCGACTCGGCTTGGATTTCCTCATTTGGGTTGCTCAATACAACATCACCCCCGGTAAGAGACACCGTATCCAGCCCTTCAGCTCGCAAAACCAACAGAAGTAACCAAATGCATAGTATCAACGAATTGTGATACATTTACCACAGACAATATATGATATTGGTGAATGCCCAAGGGAGTACCAATGGGTAAATATGCCTTGTGAAACGTGCCGTGTGGGAAAAGGTGTCCCTTGATCTGAGGCGGGAAGTGCTCTAGAAATAAGAACTCGGAATGAGAAAAAACGGGGCGGCTGCATCTGTCACGTGGTATGATCTGCTATTATGACCAGGGCAGTCACGTGTGAAGTACATCCCCGGTCGGAGGCGGGTGAGGCACCGGTTGGAGACAGAACGGTGGGTCTCCGGAAAGTGCTGCTAATATTTGTGATATAATTTGTTACTGGTGTGAATAATAATTTCTGAATGGTAGTCAATAAGTCTGACAGACATATACTGCCATTAGCCCGTTTGTTTTGAAATCTAGATCCAATTTCTCTTATTTTTGCTAATAGTGTAGAAACAACCACAATATAAGCAATCACATATATCTGAGAAAATAAAATCCAACGAAATAACCCTACAGTGACAGGCTGTGGCCCGCTTTACGCCACAACAAATACAACAGACGTCCCGTCGTTCGTAACTATGGCATCGCTAGGACTGCAACACACATATTTTCGGTTCGGGCAATGATGTTCCATATTAGTAAGCACCTCTCACATGGAGGCACTATCTGACAGTGGTTAACAGCTTATAGCACTGAATATCAAACTACGATCCTTAATAAGAATCACAACTAATATATATTAAAAGCCAAGGTCTATAATAAGTGTATGAATAAATAAATAACTGACACGGCACACGGCGGAATTCCGCCGTTCGCGATTCTCCGGGAACATGCCTACAGCAATCTTATCGACACTCGTTATCCGGTGACAGGAGCCGGTGGCACTGCATTATCAGCGTTCGCTTACATCGCAGCATCACGGCGATCCTTTCCCCTGAATGACACCACATTTCATCCCCCCATCATTCATAGGACTCATTCTGTTAATCAGACGTCCATCTTCTACCCCTTCAATTATAACCCGGCAGAGTTTTTAAAGCATTTCCGTTAGACCTGAGAGCCGCCTTGCACCCTTAATCGCGGATATTTACAACCGCTTGTCTCTGTTAAAACCTAGTACGGGTATACTGTAAGCGCCAGTTTTCCTGTTTAGCATCTTTGCCACCAGCAGCTTAGTATTAACCGCCAAACTAGCCCCCTTTCCCCCAATTTGATCTCTCCCCTTTCTCCTTGATTAACCCACCTACCCTTTATCCATCCGACCCCCAATCACCTTTGATTGTTGACAATTTATTCGACTCCCCTTCTCCAGCTTCCAGAATGGGCCAAACGGGAAGCCGTGTTGCGGAAACAGATATGCCGCCTTCCAGTTCGTCGCTGTTTCCACCTGACTCCCCGCGAAGGAGGCGCCGCTCCACGTTATCGACAGCCGGTACGCGGAACATCCGAAGACGTTTCTCCTCACGGTCCCAGCGTCTCCACCGGCTCTTGAACCGAACCTCGAGCTCTGATGCTCAAGAGATTCCCCGGGTTGTGACGGCGGATTTGAACACCCCCGAAGTCGAAATCTGCCCCACGTTTCTCCATCCAGCCCTCGCTGTAGCTTCTCAGCTGCTCAACTACAACCATTCCGGGGATGTGAGCCCTGCCATTCAGTCACGGCGGCCATCAGTAGAAAGCATTCCTCTGGCCTCTCTGACGCCCTTAATAGATACCCACTCCGTGCTCTCTGAGGGTTTACTTGGAGATAACCTCCCTCCAATCACCCGAAGCACCAGCGCGGAACTCTTTCCGGTGAGAGAATGGCCACGGTTCCACAGAGCAAGCAACCCTCGCCGTACTTTTGAGCCGCTTTTGCGGCCAGACGCTGACCCCGATTTCTCGTTTCTCGTTCAAACTGATTTCTTAAGCCATTTACTAGAAATTGCATCGCTCACCACCGCCATTTCGCTAATCGCCCACACCCCCAATAGCCACCTGAGCATCCACCAGGGGATAAGAATCGATAACCGGAACCGGGCAGCGTTGCCAAATGATGACGCGAGTTTTGGTGAATTTCTCGAATCCTTGAGGCGAGGCCTCCTTAGACGGGAGCTCACGCCTGAGGAAGAGACTGATGATCAGAGAGTGTCGTTCTTCAGAGCGTTTCGCTTTGACGGGGGGAATCCAAGCCAACCTGCGGCCGATCTGAACGTCCCGGGCCATGGCTTTTCGGCCTTGAATGGAAACCCCCCTTCAGAAGGGCCTTACAATCCTGGTTACAGGGCGGAAAACTCCTTGAACCCAGACCCACTGTCTACCTTCTTTGAACGGGTTAGAAGCACGTTTAGCATCCCCCCCGTTGCGGCCACGCCTGACACAGCAGACCGCATAGAGCCTCCAATGCCATCCTACCGTCCTCCTCCACCACCTCCGGCCATGGCCGATAACGTACCGGTCATGATTGTGGGTGTGAGATCGGTGGTTTCAAGCCAACCCGCCTCCCCAACCCTGGAATTTGAAGGTCTGGTGCGCTCAGCGATGCACGCCGAGACTCTGAACGGCTTCCTCGACGGGATGTTTTCTCCGGAAGAAGATCCCGAGGAGGTTGATGATTTGGAGCTAAGAAGAATTATCGACAATTTTACCGGAGAGAACACCGGGCACGAGACGCGTAGATCCGATTCATCTGCAGACTCGTTGGACGAGGTGTTGGACGAGTTCTTTGAACTGACTGTGGACCAGGGAGACGCGCAGACCAACCTGTCGGCCTCGGAGGCAAGAACGCAAATAGGCTCCACCCCCGATTTTGGTGAGTTTTTTGGCAATAACGACCATCCATTCCTATCAGTTGCATCCACCATCAGGGAGGCTTACCAGCGCCGGAGAGAACGAAGAGAAGCGAGAGAAGCGGCACGTGAGAATCTCCAGGCGAATGCCAACATGCAGCCACAGAGAACCTGGGTCATCTACGTGATCGGAAACACTTACCCTCCATCCCATCCGCTTCTCACGTCCCCATCGCTCATGACAGAAAACCCAACCTACGAGGACTTGCTAAACTTGTCAGAGTTGTTGGGAGACCACGTTAAGGATGTGGTCAAAGAGGAAGACGTGTCTCGCGCTGGCTCGGAGATTGTGTTCAAGGTGTTGTCTGATACTGATAGTCTTAACTCGTTTGCGACGTGTTGCGAATTGAAGGGCACTACCGCTCCTGGAGGACCGGATACCAAAACTGTAGCGCTGGGCGATAAGTGTTTGATTTGCCTTGATGAATACGAGACTGGTGATAAAGGCAGGGTCTTGGACCAGTGTCTGCATTTCTTCCACACAGAGTGTATTGACTCGTGGTTGATGAAGGGGAAAAACAGCTGTCCGTTGTGCCGGAAACAGTCAGTCTCAGTCTAGTGTATATACCAGTATGTATGTGAATGAAGGACGTTATATTTTTAGCTTGGTGTGAAACGAAAGTGTATTTATCGGGTGGGTATCTTTGGCCAGATTGCTGAATTTTGAAAAGCGAATTCTAAGGAAGCTGGTTAATTTGTGATCCATGCCATGCGCATATCCCCGCATGCATATGCGAGACTAGAATGGCACCCAGCCTTTGTGGACCGTCGTGGCAGCTATAGCTTCCTGCTTTGTGGTAGACAGTCTCTGTGTCACGGAAACCAAAACTCGTTAATCTCCCTCATCTCCTTAGGACCCCCAGCTTTTACTATTAAAAATTGGACAAAGAATGATTATTCCAGTAGAGAGCTTCTCACAAAGTAAAATAAAAAAAAACTGAAAAAAACACACAACAAAATACACAAAATGAGACATTCAACCAACTTGGCTATTATCATCTTTCTCGCTTCAATTACAAACGTGAACTCCTCTCCTTCTATCTTCAAGCACGAACTGAAAGATGCCTTCATCTCTCTCCGGGAGCAGCAAGACTTAAAAGGGAACGGAGTACTGGCGGTAGACTCTAGGCTTGGCACTAACCCGAGCTATATGGACATATGGAACGGTGGAGAGAATGCACACTTTCAGGAAATATTTACGGATGATCAAACAGAGGTCCCCGAGGACATGGAGGTCCCCGAGCACTGCACGAAGGAGGTCTACAAAATCCACAGCTCTGGGGACATTGCCGCTTTGGCTGACTGCGAGACAATCACAGGGTCTCTTGTTTTTGAAAACTACCAGGATCCGGTGATTGACTTTGGCGACATCGTCCATGTGGCGGGGAACGTCAAAGTCGCTAACTCCAGCCATGTTGTGCGCGTTATTTCCAACAAGTTATCAGAAGTGGGGGGCATGCTTTCCCTCGAGGAGTTGACTTCGTTAACCTCTGTCTACTTTCCGATGTTGGTGGCGGTTGATCAGCTAGAGTGGAAGATTTTACCTATTTTGAGCACCGTCAATCTCGACGCTGGAATCAGCAAGATCCGGAGTATCACCATTTCTGATACTTCGCTTGTGGGGTTTACAGGATTCGAAGTGGACCTGTTAGACATTCTAAACATCAACAACAACCGTTTCCTAGAATCGGTCACGTCAAACGTGAGAAAGATCTCCCAGGAGTTGCTCATCTCCGCCAACGCCAAATACGCCGAGGTCCGCTTCCCGTCCTTGAAGTTTGCAAACAACATGACGTTTAACGATGTCTCCATGCTTGATTTGTCAAATATCGAGCTGGTGGAGAATTCCGCCAGTTTTATCAACAACAAGTTTTCCGCCTTGAAGATTCCCAAGTTGAAGGAGATTGGGGGAACGTTGAGTATCAGCAAGAATACCGGCTTGAGCAGTGTGGAGTTGCCCACATTGGGCGAGGTCGGTGGGGGGTTGATTGTTATGGATAATGCTCTCTTGCAAAAGCTCAACTTTTTCCCAAAGTTGTCCGTCATTGGCGGTGCGATTGAGTTTACCGGTAACATTAAAGAAGCCACGCTTGCTAAGTTGAAGTTGGTGAAGGGGAGCGCCATTGTCCAGTCTACAGCAGCCGCATTCGATTGTTCCAAGTGGACTAAAGGCGACATGGCCAATACCATCAGAGGGGGCCGCATTGAATGCACCGGCGGAATGGCCCAAGAGGACATGATGTCCTACGACAACAGCAACAGATCGATTCACAGATTGGAGAATGATGCGGGGATTCGCGGGGGCTTGAAGCAAGCCCTTAGCTCCTCCGGATATCTCAGCTGTCTGGTGAATATTATTTATCTCTTTGCGTCATTGTTCTTGGCGGCAGTAATGTCCTAAAGTTACACAAACCCAATTTCCCCAAACCCAATTTACTCGGTTGATACCTGAGTGTCTTTTCTTGAGTTCCGGCTGTTCAGGCTGCGTCAAGATTAATAGTAGTACAAAAACATATAACATTCTTTGTAGAAACAATATAAGCGAAAGTTACTACAGTAATCTGAGCTTAGCGGAGACAAGGCAGAGCCTTTAATAGCCGTAAACGACTAGCGGGATCCTACACTAACAAGTTAAACGTATGAGTAGAGCGGTGCCACTCCAGTGGATGTGCTTTCAATACAGAATTTAATGCCGAAGATTAAGAAACCTCACACGTATCCTATGGAATGTAGGTACGTTCCTTTGGTATTCTGTTCCATTCTATGACCGCTACAGGCGGTAAACTTCCAGGTATTTCAGTCCTTATACAATCCATGCTCTTGGATATACTTAGCAATGCTCTGGGGAAGCTGCAGTTTCCAGTCGTCGGTTGCACTCGGTACGAGCTTTCTGATCCCCGAGGAACTGGTATCGATGCTCTCTTGGAGCCCATCCACAAGAAAGATTCTCTTGTACCACTCCTGAGGAACACCCTCGAGTTTGCCCTCCTGGATGCTCTTCACATACTCCCATTGTTGAGGGATCGATAACCGTTCCTTGTCTCTGGTCAAGGTGAAAAGCTCTGCCTGCTGCATGAACGTGCCCAATGCCTGCTCCACGGTCGACGGAGCGTAGTACTTCGGGTTAAAAATGCGGATTAAGGTGTCAAACCCCGCCAAAAACGTAAGCGTAGGTATCACAGGAGATCCCAAATCCGTGAAGTGGGAGATAATGGCTTGGGATTTGTCGACAAACTTGGCATGCGTAGTGAGGCCCACGGAGGTTTCGATGGCGTACTCTGATCTGATCTGATCGGCAAGCAAACACATCATGGCAATACGATGCTCAAAGGCGGCGGCGGTGAAGGCGGCGGTTTTATCGGCATTGTTCACGGACAACATGATCATGAGCCGCTTCTGCTCCGAGTTGTGGAGGTGCGGGGTGGACACCGCCCGCGCGTCAAAGTTATACTGCAAGGCTCGAACCACCAAGGATAAATGGGCATTGTGGGGCGGATTGAACGAAGAGTCGAGAATACAGAGTCTTGTGGTGGGGAGTAGACCGGAGGGGGTAGGGTTTGGCAGGTAGATGACTCTGAACTGCGAACCAGAGGTGAGAAAATCGCACAACGCCCTGGCACAGATCTTTGGGTCTCTGTTCATAATAAGGGTGAATATGGTTGGCTAGTAAGAAAAGGTGAGGTGATCTGCAATATCAGGAAGCGTTGGAGCTATGTGAAATGAAGACAGCATCAGATAAAACCTTGAGATTTTCGATTTTCCCCGCAGAGACTAATAACAGGGAAGGGCAAAAAGCACGATGTTGAGATTTACACAGGTGTAATATATAGATAAAGCATTAATTGTCAGTACTGGCATAACCAATGATTATATTTAAGTAAATTACCTGGAATAGAGATCTGCGACATGAGAGTAGATTAGATAGAACTCTTAAAGCTCGTCTCTTTCAATTTCCTCTTCTTCCTCTTCCTCTTCCTCTTCCTCCTCTTCTTCTTCTTCATCCTCTTCTTCTTCTTCCTCCTCTTCTTCCTCCTCCTCCTCTTCTTCTTCCTCATTTTCAGTCACTGGTTCAGACTCAAAAACATCCTCCTCATCATCATCTTCCAACTCAGCCGGAGGTTCGTAGCCCTCAATACCCACCAATTCAGCTTCGAAGGTGAGGGTGGCATCAGGCGGAATAACACCACCGGCACCAGACTTACCGTAGGCCAAGTGTGGCGGAATGGTGAGTTTACGCTTTTCACCAATACACATTCTGGTCAAACCCTGATCCCAGCCCTTGATAACCTGACCAGACCCTAACTCGAAGGTCAATGGTTGGCCTCTCTTCAGAGAGGCGTCAAAAACAGTACCATCCTGGAGCTTACCGACATAGTGCATGTGAATTCTGTCACCCGGTTGGGACTTACGGTGGCATTCTTCCGCTGGAACGGACTTGATAATTCCTAGAGGTTAGTGATTGATAACCAAAATCTGGCTGGAAGATTACGTACCAATTCTCAATTGGTCGGCCGCAGAGACGGCAGACGCCAAGGCGGCAAGGGAAATGGCTAACTGGGTCAACTTCATGTTTGTATATGATTGTGTTGGGATGCGCAGAAGTCTAAGGATCCGGATTCAACTGTTTTTTTTTGAAGGGTTGTGGGGGCTACTCGAGCGGCTACCAACGGGGCTACGTGTTAATCTCCAGTATGCAGGTCATCCCCAATTCTACCCCGTGCGCGTGAGAAGGCAATGAAGCGTATCACATGCACCGGAACTGTAGTCCCAAGGTCCAAGAACTAGTGCGATATGGCTCCTCGGAATGTCAAATCTATGACGCTCTATCCCTCGGTATACAGATCTCAACTACATTGAACTATTTGAAGAGAAGTATATTAACAAACAGTTGAATAAATAATATATAGAAGCTTTTTGGACGAGCGTTTCATCTTCGGTGTGAGTTTTTTTTTGTAGAAACCAGCGCCTCGCAGTAAGAGATAATAAACGTAGTAGTAACAGACGGGGAACGGAAAACCCAAGCAGGAAAGTGGAAGAAGAAAAGAGCAGAGAAAAATAATAAAGCGCAACCCAAAACAAACCAAATAGAAATAACAAAAAAATATAATGACTAAAAAAACAAAAACTTCAAGCTTGAGAGAGGGAAGAAACCAAGAACCGCCAGCTTAATAGATACGGCCTTGTTCTAGTTCCTCAATGGTGTCCTCGATAATCTCTTCATCGTCGTCGTCTTCCACCAACTCAATGGTGGCATACTTGACCAAGTCCCAGCGCTTCCAGAACAACTCACAATCGCTCGCAGCATTGGATTCGACATAGTCCTGCAAGTAGTACTTGGCCTTCATCAAACGGGCCTTCAAGTTCTGCAACTTGCATCTGGATGGCTCTTCCGTCGTGTTCGAGGCAGGGTTAAGCATCGAAGGACGTCTCACCGGGGTGGCCACCTGCTTGGTCAGGTACCCGTAGTCGCTCTCGTAATCGGTAATGTCGGTGGAACCCTCAGATTTGTAGCCTTCGTCATCGGTAGCCACTGACGCCGGAGTAGTCGGGATCTTTTCGATGTTACCATAGCGGTACACCTCTTCTTCTGCATAAGCGGTCATATCGCAGTATCTAGCCCATGCGGCGTCGATCGAGCCAACCAAATAATCGAAACAGCGCAATCTCGCGGAGCGGTCAGAGTCCAGTAACGGCTTCTTCAGCTTCGCAGACTGGGACGTGGTGGAGGCGTAACTGGCATTGTACTTGTTCTGAAGGTCTGAGACGGAGTTAGTTCTGGTCGGCATGATGCACGTGGCGACTGAGTCAGCATCCTCATTGTCGTCTTCGTCATCGCTGTATTGGCCGACAGCACGGCTGATGTCCGAGTCCATGGACCACATGGACATGCGAGTGGACGCACGTCTTTTGGCCCGCAACTGGTCGGCGTCGTATGAAGTATCGTCGTCGGAGTCGTTCAACTCATCTTCGGAAGAGGAGCAGATTGCGGCACCGGTCGCCAAAAACACATCCTTGGATCGGATGCATGCCTTTTTTGGCGACGACGTGATGAAGGAACACTGGCGCTTAAGCGACGGGAGGGTGATCTGATGGGATGCTAAAGCCATGATGAAAACTTACAATGACGTCAGGAACGTGCTCAGGGGGGGAGTGCGGTTACCAAAAATGTTCTTGCAGGAAAAACAAAAACCGGATTGGGAAGGAGGTTGCTCGAATATGTAGGGACACAGAAAACGACAGCGGCGCAAAAAGGACAGCGGTGTGTGTGACTAAGTATTCGGTGGCAAAAAGGGTGGTTCTGAGCAGCGCAGTAAAGGCGTCAGATATAACTGGTTTATAGGGAATAAACAGTTATTCGTTCGATGGTAATAAATCCAGACCAGCTAGAATCGTTTGGTATCAAAACTAGACTATGTTGTGTTGGGTGGAACGAATTAACAACTAGCACAAAGGAAAGAAGGAGTTTTTCTTAAGTTACTATGGGGGAAGGGGTGTTGTCGCGAAATTACTAAAGGGTGGGAAACAGGAAAAGCAAAGAGGAAACCGGGAAGAAAACAGGAAAAAGTGCGAGTCAGCAAGCGGCGAGCAAGGCAGAACTCCCCAGCGCAAACTGTACCCGACAAAGGTGAGACGCTAGCCCGTTTGCGGCTGTACCTATGTTGCTTCTAGGAATTTCTTTTTCTTCCAAAGGCATACGCTGATTGGACAACCTTATGCGGTTGCCAGGGAAATTGACGCACATCTGGGTAGGGTAATGCACCTTCCCGCCACGTGCATTTTAATTAGTCACAGAAGGCTAAGATTCTGAAACCAACTTGTGAGGGAAATAGGATTATCTATGGGATAATTAAATAGCAAAAAGCGGGAGTTGCCATTTGAGGGGCGACTGGTTCTAGTAAAGAGCCGGCCGGTTTGAAGTTTATCAGGGTGAGTGTCACATCTCCAGTGCAATTAAGAGTTTTGGAGGGTGTTCTGAGGATGTAAGTGGCTATCAATAGATACAGATAGGCTTATTGTTGCATACTAGGCCCACTATTTTACTGTGATACAAACTTCGCCTTACTCTCAAATGGGGTAAGGGGTGTAGATGGCTTACGCTCGCTCCACGAATGGAAGCCATAAATCTGTTTAAAGTATGAGGATAAACAGCTATAGAGTTAGTGTATTTCCACCGTTCTGGGGATAATATGACGACTGGGAACCGGAATGCTACACCTACGTTGTAGGGCCATTCAAACTGTCTCTGGAACCTCTATTGCCCATAATATTTGGCGATCGTACATTTAACGATGGACCCTGAATACACCAATCTGCTAGAAATGATTAATCTACTAGTGAATAAATCGATTGTGACGTATACTATGGATGAAAAGTGCTTAACCAGGAGAAAATGTTCATGTACTAATGCTAGCTCATGGTTGACAAGCTTTGACTCTTAAAAATCGGTCAATCTAATAGTTCATACACCCTTCGACTCGCTCAGATCATTCCCCTTATCTGGAGTGTTATGACAACAATAAAGGCTGGTGATTTAAACGTGCCCATTTATCCCATAGACGTTAACGGCGGATATACTCTAACCTCTAGTCGGTCGATATTCTACACGATTATCAGTTGTGAACTTTGAGCTTCGTTATTAAACCTTGCCATAGTCTTGGTTAATCGTAGTTCTAAGAAAGCGTCTTATCCTCACAATCCCTTAAGAATCTCCAGCTCACTATAGTCGTCACATGCCCCTTTTGGGATAACTGCTAATTTCTCGAGAACAACTCGGCTTTCGCCTTTTTTTTCTTCCTACAAATTGAAGCACCTTGCATGTCAAATCCTTAAAACATACTCACTTGCCAATTCCGTAGACATTTCTCCACTCCTCTCGTGCAACATCAGATATTTGATCGTTCAGGGCTAATGAGTCGTGAGCGCCAAGGAAATCTCATGCGGGGTGGACGAAATCGCTCCAACGATTACTACGCCTTTTGGTGTCTCCCCGAAAGTCGCCGCGTAATCCTTGCGGACATCTTCTTGGACCCTAAAAACGACTGCGGCGTGTGTTCCACCGACGTCGGTGTTGACACAAGGCCCCGTTCGTTCTGCGGCGCCACCGTGCCGGTGCCAAGGAACCGCTTAATCTTGTCTTGCCAGTAGAGCAAGGCTTGTGGGTGGAGCTGGTTAGGGTTCTTGACCGGACCATCGATATTGCACCCACTGAGAATAAGCAATTCAGCGATATCAAACACGGGGCGTTCCTTTGTGCCCGAGTACTTCACCAATGCATACTCAAACAACGTGAACACCGAACTCGTCTTGCTATCTGACACGGCCATATTGATATTTGCCCCCGCCGCAATCGTGCGGATGATATCATTAAATCTATGCTTCGTGATCGCAGATACGAGCACTAGATTCACGTCCCCGTCCACAAGCGACATGTACAACTTTAAGCGGTATTTATCGGTGACAAACTCCAACCGCTCCGCGTCCGCGATCCCCTTTGCGTAGTTGAGCTTCTTACTTGACGCCAACGTCGCCTCTAGATAGCGGTTAGCCTCGCGATTGTTGATATGCATCAACAACGACTCCGTCTCGGCGGTAAAGTTGTCCAACTTCAACGACTTGATCTTGCTGATGTGTGAGCCGAGCGAGCGGTGGCACGACGAACAGTTCACGCAGAACACCACCAAGAAGTTGATTGAGATCCACTCGACCGAGTCGGGCGAATCGCAGTCCACACAACGCAAGTTGCTGGGATCCACGTCTTGCACCATGCGCAACTGATCCGTGTCTGCTACCGAAAGCTCGGGCTCCCGAACATGCGACGTCATTGCGTTCATCCGTGAGAGATCCACCTTCGTGGTGGGCGCCGCACGAATCTCCGATCCCTCTTTGAAGGGAGAGAATTTGGAGGCAACACCGGAGGTGGGTGAAAACTTGGTGGACGAGGGCATAACCTTTTTGGTTTCTCGCACCGGTTGAGAAAACAGCCCGTGACTCGTTTTGAGTGGGTACGGCCGTGGGGCAGACAAGCCAGGCGTTGCAGACAGACCTGCTGCCAGGGTCTTCTGGAAACTCTCGCCTGGCAGCGTCAAATGCTGTCCCGCGTCGTAAAACGCCTTCGCCCATTGGCGCTGCTCGTACTCACTAACAGCCTGGAAAACGTGTTTGTCGCCCGTAGATGTCATGATCTCCAAGCAGTGCTTGCGCTTGTCGTTAGGGGTCGCCTTGATGCTCGCAAGGGAGATGTCGATCGGTTCGTGTTGGCGGATAGACGAGCCCTTGCGCCAGTCGGAGTACTCGAACAACCGACCCTTGTCCAAAACCACCCATTCCTTGTGCCACCCCAACTTTCCCTGTCCGCCTTGGACGAAAAGAAGCCCCGCTCTGTACCCAGGCGGGTTCTTGGGCGACGCCAGGGACGTGGGAGCATCGGGCAGCGTCGGTTGGTTCGCCAAAACGGCCGCTAGTTCCTCCTCCGTTTCTGCCAGCGAGATCCGTCGTCCAAGCTGCTTTCGTTCCGCCGCAAAACTCCGAAGGTTTGCAACCACACCGCCAACCGAGTCTATCTCCGCGTCCAAATTCGGTTGGTCCACCTCCTGAAAAAAGGACGTCATTGCAGTCATAAATGTCTGCGTGAACTCGTCCGAGTTGAGTCCGTGGAGGTAATCAATGTACCCGAGCTTCGCAAGCTCAAAGCTTTTGCGCTTCCGCAAACTTTTCTCGTCCTTGCTCTTACCGGAAGAAAGGTACTTGGTCAACCATGCGTAGTACTCCTTTGACTCCTCCTCGAACTCCTTTTTGCGCGCAGCACACATGTTCATGTCGTTGTTAAGCAAGGCTGTCAAGGGATCGATGAATTTGGCCTTATAGGCTGCAGATTGAAGCTTCTGTTGGGCTCTTTCGGCTGAAAGGTACGGAGTGTAGGCACTTGTAACAATAGGTGAGAGGCCTGTCATCCCAGCGGGGCTGTTAGTAAGACGCACCAAGGCGCGGGTGAGCTCGCGAGTAGCGGCCGTCGACAACTGGAGACTCTGGAGAACGGCTTTGGCGGCTCCAAGCGTGTCACGAACGAGCGCTCGGAACTTTGGGATGTTTTCCTCAAGCTGGCGCACGGTGGAACGGAAAATCGGACCGTCCTCCGTGCAGAGATTGTATGAAGCCAGAGTCGAGGTTTGGGCCAAAGCCGAAGGCTGTGACAAAGGCGGGGCCTCAGGCAGTGGCTGAGACAAAGACTGATCTGGGGAGTCCTGAACTGACTGCCGAGAAAAATTTCCCATCTGTTGGGACTCTACGGGTGTCCTTGGTATCCCATCCGCTGTCGCTGGGACCCCGGTCCTTGTTTCTTTCTCCGCTTCTTCTTCTTCCTTGGGGGAACCCTCTCCTTTATCCAGAGAGGCCTCACTGGGCGGATTGAGGGTGCTGCTCAGTGTATTGGGTGAGTCGACGAGCGTTGGTAATGTCGGCGGAAGGTAGACCAGTAACCGCCCATTAGCGTTAGGCGGATACCTTGCGGAGCTGAAGTCAAAATCTGGAAGATCTTCACAGTTGCTGCTTCCGGCAGGCGACAAGTTGGGGCTAGGAAGCGGGTTCGCAGTGTCTTCCATTGGCTGCGCCGACAAAGGCTCAAATGGCACCTGCTTCTTGCGGTTAATCGTAATCGGCGACAGCGCCCCTTTCAGGTTACTTGGCGCGAAAATTGTCGCGGGCTGACGAGACGGTTCAGTCAAAAGCGAAATACTTTGATTTGATTCTGCTACCGGCTCTCTCAGATCTGTTTCCAGCCCGTTGGCCTCGCAGTTAGTGCCGTGTTCAGACTCCATATACAACGAGACCTTCACAAAGTGCTTCAACGTCACCTTCTCCGTGCGTCTGTCGCGACACAAACCCGTGACAAGGAAGATCACCTTTCCTCCACGGGCGGTATCAGATGGCAGGAGGAACTCTGGGATGGAAAGCATCCCGTCGCTGTCCCATTCAAACAGCCTGTGCGTGGACACGTGGGGAGGCGCGATAAAGTCACCACTGTGCGCAAACTGCGCGTCCATATCTGAGACCAAGGCGTCGATTTCGGGGTACGATGCGGCCTTAAAGACAAAGAGCCTGCGGAGGTCGAAAAGCGTGTAGTCGGGGCTAGGTTTGAAGTGAAATACCACATTTGAAAAGAACTCACCTGGAAGACGGAGCACAAGCGGAAAAGCCGACTCGTCGAATATATCCATGTTCTGCACGTACGTTTCTGTTGCAGGCTTATTAATGCGTTTTGCCGTTGCGGAGTCGAGGATATCACGGAGGATCCTGAAGTGCGCCGTGCGGGAATCTTTGCTTGCGATGCGCACGATGGACACATAGCTCGTGGCCGCGGGATTGGTAAGGCGTAGCTGCTCAAGCGACAAAAGGCTTTCTTCGAACTGGAAGTACGGGAACGCTAGATCGAGGATATTCATAATGTGGCGGACAGTGAGATGTGCAGGGCGGCTGAAAGAGCCAATTACCGAATTGAATGATGTAAAATTGCAGTGGCTTGCACTGGATGATTAGTGTCGTTCAACAGCTTATTCTGAACGGCTAGATGCTTGTCCGTGGCCTTTGTGAATCGTCAGAAATGGTTCGTGGCCTTTTGAAGTAGTTGAATGGTTTTGCCAATAGCCACTGAAAGCACAAAAGATGGTAGCTGCTAGGATGAATTTATCTGAGATAGACGCAATTTGTATGCTGTAGTGGCAACGGAGTGTGAGCCTTGGATCAATGAACTGGCGACTATCAAGATAGATCCGATGCTACTCATGTCTGGGTCAGCTTCATGCCGCAGCGGTGTTTTTCTTGACGCATTGATGGCAACGAGTCCGTGCAGGAAACACCGACACGAGCCGTTTCACGGGGATATGGGGGTCATGTAACTGTTGCTATTCGGCCCGATCCAAGGAAACACGAGATGAGCATCGGGGAAACCCGAGATGTGAGAATTGAAGACATACGGAATGTGGGAAACGTTCATTATTGGATCCAAATGGTGAAAATTAAAAATAATGTATCGTAGCCGGGGTATGTGTGAATGCTCTAATACGAGACATTATAATATACGAGATGTTCTAATTGATGGCATTTTGATACTGTAAAGATGGTCTGATCTGTCCTTCTTCGTTATAATACACGATGCGCTGAATTGGTACGGATAAGCGGTCTGGTTGGTGACGCCCGTATATCCAGAAAGGATTTGTTGAATTTCCGAGAGTAGCAGACCGGGAGCTAAAACATTAAGTGACAGCGGTAGCTACAGCAACCGTTTCTCTGGGCTTGGGAGGAACGCTAACACCGTGTAATCATGTTGCCAATCCTCGTGTGTTTGGCTAAATATGTGATACCACAAGCAACTTACTGGCCATTCAGACTTGGAGAATATCGAATGCAGGAGTTGTCGAGAGGTTACGCAAAGCCAGAAACGGTGTCGTACGATTTCCGTGGCTAACCTTTTGTGCATGAAGTTGGACGGGTAATTGTAGGTAGCGGTAAGGAATGCATGTATCGGTACGGTTTTTAAACCAAGATGGAAGGAATGCGGTGGATCCGGCAAAATGTGCTGTTTGTTTAGACGTCGTGGAGAACTAGAGAAATACTATTCCCAAGCTTTATGGCTGGGATTTTAGAGTCGAACTCATTTTTAAGTAACTGCAGTGAAGCTAAGCTCGAACCCTGAAAATTATTTAGTGAACAGGGGTCATTGGAGGTCTAACTATTGAGCGTAGGCTCCGGATATCCACACAAATGTTGGGCCTGGGTAGGTTGGAAACGGGTTGGGCTAAACGGTTAAAAACTAAGGGTTCTAACTTACTTTTAGGGTTTAACCTTTCGGACTCGATGTGTCATGATCCCCGAATACGGCTATCACCTTGCCTACTGTAGCAAGGACTACCAGGATTGCTAAAACTTGTAGCTACCTCTAGCTGAAAGGCTATTCAGTTATCCGTCGATTTTATCCTTATCTCGTATGTTAAATACACCCGCGGTTTACCCTGTAGCATTCTATTGCCCCGAATTCATGTGTCTGAGACTGGCATGCAGTGCTCACAGTGAGATGTGTAGGCTGTAACGATACTTTCCCTGGTGGCTGAAGCTTATGGCCAGCCAAATATCGTCTCCTTTTCTAGAGCCACCTTCCTTGGACCTATTCCCATTCGGGAATCAGACGACGTTCCTGCTCCGTCTGTAGCCGGCATGAAACTCTATCTCCCAGAGTCGTATCGCCAGGCCGTACATATTAGTGTCAATCTCGCATATTCCGCTGCATGCGGCTTCCGTACCATGGTGGAAACAAGCAGCCACAGACTTATAGGTTTTGTGAACAAATTGCTAGTAACATGCAGACTTGGCTTGGCGGAATAGTGGAGTTTGGAGAGAATACTAGCGCGGTTCGAGGTAGAGATTGAGGGCAAGTAAGGCCCATTCAATTAAAACCGGCGCCAATATCCTTAGTCAGTTGACATAGCACCGTTTCCTTGCTCCTCCAGAGTATCTATTCTTACTAGCTATCCAAGTATTGTGCCTCAGCGCAGCTCCTCTGTCAAAGATCTTGCTTTACTCAATTATAAAGGCAGGCCTATTTCACAGGGACTGCCACTTTTAACCGAGCAGTGAAACCCTTGGAGACAAGACCATCATCGCTTACAAAGCTTAGTAAGGTCGTTTCTCTTGTTGTTTCCCCAATTCGCTATGAACTCACAGTCCCCTCGCGACCTCTTTCTGCTCCACGAGTGCGTGGGAAAAGGCAATTTCGGAGATGTCTACCGCGCGTACGCAATTACCTTATCTGCTTGTAGTCCCTGACACTAATGCTGGCCTCTAGAACAGAAAAGAGCACCAACCGGATCGTAGCGGTCAAGATCGTGGATTTGGACGAATCAGACGAGGACATCAACATTCTAATTCAAGAGGTCCAGTTCCTCTCCCAGTTGAAATCACCCTATATAACCGGCTACTTTAACACGTACATCCAAGATGTTTCCATGTGGATCTCCATGGAGTACTGTGGTGGGGGATCATGCGCCGATTTGCTCAAGTGCCATCGTAAACTAGACGAAACAGCCGTGGCTTATATCACCAGAGACGTCTTGAGGGGCCTCGAATACTTGCACTTGCAGCAAAAAGTGCACCGGGATGTGAAAGCTGCCAATATCCTCTTGACCGCCAATGGGGGCGTCAAATTGGCGGATTTCGGGGTCAGTGGGCAGCTCAGCTATACCCAGGTCAAGAGAGATACTTTTGTAGGGACTCCATTCTGGATGGCCCCGGAAGTGATTCTTCGGAAAGCGGGATACAATGAAAAGGCTGATATCTGGTCATTGGGCATCACCGTAATTGAATTGGCCAAAGGGGTACCTCCTCACGTTGGCGGGGAGCCAATGAAGGTGTTGTTCCAAATCCCGTCCATGCCAGCCCCGTTGTTGGAAGATGATCCACACGGCACTGCCTATAGCGACTTGATTAAAGATTTCATCAAGTACTGCTTGGTTAAGAATCCTGCAAAAAGGCCCTCCACCACCACATTGTTGCGCCATAAGTACTTCAGGTCAATCCTGAGAAAGTACACGCTCGTGCCTTTGATTCAACAGAAGGATCGCTGGTTGGCAAAAAACTCCAAGATTAGCAAGAGCAAGAGGCCAAGATTATCACTCGATTATGACCCCACGCCGTTGAATCCGATCGATTGGCGGCTCACGGAGAATTGTCGTTCGATCGGCGAACCGCTCACCTCTAGTCTATTGACAGGCGAGGAAGAGAAATCCTGGCTTGATTTTGACTCTACCGATGCGAAGGTGTATAGATTAGCCATGGAGGCCCCGTTACTCCACACCAAGCACGGGGAAAGAGGACCAGGGATCTCTGGGTCGGTGAGAAAATCGTCGCCTCCGTTGGTCCAAAAAGAAGCCTTGATCAGATCTTCAAGCGAAGAGAGTGGAAGCACACCGAATTCTGGTGGGGTGTCTCCTTTGACTCCGAAGACTAGTGGTGGTACATCGCCATGCACCTCCACGCCGCCTCAGAAAGATGAAAATAGGAAGGAAGATCACGTCCGTGCAATACCCCATCCTCCGGCAACAAAACCCTCCCCGGTAACAAAACCCTCCCCGACTTCTGAGTCTTGTAGTTTGTCTCTTGATGGTAATGTTATCTTGGCTTGCTTGAATCGAGTGGCGAGCCGGGCAAAGACTGAAGAGACAAAAGTGAGTGTTTTGGAGTTGGGCAGGGTCTTGCACAGTTATGAAAGCAGACAGCCAGGTTTGTGTGAAGCGATTGCGGAGGAGATTTGTTTGTATGTGCACAAGCATCGTGAATTTTTATAAAGGCCAAAATTGGTGACCCTATTTATTGGTTTCGCTAAATAACTAGATGATAAACATTGATGTAAAAGTTATATTTGTTAATAGCAGGCACAAAGCAAATATCGGTGTTTGAGCGTATGTTATTAACGCAATGCTACATATACAAGCGATTTATGCATATAAAATTCATATTTAAAAGCCCCACCACGGTAAACTTGAGATATACCTCTATACACTTGCCAAAGGATATTTAATTAATAGCATCTACAGAGATTCTGGTGCTTGTCACCCGACAAGCACCGGATACATGTCGTCAAGCCAGCACCCAACAAATTGTTGTAGTTAGTATGGCCAAGCCTAAAGCGGGGTGCATGCATACAAGCTGGGCCATGAATTTATACAATTATATATTTATGCTTTGGAGTTTGAAAATAGTCGGATTTGCGGAATTGAATGACCACGTACGACTTCATGATTCCCCTCCAGGTGGTACCCCCATTGTATGTTCAGGCCGAGCACATCACCCGACGTGGGTCGTGTACTTTACGGCGGGGCAGCTGCAGCCAATGTTCGCTAATCTGAACAGAATAATCTCCCGATAAAGTTTGAAAAGTAATCCGGGAAAAAAATGCCGCAAGAAAAACCAGAGCAAAGGTTTTCTGCTTCTTCGGGCTCGTTCCGAGCCGTTTTTGGAATCGACCCTTCCACCCCTCGAAATATATAATTTTTCCCACCAGGTATTTTAGGCTTTTTAAGATGCGCAGCCGATAAAAAAAAATCTCACTAACCCCCCAAAGTAAAACCTTTCAGAAACTTGACGAGGTCCCAAAGAACAACTACAAATATCAGATTACAGTATTAATTTTATTGTATGATCTCTATGGAGAAAAACCGAAAATATTTATAAACCGAGTGCGAAAAACAGAAATTAGGAAACCGAAGCTGAAAGGAAGGCGATATACAGCCAATTAATGGTACAGTGCTAAAGAAAATGGGAGAGGAAGGTCGTACCCCCGACAAGGCGTGGTAGAACAACCAATTTCTTAGAACAACAAAGCAACACCGGCAGCGACGGCAGCACCAATAACACCAGCACCAACAACGTTGGAGTTAGCAGCACCAGTAGACTTAACGGTGGTGGAAGTACCGTTGGTGTGGTTGCTGGAGGTGCTGTTGGTGTTGGTGGTAGCGTTGTAAGCAGAGACAGAGGCGGCAGCGGCCAAAGCGATAACGACGTTAGAGAATTGCATTTTGAAAACTGAGTGGATGTGATGTAAAACTGATAGCACAAGACGGGAAGTTTCCAAAAACCGGGAGGCCCGTCATATTTATACCTCAGAAAAAAAGTTGCCATCTGCCAGTCCCAAGGAACGGTGTGAAAGATAGGTGATAATGAGTATACCAACTGAAAAAAAAGAAACAAAACGCGCATGCATGCATACACGATTGAGCAGAAAAAGTTTAAATACAGCAACTGCCCGATAAAACTGTGTCAACCAGTTCCCTAATAGGAAATACCGTCTGGTGGATATAAAAATTTTCCACAAATATGCACTCACGCCTGCATTGAGGATTGTGTGATAGCCAGCTTCTTGTACCTCACCACCTGTCACTATTGTGTGACTCTTACAAGCGCCGTACGCCAGAGTTCCGGCTTCGCTATCGTGTTGAGGAGGTATAAATCTTTCCGTAATTTTCCTCTGGCCTGACAAACTCTCAGTTCAAGGACGAACGGACCTAAGGACGAATCAGCCTAAGGGTGAAAGAGCTCTAAGGCCTAGATTCGGAGTACCTCAACTCCGGCACGTGTAATAACGCTTATCTCTTTACCCTATTTTCTTCGCCCCCCCCCGCGAGCAAGCATGAAATATACAGGCTTGGAGGAGAAAAAAAACTCCGCCACCAAATCGCGCTAGTGTCTTGAGAGCCTAGACCGCTCTTCATGTCCCAAACCGGGATAGTATGCATACATAAACGCGGTAGTGGTGATCAGCCGTGCGACATGCAGGAGGCAATTTCACATGTTCAAACCGCGCTTCGAATGGACCTGCACGTGCCGTTGGCTTCATTCATTGGCTAGTATAATAAATCTTACAAAATCTATTTTAAGAGCCCAACTGTCAGATTCGCAATAGTACGTTTGGAACACCGAGGTCATCGTGTAAATGTTCCCTTCCCATAAATGGCATCGATCCTTGCTCTGCAGAGGTTTCTGCTTTGGCAGAATTTGCTTCTGGATAGTGAACCGCATATGTTTGCGTAGCTTGTCACAGGCTTTAGCAGGCGAGCCGTAACTCAGAGAAGCCGCTTGCTACCCCTCGAACCCAGCGGCTTTCCCAAGTATAGCTAGCCAGATTACGCGCCAGAAGAGTTCTCTGCTTCCTGTACGAATATGTACTGCATTCCTGGTATACATTTTCTTACCCGATTCGGCAAACATAGCGTAACGGTAATTAGTTTGCTCAATCGAGGAATAATCTGGCCGTTCACCGTAGAGGAAATTGCCGCTGGTGTACGTATTGAAAGCATTTCGTGGATTGCTCTGTATTCGCCTTGCGAAAAGCAAAAGGTTTTACTACCACCGATAAGCTATAGAGCAACACCTTCAGCCCGACTGTAATCTGTTCTAACACCTTCTGTCTGACTGTAATCTGTTCCAGTACGGAGTGCCTATGTTCCGTATTAGGCTACGGTAAGCGCACATATAGCTCCGCGCGCAAGGTTGCTTCCGCGTTGAAACAGAACGCTATTCATGTTTCATACCAGGTTTAGTTTGTCCCTGCATATATGTAAAAGAGGCATAAATCCTGGCTCTAACGGACGCATCTAGAAGCGATACGCGTAGTTCAAAGGATACACGAAATATTGCTTCTAATTGAAACCAACAGGGCTTGCTGGGAAGTTTGAACCAACTAATACGAGCTTAGGCCATTCCTAGAAAAGAAGGGAACCAGAAGCAATTCTAGTCATGTAGAAACTAAATAGCCAGTGGAGAGATACATTATAGAGGCCTCGCCAAATAATCGCTCAAAGCTGTCTCTCAGTGGGATGTAGAAGAAATATAGTAGGGTCTGTCGTACTTTTCTGTGACTAATTTGGAGTGGAAACACCACTCATCCAACCCGGTTCCTCGTTTACGTTTTATGACGTCAGTGCCACCTATGCGCATAACTACTTCAAAGAAGCGGCAGCAACTCGGGATATGGTAATTATTAGTCACCGAGTGGAAAAAGGTGGTCCCAGCAAGCGATATTTACCTACCACACAAAGGTAGAGTCACTCCATGTATTGGAGAGGCAGTTTTGGGAGCAAACTGGCATTATCGACTTTGAGAAATTGTCCTCGTTCCACTAAACGGTCACTACAACGTAACGGTTTTATTCTTTCCCATATCCTACCATTCTTTACCTTTGCGAATATATCAGTGGCTTTTCTAGTATCGTAATTGCTGGCGCCACATAAAACAAAATCCAAGTCTCTCAGAAAACCTCGAGCTTTCTATGGATAAGCCTAATAGCTATTATATTAATGGTTCAGCACGAATCAGCCAGACCTTCAATGATTACGCGAAAGGTATCTAAGAACGACTCGTAAAATCCTCATTTATCGGCTGGGTCCGTCTACTTTTAGATTCCTAACCTTTCTCCACCAGGTTCTAAAGACCTAGCATGTAAAAGGGTTCGGTGAAAACGGCTCAATCATCCATAAAACCTCTCTTAAAATCCTATATGCGTATGTTCAGCCGACTTGGGAAGGAGGAATCAGGGAGCCGCACCGCGATGTTATTCCCTGATATCTGCGTCTCCCTACAGCAGGATATTTCCCAACCAACGTTTTACCTAAACTATCTGTATAAATTTGTTAAAAATTAACTTTTGAGCTAAACTATTCTGGTACAACTCTCACCATTTCTCTGGCGTGGGGCGTCTATCCAGTCTCCGTATTCGTCGTGCGTGTTGCCGATTTTCCAAATTTTCGTGTGAGAAACGCGTCTGTAAACTGGCAGCACTTCGTGTTTCTCAACGCCTCTTAAGAACAAGAGAAAGCCGATTTTGTTAACTCCCCCTCATATCTTACCACCTTTTCCCTTGATCTATTCCAAGGCAACTATCAAGCTCTCTATCCGTTTGCCAAAACATTAATCCCCTTACAATTCTGCTGAACTAGCCACTGAAGGCCTGCATTCGACATCCAAGTGACACGTTTGGCTAAGATCATCACAGATACGAAAATTGTTGGTTGCTAACCCATCCAAATACATAGTGCCGGTTCCTTATTGCCTGTACCTGAACTGATTCCGCCGTAATATCTCGGTTAGACAATACCACCTTCACACCGACGCTTACCGTTTAAAGCTTTACCCTGAGTTCCACCCCATTTACGGCTATATCTTTATAATTATCCTCTTTTTTTTTGCCAGTTTCCACCCAAACTAAACAAAATGTCCATGTCTTCTATGGCTTTGCCGTCTAAACCGAAGAAGCCAGAGGAGAACATCCTCAACGACGTGAACATCCAGAAATTCCTCATTGACTTGAGACCGCCGCAGTTCGACGTATCGCCGGTGTATACCGCAACGTACACCGGGATTGCGGTGATTGAGATGACAGTTAATGGGGTCTCAGTCATGCGCCGCCGCAACGACCTGCACTTCAACGCCACGCAGATCCTCAAAATCGCAAACGTAGACAAGCCGCTCCGGACCAAGATTCTCGAGACACGCATCCACACGGGCGTTCACGAGAAGATACAGGGAGGCTATGGCAAGTACCAGGGCACGTGGATCCCGTACGAACGGGCGGTGGCTCTCGCGCAGCAGCTTGGGGTCTATGACGCCATCAAGCCGTTGCTCATGTACAACGTCGCGTCCAGCGAGGCGCGGCTGACAATGACCAAGGAGCAAGCAAACGTGGATATGAAGGCAAGCATGCGCAGCGTGACCAACTCCAGCGCCGGCCTGAACTCGTTCACCATTCACCGCGACGCGCCGGAACCCGCCACACGCAACTTCTCATCTATAACCGACGATGATGAGGCGCCATCGCCAACCAAGAAGCCGAAGCACGCTAGCGGGAGTTTTAGAAAGTCGTTCGCAGCCTCACCGCAGTACGATGCGGCATTCGTGGCGCACACCCACGACACAGCCTTGCCAAATCCAAACTCGCCCTTTACGTTGGAGCCCGTGAGCGCGCTGCTGCCCGAGTTTGAGGCATCGCGGGAGTACATCACGGCAATTTTCTTGAGCGATCAGCCGGGCCAGTTGGACGGAAATGTCAACTGGGACGTGCCGATCGATGATCTCGGCCACACGGCATTGCACTGGGCGGCCACGCTTGCGAGGTTAGAGTTGGTCAAAGAGTTGGTCGAACGCGGGGCTAACCGCCTCAGGGGCAATGCCGACGGCGAGTCGGCGCTTGTGCGTGCGGTCTTGGTGACAAACAACTCCGACCAGAGCTCGTTTCCGGAGCTTCTCGACTGGTTGTACCCGTGCATCACCCTCTTGGACCACCATGGAAGGACCATCCTTCATCACATTGCACTCACCGCCGGTATCAAGGGCCGTTCCTCTGCTCTGAGGCACTACTTGGAGTGTTTGCTCGAGTGGGTCGTGCGCAGAGGGCTGTACCTCAAGGAGGGCCAGTTGTCCTTGGGCCGTTTCATGAACGAGGTGGTGAATGTCCAGGACAAGAACGGTGACACGTGTTTGAACATTGCGGCGAGAATTGGCAACAAGGCAATTGTCCAGCAGTTGCTTGATGTGGGGGCAGATCCGAGTGTGGCAAACAAGGCCGGGTTGAAGCCCGCTGACTTTGGCATCAGCATCAAGCATAGTGAAGATAGCGGTGCAGCAACGGCTGTCGCAGCCATTGGTGTTGCAGCACTGTATTCCACTAGTCAATCTTCCAGCAAACTCTTTGAACTGATGCAGGCGATGTTGGGGCGTTTGCACGAGGACTTCCAGGCAGAGGTCGGCGAGAAGCAAGCAAAGCTCCAGGACTTGCACGCGCAGCTCCGCGAACGCACGCAGCAGCTCTCACACCACCGTACTATGTTCGAGGAGTTAAGCAGCTCAGAGCGCGAGTTGATGGAGTTGCGCCAAAAAATCGGCAACCTCGACCTGGCGATTGAGAAGGAAGATGCGCGGTTCAAGGAGCAGACCGGTGACCAGTACGACCAGTTCCAATCGTTTGAGGGAGATTTTGACGCAGACGAACCGTTCAGAATCGATGGCGTGTACCAGCAGGTAGAAGAGGCGTTGCGAGAAGATGCCGACGTGGAAGACGTTACGGTAGACGTCACTGGCATCGAGTTGCCCGACCTGGAGCTCTTACACGCGCGCATCCGTGCCTACAAGAAGAACGAGGCGTTGCTCGAGGGCTTGGCGCTCGAGTTGACGTCGAAGTCCGCCGACCTTGAGCTGAAATTCCGACACGTTGTGTCGTTGTGCACGGGTGTGGAAGAGGAGCGCGTGGATGCCTTGTTGGAGGGATTGGTTGCTGCAGTTGAAAGCGACCCGGACGACGTGGATCTTGGAAGGGTGAAGGGGTTTTTGAAGAAGGTAGAGACCTGAGAGTTTAATTGTATTTTACGTATAAAGGTGTAAGATGGATGCGACGCCTGCATGGTGTTAAGGATTGAGATTTACGGTGCTGGTCTACGCTAAGGGCGAGCATGTGATTCTCTAGAACGATAATTAGACCTTATTCTTAAAGCATAGAATGAGATTTATGGAATGTATCGAGTGATTTGAGAATCAACCCGAGTCTTATCTTTACTCTCAAAGCCATGATCCCCAGTTTAATTTCAGGCACCGGATGGGCTCAGGAAAGACTACAACAACTACTGTGGGGCCTCCATTTTTCCAGCGATTTGAACCACAAGTTGCCCATCAATTCAAATTTTACCATTTAAACCGGTTCGAGTCATACTGTGGCCTGCCAATATTTTAACTGCAGCACATGCAAGTCTTAGCCATGCATCAACAGTAGTGCCCCGCCGAACGCAACAGACACTATCGATTTCCCAATCTGGCAGATATGTCAATCAGTAACTTGCTCCCCCCACTAGACATACATAATCTATAACTTCCGTCACCCACTAATCTCCATTTTAACCCTCCAAAACACCCAATGGAAATCCCGCTGCTGCTTCAAAAGCTCATTGGCCCGTATATCGCCCGTTCCCGTGAGCTCTCCCACGTGGACCCCGTGATCTCCTACTTCTGCCAGCTCTACGCTGCCGAGACGATTCTCGAGCACGGGCTCCACCTTACCAGCAATGAAGTGGCGAGCTATGCGGCACATATTCTTGACGATATCGAAGCTGTCAAGGCGGAGCTCGGGCAGGTGGAGGCGGCCAACAGCATGCTCAACGACAAGCTGCTTGCCCATGCCTACGTTGACGCCTTTGCGTTCAAGGTGTTTCACAAGGCCGACACAGAGGTGCGGGAACAACGTAGCTCAAAGGCGACGGTGGCAACTTTCATGTCCAGCACCGTATTCTATACTGTTTCCGGAATGTTCAAAGTCGGGGACGAGGCCGAGATTGCGGCAAAGGTGAAGTACGCCAAGTTCCACGCCTCTAGGATCATGAAGGCGTTCCGCGAGGGTAGGGACCCGAATGATTATAAGGTGGAAACTTCGGAGATAAGACATACCCCCGAGTTGTTTGACTCTAAAGCTGCTAGACCCGGCGGACGGGAATCTGAACCTGAGGACGATGTCCCCGAAGCACATGAAAATGAGCATGATTTCAAGGCGGTGGGTTCTGGGTTTGCTCGAGATGTTGTGAATATTTCACATCCTGAGTCACTGATCTCTACCTTTACGGATCGGCCTGCACAGCCTGCAATTCCCAAGTTCCTAGACTCTGATGACGAAACTGTGTCGGTGTTCCCCGCCGCCCCAACCGAACCTGCTAAGACGGTTATTCCGACATTTTTAGAGTCAGATGAGGAAGAACCGATTCCCGTTATCTCAAAGGCTGAGCCTCTAGGTCAGCCTGCCCAGCTCAAAAACGTTAAAGAAATTCTCAGTCTCGACGAGGCCATCACAAAGGCGCAAAAACACTCGAAATACGCAATTTCCGCGTTGAATTACGAGGATGTGCCGACGGGGATAAAAGAGTTGGAAAGCGCGTTGGCGTTGCTAAGGGCATTGGAAAAATAGCGCGAAGTTATCTTCTAGAACTATCCAACTAGGGCCATTGCCGCCCCGTAATGTCGAAAATACTTTGTCAAAGGTTTTGAGCCGAATCGCCTACTGCGATGACGAGGAGGAAGTTATCGATTACCTTTGATTATCTGGATTCTAGGTACATAATCTATATTTACTGTAGATCACTTTTGCATGCGTTACTGCATGGAGAGAAAAGTAGTTACAGAGACGCTGGCAGGGAAACTAACGGGTGGGGTAAAATGCCAAAACAGGAGAGTCCCAAGGAAAGGTTAAATATACCGCACTGTAAAAGGTCAATAAAAAAATACACATATATATATATATAATACAATAAAACAGAAGAAACAGAATCAAAAGAATCCCTCATCCATGTGAAATGATTAGCGCGGAGGGTATCCAGATCCCTGTTGTTTTGGAGGGTTAGCGTAGGGGTTAGCAATCGCATTGATAGCCGGGTTTTCATATGGATTTATGTGGTTTGGGGGATACCCGCCGCTGCCAGAGTTGGGTTTCCCATTGGGTGGATATCCGCCACCGTAGTTCCCATTTCCGTTCGGTGGATATCCACCACCCTGGCCTCTATTTCCATTTGGAGGATATCCGCCACCGTGGCTTCCATTTCCATTTGGAGGATATCCGCCGTTGTTATAGCTCTGGTTTCCATTTGGAGGATATCCGCCACTGTGGTTCACATTTCCCTTAGGCGGACTCCCACCAGGTCTTTGCTCTCTTGGGTGGGCTTTTTGCTGGTACGCTTGTGACTGGGGCTGTGACTGGGGTTGTGGCCATTGCTGGAAGCCCTGCTGTTGCATCTGCGGCGAATTTTGTTGCTGAGACCGCGGATGTTGAGGTCTTTGCTGTTGCAACTGAGGGGACGGGTGGCCTTGCTGCTGGTTTGGATAAAGGGATGGCGACTGTGGACCCTGACGAGCCTGTCGAGGAGAAGCAATAGACTGGGACTGCCCTTGGTTCTGGGGTCTATAGTCATGAGCGGGTCTGTGCTCGGCCGGTTTATCAGGTCTGTAGGTTTTCTGATCGCTCAGCATCAATCTCGGGTCTTGAGCTATTCTGTCAGGTCTGTTCTGTCCTGGTTGTTGATCCTGCCCCTGCCGCTCCGGCTTGCTTTGGTCATTTTGGTGCACCATATACGGGTTGCTGTTACTATGCTTCAAGGTCGGAGTCAGCTGGTAAGGGTTACTCCGCGGGCCACGAACCCCCGCTCGTTCTGGCAGTTCTGGGTACGGCACCAGCTTGGCTTGGGGAACCTTTGGCGAAGCAAAGTTCAGGGGGTGAGGCGATTCCGGATCGGAGTCTGAGGGACCGGAGTCTGCTGTTTCGTAGCGGTACTTGTTATAGATTTCTTCAAGATAGACGGACTGATGAGAGTTCAACGGGTAGGGAGTCGAGCCTTGCTTCGGGGGTAAGGCGGGGTTAGGAATTCCTGAGATGCTGTCATACGGATTTCCCTTTGCATGATTGTCATGTGGAGCTCGGAGGGCAGACCTTTGGTGCGGACCAGCATTAGCGACTTGCGCAGACTTTTGATTTGATGAGTTAGCATTGGCACTACCAACAGGGCCTGGATTTTGGATACTCGCACCGTAAGGGGCGTTTGGATTAGTCGGATACCCAGGCCTTGTGTTAGCAGACGGTGGATACGGCTTGGTGGGCGAGGTTTGAGGATTACCGTTGGCAGGCCCGTAAGGATGGCCATTCGGAGCACCATAAGAACTTCCACCAGGAGGTTTTGCATTTGCCGAGTCATAGGGATTCCCGTTTGCAGGCCTGCCGTTTAGATTAGGGCTGTTTGGATACGGAACGCCAGAACTGCCATCGTTAGCTCCTCTTCTGGGATTTCCGGCATCATTCGGAATACTAGCACCGTTCCCCGCTGGATTTCCTCCCTTTGGAGGGGTTGCATAGGAACTAGCTCCAGTTCTGGACTTACCGTAGAGATCAGCGGTAGCGGATTGAGGACTGCGCTCATATGGATTTCCGTCGTGCTTGCGGCCCAGCGGTGAGTCAATGGCGTCTTTCTCCGGCACCACCGGGTACGGCGCCTTCTTGTCCGCATCGAGGAAGGAGTTCGCAAGAGGCGATCCCAGTAGGGGCTGCAGGCGTGCAGGCGCGGTCAACACGTCTGTCTTCATGAGAGGCGAGGGGACGCTGCGCGGCGTACCCGGTGCCGTTCCAGACGTCTTCTTGACGCTACCGCAGCCGTCGTAGCCACCTGGAGCACCCATCTTACCTTGCAACACGCGCTGGAACTGCGCATGCCACCACTCCTCCGGCTGGACGACGCCCAGCGCGTCCACATGCACGTCCGTAGGATTGAGATAGTGCGCGCGCGGGAGTACCGGTAACGCAAACAAGAGACCCAGGGGGTCCTCCTTAGCAGAGATGAGCCGTGCAGGGCGACCGTAGAGGTTGAACGCGTCGAGGAGGGGAAGGAAAAACCGGATGAGCGTATCGTATCCCGGGACCGCCGGGTGCGGGTAGGGCATGACGTAGATTGCGGTGCTAACGCCCTGGGGCACGTCCAACGTGGTGACACCTTTGGAGAGTGTCACACGGCCGCGGAGCTTCATCATGGTGGAAATATCCACAGCGGAGAGCGATTCAGGGAACACAGCGTAGCACTCAGAGACGCCTTCGATTGTGGCCATGATATCCTTCTTCTTCTTGGTGTTCTGGTCGTTGGCATAGAGGAGCAAGCGCGCCTTCTTGCCTGGCTCGACACGTGCGAACACACGCGTCCAGGAGGAACCCGCACCGAAACGGATCCCGAGCCACTCTTCGTGCGCGTACCGGCGCGGCGCGAGAAGATTTGCAATATCCGATAACCGCGCACCGCGCGACGATAGGAGCGTCGCGGAGTAGGCTTTCTGAAGCGAAGCGTGTTCAAACGCCAGGAGCCGCATGGCGGTAACCCAGGATGCAAACTCCGCGGATGTTGGAAACTGGAGGAGAAAACGGTTGCGAACGGTGGTGGAGAGGATAACCACGTTGGGTACTGGGCTGCCGGAAGACGTGAGCGATGCAACGGCCTGAAAGGAGGCGTCCGCGAGGTTGAGGTACGAAGGCTTGTTGATCTGGAGCTGGTGGTTTGTATGGGCCGCGCCCACGACGTATTCCGCATCCCAATACGCGATCTGTGTGCCTGTGAGCACGCCGTAAACTTCGAGCCACTTGCGCGGCCCGGGCTTGCCGTCTGCCGCGAGGTCCTGGAGAAGCATGAATACGCCCACAACATACTCACGGCGGCCCTGCGCCTGGATAAGCGACACCACTGGCGAAAGCTCGGGCTCGTCCGCCGATGAAACGGACGATGTAGATTTGCGTGTCGGCGAGGGTGGAGATTTTGGGCGTTTTGGTGAGCTGAACATGGTACAAGTAGTACGGCTATTGTAAGAGTCTCGTAAGTTGATAACCTCTGGGGGTAGGCTGGAAAAGATGGATCCTCTGGCAACGAGTACCAGTATGTGATACGGCGAAAGAGCGCTTACAGGGGAAAATAATTTCTGGAGGACTTGTAGATATCTTTGTCTGGTAAATCCACTACGGTTGTAGGAATGATCTGGAGTGGGTCTGAATTAGCAGCCAGAAGCAGAGATCTATGGCAGCTTGATAACAGTGGTGCAGTTTTGAGCAACTAGTCTTGGCTCACTTTAGCCGCCGAATAAAGGATGGGGTGCAAACGTGTCTTGTCAGGTTTGGCAAGGAACAACAATAGAAAATGATCGGTTAATCCGAACGGCAGATTGGAAAAGTGGTAAATTTTAGGTTACGTGGTCTATGCCGAAATGCTGCCTAAGGCGGAGTGTGGAGATTTTTTTGCGGAGACTGCAAATTGTGATTTCCTGCTGCATTCCCACCGTGACGGCCGAGCGTCGTACGGAGGGTATCGGTGTACGCGCCTACTTTGGGCGTATGGCTCAAGGCGTACGGCTCATTCATTGTTGCCACACCTTGTTTTAAATCTAGTGCACCTTCATCCTTCATCATTTGCTATTATGACAATGCTATTTATTTCTCTGGTCCGTGGGGTATTGGAGGTCTAGTACGCGTATGGTTAGACTGAACACTGGCGGGCTAGTGGGTATTAACGGACCTAATCACGTTACATATTGTCTGATCACATGTGCGAGCAGGCATCACGTGCATGATGCATACAAACAGTACCGCAATTTCCCAATTGGGACGTCAACAAAGTAAAGTCAAAACGATGCAGGTGACAAAGCTCGGCAAAGCATAGGAGAGGCAATCGGGCCTGCTCTCGCCAAGACTACCCCATTTTTCGCATTATTGGTTTAATAATCCTTTGTCCATCGTAAATATATCTATGGAAAGACACATTGGTGATTGTTGAATCGCATATTAGCCCGGATTTTTGATCTCAATATGTGATAGTGGATGCGTCGAGTTCCACGGTGAAAGATGCACTCCCATGTCCAGGATGTGAATTATTGCATATTGGAATCAGTTGTAAGGTGTAAAATTATGCAACCAATCTCAAACCAGCTTAAGTGAGCTCGAACGACAGTTGGTGGAAGGTATACCTGCAAGTTTGCCCGACAGTTGCATGGCTATATACGACAATGATAATAACGACTCAGTTTCCCAATAATTTGCACCTATTTGTTTACTTTTTTTTTCGGGGCCTCTTTGGTTTGAAAAGGGGCCTTCATGTTTGTCATAGGATAAGGGCCGCACAAGCCGCACTATGTCAGATCAGGTAATTTTTTAGGAATCTTTTCCTTCCTAATATGACGAATTCATGTAAACAGTGTTCCAGAGCACAAGTTCTAAGCCTACTTTCTAACTTTTGCCACCCCTCAATTTTTATCCCATCTTTCACAGACTGTGTGTACCCCGTTTTATTGTCAATCTCTTCCACTGAAATTGATGTTACAGGACCGCTACATTAATCGCCATTACACCACACCACCCTGACCTTCACAATGCTCCACTCACAGGCATTGGTGCCCTTTCACAGAGCACTATGTTTAAAAGGGCTACGTCCAGTTTACAGTGTGTTGCCGTTTCGCTACCATTACTATAGCACTGGTCTGACCCGGTCTGTTTTAACCTACTCCCAAATGCACCGAGAGCAGACTGGTAGCCAGAAGCCGGATCCCAAGCCTGAACCTATGGAGAAAAGAGCAAAACGGGCAAAGCCCAAGACGAAAGAGTCATCTAAGAATATACCTAAAACAATTGAGGAACTGCGAGGGGCTTCTGACACGGTTGAAGCGGCAGGGACTGATCCCAAGCGAGTATATACTGATGAAAAGGCTTTGAAGCTGGAAGCTATAGCAAAAAAGAAAGAGGAGATGGAAAGGAAGAAAGAGAAGAAGAAAGAAAAGGCGGATAAAAAGAAGCAAGAAGTAGAGAGGAAGAAACAGGAGATGGAGAGGAAACAGCAGAAGCGGGAGATTAAAAAACAGGAGATGGAGAGGAAGAAGCAGGAGCGGGAGATTAGAAAACAGGAGCGGGAAATTAAGAAGAAGGAACTTGAAAAAAGAAAACAAGAGCGAGCTGAAAGCAGGCAGAACCGGGAAAGGTTGAAGCAGGAGCGAGCAGAAAGAAAACAGCAACGATTGGCCGAAAAGATGCTAAAAGAGAAGGCCCAAGCGAAACGAAAACAAGAGAAGCTCGAACTCAGACAACAGAAATTGTTAGAAAAAGAGCTGAGGAAAAGGGCGAAACAGCAATTGAAAGAATTCCTCGAACGAGAGAAGGCGCAGAGCCAAGCTGATCGCATTGGTGTCGTGGAGGGTGATCTGGTCCGCCGAATGGGGCAAAAGAATAAGCAAAAGTTGAAGCAGCTCGAGATGAAACGGCGGGATGAGTTGTTAAAATCTTTTGTCGAAGAACAAAAGAAAAATCTCATTGCCAAACACTATGAGAGCTCGCTAGCCGAAAGGCTCGACGAGAGACAGCCCCGGGAGAACTTTGTGCTTCAAAAACAAGAGAAAGCAGTACTGGAAGAGGTAAAGATGTTGGAGTTAACTCGCAAGAAGGAACAGACAGTTGGCGCCGGGGTTGAAATGAAGAAAGAGACCCAGGAAGGAAAGAGAGGTGAGTTACTTGTCAAATTGCATCAGATAAAAGCCCGGGAAGAGAAGAAACGACTTCTTCTTTGTAAGATTGACAGCAAAACCGCCAAGCTTGATAAAATTGAGAAGGAAGCAATATTGAAGCAGCAAAGATTGGCTGTTGCTAGGTTGAAGCAGGAAATGCAGCTGGAAACGAAACAGGAGAAGGTCAGGTTGCGGGAGGTGAAACAAGTGAGGTTGGTCGAGGCTCGAGAGCAACGGAGGTTGAAGAAAGAGTCTGCCGTGACCCAGAAGAAGGTGAAGATGGCAGAACTCAATCTGGAGGACGCCAGAGACCGGAAGTGGATGGAAAAGGTTACTGCCTGGATCGAGACTCTTCAGCGGCAATTGGCACGGCGGCGCCTCGCGAAGGAAGCCTTGGAGCGGAAATTACTAGAGAAGGCCGAGGCTAGATTGCAAAAGAATCGCAAGGAGGAGCTGATGGCGCAGCGTTGGTGGCAGGCAACTCAGCCGAAGGTCTGCACCAGAAACTGGAGCTCAAAGATGGAGGCGCAGTTGGTGGAAAGCCGACTGTACAAGTTAAGGATGAATGAGTTGAGCTGGTTGAAAATTCTTGAACGACGCGACAGGATAGAGACTTTGGAGGTGACTACATATGCTACGAGGCGGCAGAAGCAACGAGCGCTTGAGAATGAGATCTTGGAAGCGTTGCTGAAACACCGACGAACGATGGATGCCACAAGGCAGAGAATGAACGAGCGCCAGGCCAGGCGTCGACTCCTAAAGGAAGGCAGGCTTAGAAGGCCGGCCAAGACAGGCTTGGGTCTTGAAAAGAGAGAGGTGTTGAGAGTCAACGAAATTAAACATCCTCCGGATTAGATGCCGATAGAAAATAGAGGGCTGAGTTTGAAGAGCCTGCCATGGTGGCTGTTGTCTTGCCCGCGTGCTGATGGTATCGCCAATCGATAGCCCCTAAGATTAGGAATGGAGCTAGCATTTCCGAACTTGGGGTTGAAATGACAGCGATACCCCAAACAGATGCGTCTCAGCAATAGTATAACTTGAACTGATGCCGTTAAACCCAAAAGCATCGTTAAAACTATCCGATACACTCCCCCCGAGCGTTGACGTGGTCAAGATAAACCTACCGTGTTAGAGCTAAATATAAGTTGTTATACGTATGTATTTGGTAGCTTTACGGTCTGGTATGTTTCCCTGTACGTAGCACAACCAGTTTCCGCAATACCTACAATGACATGAAATAAAATAAGTATCAAAGCAATATATAAAATCCGAGACAACGGGAAATGAAGACAGGATGTCTCTAGGCAACAATGTCCCAGAACTTCTCCCACAAGTTCTTCGGAACATCGTCTTCCCAGATAATGTTGTCGGCCTCTCTTCTCCCGGTGTCGATGTCAATCTGGTCAAGTGAGAGGAGCAACGGACAACGGAACCAAATCTGGAAGGCGATCCACAAGACCACAGCGAGAATCAAGGAAATGTACGCCGTGAAGAAATTGCTCGCATTAAAGCCGAAGAAACTGCCGTAGCCCTGGATGAAGATGATGATAACCATGGCGATGGTGGAGTACCACGCGAGGTATGGCTGGAATGGTGCCTTGAACGGTAAGGAGTCACGTGAGATGCCACGGAGCGCCAACACCTTCTGGAATCTGATGTGGCACACACCGATAAAGATCCACGCAATCATACCAGCGACAGCCGAAATGTTCACCAACCATTCGAACACGGTGTTCCCACTCTTGGAAACCACCAAGAAGCCAAGCAACCCAAAGGCCGCAGAAAAGAGCACAGAGATGATTGGCACACCGCCCCTAGTCCACATAAAGAATTTTGGCGCGACCTTAGAGTCAGCCAATGCATAGAGGGTTCTAGAGGCAATGTAGACGTTGGAGTTACCGGCAGAGATGATGGTGCACAAGATCACCGCGTTGAAGATGGAGGGTAAGACTGGGGTTCCGGAGTTCTGGATGGCAATGACAAACGGAGAGGAGGAGATGTAGGAGTCCTTACTAGCGAGCTTTGGGTCGTCATATGGCACAAGTAAACCCATGAAAAGGATGGTGAGGACAAAAAAGATCATAATTCTGTAGAAAACCTTGCGGATGGCCTTTGGAACCGCGACTCTCGGGTTCTTGGTTTCACCCGCGGTAACACCCACAAGCTCGGTTCCCTGGTATGTGAAACTGGCATTGATCAAACTTGAGAGGAAACCAAGGAAACGCCCAAGGTTTTTGTTCGCCATGACATTTCCCGATTCGTCTGGGCTTAATGCCGGGCCCCATGGGCCTGGGTTGCGCCAGTATCTGAAGCCCACAGGACCGGTTTTCCCGGCCCCACACACCATGCAGAACGCATAGACCAACCACCCGACAATAGCGACGATTTTAATGGCCGCAACCCAGAACTCAACCTCACCGTAGAACTTGACAGGAAACAAGTTGGCAACAGTTAAAATAGTAAAGAAGATACCGATCCATGCTGCAAGCGGAACGGATTTGGTCCAGTATTGGATGACCTGCCCTACAACAGAGATCTCGATGGCGAAAGTGATAGCCCACGAGAACCAGTACATCCACCCGTTCATCGCGCCAAACGACTGAGACACAAAACGCGTGGTGAAAGTTGCAAACGAACCGGTGATGGGAATGTAGGTGGCCATTTCACCCAAGCTCTGCGTGACAGAGTATGCGATACTCGCAATGAAGATGTACGCGATGAGCGCATTCACAGGACCCGCAACCGCTAAAGGAGTCGCAGACCCAATAAAGAGACCGGTCCCGATGGTCCCACCAAGCGCAATCATGGAGACCTGGCGCGCCTTAAGCGAACGTTCCACCTTGGTTTCTCTGCCCTGGGGAATATCCTTGGGCTCTTCGTCGCTGGCCCCTGTAGCCAGAGGCTGTGTGTCCATCTCATACTCGATGACGGTGGTACCGTAATCAGGAGGATGATCGATGCCGTCCTTTTCTTTTCTGAAGCCTAACATAGAGGATGTGAATGGTAGGTAGTGGGGAAGTGATGGAAAGAAAACGTAAGCAAGTGGGAATGTGCGGCCAGTTGCGCTGCTAGGAAAAAAAAATGTCTGTGACAGTGGATCAAGGCAAACCTGAGGGGGGAAATATAGCTAGAGAAGTCAAGTATATATATATATGAAATTTTCACCAGGTATCTGTAACCTTTCCCTATGAGTCGTGACGAGCTATCAATGGAATGTGCAGCAGGTGGAAAGATAGTGCGTGCATATGTCGTCGAAAAAGAAATCTGTCTGCGGGGGGAATACATGCCTGTCCTAACGGGACTGCAGGAACTGGCTATCACCGAATCGGTGAGGGAATTTGGGTGCGGTGATTCCAGTCATAGTGGCTCCTCCGGCGCTTTAGTACAACGGCTATGTTATCAGGCCCAAGTCGGTTTATTGCAGGCTGTTATGACCGGCACGTTGGATTTAGAGGCCTTTTGGAGATTTAACTCTATAGGAGGGTATGCGGCCTGAGGCAATAGAAGTAGCACGGTAAGCATGAAGTGGACCTGGTGTCAAAGGTTAGTCGCAGAACGGGATATATAGTCCTAAACCTGATTGGGATTTCTGCCCGACAGATTGAAGGCCGTGGAGGATTTACATAGCGGGAGGGGGAAGAAGGTCACAGTGGTTGGTAGTGACCTATTGACAGAGGAAGGCACCGTGTCAAGCACTCGGTGACCGCCGATCCCAAACGCGGTACTATAACCAAATGCTTCTACTGCCCTTCCTTGCCATATTAATGCATTATGACTTGTTCGTGCCCGTCTGGCTGGAATTCAAATACGTTGTTGTATAACATTGTGCACTCCAGTGCAATATATTAGAATGCTGTGTACTGTTCTGCAAGATCTGTAGAGAACTGAGGCGAGATCAAACCCTCGTTCTCTCCGGCATATTTCACCTAACTTTTAGCCTGCAGTTGTTTTAGCGCTCACGCATAATCTGGCGCTTATCTCGAGGTACTGCATCATGAGTACGTCATGTGAGAGTCATACTTAGGCTACCTGGCTCACTCATATCGCCGGATTAAGCCGTTACCGGGCTGAACCTCGCTGAAACATGTTTGAAAAAAAAAAAAGATTAAAAAACAAAGACAAAAAGCCGTTGCTATGGTATTAAAGTAAAAAACCTGGCAATACGACTTATATTCTACTTGTTATTGGTTGACATTTTCAACCCTGTAGCTGACCGTTGCAACAATATCAGGTGTTGGCATACATTCTAATCCATGCCTCTCATACATCGAATGCAGTCCACGGGATCTCATTCCCCAATATACACGTATAACAGCCAATTCTAGCGTGTATTTCAGTCTGGTAACTGTCAAATGCTACTCTTGGACCGCGTTGTCCTGATAACAGAGGGTACCTCACAAATCTCAAGCCTTGAATGTTAGCTACCATCCCCCACGGTCTGTGCTGAAACCCCCAAAACCATGTAAATCAACATGGCGTATATGAGCCTATGGCTTTGAGATCAATCTTTTGGCAGGTACTTGAGCGTGCCTTTGTGTAATGCCGTCTTTAGCATCTACGGCACCGCTAAGTGCAAGTACCAGCGATTCCTCTCATCCGCCGGGCCTACTGCAATCCCCTAAAGGAAGGTGCTGCAGTTTTATGAACCTTGAAAAAGGAGCTGCGTTTTGGCGTGCGTCTCTGACCCGCAAAAAGTGCAAGATGCCGCAAAAAGATGCTGAAAAGATGCAGGCTAGCGGCAAAAAGCAATGTGAAATGAGCCAGGAGAAGACTGGTTGCACGGGGAAGTATTACCACAGAACCAAAGAGTCTTATGGGCCAGCTTAAACCTAAATTGTTTCGATACGCGACTAGAAGTGGAGGTGGGTTGAAAAGTAACAGTTTCAGGGTCTGTACGATGCAGCGAGCTTGGGAGCAGAAAAAAAGTAGCGTACGTCTCTTGCGGAAAAGCACGTCGCCTTAAAAGCCCATGCCGTTTCTGGTTGAATAAAGCCCATTTCCGTAATGTACACTGTTATTTCAGTAGGTGTTCAAAGACTAGCCTAGCTCGGCGGACACCGTGATTTAAGTCCCGCGGTTACCTGCCGAAACAGGCTGGCAGCGAGCTAGCTGCAGAAAGATAGAGTTTAATCTCTCTGGGGTACGGCTCAATAATACATGCGATGACCCGATTAGCGTTAATAATGTAGTCTCTTATCTTTCTACCCTAAAAAGGGAGGAGGAGAAAGGATAACCGATAGGTGGGGTAGCAACCGTGCATACTAGCGCTTACTGTCCTCAGGTTCCAAGCTTGGGATGGTCATTTCGCGTCTGTTGTATTGAGCGATAAGCTCGGCTATTTTCACCTGCTTCGGTTAAACTTACAAAAAGACTGAACCGGAGTGATACCTTGGCATAGGGTTTAAGTTCTCTTGGATATTGTCGATCCCAGGACACAATAAACCAACCGCCTTGGAGAGGTTTATAAACCTATTCCAACCAGTTCAGTCATGGTTGTGCATGTAATCGGGAATGTCTGTTCGATATCGGGGATGTTCGAATGGTTTGTTAATGTTATACGATTCGCGTTGCGCCGTGTGGCCGAACCCAAGCTAGAGCTGCTTCGGATTTGTAGAGATTTATTTTAATTCTTTGTGTAGTTACTGGCCCTTACCCCGGTTTAGTAACCATCTATTCATTGTAAATATTAACACCTACAATACCATGAAGAATATCCATTCCTAATTAAATACAACATCGAATCTCCCCTGAAACTTGAACCAGAAATATTGCCAGTCCACAGGGTTCTCCTTTTTCAAACCCCTCCTCGTGGTTCAGTTTCGCCTATCATATTGGCAAACAAAACTGATCAAATTGCATCGTCAAGCTCGATGAGTGGCAACTGAAAGCTTGGGCTATTGAAAAAGTGGTGAAATACCAAGAACCGACCCAAGTTAGGGATCACAAATGTACCAAAATGTCGCGTATCGGCTCTACACGGATATCAGTGGATGCTATTGAACCACGCAAAGGCATGGATAAACCTATGCCAAACCCTATTAACTCTCAGATCACTCAGCGCATTGCTGCGTAAAAAATTTTCTGGGAGATAAAGATCTGAATGTTTCGCTGAGTCCCTCGGAGCAACTAGTCAAGACGTGTGTACATGGTTCAGGAAATTAGTGTGGTTATGGGAGCTCATAAACCGAAACATAAATGCTCTGGTATTTGCACCCCTTTCCAACATTGGTATCGACACATTGTTCAAATTCACCCTGTACCCTAATCCAAAACTCAATTTCAGCCTTTCCTAGCCAACCATGCTTGTTTCAAGGACCTTATACAACGTATCGGTTCTAACCCACACGCTTCCTCACTTTTACGGGGCACAGTAGCTAGTACAAGCCACTTCCCCTAGGTCCCCTCTCGCAGAACAGTAACATTCCATACATACCTAATCTATAAAGCACTCCGTCGATAGTCTTGGAACTTAACATATGCCACGGGTATTATATAGTGGACACCATAAACCAGCTTGAACCATATCAAAGCCAGCATGGATCGCGCTTGGTATTTCAGCCGCTAACCGCGACGCACTCGAGTCCGTGCTTACGCAGACAAACTAAGCCACGCCTCTCAGTTCCTGGGCCCTCCTGACGTCACACTGCTGTGCGTGCAAAAAGCCAGGCCGATTTAAGTAGCCACGAGTAGTTCTGCGCGCCATAATCACGAAAAATCCATTTCCACTCTCTAGACCTCCACCTCTTCCCTCTCGTAAACTGGTCACCCTACGATTTAATCATAGATTTCGAACACAGACTTTGCACGCCACTTTTTTGAAACTCTGCTACGAGACACATGCCGACCGCTCCCATCTTACCTTTGAATCCCCTTCTCTAAACCACATTATGACTGGCCACTCCTCCAAACTATATCTCGTCATCGTCCTGTTTGTGCTTCTGACAGTGGCATTCGTGGTTCAAACCGAGGCCACTTCTGAGCTCAACGAGTACCACTACCAGGAGCCGATCCTCCTCCTACTCCTCACGCACGGCTCCTGGTGGGTCATGTGGCTCCTCCAGCTCTTTGGGGTAGCGTGCTATCGCGGCATTTTCCGCAAGAACCACGGCAATCACTATCGGTCGCAAGGCTACCTTGACATCGACCAACTGTTTGCCAGCCGCCCGGGATTCAGAAAGGCGTTTGGCCAAAGTGTAGCGGCCCAGTACCTGGATATGTATGCCATCACCTGCTTACTTTATGGCTCCTCTAAGAGTGCAAGCACGGTTCCCACAACCGCCTGGGGCTACTACACTTCTCCTCCCATCCGCTACTTACTCAAGCGGGCCGCTGCCGTCACCTCTGTGTTGACGCTCGCTGGCTCAACCTGGTACATTGCCATTACCTTGACCTATGCCTCTGACGTTACGGCCATCTACAACTGCTCTACCTTCACCACCTACTTGTTCTCCATCCCCATTTTGCACGAAAGGTTTGAGGGTAGAAAGATGGCTTCGGTCGTGGCTGCCGTGTTGGGGGTAGTCATTGTGAGCTACTCCTCCTCTGCCGCACTGGAGGAGGATTACCCGAACCGTGTCTGGGGAAACTTGATCATCTCCATCGGCGCCGTCTTGTACGGGCTTTACGAATGTCTTTATGCCAAGTGGTTGGGTATCCCTGCCCATGCCGTCTTTCCTCTGAACAGCATGGAAGATGAAGACTCCGAAGACGATGCAAACACCGTGGATTTTGTCATGACCGATGACGAAGGGAGCCAGTTCAACATTCTCCCCTCGTCCATCGCCACGCTTAACGGGAGTCAGAGCAAGCCAGTAAACCATGTCACGCCGTACCAGAAGGCAACGTTCTCGAACTTTTGCACCTCCTTCCTTTCCTTGTGCACATTAGCGATTCTCATCCCGGCGGTGATTGTTATGCACTTCACCGTCCTGCCGATCAAGTTGCCTCCGAACCTCACGTGCTACGCGTTGATTGCCGCCTCCATTTGCGCCAACATGACCTTTGTGGTGATGTTCTTGGTGATGCTCTCGCTAACCACCCCTACCATCGCCAGTGTGGCGTCGCTCTCCACCATCTGGTTTGTCGGTTTGGTCGACTGGCTCTTGGGGACCGAGACCACTGTTGGCGCGTGGATCGGCTTTGCCGTCATTATGCTCGGCTTCCTAGGCATGTGCTGGGGCTCCTGGAGCGAAATCGGAGGTGAGGATGATGACGAGACCCCATCAAATTGAATCATAGTGACTTAGCATAAGTATATTTATTAACCTGGAGCCTTTAGCATTTAGGCGTATAAGTGGTTATTGTTAAGAATTTAGCTGTAGTGAAGGCTGACTTATGGTGCAGCCAAAGAGGTCATATAAATGTGCCCGGTGGAAGCAACGATATAGTTGTCATAGGATAAGTTTGGGTTTGATACAAGTCTGCTAAATTGACAGTTCTCAGCCTTATTGTCTATACCAACCATTAGCCCGTGTATATTAGATATTTGGTTTTATGCCTTTTGTTTCCTTTCGTTGAAAAACGCAGTCCAGTCATCTCTGGCCGCCTGTAGATACACTCCCTTTTCCTCCGGCGGTAAATTTCTCCATTTCTGGCCAATTATACGAGCCGATGCTAGTACATCAATTTCAGGGTTAGCTTTCTTTATGGCCTTCATGGTACATATCAGATAGCGCAAGTATCCGTTGAGAGGCCTCTTCGCTCGCTCCTCTGGCCTAGGCTCCTCCGGCTTAAGTGCATGCTTCTGTTGCTTCCATACAGCATATTCAGCCTTGTAATCATCTGTGTACGCTTGCCTGGCTTCCGGGGCAAGGGTTCGCCAACTTTCAGCCGCCATTTTTCCAATATCTGGCAATGTCAACCGGGGGTCTCTGTAAAGAGCTTCGTCTCGGAACTTCTTTTGAAACCTCAAGAAAGAATTTATTGGTCTTTTGGTCGGTATAGCCGTACTTGAGGAAGGCTGGGTTCTCTCATTTGCCCGTTGCATCAAAAAATCCGGGGCATGCTTCAAGATAAACTTTGTCTTTTTGCTACGAGGCAAACGCATCCACATGGCCTCCCCTTTGTATCTGAGCGCCTCGATATCACCAGTAATCCCACCCAGCTTCTGAACATAGTGAATCATGAAAAGGATAAACTTATAGTCATGGGAGCGAATCAACTTGGTATCCCTTGCGTCTTCTCGTTCGGAGGCGTGGTTGAAGTTGGAGATACGCCTAACAGCCTCTTCTCTTTCGGAAAGACTCATTCTGATAAACTTCCAGCTAGCAGCTTCAAGCAGCCGGAAATCAGTCCTTTCGCTGGGCGCGGAAACCGTGCCTAAGTAAGTTCCCAACGGGGAGTTTCGGGGGATTCCAAGGTTGTACAAGAACTCACCCAAGGTAAATGAACAACCAGGAGGGTAAGCGCGGGCAGCCGGCAAGATCGTCCAAGCATCCACCGCTCTTTTGAACGCACTAAACCAATCCAACTTCTCACCCTTGCGATAGGTCATTGTCAGTGCTGCAAGATAGCCACAGAACACATCTATCAACGCCACATCTGCTAAAAGTTTTTTCTGGCACCGGTCGATGGCACGTTTGATTCGCATATACTCCGCTTCCCAATGACCTTGGGCTCGTATCAGCGACAAGCGTACGCTGCCTCCGATTTCTGATCCCAGCTGGATCCTCTTGTAATGGGTAAGCTCGAGTATAGACTCCACATATATCTCCCTAAGCGCTGGTGGAAGACTCTGGGACCTAGCATCGTATGCCAATTTAGCTCGCAATACTCTCAAGGTGTATTTTTCTCTCTCGTCACGGTACAGCTCTTCGGACCACACCTTTGAGAGTTCTATAATGGCCCGTTGCGTGGCAAATTCCTCTCCCGGGGCCATCCCAGCCTTCATTACGGCAAGCTTCTCCGTGAGGAACATATTGAAGTTGGTTAAGGGCTTGGGAGGCTCTGGAAGCTTTTTGGGCACGGTAGATCTCGGGATTAATCTCCTCCAGGTCCGAGTGGCCTTGCTCACCCGTGCAGCATTCTCTGCTAGAGTCCTCCCGGGATACGCTTCATACTCCACATCTCTCCCTTTCAGGGCGTGCGTTTCCTTATCTTTAGGACTATATCTCCGCTCCTCCGAGATTTCCGTTCCAGGTTCTATCTCTCCACTTTCAAACGTATCAGGGAGATTATCCGCCTGCTCTCCACCTTTTGCAATATACCCCAATTCTTCGGGGGAGTGCATTTTATAGAACCCCCTGATGGTGTCCAGAAACCTGGAGTAATTGCTTTTCAGAAGGTCTGGGGATCTTTTAGAGGCTTCGTTTGTGACTTTATCGCCTGGGCCTTCCTCACCTAGCAAGTCTTTGGCGGATAGCGACTGATCGGTCTGGTTCTTGACGCGAGTGGTGATTCTGGTATAGCTTCTCAAAAGAGAGGTACTCCGCGGGCAATTACGTACCTGTAGTAAACGTGAGAGCATAAATAGGCGGATTCACGGTGTAGGATACTGCCAAGTTGGCTTGGAACAATGGTCTATCCCTAAAGTGGGTGTATCAGCTACTGACAGTGAAATCATTTGGAGGTTGCATCCTGCAGGGTTGATATTCCTGTGTTGAAATGGTTCTAGCTGCATGTCCTGGTTGGGTTAAGCGCCACACGGTGCGTCACTGTTAATAGAATCTCGAGTTCCCTCTACGAATTTCAGAGTTGAGTCAGATCTAGCTACCGGTTTACAGTACATGAAAGAGGTCTATTCAGGATGAATAGTAGTTGATTATCAAGGCGGGGGTGAGTCGGTCCGAAACCATCATTTTCATTACTGCGACAAAAGAGGATAAAACGGCTTTCAACTTGGAGCTCTTAAAGCTGAATTCAAAGACAGCTTGGTACGGGTTCATAGGCGGGTTGAATGGAAAAAAAGGAGCCCTTTTCATGGGCAAAATCCAGAGGGGTTCAGTCTATACCTGAGGACATTGTGTGAGTGAAAAGGGACTAGCAAACTAAATGCTGATATTCTGGACAGACACTAGTAATAATCTACAGTGTGCACTAGATCAACGGCAATGCACCCCCAGTTATTTCCTTCAGAGAGGCAACACTGGCTTTGCAATCTCCTCTTCACTCCCAGGGGTGCACAACACCAGTCTGAACTTGAAGAAAACCGTCACGGAAATAGCCAGACCCACGAGCATCCCAAACATGATGTCTTCGAAATGGTGTCTGTAGTCCAAAATACGGGAAATCCCAATGTAAAAGGCACCCATGATAGGGGCGATGCATCCCACGAACACACGCCATACCAACACATCCGTACGAAGCACCTGCCACTGGAATCCACACCAAAGAGCCAAGAAGCCCAAGCCAGCAAACGCAAAGGAGGTGTGGCCCGATGGGCATGATCTGAACCCATCTTCAAGCACAGCAGCACCCAACGGGGCCGTACAGATTTCCGCCGTGTAGAATTTCAGTGACATGGCTTCAAGAGACATCTTTTGGGCACCACATCTGGCCAAAAAGTCCGGACGCGGTCTCCCGATCCAGTTCTTCAACAAGTCCGTCGCAAGCCCATTCATCGAGAGCACTATGACGAGCGCGAGAAGAGAAACGTGGTACAAATGCAATTTGGAGTGGTTCGAAACTATTCCTTTCTGGAATGGCACAAACACACAGGCAGTAATAACAGCAAACGGAATCAGGGAAACGAGGAATAGACAGAACGGACCCGTAATACGTTCATCATAGGTGAATGGGTGGTTGATGGTGGGATCCACAAGCAGAAACTCGCGGGCGTAAGGCGTGGCAGTTTCTGCAACCAAGAAAGCAGCAGCCACGGTAAAGGCGAGCGCCCAATTAGGGATTTGTGCTTTGAACTGGGGGGTTGAAAGGTACAGCTGGATCATTGTGAGGCTGGGGTGAGGGCTGGTATTGATTTGTATGGCTCCTGACATTTAGATTGTGACGCGTCGCGATCTATATGTCACGTGGATGTATTAAAGATGCGTTGCTATCGATACTAATGAAGCCTGCATGGTTTTGCTCCGGTTGGCGTGCCTCAGTCCCCTTTATGCGGGCCATAGAACCTGTGGGCCGTTAACACGCGGAGATCGATATCTCCACTATGTCCCTAAGGTGGAGTATAGAATCGGCAAAAATATACGATTGTACCTGGATTGAGGTTTTTGTTTACCCGCCTATTATTGTTTATTTTATAAGCTTGCTGCTCCCAAGATGTATAGGTGTAACAACCATAGAATATACTCCATGAGCAGAAACATCCACCCACTTTTACAAGGCTGGTCCGGAGAGAACCCGACTGCACACACATTCATTGTAACCTTGTAAGGTACTCTTTACCCCAAAAAAATAGGCCACAACAACCTCTCCAGATGGATAACAAAGAAAGCTCACACCAACCACTCAAGCCAGAGCCCACATCGCGAGAAGTAGACGACTTTCCGATCAGAGAGCAGAACCGGTGGCTACCTATCGCCAATGGTACGTACTTAGCCCCCTTTTTTTAAGCAAAATCAAATACTCACACGTAGTAGTGGCCAGAGTGATGAAGGCGGCGCTTCCGTCCAATGCCAAACTCTCCAAAGACTCTAAGGAGTGCATCCAAGAATGCGTCTCGGAGTTTATATCCTTCATCACCTCCGAAGCTGCTGAAAGGTGTCAGGCGGAGAAACGCAAAACGCTCAATGGAGAAGACTTACTCAACTCCTTTAGAGATTTAGGATTTGAAAACTACGCCGAAACGTTGAAGATCTACTTGGCAAAGTACAGGGAGAAGGAGATTATGGAGGGCGAAAGTAAACGCAAGGTGAAAAGGGAGCAAAATGTTGGTTCAAAGAGCGGACCCCATAAAACGGTGGGCAATGAGGAGAACGAACCCCGATACGACATAGGGCCGCCGGATGAAAGCGAATACACCACGTATGGTTCCGACGATTTTATTGTGCCACGTGCGAGAGCTCATAGCACGCTCCTCAATCCTACTTCACCCATGGCGACACCGACCCAGTACTTTGAAGACGAGCTAAGTAGCTTTGTGGAGAGCTTTGAGGATATTCGGTAAAACCTACTTTGAGGCCTAGGTGGTGTTTATTTTGTCCGATAATGTGTGATAGATCTCAAACCCGATGCGTTATCAAGATTTTGATACTTTTAGCACTTCCGGTGCGGTTTAACCGGACTGCAATTGGTATACTAAAGCAGGAAAATTATGACAGGGACGATATCGCACTCACACTTCAGACCTTCCTACAATTATACTTTGTATTATTCAATTGCTCTGGCAAACTTTTAGTCTTTATATTACTTGGATATACTCTTGATTCCTCTGGGGTTGCAGTCTTTGACAGTAAGGACAAATCATCGTAGTTCGGGTCTATGCTACTGGTTATACTCCTATATACATAGGGGCCGCTTATAATACAAAACTTCACCTGTATTGGTCAGGGTTACTTTTCGAAAGTATCCAGCGGCGGTTAAGCCCAACCTTTGGCACTGTGGCTTTGAGATGTCGTTACAGATGCGGCTGCATACCGAACCTTTGAAATACAAAGCCGCTTCCACAATCCCAGCCGCCGTATACCTCCAAGCGACATCGATTCACGTCTAGGAATTTTGAATTGAGGTTTTTCTAAAGGTGCAAACCTGTTTGATTCTTTATCCACCATGCGACTCTTGTTATGCATACCGTTATTTGTGTTAGCCACCGATGCAATAAATTTCATAGTCCAGCTCGAACCAGACGAAAATATCGCCTCTTTTGTAGCCAAGCACTCTGTTTCTGAAAACTCAATTACCGGACAACGTCTTCTATCGGTTGTTGCTCATCGCTGGGGAAACTTCCGAGCCATATCCGGTGAATTTTCTATGGAGACGCTCAAAAAATTCTACTTTGACGAAAAGGTGGTTGGTATATCAATTGACCGGACTCTTGCCATTGCGGATGTACAAGAATTTGCACCGAAACACCTTGCACGGATTTCTCAAAAGGAATCTCTAAGCCCCAATCGTTAGTGTTCCAAAATTCACTCCAAAAAAAAATCTGACACCTAAACTAACAAGCTTTAGAACCACTCGATTATGTCTATGACCCCAGTCTGGGAGTGGGAGTAGATGTTCATATCCTCGATACGGGCGTAAAGAGCAGCCACCCGGATATCTATGGCAGAGTCAGCCGTCCAAGGTTCTACGTAGCGACGGAGGATGAGGATCCCAACGGCCATGGAACGGCATTGGCGGGATTGGTGGGAGGTGAAACGTACGGGGTAGCCAAAAGGTGCAACATTTTCGACCATCCCATCGCCAACAGCAGGGGAAAGACCAAGATTTCAGCGGTCCTTGCGGCGTTGGACCTTGTGGTGCAAGAAACGAGGCGGAACAGAAGACCAGCGGTGGTACTTCTTGCGTTGACAATGCCCAAGAACAACTTGCTTAATCACGCGATAGAGGAGGTAATTCAGCAGGGAATTCCGATAGTAACCTCAGCGGGTAACTCCAATAGTGCTGCGTGCATGTTTTCGCCCGCTTCTGCCAAAAGAGTGCTCACCGTGGGGTCTATTGACGTCAGGAAAGACACGTTGGCAGCCTTTTCCAACTACGGAGCCTGCGTGGATGTGTTTGCTCCCGGAGTGGATGTGACAACAATCGATCGCAAAGGAGCGAAATCCACGGTAAAATCCGGAACTTCCATGTCAGCTGCGATTACGGCAGGATACGTGGCGTATTTAATGGGGATGGGTGCGGATCCAGAGACGGTAATAGAAGATGTTATCAATTCCGCCACCACCAATGCGATAACTCAGAAAAACTATTTGATAAAGCCGTACACTCCAAACAGGATTTTGTACAATGGAGCGGGCCATCCGACGTGGTAGAGGGTTTAAGCATCCTAACTTGTATCGCCAATTAGGATTAAATCGCTTTATACCCCCCTGGGCTGCTAGACCGTTCTTCAATATAGCTAATGGCTGGTTGGAAGTTCCTTCCAGTACCCAGTTTCTCTTCACCTCTTTCCCTCTTGGATTCTGATCATACAAAAATGTACACATAGCATGTATTGGCATCCTAGCTGTATTTGTTTACAATTCTATTTATATATATTCCTTAGCTGTAGATACCCTGGGTGAGTAACTGGAATTGGTCGTAGAGCTTGGTGTAGTTGCTCCCCATACTCTTGCCAATTAAGTACGAGTCAACAAACGCTCCACGCTGCTGGTCAGTCGCTTCAGACATCAACCGGCTCTTCAACTGGATACTGGTCTGGGCGCCGCGCTTAAAGCACGGCAAAGCGCTGTCCTTCTGCATCAACTCAACCATCGCCACCAAGTCACTAGCGTTCTTACTCAAACAATTGTAGCACTGCTTCACGAGGTCTCTAAACTTGAGGAACGGCGCACCGTTGACACCGCCGAGCAAATCGACGTACTCCCACGGCAACTTGAACGGCGCAGCCTCGAAGCCCATCCCACCCGGCGAGTTGGACAACAAGAACCCAAAGTCGATGTGCATCACGTGGCCCTCGTTGTCGAGCATGATGTTACCGTTGTGTCTGTCCTTGATCTGCAAAACGTAGCAGATGACCGAGTAGGCGGCCAAGCTGTTGGCAAAGTTGTCCTGGGCCCGTCTATAGGCCGAGCTCTTTGGGTCGCCAAACGACTTCTCGAAGTGGTCCTTCAACGTGGCATAGGTGTAGCGCGGATCCCCGCCCTCCTTTACCTTCATCTCGTATAACGTCTTCTTGATGGAGTGGATCGAAAGCGCATCGGTAATGGTCTCTACCAAGCCGTGGTTGGCGCTGGTGATGAGAATCCGCATCTTCTTGGTCCACACCGGCACCTTCTGCTTCTGCCAGATCAAGCTGATCATAGAGATCAACTGGCAGGCAAACGCCTCCTGTGTCAAGTCGTCCCCGTTCTTGACAATCACGGAGCAGAGCTCCCAGTTCTCCAAGTGACCGTACGGCGACGCATTCTTGATCCGTTCGCGCTTCTTCTGCCACGCCTCACCGAGGTAGTTGTTCCCGGTGACCTTCAAATCATTCTCAAGCTTGCGGTTACCAGCTTCCGCGTCCTGCGCCGCCTGATCCGGCGTCATGTGTGCGTTTTCAAATTTGTCCTGGAGCTCCTGCATGCTGGAAATAATCCGGTTCTTGATGGAGGCCGACTGGCTGGAGGAGAGCAGCGCCCCCGAGGCGGACGTTTCGAGCTGCTGTAACATCACGGCCGCAATTCGCATTTGTTCGGCCAAATCCGCAGGATTCGTAGGAGAGGCTGCGCCATAGCTTGCCTTGAACGACAACGCTGACGGACGGGACCCCTCTTCACCAAGGTTTGCCGGCTGCGCCACCTGGCTGGCTTCAAGCATCACCCCCGGGCCCCGGGAGTCTGTGTCCTCGGAAACGCTGTGGAGAGACGCAGAGCGCGAACGGTTGAAGGTTTCAAGGATCTGCCCACTTGGACGCCCGTGCTTGCGCCTGGACTGGTTACTTATCTGAACCACGTTCAAGTCACCCAAGTCGGTCTCAGGGACGGCCCGTTCCGGGGAGTCGAAGCTGAAGTCCACGGACCCGGCTATCGACTCCTGGTCGGCACTCAACGGTGGGTCAGGAGCGGTATTGAGCTTCGACTTCTTTGTAGCAAGGAGTTCCCGCTCGATGATGCGAGCGTTGGCGTCGGACGCCGGGTCGAAGTCAATCTCGTCTGCGAGGTACTCGACCAACAACAAGAACGGCACGCGCTCGGCGGAGTTGAGCACCGCGGCCTCGTTAATGTTGAGCTTCAAGATCTGGTTAAATTTGCCCTTTTTAGTTGAGGACTTGGGCATCAAGACCGGAATGTCCACCTCGGAGGGTAAGTCCTGGTTGAGGATGGACAACTCTGCGCGCAACGTACTGAGGCGGGCTTCACGCGGCACCATCGAGAGGCGGTGCGAGATGTCGTTCAACCGCGAGCAGAACTGGTATTCCTTCTTATAGTAGTTGGTGGTCAAGAAATGAGTCTTGTGCAACGGCGACATCAACGCGGCCGAGATTTGTGCGGACGGCTGGCGGTTCACGCTGTTCGTGCGTGACACGGACAGCGAGTCAGAGGCGTAATCGGAGTACATCGAGCTGATGGAGCGTCTGGAGAGCGACACCGAAGAGGAACTGCGCTTGGACAATTCTGGTAGCGAGTGGAAGCTCTCATTATTCAACTCGGGGGAGGGAAGACTTTCGCTCGAGGCAAGCCCGCCGGTGGAGTTACTGGTGTTGTACAAAGCGCGCGGCTTCTTCGACCTGACAGACGTGTTGATGCTCAAGTTTTCCAACTTCATGTCGAAGGGCACCAAGTCATTGGAATCGGTCTCAAGGGGGGAGGTGGTTTTGGAAGTGGTGGTTTTGGCGAGAGGAGAGGCTGGGGGTGGCGTTTTGCGGTCAGTGACCACATTTGGCGAGGATGCCGAGTGCGGCAAGTCAGGCTTCTCCGTTAGCGTGGCGGTCCTGGCAGCACCCTCCATGGCGAGCTTTTTGTTTTTCAACGTGAGGTTTTTGGTCAACTTCTTCTGGAAGTTTGCAAGTTTGAAGATCATGGACCGCTCCTGCTTCCCCTGGGTCTCAATAAGCGGCTTGGCGTAATCATTGAGGCCCGGCATGGCCACGGCGGCCGCCCCGACCATTGAAGCCATGACCAACGATGGATACAAGTTCTCTCTGATCGGTACGGGCTTGATTGCGGGCGCGGCGTGCTTCATCACCAGGTGGAAGTTATCGTTAAACAACAAATTCTGAAGGCTATTGATCATCTTGCGGGTGATCTGGAAGCTATAGGAGTCGGTGTCAGCAGCGAGCTCGAACAAGTGTGCCTGCAAGTTCCAGAAGCAGAGCATGCTGAAGTGCGGGTACGCCTCGCAGTACTCCAAGATGTACTCCTCCAAGGCGAGCGAATTGGTTTCAATATTCACAAGCAACTGCGTGAACTGCGGAATAAAGAACTCCAACTCCTCGTATGGGTAGCTGCGCAACCGGCGGCACAAGTAGTTGTGGATCCCAATCACGTGTGCATAGCGCTGGAGGTAGTCGACACACGCAAAGATGTCGAACTTGGTCGCGTCGATGACAGGCTTCAACCAGCGGAAGTCCTCGGTCTTCGTCTCGGGTTCGCGGACGGATGTCTTGCGTCTCAACATGGAAAGGTGAGGAGATGAAATGGGGTGTGAGAAAGAGGATTAGGAGGAACTTGGTACCAGCTGGAGTAGGATCAAACGAAGTATCGAAGGAATAATAAATGGTGGATGTGCAAGATCAGTGAAGGTATTTGCAGCTGTTTAGTGGATGCAAATGGAGAGAGCCGGATCAAACCCTGTTGTACCAGAGTCTCTATAGTCTGTTCCGTCAGTGGAGTAGCAGATGCAGAACGTTAGTAGTGGATCTAGGCAAATCTTATAGATCGCAATTGCGGTTTGTAAGTCGTTGCCGCCGAACCCTGCAAAATAAGCCTCCGAGTGGTATTCAAATTTCGAGCCAAGATGCCAACGGCAACGGGCGGTTCGGAGCCCATCGCCACGTGATCCTGTGTCCAGAAAACTCGCAGCACACGCCTGGGGCTTATGTGCCACGCATGCCTTTAGTCCAGGATGCACCAAGCTTGGAATCTATATTTAGTAGGCTGAGCCGAAAGACAGGAAGGTGTGAATGACATGTCGTTAGGAAATGCGATATGATGGATTAAATAGTCCAAGTCTTAAAATTATAAGAGTATATCGACTCAATTTCACAGGATACTAATGAGCCACGTGTGAGTCGAGGTCAGCGGTGGCTTGCACTGGTGGAGAAAAATACAATAGCATGCGGCCTCATCTATGGAAATAGATATGTCAGCACGGCATGACAGGCTAATGGTATTAATATAAACTGAGATTCTACAGAAGCGATCTATACAACGTTAAGGAGATATTATTTTGCCTTTATTTTCCAGGAAAAGACAAGACTGAGGTAAATATTTTTGGTAGTGTTTATTCATATATGGTATAGTCATGCCCAATTCTTATATTATTGCCGTCAGAAATAAAATAAGAGACTAGTCTGGGACTGTACTAACAAACTGAGGGGCCAAATATTGTTCAATCACATTTGTTTACATATATCTAGATTAACTGCCTCACGTCCAAACTTCGATTTACGGGCCTTGACTGGACTATCTGCGTTGAATTCTGACTTGATCCTTGTGCTACAGTTATACTTGCGGTTATGTTTAATTAAATACTAGAGGAATTCATGCGAGCAGTCTCACTCGTCGGTCCATAGAAACAAAAGAAAAAGAAACAAGAGAAACAAAAGAGAAAGAGAAAAAGAAGAGGTTAGGTAATAGAAATAATCGAGAGAGAGAGAAAAGATAAGATAATAGACTATCGGATAATAGAAAAGAACTAACCGGGGATACCGAGCGTTATCCTTACTTCTTTTCACCACCGCTGTTCTCAACAGCATCATTCTCTGGAGTACCATCAGAGTCAGACAAGTCGGAAAAAGATTCATTTCCGTCGGAGTAAATCACATTCACGGATCTCCTGCGGCCGTGCCTACGCAGACAGTCAGCTGGGTTATACGGCGATGGACCAAAGTGGGGTGGAGGTGGCGCGTGGAAACCATAGTGATATGGTGAATAAGGAGGGTGGAACCCGTGGTGGTGTGGCGGACGGGGAGGGCGGAACCCGTAGTGGTGGGAAGGATGTGGCGAAGGAGGGAACGAGAAGTGGTCTTGGCCATAAGAATAATGGTGCAACGGAGAGGATTGGTAAAAGTCATGGCCATAAGGAGCATGTGGCGGGTAATTCAGATGGTGAAAGTGGCGAGAATGGCGATGGGACGAAGGAGGCATATGGTCCGGAGGTGACCCGTGTTGCCTTCTTTCGTGTCTCATGCCCTTTCTCCCTGAATGGCACCGCCTTGGTGGGGCTGAATCATCGTCAGTTCTCTGTGCTCTCCGTTGCAATTCGTTCTCAACTTGTCTCTGCAACGACCTGAGTTCTTTGGTTGAGAAATTGGCAACGTCTGGATTGGAAAACTTTGGGGAGGGAGTCATAACTGTAAGGTGCTATGTAATGTTGTAGGAAACATGAAAGAGTCTGTCGTAATAATGGGAAATGAGCCGGTATTTATAATCGCGGGATTCGTTGCTACAAGTTTTCGTTAACCATACCTGCACCTGCTGCATCTCGGGATTTCAAGAAATGGTGGCGTCAGTTGTTATTGGTGGAATCTTCCGTATCCGGCGTGCATGTGCATGCTCGGGATTCAAATTCCTGTACGCCACCGGGAAACCAGCGGTGCAGGTCATATAGAACCAAGCACCATGCAGATATGTGTGACCAGTGAAAGCATGTATTGTAGGCAATTTCATCCCAGCAATTCCCACATGTGATAGTACTTACCTTTAATCCGCTATGGAAAGTGTCCAGTGCTCTGGAGGTCCAGCCTGCTGTCACCTGTGAGGGATTATTCGTATATAGACTGAAACCTTAAAGAGGCTATCTACGGTTACTAAGCCTTAGTATGCCCCTTCCTGCAGCATGGTGTCCTCCGGCCGGGTCGAGACTCGTGAATTTAATTGGCACAGCCTCGACTGTTTAGTCGACCTTATACGGACGGCTTGTATTGATCGTATAAGTTGACAAGTTTCATGGATTAATTAGCGTAAAACTCACATGCGGAATTAACGGTGTTGATCGGCAAATGCCGCCTATACGGCATATCCCCCTTGGGGAATAACGAGTATCGTAAAAGAGCACACATTAAGGCTCGGAAAAGAATCGGCTGTTAAATACAAGTACGGTGGCATAAATGGTCAGTAGCTATTTGTATATATGAGATTGAAGAGGGACGGGATTCTAATCAGAATTCGGGATAAGGGGGAGGAGATTGTTTGAGGATGACCTCATGTTTAGGGTTTTTCTTTTTCTTTCCGGCGTAGTGGAATGCCGACCATGCGGCAGTACTCGGCGATCAAATTTCGTCACATGGCGAAGCACCGCTTAGAGGTATGCGCGGGATTTTTTCCACTCATGTAGCATCCTATATCACCGGTCGAAAGCCGTAGCGGCGAATGGCAAAAAATTAAATGAGGTAAACTCTGTTAGCGCCGAGAGCTGCAGAGTCGGTACAAAAATTATTTACAACCTGGGAAAAACTTTGCTTGAGCCCCGCCTGGTGTAAAGTTTATTTTTGAAGCGGGGACCTAGAGCGATAATATTTTCTTGATATTTCTGAAATCGTGATAGTCATTTGCGTGACCATCTCTACGAAGACTCGTTACAATTGAGCAGAGGTGAAGCCTGGCAAAATTGACTGCTGTAAAACGCAAGTACACTGCTAGAACTTTGCCAACGTCGCATAACTAACCTTGACATTTTCTCCGCCTAGTTAAAAGGGGTGCAAACATTTGGGACTGTAATTTGTCATTGCATTCTGGAATTTCCTTGGTCTTCGAGCTTCACCCTCAGTGCATATGCATGCCCCACGAACTGTCCCACAGACATGAAACACTTTGTAATCTCTAGCTACTCTATTATAGAACAAAACACGCTACAAGATACCGGGATTTATCTCCATTTATTTCCATTTATGGCGTTTTTGGGGTATACTATACGCCAAGCAGTCTCCCTCATACTATAGTGCTGATAGATACATGTTTGAAGGCAGTGTAGAAACTGTTCAGAAGTGAGGTAGCGTCCACGAACATAAGTAGCAACCCCACCAAATTACTTATATAACCTTACTTCCCCAATCGCCTGGTCTCAATTTTAGTTTCGAATTCGGAAAAATATCTGCTATACCTAAGTAGCTTGTCTCTATTTTTTATGATTGGAATAAAGAAAAATATAGCGGGGGTGGTCAGTGGCTATTCTTACTCGACATCCAATGGAGTAACCTATGTTTTCCAAACACAAATTACGAGCTTGACTATAACAAGTAGCATGGCAACAAAACTCGCATTAATCTCTACTTCCACCTCAAAGACACCAACTATTATTGTCACGTCTTCCGCTACGAGTAGACTCGGTACTTTAAAAAATCCCCTCGCAACCATTGCACTCGTCTCAACCACCACTAGTCATGCAAAACCACCCAGCAGCCTAGCTCAGCAAAGCAGTTCAGCGGGAATGGTTCCCGCTGCCAGGTTCAACACGGGTGGCCAACCTCAACTAATTATCGCCATTGTTATGCCAATTGTTGGGCTATTAGTCTCTTTTGTTGCGTTAGCGAGCTGGTACTACTGGAGAAGGTGGAAACGAAGCCATCCTGGACGACGTCTCTTCTGGGGTAACGATACTCCCGACAAAGGTCTGAATGCAAAGATACAGGAGTATCTAGCCCGGGGACTGGAGGTCGATGCCAAGTGTGTCTTAACCCCCTCCGCCATCCGAGCTCGATGTACCTATCACTTCAGATCGCAGAATGATTTGGCGTCTACAAGTAATGTAAACACTAAATCACCGGACAACCACAATCATTCAAGAAAGGATTTCTCAAACTTTAGTGAAACAGTTCAAATTAAGCTGGGTTATGAGGTGCCGGTGAGATCACGATGGATCTCCACTCCCGTTGAGGCAATAAAAAAACCATGGGAGTCATTCCGGAAAAGCTTTGTGGGAGATATCCGGGATGTAAATCATTCGGACCGTGGTAGCTCGGAGGGAAGTCTAAGCACGGGGAAATCGTCAGTTCCTCCGACATCCTCACCCTCACAACTCTTCAGGGAGGTGACTATTCCTATCAACCTTCGGGTCTTTAAATTGGCAAGGAGCCGCGGTGGAGCCAATAGAGAACCTAAAGGATTTGAAGCCACACAGCCAAAGCCTCTGGTCGATGGGTTGCCCGAAATAAGTCCGGTGACGGGGTTATCTCCTTCTGATCTGAATATACCACTCATTGGTGGAACAATCTTGCCACAGGTTCTCACCTTAGTACAGGCGGATAAACACTCCCCATAATGGTAGGTGCTAGAATAGATTTTTACATTATTTCGTGGTATTCTATTTATGTTTATAGGTAATTATTCTTCCAGCTTCGGACTGTATTGTAATGATCGTGTCCTGATAATTGATTATAGATTTTTGTGTGCGCCTTCAGACACTCTAAAATATTCCTCAATCCCGGAATCCTCCAGTAATTAAATATTTTAATTATCTACTGATTAATGTTAAAACTTCTTTACTCGAAAAATGAAATATTCCACCTATAAATCAAGACCGCTTTTTCCAATACACCTCGTGTGACCAGCATCATGCTTTGTCCGGCACGTGGCCGATACGTACTCGATAATCGCTTAGAGACAGGTAAAGGAACACGATGTTTACATCCACTCGGCCCCTTCCTCAGCCAAAGACAAACAAGTGCGCTCAAAAAGGGAACCTTGAAAGAAAACTGCAAAGTATCTACATCCAGGGATAGTCTCTAGCAGGTTGAAAAACAAACCAGAAACCATATCTCCAGAAACTCCAACCAACTTTCAATCTTCAAACCTTTACTAGACATTTCACGAAAAGCTTGCTATAACTATTGATTTTTTTTGCCCGATGGTGATACAACTTGCTAATTAAAATTTCCAGACCCATTTTTATGAAATGCCCCCACGCTACGCCAACCTACCCCAACAACCCTCCGGTGACTCAACCAATTCCTCCTTCGAGCTCAACTCCCTAAATGCCTCCCTTCTGGAAGACTCGTTGGACTTGCAGGAAGAACTCGGCCTGCCAGAAGCTCCAGACGACCCCAAGTCCACCATGAAGATGGCGTTTATGAACATGGCGAACAGCATCCTCGGCGCGGGGGTGATTGGCCAGCCGTATGCAATCCGCCAGTGCGGAATGGCGGTCGGAGGCCTTATGGTGGTGGTTCTCACGGTAATGATCGACTGGACGCTCCGCCTCATCGTCATCAACGCCAAGCTTTCAGGAACCAACTCCTACCAGGCGACCGTTACCCACTGCTTTGGCCGCACCGGTAACTTGGTGATCCAGCTTGCCCAGGCGCTATTTGCCTACGGTGGCTCCATCGCCTTCTGTGTAATCATCGGTGATACCATCCCGCACGTGCTTCAGTCGTTTGCTGGGGGTCACTACGAGGATAACAAGTTTCTCCACTGGTTATTGGGCCGCAACGTAATCATCTTCGTCTTTACAGCCGGAATCTCCTTCCCCTTGAGTCTAAACCGCGACATCTCCAAGTTAGCCAAGGCCAGCGCCGCAGCACTTGTGGGGATGCTTGTGATTGTGACGATCGTGCTCGTGCGCGGGCCTATGATGGGAGCGGAATATAAAGGCGAGATGGAAGGGGTGTCGAGCTACGTCATCAGCCCTGGTGTTTTCCAGGGTATCAGCGTCATCTCGTTTGCGCTTGTGTGCCATCACAACACCATCTTCATCTACAACTCGCTAAGGCGTCCCACCTTGGACCGCTTCACCACGTTGACCCACATTAGCTGCTTCGTGTCGATGGTTGTCGTCGCGGTGATGGGGTTGGGCGGCTTTTTAGTCTTCAAGGACAAGACCAAGGCTAACATCCTCAATAACTTTCCGAAGCACGATTTGACTGTGAACATTGCCAGGTTGTGCTTCGGGATGAACATGCTCACGACCTTTCCGCTCGAGATCTTTGTCGCCAGAGAGGTAATCAAAGACTTTATCAACCCTGACCCCCAACAGCAGCTTTCCAAGCGCAACCACTTTATCATCACCACCTTGTTGGTGTTCAGCACCATGGGGATTTCGCTCATGACGTGCAACTTGGGTGCAATTTTGGAGCTTGTGGGCTCTACATCCGCCTGTATCATGGCGTATATTCTCCCTCCGCTTTGCTTCTTGAAGATGACCGCGCTGGAAAAGACCTGGTCACAGCGTGCCCCCAGCATCGCCTGTGTTGCCTTCGGTGTGGCCGTAATGATCATCAGCTCCACCCAGACCATCGTAAAGGCCATCAACAGCGAGGGCAGTGCCCACTGTAACGTCTAAGTTATATTAATAGATTAAATTGTTAGGAAATTGGTTATAGCCTGTAATTGTCTTTGTGTAGCCATATCTGATGGACAATAATGTTGGAGTGGACAGGTTTTGAGCACGTATCCATGCTTTTACAGTTTACTGAATGGTCTTGTGTCCATTATTCATTCCAAGGCACATCTGCGAGCTTGCATTCTGTGATTAGCTTATTTTAAAGGCAAACATAATATCGTGTGTTTTCAAGTCCAGTCTATTCGACTTCTAATTAGCGTGGTTTGGGAATCAAATAGCCAACCAACGCTAGGCTTTTACAACCGGAATTTCCTCCCTCGGTATGCGGTGCATACTGTATTGAGGGTAATGGCACATTTTTGTAAGACATAAAACAGCTATCTGGCTATGGAGAAATCGATTGAAAAACGTCCAAACAAAAAAAGATCGAATAAATCGTGGTAATGACGTAATTTAAATTTAAATTTCCCCAATTATTAGCCTCAGTTTAGCATGATTCTAAACATACCAGCCCTGTCCTTTTTGGTTCCCCAACACCGACGCGTCACGTATCGCGAAATAACGCGTCTTTTTCCAAAGTTTTCACGCATCAACATTCTACATTGCAAACCTCGTCTTCTCCTAACCCTCCCAGATTGCGCTCCGTATCTACCCTGTTCAGGTCATTCACCGCCATTCAGATTACAATACCATTTTCATTAGTGTTCTCTCGCCAATCCTACTCTCCTATAACCTTACATCCATAGTATCTACCTCCCTACCCGGTATCCCGATGACTGACGTTTTACCCCCGGATAGAATCTCTCTCCTCACGGAGCAGATGGCAACCCAGACCAACGGTAGCCGCGTGTCGATGCGCACCGCAACCATCCTCAAGGCGCATATTTCCGTTCTTACGTCCGCGCTCGGGGGCCCCGACCATACCTCGCCCCTCCACCCGCCCCCCTACAAGCTCGGTGACGACGCGTGGGCGTGCTTGAAGGACTTGAAGCGATGGTTGATCACCGTTGATCAGGACAAAAAAAAGTACGACGTCGCCAACGCGTGTGCGGAAACGGGTTTGGTATTGAACGACTTGTGCACGATTCTCGCGACATGGGAGCTCGAGAGCGATGCCGCGCGCGGCGCGCCGCGCATGATCATGAATCGCCCGCCGTCGCTCATGAACAAGATCGCGCTCTTGTGTCTCGAGTTGTTTGTCCAGCTCACCTGGCCTGTTGATATCATCAAAGGGGAGTCGTCACGCAACCAGGCAAAACACTCGGTCAACATCCAGAAGCACCAGTTGTTGTACAAGCAGAAGGCGTTGCACTACGCTGGCGGCAAGGTCCTCAGGGCCGCGATTCGCCTCGCGATCCCGGCCATCTCCAAGGATAAGACACAACGCGATGCTAAAGACAACGCAATCTTGAGTCTCGTGGTGTATTTTTTTCGCAACTTGGTTGAGATCCGTCCGCTCCCGTTGACCAAGCTTCAAGGCCTGAGTGCACGCGCAAGCATCCAGAACAGCGTCGACCTGCATGTCAACGGTGAAATTGGCTTGGACGCGACGGTACGCGCGTTCGCCAACAATCAGGTACTCCCATTCTTGATGACGATGACCAGCTTGCTCGGCGACGAGTTCAACATCAAGGACTTGGAGTGGCTATGCTTCGAGACAATCACGGGGTTGGTGAAGTACGTAACGCCTGAGACGTTGTACCCGCGCGTGGCACCGTCTGTGCCTCGTCCCAGCCACGAACTCGCGTCTGCGGCGGGTCTCGGGCTAAGCGACTTACTCCAGCGTGAGAAGCACTTGCAGCAGCAGATGAAGCTTAACTCGTCCACGCGCCACGCCAACTTCGGTACGCTTCTTTCGTACCAGACGACCGCCCAGCGCTACACGGTTTCGGGGCAACAAGGCTTGCACAACGACCGTGAGGTGCTCGCGAAACTCGATGCGTCCAAAAAGTCGTTCAAAGCCGTGCGCGACATCTCGGCCGCCGCGGCAGAATGCGACAAGTACGTCGTGTCAAGCGCTGCGTTGGATGCGGGAAACACCGCGGTCTTGCGCGCGTTCGTGGATGACATTTTCAGCGACACGTTTAATAATCTAGTGCATTTGGTGACGGGCTCGTTGACGGCAGGGTTTGAGTCTGTGTTGATGCGCGACAAGGCGATGTTTTGCCAGTTTTTCAGTTGGTTCTTGCGCGCGCACCGCGCAAAGATCGAGCAGCGCGCGCAAAGTGATGGGCCGTCTGACTCGGATGCCGATGCATTCGACATGATCCAGTCTGCACTCACCAATGAGTGCTTCATCATCCTCAAAAAGTTGCTCCGCGAACACGAGGCGCTCCGTACCTGGAGCATGGTTCACGTTTCCCTCGCCTGCCTCTCTGAATACCTCCTGACCGTCCACCTCATGACGGTCTCCTCGCCCTACGCCGCGCACGCACTCGCGCTCAACATCTACGACGACCCGTTCATCCTCGACCTTATCGTCCGGTTGACAAAACAAGCGTCCAGCGGGATCCGTGGGGTGTCGCACCTCTACATGGGAACCGCCGTCGAGTGCAGCTACTGGTTCCTCCGCGTGCTCGAGACGTGCGCGCGGCAGGACATGAAGTTGACCGTGCGCGCGCGGAGGAAGAAGCCAGAGGACGGGGATAATTCCGATGATGAGGGACCAACGAAGTCCCTTCTTGACTTCCAAAAGTACGAAAGTGCGTTCATCTCTGTGGATATGATCCTGACTCACGTGGCGTTCCTCGCACGCTTCGCGGACCTCTCGTGCCACCAGACGCGTTGCGTGCTCAAGTACTTCCATCGGGTATTTGTGAAGAACAACCAACACGCGTTGATGTTCCGGATCGACTTGATGCGGTTACTTCAGGAAATGATGACCAAAGTGGAGGGCGAGGTGCTCCAGGAGCTTCGCAACTTTGCCAAATTCTACACCAAGACGTTGGTGAAGGTGTTGGAAGCGCGCCCGACGTTGTTTGTGGAGTTGTTGTTTAGCAAAAAGACAAGGAATGTATGCTATTACTTGGATACGGGGGAAAAAATGGCCGAACGGGCAAAGAAGGCACGATATGAGAGCGATGATGAGGTCTTTGCAGCGGAAGAGCTCGAGTATGTGAAGGACCATGGGTATGAGGAGAAGGTGGCAATCGTGGTGGCCGCGATGATCGATGATGAGGATGATGGAATCGTCAGATTTGTTTCTGCACAATTAGCAGAAATTATTAGGAGACGAAAGGCCTGGGAGGATAGACAGGATGCAGAGGAGATGGCTGCGCTTGCTAGAGATGAAGGGATGGGTGCCCCTGAAGCTTCCGAGAGAAAGCAATCCCCTCCCAATGAAGCCATCACCACTCCAGACCCCTCTCTTCGCAACTCGCTTCTTCTCCACGGCTACCTCCGTCTTCTTCTCAAAACCATCGGGTTTGAGCTTGCGCGCGCACAGGGGGAGCAGACGCTTGTGCTCGCGGACGTGGAGACGGCGCACCTCGAACTCTCGCGCGAGTATGTTGAAAAGTACTTGGTGACGCCTGTGGATCTTGGTGGGAAAGAGGCTGCCCAGTGTATCAGAACGGCTGATGAGGGCGACTTTTTCCACAAAAGAAGCAGAAGTGATGGTGAGGAAATTGCGTTTGAGGTGCGCAGAAAACGTGTCAGAGGCGTGCCAGAAGAAGAGGTGGACGATTTGGAAGCGATGGAGAACCGCCTTGGGATGCCCAGGGGGCTTGCGCGCAAGAAGAGTAAGAAACCAGCGCGTGTGCGCGCGGATAGGACCAAAAAAAGGTCCAAGGCATCGGTCGAAACCCACCGGTCGTTCAAATCCTCCGCCTTTGTCCACGACTCAGACGACGAAGACGACACCGAGGAGTCACGCGCGTTCTTTGCGCTCGAGGAGCGCTTGCGCCAGGTCGTTGTGACGTCCGCGGACACCGGCGGCTTAACCGGTGCTGCCTTAGCCGAGTTCATTCTGCGCTGGGACACCCTCACCAGAATGAGCCACCAGGAGCCCGAACCACACGTTCAGAAAGCAGTTGCTAAGGCCAAATCGTCGTTGTTTGTTGAAAGTGACGAGGAGGAAGAGGGGCCGGAACGAGTGCCAGATGTGGTCAGAGCACGGCGGCACGCGTTCTCATCGGATGAAGAGGTGGAAGAGTCGGAGTGGGAAAGCGATGCTGAGATGGATGCCGCGATTGATGCGGCCATTGCGGCCGTGGATGCCGCGCCGGTTACGACGGCGGTGCGGCAATTTGAGTCAGACCCCGAGTCTGAGAGTGAAGAAGGAGAAAACGATACGGAAAATGAGATTGAAGTTGCCGCTGAAGAAGTCGCTGCTGGAGAAGTTGCTGCTGGAGAAGTTGCTTCTGAATCAGATGTGGAATCCTCCCAGGATAACTTTAGAGATGCCTACAGCGAGGCTGAAGTGAACGCAGAGACTGGCGATCAGGAAACCACCCCAGCTATGAGATCCAGACGCAAGCAGGTGATCTATGAGTCAGACGATGAGTAAACGTATATTGTATCGTAAAATTCAAATTCACAAGCTGGGATTGGTATCCTCCGTGATGCACGTAGCGGCGTAGTATTTCTACCATAAATCAAATTGATAAAAATCCAGTGGCTTAATCCAAGCAGACACATTCGCCCTTACATCTGCACTTGATATACCCATAGGCACGTAACGTTCTTTGGCTTCCTCGTGCCAGTTACACTCTGTTATTTTACAGTAAATTAATCTTTAAATAAGCACAAAAAGTACAAAAAGGATAGCGTGCGTCTGAGTAGAATCAATCCCCCAGGGCACTGGTATCGGATAGCTGAGAGTTGCGTCGCTCGGTTTCTGGCTGTTATTGACCCCGCGGCGTGCGCTCCCACGCTCGATTTAGTGGTGGAACAATCTAATCTCATTCTCCACAAAGATCATATTCTTCGCATCCACCACCTTGATCACCTCCTTGTCCATCACAGACCCCAATGGCGCGCAGATCACCTTAACCCCCGACTCGGCACATCTGTATGGATTGTCTGGGAATGGGAAGAACGCGTCAGAAGAGCAAACCACATCGGTCAACTGGCTCAACCACGCCTTCTTCTCCTGGATGGTCAACAACGCTGGGACAGCGCCTTCAGCGAACTTGGACTCCCACTCGTCACGACCCGGACCCGCCTCTGGAACTTGGTTGGTAACAAACAAGTCAATCACGTTGGCCTTGTCCTGGCGCTTGGTGCCCTTTCTCCACTGGAATTCCAACACCCTTGGGTGGTGTCTCAACCACCAGTTGTCGGCCTTGTCACCAGCGAGTCTGGTACAGTGGATACGGGACTGCTGGCCGGCACCCAAACCGATAACCATACCTCTGGTGGCGTAGGCGACGGAGTTAGACTGGGTGTACTTCAACGCAATAGTCGCGATCGCAAGATCGATCTTGTGCTGCTCGGTCAACGCGGTGGAAGCCGAGGCAATGTTGTTGAAGGACTTGGCTGGGTGGATGATGGCATCGTTACGCTTCTGCTGCAAGGTGATGCCGTAGACGGTACGGGACTCCACGGCCTCTGGCTCGAAGTCAGGGTCGATCTGGAGCACACAGTACTTGCCGCCCTTCTTCTTGGTCAAAAGGGCAAGAGCGTCGGCTTCGTAGCCTGGAGCGATCACACCGTCAGAAACCTCCTTAGAGATGATCTGCGCGGTTGAAAGATCCACCACGTTGGAGAGTGCAATAAAGTCGCCGAAAGAGGACATTCTGTCGGCACCGCGGGCACGGGCATAGGCGTTGGCCAAAGGCGAGAGGTTCTCAATGTCTTCCACAAAGTAGATCTTCTTCTCAAGATCCGAAAGTGGCAAACCGACGGCCACACCAGCCGGCGAAACGTGCTTGAACGAGGCAGCGGCAGGCAACTTCACGGCAGCGGACAACTCCTTGACCAATGGCCACGAGTTGAGCGCGTCCAACAAGTTAATGTAGCCTGGGGAGCCATTAAGTACCTTGAACGGAAGCTTCTCGGCGTTGGCAATGAAAGCCTGGGCTGGCTTCTGGTGCGGGTTGCAGCCGTATCTCAACGGCAACTGCTTGGTGGATTCCGAGTACTGCTTGCGGAAGTAGTCGGCAATGGCGGTGTCGTAATCGGCAGTGTGTTCAAAGGCCTTGAGTGCAAACTTGTTGCGGGCCTCCTGGGAGATGCCACCGGTGGCAAGCTCCTCGAGGAAGACACAGTAGTCGTTAGGGTCGGAAAGAATGGTGACACGGCCGTGGTTCTTCGCAGCGGCACGCAAAAGCGTCACACCGCCGATATCGATCTCCTCGACGGCTTCGTCGATGGTCACGCCGATCTGGGCAATCGTCTGCTTGAATGGGTACAAGTTGCACACCACAAAGTCGACCTTGGAGATGTTCTGCTGAGCGAGGTCCTCCTCATCCGAGGCGAGGTTACGGGCGAGGATACCGCCGTGCACAGCGGGGTGGAGCGTCTTGACACGGCCGCCGAGCATTTCCGGCGCGTTGGTGATGGTTGAAACGTCCTCCACGGCGAAGCCGGCCTCGTTTAACATGCGGGAGGTACCTCCGGAAGCAAGGAGACGGACGTTGGCGGCAACAAGACCCTTGGCAAGGTCAAGGAGCCCAGTCTTGTCGTAGACAGAGAGAATGGCGGTGGCAGAGTATGACATGGTTGGTGGCTAAGCAAAACTGAGTGCAAAAGAGTGGCGCGCCAGCGCTATATATAGCAAAGCGCGATAATTAATTGGGCGTACTTTGCGGGAAGGAGTCAATTTTTCAATTCTCACGTGATCTTATACACCGGACCGAGGGGTAACCGCAGGGGATTATAACTAGAGTCTATCCAGAGGGCACCTGATTGGTCATTATTCCTCCTATATAGCACCTACAAAATGTTTGTACCGATGGATCTTGTTTCGGTTTTACTAGGTGTGGAAGGGTGCTGTGTTCCTTTGTGGTGGCGTACTCTCCGAGTTCACTGGGCAATTGGTGGTGCCCCGTGAAATGAGCTGATTGATTAGGAGCGTGCAGGAGATTGACTCTGGGGGAAGATTGGCTAGGGGTCCAACGGGAGAGGTCGAAAGGATAAGGTTGACGTTATTAGCGTGTTCTTCTAGTTGCATACTGTGATTTGATAAATAAGCAAATATATGGTATTTGAATGTGTTTTGTGGAATAATAAGGTACCGTGGAGAACCGTGGAGCAGTTGTGGTAGTCGTACCACCTTGTGCTTATTTAAGTCAGTTATCTAAGAAGCAGGTGCAGGGGTGGTTAGTTATCTACTGGATAAGCATTTAACAGAAACTATGATAAAAAATGTTAAAGACCTGGCCGCTCCTGAACTTGAATCACCACTCGTGGTTCAATTCATCTTGGATAGTGACGTAGCTTCGCTCGTTTTGGTGGTGCGCACTCGCTGAACTCGTGCTAGAGAATCTGTTCTGATAAGTGTTAACACTTCCTGGTGGTCACACGCAGTCCTTCTGTTAATTTTTAGCAATCTGCTGCTAAATAGTGTTGGTGTTCATAGCAATAAGTAATCAATGGTTACTGGTTATAATAATTTACTTGTCCCTTGGTAAGGTAGCAAAGTCTTGAATATGTAAATAGAGTGTGTATATCCGTTAGTTCCAGTATTAAGAATAAATTAAGGGAATCATATGCCTTTTTATAGGCAGTTGGTTCTTCCAGTAGCTGTTTTTGATTATCACAGTCACTTCTAAGTCATCATTTGACAACCTGGTTGAGTCAGTCTGAGATTTCTTCTGACATTTGCACGACCCCGTGACTTCAACACGTTCAGGGACAGGTTTCACAAATAAGTAGTCGCGGATCTTATTAATAATTTTTGTAACTGGGATAACAAAAAGCAAGAAAAAGAACAAAGGCCAAAGAGCTTCATGTACGATTGCGTTTATAATACCAGTTGTGGCTTGAAAATAGTAGATGTATGTGTCGTCAGGAAGAGGTACTAGCATGATGCATAATTATTTTCGCTCTCGACTAGAAACGATTAAGGAGGGTTCCACTCCTTAAATAGAAAACGGACCTCCCTTAATTTGTGAGTTTGACCCAATTTACGCATACGTTTCGTGTATGTATGAGCACATGCTCCCTCTTATGATAACAAATGGTCATTCATAATTTAAGCCGCAGCAAGTCCATAACATCACTCTATCATTAGCTCGATGCTGCATGGGGTTTGTGGCATCATCTTAATATCAGGGGGCCATCCCCATAAGCATCACCTCATACTTGACTTTTGTTCGAAACTCTAGTCGCGACTGGCAGGGCGCTCTAAATCCTCCCCGGATGTTTTCTAGCGTATCCCTGATAGATAGTTCGGGGGGTCGTGAATCAAACATCTTGAGGGTCCGAGTTCATGGCTTAGGATGACGAGTTATCCTGGACAAGATCTACACTTAGTGAGTCCCTTCCTTCATACCTTTTACATGTATTACAAGCCTCGTTTTATAACCTTTGATACACAATTAGACGAAGCTCTGCGTGAACAAAAAATATGTCGTGTGCTCCGCCGCTCCGTATTATGCAAGGCATTGACTAAGAAGAAAGTATACGGAACTCGGCTCGTTTGACCTGGAGGGCTTAAACGATGGTCCATGTACCAGACCAAGACCGCACTGTATAGTGCACAACACTGCACGCTCCTGAGTGCCAATTACTGGCAAATTATCATTGCTTGTTTAAGCATGTTAGGCCTCCCCAAATAAAGTACACCAAAAGCTAGATATCCTAACACCAAGTAAATATCTCGCTTATCCGTCGAGGGGTATTACGTACCTCTGACAGCAGAAACTGAGTAGGCTCTTTTTCGTCGAAAAAAGGCGGATATGCGACAGTAGCAACTAAGCATTGATGCTGGATGTTTCCTATTTCAGAAACCGGGGTACCGCATGGGCATGTGTTATCTAATACTGTAGGGAATGATACCAGGTATAAGCGGTAGTTTTTAATCTGCGAGCTGCTAAGACCCATTGCAAAAAACTGCGGAATAGGTCCATAACCCCGACACCCGGGCCCTTATCTTTGTTGTTAAGCGTAGCTCCTGGGCCAAACCTTGTATGGCGTAATATGAATGTCTACGCGCCCTGCAGCTCACACCAGCACAACTGCAGGTCAAGGACCCAGGTATTTGATAGTGCCAGGGATACGCTGGATGATGTCCAAAGTGGGCTCAGAGCGCTGCTCTTAGGGTCTCGAAGATAAGCAAGATAAGAGAAGGTGTTCGTAGAAACGGTCTCAAAGTAGTGTGAAGACGATGCCACGAGCCCATATGGCGTCATGCTGATGAGAGGATGATATCATAAGCTCATAAGGCTTATAATGAGGGTAAGTGTGCTATTGCTAAGCCAATCGTTTCGGCTAGCGCAATTTTCAGTCGGATTAATGTGGGGGGCCGCGCAATTATATGGTAAGGCATGTGCTATTGCAGAGATGATATATATTCGTAAAATGGAACATGTTCGCAAATCAGGACGATGTCGCGTTTTACTTACGGGGTCTAATCCTCCTTGGTAGTTTTTGGTTCTTAGTGGAAAACTCTGAATATCGATGCGGACTTTGGTAAAAAGACCTACTCATGTCATCGATGCCTAACCAGAGTTAGAGAGGTGTCTCCGAGGTTGTATGTGGCACGGTGTATGGTTAATAGGATTTAGGTAGTGAATATCAGAACCTGCCCTCTAACACAAGCGTTTCTATTTCAGAGGATTAAATGAGGAAGTGATTTCTCACTTTTAGTATATTCTCTTAGTTTAATATCGTCTAGCTGTTGTGGATTATTAGTCATATCTTATGGATAGAATGGCTGATTATACCCCTCGGACTGGAAACCCAGCCGACACTGGAAGCCTAAAATGCCTCTTTATAGCGGTGACTACCCATGGTGTTAATTTTCCCATCGTATCTACAGAGTAAAGCCTTAATAAGTTTTCCTTAGTAAAACTTCAAAATTTCAGCCCTAACAGGATCTTACATCGGTTAGTGAGGACTTCTGACGATGGATACCCCTATTGTGTTTGCGGATATCATAACAGGGGCCTGGGGGTTTTCTATATGTTTTCTACGTAATCACGGATATGAATGGCTAATTACCTTGATCAGGTCTGTGAACGAGTGGAATCAGTGGTGCCGGGATAGGAAAATAAAATAGGATAGATATATTATATATACTGTTACGGTGAGTGTATTTCCTTGAATAGAAAACAAGCCTATCCTATATCACTATCGTGCTCCTATTTACAAACTGAGTGGTCTCAACAGCGCCAGATACAAAGCCACGAAAAACGCCCCGTATTTTAAGTCTGCTGGTATATACCAATATGTAGCTTCAAACTGAACTATATATTTTGTTAGCTTTTTAGGGACCATTGACTTTGATAATAATTTGGACATTACTAAGTGTAGACGAAAAACGGCTCTAGGATAAATCTACTCTTCTAGGTCTAAATAATATTATACAAACATCTGAAATCCTAACAGTGGTCTCATTTAAGCCCTAGACTCCAAGGTTTCAAAACTTTGTTCTTTTACTCGATATCTACTCTTCTCTTTTTGAAAAATTTCATCGAGAATCAAGAGATTGGTCCAATCACTGCGCCTTTCATACGTACTTCGTTTCTATATTATCTAGAAAGCCGGTCTAACGCCTGGTTGTTTACCTCTATACAGTTAGAAACAGCCTCCGTATCATCTTCAATAACCCGCAAGAGAACATTTTGACGGTCAATAGTTCTCGAGATTGTCGTAGCTCTGGTTTTTAAATTCCCCACAAGCTCCCCGATCGTCCCCAAATTCCTATTAATCTCCCTTTCCACAGGAATGTCCTCTATTTCAATATACCTGCCGAACGGTAATGGTATTATATCTTCAAAGTACCCCTTGCCCTTACCTTGATTGATTAACTCCATTTTTACACGAGAGGGCGATCCCGGATCTTTGTATTTCTCACGTCTCTGTTTTGTTCCTTCTTCGTGCTGTTGAATCAGCTTGGCCTCCTGTTTTCTTCTCCGGGACGAAGTGAACGGGTTGGGTACAAAAGGTGCAACCATGCCACCGGTGTATCGCTCCATCTGCTTGATATGACCCTTCGAGGCGAAAGTATTCGCATTTAACCGACTGAAGCATCCTTCCATATCACCCATCTGCTCACCCTGTTGCCGCATCACATCAAGCGATTTATCGGCTGAAAGCATGGCGTCGGTGCTTAGTTGGATCATGTTACGGGTGGAGTGAAGCGTTTCTCGTCGCGTGGCTCTCGTTTCCTGTTTGATGCGCTCTATGTCTTCTTCCAGGTCAGATTGCGGGAGATTTTCTACACTCGTGTAGGTTTCAAGGATGGGATGGGATGGGTTAGAAAACGGATATTTTAATGCAAAAGGATGGGAAGTATCCTTTGGAGAAGTGGTGGAGATAATATGATGGTAATCTTGCCCCGGGTTTCCATCCAACGTATAAGGGGGCAAGCTATCAGCTGTAGTCGTAGCATTAACAGTGGAAGCTTCTATCCCCCGCGGCATCCAATATCTTTGAAAGTGCATTCTCGAGGCCTGTTCTCTGGAAGAACTTTTCGGGTCTGAACCTCCCTTATAGAACTTTCTTAGTCCCATAATATATGCATGGATGTTTCTTACCAGCTGTATTTTTCAACGTCGGCTTGAGCGATAGAATAGATCCCGATTGATATATCTAGCTTTATCTTGTCTCTGACAAGCCATATATTAACGGGGACACACGACTGCAATATTCACGGCATATGAGCCAATTAGCCCTGGTGTCGTACGGTATTTAGTGCCCCTCAGCTCGAGCGGAGCCGCAACGGCGTAAATTGTATCTAAATCTCTGGTTTTGTGGGAGCACACACAGAAGGAGCTGATACTATCAAAGGCATATGCGGCTCGGTTCCTTGTGAGCGAAGATGTCAGTCCCACATCAAGTAGATGGTATTGGAAACTAATCGAAGAGCTACGCGTCAAAAATTTAGCTTAATGAGGGTCTGAGTAGATTTCTGTGCGAATTCAGAGTATGCAATGTTGAGCCTACCGAAAATACGAGGCATAAAAAGTCCTCACGGCTGAATAGTTGGCTATTTATTTGATCGGCTTATATTGCCCAGGAACCTGCCAAAGGATGACTGGTAAGAGCGCAAAATATAATACCTGTCTTCCCCCTGTAACGTGTTTTTTCCCCTTCGTTTTGCTCGTCATCTTTTATAAGACGGACTTCAGATTGAACGTTGCGTAGGAGATGGCCCGAAATTTAAGGAAACCCTGCACTGGAGATGTCGGATGGTTGTCACCTCCAGGGAGTCCCTTGTAAAATCCTCCGCGTGTCGCGGTTGCCATAGCAGTGCGCGTATACCGATCGCGGAACGCGCAGACCAGTGCCACGCTGGGACTTAAAAAATATCTAACTTTGGGGTGACTGATTACGATGAGGGCTCAAGAGTCAGATATCCAACAATGCTGGCTCGATTGAAACTCTTATAGTGTCAACAGATTTTCTGCATACATGTCTGCCTATGACCCCCTCCATGGCATGGATACACATATTGCGCAAAATGCCCATAAAGGGTGACGTAATGTAAGGCCCCAACATTCCACCGGCTGATTTTGCTACAAAGAAATATATCTGCGAGCAGAACGCAGCTGGATTTGATAGGTGTATGCTCCTGGTTTCGTACCCAGTCTGGCAATTCAATACGTGATTCCAGACCTAACCTTCGTGCCGCTGGTGTAATATATCTCTTGATAAAAAAATTACCGAAGATTGGATATTTTCAACCCTAAATACACCAAGAGCATAAGAATCGTGACACATTTTATACCGTGGGTGTCGGTACTAGTCCCGTTGTCCGTGAATAACCGGCAAGTGGAATTCTTGACACGATACACACAAAGGGTTAACCCTGTAACACCGCTGCGTCGTAATTGCGGAGAAGTAAGGTATGGCCAAAGCTTTTGCAGGGGCCGATTTTCCGGGTCGATTCGCGACAGCCCCTACAAACCGCTGGACTAGGGCTGTATGAAAGTTCCAAGGCTCGCCATAAACGTCGCACACATGAAATAGCCCCGGATCGATTCGCGGCTTGTCCAGAAGCTCGAGTTGTCATATAAAGCACATGAAAATGTATCTCTTTACTAAAAAGGGAACTGGGTATGTATGGAAGCATTGCTTGGGCGGCGCGCGTTGTGCGTGCGTGTCTACGACAGTCGCGTATGAAGGCACGCGTCTCAGATCCTGGATCACCCACCATGGGCACCCAAATGCGCGACATTATGGAGGTCAATTGTTTCTGAACAGTCCCCTGAGATCTCTATTTTCAGAGGAACCTTCCCAGTTACAAATACTGCTGGTTTTACGTTGCACGGTACTCCTGGATCTACCAATTGTGGCCTAGCGCGTCAAAACTATATCATTAAAGCGGCAAGGTGTACGCAAACGTAGTATGCGGCCCAACTATATCAAATTGGGCGATAATTATCCTAATGGGGCACAGTCCCAATCGAGCTGAAGGGGCCCAACCGTCAATACTCGGTGCTTTTCAGGTTTCATACGGCGTGTCTACCACTACCTGTATGTCTTCCCGGGATAAGGTTGGCAGCTAATGCAAGGATTCCGTACTGTACGTAAAGGCTTAAGTTGTGCAGGCCAACACCCTCCGGTGGGGCCACACACGAGAATAACCAGTCGGCTCCGTTGGATTGTTGTGTGGAGTAAGCTACAAATAAAAGAAATCCAGCTTAGCCGAAAAATCGCGTCGATTTTCCACAAATTCGCCTTTGGGACTGGAAGTGAAAACACCCTGGAATTCTAAAATCTAAAGGTTAAAGCAGAAACTTTTCATCTGCGAGGGAACAAAGGCACAGAAAAGCCCAAGGCTAGGACTGCTCTACGTCATTCTCCTCTCCGACACCCATGATTGTTGCTCAAAGTGGTAACAACGCCAGGGTTCTCGCCGTCACTGGTCATGCACTAAGCAGCCGCGCGCGCCGCACAGTTTCCCCTTTGTGTACCTTTCGGGTTTTTGCTGCGGCGTTGCACGTTAGTCCCCCTTCAGATGGCAACTAAACTGTATTCGTGATCAACCTCAGGGAAGCAACGGAGGTAAAGTCCTAGCAAGACGGTAAAGACGGCGACAAAGACCGGCAATGGCCACTCCTACTGCCAGCTGTCTTGCCTCTGTGCCCCCCCCCCCTCCCCCACCCCACTGGTCGCGTCCCAACCGCGCGCACAGCTTTTACCGCGCGAAACCGCGTTTGCCCCGTTTAGGCAATTGCGCGCGATCTTCATGCAAGGCATATGTGCCTTCGGCCAAGGGCTAGGAAAACCGGAGAGTTGCATATGGCAAGCTCTTTGCCCCGGTAAACATCCCCATCAGAGACCTCTGTCCACGGATACGGGCAGCGTTCAGTGCATAGATACAGGCAACTGCATCCTACAGGAGGCTGCGCGCGTGAGCCGTGTTTTCGTGTAAGACATTTCACCACACCCGCAGGTAGATATAAGAGATTGGGTCTGCGCTGTATTCTTTCAGTTTGTTTCGATCTTTGCACGCTTCATTCCTTCGTTCAGCTGTTCCCTCCTCCACTTCTTTGCTTTATACCCTTCATCCTTGCATTGTACAGCTTCGTTGTACCGCTTCATCTCCCACTATAATTGCTCGTTTTCTGGCCTTTGTATAGCCCACTCCCTTCTTACAGCTCCTACGTAATATGCCGCGCAATAGCTCCACATCCTCCGTGTATTCTACCCGTACATTGGGCCCACCAAAGCTCACACGCGCGCGTTCATACCCGCCCGTCTTGGAGATGCTCGAGAGCAACACCAACAAGGCGCTCTTCGCGGAGTACGCGGACGACGTGCCGCGGCACCTCGCGCAGCTCGAGGCCGCGAACGGTATCAGCGTCCAGCTCATTGACATGCAGCCAGAGATCAAGTGGTATATGCGACCATATCTCTTGGACTTTCTCTCCGAAACCCACTACTCGTTGCGCTTGCAGCCGCAAACCTACTTCCTCGCATGGTCCATCATCGACCGCTACTGCTCCAAGCGCGTGGTTTTCAAAAAGCACTACCAATTGGTCGGCTGTACCGCCTTGCTTATTGCCGCAAAATATGAGGATAAAAAGTCGCGCGTGCCCACCCTACAGGACCTCGTGCACCTCACGCGCCAGACCTACGACGAAACCATGTTCATGCAAATGGAGCGCCACATCTTGACAACCTTGGAATGGTCGTTGGGACAGCCAACGTACGAGGAGTGTTTGCAGCTCGCGATCTCCACCTCAGTGGACTTCAACCAGTTGACTCCCGTGAAAAAGCACAGACCGAACGGCGAGTCCATGTTGACGTCGCTCACCGAGATGGGCCGTTTCTTCTGCGAGATTGCGCTCTATGACAAGTCATTCCTCCACTTTCCCGTGTCGCTTGTCGCCATCGCTGCCAACTCGCTAGCTAGTCAGATGCTCGACATCCCGTCCACCGCCGCGCGCCTCCAGCACATTATTGCGCACTTCTACCTGCAGAGCGCGCGCGACTCGTACACGCACGACGACGAGTTTTTCTTCGAAGACGAAGAGAACTGCGCGCCCCGCGTCACCGGCGCCTTCCTCTCGGGCTTCAACGAAGACGCGTTACTCTCCATCAAAAAAATCACGCTTTTGTTCATGACCTCGCTCACCTCCGTCTCCGAGTTTGTCCAGCGCAAGTACCAGGAGTTGGGTGTGTGTCAGGTCATCAACCAGTACATCCACCGCAACGCGTTTCTGTTGAAGCCCGTGTTGGAAACCACCCACGATGCCTTGATGGACGTCGATTTGAGCTCATTAGAATACAACCAGCTTAATTATATTTCTGATATTTTACTCGGCCTCAGCTTCATCCAGCCGCAAACCATCGTCCAGACGCCACTCACGCCACCCTCCACCGTTACATCGCGCTACTCCTCGGTCAACTCCTGTTCGGACTTGCCCTCCTCCGCCGTGACCCCCTGCACCGCAAACTCGCCCTTCTTCTCAAACTTCTCGTCTCCTTCCCACGTCCCGCCGTACTCTTTCGCGAATAACTCCACCGATAGCAGTATTGGCCAGATGGTGGGCAAGGACTACTCCATCCGTGCGCCGCCCGCGGTGCGCGAGCCATTCGCAGCCTTGCCGCCTATGGTGGCAGCACGCGACTTCCCCAGCTCCTCGCCACTCGCACAGCGCAGCTGCTGGTAATCTAATGTTCTTTCTATGATGTTTTCATCCGGTCTTTTGGGTTTCTTTTCTTGCATGCGGTCTCCGCTCTAATACCAACTCCGCTAACTGGTTAGTGGCTATCTCTAAAACGTGTAGATGTTCCAAGTGACGGAAGAGTCGAAGGTTTTTGCATCCAGCTGGGGTGAACTAGTAACGCCAAGCCCACCGATACGTCCTAGCCGGGTCTCGAAGGTATAATGTTCCTTTCGCAGCTGAGGGTATAGATTGCTTCTCTTGAAGGTTCGGTTGTAAAGGAAATCGACAAGCTGGCCAGAAACCATTCCTCGTAAGCACATCGATTCTGTAGAGGTTATGGTATGTACCCAAGCACTTTGCTCTCATCGCCAGGAACTGGGTCTGAAGGATTTTACGTGAAAACCACAGTATACAGCACTAGCGTGGACTACGGCCATTACTTTGGTAACTTCAATTTCAAATACTCAACCGGTGAGCTTTTGGTTTCGTGCTGCCTGTCTCATGCTGTTGGGCCTGGCATTCGCGAACGCCCAGCCATTCGCACTCCGATATCACACCATCCACCCTCCTGTCTGTATCTATCTTCCTTGTGCTTTAACAACCTTTCTTGAATCCTTTCACCATTTCAACTTCAATTATCTCTCCCCCCACTTCGTTCACCGTGCCGGCGTTCGCGAATACTCTTCACAAGGCAATACAATATCACCTGGCGCACCCGGCGTGCGCACACGGTGCGTAGCCCTGGCGCGAAAAAATTACGTGATGAATAAAAATCTTTTACCAGAAACCAACCCACCCTCTTCTCCTCATCCCCATACAATGACCTCATCTTTGGCAAGAGTGTACGCAGATGCGAACCAGCACAAGCCGCAGTCCTACTGGGACTATGACAGCGCCAGCATCGTGTGGCGGCCGCAGGACAAGTACGAGGTGACCAAGCGCTTGGGACGTGGCAAGTACTCGGAGGTGTTCCAGGGGGTGGAGTTGCCTAACGGGAACGATGTGGTGATCAAGGTGTTGAAGCCAGTGAAGAAAATGAAAATCAAGCGCGAAATCAAGATCTTGCAAAATCTCGTTGATGGGCCAAACATCATCGAGTTGTTCGACGTGGTGCGCGACCCCAACTCCAAGACTCCGGCCTTGGTGTTTGAACACGTGGAGAACATCGACTTCAGGACTTTGTACCCAAAGTTCTCAGACCTCGACATCCGTTTCTACATGTTCGAGCTCTTGAAGGCGCTCGACTACTGCCACTCCATGGGTATCATGCATCGTGACGTAAAGCCCCACAACGTGATGATCGACCACACCACGAAGAAGTTGCGGTTGATTGATTGGGGGTTGGCCGATTTCTACCACCCGGGCAATGAATACAACGTCAGAGTTGCGTCGCGGTGCTTCAAGGGCCCGGAGTTGTTGGTCAATATGCGTTTATACGACTACTCCTTGGACTTGTGGTCCCTCGGGACCATGCTCGCGGCGATGATCTTCAAGAAAGAGCCGTTTTTCCACGGCAGATCCAACACCGACCAGTTGGTTCAGATCGCGCGCGTGTTGGGAACAGATGACCTCCATGCGTACTTGCTGAAGTACGGTTTGACGTTGGGCAAGGAGTATGAGGACCTCGGCTACTACGAGAGAAAGCCGTGGGTCAAGTTCATCAACACCAAGAACGAACATCTTGCGTCCGAGGAGGTGGTTGACTTTATCGATTGCTTGTTGAAGTACGACCACCAGGAGAGATTAACCGCCAAGGAGGCCATGGCCCACAGATACTTTGATCCTGTCAGAAAGACCAACTAGGTTAGCATTGCATCCGATACTGTATACTAATAATTTAAAGCGATAATAATACCAGTAGCGAGAGAAGCTCACCTGATGGGTGAAAAAAACTCAGAGTAGGCGGCGGGCATACCTAGAGGGTCCAGGTATCTCAACATTCAGAGGCTCAACAAGGTTTACAAAATTAACAAGCATTCTTTGAGTGTATGTGTATTTTTTTTTCAGCCCTAATTTTTGGTGGGTGATATCTGCACAAATACCATGTAAGGCTTTTCCTAGATCTCGATCCATCCTATAGGACAATATAAATGTGAATATTAACACCTTTATGATTAAGTTATTTCATATTTAGGATCCCCCGACCGTAGCCATGGCTATGAGCACTGATCTATTCTCAAATCACTAAGGCTAAACCCGGTCTAGCTCAAACTTCTATCTCTCATCCATCTGGTCCTGGTCCATATCCCAGTCCTCTACCTCCGAGTTCATCGAGCTGTAAAGATTATCAGCTTCCGGGCCCGTCGTGAGCATCTCCAAGATCTCCCTGGCCAAACAAATAGTATTATCTTCATATGCAAACTCCAACCCGTTGGCAAACGTGAGCTCAGCCTCACAAATGTCCTCCATGGACGACGCCGCAGTGATGTGGGCTAATTTGCGCGCACGCGCCTCTGCGTACTCGTTAAATAGCGGCGCCCGGATCCCAAACTGCACCCGCATCTTCCGCATGTAGTTCATGCTGGCATCCCACAACCCCTCCTTCGTCTGAGAGAACGCCACACGCGTGAGCAACACGAGTAGCTCGTGTGAGGTGTCTCGTGGAATCTGTAGCTCGCCCTTCTGAAACCGGTGCCACAGCACGTGCAAGATCGCAACCGTCTTGGCCACGGTCATGATGCGCGTGGGGACCAGCCGGTGGCGCGGGTGGGCGTAGACAAAGTCCTGCTCCATCGTCGCGTTGGCCGTCAAGATTTTAATCACAGGCACGTCTATCAACGGGCGTGCGCTCCGGTACATGTCGTTGCACACGGTGAGAAGCTCCAAGACACGGAGTCCCAAAAGCGCAACGTGGGAGACGTGACCATTGTCACCAGTTTCCCAATTAGCCACCGGTAGAGGGGTAGGCGTCACTAACTTTCCCTCGAAATTTCTCCGCGCCGACGGGACCATGGAATCCAACCTCCTGGCATCTTTGTTGGACCCGATCATTCGATTGAGCCCATAAAGCTGGAATCCGATTCGTGGCGCAGGCTCTTCTGCGATAAGTTTCGCCACTAGCAAGATCTGTCGCTGGTCGCCGGTCTGGGACGCGATAACCATTTCCACGGCCGCAAAGGCAACATTGACAGGCGAATGGGTCGAGAGGAGCTTCGGAAGAAGGGTCGGTTGGAGCTTTGCCCACACGCGCGCGCGAAGCGCCTCCAGCCGCAACTGTGCACACGAGAAGAGCAGCTCGAGAAGCTCCACGGAGAAAAGCATGGTGGTGCTCTGGAGAAGCGCAATGTGGTCAGGGACGTTGCTGGGAAATTCAGGATCGTCCATATCGGCCTTGAGAGTGTGTTCGTAGCGCTCCAGGATATCAAAGTTGAGGTCCATTAACTGCTCTAAAACATCATCTTTAACGGCATTTGGCCGGAACCTGACAGTTGCGTGGAGCACGGCTAAGAGAAACGGGACCGCAAGAAGGCGCTGAGCATCGACCAACTGCCCTATAAGCCGGGAAACAACCTCACAAAACTCCTCCACGAGGTCATCAAGCTTAAGCAAGCTCTGTTTCGCCACCAAATATGCCTGGATACTCCCAGAAATCGGTTCCCGTGGCAAAATCACGCATCCCTTGCACGTGAACTTAGTGTCAATGGAAATTCTCGCCAAATATTCCATGCAAGACCGTGGCAACCCCCTAACCGTGTGCCGTATAAGATGCTCTACAAGGCCAGGTCGTTCATCTGGAACACTAGTCCGGACTACAATCGTCCTGACCTCCTTCTCTACCTTGACCTCCCGTGGCTTTTCTGCTTCATCGAGCTTTCTCCGCTTGGGCTCATGCGAGCGGAGCTTTAGCTGGTTATGGAGAAATTTTTTGTCATCCTCCAACACCGTATTTTGCGCTCCTAGCGTGCTAATTCGCTCCTCGGCCGCGATTTTGGCGGCCTTGGCCTCCTCGCTCAACCGCCTGATCTCATCCTCTTTCGCCTTGGTGAGCGCCTCGAGTCGTGACCGCAAGATGGAAACCTCTCCCCTGGCTGCGAGCAAGTCTTGGGCTTTGGTATCTACCGGAGGTTGTACCTCAAGCGGCTTCGGCAATTGGGTGTACTCCCCAGATTCGGTGATCTCCACGGTTCCTCGTTCAGGCTGCGACACCGGCGGCCGCGCAGTCAACGCAATCATCTCATCCTCGTCAAACGAGTCTTCAAACGAGTCGAAGCTATCAAAGTCCTCAAATCCAGCCATGGCATTCTAGATGTGTCTTGAAAAAAGCTTTGTCTGGCTTTGGCACTTTGCTTTGGACCCGCTTTGATGCGTTTTGGTCGGCGCGTCAAGGTCGTGCGCGTCCAGGCCTAATCGGGAAGATGAGCTTGACTTGTGGGCGAGCCCTCAAAGCGGATTTGAGAGGCAAGGGTAGCATTCTCAAATTCAGAAACTATCGCCTTGTACATATCAAAGCTGGCTTCTGTGTAACCGCTGTTTTGCGTTTGGTTTTATCGATGGTCGATTCCCACTAGATCAGGGGTAGTCGTGTCCTGCATAAGCCGGATCGGGAAAGCGATGGGGTGAATTTTTAGGTGAAAAATTTTGACGCAAGCCATACACATCTACGATGAAGTACATCCACCTTCCCACCTCTTTTCGCCCACCAAGATGTCCAGCGAAAACGCCCCAGCCCCAGCGGCCTCCTTGGTTCCGGTGCAGCCGACCCCGCTCAGTTCCAAAGACAAGGCCACCAAGAGATTGATCGTAGTTCTATCCCATGCCTGCTTAGAGACCCACAAGATGTCCTCTGGCGGTGCCGGAGGCGATAAATATGCCTTGTTGAACTGCGATGACCACCAGGGGTTGTTGAGAAAGATGAACAGAGACATATCCGAGGCCAGACCCGATATCACACACCAGTGCTTGTTGACTTTGTTAGACTCCCCGATCAACAAGGCCGGCAAGTTGCAGGTCTACATCCAGACCGCCAGAGGCGTTTTGATCGAGGTCAATCCATCCGTTAGAATTCCAAGAACCTTCAAGAGATTTTCCGGTTTGATGGTCCAGTTGTTGCACAAGTTGTCCATCCGCTCCGTCAACTCTGAGGAAAAGTTGTTGAAAGTCATTAAGAACCCCATCACCGACCATTTACCATTGAAGTGCCGCAAGATTACATTGTCCTTCGATGCGCCTGTCAGACGCGTCCAGGACTACGTCGAGACTTTGGATGAGGACGAAAGCATCTGTGTGTTTGTTGGGTCCATGGCCAGAGGCCCAGATAACTTTGCTGATGAGTTTGTCGACGAGAAGATCGGGCTCTCCAACTACCCGTTGTCCGCCTCCGTTGCCTGCTCCAAGTTCTGTCACGGCTGTGAGGATGTCTGGGGTATCTACTGAGTAGCCTAGATCTAATATTCTCTTCCGCTCAGCTGCTTGAAGACTGGGCCTTGTAAAATACATGTTTATCTTCACTGTTGTGTAGGGGGCTTATCTCCACTGCTGTGTAGAGATTTATTGTAGAAATGCTGTAGAGGGGCGGTCTATGAAGGTGGATCATAGTGGGGGCGGCCTCTGGGACGTACTCCATTGTAGGGTGAAGGATAAAAATATTCAGTTATTTAGTAATTTTTCTCTAGTTTTAAGGTATTGATATGGAAACATGTGGTGCATGCCGAGTTTAACTCTCTATGCGGGATCTTGCTTGTAACGCTCGAACTGCTCTGAAGGGGTGTATGATCGATATCTCGGAGTATTTATGCATATATGTTTATCAGGTGTGGGTAAAAAGCTTTCAAGACAAATATTATCTTGTTCACCCCCACTCTTGTTGAAAATCACCCATTCAAAGCATCAAGGTATCTACCTTATGCAGATTCTAAACCTACAGATGAAGACTAAATACATCATTCAAAACGCTTCAATCGGTTTGTATGAAAAACCAGCTAACTCCCACGCACTTCAACCTTTCCATTCAAAGAGATTGCTGTGTTCATACCATTCAAAGTACCCGCAAAAGCCTGAGCCCACCTGTCTGCAACCTGAATTTGTGTAGACCCGCATATGCACCTTGAGCCTGCTGGCTTTGTGGCTCACATACACTGACACCCATCTCACACCCTTCCATCATTGTATAAATATCCCACCACCAACTTCTTCCCACCATACTTTTCTGCCTTCTCTAGCTTTCCAACTCCCCATTGCTATTGTCGTTGCTTCCTGCTCAAAATGCCTTTTGTCGAATCACCTGGTGTGTACGCCTGGAGCGCAGGCATTACCTTGAACACCTACATCATGCAGCACTTATGGTTGGAGAACTTGATGGACATCCACTTGTACCAGGCCAATGTTCTCCCATTGACCGAAACCCCTAATGCCTACTTTGTTCGCCGTGACAGGTTCGACAGACAAAGAAAAGTCAACGTTTTCGCGGGAGACGGCACGAAGGTATACACCATCGAGAGAAAGTCGGCCTTGAATCCCGTGTGGATGATGTACACCTTTCCCCAGAGAAGAGAGGTGGCCACCATTCGCGCTGGGCTCTTTATGAGAGCCGTAGATTGGCACAATAAGGCTGGCTTAGAGCACAGAGCGATCACCAACGACTCTGGCCTTGCCGGTAGATACAGGAGCTTCTACTTGAGCGATGGGGCCAAGTACTCCTGGACCCGCGGGACCAAATGCTTGGAGAAGGTTATCAATCCAAACGGTGGCACCGAGGAGATGAGATCTCGAATCGCCAAGGTTAAGTTGTTGCGTCAGTTCAAGATGGACTTTGAGGTTTTGGTGGACGAGGCTCAGATTGACAGGGAGGTGGTGTTAGCCACCGCTTTCATCTCCATGTTGACCCAATGGGGCTACGGTGACATTACCGAGACCACTGGTCCGACCTTTGTGGGAGGGTCCAAGCAGCTCGCGGGAGCTACCCCCGAAGCGGTCTCGCTCGCTGTTGCTGCCCCAGAGCCAGCTAAGGTTGTGTTGGTCATCGAAGGGGGGGATGCCGATACTGAGTACACTATCGAGCCAGTGTTGAGGACCGCTACAGGTTCTGCTCCGGTGACTGCTGTTTCCTAGGCATATTGCGGTCCCGCATGAGCCTTCTTAGTGGGCACCTTTCCGACTGAAGGTTGTGGTTGTATCCAGCGTTTATTCCCTTGTTGCGCTGTGGCAAGTTTCACACACCCTCTACCTCGAATTTCCCGAAAGTCTCTGCTTGAATCATTTCGTTTTAGGTTTATAGATGTGCCTAATTTAGACCGTAACATTGCTAGTGTAGTTAAACCTTCGGCCCAACGCCATGCTGATTTCTTACCCATTCTGGTTAAAGGTGAATATAGTCTATAGCGATTATAGTATAATTAATACAGACATGGCCACATTAAAAGCACAAACCGCTAGCTGATGTTAATCTTCTTGAAGCCATAAAAGTTGGTCTCCACGATCTCCTTCTTCAATTGCTGAACCAAGCTAAGGATGTTCAAGCTGTGAAAGTCGCAGATGTGCTCATTCAAGCCCTCAAAGTCCTCAATGGAGGTGATTGTCGTTGGCTTGGGGCCTGTCGTATTAAGACGCTCTCTCTCCTGGAAATCAGGTAGCACGGCACACAACCAGATACGGGTTTTGTACACCTTGAACAACTCCTTGATCAACCCCCGGAAATCCACGCGCTGGAAGCCGGCAAAGTAGTAGAAAATCAACTTCTTGAAGTCAAATTGGTACTCCGACTGGATCAACGTGATGTGGTGGGCCAATCCCAACTCCTCAATCTTGAGCTTCGCCAACAGGAAGCTCTTGCACTCCTCCATGTACTTCATCGGCAACTGGTGGCACTCTTGGGGGGTGGCAAACCGAAGCACCTGCTTGGTGGGCAAGGAGATGATGAACTCGTTGTCTTCGGTGGTGGAAGTGGTGGTGGCAGAGCCCTCGGCTTCACCCTCTGACGACTGGATGTACAATGACTTCAAGTGCTCGCGTTTCCGCAAAAAGTTGAACAAGATTGCGTACTTCAAGTCCACCATGGGCTTCAAGATCATCACAAGGTCCTTTCCCCTGTCGCCGTCGATCACCACCAAGTCATGCTTCTGCAAAAAGAGGTTGGAGTTGGGCAAGCACAAGATCTCCATCTTCCCGTTCTTGTTCATCACGAGCGTGAGGAGAAGCAACGTGCGGGTGCTAGAATTAGCTCCGTTTGCGTTGCCCCCGTGACTGTTGCTGTGTCTGGTGTATGGCGACAAGTTGTTTAAATTTCGGAGGAACGACACGAGCGATTGGATTTCGGAATGCTTTTCGGGATCCAATAAATCGTCTAGTTCAAGCATGATTTCATTGGCCGTGGTAAGACTCTTCTCGGCCTCCTCCTTTGCTGAGGCCTCTTCGGTATCAAAGGTTTCGCCGGTGGTGCAGTACCCAAAGTACGGCAAAGTCTGCTTGTAGATCTGCTTCAAGTCTTTCGAGGCCATGATGTAGTTGTTTGTCAACAACAATCCGCTATCCAACTTCACGAGCTGGTTGGGGTCTGAGGGCAAATTTACGGCCCCAGGGCTGTGGTTATTGTTCGGGTAGTGGGCGTAGCTAACTGAGTGACGGCTGCGATTTGACCGCTGCTGGCCCCTTCCGTGGGACCCCTGGCTGAATCTGTTTCCGTGGTTCAGATCATACTGGTTCTGGTCTTGGTGTGGGGGCTGAGAGTTGCCGTACCCGTATCCTTTCTGCGAGCCTCCTTGGTTGCTTCCATTCCAGGCGAAGCTGGCGGTGTCAAACTGAGACAGTCTGCGGGACTGGAACTCGTTCAAACGGGTCTTGTACGGCTGATACGGCTGGAACGCCTGGCTGGAGCCGTCATAGGTGTTTCCAGGGGTATACTGGTTGAACTCGTTCAGCCGTGGGTAGTTGTACTGGTTGAATCTGTCGTCCGGATTGGCGTACGCCGCTGGTTCTAGGGCTTCGGGCGCGTATTCGAACGGCTTCCCAAAGCTATCCAGCAGGTATGGGTATGCCTGGGCCTTGTAGCCCCAAATGGGCGCTTGGGAATCCATGCCGTTGGGTCTAGAGCCGAGCAACGGGTTTGTTCCTCCGTTTTGGGGAGCATCGTTGGTCGTTGCGGCGAAGCTTCCGCCGCTGGTAAAGACTTCAGCGGCATAGCTGGGCCGTCTCGTAGAGATGTTGGATACCCCACCCTGCAACTCCATGGGTAAGTGGAACGCGTTGTACTCCTCGGCGATAACCCCGGACTCCTCAGGGAAGAAGGACTGGAACTTGGACTCGGCAAAACTCGAGCTCGTGGACGGACGACGGTTGCGGAACTCACCGAGCTTACTTGTCTGAGACGGGTAGTTATTTGACACCGAGAGCTTGGCGAGCTTCTCGAAAAGAATATTGTTAAAGTCGTCAGGCTGCGACGAGTCGTGAGGGTCCCCGATAAGCAGTGGACGGTGCGTGGATTCGGCCGCAAAGGGATTCCATTTGCCGCTGGTGGACTCGACATTCCTCTCCTCGGTTACATTGCCGGTGGATGTATAGTTAGGACTGACAAACATGGATGATTTAAAGGACATGACAGTGGAAAAGTGGATGAGCTGCGAATTAATCGTAGGTTACGATGGTTTGGCGGAAGGCTGAAGGTGAGTTAACGTAAACTAATGAGTTTGATTATATGGCTGGTGTTTTTGGCTGGTACTATGGCGTAGACTTTTGGAGGCGCTTCTATACTTGTTCTGTTCTATATCGGTCTATTAGGAAGCAAAAACAAAAAGGTTAGCACGACGAACAATCACGGAGCTTTTGGGGAAAATTATACGGCAAAAGAGTAAAATCGGCCGAGGGTATTGTTTGTTGCAAAGGAGGCTTGAAACAGCCGAGAGAAGAGTCTGAGCTACAACGCACCGCAAATTCCAAAGAGTGGGGAAGACAGGGGAGTGGCGCCGCGAAAATTAGCATGAGACAACACGCACACATGATCGTGGCAGCCTCGCCGCATGGAAATCGCACGCTTGCTGCAAGTAGGCGTCACTGAACTCGAATGCAGGATTGCGGGGGGTGCGGTCGTAGCCATCACGTGCACGTCACAAGTGGGGCCGGTGTGAGAGCCCTCGAACTCACAAAGATCCGTTAAATCATGGGAATTAAAGGGAAATGCTTAATAAAACTATATGGCATTATCTAGAGAGCTAGAATCTTACTTAGGGATACAGCCGAAATTGTGTGGCATGGATGTAGAAAAGTTGGTTCTAGCAGAAGCAGGTTAGAAGCTATCAGCCTGGAGAACTCAGGCCGGCTATTCGTACAAGATGGTCTTTCCCTGCCTAGGCTTTCACAGTAAGTCCCAGTTTGGCGATTATTTTCGATCGAATTCTGCCAAACCTGACTGGCGTCCGGGCGGAAAATCTAGATTTACACGGGTGTGTGGGGTTACCCTTTGGCTTATCGTAAAATCACACCTGACAACCCAACGTGCCGCACGCATCCAACTATAGCTGGTCATGCAAGCGGCCAACCTACGTATCACGCACATTAATACAGACAATTAAGTCAGCCCTTTATGGTTCAGGGCAGATAGCTACGAGATAATTTAAGATTGCATTAGGGGTCACACCACCCCTTACAGCCATATTCAGATTGGGATTTATTCCATAAGGTCGTATCAATGAGGGAGAAAAGATAATTTACACAAGTCATAAGCATGAGCCAGTTTGGCCCGGGTGCTAGGAGGACATGGACTTTCTGGCCAACCCAGTGCCGGCCTTTGGTGGAAACTTCTTGTTCTTCTCCAACGGCTCCTGGGCGTGGCGGCATGCACACCACTCTGGCTCAGGTGTGATTTTCATGACGGAGGCAACGTGATCGCCGCAGCCGGACCAGGACTTTCTCATACAAATTGGGCAGATTTCGGTCTTGCACATTGTGATAGGAAGGGATTGCGGGGCTAGTGTAATGAAGCAAGGATGTGTGAAGGCGAGAGGTTACTTTAACAAACTGAACAAGGGGTGTGGTGTGTTAGCAGTAAATTGGTATATTGAAAGAAGAGAAAAATTGGCTGTAGGTGGGAAAGCCCTCGTTTTATACCTCCGCCGTTCGCCCTATTTGTTTCATATCTGTGTTGTGCATATGTGCCATGTTATGTTTCCGAAGCCAGAAAGCAAGATTGGACCTCTCTGCAGGACTGCTGAGCATAACAGTGTTGCTCTACTCTAGAGACCGAAGATTTCTTTGGCGCGCTCGATTATGGTTTTATGCACTGTTCCGGGGCTAATAGGAACACGTGAGCGAATGATCCGGGTGGTAGCTGCAGAGAAATCTGGGGCAATTTCGACTTGATCGCTTTGTGCACGTGCATTGGCAGGTGGTGACGCTGTTTTGGCAGACACGAATCTGTGCGCTGTACACAGGTCACCATACGCTAATTAGAGATTACTGCGCGGTGATTTACTCAGTCCAGAAGTTCCGGCTGGTGGGGGTATCGGAGGGGGTGACACCATGTTTCCGTGATTTATTATCCCTAGAATTTCTAGTTTCAGGTCTTCGTAAATCGTACAGATGTGGTCAGTGGGGATGTAATAACGCTAAACAAATAAAGTCCGAGGGCTGCCTCAGGTCGATTTTCAGTCTTTGACGGGTGTTTTGCCCAGAATGACTAGATGGGTTTCGACTGGTTCCTGACACTTGTCAGAAGCGAAGATCGCCACAACCTTAGGGTGATGTCATACTCGTCTAACTACAGGTTGCTGTGCCTTCTTGATAAGCGCAGCGAGCTATCTCCGGGGGAGGGGCTAAAATAATCTTATCTGAGTTGTTAACGCCTTGTTTGCTACTGCGTCTCAAAACTTACCTCATCCAACGTTCTTATTGAACATCCTTCACTGTGGTTTTTTTTTACAGATTTAAAGATACAATCATGCCTGTACTAATTGAAACTTTATTCATAGCCGACTTGCCTAACCCTGAACACTCACATACTGAGACCAAGCTCCCTTCAGGCAGCTGGGAAGTCACTCAACTAAAGCACAAACGAATAAAACCTCCGGTAAGACAAAATAAGCATTTTTTGAAAACGGGTGAGCAATTTCAATGCCAATGACCGGTATATGAAAGATTTGGACGCTTGCTCGTGTATCGCTGGCCTTAGGGGTTCCTTTGGTAAATGCAATGTGCATGATTGAAATGCATAGAAAGCGAGCAGATACGTCATAGGGAGCCCTGTTTCCGGTTTCCAATAGATCATGTTGCATCTGCGTCTGGCAGTCACCGAATCATTTCGTCGGCATAAAACGCTCCATTAACTTTGATGCTTTACTTTCTGTACAGAGACAAGCTTTTGTACCCGTATTTAGCCTACTTTCGAGCATCCATATGGTTTACATAGTGCGCGAGTATGAGTTACAGGAGCTAGGCCACTATAAATTGAGTACATACCCGCCCCATAGTGTAACCTGAGCTGAGTAAAAACCCGACATATAGAGTTTTCGTTCCAGTCTGGATTTCATACCCCCATTAGAATGTACCTATGGGTGATGGTATATATTTAAAGGTATAATCTATGTCGATATATATCAATATATTAGTTTTTTATCATCATTATATTAGTCTCTTATCATCAAGTATATAAGTAATAAAAGTTTAACATACATAAAATATCAATATTTAATATATTAGCATGCTATAGATTTGAAAAACATTTAACGATATATTTAGCCAGATAACCATATTGTCACTAATTCATTGGCGTCAAAATACGGCTTTATATGCGGAACACCTATATTCGCACATAAATATACACAGAGGTATATGTTTCTCTCAATTATATACGCGTATATCGAATAAGCTCTTCCAATTAACGTTATGAGATTTTTTTGCGCAGGAGAATCAGCATTTTAGCGCTTGTCGCACCCTAAAAGCATATACAGGAGATGGAAACGTGCCGAATTTGACAACACGGATCAGTCACGCTCCACCTGTTACACCTACGCTAACGACTTAAGCTTGTAGTTAAGTATACATTTTTTAGTCATTTGCATCACCGGTAATGAGATCCCCTACGCCACTCAGCTTAGCTTCTCGTCAAGCCTGTTTCTTCTCCTCTCCACGGTGATCCTCCCAACTAAGATGAGTACCCCAACAAACACTTGAGACAGCCAGACCCCCATAATAGCCAACGAAACACTCAACTCGAACCTTAAACCTTTATTGTACTCCGTGATTGTCACATTTAACGCCCTTTTCAACTCCGCTGTGGCAGAGTCTGCGATTTCTGTGAGATCTCCACTAGCAGTACGGTTAAATCCATAGCTGCTCGGGGTACCTGAATTCGTGTTTTTCGATGCACCTGTATTGGAGGAAGCTGCGTTAACCACATTATAGAGCAAGTCTTCGTTGACCCGGGGTAGCGTAACGTGGACATTATCTTGGACCCAGACCAAGCCTTTCTCCACCAGTTCCAACTTCCTCCCCACAACACAGTAAACCACCGATGTTACTGCACTGTATAGAGGCGTATCCCGAAACACATCGTCGATTGCCGTATTCATCGTCTGTATGAATTCATCAACGGTGTGGTTGACCGATGTGGTGGACTGGTTCACCCAGCCCAACATGTTCTCGTTAATGTAGGCTTCTTGGTTTCCGATATACTGGTTTGTGCCATTGGTCCATTGATCAAGTAAATGTTTAATATCCATCGTTTCGAAAAGGCCATGGACCAAGTCTTCTGCTTGCTCGGTTATTCTGGGGACTTCCAGCGCCACAAGCGAAAGAAGAATATACTGTAACAATACAGCTATTAAACCCATCAATGCCACAAACAAGACGGTTAGAGAGCGCGAAGAGGAGACGTAGGCTATAAACCACTTTATCGGGATTTTGTACAGGGAAACAACCCTCGTAGGTGTTACTCTAAGAATAACTCTGGTGAGGTAGTATGATAGCCGGTTTTCTGAATTACCCAAAATCTCCATTACCACGGGATATGGAGTGTTTAGATTGCTAGCAGGACCCTGGGGTATAAACCTCAGCCCTTTCTCCAACCACAGGAGTTTTCCCCGCTTAACTTCTGTACCACCCATTAGTGAGGACCCGTAATATGATTTCAGCCCTCCTGGTGCTGGAAACATTAAATCCTCGGCCACACTGTTGATTCTACGCCAACGGAAAATTTCATCGACAATAAGGGGAATGAGCACGAGTACTGCTACGGCTATTAACAACCCCAAGACAATGTTTGAGGTATAGCGGACCTTTATCCCCAACTTGGCGTAGAATTCATCAACCTTCAGTGACTGGTTGACGCAAAAATTCGCATCCACTTTCCTGCTAACGGGAAGTACGAGAAGAGATTCGTTCAACATCTTGGAACGCAAACTGGCCATAGAACCGTTAATTTCCTTTTTTAACCCCTCGAAAGGTGTTTGGATCAAGCCTTTAGTGTAGTCCTCCACTGCGGTGAAATTTGGAAGGTTCGTCTGCAATTGAGTAAGCTTTCCATTTATGCTATCGGGAAGCTTCCAGTTTTTCAAAGAAGCGACAGATAAATCAACCTTCTTGATGGAATCAGAAGGATCTACATCCCCGGATGAGAAAAGGGTTTCGAGCTTTCCCACCCCCGATAATATTTTATTAACCACCTTGCTCACATCCTCCAAACCGTGTTGGATCCCATCGGCGATATCCACAACGGTCGTGTTAGCGATGTTGATCACCGATTCAGTAGCGTTAACCGCTGCTCCCACCGAGCCATCAATCGCAGCGGTCAAAATACAGGTGTATGTCCCGATCACGCTTTCAATCGTGAAAACAACAAGAGCTTCGGCAATGGTGATGGTCATCAAGAGCGACTTTATGGTTGCATCAGTAAGCTCCTCAACACTCTTGGTGACGAGTTTGTTACCCATGAGCGAGGCATAATGGGGGACGACTGATGAGACCTCCGAGCTATAGGTTTCAATTGTGCTGCAGGCAGTTTTTGTGTAGTTGCTTAAATTTTCCAAACTACCGTTAAGTCTATTGCGAAACATGACCAACTTAATAACTACCAACACAATTGTGAGAGTATATTGGTTCAACCATACTTGGGAGAGTCGGTCACTTAAACTGAGATACGGTCTTCGGATGAAGGATAGATTGTAAGGACTCACCTCCTGAAAGGGTACCGGAAGGGTGGGGGAAAAGAACTGCTCGTAATTGAAACCTTCGACAGAGGGGTTCTGAGAAGAAGGAGTGGATATACGCGGTGGAGGCGACCGCGTGGGAAAGTACGGAGGAGATGTGACTGGAGGGTTATTAACGACGCGAATTGCAAGGTGGGGATCTTCGTACACTGAAAATTTTAAAAAACTAAGCGAATCAAACATTTTGTGGTTGAAGAATAGGACAGCCAGAGGTTTTTCGTAAGGGATGCGAGGCACCTGGTATATAAATACCTGGAATATTCGCACACCTAATGATAATTATATTAATTTATCGCTGGATGAATACCCCAAAACACGGCTTCAAATGAGCTCTAGAGGTGTTTTGCAGTGGACAAGCTGCATATGCAAGTTTCAGAAGTGTATCGAATTGGGCTTGAGGATCTGGGCGAGATAAACGCTAATACAGAAGGCAACCTTTTACTCCTGTGTAAAACTTGTACATATTTTTTTTTTTTTTTTTTTTTGACTACAGTCCACGTGTACTTTACAAAACGGTAGAGGTCTTTCCTGGTTGTGCTCGTCGCTTGATGGATATTCTGCAGTACGTCTACGTACCATCTACACCAGCTCATATCCAATTCTCGTATTTATCTGGCCAAGATTCAAGCAAGAAAAAAAAAAACGTGACCAGGCGGATACAGTGTAATTACAAAATTCCAGAGCAACCCCTTAGGTATAAGAACGAAGCACTGTGTCCGCTGAGGTTTCGATTCGACCGTAGTGTTATACCAGGTGCCTGCATAGCGCGTTCATTCTTACGCGTCAGGCCGGGTAACGTGCAGGGATAGCTGCAAGCGGCAACATCCGAAGAAAAATAAAACGCAGGCGTTGAAGGTAAACATACGTTGCTGTGCTCTTTTTGTCTACGAATACAGTCAACTCGAAAGTTTTTGAAGTATGTATGAGCAAGCTTGGTGTCAGGAGATTCTGGAAACATGGTTGGTTAACGAGGGTGATGTAGTTCGAGGGAGTTTGAGCTGACGACGCTTCTGGCATTCCAAGCCCTCCAAACTCTTTTCGCCACCATCCCGAACCATAAATATCAGGCTTCACGTTACGCTTGGGAATTATAGCACACGTACAACCAAAACAGTACTAACACACCAAGCACATCATGTCTGACGACGAGCAAAAGCCTAAGGACGAGGTTAAGACCGAGACCCACATCAACTTGAAGGTGTCTGACGGTAGTAACGAAATCTTCTTCAAGATCAAGAGATCTACCCCTATGAAACGTTTAATGGAAGCTTTCTGCAAGAGGCAGGGCAAGTCCATGGACACCTTGCGCTTCTTGATTGACGGTCAGCGCCTCTCTCCGGATAACACCCCCGATGATCTTGACTTGGAAGATGGGGATGTTATCGAGGCCCATGCTGAACAAACCGGTGGTTGCGCCTTCTAAAGCATCCGAGGAATGCCACGAGAGGCCCAGGGCAGTTAAAATACCCTCCGTCCTCTCGACAGCTATACGCATCCCGTGATGTTCAATTTTTCACCCAGAAGCACCGTCCTGCCCCACTCCTGTATAGTTCTTTTTGAGCTGTCCCAATTCCCTGGCCTGGTGGCTGAGGATTTTACAGTAAGGAATACAATTACATTTGAAAAATGAAGGGTGAAGTAGGAACAGTAAGGGTAGGGGTTTTTTTTTTACGAGATGTATTATCTCACGAAAGTCCCGATGGGTATTTAATTATGGGTCAAACTGGATTACTAGCGAGTATTTACAGCTTAGCTTGGGGGCTCTATCGGTCTAGTGGCTAGGCCATTGGTATTCTAACGCGGGGTCTGCGTATAATCATTCCCAAAATGGATACCCATATCGGCCAAGAAAGTTAGAAGTTTCCCAATGAGGATTGCCGTATCCCTCTGTAGTTTTTGCAGGTTATGGTATCAAGCTATTATCATCCATCTGCAACTCAAGTATAAAAAGTCCAATACAGCCATTGAACCTAACAGGACTTGTATGTCATCGGTTATCCTAGTGTTCGTAAAATTCCTATTATGTCATTATTGTGAAAGCTCTTAATTTATACTCCCCTAGACACGGCCAACCCGTTATTGTCTGAGTCTTGCTTGAAGACGCTCACTCGCTTACATCAGCACATATATTTTTCCCTCATTCGGCCATAATTGCCCCAACGCGTACGAGAATATGCAAGGCGCTTCCTGTACATGGTGCCTGTTTTGAACCCAGACTTACTTTTAAAGCGTACCAGTGAGTAGAGCGGGTTAATTCATTTCTCTTGGTAAAGACTTTGCCAGCACTTGTGTGCATTAAAGTGTTTCCACCTCTAACGCTGTTTTCCTTGTGTCAAACACTAAGCTTTCGTCTCTTGAGTTTTTCATTCTCTGAGCTTCTGCCTCCTGGTTTTTCCTTATCTCCCTTCTATGACGGGGTATAAGAACCAGTGCCGGCCATATTGTAATCCCAACGCAACATTGTGCTTGTAGTACATTTTCTATCTGTGGCCAAATCCCAATTGGTAAAAATTGCAGCCGTTCCAAGTGAGCCTCACCACCGACGCGCATAGGCGATTATTCGGCAAGACGCGTCAGGACGGTATTTGTTTTTTCGTCCCCCGAAAATTAATTTATACTTGGCCTCTTCCTACGTTTCTTCCGTGCTCAACGAAACGGATTTGAAGATCTCACAAGACAAATCACAGCCGTCCCAGTCATACATTCGTTTACCAGTCGTACGGACACGCCAGTTAAATTATCGCTAGCCAGTCACTCCCTCTTAGTTACCGCAACTTATACCCGTTTTTGCAAACTCCGCCATCCAGAACACTGCCCTTCGCTGCACTTCTTGCGCTTCAAGTTTCACCTTACCAAACCCACAATAACTGGTTGCCTCCATAGCTACCTATGACTTCCGTTTCACATCACTCGCGCCAGCCGTCGCTTGCGTCGACGCTCGCGTCGGCCGCGTCCCCGGCGCAGCATCCTCAGTCCATTGGCCCATGGCGCCTCGGGCGCACGTTGGGTGCGGGCGCCACAGGGCGCGTGCTTCTCGCGACACACGCCACTACCCGGCAGAAGGCTGCCGTTAAGGTGGTTTCTAAGGCCGCGTTGGGCGACGATGCCTCCCACAACAAGGGCTGCGACGCGGCAGGTTTGCCGTACGGTATCGAGCGCGAGATCATCATCATGAAGTTGCTCTCCAACCCGCACGTGTTGCGGCTCTACGACGTGTGGGAGACATCCAAGGCGTTGTATTTGGTTCTCGAGTACGTTGAAGGCGGGGAGTTGTTTGACCTCCTCGTAGAACAGGGCCCGTTACCCGAGGCCGAGGCTGTGCGCTACTTCCGCCAGATCGTGCTCGGCGCCGCATACTGCCATGCATTGGGGATCTGCCACCGTGACCTCAAGCCCGAGAACTTGCTCCTCGACGGCAACTATAACGTCAAGCTCGCAGACTTTGGCATGGCCGCCTTGGAAAGTAACGGCCGGTTGCTCGAGACCTCCTGTGGCAGCCCACACTACGCCGCCCCCGAAATCGTCTCCGGCTTGAAGTACCACGGTGCCGCCTCCGACGTGTGGTCGTGTGGGGTGGTGCTTTTCGCGCTCCTTACGGGCCGGTTACCGTTCGACGATGAGAACATCCGCAACTTGCTTCTCAAGGTCCAGAGTGGGGCTTTCGACATGCCCGCCGAACTTTCGCGCGAGGCCAAGGACTTGCTCGCGCGCATGTTGCACGTCGACCCAAATCGCAGAATCCCCACCGACAAGGTGTTGGAACATCCGTTGTTGCGCAAATACCCACAGACCGAGCAAGACTTGCAGGTCACGGCCGACTTACCGGCGCCGGACACCGCGTCGCGCTCCCTCGGCTCGCGCAAGCGTGTCGACAAGCAGATCCTTCACAACCTCTCCATCTTGTGGCACGGTAGACCCGTTGACGAGATTGTTGACGCGCTTCTCTCGCCCGACAGCTGTCCCGAGAAGACCTTCTACGCGTTGCTCTTGCGCTACAAGCTCGCGCACGAGGACCCGCAGCCGAAGAAGGCGCTGATCGCGACGTCGCCGTCCGTGTCCCGCGGCTTGGTGGTGTCCTCGTCCGTGTCTCGTGGTTTGATCGCGTCGCGCACGCCCAAGCGCACATCCATCGCGGCGTCCTCCGCGCGCAACCGCGGTACGTCCTTCTCACTCAAAAACGGCTCAGTCTCCTCGGTCACGTCCTCACCGAAGAAGCGTGGCTACCGCTACTCCTATCTCCAGTCGCCCGGCACACCCGGTCGCTCGCCTGGCCGTTCGCCGGGCAAGGCGCCGCATTCCCCTAAGAAGCACCCGTACCAGCTGTTGCAGCGCCAGTCGTACCAGGACATCCCACCGCCGATCCCTCGAAGCCTTTACGACGATATCATGAAAGTGGAAGAGGAAGAAAACGCCAAAGCGGCGGCGGTCGCAGGTAAGGACACCCGGGATGTGGTAAACGACTTGGGGTCGGGGTTGGCCCCCAGCGCCATGGACTTTGACGCGGTCTCCACAAGCTCCAACCTTCTGCCGTCTCGGTCGTCCAACCGCCTTCTGGCTTCCCGATCGTCCAAGCGCATTCTGGTTTCACGTTCGTCTAACCGCCTTCTGGCGTCCTCCAGCTCTAACCGTCTTCTGGTGACGTTGACAAAGTCCAAGTCCAAGAACCGGTTGTCGCGTCGGTTGTCAACCACGTTCCGCAACTCTGTCATGGGCAACGGGCTCAAACGTAACTCAATCACCTCCAAGCTCATCTCGACTTACGCCAAGCTCCATGAGGAGTCTGACTGGGAGTATATCGAGAAGTCCGCCAAGCGCACCTCGTTGACCTTTGCCACGTTGATCGACAAGGTATTCAACCAGGACGAGGAGGAGGAACGCGAACAAATCGAGCGGGAGTTGGCGGCCGAAGCGCGCGAGCGCATTGCGAGGGAGATCGAGGAGGAGGAGAGACTCGCTCGCCAAGAGAGACAGGCGGCCAGACGCAGCAACATCCGTAAGAGTGTGTTGAAACCGTCCAAGGCGCCAGAGTTGATTATCCACGGGGCAGATGTGGAAAAAAAGTACCGGTCAACTTCCGGACCCGCCCCTGTCTCCGAGCATATGTTGACCAAGAACGACGTTGAGAACTTGAAGCGCCGCGTGGCGTCTACCCAAGCGAGCACTCGGGCCAGACCTGTGTCGCGCTTAGACCCGCGGTGGATTGCATATGAGAACGAGAACGAGGATGCTGTGTTGCAGATGGAGATCGAGATGGGCATTGCCGATCCACAGGCCGTTGCGGATGCCAAGAAACGGGCAAAGGCCGCCGCCAAGGCCGAGGCCAAGGCACAGGCTAAGGCCGAGAGGGAAGCTAGGAGACGTAGCCAATTGGACAAGGAAAAAGGCGAACAGGCACGGAGACGGCGGAAGTCCAAGACCATGGAGGTGTATGAGAGGGATGAGGCCACTGGGCCTGTCCGTAGAGGCTCCCACGAAGAGTACCCTGACAGGAGAGCCTCTGACTATAGAAGAGTTTCCTCTAGAGATGAGCCATACGCATCCAGAAGAGTCTCTAAAGAAGAGGCGTATGAGTCCAGGAGAATTTCCCGCTCTTCAAGGGCCGAACCTTCCGGCGCTGCCTCCCGTTATGATGCCGCCGACCCTATGGAGTATGAATACACTAGTCGTATTGCCCTGGTGACCATCCCTCAAGTGACTCGCAAGTCCAAGCACTTTTCCCAGTCTAACAAGCGTCTTTCGGTCCTTTCCCTCTACTCGACCAAGTCGTCTTTCCACGATTTGAACTTGCACATCCGAGAGAGCGCTGCTGCGAGGAAGCAGGCCCAGGTTGACCGCTACTCCAAGTACAACCAGCCGGTGGAGGAGTACGACGAAGATAGCGAAGCTACCGTTAACCGTACTGGGTATGTGAACGAAACTGATGGCACGATTGATGAGAGCCAGTTGTCGGACGCCGACGGTACCTTCAAGGCCCCACTTTCACGCATTGACTCTCGCCCGATATCTGAATGTCCTACCTTGCCTGAGTCGCATAGAAAACTGCGCTACGCATCGGGGTCTGAGGATGACTCTGAGGATGGAGACTCTGAGGGAGATGACAATGACTCTGACGAGGAGCAGGAAGTGGACGACAACGAGTCCGAAGCGGAGGAAGATGGTGATGATACTTACTTCAACAACATTAAACTTCCTGCTCCGAAGTCTCGCGCTGCTTCTGGCGGCAAGAAGGCTGAGGCCAAGTCTCGGCTCGCCCAGAATGCCACCAAGAAGTCCATGATCCCAGATAGTATTGAGGCAAAGACTGCTTCTGAAAAGGAAGCTGTACCATCTCAGCCACGTCCTTCTTCCTCTACGGTAATCCAGACCTCTGTGCCCCCTGCTTCTATTCAAGTTCCGAAGCGTGGTGGCCCACAGCCGGAGCGCAAACCTCTTGACAATATCACCAACGTGGAACAGAAGCATAGCAAGTCCATCTTCAGACGCTTCTCTCCGTTCGGTAAAAAGGTTGAGGAGGCTCCTGTCCGTCCGGCGGACGCTGCCACGGCCAATATCACCTCCGCCGAGCCTGCAAGACAGAGCACTTTCCTCAGCTGGTTTAACAAGAACGCAGCTGCCGACGAAAGAACGGTGGGTTCTATCCTCACCCAGGTGGATATGTTCAACGCGTTGAACTCGTTGTTGTCCACCTGGAGACAGTACGGGATTCGTGACTTGGAATCTCGTAAGTCAACATACAGCATCACCGGTACCATCGCGAAGAACGCGTCTTTGAGAATGAAAAGTGCGAGCTTTGAGATCATGGTGATCCGCCAAGCCGAAAATAAGTCCAAGGTGTTGTTCACCAGGGTGAAGGGTTCGCTGGATACCTTTGCCAAGTTTTATGGCGAGATCAGGAAGGTATTGGTTAAGGAAAGCGTTGTCGATCAGGAAGGGTGAGTTTTTTGTATATCCATTTTATCTATTTTTCCATTAATGTATACTATTCTGTTTGTTTTTATTCCATCCTTTAATTTTCATAATCACCTAAGAGTTATGGTTTTTGCCTATAAAGGTCCGAGCTAGCTTTGTTGAATTATTGGCTATAACTATTTTAATATTTCATTCCCCCGTATTTTTCTGGTTTCCATAGAATCGCTAGTGCGTTGCGCGGCTTTTGGTATCTGATGGCTATAGAAGGAGTTGCTAAGAATTGCTCCTCCAATCGCTTTTATTTCAGAGTATCAGAGCTCGCAATATTGAAATGTACTCTTTAAGGAATATATGTACGGTTTGTTGACCTGCGAGAATTGGCTCATGGTATGTCACGTGCGTGCAATTCGGTTTTGTCATCAAAGCTTTATTCACCGATCGTTTTATTTTCTATTGGTTTTATTATCCATTCGTTTTAGTTATTGGTAACAGCCTCAATGGGTTAACCTCTATACTTTTAATACGGACTAGCACCCCTGCAACTTGACACCCTTTCCATGACCCTTGAGCCTAGCGTTCTCCCTGAAGCCTGCATAAGGCCCGAACCCGGCTCAGATAAGATAGAGCAGTCCGTCATAGCCATTGATATCATATATCTAGTTAAAAAATCACCCAGAGCTCTAGCACTCCTGATAGGCCACCAGCTAACAAAGCGCCTCATGGGGGTTTGTCGTATACGTGCCCGTGCTTTGGTGTAATTCGAGTTTCGCCAGGCGCGTCGTACAGTATTTCGTGCCTGCGAAAACAAAAGGTAAACAAGAGGCGCGTCATTTCTTCCCTCTGTTTACCATTTGAATTTTCGTCTCGCTGGGAGAGACACGCTACGGCACGCCCGCCCTCCACAGGGAGGCGCAATACTCTGTTTTGTTTACTTTCAGATCCTACGGGCTTTTTCTCTCTCAACCTATTTTTTTTCCTTACGGGAGCACTATTACAAACTATCCTGAAGGGTATCATAATACATACCATGAACCAATTTCCTCCGTCGTCCCCGTTGCTTTCAGCACATGAGGACTTGAACGAAACAGACGCCTTTAGCTTAGGCGTCAAGCCAGTACCACCCCAAATGCCCCCAAAGACCCACAAGTTGGGCGACAGCTTGTATCAGAGAACCACCCAAACCGGCTACCCCTCCCCATACCCATCCTCTACCGCCGGTAGGTCTTCCTCGCCATCCAGACAGGTACACAGTGACGCGTTGGAATCAGATGCCAGCTCACCTATAAAGCACGCTACAAGCGCCAAGAGAGACTTGTACCCCCCAAAGATCGCCATCTCTGCCTTCGAGAAGCTAAAGAGAGTCCAATTCATGTCTCCCGCCAAGCAAGAGGTCGCTCCCCAGCTCCAGGCCGAACCATTACCATTTGAGGTGTTGGAGCCGTTGGCCCACGTCAAGCGGATTCCAATTCCTTCGGTGAACGAATCCGTCACCATTGGTAGATCTTCCAAGTCTTGCGACTACGCGTTGAATTGTGATAACAAGTTGATTTCCAGATCCCATCTCTCCCTCACGACTACCGAAACGGGGATCGAGGTTGTTTGCTTGGGTTGGAACGGCATCAGTTTGACGCTTCCATGCAAAGCTTCCGTCAAGTTTGCTAATGGGAAGCAGGAGGACTTTGAGGTCATCACTGAGCACGACGTTGCCTTCAGAGACATGGCCAGAAGTGGTGTATCGAACGTTCCGCGTTCTGTGACTGCTGAGGGCAGCAGCACCTCTTTCTTCATTTTGAGGAACGAGAGGTTGAAGGTTCCAAAGATGGAAGGTATGATTATCGACATCAGGGGCGAGTCGATCTTGCTTGAGCTTAGCGATGAGGGTGAAACCGACGAAGAAACCAGTGAAGAGTTGTTTAAAGCTATTGAACCGGGTACAACCGAGCAGCCGGTCGTTGAAATCGCCAAGGTGCCAGCGCCAGTGGCCTTTACCCCTGAACAAGCCAACGCTGCTGAACTACTTGGTTTGCCAATGAGGGGTACTCCAGCTTTGCCCCAGGTGCAAGCACCAGCGACTCCAACGAAGAGCATGGCTCCACCAAAGCTGGTGGAAGTTGCACCTACCGCTGCCCCAGTTGCTGTGAAAACGCCAGTTGCTCTTCAAATACCGCAAGCCACCCCAACCGTCCTTTCCACTACGATCAAGACTGCGGCCAGAGAAGAGAAACAAGCAGTGGCTGCTGCTGCTGCTGCCCCTCCGTTTGAGATTTTACGGGATGCCACCCCCGCCGCTACTGAACGGGCTGAATCAGCCACAGACAGGGGCATTTTGGCCCGGAGGGATACCAATATCCCAGCCCAGGGTACGCCAGAGACCGAAAAGAGGGAGGCTCTTACTGATAGCCCAGAGTCTGCCAAGAGACACAGGACTGAGGCAGAACTGGATCTCGAACACACTCTTTCCAAGAGATCCAAGTCGCAGGAACCGGCCTCCCCGGACCAGGTCGAGGAGATTTTGGCGCTGATCAAAGGCTTGACTAATATCGAGAATGTGTTGATCAACCACTTGGCCTTCTCCAGATTATCCTCCACGCCGTTATCCTCGTTGTCCGCCATCAGCCACTTTACCGCAAAATTGTCGAGAAGGGAGTTGAGGGCAGTGCTCGCAAGCGTGGCTTGTTTGGGGGTTATCTACAGAACCGGCAAAGATGCCGCGGGTAAGCCTCTTGACGAGGAGTACTACTACAGCCCAGAGCACGACGACGACGGGAACAGACAGATGCTCGTTGCTAACAGCCGTGGTGGTAAGAGTTTAAGATCTTGCAGAAAAACCCACAAGCAGTACTTCTGGAAGAAACCAGCCCCGGCCCACAAGAAGTACTAAGCAGTGCTTGCCCACATTCACCCGCATTCCTACATTCCTCGTACTTTTCTGCGACGGAGTCACCATATCTACCACTTGGCTTTTATCCTTTGGCATCCGCTTTTTCTTTCCTATCTGTGTACCATACTGTGTATAATAATAGAGATTTTGTTCTCCTCCCCTACTCACATAGGATCCTTTAGGCGTATGCGGGCAACTACTATGGAGCTAATAAGATCCAACGGGGAAAGTCACGTGCATCAGATTAGGGCTGGCCTTGATGCAGTATAGCCAGTCACAGATAATTCCAAGATTCTTGTTAAATGCGGGCTTACAAGAGGGAATTTGGTGGGCCACGACCAAACGTCCTCTACGTGGCGCCATTTGTCGGCGATCGCTCTAGGCTCGGTAGGAAAATTTTCGCTTTCAATTTGTGTCCTGCACGAAAGTTGTGAGCGATGGCCATTTCGACCGGGTTACACCCACTGCCCGTTTCCTTCGGATTTTCCCTGCCATAGTGTGAGTGTCACTGTGAGGAGGAACCCGCTGGGTGCGTGAGGTAGCAAATTCTCTTAGCAATTCGGATTAAAAGTGAAAAGTCGTATATCTCAATGTGTTGAAAACCCCCTTACAAAGTTTTTAATACCACATCAACTAGCCTATAAAAATGAGTAGTACGTGAGAGATACTATCAAGAGCATACTCCATTTGATCATAGCGACAAGCTAACGGTTCCAAATCCGCCCATGTGTCAAGTTTTGTTCCCGTCCCTGAAAATTTTCACCAACCACGGGAAGGTTACACGCAGAAGACCAGCTCTACTGCGACAATGATAAACGTGAGGATATGGTTTGTGTCCCGGCGAAGAAGAACGAGGGTCATGTTATATACCCCTCACTCCACCCAGCAGCGAGTTTGAGCGGTCTACGCGAACTCTCATATCAAACCACTCTCTAGCGTCGGAACTTATGATCAAATGAAGTATTCCCCTTTATCGAAACCCGATTACTAACACCCACTATAGAAGGTACTCCATCCTTCGGTAAGCGTCACAACAAGTCCCACGTTTTGTGCAACAGATGTGGCAGACGTTCTTTCCATTGCCAGAAGAAGACCTGTTCTGCTTGTGGTTACCCAGCTGCCAAGTTGAGATCCCACAACTGGGCTCTTAAGGCCAAGAGAAGACACACCACCGGTACCGGTAGAATGCAATACTTGAAGCACGTTTCTAGAAGATTCAAGAACGGTTTCCAATCCGGTGTTGCCAAGCCACAAACCGCTTAATTTATTGAAATCATATAAATCTACTCGCATGTCCAATACGGTTGGTGAAATTACTTTTCCAGATTCCTTGTTTCTCTACGCTGTTCCATATATATTTTCATTAAATTCTGTCAAATCTGTTTAAACCCGGTTTAAAGCTAATACTAGATATAACGATTTATTCCCGACCGAGTACCTTTTGGGCAATGCCGTGGGAGTATTTCCTTGTAACTCGCTTTGTGGTTTCTGGATTCCAAAGGGTCTGGCCGGAGGCAGAGCTTATGATACGATCCATGCTTGACTGACGCTGTTATGGGTCAATTCACGTAGAAGCTAGGCCCGTAACAATGGAGGCCACGATCCTATTGCTTACCGACATTCATATTTTGACGTATTAATCGAAAGTCTTACCCCGTAATATCCACTAGAAGAGCTTGCCAAAAAGAATGCTCCGCGACGGGGAATTGAACCCCGGTCCCCCGCGCGACAAGCGGGGATTCTAGCCACTAAACTATCACGGACGACTCTTAACGAGATATGGATTATCAATTAAGACCCTTGGAGGTAGAGATCTTTGCCTCGAGATGGCGGGCTGATCCTACCTTTGAGACACAGCTGTAACGTGTTATTTGTCTAGGACGGAATAAAAACTCTTTCTGCTCTCTTTCTCTACGAACTTCAAATTCCTCTTTGTAATCGTCGACATATGTAATAGTTATAGCCGGAGGTTGGTCTGGATTCTTGGCCAGAGGGGGCTTGTGCGTCGCTAGACGGGAGGTGGAGGTCGGAGCTGATAGGCTGGAAGGTAGAGCGAGGTCGAATCTGGAGTATAGGGGTGGAGGAGTATATATGGGTAGCACTAAATGTTAGACTAGTACGATGTGTAGGTAAGACGCGGAATAGAGGCACGATCTTTGTGTACTGAAAACCAGATAAAAGAGGTCATTTAAAACATGGAATGAATTAATTGTTGATTTTTGGCAATCCGCTGCTGAATAATGTCGGCATTCACGGCGGTAAGCAATAAATGGTGACTGATTATACTGAAACCACTTCAAAAACATTATTTCATGTTCTTTTGAGGCACTGTATGGAATTCTTCAAACGGTCCTGTGACATCAAATGTCAATAGGAACAGATTTCAACACTAATGATTATCGTTCGGAGCGTAGCCCGAGGAATACAAGCTTGGGGCTACTTTGATATATTGAGTTAGCGTGGGTAGTATCAACAAGTGGTTGCACGTACATGCTTGCTGCTTGCTTCTCCAAGAATGTAAAACTTCAACTATTTTAGATTGTCTAAGGTATTAGCCTGGGAATCGTAGAGTATGGAGGCTTACAGTTTCAACCCGTTTGTCCTTTTGATATTAGTAACAAGCTTTGGCAGATATCACAGGGTTTCCTGCGAGATAGACTGCGAGCCGCACTGGCCGATCATGCATATAATCAGATCTGCATATCGCTGAAAATCTTTTGGCATAACCTCAGGTCTATCTAACCAATGACTGGCCACTAAACCGTTATCAATGAAGTGGGCCCAATTAAAGTCTCTTGCACCGTTCCAGGTTCTCCATGACCTGCTTCATTTCCTCATCGTCAATAAACCTCCAGGCATCGTGTCGCAGAGCGGTAAACAGCATCATTCGCGCAAGCTAGACGAGGAGAGTGTCATCTACCAGTTGAGCAAGCAGTTGCGGAGAGACTATCCTGAGTCTAAGGAGTACAGCCAGCTCAAAACCGTGCACCGATTGGACCGTCCGGTGACGGGTGCCATGGTGATTGCCAAGACAAAGATTGGGGCCCAAAACTTTTCCAAAAATTTGCAACAAGGTGGGAACAAGGGCTTCCTCATCAAGCGCCGATACATTGCCTTGATCCAAGAGCCTGACTTGCAGTACGTGTATCGGAACAAATGTATCCATTTCACAAACAAGGAAAAAACTCAGGGCATCATCACCACGGACGCCGGGAAAACGTCTGTGACCAAGTTTCACGCCTTGACAGACCTCGAGCCCCAGCCTCTTTCTGGCCTAGCGGAGTATTTCAACCGTGTGCCGCGGATTCCGGTGCTTCTCGAGTTGGTTTCCGGCCGTAAGCACCAGATCAGAGAGCACCTCCAGGAGGCGTTCAGACAACCCGTGCTCAACGACATGGAATACGATGCGGACCCTCTCCACATAGATTTTAACCAGATTGCTTTGCATTCGTTGTATGTCAAGACCAAAGTGGGAATGGCTATGAATGAAATTATTGCCCCAATGTGCTATGGGCAGGGATTGTGGGATGGCTACCTTGACCAAGAGGGGAACTTTTTGCCTGAGATCGTGCAAGCGGTCAGGGAGTTCGAGGTGCCCTACATCCCACCGAAGGAGGTTGAGATGTAATTCGTTGACTAGATGGAATATATAGATAATTAAGGGTTATTTATTGTTAACTGGCCTATACAGGTGCCATCAGAGGCTGAGCTGGTTGATTCGATTTGGTTGTCGCTTTGCGCTGTAAGAGAAATTTATTTCCTTTGCTAAGGAGTGAATAGTGTTGATACAATACACTCGGTTTCGTTAGGAAAACTGACAATAGAAAATATAGTTTAGTCTTCCAGATATCGATCATTAAAATTGATTGACGTATGTCTCGTGAAAGCCCACAGAAATATACATATGTTTTGACAGCGTTTATCAAAATTGCCTTTTGGAACATCCAGTCACAGAATGCACAGTTTCGTACATTCTACCCTTACTAACTCCTGGTGGACTGGCAAAGAAAACCTATCATGTGGTCAACGTCGACAATATCGTCTTGTTCTACGGAACCGTACCCTCCTATAATAACTATATAAGGGTGTTTTTAATTTACTAATACTTGACCTTGGACACTCAGGTAGATATGTTTGTCATATCCCAACAAGCTTCCAGCTATCTGAACAACAATTCTTATCGATAACATGGGATCATGCTTACAGGCTAAAGCTCACAACGTATTTCCATTTTTAGATTTATACCAAGGTTACCACTAAAGATAAGAAAACTTTCAAGACTAACATACTGTACGATTCCTAGTCTCCGATTCTTATTCCTCGATTCTTAGTCTCCTTCGATTCTTTTCTGCGCTTCCCTTACAATCACTGCCCAGTCACTGCGCCAGATCAAAACACCCTCGCACACACTCAACACCACCACACCAACCCCGTACCCGGCCCAAAGGCCGTCTAACTCCCAGCCGCGGGAAAAGGCGAGATACACAGACGAGGGCAACGCGATCAAGTAATAACATACCAAATTCAACACACTCCCAATTCGCTGTCTGCCCTGGCCTCGCAAAACACCCGCAAACGTGACGTTGAAACCGTCACACAACTGCACCAAAGCCAACACCTTGATGGTTTCGGCCGCAGGCTCAATTACCGAGTCGTGCAGGGAGAACAGCCGTGCGAGGTAGTAGCGGCCGAAGTAGAGCACCATGAAGTTGAACACCGAAATCACACCGCCGATTGCGTACGAGAGATGCGTCATGACTTGTGCGGCATGTGGCTGCCGCGAGCCAACGTAATGTGCGATGCGGGTCGAGATACCGACGGCAAGCGCGAATGGGAGCTGGAAGATCAACGAGCCCAAGCTGGTGGCAATAGACTGCGCAGCCAACGCTTCGGTACCGAAAAAGCTCGACAAGAGGGTGAGGATTTCAAAGACACTGAACTCTGCCAAAACCATCACCACACCCGGCAATGCGAGGCGCCCGATGGGCGCCCAGTTCTGGAAGCTAAAGGCGTCACTAATATCCAAGCCGCCCCAACATTTACGACCGTCAACAAACACTACGTATAGCAACAATAACGCGGCGGTGAGCCAGTACATAAGTGCCACTGCGATCGGCGCGCCCACGAACCCGAGGCCCGCGGGGTAGACCAACGCGTATGTGAGCGCAAAGTTGAGCGGTGCCACGAACGCCAAAACGTACGTGCACGCGTTGAAGAGTCTCTGGGACTGGACGAAGCGCTTTCCAGACTCGAAGAAGATGTAACCGGGAGCACCAAACGCCACAACCCGGAGAAACGTTTGTGCCATGGCGCAGACGTCATCGTCATCCACCACGAGTCGCAACACCGCACCGCTATTGAACCAGAAGAGGGCCATCGGGAGAAGCAATGTAAGCATCATCGCGGAGGCACGTTGGAAGTACGCCCCGACGAGGGTGTAGTTGCCTGATCCGTACGCCTGCGCGCACAAGGTATCTAACGAGGTGGTCATGCCCTCGAAAATGGCCAACCCCGTGATGTTGTAGGTCATGACGGCTAAAGATGCGGCTGCAAGCTCGCTAGGCCCTAAGTGTCCGAGCACCACGAGCGACGTAATGGGCAAGCAGTACTGGAGGAAGAATGTCACGATCAACGGTATCGCGGACGTGATAATGTACCCGGCCTCGCGTGCATACGTCGTGGCACCGGCACTGAGACTTGTACGGCGCGTGTGTGGCCAGAGACTGTCAGTTTCCTGCAAGAGGTTATCGGTTTCGGATAGCGGCTCTTCGGCCGCAAGGATGAGCGGCCGTTTCGTGATTGAGAAGCTCGGGAGGCGTGGTCTGGATGAGTAGGACATGAGTATGCAAGGGGATAAAGACGTAGGGGGAAGGGTGTGCCAATATCGAGCGGGCCTGAGTATTCTAGAATAGGAGGGGGTGACCGTTTAAGCTGTTGGTAATGGGGGGATAACCTGTGTGTGGCTTCACCCCTGCGATAAGCTCACGTGCCCGCCTCGAAGCGCATCGAGATGCCGCTTTAATCCATGCGGCGCCGATAAGGCACGTGCTGCTGTGTGTGAGGCCATCGGTTAGGAAAGAGGCTGGTAGATTTATGGATAAAGCAACCAATAGCCTGGCATCAGGCCAATGAGGTTAATCCAATATTAAGTAGGTTATGTTGGTTCTTAGATGAGGGGTATTGGGCCACTACGTCACAGCTAACGATAATCTGCTGTCGGGTATAGCATTAAATCCGAGTTCCAGACAAAATGGTGTAAAGAGGAGTAGCTCTCGCTTCGCAAGCAAGAAAATGCATGTAAAAACACCATCAAATAATAAATGTCATAGGGAGATGGCTCAAAAAAGCAATCACCAGCGGTGGAATTATACGAAGCGCATTGCAGAGAACAATCAGACGAGTGCTCATCACGAAAGGGCCAGTTGGCTTCTGTGCTGATTACACACTCTCAGAGAATTACGGATCTGCCACCAGGGTTTACAAGCGGGAACATTTCCCAGCATTAAACTTGGATTTTTCATTTGCCAGCACAACTGAGTGAGGGGCTTTATATCTTTGAGCTGCGTGGCTAGGGATGGTGAAACCGAGTTCCACTAAGCGCGCCGTGCCATACATGGTGTATGTATTAGACCGGCAGAGGCTACTGAAATTAAAGCTAGATGTATTAGGACCTACTAATGCATTCACACCAGTAAAAACTCGATCTTGGATGGGCATGGCCAGCGTTGCTGAAACTGAGTACATCGCCCGTTCTTCATTCAATCTGACTGTACAACTCAGGGAATAGCTCGCCAATAATACAATCAAGCAACTGCATGATCAATAGCTTGTTCACAGTCTTGTTATCGAAAGCGCCCACAAACTGTTCAATCTCCCTCGGCATCAAGTCTACAGCCTGCGAGCCGTAAAGAAAGTTTTGAACGAAGGGGTACTTTGAAACCATTTGTGACACACTGGCGATGGCGTTTGCCTTGATAGTCTCCCTTTCCTCTACAGTAGGGTCAATCCGAGATGGGCCCATCTCTTCGTCGGTGGGGAACATTGTGGATCGGAGCTTCGAAAGAATTTGGACTGCAGTAGACTCCTTGAGGAACTTTCCCATTAAATGGTGGGTGATATTGTGGAAGAGATGGTTCATTCGCCTGTTGTGGACGGGCAAGAAGCACACAAGCCCGTACACTAACGGCCGTTTCGCTTGGATGGAAAATAAATTCGCTGCCAACGTGAATACTGAATGTGTAGATATAGGGATTCGGTCTTTCTGTCTCGCAGGGGTATCCCCACTGTCGCGGATCGAGGTTGTATACGCCACTAGATGAGATAACCTCCGCGATAAGCTAATAATCCGTCCCCTAATGCTGATTGTCGGGTTTTGTTTCTCCTCGTTAGACTCAGGAGGCACCTTTTCCCCGTGTTTCTCTCCCGTCACGCCGCGGCTGATGTTGATGAGGATCTCGTACCAAAAGTAGTTTTCGCTCAACTTTTCAACGACGCTGGACAACACCAAATCACTCAATAGATTCTTCAAGAAGCTGAGCGCAAGTGGGGAGTCAAAGAGGTCCGGGGGGAGTGCCAACTTGAGGACCTTGAGCACAAGAACGGACAAATAGAGGTGTTGTGAATCGTTATGGTAAACTCCACTCCTCTGGCTTCGTGCCTCATTCTGCGTTGTAGCGTCGGAAGGCGGCACGGCTAAATGACCGCATAGTATTTTATAGAGCTCCACCATATTATTATGGTTGCAAAGGTTTGTCCCGGAAACCTCCCGTGCAGTTCGCAAGGACACTAGATGATTGTTTAGCACAAGACACACTTTGTCAAGGACCATCACGGGATCTAACTTGCGGCCTCTCTCCTCGATACCCCGTGTGATATGAGCGATGTTTGCTACCAACTCCAGTAGGAAGTCTTCATCGCTGCTCAATTTTGAGTACCAGCCCTGGATAAATTGGCGAATAAACAACCCCAAGAAAGCTAGAAGTTCTCGGTCAATACTGGCAGAGGAAGCTAAGGCCGGCAACACATCCACGATGGCCGTCTTGGAGGGTACATACGGGAGGTATATCGACCGAATTAGGTCATTCAAGTATTCCGCCGAATCCTTGGGCGCTGTACCAGTCTTTTCTTTCTGTTTAAGGGACGGAGACTTCGTGCTCTTTGAGAGCCGTGAGTGTCGCTTATATCGCGAAGGGGAGAGGGTTTTTGCGGCAGGTACACCAGTGATGACCTCAAGGTGCCTGTCTAGCTCCATGGCGGCGGAAATGGCGAGAGTAGCTATGCACGAGGAACACTGATTAGCCTTGGGCTCGCAAGATTTAACCAAACCTTATCAGTCACGTGTCTAGAATCAAAAGATATCGGTGTGACTGAACCGATTTGGCTTGTGCACGTCTTTGTTGATTACACGCGTGTTTCCCCGCGGCTCCGCGGCCTGTGAGGGCTAATCTCATGCACTTTGTCACTGGTTGCCCTTCCCCTTTATATTTTCACGGCCGCTTTTAACAAAAGCCATATTTAGATATGAAAACAAAAAATCTGTCGAACAGAACTCAGACGAAACATATCGCCCTTTAGAATGCCACTTGAACTCAAGGTCCCGGTCCATACCGACCACAATGAATTATCCGAGTCCAGCTTTGACGCATTGAAACAGCAATCGCTTGACGGTACGTTTTGGTGCAAACTGACCTTCATGGCTTTACTAACCAGTTACAGCGAGAAACCTCTCTTACTCCCCCTATTCCAACTTCAGGTATGTTCCGCTGCGGGTTTCAGGTCGTATTCCATGCTAACTGCTACAGGGTCGGTGCGTGTTTGCTCACAGAATCTGGACAGTATATCCAGGGCGCTAATGTCGAAAATGCAAGCTACGGTGAGTAGTTTGGATCTGCTATATGAACCCATCACTAATAAATATCCAGGTGCGACTATCTGTGCCGAGCGCAGTGCAATCACTCGCGCTATCGTACGTACACCTTACTTCGACAGAGAGAGAGAGAGAGAGAGTTCACTAACGCTTTTAGATGATGGGACACCGTAAGTTCAAAGCCTTGGCTATTTCTACTGACTTGACGACTGTCGCTTCCCCGTGTGGTATTTGCCGCCAGTTCATTCGTGAGTTTGGCCCCGAGTTACCAATATACATGGTGACGGATGGCGGTGAGTGGGTAAAGATGTACCTAAACGAGCTCTTACCATTAAGCTTTGGTCCTGAGGATTTGGGGAAGCATACAGGGTGAAGGAGTCTTCCGTTTCTGCACCAGCAGAGATGGAAACGTGAAGGCTTTGGATCGATATATTTGATAGTATATGTTCATGCCGAGGAAAAAGAGACCAAGATTGAGACAAATAAAATGAGTTGTGGGTAATGTATGTAGGCCAGGAAATCAGATCAGAAAAATTGAACTCGAGGGTAACCGTATCTTTTGAGGTTAAAAATATTCCGCATGGGGGAACGTACGCAGTTACCTGCAGGGGGCACGGTAATAAAGGTAGGGTTCAAAATCGTAAATCACGATGGTGGGATTCTGTACTAACCTATAACACCCCTTTATTACTTCGGTGTAAATGCGTGTGCCTGTCTGTACATCGTGAAATTATGAGCCGTTTTGTGCGTCTTATATGCCGCGTCATAGACTGTCGGGTGACTTCAGGTCTGATTCTTGGGTCGGGTTCTTACAGCTGCCAGGCGCCGGAGAAGAAATCTATGCATATATAGTTCTCGTATAGACTTATAATAAAGAACCGTATTCTGATCTAAAACCGACGAGGGACATAGAACTACAATCAGACTAGTCACTTGGCCCATATGCAAGTATGGTGGAACCGGACGCCTGAGCCATCCGGCATGCATGCAAGCCCCTGGTTATGGGTGTAGTTCCTCACCGGTGAGGGGTCTTAGACATCGCACCATAGCCTCTTTTACAGGATGCCCACTCACTCCCGTCAACCGTTAGAGTAACGTTCAAGGTTCCAAGCTTGCAGCCGCCAAGATCAAAAGACCTACGATAATTAAAATTATACGCGTAAACCAAGAGGCTTAAATCATATCCCTGGTAGGCTCACACCACCGTTTTTGGTGAGCAGTACAAGTAAAGACGCCAAGATTTTGATGGAGTAAATAAGTTATCTACGCTTCCTAGCTTCATTTTACGCGTTTTTAAACTTGTCATAAGCGGAATATTATATAGAGAGTTATACTGCGTTTATTAAGGCTATACGATATCTTATAGGGTCGGTGAAATTTGGTTAGGCTAAAAATAGGATACGATTTATAGGTAAGATATATACAAAAGGGATACGGGGTCCTTATATACTGGGAAGATGGGATACCGAAATGTTCCATACCAATTTTTGTATAACCATTGATATCGGAAGTATGATATTGGTTGAAAACTTCAGCAGTAAATAACACCTTTTGTACAACTGATTTATTCTGAGTCCGGGTATCGTAAAGTTGGGCTTCCGGTGTCTTGTTGAAAACTTGTTTTAGGAACTACCAGATCCATTCTAACAGGATGAATAACTGTGGCGGAGGGAACTCCTTTAATTTTATCGAGGGTAGGAATGTCTGGGGCCATCTTCCATAGTCCAGGCACATTTTCGTATTCCAGGAGAATCATGAGACAGATTGCCTCGAAGCTATAATGCCAAGAGTATACCTGTAAACCTCGTAAATCTCAATCAACTCGACAAAAACATGAGTATACATTGGAAGATACATACAATGATGATCTTCAAGCGAGGGTTTTCTTTAATCTTTCCGCTGTGGTTATCATTATGACTGCCAGTGTCATCAGACTGCGGCTGACATCGAGAATGTTCCAGAACTTTATGAAGCACGAGATATCTCCTTTTTCTGAAAAGCAGTGCTCGGTCATCGGGAAGAGAACCCGGATTCTAGGTATAATTTTAAAAGGAGAGGCAGCAAACCTAATTGTATACATTATGCCCCTCCAGCTGGCTAGCTACTGGTTTCCGCAGAAGTGTCTGATGAGGTATTCTCAGGAGTGAGAACGGTGAAATAATGGGCGTTCAGCACCCTGTACTCGTTGAATTTTAAAACTTTCGGGACCTCATCCCCCTACACTCATCAATTCCAGCATGAGCATTAGGGCGGCCTGACTACCATTGCAGATGGAGCCAGGCGTGTGCTCATGAGCACTCTTTTCTAGCAAGTTAAACACCGGCAAGCTTGGGTTCATAACCACTTTCGGCTTGCTAATATGATGGAAATCCACCTTTCGAGCTCCAATCGTACTTATCAACAGAATTGTGTGGGAAGAGAAACATATAAAGGCATATCCCCATCTGATCCAGAGTTATAATGGTGGTCCCTATTCATACAAACTCTGGTAAATAGAGCTTTCCATGTTAGAGCTCCATACAAACGCTTACTGAGAGTACAGACAGATCCAGCCCATATTCTATGCGTACACATATGCGAAAGTGAGAACCCTAGAGGATCGAGTGATGACCCCAAGAGGCAATGTAGATACGTCTTCCCACGCACGAGCTCTAAAATGGCAAGTCTTTGGGAGAATCTAGAAAGCAGAAGCAGGGTATAAATGACGCCAAATACGAGCTAAACGAGTCGAATAGACTAGTGTTTACGCAAGCCTATGTTTAGCACTGCGCAAGCAAAATGCAGAGACCGGGATTAATCAAGGAGAAAGGTATTTACACAGGACTAAGCGCCTAGGGGTTTATCCGATGTGGCCTTTATTGCCTCGAAGTATACCTGAGCCATGAACTTGATAATCAGTTGAAGGGAATGAATGCACCCGACACTCTTTAAGAGACTGTTCCACGGAACCGCTGGTAAACGTGAAGGTCTTACCTAAAGGACATTCAATATAGCAAGGCCAGATTCAAGTTCCCACGACCAATGAGTATCTTTATCGTAAACTTCCTTGAAAGTTAAATTCCAAGACAGTTCCCTGGAGACTAAACTATAATATAACCCCAAAATGGAGTCAATGTTAGACAGGGTTACCACACAGCGTGGACAGAATTCAAGCACATGTTTCAAAAAGAAACTTACTCGTATAAACTATGATATTAAATGGGGTAAGGCTAATCATTAATTTTAAAAATCCTTAGGTATCGAAAGAAAGCTATATATGACAATAAAAGAAAATACACAGCATGTATGAGGGTATTGGATGCTGTTTCATGGAGTGAGTGGTGAAGCTATCGTACAACCCTATCCGGTAATTCTATACTCAACAATACCCCTGAGAACTTTAATTTTAAAAAATTCAGCGTGATCCATCATACTTTCTTCTAGACGGGCCGCCCTATTCCTATTTTTGTGCTCACTTCCAGGAACTGGCCAGACACAGTTGAACCCAAGCCTCCTACATTCATAGCATTCTGGCCTGGATTCACAGCATCTCTTTTTTCTCGACCGGCAGGTTAAACAGCCCATACGGGATCTCTTCATAACCGATTTCTTTTCTCCGTCCTTTGAAATCTTTCCATTGGAAGAGTATGACGATCCAGAGTACGATGAGTTTGTAGACATATAAACCGCTCTAAAGGTTTTATGCCCGTCGTAAGAACTTGCGCTAACTGAGTTCAGACCCTCTGCCTTTTCCTGTCGGCACGACAAAGATTTGTTTGGGTCCTTGGAGCGGAAGATTGGTGAAGTTGCGGGAGCAGTATTGAAGGGTATGGAGCTATGGCAGCTACTGTTATTAAACTGATCATTGAGATTTTTTTGAATAGGAAGAGAGGGGTACGCGGAAATCAGAGATGGCGTATGAAACTGTTGCTGTTGGAATAGCTGAAACGAGTGAGGATATTGTAGCTGGTGTGCTTGGTGATGATAAAGGTTGAACTGGGAGTTACCAAAGATGTAGCTATTTCCTAGAAAGCTTGGGTTACTGGAATAGCCAAAATTTAAATCAGTCTTGGGGACCTCAAAGGGCATATCTGTAGGGAGGGCAACCAAGTAACCTTCCTGTTGCTGAGGATGAGAGGAATTTAAGATGTTATTTCCTCTCGAATAGTCAGGTGGGGTGCTCATCGAACCCGGGAAAGCCGTCAGCCAGTTGTGCTCCATGAAGATGTCGCGGTTTAAAACAGGTACCTGTGCGTAGGTTTTAGTTGAGAATAGACGGTAAAAGATATTGGCTCCTAGGTGGATATTTGTAAAATAAAAAGGTGAGACTGAAAACTGTTATGGTATAAAAGGGAAAATAGGAGCTGGGACATACTTATATAATTTGCAACCGGGTGAAGCAGGTGCGAACAAACCGGCTCACACCGTTTTCATTGAGGGATACCCTGAAAACTGCGGGTTTATGCTATCCCGTTACTCTAAAACTACCCATTGGCATGACCTATTATCCTTTCATAGTATACCCAGGAGACTGTGGCTATTACCTTAGAGTCGCCTCGGTGGTTTTCGTTTTGCCCAGGATGGTGCTAGATTAATGTATGCATATGTAGCTGCATATGCACTGCTAGCTTAGTCGGGAGCCGTACATGAAGGACCACGAGAATTGGTTCCTCCTGTGTCATCATGCAGAAATACCATTTGAGAAGGCTAACGCAGAAAAATCTGTTTTATTGACGTGCGTCCTCAGAGAGTGATGAAGGTTATTGAGTTTAAAAGCCAGTAGAATGCTGTTAGTTCCATCTTTATCCAATTCCTGGAAAAACCAAAATACCGGAAAACGACCAGGCCTTTTGGAAACATTCGACTAAGGTTTTTGTATCCTCGAAAGCAATCTATTACCCCAGGGAATCTTAAACCACGCAACACGACTCAAATCATGACGAGATACGCAAGAAACTACGGTACCCCGAAGCGCATATTTTATCTTTAAATACATCGCGTCGGGTCTCCTCTGGTATCCATTATAACCTGATATGACAATGGGAATTTTTTACAATGACTTACTCGCTTTGTGATGCAAAACATTGTTATAGACTAGCCATTCCGAAGTCCCTGGAGGTTGTAAATACGCGGAACTACGGTGAAAGCCCGGATCGCACTGGTGCGGGGTACAAGGATGTACAGCACCATTATTGCCCTCTGTATTACCGATAGAAATCACTTCCGGGCTGGGTATGTGCTGGTGCCTTGCCCTCCCCTGGGTGGTTATTCCTTTCAATGAAAGCATATCACATTTTAATTACCCGAGAGAAAAAAGTTAAAGTGCGTTATCGAAAATTAGAAAGTTCGAGAAGCGGCACAGGGAAATTTCATGAGGGGTATAATCTTCATTTTCCCGTGTAAGCTCTTAAATTTGTATCGCGGTTAAACTTCACTATTAGTCCTTTGCAACTATCTCTGCATCCTGCGAGGCGGCAATGGTAATATAGATACCTATTTCAAACTTTGAACTTGAATATTATGCAGGGTGGGTGATTCATTCTCTCGAGCGCATTTAATTGATTATATAAAGACTTAAAGAGCGGTGGTCTGAGATTGGTCAGATCTTTTGTGAGAGCTATGCCCCTAGGGACCTCAAAGCGGTTGCCCTGTATCGGCTTATGTCTATCATGTCCGTAAGCGTTAACTCCGACTATCACGCCACTTATATGTCACTCCTCTTAAGTCGGTAACCCAGGACACAGCCTTTTCGGGGAGGCTTCCCGGTGAAGATGGCGAGAGACTCTAAAAAAATCACACGCATTTGTTGAAGGAGCACAGTTGAGAATGAGCCTCGATGAAGCTGGTATTGCCCTCATTTTATTCATGACCCTCTCTATCCCTGGAACCAAAGGTGGGTAGTGTAATACCACTTCTATTAGGTAAACCCTAGGGGTCCTCATGCTTTGCATAGCAACTAAGAGCTAAAAGGCCGCAGATCCGGATCAACCGGATATCCTCCGTTAAGACGTACTTACATGTATACCTTTTAGTTCTTTTAGTGGGGGCTATCCCAGGGACTTGGAAGCAGAAGGACTAGCTCTTTGTGAGTACCTTTCCGGCTCCACCTATGGTTTACGTGTTCGACCAGGTACTGGCATATGCTAGTTTAGTACGATTCGGCTTGGAGAACTAGTAACAACTATCCCGCGGCCCGCACACGGGCCAGTACCGATAGTCTTGGCTTTACGATACATAGGATGGATACAAACAAAGTGTCTATTATATTATGATACAGGCATTTCTAGGAAGGGCTCCCCAAAAAAAACAAAGCAGATGTCTTAACGGCCACCTTCCTTCAAGGAAGAACGACCAGCTTTCAAAAGCTCGTCACACAACAACAAGTTGGAGGAGATGCCCGTAGCTGATGCAATGGCGTTTCTCACCACTCTGTAGGAGTCCCAGATACCTTCAACGGTAGGGTCCATCGGTTCACCGGATCTCAAGTCGACACCGACAACCCTCTCGTCGGCCAATTCATCCTGACACGAACTGATAGTGTCTAAAGCATCGTAGCCGGCATTGACGGCCAACGTCTTTGGAACAACTAACATGGCTTCGGCGAAAGCTGTGACCCCAGACTTGGTCTTACCCTTGGCAAGCTTGCCGGTATTCTCGACTAAATGATTGTGAACGCTAAGGAAAAACGCACCACCACCTGGTAACACGGAGTTGTCCTTGATGACGTTCGCTACGGCTCTCAACCCGTCTCTGACGGCATCTTTGGTCTGCTGCAAGACATGGCTGGTGGCACCCTTGATCAAGACCGTGACGGACTTTGGCTCCTTATTTTCTGTAACGTATGTGAACTTGTCCTCCCCGATGGTGTTTTCGTAGACGAGACCAGAGAACCCCAAAACGGCCGGAGTCAAGTCGTCAACAGAGTTCTGGGCCTCACCACCGGTAACCAACTGCAATCTCTCCATATTACGTCTCTTGGCTCTTCTCAAGGCCAAAATGTTGTGTTTGGCCAAGACATCAAGGGACATTGGGTCGATACCCTTTTGGTTGATGATAACAAAGCCCTGATTAGAGTCCATCCCACAAACCTCGTTCTTCAAGTCCACGATCTTCTTCAACTTTTCGTCCACAAACTTTCTTTCGGATGCAACCAACTTTTCTCTCTGTTCGGCAGAGGAATAGAAGAACCCAGAGTTGACTTCGGTCTTCTCGTACTCCAACGAGACGTTCAAAATCAAAACGTGTGCGTTTTCGACTCTCTTGGGCATGTCTGGGTGTCTGGCACCGTGGTCGAGAACCAATCCCTTGACCAACTCGGTGTCCTGGGCGGTTTCACGCTGCATCTGCATAATTTCGATCATGTGTAAGTCGAACTGTTTGTCGTCAGCCTGCTCTCTGACGGCCAAGACGGCGTCGGTGACGATAGGGGTCAAGACCTCAGCCAACTCGGCATCCACCTTGGTGGACAAAGAGGTTCTGGCTACAGCCAACAACAACTCTCTGTCCAAGGTGGGCTGCTGCTTAAAGTTGTTCAAGTACTCTAACGCGGCTTCTCTGGCAATCTCGAACCCATCGGTGATGACTCTAGGGTGAACACCCTCGCTGATGAATCTCTCAGCCTGTTTCAACAACTCGCCCACCAACAAGACCACGGTGGTGGTGCCGTCTCCGGTGATCTCGTCCTGGGCGGTCGCGGCTCTCGCGATCATGACCGCTGTTGGGTTCTGGATCTGCATCTCGGACAACAACACCTTACCGTCTTTGGTCAATTTGATGTTACCGGAACCGTCGACGAGCATCTTCAAGGTACCTTTTGGGCCCAAGTTGGAAGACAAAACTTGCTGCAACCCCTGGGCGGCGGCTATGTTGACCTGCAAGGCCTGGGCACGTCTCAAGGACTCGGCCTTTGGATTAAGAAGCTGGATGGCGGAGGAAGACATTGTAGGTATGGCGTACTGGCAATGACAAAAATAAGGGAGTATTCAAGCAATGCTGTATATCCTAGAGGCAGCGGGCGGTGTGTCCGTTGATATGCTCAGCGCTTTGTTTTCGCCATCTGATCTCTATGACGCGCGGCTAAGAAAAATATCATGGTAATTTTCATGCGTATATCTACGCCTTCATGCTGAAAATTACTTAACCCTTACCGTTGAGCACGTGATGAGCCATGGAGGTAGTACTGTCATCTGCCTCTGCCGGTTAATGGCCGGATACGATCATGGAAAAAGGGAATAACACAATGTAGAGTCAAGAGAATGTAAAAAGAATGGTCCCTAGCAGGATCAAACTGCTGATCCCCGCATTATTAGCACGATGCCTTAACCAACTGGGCCAAGGGACCGATTTATGGGACTTCGGTTGTCTTTCTGGGCTGGCCAATCTCTGATTCAGGCTTTAGAAATGCATTGCTGCAGCACTCAGTCAGTTATAGGTTAGGAATATAAGGCTGCTTTGATAAGTAGCTAGTAAGTGTTATTCACTACCTAGAATATCTTCTAGTACACAGTAGATTTTAATATATACATATGTATATATGAATGGTAGATTATGCATTAATTAAAATTGCGTTGATATTAAATATCCGACACACAGGCAACCATATTTATATATGTGCATATGTATAGATATACCTTTCAGCCTAGTCTTCATATTTACGGATATTATATATTATTGTAGTTATATTTCAGCTAGTGTCTGAATTTATATTGTCATTTTATCACGTATGCATTGGTGATAAATTCCCTTATAGAATATGTACATTACCCCGGTTTTATCGATTACGGAGCTGCTGTTATGCGACTTTTGGTAAAAAACAATCAGAGATGATTTCGCCCAGGATCGAACTGGGGACGTACTGCGTGTTAAGCAGGTGCCATAACCAACTAGACCACGAAACCATTTCTTATGTGTTAGGATAATACAAGCTTTCAAACTTTAAGGTATAGATTCTGACTGGAGAATGACCCAGTTTTATCCTTGGACTAAACTCAAAACAGCGTATTGTCCAAGATAGAACAAAAACCACACCGAGCTTTCTTAATATCATTGTATACACGCCTTAAGCCTATTATGATTGATTTGCAGAGATATAATAAGGAGCTATCCATAACTGGTGGAATAAAAAGGCTACGCTGGGCGTTAAGTGTATGGATAATACTCCTGGGAGATTAGTACTCCCTTATTTTATCCTATTATGACAGAACATATCTATTATTGTTGCAAACTCTGCCTATTGTAGTAAAGGTATCATTTAACTAGATGGAAGTCGGCGTTTATTATCTCCTTACCTTCGATATGCGGACACTCTGGAATCGTATCCGCCTCAGTTTATAAGGCCAACAACCACCTTTCTCTTATGTATATCTTTACGGATGAGAAATACTCTCTTTCAGCTAGCTAACAGTATCCACTATTACCTATAAGATATACCACAAACATACTGGTTCCAACCAAGGAAACCTTAGAATTCTTGAATTACCCCAGGTAAAGCGTGTTAAAAGATATGAGCCATATCACATGGAAGTGTCTAAATAAAACCAGGTAGATTAAAGGGCCAGAACTAGAGAGCTAGCTACATCCAATTTTCAGAATAATCATCACGAAGTCAAGCAACATGACGTACCCAAAAAATAAGATAGGGAGCGTATTTTTGTCTAGTTGCCGCAACAAAGGCTTCTGTGTGTGGATATGATTCATAGGGATCTCAAGAGAGGGATATATATCGTAGGCAAAAGGATCACATATGGATAGCCTTGGATCAGAGGCAGGTGATTGGATGGAAGAGTCGAACAAAGCATCATACTCGTCCAAGCGTATTCCGTCGCTCGTCAACTCGGCGGCTAAGTATTCATTCAAGTAAATCAACTTCATGGCGACAACGGAAACAAAATAAATGAGTGGTAGTCTGTTCAAGAACGTATTTTTGTAAAAGTAGCCGTCGAAAGAGTAGTTGAGGTAAAACATGGAGTGGGATAATAAGATTGGTAGCATGCTATTATTCAAACATACGAAATAATGCTGATCAAATTTGGCTTTGCCGACTGTAAGGATAAAAGAGAGCAAGGGACACAGAACCTGGGCGATAGTAATACACCTGATAAATAAGTCTCTTTCACGAATTACAAAAACAAGCAGCAAGCAAAACAATGTTTGGACAGTAGCTAAAAGATACTCAAAGTTAAAGGAAAACTCCACGTTGTAGCAGAACCTCCAAATCACTAGAATGGTCACAGCGCCCTGCGCGATATCTTTGAGGTAATCGGGGCTGTATACTTCTTGGAACGTACCACTTTCAATGTAGTATACCAACTGGGTTATTTGAATGAAGGTAATCGACACAATCGCTGCTATCGCATAATACCAAGGGCATGTAAGAATACGGTAGGCGTCGTCAATGTAACCAACACATTCCGCCTCATCCGTAGGAGAAGTTTCTGTGTTCCTCCTGGCACTATGACATCCAGGGTTGCGGAGTGGAATGGTTTTCTCACTATAAGGGTTCATGTTACTGTTTTGAATGGAGTAATGGCAGGGTTTTAGTTTAGTATTGGAGATTGGAATCGGTTCTTAAGATCGGCCCTGGCTTCCCAAGATCTGATCTCATAGACCCTTTTTTTTTAGAAACGTGGACAACCTTATTTAGTTTTCCAGGTTAGAAAAGGCGCCGTTTCTAATTGGTCTAATTTCTGGCTTCACGTTTGTGGTACTAAAATGTGGCCTGCTCTGCGTAAACTGCGGATACCGGCTAGTACGGGGCTGAGTAGCTGCAGATATGTTGACGAAACTTGGCTTTGTGGCCGACATAATTTTTTAGTTACTGATTTGCGGCAAAGTATCTTGAGGGAAATATTAGAGAGTAACAAAGTTCTATATAGATCTTTGAGAAGCTCTATTTTTAGCACGAGGATAGTGCATATCTGTTCTCCAGCACTGCCACCATTGCCGTGGTCCCTGTTTTTGACGCACGAGACGAGTAAGGCTAAACGCGCATCGTGCATTCTGCTCTTTATGCCTTTGCTACGGCGTCTTGTCTCTCAGCTAACGGAAAAAGGGGCTTTGAAACAGCATCCCAGAGCGGAAAAAAAGGGGTTTACGTTTATATTAGCCCGCCAAAGATTTTCACTGGAAATTTAAGGCGCAATACTTGGCGCCAAGCCATATGCTAGTTGGGGCGACTCAACAGCCACATGCCTGAGAACTTGCATCTAAGTTTAAGCATTACAGCAAAGCTCATGCTAAACACGGAAACTCTACGTTGTAAAGCTCGAGAAACGATTTTACACAATATACCAGAGATTAACCAATTCATCTACAAGGATAAATACCTTATGTGGTATATCAGGTGTAGTGAACACGATTAACTAAGACTCTTGTTGGGTAAGATATAAATACAGAAGCGGAGTCAAGGTTATATACTGAAGGCTGGGAGTAACGCTGATGAATCGGCTTGAGGAAAATAGAATACCTAAATGTCGGACGATCAGTATAGAATATCGTCCGGTCGGAGGTGAGAATATCCGCCAAAGATATCTGCAGGATTAAACGGCAGCCTTAAAGGTCTGGGCTGAGTGGCAGTAACAGCTACTTAAACATATTTCTGGACTTGGTAACGAAACATAACCCCCCTTTCAGCTCCTTTTTCGGACTAGAAGGCATGGCAGCGGAAGCGTTAAAAGTTCAGCTTCTATTTTCTTATGATTGTTAAACGGCTCAGAGAATCCAGACCTCTTACCCATTCCAAACAAGTTGGACAAAGCATTGTTGAGCCTCAAGTTTACAGACGGAAACAGCTGCCACGGAATTTACGTAACGGAAAGGCGCTATTAAATACATATCTAATTGTCAGTAAATTCCACTTCGTTCCTTTTGGCACAAGTCATGAAATAAAATCCCGATCGAGACAAAGCTGGTAGCCATTTTGAACTCTGAGCCTATTAGTTGGGCTCAGATCTGCACACCCCAGATAAACCTTGTATTTTAATTTGCCAAAAGTTTTATACTTGATATAAAAACTGGCAGAATCATAGAGTACTAGTGGGGTTATAAGCCTCCCGAGACCTCCTTCTGAGATGCAGGCTCCCCAGAACCAGGGGAGCGTTAATACTTGACTATATAAGGAATACGATATACATTTTGAGCTCTGGTACAAGCCGCTTCCCTGGATCCCAGCGTAGTAACAAGCCATTGACTGGCATTAGCCTTTTCTATAGGTTGGCTAATATTAATTTTAACTGCAGGACTCGGGTGTTCGGGAACAGATATGGTATCAGTTCCGA